CAGCACAACCCGCAGGCTTACAATATTCACTGGACCATGTGCCGTCCTTGAGGCAGGCGCACTACGAGTGCGCTCTTCAACACAATCTCAACCACCGGCTGGTGGGGATGATGGATGACAGCTTCGAGATCATAGATGGGAACAGAGCAATTAGCAACCGAGCTCGAACTGCCCATTTCGATCTAGCCAACCGATGAAATTGTCCGGCTTTTGCAAAATAGTGCCAACGGGAATCGTTCTGGTTCTATTTTGCCACGGACCCAAGGCACTCGTTCGAGCAAAAGGGGGAATGCAGTTTTGGGTCTACAATCTCAAGTTCATGTGCTGCGCAATCGACAATCTCACCAGACGCATAGACAAGGGCGAGGGAGGATGATCTAAAAACACATCCTGGTAACAGCCTGCGTGGCTGAGAGATGACAAGCAGCCGACCTTCATGGAGGGAAGACAACGACCTCTTTGAACCGAACAGGCGGCCAACATCTAGCTTTGGCATTTCGCCGGAGATCATGCAATGCGACAGGACGTCGCTCGGCACTGCCACGACCGATGGGCATTGAACACACCTTGCCGGTCTCCCTTGATGGACGGTCATTCATGGATCGGTGCTTCTGAGGACGTCCGTATGCTTACCAAATTAACGAAGATGTGGTCCACACTGTAGGATTCTCTTGGGAGGGCCTACTCATCCATCCACCGACGAGTTGGCTGACACAGACTTGTCTCAAGGCAATGGCGATCATCACTGCAGGAAGGAGCGACGATGATCTTACTTCCACCTTGGGAGGCAAACTTGCCCCATAGACCTGATGGTGCCAGGACCAGAAGGAAGCGTTCGACTGCGGCGGGAAAGCTGGAGGACCGCCCCCCCAATGCCAAATCATTCTCTTGCATTCTAATGAAGATCAGCAAGGGTCACCGGCGATCAGGTTGACAAGAAAACCGAGCCCTACAACAACAAGGAGTGGAAACAACCACCCTTGCTTGAACCTCATGCTCGTGCCGCAGTAGGAAGTTCACCCCTTGTGGCGGCTTCCTCTCGACGGGTCCTTCCGTTCGATCACCACGATGCTCCTTCCGGCTGAGCAAATACCACTGCGCTAGTCTTTGGCTCTTGTTCGCTCCCCATTTCTTCGCCCTCTGATTAATCTTGTTTCAAAGGCTTCTGGTGTTGAACGCACGTTGGGATAAGCCTGCAGAGCGAGAACACAGCCTGATGCCAATTTCAAACCCCAATCAGAGAGTGGAGGTGGAGTCCGTCATCAAACCACCACTTGTAACCGTCCTGCAAGATCCCGACTCAGATTCTGGACCGGTATTAAACCCCATGGCGGTTGCTCGCCGTCGAGGTGGGCGGCGAGCGTGATACCCCTGGAGTTGAAGGCTTAGCTGTTTAGTTTGCCAAAAGGATCACCAGCCCACACCACGCTTTCCCCAGCAGTCATTAGTACGCTTTCCAGATCCAGACCCAAGACGCAGGGCGAAGGAGAAGCCCGACACAACGGAACCAACAGTGGTGTGTTCGCTTGAACGACGAATCGCGGCGAGTTGATCGTATTCGATCCCAAGACCAGCCAGGCCCACGAGCGTTAGCTTCAACGTTATATCCTTGACACATCAGGCCATGTGGTCGAGGTAACTCTATACCTCGCTCCGCCTTTCCTTGTATCACTGTATTACGGCCTTTAGCCTAGTTTCCCCCGGTCAAAGAGCTTGATCCGTGAACTCTGCCTCTGACAAAGAAGCCGGCTGCAACGAGTCAGCATCCCGCGCGTGCCTGGGGTGTGCTTCTTTCTTTCTTTCCTTCTTTTTGGTTGTTGTTGTTGTTGGTCTATCACTCTTTTCCCTTTTCCATAGGGGGTTGCTCGCTAATTCCAGCCTAACCCAACATGGCCATCCCTTCTGGTGTTTTTATTGGACCTGGGCGGAATTCCGCCGCCCCGCGAACTAAGCCCGATCTCCACTCCCCGTATCCACCAACATCACCAGCGCACTACCCGCCTGGCCGCCATAATGGGTAGGTACTCACCATAATCCTCTCCACCCCGTGTTGTTGGGAGTCAGCCTTGGGCCCCACCGGGGAGCCTTTGTAGGTAATAGCTGATTAAGGTTAAGCTAGCCAGCTATGGTAGTGTAGACATGGAGGTAGATAGGCCGCCAGATAAAGCCGCAGGAATTATCGAGGCAGATCCGTTACGTACGGGGTAATAGGTGGGTAATCTAGCTAAGTACAGGAGGTACCACCTAGGTGCACCCACTCTACCAACTAAAGATGAATAACACTTGACTTGTAATTACGTATTTCCTCGACTGCTGCTAATTTGGTTCAAGAGTTAGAGACAAAAGAACCCCGCCATTCTTTGAGTTAAGGTATGTGTGCTTTGAGAGCGGGTCCCCCTGAGTCCTCCTCCGCTTTACTCGCTCAACACCAAACGACAGAATACCCTGACTAAGGGAATGTTGGAGTGACTAACCACGTGTCGGGGACCAGCACGCGAGCCAATTACTAAGTGATTGACTGGGGTTGGTCGAGCCAGTCGCCGATGCGCTCACTTCGCCCCATTCACTCACCAATACCTGCTCGACGGGCCCCCGGAGAACAAGTCAACAAGTTGATTGAAACCCAAAAAAAAACAAAAACAAATATAATCATCTCAATCACGGTCCTTGCCTCTGCACCGATCCACGCCGGGGACGGGGAGCTGGTCGAGATTTCAGGATACAAGTGACTATCACTTCGCGGTCGGTCCAACGTTGTTATGCCGGCTCACGCCGGGGCTCATCGAGAATGCTGCCCGACGATGATGATGATGATGGTGAGAAGAATGTCTCCATGGAGATTCAAGTCACATCCACCCCCTGGCCCGGTCCAGGTCGAAGGATGTTCCTGTGGGGGAGGACACATGTCGCCGAGTACGTACGTAAGTATGCTTCCGCCAAAGGACGGGTCAGGTCAGGGCATTCTCCTTTGGAGAGGGGATTGTGGCTCGGACAGAGAACCAGGGTGGCTCGGAGAGAGAGTGTGTGTGTGAGGAACAGAGAGGTAGGAGGAGCAGAGAGGAGGCTCAGGAGGGAATGGGTGGGGAGAACAATGCCCTCCCCCAGTATCTAATCTGGGAACCGTTTCTGTTCTTCACGACTCTCGTCTTGTTTTTCCTTTGCCGTACTCACAGAGAGAGAGAGGCAAAGAACACAAGGAGGATGGAGGGTGAAATCTATGGTGGAGAGAACAACTTTTTACACACCTACCTACCTTAGGTATCTGCCTATCCATACATGTCTAATTCCTTCACGACCCTCCTCCTCCTTTTTCTTCTTCTTCTTCTTCTTCCCTTTCGCCAAAACACGCGAGGGAGATCGCCAGAAGGAACTAGGGAAAGAACGCGACCTATCATGAGTTCGGTATAAACCTACGTAATCTCAATCAAAGATGGACAAATACTTTTTCGTGTATCAACGAGGGAACATGTCAATTTGAGCAAGGTTGTTGGTGGACTGTCTGCCAGATGTCTACGTACCGAGCAAGAAAGGGTAGTCTATATACACAGCGAAAACAACAGAGGGCAGGGAATGTACCCTCTTTGACAAGTTATAAAGGCATTCTCCTCTTCGACACAGCATTACCTAGCATTGGTTCTAGTAAAAGGGGGTTTTTCTCTAATTGAATAGGTAGGAATGTAAGTACCTAGTAGGGGCTTCAAGCGCTTGCTCTCCTGGACAGACAAGACAAGGCTGTGTAGGTATGTATGTATGTTGCACTGCTTCACAGCACGATGGACGATGGGCATCAGAGTCCGCCCCTGATCTCGTTCTGGTTCAGCCTCTTTCTCCCCCCTACCATCCCATTCTTTGTCTTCCGCCCTCAAGACGTCCCGCCTATAGAGACAAAAAAGGTCTCTTCTCTCCCGTTCCTCGTCCCCCGGGTGGTCAAGAGACCCATCACCCATCAAGAGAGTATTTCTCGCTGGCAATTTACTCTCTCTCTCTCTCTCTCTCGCAACTCTGCCGCCCCCTGACCAGGAACGTGCGTTGGCACATCTCTAGTCAGATTGCATGATTCCAGATTTAGATCTGGTCATGAGAATAAGACGGCCAAGTCAAAAAAAACCCCTCTCGAAATATCCCTCCCAAACCAAACCCCTGTCGCGCGCGCGCGTGCGCTGCGCCTTCTCAGCTCGCGCGGCGCCACCACGCCGGTAGGTCCTGTAGGTCCTGTAGGTCATACATTACGGGGTGGCGAGGATCGAATGCCTCCTTCAGCCTCAGCAGGGTGATTTCGAGAGGATTCGTACGTAATGGACAGATAATAGCATCACCGAACGGGAGACTGCTCTTCTCTGCCTTGCGGCCGTTGAATACCCAGGTTCTCACTTCCATCGCACAATGGGACCATCTGTCGAATCTGTCAGTTTGCCTCCTCGTCCACACTATCCTTGAAATGAAAGAAATCAGAAGCGTGGGCAAGGGCGAGGGAGCATATCGAACGGGAAGAGGTCCACGAGAAGAAACAGTCGCCGTAGTAAAATGCTCGTGAAACATTTGTTGTACCTGAAACCATGTTTTGAATCTTTGACGCGTTATGGAGGACTTGTTTGTATCCCCTCCCACTACGCAATCCTGCCAACGCCGTTTGCCGAATGACCGCGAGCTCCTTTCGAGACCGCTCCTGGCCGGAGGCTCTCTGTATACAGCACATAAATCCAAGACGATCCAAATGTCGGGAATCGCCCTCGCCCTTTTCTGATACTGGTACAGCCCATTTGCCACTCCGTTCTCGCCTGTGCCATGCTGATGCAATACCCCCCGGCCAGCTATCTTACACTTCCGGAGCAGAGCACACCGGTCGCCGAACAACATACCGTGAGTATTTCGATCATCGTCGAGGTGTCCAGCTTCTTCCAGGGACCTCCTTCCACTCAGCTTCTGTTGTCTCTTCTCCATCATGCTTACTCGACGACATGCTCACTTCTGGCTTCTCAATCACCCTCCATGTCAGCGTCTCAAAGACCCGCTTCAGTGCCCCTTGCCCTCCCTCCTTCCTGAGCCTGAGCTTTCTGAAACTGCCGGATCAGTCCCAGTGGCCCCATGGGTTGCATGATCGCCCTAGCATCACCCTCATCTTCTTCATCTTCACTACCTGCCCCAGAGGACGAGTCAATTTCATACTTCCAGGACCCTAGTTCGCCGTCGTGAGTTGCGTGAGGCGTCAGGCCTGTGGGCGCAGAAGTGAGGCGCTCTTGCATCCCTCCTGCATTCGGCTGAGATGTGTCTGTTCCCTGAGGCCGAAGCTCAGTTGAATCTTCTTCCTCCGCGACGTCGTCGGGAATTTCATGCCCGCGCTCAAGTGTTGCAGTCCGCCGGGACTTCAAAAGAAGAGAGCCACGTGGTCGCAAAGCTTGTGGCGACGCGAACCCGCTAACAGAAGGTTGATGGTGTGGGTCGAGCAACAGCGACTGAAGCGGAGAGCCAAATGGCTGAGACTGAGCATGGCCGTGGCCCGTAGCTGGATGCTGAGCGCCAAATCTGGGAGTGCCCAAGGCTCCGCGATGTGGCGAGGATATCGACCCCAGACCTCCGCCGCTGTGTCGATGGGCGTGCATCCCGCCACCGAACGTATTACCATGGTCTGATGCTGGGAAGGATGGTGAAGGCAACCCTGGGACAGGAGGTGGCATGTTGAAGTTGAAGCGCCGCCGGGAGGTGTGGTAAGGAAAATGGATATCGGTCTTCGGATTCCGCGCGTAGTCGTTCATGAACCCCCAGTAACTATGTTCGAGCTTGTTGTCCTTAGACGCGAAATAGTCATCGCGCAAGTTCGTATTGGCATTGGTATTAGCAACACCTGCGGCAGCACCTGCTGTCCCAGTCTCCGCTTCCGTGGACCTCTCCTTAGGAGCAGGCCGCATCGCCTGGTTCATGAAACGAAATTCGGCGAACGTACAGACGTATCCTATACCATCGACGTGCACCGTGAATTCTCGGAAGAAGTCAATGATTCGTTCGCTGCATCTGGGTAGACTGAACCACAGCACAAAGGGCGTGAAGAAAATACTGAGCACCTCTTCCAGGAAGATGACAAGTTTCATCTGGTACAACTGGGAGAACTCCTCTTTGACTTCCACAGTGTGAAGACGACCTGCCCAGTGCTGCGGTTCGTAATGCGTAAATTGTATCACCTCTCCGATTGAAAAGGCCGTGTCGTAGACCATATTGTCATCCGGTAGCAAGCCACGCGCTACGGCCCATATCGATCCGAAAATGCCAATATAGAAGATTGTAGTTCGCCCTGGTGTTACTTCGAAATTTAAAAAGTTGTCTTGATCCAGGATCGTTGCGAGGCCCAGGACCGATACCACAGCTCCAGATATCAGACTGACGAACCGGGCAATTTGGACGGTCTTATCCTTGGGGAATTGATTGATATATCTGTCGGCAAAAGGATATGACATGTTTATGCGCCGCCGGAATAGGTGGTGCAGCTCGTTGAACTCTCGAAACTTCCACTGCGCAAACGGCGTATATTCTCTCATGCCAATCTGAGCAGGGTTCTTCTGGTAGTCGTTGAAATTCTGAAAGAAGTGCTTCAGGACGAAGAAGGTGGCAAGGAACGGTGCAAAGGCAAGGCTTGTAAAACCTGCCAAGATGAAGCGTGAACGGAGGGCATTCGCTAGGTCTTTCCGGTGCGTATCCTTCAGGAACAGAGGCCGAACCTGTCCTTTGGGGTTGAATACAAAGTCCATAATACACAATTCAATGTTCCATTCTAGTGTCCGAGTAAAGAGCTTGCGATTGCCAAAGAAAGGGATGGGTAGAGTCAGGTCCAGGACATCCTTGTTGATCATGGCAATCATGTAGTTTTGCCTTCTCATAAGCCTGTTGGCAATGTCGTGCGCATCCATTCGCTGCTTGTTCTGCGATTTGGTCCAGTTACTGGTCTTTTTGGAGGTTGAAGAAATGGTAGGATTCGAGTCTCGCAGAGCCATCAGGCGACTAACAACCTCTTGCCATGATATCGACTGAATTTCCGGTTCAGGGACGTCCAAGAGGTAAAGGAAAAAATCATGCATGTGTCTCAGACGAGGAATATCGAAGAGGTACAGGACACCTTTCCAGAGCCATATGAAAGTGGTGAGCCAGAGCAAAGCATTCGGAACAAACCCCATGCGCTTGGTACATTGCGGTACAAGGATCTCCGACATCTTCGTGCTGCCCCTGATCTCTCGATAGTCGATACACTGGCTGAGGAATATGGAGAAGCCAACCACGAAGGCAACAGTAAGGAGGTTGAAGAATCTCATGAGGATGGTGGACCAGAAACCGTGATTGAGGTAATAAGTATAAACCTCGAGAAGGAAATTATCCAGATCTGTCACGTTGACCCATCGAAACATGGCTTTCTCCTTAGGATCTGCACTGGCGAGGTTGCCTCCAACAACTCCTCCAGTTGGTCTAGCCCGTGCCGTTTTCTGGCCGCTTGGACTTGGCTTGGGGCGATATCTTGTATGGAAATCTTGAGCTGCCATCGAAGGACTGGTATCGCGACCTTGGAGGAGGCCTTCTGGCATTAGGCTTGGTGGAGGAGGCAGGGACATGGAGCCGTGATCAAGACCCATTGCGTTGTGATCGATCAGCAAGGATGCTGGGACATCGTCGTCCGCCTCTTCCACGTCCAAGAGTTTGTGGGCTCTCGGGGTGCGTCTTGTCTTGTTGTGAATCCTGCGCGTATCTCTCCGCTGCGCTTGAGATTCGGTGTGGGTGGCGGCAGCAGCTGCACGGCCATCATGACGGGGGATTCTCCTCTGTGAACCGAGGCTGGACCGATGTAGTACTTGATTGTCGAAGCCATCTCTTCCATTTGCCCCGTCTGCAGCCAGCCCTGCGGTCTCCTCGACATCAAAATTGTCCGAATCCTCATCTTCTTGTCGGATGGTGTCATAGATGGAGGCAGAAGGGTTGTTGGAGCCCGTAAATCGAGACATGAAGTTGGAGGCCATCATGGGCTACCATCGACGATAGATTTGGCCGTTTAAGGAGCGGGTGCTTGGAGGCAAGAGATGAAAAGAAATGACCAGAGGCGTAGACTAAAGTCAAGGCACGGTCATCTCGGCGTGTTTGTGCCTGCAACTGTCAGTGCAAACGCTCCTGCGCAGGCACATGACAGACTATCTCAACAGGCAGATGAGGGAGAGTGGGGGTGTCGGACCGCTGAGCAGATGATCACTGCAACATAAGAGCAAGAAAGCAGGTCATTCGTGATGCACACAAATAGAACGCCAGGAGATGAAAGAGAGCGCAGAGCGCAGGTGAAAGGAGGAAAAGGATGGCGGGTTAATTAATGACTGGAGTCGACTGAGTCGAGTTGGGGAAGGATGCGGCTCTAGATCGCCCTTTGTGTAAACATGCACCCCCATCCCCGGAAGTCAACATACATAGGCCGAACATTAGTCCGGCAAGGCTGCGCCCCGCACTCCGACGAGGCTGGCTTCTGGATACGGCGAGATGGTACAGTCGACTTGATACCACTCTGACCTCTGTCTGTTGGACTAGGCCATGTGCAATCTCTTTCTATTCTAATCTACACCCAATTTAATCGTTTAGCAAGGTACAATGGCTCGTACCATCTATCTTTCTTCTCAAAGCAAGGAGCGTCGCCGCTCAACTACGTAACGCTTTCTTTCTAAAAGAACAGGGCTGCCAGAAATGAAACACCAAAACATGCAATCACCCACTGTCGATGTTGTTGGACCTTTGATCTGTCAAGCTTCTCTAAGCTGCTGTAGCCAGCCGCCAGCACAATGGTAATCAAGATCAGTCTGTTCAAAACGCCAGTGACGAATTTGAAGCACAATAGTGGCAGAAGCGTCATCGTGAGAATGCAAATAGGCACGTATTCTAATGCTGGGCCGGCGGAATGCGTTGAGGTGGATGGAGTGGTCTCTTTTAATGAGATCAAATCCTCATTGTTGTCCAGGAACTTGGATTCCGGGAGTGAGAGGGGGCTGCGTTCCTGCAACCACGCCTGGAACTGTGCAATCTCGGTTGCAGTTGGGGATGAGGAGAGCATGCGGACTCTTTGCGAGGCTGAGAGAACTTGATCTAGCACCAGTTAACGTGTCACACCTTTCTTCTGAGATTCAATCACGTACAGTATTGTTCAAGCTTCATTGATAATCGTCCCAAGACATGTAACCGATGTGCCGGTAGATCGGACTGACCCCATTGCCAGCTCAATCTCCTGGAAGCCGGCGACATGCTGCCGTCTGGATGGAGCCGACTATGACCATCGACGGCGTCCAGACCAGCCAGCTGTTCTTCCATCTCGCTGATTTCGTCTTGTAACTGCAAAAGCAACCGGAAATAGATCTTTTTAAAACTCCGAAACACTGGTGGAAGTTCGCCGGACGCCAGTCGATCAGCAATAAGATCATATCCGGACAACGTATTTCGGGGCGAGCACAACTCTTTGTCGCTTCCGTCAGGCGTTTGTGGCATGCGTGCACGAACATGCATGGGACTCGGTGTCCTATCCACTACGTTCGGGACCGGAGGCTTATGGGTGGCTGGGGGCACCTCTGGATATCTCCATCGTAGCCGCTGCGAGCGGTCAGGCTCGACTGCTCGTAGTTTGTTGTTCTCTTCTTGTTCATGGGCATCCTCCAGTAAAGGAGGTAAATGGTTGTCGACGAAAGGGTCATTGTTGGAATGGACAGTGCTATCCCCCATTGATATACCCGAATCTGAATGCATGCTCGGCACGATGCTTTCACTATCAGAGTCGTCCGACTCGGCAGTGTTCTTCTCGACTTGAGGTTCCTGTTCGGCGTTCGAGTCGGCGGCGCCCGGCTCGTCGTCCTTGACAAGGAAGGCGAAAACGTCTACTGATTCCCTGGACATGCTTTTCTCCTCGGTAGCATTCTTTGGATCGGTCTTCACCGGCGAGGCCTTTCTCCTTCGCTCATCGCTTGGCCTTCTCTGCCCGGTGGATCTACTTCGCTTACTCGAACTTGAGGTGGACTTGGAGTAGGACTCTTGCGTGAGGGTCGACGAACTATCGGTCGACCCATGGGACCCGGTGGTGACAGCAGTAAGGAGGGACAGCTTGGAAGAGCGAGCACCCCTGTGGCCGGCGTAGGTCTGGCTGTGACGCCGACGACCTTGATCGCGCACCGAGCCGGACATGCAGGACTGAAGAAAGAGCTTGGCTCAAAGGGGCCGTTCATGGGAGATCCGGATATCATGAAGGGGGTGGCAATAGCGAGGCTTGATTGCATCCAGCGGTGACAGAGTGCGGAAAATCTGTAGTGAAGAGCTCCATCATTTGACAGCGAGGGGATGGGTGCATGAACGAACGGCAATATCATGAAGGCGAGACAGAGAGTGGTGGTGCCGGCGGCTATCATCAGGAAATCATGGTCATCCCTTGATGCAAGCAGGACGAACCAGGTGTGAGGTGACAGGTTCGATGGGAGGGGTACAAACATGTAACACCACCGTTCTGACAAAGTGAAAGACAAATGTGTTTTCGCGCGCTAGGATGACGTCCTTTCTCCTGAGTATCACAGGGGAAGACTCAGAGGGGGAAAGGAGACGGCGAGGTTGGGTGGAAAGGAAATCGTTCAGGCCTCAAGGAGGGAAAATGTGGGAGGAAAGGGAACCTGTCAAAGGAGGTGCCCTGCGTTTTATCTGGGCGAATGTGCATCGGGAGATCAAGATATTCGTGCCCAACGCCGAACGTGAGCGGGTAGATGCCAGCGAACAGCACGCCGCGAGCTCCATTGCCACCGCCGCTCATCAGCAATAGGATCCAGGGGAAACCACGCATCGGGGAGAATGAGGCATGCACGACGGTTCCCCCATGGTGCCCAGGCACTGCAGAAAACTGTTGGCTAGTGGACGAGTGGGATGTCGGATGAGGCAGGAGATTCCAGTGAGACGCCGATTGATCCAATTGACCGACGTCTCATGATGCCGCGGAATGCAATTGGCCGCCTGCAGTGCAAGCAGAATGCGTGGGATTTTTTTCAATCGCCCTTTTGGCAGACTGCTGCAGTTGCTGAGACGTTCATCCAGCCGAGCGCGAACCCAGATCTGTCGGCAGGCTGTTCGAATGGGAAAGGCCACGATCAATGGAGAAGGCCAATGAGCCAATATCGATGACCAGCAGTCGAATAGCAAGGCAGAGGAAGGGAGACGTCAAGTGGCTCTGTGCATACCAAGTGGAAATTCGGGCGACTTTGATTGAGCCAGCGAAGCCGCTTAGGCAGGCACATGCAGCCCGCCGCCGCCCCTAATGCCTGGTACCGACCAATTCTGTTGTCATTGTAGTAGCAAGGCGGTGAAAAACTCAGCACTGGAACGTGGGAGATAGGGTACCTAGGTACGAGGGGGCAATATATTAAATGGAGACATGCCCAAGCGTGAACGATGGAAACAAGACGAAGAAAATGTTGAGGGCAACTGATAAAACAGTAAATATTAGCCTCTATGGCGAAGTCTCAGCATCACCACATCAATCCAGGGTGCCCTTCCACCGACCCAGCGGCACACTCTACCGACTACATAAGTACGAGCTCTTGCAAATAAACGAGTCCGACTAAGCACATGCTCGCTGGACAAAGCTAGAGACAATCCGTCAATGCATCTTTCAATACGCGAGTCTCCAATTAGGAAGCCCAGAACCTCCAGTCAGATGGCGCCCGGGGTTCCTCGCACAAATCAGGATGCTTCCTTTTCCACTTCTCATCCGCATCATCGGGAAATCTCTCTTTGCCTCTGGGCACGAATCGTAGAGGCACGGTTCCAGCCCTCATCTGCAGAGATATGATGACGCTGAGGCCAGTGAGCATCAAGTGCCTCGCTCGCTGGGCAGCCTTTTGCCAGACCTCCACGCGAGCATCCTCGTCCATGACTATGACCTCCTCATCCGTCGCCCACTGGTCCACTGCCAATTCGACCGAGTAATTCTGCAGGATGACTGCCAGGGTTGCCAGTACTTCGACTTGGGCAAAGCGTCTTCCGAGACAAGCGCGATACCCCTCACTGAACGGGAGGTATGCTCCTCTAGGTGGACGGTAAAATCGATCCGAGGTGTCAGCTGCCTCGTTGATACCCAAGCCATCTTCAGCAACGGTCTCGTTAGGCATCTCCTTCTTGCCATTTGCCGTCACCTGTTCGGTCTCGTTACCTTCGTCCAAGAGCCACCGCTCGGGATGGAACTCCTCAAGGTCGTTGTCGAGATTCGCCACGGGATGCAGGGGTTTCCCGCCCGGCAACGAGGGTTTGTTTGTGGGCCAGTACTTAGGATTCCGATGGACATTGCCTGTCGCCAGACTGATATAGACTCCACTGGGGACAGTGCAGGGTTTTCCGTCAATAGTGATGGGTTGCTCGGGGACACCCCAGGTCGACTTTGGAATTCCTATAACTGGCGGGACCAGCCGCAGCTCTTCGGCCAATACTGCACCGACCATGCCTCCAAAAAGAGCAGGTAGGTCGCGGTCATAATCCCATTCAGAGGGCGGCCTCCCCTGAAATATCCGATCTAAATCCTTTTGCGTAGCCCTCTGGCTCTTCGGATAGAGGGCCAGGTAGAGGAGGGAGAAGTGGATCGAGTTGGCGGCGGTCTCGTGTCCGGCAAGGATCAAAACGAACATGTTCCCAAGCACCTCGGAATCCGTGAGAGGAACGTCTTTGCTCTTTTCAGATGTGAGTTGACCTTTCACTAGCTGGGCCAGAAGATCCATTTGGTCCTTGCTGTTTTCATTTCCTCCTTCGAGCATCTTCTTTTTAGACGCCACTGCTTCCTTCATATAATTTCCCCATTCATAATAGGCCTCATTGGCCTTCTTAAAAGTCGTGGTTGGGATGCTCTTGATCAGCCACCTGGGGAGGAGAAACTGCACAAGAATATTGTCCAACAAGCAGTGGATGGCGTAGGTGTAACTCATCGAATGACCAAGGTCTCGGTCACCCTGATCATTCTGGATCTTGGAGTTATCGACATAATTCACGTCGACGTCGGCCTTGGCATCGGCGGAAGGCCATTCCAGTTTCCTTCCAAATCCTGCTCTGCTAATAACATACAGGCTCAGGCGCATAGTGTCGTCCATGACCCTATCAACCGTGATGTCGCCTTTTCCTTCCGGTCCCACCCACGAAGCTAGCATATCGGAAGCTTGGTCGATGCTCTCTGCCCAGACGAGGTGGTTGTTCTTCTCCGTGAATGGCGGGCTGGTGGCTTTGCGGTGCTGACGCCAGGCTGCACCCTCGGTTGACACGACATTTTTGCCGTAAATGTCGAGCGACCGATAAATAGGCGTGGGCTTGAGGAAATCATTCCTCCTGGTGGTGATCTGGCTGATGACAGCCGGGTCGGCAGTGTGCATCATTATGCCTCCGGGCCCAACCACAAGAAAAGTGTCGGCACCAACGCGCTGGAAGACCTCAATGCTGCAGCGGTAGTAGAAGTCCGGGATACAGAAATCCACCCATCGGGTCCAGCTACGGGGCAGTTTGGCGAGCAATGGAAGCCATAACGGATGGCTTATAAGCCACCACGTCTCGAGATAGTACACTGGAACAGCAACGTACGTGATTCCGGACTGTTTCGCCTTGTTCAAATTGCGTCGGAAGCTGATCAGTTTGTTGACCACACTGTAGAGGAGGAAGGCAGCCACTCCGAGGCCGACTATCGACCACATCTTGACGCCAGGAGTGTCTGGTGGGAGAGGATTGAACAGAGATCGAGAGGTTTTCCAGGGCACGCAGAGAAAACAAAACCACGAGCCTGTTATGTAAAAGAACAAAGCGGGCGGTGATGGCGTTAACGAATGCGAGGCGGGGCTTGTCTGAGAAGTGTCAAAGAGGAAAAGTTAACGAGGTTTCGAAAGCGGTGGCAAAGGGTCGATGCAGGGAATGGTCACAGGCGCGCGGGTGGAGGTGACATGCTGGTGGGTGTGACCACATAGACGAAGCCGCCTACTTGTAGGCAAGCGGTCCTTGGAAGTCGAAGTCGTGATAGAGTGAATGTTTGCGTTGAAGCGAAGGGTCCTTCAAACAGGCGAGATTTCGACTGGGCATGTTGAATCGGGCAGTCCGGCCTACTATACGAGATACGTCCATGAATCATCAACTCCAGGGCGCCGGTCAGAAGGGAGGACTCGTCACTCGTACCTTAGGTCGTTACCAAGAACGGCTGGTGGCCGGCGGCATTATCAACTTGAACCTGGAAAGACCTCCTCTGATGGTCCGAAGCAAGGTTGAGCAGTGCCGTGTAGCAGAAGTAACCATGGTTAATGAACGGTCGTTCTCCCAGTCAATGTCAGCACTTGGGCGACACAAGATCGAAGCGAGCCTCGGTTAGGCGGCCCTAAGCCCCTAGCTACGGGGCATCACTAGCACCTAGCAGGGTTCAGGGTGTCGCTTATAGGCCTCCAGCCTCCAGGGCCTCTCAGGGTACTACCCTCCAACAGCTAAGCCGGCCAATCCTCCGGTGTTGCATCAGCTCTTTGGCTGCGGTGCCTCCGAGCAGGATCGACTTCGTTGATGTGCGGGCTTTCCCCATCAAGCGCACTTGGCCCTACATGTGTCAAGCATATCATTCACATGTCAATCAGTCTAGATGGTGATGACGATGCTGGGCTGGTGAACAGGGACGAGGCTGATCCTCCTTCCGGCGATAATGCATTAATGGGAAAGATACTCCGGGAGTGAGATGCCAGACTCAGGCAGGCACGGACATCAAATACAATAAGGGACGTCAGGCCCATGAAATCGTGGATTTGCTACCGAAAACAGAACTGCTCGCCGTCACCTCGTTTCTAGAGCTCCTTTGACCAACTGTGCTGACTGCCTCAGACAACAACATCATAAAACATCATCCCTGCGACCAACAAAGGGAACCTCGAAAAGCAGGACCCAAAGAGAAAAAAGAACCATGCATCAAGTCCGATTCAGCCTGATTTCCTGATGCCCACCTTCTCCCTCTCCTTCCTCTGTTCCTCGCTCCATCTCTCCACTTTCTAAGCGGTTGCTTGCTCCAAATGCGTTCCTTGGGCCTCTGCCGCCGGCTTCTCCGTTGGCACAGGAGTTGCTATTGGATCAGGGGCCTCGGAAGTGGCTCGAGTGCTGCGGTCGTCCATGGGCATCAGGTTTGCTCCCAGGCCTCCAGCGTTGGAGTGGATCGGCTCAAGATGAGGTTCCCATCTTTGCAGCTCCTGCTCTGCGTCCGCGAGAACCTGTCTCGCCTCGCCGGCTTGCGCGAAAGGTTGGCGCACATCTCCTGGTACCACAGGAGTGTCATCCAACAAGTTCAATAGGCGTCGACCGTATTTGGCGAGGATGATTTGTTTCTCGGCGCGCTCGATCGTGGCGGCAAAATGCAAATCGTATGCTTCCTTGATCTTTTGGCGCGTCTATATCGGACACGTCAGCAAAGGCCACAAATCGCCGGGGCGGTCTTCATGGTCTGGTGGAAGTCTCTTACGATGTTGGTAAGTTGAGCCTCAGCGACCAAGTTCTGAGCTTCTGCTCGCACAAGTTCTTGCTCCAGCGTGACCAACTTGGGGCTAGATGGTTCCTTGTACTTGAGCTTTTGGATCTCATCGCTGATTTTGACCTTCTGGTCCCTGCTTGGCTGCACACTGGCTTCGATGTTCCTGATCTGCTTCAGAATGGCGCGGTAGTCCTCCAGATTCTGAGCAAACAGATCCTCCTGCTCTCCAATCTCGGACATGATGACCCCAATCTTGTCCGAGATGTCCGAGACGGCGTCATCGGTGGTGGCTTCGCCCCAGTCGGACAGCTGGGAGGCAATGGACAGGCGTTCACGACCGGCGGTCTCATAGGCTTCGATGCAGTGGTTCTCGGTCTTGATCAGCTTGAAGAGTTTCTTGGAGAGCTCGGCCTGGTGCATGCCGCGGAGGGTCGAGATGGAAAAGGTATGTTTAGATGCCTCTTTGGCATGGTCGTCCTTCTTGCGGGACCGGATGGATAGAGCTCGATTCATGGCGGCGGAGGTGATGGGGATCCTTGCTTGAGAGTTCAGCTGCTGCGTATATTAGTCCTAATAAACATGCGATGTAGGGCGGACAAGCTTCGTTGAGCTTCGACGAGCTCCAAGTATGCGCTATAGACTGGTAGAACGGGTGAAGGTCGTCGAGACAAACTGGGAGAGGGTGCACAAAGAAACCCAAGAACCCCTCGAGGCCCGATACAGCAGCATGCAGGGAATGCGACGGTTGCGCAGGGAAGAGAGCAGAAGAGGGCAGAGGGCAGGGCAGATGACGTATTGTACTGGGGAGCTTGGCTTGGAGGGGTGGCACCCACTGCAGGTGGCATACTCAGTCCTAGTAGTAGCGCCATAGTGCCATCATGCCATGGTCTCGAGCACTGGCATTCTGCGTCCCTCCCCCCTCACTTCTAGCTGCGGTATCGCGAACCTTGTGCTGCCACCTCGACACCCAACGACTTTGCCAATTTGTTACCTAGCGAGCTAGCTATTCAATTAAGACGGCTAGGTATCTTGACAACTGACCGTCACCACCACCGACAAAAGGGAAAGGATCATCCCGATATCACGTTCAATTGATTCCCTCAAAATCCTTCTCCTAACGTCTCAAATAATCGAAATTGACTGCGCAGGGGACCCTATCAACCATCACAGCCTCACGATGCTGCCAAAATGATATCATCATACATTCGCTCCCTGCGATCATAGACACCTCAAAGCGGCTTTCAGTAATAAGTACGATCCCTCTCCCTCCTCTCTTCCGTCACAATCCTCGTCCTGCTCCCACTGCGCCGCCGAGGGTCATTACTAGTATTGTAAGAGTAGTCCGAGGTGCGTTCGGAATAGCGATCATCGTTGTGGCTGCCACTGGGTCGGTGGGCAGAAGTCGATCGTCGAGTGACCGTCTCTCGGCGATTTTCTCGCCTATAGGTGGCCACCTCGGGCCTCGACACGTATTCTCGACTTTCTCGATTGTGCCGGGATGGTCGGGGTGGTTCGCGTGGCTCGCGCCGTTCGCGTCGTCTAATGACCACGGCTTCGTCTCTGTCGCCGCCGCCAAAGCACATATTGGGCGAATTCGAAATGTGATGTATATTATATATTTGGGGAGGTACTCGGTGGGATCTTCTTGCGGTTGATTATTGTAGGGGAAGACGTTGAGGCAAGAGATACAACAAAAGGGGGCAATGATGTCGCCTGATGGATTGATCCGAGCTGGGTAGAGGAAACAAGAAACCAGGCTGGAAAAGACAAGTCAGTCGTAGAGGGGACAAAAGGCGCCCTCCTCATATACCCAAGTAACCCGCGGGTGTACCTTGTAAACCAGGCAGAAATGGGCTCATGGACTTTTGCGCCCTGATTCCCTGTGGCCCAGCCATACCTAAGGTACCCATACATATTTGTGCAGGGTGGACTCGAATGTCCCGCCTTGGACGACATCATCGTCTATGCTTGCGACCAAGGGCCCACCAGGGCCGCACACCACCAACGGCGAAAGAACCGGGCCATCTTTATAGAGACGAATCCCTTGCTTCCTGGCAGGGGGATGCCTTGTCAGTACCTAGTCAATCTCCAAACGCCTTGAATTAGCCTCGACCGGTGAAAACATGCATGTCAACGCCTTCCTTGGCTCTCGAACCCACCCCTGTAACTTATATCACACGTGGGAGCCTCAATGCATCAAGGAAGTACTTCCAAAGGCACGTACGATTGGTTACTAGGTACGGAGGCATGGATCTTCGGCTATCGTCCCGGTGTCCAAAAGCTCTAGATAGTCAGGCCCTACTGTTTACGATCTTGTCTGCCCCTCAAAAGGCGGCTGGGATATACTCGAGAGATCGAGAGCACACCAAAAGACATCTTGCGAAGAAGAACGGTCATGCCATAGTCGATGATCAATTCGTTATTAATATAGCAAACCTCCTTGGATTAAAAATTGACGACTTTTCTCCCTCCCCGTTCCTGGAATAAATAGTCCCATTTCATTCTCATCACCACGCCTCTTTTGACGAGATCGAAACCAGGCATTTCTCCAAGAATGGAAGAACTGAGAAGTTTCCCAGCCGGGCATAATGGTACACGAGATACAAGGGTGTGAATTGCATCCCTCGCAACTTTCCCTGCTTGATTTTGTCCTGTTCACCGAGAAATCTCTATCGTCTGAGAAGCACTGTCACCTGCAGCACCATCGTATCTGCCACTATAAGCGCCTGCAGCTGCAGCGGCCGTAACCGGTGTGCTGGGTGTTCCAGAGCCTTGCCTCTGCTGATAATTGTACGGTGTCTGTGGCTGCTGACTTTGCTGAGCCTGATATTGCCGAGGCGCGTACTGGTGACCTTGCCCAAGAGCGCCGTTAACCAGTGGCTTCTGTGGGGAAGCAGACCGTGCCAGCGTGGCAGCATTGTCTTGCGCACGTTGTTGATATCCTGGTTGAGTTGGCCGGTACCCGCCAGGAGTTTGGGGCTGAGTTGGCGCCGATGCTGACGCGTTACTACCGTAACCTCCATAACCATTTTGTATGGAGGGTCGCTGGAATTGTTGGATCGTAGGGCGCGACGATGAGTAGGGGTTCGCGGAAGCTTGGTATGCATTTTGCGGATAGGTTGGTCGCGCCATTGTAGGGGTCTGATAACTTTGTTGTGTACGAATACCGTAAGCCGCAGTGGCTGGCACAGACGCATTGTAATTTCGAACTTGAGAGTTGTATGCCATCGGGGTTCCCTGTGCCTGCGAATAATTCGGGCGAACTTGCTGAGGAGTCCCTGATGTGCGGCTCGCTGCTGTTGCCGCGTGTTGGACTATCTTTTGTCGACGCATCATGTAATCGTCTATTTGTCCCGTACCCGGGTAGTCAGGCGCCTCAACAACAAGTCTTGTGGAGATGTTCAACTCTTCGAGTTTATCTCCGTTGAGTTTGGCGACAGCAAAAGGGGGTAATGACGAGACCAAGATGTTCAATTGGTCTCTCAGCATTGTAAAGGTGTCAATTTCCGGGTTTGTTGGCTTCGGTACCGTGCCAGCAACAATGGTCTCAAGGCTGCGGTTTCTCTGATAGGAACTGAGAGTTTCAATCATTTCCGAAACCTCTTCCAGGAGCTTTTCAACTTCCTTTTCTGTGTTTTCAGATTGCTCATCTTCTCCGTCTTGCAGAGGCTCGAACTGCGCGACCACATTGGCAAATTCATCTTTGTCTTCAGCTCCTTCGCTTTCGCCATCGACCAGCGATACTGCGGTGTCACTTGTCCTGAAAAGCCTCGAGAGCTTTTGCTCACCGTATTGTTTCCACCATTGCCGACTTTTATCTTTCTCAGACACGAGAGAGTACGAGTTGTCTGAAGTAGGTGCAAATGAGGAATAGACAGAGCTGAAGAGTTCATCCGGACTCAATTCATGACCCTGTCGCACGCTGTTAGCCTCGAGGGCTGCCTTGAAATCATTGTTACTGGACGCAGGCTGTACCCTTCTTCGATCTTCTTGTTGTGGTTGGTTACTTGTGGTGGAGTATGAAAGCCATGAACTCGTGGCCAACCGGGCAAATTTGTAGTCGTGCTTGTTCTGGGGTATGTTCTCTGTCCGGCTGGAGTTTGGAATGAATTCCAGGGTGTTACCTCTCACTACATCCCTTGCCGTGTGTGGGAGGTCTAAAGGTTTGATCCGGCCAGCCTGGCGAAAGACGGTCCCAAATAACCTCTTTTCTTGCTTCTTGGCTGCTTCTCGATCTCCGCCTAATGGCGAAAAGTCTGTAAGTTCAAATCCGTTGGGTAGTCTTGAGCTTTCAGTGTCGGGTGTACCATCTGCTTCCTCTTTTTCAGGCTGCCGTTGAACCTGTAGACCCGAGAATAGGATTTGGACACCATTGTTGACTTGGCTGCGCAGAGTGAGGAATTGTTTAGGATTTTGACTGATCAGGTCCGCTTTAGGCAAGACTTCGCCATTGGTTTGCATGACTTCGGACGACTTAGTCTCATATCTGTCCAGTACATTGACTAACTTTGATAATTGCACTTGGACGTCGGATTCCACCTTGCCATTCTGTGTCGTAGCGGACAGATCGGTGACCAGGGCGTTTTGGGCACTTCGCACATCGTCTTTCAGGGCATGGAAGGAGTTATACGTCCCTGTCAGAATACGGTCCTCGATAGTATCGTTGGCGGATTCTGACTTGACAAGACGGGCTCTTTTGGCTTCAGGGGCCTCGGACTTGGGAGGTAAAGGGTATTTGAGAAGTGAGGGGGTGGTGTCATGTCTAGGTCCTGTATTAGTAGTCTGTCACAGATGTAGAAGCGGCAAACGTACTTGCGGAGAATACGCAGAAGATCCTGCAGAGCCGATTGTACAGCAGAGTCCTTTGGCGCAACCTCCGGTGATACCGTGCGCTTCCTCTTGCCTAGGTGTGATGCAGAAACAGAACCAGTGTCCTCAAGCTTGGATATGCCGTTGACTTCGGCCATGATGGGAACACGTCGTGATGGATTCGAGGCCTAGTTGGTGGTGTTGTTGGCGGACAAGGAGCGGAGTGTAATAACCAAACCACATGCAAATTTCAACGAATATCGCGATATTAATCTCTTAACATGGTTCAGGTCCCTGGTGTGCGCAAGAGACGCGCGACTCTTGTTTGGAAAGTTGGATGGTGGAATGTCGACTCTGAGAGAAGAAAAGGGAGCGATGAGGGGACTGTCGACACGCGCTGCGGACTTGCAGAATGACTGAATGTTAGGAACGCAACAAGAGAAGGGCGCACCAAATGCGGCAGGGTGTACTCGATAATGAAATAAACCACCAAGAGCAGCTTGGTTGTGGATGTTGCGAATCGCGAGATGAATCTCCCTGGCTGTTTTTTTTCACTGCAAACCTTGAATGCTCCGAATCTGAAGTCGATGCAGTTTGACTGCGAGACTGCGAGACTGCGAGACTGCGCACCCTGCACTGGTGCACCCTGCGATCGACTGACACCCGCAGTCGGCTACTGGCTTGGCATGTCAAGCAATGCAGTGGTTTAGCATCTCCCTCCCCTCACCGTCACCCTCACCCTTTACTCACTGGCACCCTAGACTCTCCTTCCACTCACTATCGGGGCCTCACACAGGATATGTAGGCTACGACTATTCAAGATTTAGTCCTTCCCTCTACCTTTGATTATATATACACGAGCTTTGAGTGTGGATTAGAGGATCTCCTTTCTTGTATGTTGTGAATAAGTAAACCTAGAACTTGTCTGAAGCATCGCTAGAACTCGTGACACGCGTCTCGACGTGACTTTCCTCAAGTAGAGTATAATGGTGCCAAATCCGAGCCTGCCTGGCCTTCCCACTTCCTTCTCAAATCCTCCTTCTCGGATCCTCCTTCTCGAATCGTCCTGACATGGGCGGACAAGATACTGCCGCAGAGGAATTATGGGCTCAAGCAGAGGCAAATGGACACACAAGAGGAGCGCACGCGGGAAGTTGATCAAGTCCGGGGAGAGAACAAGTATGTCTCTAGGACGAAGAAAGATCACGATCGAACTCTGCAGCACTATATCCTATAGGAGCCCTACCAGACTCCTTGCCTGGCCTTCCAAAGAGACGATCGACCCTGACATTGTGGTGTAGCTGGCCCCTGAAATTGATGAGAGACGATCACGAGCGAAAAGAACTCCCTTGTCCATACGAAGGCGCAGCCCGCAGCCCGTGCTTAGGCACAGGGGTGTCTGCTCCCGACCTGATCACGGTGAACGATTTTCTCCAGTTTTACGTCGCCACCAGTCACCCGCAGCTCGAGAAAGGTGAGCCAAAGCCGAGGCTTGGTCATACGCCTGTGTTGGCGGTCTCATCCACGTTGTCGACGATTACTCCCAGGTTTCGCAAACCTGGTGCAACCTTTATTCGATGTCTGCTATAACAGAGCTGCACCACAAGGTGTTGGATTACGCTGTGTGTTCGACCGATCAAAGAAGCTGGTTCTGGAGTCCAATCGGTGGCATCATGGCATCCATCTTGTAGCCAGTTCACCCCCAGGCCAGTCAACTTCACCTTCAAGTTCGCATTGGCATTGCACCAGTTGCGCCGTGTTGTCTCTGTTGAGCAGTCCAATTCTGAACAGCATCTGTCACAATTCCATCGATCTCACTATTGCTCAAGATCATCGAACCAGCGCGTTCGCCGGAGAACGAAGCATGCAGCCTGCCCAGAATCAGGACCTGACTGCCCGGACTCATGTACGGAAACACCTTTGCTATGTCGAGTAACGTTTGCGCATATCGTACTTCGCACGCAAAGCGCTGCTCAGGGATATATTTCGTCAACAGTTGTCTTCGCACATAGCATGCCAGCCCGGACATTGACTGGACAGAATGACTCTGTTCCAAAGTTGACTGAGCCTTGAAGCTGCTGAAAAAGTGGTATCGAATCGCCTGAAATGCTTCCAATTGGGCATGATAGTTGTCTTGGAAGTCTTCATGTATACCGCACAGGTGTGTCAGAAGCACGACCTGCAAGATACGCGAGGCCGTCGTGGAGTTGGCTGTTGGAGCTGTGATTTGTGCGAAGAGACCTATAGTCTCGATGTGTAAGGTGTGATGATGGTGGATGTTTGAGCTGCTGCTTTCTCCGTCATCGCGAAGCATATGGAGATGCTCGGGCTGAGGCAGCTGGAGGAAGGTTTGTATTGAGACTAGAAGGCGCCGTGTGGTATGCTCGAGTATGCCAGCATTGGCAATTCTGGGTGCTGTCCAGTGAAACAGTGCAACTAGATAATGCGGTTCGATGTCGGGTGCCAGTGCACAAGCATGAGAAAGCCCTCCAACACTGCTGAAGAGTAGATCCGCGGCGGCACTGTACACAGCATGAGCTTGCTGATCACCATACCATAGCGCCACTTGCGCTGCTTTCGTAAGCGCGAGCACGGCACCTCCGAAGTTGGAACGTGCTTCTTGGAGTGTGGACATGAGGGCACGACGACCTGCCGCCTTCTGAAGCATCATTTCCTTCGTCCTCGGCTGGCCACTTAAACTGAAAATTGACTCTTCACTCATGATCGCCAGCCATAACGCAGCGACATCAGAGTGCTGCAGGCACTGCCGTAGTATGAAAGTGGCTCCGAACTGAGTGCTTTTCTTTAGCCTTGATTGGAGTCAAAGCTATGTGGAGGTCGTGTCGCAGGAGATCATTAATTTATGGAGGAGGTACTCACAAACTTGGTACCGCTCGAGCCCCAAGTCCTAGGCACGACGTTTGTGAGCCCTTCATAACATTAGCGATGCAATGAGAAGGTCTTTGCAGAGGTCAGTCTTACAATTCTGTATCAAGGAGAGGTGTCGTTGCGTCAAGATGGGACTGCCTGTGAGGAGACGTAATTCAGGATGGGAGCGGCGCTCTATCTGGCGCCCATCACGCCTTGCTACTGCTGTTCTGTGCGCTTCGGTGGACAGATCATTGGCGTGCTCTTCGAGCTTCTCAACGTACGCAGACGAAATACCCTTGTGTTTGGCATCATTCTCCGGAAGGGGAGTTGAAGGCAGGATTCGTTTCTGGGATCTTGGAGGGGTTCTCTTTTTGCGAACTTGAAGCACGCGTCGTTCTTGCCTCACGGTCCACGCCGTCTGTGACATTATGCGGACCAGGCAACACAAACGAGACCGCAAGCTTCGAGGCAAGTGAAGAAAAGAAGTCGAGAGAACTTGCACGGGGCCAGCGGCTCACTCATAGTCCAGACAACTCGGCAATCTGATGGTCCGGTCCGAGACCCGAGTGTGTTCTCTCCGATCATGCAATGCGAAGGAAGTCAGGTCAGGTTCGTTGTGGGATTCGAACACCTATGATATGAAGACGAGCACCTGCAATGTCGTGAGAACTATGGAATTATTCAGCGGCACTTAAGCCACTGGGCAGCCAGTAGTCGAGAAGTCAAGCCTTGGGCTAAATCATAGTACTGTTCCCCTATTTGGTTTAGCTTCCCTCCTTTACTTAATACCCGTAGGATACGTGGGTAATACGTTCCCACCCACGGCCTAGAGTTCCTAACTGTACCTGACAGTCGGAGCACACCATCTGACTGCGGACGACCGCTGCCATGCCTTTGCGAGCAAGCCCGAACGTGCGGAACATTGCTTTGCGGAAGCTCATCACTCCTGGCGTGTCCTCTGCTGCGCTGTCCAGGCTTTCAGAGTCTCGGCCCTCCACGTCTGTCGACTTGCCGCAGTGGCAGCTATGCCGTTGGGTCCTATTGCCCGGGAAGTTCTGGCCAACCCGAGCACGCTGCCCACAAAGTATGAAACGAGCTCATCCCTACGGCTCTGGCTCAAAAGAGCGAATACCTTCTGTGCATCTGCCTGCGCCTGACAAATACGAATCTCTTTCACATTGCCGACATCGCGGAACATTAGTGTACGAACGTAACCTATCATTTGACCTGTGGCGAACGGATGGAGACCATTGAGGTCGCTTTCGTTTTGCAGGCTTTTGTCAATGCTTGCGATCATACATTCTTGGACTTGTTCCAGGAACTCGAACACTGTGTCCGGTGAATGAGTGAATTCGACCAGAGTGATCACAAGAGAATAGACGCAGAAATGCCCTCCGGATGCTGCGTCCCAAACTCTCGTGCGTTCGACTGAAGTTCTGATCTGACCCAAGTGCTCGAGATAGTCAATCAGCGGCTGAAGCCTGAGGCGGTGGTGGAGAAGAGGCACATCCTCTGCAGATAGCCGCGCCTTGAAGTTCGATTCCCAGCGGTGGACTTGACTCAAATTGTAAAGATAGCGACTGACTGTAGACTGAAGCCGCGATCTAGTCGGAAGGCACACTTCAGCCCGAACGAATTGAGTGACATACGATCTTGCACTGCAGAGGAAGATCTCATGACTCTCACTTCGAGTTCGGAAAATCGCCACACCACCATTGGACTCGACGAAATCATCCAAAGCCTGGATATGCATCTCCTGTAGATCGTGACGCGCACTGACATATTCTAGTATCGCTAGATACATGATGGTAAGTGCTTTCTGAGGGAAGGAAGCTGTCTCATCAGAGAGCAATGTGTTTGCCTTCTTGTATATTTGGGCGCGCCGATGATAATATCGAGGGCGTGGACTTCGTAGAGTTAACCGATCGAGTATGCCTTCACCAAGGACAATGGCGACCAAAACATAAATCGGATCTTCAATGAGCGTTTGGAGGGTATACAAAGCTGCGCAGTATCTCGGTGTCTGAGAGGTACCCCACAGCCAACATCGACCATAATTGAAATCTGTACCTCGTCAGGCGAGCGGGAACAGCGTATACCGTCTGTCGACTTACAGAAATGAAGAAGACTTTTGTCCGATTCGGGCAATTGCACAGGGAGTCGGACAAAGGGATCCAAGGACGATGTGATCTCTGAAATTGCTGGGAAAATATCATGTGCGCCGCGCGCCTGCTCATGTGTAGGTCGAGCGCCGTGATCATTGTCAGCGCCTTGCAGGATCGCGGCCTGGGACACCCAAATTTGCCGGCGACTTGGTCTTGTGGCACATGTTGTCACCGTTGACGACCTGTGGGGTGAATTCTGAGGCGATGGACGGGTTGGCAAACGCTGGTCGATATCATCAGACCGTTCCGTCCACACTGGTAACCTCTCGTTCGGTGCTGCGTTGCAGATAGTGCTTGCACATTCGCGCTCGCCGACGTTTTCGTCCAGCTGGAAGATTTTATTCAAGTCCTCGAACGACAAATCCTCCTGTTCCGTGTTTTCAAGTACAGAGTCATCTTGTGTCGAGCTATCATGCAACGCTGTGCCTTGAGGCTGTCGCCGGGTATGGGGCACCTCTGCTGAAGGGCATTGCGGGCGTCGCACAATTTTGCCATGCGGTCGAAGCGCTGCTGCTATTTCAGGAGGCGCAGCTGTAGGATCGGTCAAAGTTTGTTGGCGTCGGCGTACGTGTCGCCAGGAGGCAATGTGCGACTGAACCACAGATAATTGTCGGCCGCGCCACTTTTGCTCACCGTACTCTTTTTGGGACAGATTGACAAACGGTGGGTCACCGCCAGCCATACTGCCAACACGAGACGTGCGATGGCACGATAGAGAGCATTGTCAGCGAAGCAGCGTACTTCTGGAACCAGAACCGTATTATATTGACTGATGAATCCGTGAACCGAGGGCCCCGTGGCCACAGTGAACAATATATACTGGCAGGCACCGCTTCTGTTGACGCTGTGCATGGCGGGTGCCGCTCGCAAAGAGCGGCACGTATTGACATGGGAAAGACCAATGTGTGGAAACTTCTTTCGGAGAAGCAAGCAGTGAATAACGAGTAGCAGCCCAAGCTTTTCCTGCAACACTTTGGACCCCTACCTACCTGGTAGTCTGCGAAGCACGGTCTGTCCACCTAGTGTGCTGTGTGATTGGACGAGTCGCGGCGAGGGCGGCTTCCACAACGTCCTTGTGGCTGGCCTACGGCTGGTTAGATTAGTGCAGTTACTCCTTTTGCTCTAGCACCAAGCAAAATGTAGTCCAGTTGGTGGGTTGAACATGACAAGCTGCAGCGCTTCTCGTATTTATGAGTTAGCAAGCCGCCCATACAGAGCAAGACCTGAAGTGCCTAGGTGATAAGGGATTCGTCTGTCGGACAGGTAGGCATTGGCCAATTCCAAGTTGACCTCGACCCGGTGGTTGCAACGACTTGCTGTGCTTAGGTGAGGTGCATCTTGTGGCGTCCATCTGGCGAGCTGGCTGAGCTAGCCACTGGGTACGACAAATTCCTGATCTTGAGGCAAGGAGAAGCTTGAATGTACCAAGCTTTGTACCAAGCTTTATCCAAGGCTACTTGTAGGGCCTCTGTCAAACGAGGGTCATTCTTACGCCTCGTAGCAGATGTCGTGAAAAATAACAATACTACCTGGTACTGACGGGTGACGGTGACCCGGCGCCTCGAGGGCGAGCACAGGGCTGCGTCGCCCTAGGCCGGGAGCAGGGTGAGGCGCGAGATTGACTAGCGGCACTGGCAGATTCTGCCAACAGGTTACAGGACTGGTAATCTATACATACCTAATCAGGAAGGTCTACTTCCACTAATATCACTAGCGCCCTTCGAGTTGAAGCCTAGCCTAAAAAGGAGCTCAACCTTTTCGGAACATCTTTAATACGGTACCTAGGTAGCCATATATTAATCATCTCCATCCACAATAACGATTAGATAGATTAGCTCCGGCGGTCTCCTAGGGTCAATTTAGCCTCATCATAGAGCTCCCTCCGAGACCTTAATAGAGCTCTAACTTTCGTGAAATATATGTATAAAATCATACCTAGGTAAGGAGAGAGGTAGGTCGCTGAGGTAGGAAGGTATACCGACGCTAGGCGAAATCCACTTACTTCTAGTCAATCTCGGTGAGGCGCGAGCAGTTTTTACTTACCTAGCGAGCTAGGTACCTTGGCGCGACTGCGTATCTTCGCCTGCATCTTCACGTTGCAGCTCGCCTTCCACTCTTGACCCAAATGACTTCCTAACCTACCTCTGCCACGCGCCTCTCTTTTCTATTTGGCATTCCTAATAGCTTCTCCACTGAAGCATCAATGGATGCTCCGCGTCCGTCGTGTTCGCCTTCCGATCGGAAGACCTGTTGCATCCTCTATACTACACATACAATTCCACGCAAAAACTGCTCAATGTGAACGCCGAACTCAACGTTATGGGAGCCACGCTGGAGTCACAAATGCTGCTCCTCCGACGTCAACTGCGACGGAGTTTCTAGCTCACCAACAGGCACTGTTTCCCACGGAGTTCTCGGAGCTTTCCGAGTACATCAGACAGGATGGCGGGAGCCACCTCAGCGATAGCCAAGGTCCTCAAGAGGAGGCAGCTTACAATACAGAAGAGATAAAGCTGGAACTTACGCGCAAGTCCAAAGGCCCAACGGATCGTCACCTACACCCGTCACCGTTCCGCAGAAGATTAGATCAAATCCTCTCTTTATTCCTTCCCTCTCATCCTAGACGAAACAGAGTTGATCTGTCCTATACCAATGCCCTTCATTGGCAGTTGAACAATCAAAAGCTGGATGAAGAATCTACGGTGACATTCAGAAGCTCAACTTCTCTACGCAAACTTCTTCTCGATTACCTCCAGAATATCGCACCCCTTCTACATGGTGCTCAGGACGAAGAGAAGCTTTTGCTCGCTCTAAGGGCTACTTTTCCTCACGACTCTCTGAGGATTCTGGAGGATCTCGGATACGACATCACTGACGTCGCAAGTTGGGCCTGGATTTTCTCTGAAAATGTTGACCTTGCCTTTGCAAGGTACGGCGCACTTGCGCAAAAAGTACGCGAATCTGGACGAGGTCGGATACCGAAGTTCGTGTTTTTACAATTGCTTCGCGCGGAAAACCTCAGTGTATTCGCTCTGAAGGGATTCATAAGAAGTATTTTGGCCGATTTGCAAATCTGTTCGGAGGCCAAGGAGTATTTCGGCTGGTCCTGGGTCACCCGAGTGTGCTTAGTCGTTCGATTGCTGCGACATGCTCGTTCGACGGCACCCGAGTGCTTTGGGGACATCAGTGTCATTGTCAAGCACCTCTTCTCGGATTACTACAGTGTCCACCCTCGTCCACTCGAAGGTCCGGAGTTACTGCGCCTCACCCACATATACAATCGTTTCCTGTCCTTGATATCTCTGGCTCCGCAAAAAGCACCTTACAGTGCATATCTTTCGCAGCAGTATGCGCAGCTAGCACTCGTCCGCCAAATGTTCGCTTTTACCCCGCAACTATTGCTAACGCGCGAAGGGTACCGTGCTTTGATTGCAGTCCAACTACTCCATCCCAAGACAGGGCCCGAACGCACTTGGGCGGAGGCCAAATCTCTGTCCTGGCCTCCTTGGCGTCATATCAAGTCAGGAATTGAACAGGATCTCGAGTATCCTGGGAAGGAGAGCCGTGTTATCAAGCTATTACAGCGGATGAAGGCGGCAGGGTATTCCCACGGTGATTGGGAAAGAAGTGCTGCTGTCCTAGCAGGGTGGGATACTGACAAAAGCCCTACGATACAAACTCGCGCCATATTGATGCGCCAGCGACGCCCGTGGCTCCTTTTGCGGAGCCCTCGTAAAACAGAAGAAAACGAATCTGGTTACACGCCAGAACTGTGGGCCGCACGCATCCGAGCGACAAGAACCAAGCGAGAGGCATGGGCATCTTTTTGTTCCTACGAGAAATCCAAACCCGCTTCTCAAGCACATTATCAACCCTATTTCGCAATGCTGGATAAACTTCTCAGCTCAACAGTCCAGCCGGAATCTACGCTGGCCTGGAAGTACCTCGCAGGCGATATAAAAGAGCCTTTCGAAGTCTCGGCAAATCCCCGGGAGGTCATTTACGTTGAGACAGAGGTTCCTTCGGTGGATGAATTTTACGAACACATGCTGCGGGCCGGAGTCAAACCGGGTGGTCATCTTCTTGCCAGTCTACTGGATTACGCGGTCAAGGTTGAGACTGGATTTGGTTACATTCAAGCCAGTCGATGGGACGAAGTCACGAAAGACGTCCTCCGCCACGCCGAGAAATACCCAAGTTTTGTTATTCGGGACAGCTTAAGTAAAATCCCCAAGCCGACCCTGGCCGCCTTCATTTCGCTCATGTGTAAGAGCGGACCCGAAGATCCACTGACATTTCGTGACATTGGACGGATGGACTTTACTACTGACCAGTTGATCAAGAGAAATCATCAAGATGTGCCGGCTTTGACGTACGCGTCGCAATTGCTGCTTGCGGCAGGCATCTCAGACATTCGCGTCTGGAATGCTTTCATAGAAGGGGCATCAATGAGCATTGGGAAATCACCAGCCAATTACAAAGGTGCTGCAACTAGGGCAGCGGTGTGGCGCCGCGTGAGAAGGATTCTTTCGCCTGAGGAGATGTACCTTGACATACATCCCGATCTCGATACCTTCCGACATCTGACAACGATCCTTAACACAATGTTAAGGGATGTGAACATGCGGATCCCACCAGAAAATCTTGGCTCACTTGCGAAGATGACATTCATTCGGGCCATCTATGGACGCTTGACCAAGGCATTTCTCCCTGGACCTGAACGTTCACTCCTTGTCGTGCCCGATTTGGAGGATCTCAAACTCGTGATTAGTGTTTTGGTATCTATACATGATACTCAAGGGTTGCTTGCGGTTCTGAAATGGGTCAATGAGCACGCCGCGAAGTTTGGGCCACTGAACCTTCAGTCCGAATCCGAGTCTCAGAACACAGTGCACGAGACAGCGCAGGAGAGGATTTTGACTCAGTCTCCGCTGCACGACATACTGTGTGCCATCAGACTCTTCCTTGAGGGCAGCCGGTTGCGGCCTACCAGTTCTTCGGGTAGAGAAGGAGACGCTGTGAGGTTCGAGAGTCCCTTAGCTCGGGATCCCCGCATTGTCCAGCTGGCACGGGAATATTGTCGAGAGCTGCATTGGCCGTCAGATGACGAGATCGGAATTTTCCTCGCTCGCAACGTCAAGTGGGTGGAAAGAGTCAGACGGACAGCGGAATTAACAGCTCGGCGGAAAGGCATGGCTAACAAGAAAACGCAAAGTACGCAAAGAGATGAGGTGGCTGTTGGATAGTGTATCGCAATCCACAAGGAGTCGACGTGTCTGTGTACAAAGATTTCTAAAGGGGATTCTTTACTTGAAGCGGACATGTATGATGGAAGTCATTCTCATTTCGAGCCCTTGAACGCGCCAATTTATGTATTTCCATTCTCGGAATTCGCCCAAGTCGTCGCAAGTCCGTTTCGCTTGAGCATGGGCCATCATCTCAAGTCTCACTTGCTGGCTGAATTACTATGTATAGTACTTGTACCCGTTCACATATAAACAATCCCAGTGAAGTACTCAGTACTCCGTGACAAAATGCTCAACCAAGGGAAAGAAAAAAAGAGAAAAAGTAGGGAGTAATCCCTTTTCAGGGAATCGCTGTCGTCAAATCGCGCTCGACCTCGGCGGTTGCGTGTCAGTCACTGCCCCTCCTGTATGAACTCAGGGGAAGGAAGAGGCGCAGAACTCGAACGGATTTCGCTGTGGGGTGTTGTCTAGCTCATGGCGAACTTCGATCTCGCGCGCAGACTGGCGCCAAAGTACCAGAGCGCCCAGATGCCAATGACGCCGCCGCACAACAAGCCGCCGAGGACGCTGATGCCGCGGCCAATCCCCAGATTGACGTAGAGCGGGTGTGCGTAGATGATGGATCCGGCTGCGAGTGCGGACCTGCACAGGTCGTTGGCGGCAAACAAGGACGCGGCGTATTGCGGGTAGGTGAGCGGCAAGTACATGAAGATGCACTGGAACAGGATAAAGGCGCCGGTGGCGTAGAAGGTGATGCCGATGATGGAGACGATCCAGTGGATGTGCGGCGTGGATGTCCACCCGAACCAGAACATGCCTGCAGGCAACAAAGTGGTGGCGAAGAGGGCCGGGACGAGACGGTGTTCTTGGGCGCGGAGGCCGTTCTTCTTGATGTCCGGCTCGAGATAGAAGTAGACGTACGCGACGTAGATCAGGATGCCGAAGACGCAGCCCACGACGATGCAGACGAAGACGATGCCCAACTCGCCAATGTTGAAGCCGTACATCCCGACGTAGACGAGGGGGAAGGCTTCGAAGAAGGAGTAGTAGATTCCTGTTCCCACTGGTTAGAACTGTGGTTTTGGCTTCCGGAAAGAAGAAGTGCTAGGTGAAAGGGAATAGAATCACTCACCATAGATCAGACTCGTGTAGACATTCGTGAAGAAGACTGCAGGATCCTTCAGAAAGATCTCGATCGGCTTCCACATCTGGTCAACTGCGACCTTGGAAAACGACATGGTCCCTTGGTCGATCTCGCCTTGGCTCTTCAAGTTTGGGTTGCCCGTGAGCTTGCGGAGACGCTGAGCCCGACGCAGGAGGATGTTGTTGGCCGACGTTTCGGGCATCGACAAAAACATGAGCACAAACACCGGGGACGACAGCCAGAGGACTTCCCAGAGTGCCCAGCGCCAGCCCTCAACGACGACCGAGAACCCTGACAAAAGAGGTCCCAACGCAGGTGCACAAAATGCTGCGGCGACCCAGGCCGTGAGAGCATAGGGAAGTTTCAAGAGGCCGTACATGTCACCCATGGACGCGCCACCAGTAGCTAGACAAGGGCTACCCATGAAACCGGTAAGGAATCGCAAGACAAGCAGGGACGCGTAGCTGTTTGCTAAAGCAGTAGGCACGCAGAGGATCACGAACAGGCCAAAGGAGATGATGTATGGGATGTTTCGGCCAATGGCAGGGATTTCGGAAAGGGGAGAGAAGAGCCTGATTCAGCCCCCTGTCAGCACTGTGGACAATTTTCTGAAGGCTGAAGGGGAAATGGAGGGTCAAAACTTACATCGGTCCAAAGCCATACCCCAGTACGTACATGCTCAGTCCCAAACTTGCTTTGCTCTGTCCCACGCCAAACTTGGCCATCACCTGAGGCTCCGCCGAGGTGTAGATGGCACTGGCAGAGTACACTGCGAAGGTATACATGAAGATGAGAAAGGCGACCCAGACTTTCTTCCAGCTTCCCCAGTTCTGAGGGTTCGCTGGGTCGTCGGTGGTGTACCAATCCACGAGAATGATGCCATCGGCGGTCCTTTGTGGGGCGATGATGCTGCTTTGTTGGCGCTCGATGGCTTCTTCCTGTTCGACCTCGAATCGTTCCGAAGAATATGGCAGGGTCTGTTCTCTGGTCCTTGTCCGTGTGGTGACAACTGTGAAGTCCGCGCGAGCAGCCGAGTGGGCTGTAGGAATGGTGGTCAGGTGTCGGGCTTCGATGTCCTCCCGGTTGATGTATGACTGTTCACGAGACTCGGGCTGTGGACTGGTAGCATTACTGGTCTGGCGGCTGGCATCCACAGCTGGGGGAGACTGAGCCTCGACCTCCTTCTCCTTCTCGGTCGCAGCGGCCTGTTCCCAGGGGATCGAAAAGTCGGGAGCTTGTTCGGGGAAGGCAAAAAGTTTGCCTCCACTGATCCAGTTTATTGCCTGGCCCAATGGGGCGTCTTGGATTGCATCCAGAATTGCATTCACCATCTTGATAGTCTCCTGTGGTGAGTATCTATTCAGGAAAGAGAGCGAGTTGGTTCACGGATGAAGATAACCACTCCAAAAAAAGACGAGGAGCAGCTCTCCCTTCTTATTAAGATAGTAAATGTCCTTGCCCCCGTACGACGCTCCGGACTATCGCATTCTTAAAAACGACTAATCATGTAGGGAACAATTTCTGGCCGATTTTGGATGGCGTACGCAAGGGATTGCTTTGGGCTACCCATGGGACGATTGGGTATCGGGAGACTCTACAGTCAATAGAGTTGTTGCATTGGGCTGAACCAACTGTCGAGGCAGGGGTCCCAGCATATCCACCTTACGATGAAAAATTGGTCAGCAGCAGAGTTCCTTGGAAAAAGAGCGGCCGACAAACAGTATTGGAAATCGTTGGTAGTAGTGGCTCAACCCCTACTTCCGTAAGGAGGAGTAGTAATAGTTGCAGGCGAGTAGACGAGGCTGCTGTAACTGAATCGAGTAGTAGTTAGCGCCTACTTTTGGAGGAAAACTAACATGCGCGGCTGAGTCAACTTACGGCCATTAAAAACGCCCATGTCCATTCTGATAGGCTCTTTGGAGCTCGGATTCCCTCGGACCCTGCAGGGTGGGAGTTCTCCTCCTCGTGCTTTCAACCCTCGCTGCTTGAACAGAGACATGTCATTGTCGACGCAGGCCAAGGCTCGGGCCACCCACGGGCTAGTTAGTGATCTCGTTACATAACCCAGGTGACCAAGTCGGACGAATGGCTTGCCGGTCTCGCACGAAGCGCCTCAAGCCCGTTTATCGTAAAATCCTTTGTCAGCGAGGCTCCTTTGCGACGTCAGAGTGCATAGGCGTGCCTCCAGTGCTGTTTTCCTAATCGGCAGCCCATTTTGCGTTTCGAGTCGCGCTTTGATTTCTCCCCGGAGTTGTCGTCCCAGGTCTGCTACCTCGAGTCTGATGTCCAATCAACAGCAAGAATCTCCAGCCCGGGCCCTGCCAACGCCATGGGGCATGCACCAGCATGGGTTCATTTCGCAACCGACTCCCACAGTGTGAAGTATCTTGGCTTGTCCTCTGTGAATAGATATGGTGGGATGAATCCGTTAGGTAGAGCCACCATTTCAATCTCAAGCCTCACACCAGCCTTTATGAAAACCGGTTGCAGTTCTCTGCACTTTTCGAGCATCAGACGCTGCGCGAGCACCACCTGACTGATCTGCTCCACCGTTTCTCCATCCTCGGAGAGGGTCAGTCTAGCCTCGTCGTCTTCTCTGTAATATTCGTATGAATATACCAAGTTACTGAGGAGTCGTACGCCATGCTTCGCTTTGTCGGTCGCGATACACGTTTCAAAAGGAAACCAAACCCGTCGCCTAGCGTGAAACGGTGGTCGATCACCCAGAGGAATACCAAACACTTTGAGAGTCTCGAGATTCGGAGGGAGTCTACGCCATGTGGCGTGATCGCAGACAGCTCGAACCCTAATCAAGTTGACTGTTCTCACGTCGAGGTCAAGTTGCTTGATAGCACGAAAGGCTGACAGATTCAGATGCTGGCCGGGATGGTTGAAGGGTTGATGAGACGGTCTCGAGTACCCCAGACTCAGAGACAAGTGCTCAAGCGAATGAGTACAGTGCTTGGCTATGGCATCCACAAAGGTCCCGGGGGACACGTTGCCGTGCATGCGACTGCTCCGCGTAAACATGCCGTCATAGCGTATGCCTTCACTGATTTTGAGTGACTTCAACGCTCGCGGGAAACTCAACAGAATTTCCAGAGAGGGCGAAAAGATGTCGCATTCTTCGAGATGGAGGTGCTCGAGGTTCGTCGACCCGACTAGTGCTTCATCGTCCTGGAATTGTCGCAGCAATCGGTCGGGAAAGTCGGTGCTGGCACATGACATTGTCAACGACCGCAAATTCGGATGCAAGAAGAGCATCGCGTATTTGGTCATAGAATAAATCTCCTTCTGACCATCGACGAAGTGTAACGTGCCTAACACACTGGTCAGCTGAGGGATGAAGACGCAAAGTCCCAAGACACCTTACAATTCCGCAAATTCGGCAGGGCTCGCTCCACACTGTTGGGTATGACTGCCGAAGCCGCCTCGAAGATGCGCTCATACCGATCCTGGAGATTGACCCAGCCGACTCTCTCCTCGGGGAATTTCGCATTGCAGTCAGGTGTCTCCAAGCAGAGATCCCGGAGATTTCGCATCATGAAAATGTAAGGTGGGAGGCTGCTCAAACCATGATCCTCCCCAAACTTAGTGGAGACGAGCAGGGAGCGAACCCATGCGGTGCGGCGGAGATTTGCATGTAGACTGGCTGACAGGGCAGAAGCTTGACGACCACTGACCACCTCGATTGTGTGATACAGAAAGGGCTCGGCCAGGTCGTCAAAGTGCTTGGAGACCAGAGTGGCGTTGCACAGAGTCCGGAAATCGAGGAAGCTGAAGATGGTGATCAAGACCTCATCGGGGAGGTGTAGTAGGAGGAGGGCGGTCGGTGTTTGTGCAATCATGACGGGTGGTCGTCAGTAAGACTGACGAAGAGCCGGAGCCACGGGGTGTTCAGACAGCTGTCATTTGGGATCTGACACCGTCACGCTGCTGTAATGATGCCCGGTTGAGATGAATGAGTTGTGTTGAGAAGGTAGTATGAAGAGTAGAGATGCTGGAACTGGTCAACGGTGATCGTCTGTGGTTGAAGAAGGCACGGAAGGGTGAAGCAACCTGGAAGGTTGAATCACACGAGGCAGTGAAGGGGGTGAACGATGTCATCGCTGCTTCGGGCTAGGGTGGCCACTGATGGCCAGGCTGGCTGGCGTGCCGCGACTGGGCGCCGTTTCCGCCTGGCCGCCCAACTGGCCCCCCAGGATTTAGTTGAAATGGTTAAACGGCTGCCTACTAGCGAAATACCTAGCCCCTAGCCCCTCGCCTGGGGTTAGTAGGATTAAAGCTCGTGGGTGGACTTTGGCACGCGAGCCATGCACACGGTGGTTCTAAAAGTTCTCGAATTAGACATCAGGGTATTTTCGTATCGCAGCCTACAGCAGCCATGTTTCGGAAGGCAGCGCTAGTCAGTGTCCTCGCAGGAGCACCAGCGTACTCCGTCTTGACTAACCATTAAGCATGATTTTCTTTTTCATCTCCAGGCTGAAGGAACGCCATCCACAAGTGAGAAGCCTATCGAGCCGCTCTCACCAAGCTCAGGAGATGTCCTTCGATACCTAATCGAACACAGTGTCGTTCGACGGGGGGACATGACCCGGGACAGGAGGCTTCCAGAGTCTCGTCGCTTCTAGACCGCCTGTTGAAGCCACAAATGTCTCACAGCTCTTTGAAGAACTAGACGGCCTCGGTGTGCTGTGGTCTTCCTGGTTCGGATGTCTTCACGATCTTCGCTTCCCATCCTCAAGCGGGCGTCTCATAGCCTCTCCTAAACACTCGGCCAAACATATCCACCCCAACTCTTTCACCTTTGGTTTCACTCTTGGCTTCGTTTTCTGCATTGGCCGGAATGTCCACCTGCTGTCCCGTGACTCTCCATCCACAGGCAGTTTGGGCAAACTTTGTCAAGGCGTCACCTCTCAAATCCAGCCACCCGCTCAAGACGCCCAGGTCGATTTGTCGAAAGGTTTTCCCCACCTCTCCGGCAATGCGTATTCTCACCAGGTCTTCAAACCCGACAACATCGGCGTAGAGGTCCGAGTAGAGATCGTCTGATTCTAGTGTAGACCAGAATGCCTCATATTGGGCCGACTCCAGCAATGTGTTTAGCCGGGTGAGTTTTTGTATCGATTCGGTGAGGTCGGTGGTGGGGATCGAGGTGTTGCCCGGGTTGTAGGGAATCGTCGAGGGAGGGAGAAGAGCAAGGCAGAGGGAAAACGAAGGCGAAGGAAAGACAGTCAGCGCTTTGACAAGGATGTTTGTCACGGTCTCAGGGTGGAGGAGCTGAGGATTGAATTGGTACCTGTTTTCCCGCAGGTTAGCGTGTCAATCGCAACAGCCACAAATTGGACTTGACAAGACAACTTGACGTTCGGAGGACGACATCAGATAGAGCTAATAATTCAACTCTCCATAGTTCCCGAGGGACAAGTCAGGTAATAGGAAACGTGGTATGAAAATTCTCTTCATCATGCGAAAACAGATGGACCCTTTTCAAGATGCGGTCTGCTGTCAAACCGGGAATTCTTACAGTTTCAGCAGTGCCAGACTTGCATATGCGTCAAAAAACTTCTCCTCGCATTGCTGATTGACGTATTCTTGAAATGTGGTCGTCGTCTCTGGGTTATAGCGGTTCAAGCCGTTGAGGATCTCGTCAATGTGCGCCGGCCTCTCCTTGCATTTGTCAAAAGCATAGCCCATCTTTGCTCAGGTTCACGTAAATCACAGGTGCGCAGATTGGCCCAGGTTGCTGTCTGAAATAGAAACACTGTGGTAACAGAGAATATGTGGTGTTAGGAATTTCGTAGCGCAAGTGCGCCGCAGCCGTCCCAATTCGAAATGAAAATCTGCCGCCCTAAAGTTTGTAGCTTGGCTACTAAAGCAGCGGGAGTTACGCAGCACAAATATTGGGAGGCGCTGTGGAAGCTCTGAATTCATGGACATTGAAATCGACTTTGCTATGGTACTGGACGCATCTTTTATGTGCCTGACTTTCCCAGTAATATACAAACACACCGAAAGCAGTCCAGGACATGAGGTTGTGTCCAAACTCTGGAAAATAGAGAGGCATAGATCGTGAATAGCACGGATACTTGACGAGGCCGTCGTCTGAGTTCAGGCTCCGTATCCAAGAAAACCCCTTGCCCTCATGTTACTAACCAAACTGCGGCACCAATGACAAGCGCGGCCATGATGAGAGTCAGGATACCTGCGCCAGCCTTGTCGCCCGTAGTGATCTTGTCTCGTAACTCGGCAGGATTGGTCGGTGCCGTGGACCCAGCGTTCGGGTCACTCTTTGATGTCGCGCCCGTCCTCGTGGACTTCGGAGTCAGACTTTGCTGGTTCAATACCGTACCAATCACGGATAATGCAGCCATCTGGAAAGAAGTGTTAGCGACCGAGCCAACATTAGATCAAAAATCAAGCAATTCATACCTGCTGTCCAACGCCGCTCGAGCCATCCCAAGTGGACGTGTACCACTGCATGCCGCACTCGCGACCAGTGGTACCACCATCGCACTGTCCCGCGGCTGCCTGTGCGCTAGCCTGGAGTTTCGGAAGAATTTGAGGTGCTGTAGATGGCACGAGCAGACTGGTTACGGCCATCCATCTTGCCAAATAGGACTTGAAGCTCTTTTGATCCTGGTCGCATACCAAAGTCGATTCACACTGAATTTCCGACATGATGTTGCCACCGTATTGCGACGGGAAGAACAATGTGAAGGTGCTGTTCAAGATCGCATTAACCCGATCTAGCCAGACCGAGCTGCCATTCGTGTAGTTGTACATGTAGGCGGAACCCACCAGTAGGGTACCGTAGTTGTAGGTCCACACATATCGCGTCTGGTCGGTGCAGTTGTTGTCGGAGTCGGTGTTGTCCCAGATGTAGAGAATGCCGCTTTGCGGGTCTGTTTGCATCAATGCACTTTGGGCCATCCAGTCATAGACGGTATTGGCCCAGTCAGCATAACTCTGGTTGCCTGTCACATACGCAAGTCTTGCAGACAACTGGAAATTCCCACCGTTAGAGATGGCGTTTTTGAGATTGTAGCCGGCGTTGAACGAAAACACCTGCCAGTGGAAACCACCACCGCAAGTGCTAGGATCCCACAAATCCCTCTGAAAATTGAAGACGGCCTGGGCTAGCGATAACCACGAAGGAGCATCTTCTTCAGTGGACTCTGGGAAGTTGGCCTCGACGGCATCCATGGCAGAGAAAGCCCAGAAGGCCTGGTCGTCGACACCCATACTTTTCGATTGATTGGGGGGGTTGAAGTTGTTGTCGGGTCCGCGCTGGAATTGAAGCGCCTGTGATACCGTGGGATTGTACGACGAGTCATTGGTGTACTGCCAGTAGTTGATGAGGGAGCCAAACATTGCGCCGGACTCCCACCAACAATAGATCTGCGGATTATTGGGATCGCAACTCAAGCCGCCCGGTAACAATCCAGGGACTTGGCCGGTTTGGTTGCCAACGTAGAAAGTCATCATATCGTACGCGACCGTCGCGGCAGCCGAGGATACACTGCTGGGATCATTGATGTCGAGTGAAATGGCCAGTGCGCCAGGCACAAGGGCCAGAGGCAGGAGCCTCATGGCGAAAGTTGTCCGAAGATAACGAGAGCAAAGACAGACAATGGAAGTGGATGACGTGGGAGCGCTGCCAAAAAGTCGTCGCGCGTCAAAGTGGCTGCTGTAAACTCGAGCGAGCGATTGAAATTGGCGCAAGGGATGGATGGAAATTTCGAGTCGACGCTGTGCCTGCACAGACTTTCTCTCGTCAACTGTGGTGGTGGCAGGATAAAAAAAGAATGGCGATTGTCCTTGTTGCGGGCGTCGAGATTGTTGTTGGATAAGACAAAAAGGTGAGAGTGAAGGACGACAAAGAAGCTTGGAAAGCAGATCCCTGACCCCCCGTTGCCCCTAAACAACTTTGAACTACGCAAGTGTTTTGGATCATGCGTCAAACGATTCCCAGTTTGAGCCGCGGACCGTGTCTCAAAACTTGACCTCCACCCCGTCAACCCAGCGAGCCAGTCGCCCGCCCGTTGGAGGCCGTCGTCCATCCTTCAGGCTCCACCAAAGCCGAATCGTGCCCTCGCGAGATTGCGTTTCGAGCACTGCCTCAACGCTCATTATTATTATTACTGCCACGGCCACGGCCACGGCTACGGCTACGTACTCCCTATGTCATTGTGTCTGCCAATTACAACGATACATTGTGACAGACGAACCCCAGTGCCTCCTCATCCTCCCACCCCTCCACGAGTCCTACTACAAGTACTACTCCGCTCCCACGCCGAGAGACGCGCACTCCGCCCACCGTCTTTGCAAGGCAGAAACTCGACAAGCTGGCAAGAGAAACACACGTTTTTGAGGGGGAGGGGCTTTTGCAGTTCGCCTAACCACACTGACTGAACCGACAAGTTTGGTGCCCAAGAGAAAAAGCTTAGCAGCTCTTGTAGAACGTGGGCGTAGGCTTGTTGCACCTAGTCTAGAGGCTTGACTGGTCATTTCACAGACTCTGGGCGAGCTTGACTTGGCCTCCTGCGAAAATGTCATTGACACAGACCTGTGCTCCCTCAACTCAATCTGCGAATATCCGGACCCCCCTCCCCCCAGCTAACTGACCCAGAAACACCGTCAGTGGTGATGACCCGTGGGACTCGACTTATCGTGACTACGATTTCTTTGCCTTGTGTCAGTGGTCATCTTTGTCAGGCGTGCGAGATCTGCCGATGACCGCGTCCCGGTCCGCAGGGAGACAAAGACGAGGGAGAAGTCAAGATTGTTCGTGGGAAATACCGGCAATATTTGAGGTTGGTAAGACGGTAAATTTGACATCCATCATCTACAAGGCAGGCCACTAGGAAATCCCGCGTCTCAAGCACCGCTATTTCACTTGCAGAAGCCTCATCACTTCGACCCTCAACAAACAAGGGCCCAAAGCCGGAATCCTCTTCCTCTCCTCATTCTCCTCGTCCTCAAGCGGCCGACAAATCCAGCGGACTCGTACATGTAAACGAATTGACCTGAGGATTCTTGAATGCATCAATCATGCCCTGAATGGCCGCGTACGCACCCAATCCAGCCGTGGCCAACGCGCCGCCAGCATGGATAACATGCCACACATTGATGTACCATCTACCCGCGAAGAATCCCTTGACCAACCTCATGATACCACGATCACTGCGAGTGGTCTGACGGGTGTGTTCGTCGAACCCTTCACCGGGCCTCATCGAATTCCTCTGCATCGTATAGGCAAGGTGGATGATGGGTGGGAAGGAGTAGCTGAACTGCACAATACAGAATGCTGCAATGACGGAGACAAAGCCGAAGTAATCCTATTCTCAATGTGTCAGTGAGAGGAAGAGACGGTTGAATTTGACGAAGAGTGACACTCACGGGAATTGCAGCTGCGACGACAAAAGCCACAGACCAGTAAACTGGAACAATTGCACTAAAGAGGTACTTCCCTGCCTTGGACGTCAAGGGCGGCGCATTGAACAACTCCTGCAGCACTTGATTATATAGCACCTTGATCCCAATATTCCCGTACAGTCCTGCGGCAATCAAACCGGACAGCACGACCAGCATATCGCACGCGGCCTGGAATCCGTAGGGAGAAAGGCCCATGTAGGCAATGGTGAAACTGTACTGGCCTTGATAATGGTAGACATAGCAGCCATAGATGAGGTAGACGGCATAAATGAAGAATTGCGCCGACCACATGGCTTTGATAAAGTCCCAGGGACGACGCATCTCGGCCATGATTTCGATGAAGAGCTGTGCGCCACCATACGCGAAGACACCGCTCATGAGGCCGTTGATGGCGCCGACGAAATTGCTCGAGTCCGGGAGGCCACCATAGTGGATGATGGGCGGGTAGACGCCGTTCTTGTCCGGGGTAATGGTCGCGGCATTGACCGCCGAGCCAGCAGACCCAAGAACGCTGATGCCATAGTTGGGAGGCGAGTGAGCCATGACGCCCATGGAGATGAAGATCACCAGCAAGTTGAGCCCCACGGCGATCATGGAGAAGACGCCAAAGTTGCGCAGGGTGCGCACCTGGCCCATGAAGAAGCCCGCGATGACGAACAAGACGACGCACACGACGTAGCACAACCTAAACTTGGACGTCTGCGAGATCCCCTGGCCGTTCTGGATGATGACTTGGCCTGTGATGAGGAGTAGTTGGATCGATTGCAGAATATTGACCACATAGCGGGCAGTGGTTCCCATGGTGCGGTAAGCCAGATCACCGTAGTTCCGGAGAGGATACTCGTACGAGTCGAGGCCGAGATAGACGTGCCAGAGAAGATAGCCAGAGTATCCGGCCATGAAGGCGAAGACCGTGTACAGAGCGACACCGGGACCCCAACCCAAAGTCCCCAGGGCAAAGCCGACACCATAGGGGCCCAGGATATCTGTCGTGATGAGGTAGAAGCCGGCTCCCCAGCTGGCAGTCCTCAAAGCGCGGGACGCATTTCGCCACTCTTCTTCGGAGACCACACTGTGTCGGGAAAAAAGGCTTCGGCGGCGATGAGGCTGGTCACCAGTCTCCTGGCCGTCGTGCCCGTTCGCCGTCCCAGGCACCACGGATTTTTCGCCATTCTCCTTTTCTGCAGTATCGGCACCGTTGCTGTCGTTGTCGAGTGGCACTCCTGTCGCCGCTGTCACAGAGGACTTCCTCCTGAAGACTTGCTGCATGATCCCTCCATCGCCAATGTTTTGCTGAGCTTTCTCCTCTTCCCTGGTGCGATTGGCGTAATGCACATATTCCTCAAAGGTCACACCGGAATCATAAAGCTTCCGCTGTGACGGACTGATAAAAGTTTCGGGCCTGCTCTGATTTACAGGCAACCCGCCATCCTTTGCGTCTGCTAGAGACATGTTGACGGAAGTGAAGATTTCGTCACAATAGCTGTATCACACAAACTGAGTGAAATTTGAAAATCGAGTAGGGGTCTCTCCACTGCACAAAATCAAAGAGAGAGGCAGAGAGGGAGGGGCCCTCGGATGCAGGACAGCAGTGCATACTTAGTACTTCTGGCGAAGGCTGCCACGAGAAAGGCGCACATCTCGGCGTCAAGTCGCACGAACAAGGACTTTCCTGTGGCGATCAATACTACCCCGTGTCGCGTGGTGCGATGAATGCATCCAGCTTGTTGTTTGGGTGGAGGACGGGCCATGACGCCAACGACTGGAGTCGATGGCGAACCGAGTACGCTGGGATCAGCGATAGGAGTCGTCCAATCTCAGTCACCCATGAGGTATCTAGTACCGAGTAGTGTTGCTGTGACCAGCTGTCGGTCTATTCCAGCACAAGCATTGTCAAGCTTTGCCCAAGACGACGCCCACTGCGGCATTGAACTAGAGGCTACTTGAGCTTTTAAGTGGAGTGATCATACCGTGGGCCGACCGTGGCAGGGTTGCCTCCAGACATCCGACGCATCCTATCTCCATGGTTGTGGGTAGTGGTGCACACGCTGCAGAGCTCTACGATTGCTCATCAGGCGTGCCTCTTTGCATCTCAAACATCCTGTCACCCACAGTTGTGCCCTGAATGTGTCAACCAATGTAACCTTGGGCACGTGTGGATGCGTCTTCCAGAAACCATGGAATTCTGGCGGAACGGGAACTCCCGATGTTTGTGAACTGTGAACAAACTGTGAACAATCATTACTATTATTTTGTCACGGCTCGACCGAGCGGATTATGGAGCCTCTCAATGGCGACGAACATGGAGCTCCACCTCGCCGTGCCTCGGAGGTTGGCGCCATCGACTCATATGGTCGTACATGGCGTTTCCCACCCATCCAGACGAAAATAAGGAAGGCACTGTGATTACGCTGTTGATCGACTCACTCCCATTGAGTATTACTTAGGTGCCTAGCTAGGTATGAATTCAGGGGCCTTTGAGGATATCCATCAGGTCCGTTTCCGACGACTAATAGTACAACAACGCCGCAACACCGCAGTCTGTCCTCGCATGTTCACATTTGGTTCCTAGGTGAAGTATTCCTGCGTCGAGAGAGCCAATCATGACCACCCCAGGGCCGCAGTCATGGCGCTATAGGAGAGGGTCTGCTCGTAGGTCGAGTTGGTGTCCGGGCCTGAGATACAATCTGGCAAGGCCGTCGGGCGCCTACCCACAGACCTTTGGCGCAGGACTCGGCGAGCGGAGCGGCGTTCTTGCTTCCGGCGCGGGCGACTGAGGGGTCTGAGCTCGTGATCTCGAAGGGCGTGTGTCATGCTCGGTCTGGCACTATAGACTGAGCACATTGCCAACCACACCCGCATGCGCAGTGCCGGCCACATGTTTGATGTGATCTGCCAATTCTTTCGGGTCCACGAACACCCTCCACACCTGATCCGGAACATCCTTGAACGCGTCGATGAACCTTTGGTTCTTGTTCTTGTTTTCCATGTGAGGGGCTTCAGTAACCTTCCGAATATAGATTGCCTTGATCCAGTCAGGATATTTGGCATACATGGCGGCGTACGCCTCCGGGTCCGACTGTGTTGAATCGCCGATGCAGACGAACTTGCGGTTCGGAAGCCAGGATTGAATCTTTTCGATGCGATCGGTCTTGTACTCCTTTACGCCTTGGGTGAGAGATTGCAAGAGGCCGCCCAAATACATCCAGGAGGCATCTCGCAGGATAATTGTTCCTTGCGGGTAGTTGGCGTCGAGGAAGTCGTGGAGGAAGGGATACAGATTGTATGGAGAGGCTGACAGGTAGAACCAAGCGGGAGATTTGAAAGACTCGTTAAGAACCTTGTAGAATTCCGGCATTCCTGGTGTAGTCCGGGGGACATCGGCAAAGGTGGAGTGCAGGATACCGGTAGGACTGGGAGTCATGGTCACTTTCACCGTGTCATCGATATCCGAAATGATACCCCAACCTTCGGGACCGACAAATCGTGTTTTGGATTTCAAGCCTGGGAAGGTGTCGTCGTCGCTTGTGCAGACCACCGTCTTTCCGTCAGCATCATTGGCACCACCGGTGAGCAAGGTCTGACTGCTGATTCCATTGGGGTTGGAAGGCCCAAGAACACGCTTGTGAGGGATTCCGGTGTCACATGGGCTGGGAATCTTGATCTGAATTGTGCGGGCTGGAGAAATGGCCATGACAAAGGGCTTCACTCGTTCCTCGATCCTCTTTCTGGCCGCCGCATCATCGCCGGCTTTGCCATCCAACCCAACCAGGTCGGCAATGGCACAAACATATTTGGTCAAGTCCTTGCGCCCTTCACGGAAGAAGCAGGCCACGAACTCGGCTTGCCAAGGCTGCTCACACTCGTCTCCAGGCTTGATCGGTTTGTATGCTGTGTTGTCCAGGAGCCATACTATGTTGTCCTTAGGGCACGCTTTTCTGCCGAAGGGGTTCTTCGAACCCAAGAAACCTAGTTTGCAAGTTAGTGGCTCCGCTTTCTGGCTCTCAGAATTTTGACATACTGGTGCCTTTGTCGATGAAGAACATCTCGGTCCTGCTCCAGCGTTTTGGCAGTTTGGCTTCAATGCTTTCAAAATCGGCATCTTTGCGAGACTGGGCTTCAAGAGGGGATTCGTTGAAGTTTTGACAGGTGAGGTCCATGGTAGACTTGTCCTTTGCCTTGGGCATGATGGAAAAGATCCGAAAATTGGCTGGTCCAAGTGACTGTGGGATGAGCTGAGCTCGTGATAAAGCAGAATGATAATGATAATGTGCCAAATACCAAATAAGCGGCTGAACTGGCCTGTGATGGGGAATGACTGAGGTGGGAAGGGGAGAAAAACAAGGCAAAGAAGAAAACGAGGGAGAAGCAGGTAGCCTCATGGCAGGTGATCGACCAGAGAAGGAGCAACAAGAACTCGACCCTCAGCAGGAAGGCACGAGGTAGGTCATGTATACAGTTAGCAAGAGAGAGTGGGGAGTCAGCAGGCACGAGGGTTCACAGCCATAAGGCTGGGCTCAGCAAAAAAGAGCACAGGTTGATGCCAGGGAATCGCATGCATTGTGAAGGTGGTCGTTTACGGATGATTTGAGCGTCAAGAGGTCGAAGTAAGACGACGAAAGACAACAAAAACAAGGATGGTGGTCCTTGGTGGTGGCCAAGTCTACAAACCTGAAACATCGATGTCCTCATGATCGAGAAATCGTAGATCTGACGGAGGAGGAGCGTGATCGGTGTTCGTGAAGTGAGGTCGGCGGGTGCTGCCCATAATAGGCGAAGGGGATGCCTAACGGGGCGACTGCTGGGCTCTAGTTGGGGTCTAGTGAGGCCTAAACCCTGCCCACTAAGGACTGCTCCAGCACTCGGCGCTCCCAGCACCCTCAACTCGCGTGTTAAAGTGCCAAGTTTTCGTGTCGACGCGTGAATCGCGTTGAAGTGGGCCTCCAAAAGTCTCGAAGGAAGTTCACAATCCAACAGTCAACGCCATCATTCACCTGTCCCAGCAAAGATGGCTTCAAGACCGGAGCTCAAGGTATGATATCTCTCCCCCATTCGATATGCACTCGTGCTGACAACGAATAAACAGGTTGATGACGAAACCGGATTCATTCGTTCCTTTCGTTCTCTCCCACCGCGACCCGGCGGCAGCAATACTATCCGTGTCTTTGATCGGGTCGATTGGTACTCAGCGCACGGAGAAGATGCAGAATTCATTGCGCGGACCGTCTACAAGACGACTGCTGTTATCAGAAACCTCGGTCGCAGCGAAAATGCGTTGCCCAGTGTCACCATGTCGACCACCGTTTTCCGTAACCTCCTCCGAGAAGCACTGTTCAAGCTAGGCAAGAGAGTGGAGATCTGGGAAGCCAGTGGGAAAGGACAATGGAAACTCGCCCGGCAAGCTAGTCCTGGTAACTTGCAAGCGGTTGAAGAAGAGCTAGGTTCAGGTATGGACAGCCAAGGTGATAGTGCACCCATAGTCCTGGCTGTCAAGGTCAGCGCCAAAGCAGGTGAGGTCAGAAGCGTTGGGGTTTGCTTTGCAGATGCCAGCGTCAGAGAACTTGGCGTCAGCGAGTTCTTGGACAACGATCTCTATTCCAACTTCGAAAGCCTTCTTATTCAATTAGGCGTCAAAGAGTGTGTCGTGGCGGGAAGCCTCCAGAAAAAGGATCCTGAACTGGCAAAGATACAACAGATCGCTGATTCGTGTGGGATTGCCGTTTCTGAGAGATCTGCAGCTGATTGGGGGACGAAGGACATTGAGCAAGACCTGGCCAGGCTCCTGAAAGGCGAAAACGCCATGGGACTTTTGCCCCAAACAGACCTCAAACTAGCAATGGGTAGTGCAGCTGCACTCATCAAATATTTGGGTGTCATGACAGACCCCAGCAATTTTGGACAGTACCGGCTATACCAGCACGACCTTGGACAATACATGAAACTGGACGCAGCCGCACTCAGAGCTCTGAACCTCATGCCTGGCCCTCGAGATGGCGCCAAGAATATGAGCTTGTTCGGTCTGCTCAACCACTGCAAAACCCCGATAGGCGGTCGTCTCCTTGCACAGTGGCTCAAGCAGCCACTAATGAATCTTTCAGAGATCGAGAAGAGGCAGCAACTAGTGGAAGCTTTCGTCATGGATACCGAGCTTCGTCAAACCATGCAAGAAGAACATCTTCGCTCGATCCCTGACCTATACCGCCTGGCGAAGAAATTTCAGCGCAAGCTCGCAAATCTGGAGGATGTGGTACGTGCGTACCAGGTTGTTATCCGGCTTCCAGGCTTCATCGAGGCCTTGGAAACTGTAGTCGACGAGCAGTATCAAATACCATTGGAAGCACAGTATACATCGAAACTGAAAGAGTTATCGAGCTTTCTGGGCAAATTGGCTGAAATGGTCGAGACTACTGTGGACCTCGACGCACTGGACCGCCATGAGTTCATTATCAAACCAGAGTTTGATGAGGAACTCAAGGTAATTCGAGCCAAGCTTGACAAAGTCCAACACGCCATGGACGTCGAGCATCGTCGAGTCGGCAAGGATCTTAGTCAAGAGCTTGACAAGAAGCTCTTTCTGGAGAATCACAGAGTCCATGGGCATTGTTTCCGGCTAACGCGCAATGAAGCGGGTTGTATACGAAACAAGAAGGATTACAAGGAAATATCGACGCAAAAGAACGGCGTTTACTTCACGACCAATGCGCTGGCGGAGTCGAGGAGAGAGCACGATCAGCTCTCAGGGTCTTACAATCGAAAACAGTCGTCACTGGTGTCTGAGGTCGTTCAAGTAGCCTCATCGTACACGCCAGTCATTGAACAGCTTGCCGCCATCATCGCTCACTTGGATGTGGTGGTCAGTCTAGCACATGCTTCCGTCCATGCTCCGACAGCGTACGTCCGCCCGAAGATGTATGGACGAGGCACTGGGGATACCATCTTAAAAGAAGCGCGCCACCCCTGTATGGAAGCTCAGGACGACATCAACTTCATCACCAATGACGTCGAATTGAGGCGTGATAGCTCCCGGTTTCTCATCATTACAGGTCCCAACATGGGCGGTAAATCGACATACATTCGCACAATCGGGTGCATCGCTCTCATGGCTCAGATTGGCTGTTTCGTGCCCTGCACCGAGGCAGAGTTGACCATTTTTGACTGCATACTGGCTCGCGTGGGAGCATCAGATTCTCAACTCAAAGGCGTCTCAACCTTCATGGCGGAAATGCTGGAAACTGCAAACATCCTGAAAAGTGCCACTAGAGACTCGCTCATAATTATCGACGAGCTAGGTCGAGGCACGAGCACATACGACGGCTTCGGTCTTGCATGGGCCATCAGTGAAGAAATAGTCGGGCAGATCGGCGCGTTTGGGTGTTTTGCCACTCATTTCCATGAATTGACTGCTCTGGCGGACAAGTTCCCGAACGCGGTCAGGAACCTTCATGTAGTGGCCTTTGTGGGTGACCAGGACCAGGATGTTGCCATGACCAATGGCGACGGCGACGCTGTTACTTCGAATAAACGAAGGGAGGTCACCTTGTTATACCGAGTTGAACCAGGCATAAGTGACCAGAGCTTTGGCATTCATGTTGCTGAGCTTGTAAGGTTCCCAGAGAAGGTGGTCAGTATGGCGAGACGCAAGGCGGAGGAATTGGAAGACTTCACGAGTACGACTGGCGAACAGAAGGAGAACGAGTATTCCAAGGAAGACGCGGATGAGGCGAGCCGACTGTTGAAGGCTCTGCTGCAGAACTGGAAAGAGCAGGTTGAAGGAAAAGACATGAGCAAGGACGAAAAATTACGGCTGATGAGGGAGATGGTCAAGGGTGACGAGAAGTTGATGAGGAATCCCTTCTTCCACACTGTACAAACATTGTGAGGCCAAAAGCACAGGCGGCACTGGTCTGCTACTATCAGCGTGAGCGTGGTGTTTAGGTGTCGATGTCTGGGTGTTGCTTGAAATAATTGGCATGGTACATCCACGTTATTGACAGTTGTACGAGAAAGAATGGGATATCGACTCCTGGGGTGTCTAATTCCTGATTTGAGAAGCTTCAAGAAACCGATTTCTTGATCATATGCTGCCCTTGTATGCCAATATTTTCCATTCCAATGCTGGTCTCAATGCAAACGTGCACTGCACTTCGAATTCACTCATGCCGTGGCGTTCTTGATGTTACTCCTCACGTCGTCATTGCCGCCGAACTGCTCAGCATAGTTCCTGCTCACATCCTCGGGTCCTTCGCCGGCGGCACCTTTCTCAAAGTCGCCAGCCTTGGTGGGCCGCCCTGTGCCTTTCTGGATGTCACCGCCCTCTTCCACAGGGATTTCTCTGTTGTCCCCGGCACCGGAGACTTTGCTGCCGTACTCGGCGGTGCTGCCGGGGAATTTGTTGGTTACTGATTGATCGATGCCAGACTCGGTTGCTAGAATGAACAAGGATTTTGATCAGTCGTTGTTGTACGGGAACAATACTATGGTTCGCCTTGTTTCGATTTCGATTTCGATTTCTAAGGGGTGTGTGTACATACTGCTGACACTTCCTCCAGGGACTGTTTTGCCTCCAAAGCCACTGTCTTGGGCACCGTGCTTGGATTTGGCCGACGCGAGATCTCGCTCCGCTTGTTTGGCAATGTCCATAAGGTCTTGACCCTTGTACTGTTCAGACATGATTGGTAGAGATCTTTCTTGTGATTTTATTTCAATGAGATTGTTATTCTGAATAAGATAGATGTCGTGTGACCGTGCTCCTGAATTGTAATATCAGAGTAGAAAAAGTCAAACATCTGCTCATTGTATTTTTGTACCTGAGTTGCCATCGCCTGGTAGTGATGTCATTGGTTGATGTCATGAGGAAGACATTTGAACCAATGAGGACGGAGGCCTAGTCCGATTCTGGCTGCGGTGATCTAGCCTCATTCGGGTTCCAGTTGCGCAAGGCTGAGATTCAAGTTGTGCAAGGCTGAGATCTCAGTTGCCCAAGGACCGAATATTGCTGCTTGTACACAGTGAACTTGAAGGTCTGGCAGACAGATGGCTGGACTCCGGCTGCGGGTAGCAAGCTTTTTACTTCATGTCCCAGAGTCATCGCCGCTGCTGCTCAAGCCTCCTCTCAGTCTGCTGGTACCTACCTAGGTACGTTCTCCAACTAGGCTTGGCCCTTTACTCACTTTCATGTCGCTCTTGCCTCAAGTCGTGAGGCTTGAGCATACCGCATGGCGAGTATGGAAACCGCCGTCACCTCCAAGGTGCGCCAGCACTCTGACAGTAGTCTTCTCTTTCTTCTCTCACATGGTTTCTGTGAGCCGCTCCCCCATCATTCCAGCTTGCATTTCTTCCGATCTCCATTGAAACCAGTGCCACATCCACGCTTTTGTCCTCTCAATCCACCACCGCATAAGATGGTACCTCCTCCTGATCCTGCTTCACTCAGTGCCCGGAGCCGTCATTCTTTAGTCTCTGCTATCCCGCGGCCAAAGTCTGGCACCTCTCGTCTGGCGACGCCCACAAGCGCTCAAGGACACAGAAGGGACTCGGCAGCAGGGACATCCCTCCTGAATATTCCTCGCACACACAGAAAATCATGGCATCCCGAAGAGAGTCTCCCACCTAGCTCGTTCCGAATACCCCAAGCTCAGGTAGCGACGCCCAGTAAAGAGTCCTTACTTCCATACAAGCAACGGTCTCATCATGATCTCTCTGGAACCCAACAGCAACTCTGTATTCGAAACATGTCCACTCAATCTCTGAGTAATCATGATGCCGTTGCAGCTCCGTCTCACCTTAAACAGGCATCCAGCACCACCGCGCTGCCAAAGTCCAAGACTATGGACAGCTTGCTGTCTTCATCCCGCGACACTATCACCAGACGACGCCTTCTCCAACCCCTCGACCCCCCTCTACCACGAACACAGACCTTGGGCAACATCTCATGCTTCGGTCCATCAACCGAGTCGCCTTCTCCAAGAAAGCCAACCTCAATTTCCCTTTCCCCTGCTGGACAGCATCACGATAATGCAAGTCAGCTCAACATTGCCGATGCATTGATGGAAAGCAGAATGTCCGAAAAAGAGATGGACTTGATGATACAAGTTCAAAGAGAGGCGGCAATCAATCGTGCTCGACTTAGAAATGCTTGTCAACACCGAAACCCTCCAGAACGCGCCCCTTCTGTCCAATCACCAAGAAGCACAGTCGACCGAGCGCCCACCCTGAAGCTGGCACTGAATGACGTTGCCAATACACAACGTCTCGAAACCATGAAGAGGACATCATCATCTGGGCGCCTCCTGTTCATCAATTCCACTTTGGCCAACAAGAACTGGCGGGACGGCGACCTACCCACTTCAACAACATTGAGCACCAGCATTGGAAGCGACACGAGCTTGAATCAAAGCCAAGACTCGGACAATGATCCAAGACATGTGAGAGACCACCGGCTGTTGTGTGAAGTTTAGCATGGTAACCATCAGGCAGGTATATGTTGCAGAGGACACATCATACTGGACAGGGCGATATATGTCCCTCTGTGACCGATTTCGTATGAAAGAGCTCAACAGACCACCTCATTCACCCTCGGAATCCACTGAAAAGAAGATTGATCGCGAGTTCGAGAACAGTGAGAAAGTGCGTATGAACAGTGTGCTCAATGAGTTAAAAACGCATTGTAAGACGGGAGAGGCTTTGAAGAGCTTTGAAGACTTCGAAAATATCCTCCTCAAAAAACTGGGAATATCACGCCAGAGCCTGCATCGCGCTGGAAGCCTCGCATTTGCAGGGAAAGATGTGGAGAGGAAATTCTCCGAGTCGAACGGCTTCAAGCCTTTTTTGTTGAACACGTCAACCTCTCCTGGAAATGCCTCGACGCCAACCAGTAGAATATCGAGCGTCAATGCTGAGGCCGTGGTTACCGAGCCTTCCAAGGCCTTCTACGGCGACGGCACCATGGCGAAAAGCAAGACCACCGGCAACCTCGCGTCTCTCATTCCCCTCATACCTAAGAGGCAGTATGTTATTGCTAACAATTCTCTGCCAAAGTCGAATACTGTCCAGCTCGCTTCGCACGGGCGTAAAACATCCTACTTCGACTGTTCCCCCGAAACTCGAGCAAAGGCTATGAAAGAACGTGAGGAACGCGCCTCTCGCAGAGCAGCTGAGACGCATCGACGCGCGAACTCGCAGCTTCCAGCTGTTGGCGTAGTCAAGAGTCGCGGGCAGAGCATGGTCCCAGCATCATCCTCCAAGACTGTGAAAGTCTCAGGGTCGGTCCCAACACAACTCAATACTTCCTGCCTCAAAGTGGAGCCCGAGGAAGCAGTGACAGATTCCCTGAGTGTTGCCATGCTCGAGAGTGGACATGTGCGCCCACCGCCAAGTCCTGTGAGGCAGGCGTTGCCGTCACGAGTGGAGCTGGTCGAGGTACCTGGAGGTGGGAAGGAGAAGGTTGTCAAATCACGGCGTAAGACCGAGAGACAGATCAGTGGGGAAAGGGTCAAGACATTGTTTGGAGCCGGAATGCGAGAGGTCAAGAAGATGGGACGTCGAGTTAGTGGGATGAGCTGGCCCGGAAGTAGCGAGGAGTTGATATCGCCAAGGAGTGGGAGTAAGTGAGGAGTAGGAATGTGTTTGGCGAAGGGTGTCATGCAATGGGGGATGTTCACATGAAGAGAATAGCGGTTAGAACAACTTGTTAGACATTTGACTGCCGAGCGCCAGAATTATGCTGGTATCCAATGGATTTCCACCTGCACTTGCCTGTCGCCATTTCCGTCATCAGCAAAAAGATCAACCTTTTCAAACCTCTTTGGAACACTGTGTGCGTAAAATATGGTGCGGTTATGATATGCGAGCACATTGACCCCACTCTCGTTGGGAGTGTAAGAAAAGATCCCCTGCACCTTGGCTGAGTTTGTACATTCGAATTTCTGGGACGCAGGGTTGACCAGGCAGGGAGAGTATGAGGACGAGAGGGAGAAGAGGGATTGGTGGCCCGGATCGACCACGTCGTGTTGGGCGCGGAAGGTCGCGCAGGTTCCCGAGATATACCATTGGCCTTGGCGGATTAGACAGCCTTTTTTGAGAGATGCAGAATCTGAAAGCGAAATAGGGGACGGAGCGAGGAGAGGATCTTCGGCCGGTGCTGCATTGGATGTGGAGTCTGGGAGGATGTGGATTTCTAGGTGGCCTCGGCCGGTGAATGGGGCGGATGTGCTTGTTGGCGCTGACGTGGGGTTGCGGCCGACGGTGGTTGTCTTGGTAGGAGAAGGAGGAGGCTCGGGCGACTTTGGGAGGTATTTGATCCCTCGTCTGGGGCAGTTGGAGAGCGCTCCGTCGGGCGGCACGGGCACGAAGTGTTTGCGCACGGTGCTCGTGTTCAGGAATGGCGAGCCGTAGGGCTCCTCCGGGATGGACATGGGGGGAGTTTCGATTTCGGATCCAGCTCCAGCTCCAGCCCCAGCGGAAGTCCGTCTTGGACGAGTATAAGAGGTGTGTGACTGTCTCAGCGAACCCATCACGGCGAAATGATACCACACCTCATCCAATTCGCCGCGGTGGTTGCACCGGAATGTCACGGGGTGGCCGTGCGGAGAGGCCTGGACGGCCGTTTCTAGGTCCTGCAGGGAATAGCGCTTGTGGGACGAAGGGAGGATTCCCGCGTCCGCGAGAACAGTGTACGTGTCGAGCGTCTTGAAGAGGGAGGTCGCGTGGATGAAGTAGTCCAGCACGTCCAGGTGGCGATGCCGGCTTGTTGAGGGGCTCGAGTAGCAGTACGGCTCGAGGGTCGAGATGCATGTGCCGTGCTTGTTCCACTCGTGCGCCCAGAGGTGCTCGTGGTCGCCGTCCAGGGAGAGCCAGTACGTCTCCATGAAGGAGAGCAGTCCGTCGATCATCTCCGAGTGCGTTCCATGATGGCTCTGGGCCGAGTCCTCCTCGTGGTCCTCCTCGAGGGCGTGGCGGAGAACGGCCCGGATATCCGAGTGCGAGCGCGAAGAATCGCAAAACGCTTCAAACCCTCCAGTACAGAGATCCGGCCACAGGCCGTGGATGGTCCACGAGTTGTTGGGCCCGATGGGTGGTGCCGTGTCCCAGAATTGGGTCTGCAGGAAGTGTCCGGACGGGTGGTTGACGCAGCATGTGTTGATGTCGTCTTGTGGCGGTGATGAAGGGCATGACAGTGATGGTGGGTTAGGGCAGAGAGGGGGTTTTATATTTGAGGATGATGGTGTGTACTCATTGCTGATGGTGCCGATGGTGCCGATGGTTGTTGTGAGTGGGGTGGGCAATAGAAACGAGGGCAGAAGGGGCAGTTGGGATATGATTTGGTAGAGAGAGGACATTGTCGAAAGTGTGGTAGACGTCAATTAGGAATAAGTGGGGGAGGGCAGATACTTTCTTGATATAGATATAAAAAGCCCCCGTTGATATTGAAGGAGTGTCAGATCTGAGTACGAGGACACCTAGGTAGGTAGGTAGGTAGCGAGGGTAGGTATATTTCAGGGATGAAGTTGGGGAGCGCGAACCACGGGTCCTCGCGTTACCCCTGGATATGACGTCAGCGAGGCTGAGGCGGGTCACGAGGCTGCAAGTTATCACGAGGCTGACGACCCGATGCTTATCGTCCCTCACAACACTTCATCCTGCGGGTACTTTGTTCCTCCTTGCTTTCTGATCTCGTCCATAATCTCCATCACCCGGATCGTCTCCTTCCAAGGCATGATGGCACTCTCTTTGCGGCCCGCGGCGATATCGAGGGCGGTGTTGTCGGCCTCATAGAAGAACCCGCGGCCGACCCGGGGATAGTCGTAGTGCTTGCTTTCAAAGTCATTCTTGGTGTCCTCTTTCCGTCGATAGACTGTAAAGGACAAAGGGTGCGATGGTGCCGCGCCATGCACGTCGATGTACCCGTCTGTGCCTTGGATACGGCAAACCACATCGCCGCCGATCCCACCTGACATGGTGGTGGAACTGACGATGCCCTGCCTTGCCGTCGACGGATACTGTACTAGAATGCTCGAAGTGACTTCAACTCCATGCAGATGGCTTTGCGTTGCAAGGATCGTCGGTCTCTCAGAGTTTTCGGGGGTGGTGGGATCCAGCGCCAGGAAGGCCCATGTTAGAGGGTAGATGCCCGTATCTAGCAGCGTTCCGGCACCAAGCTTGGGGTCTTTATACCGTGAGGTGTCTGGCAAGCTAGGGATGTGAACCAGCAGGCTGAAGTCAGAGGACATGCGAAAGACATCCCCGATGACTTGCTCTTCAAAGAGTAGCTTCCTCAATTCGGCCACCAGAGGTCGGTGCCGTAGCCACATTGCCTCGTGGACGTAGACGCCTTTCTTCTTGGCGGCATCAAGCACCTCTCGCGCTTCACGGGCGTTGATGGTGAACGACTTCTCGCACAGGACATTCTTACCCGCGGCAATGGCATCGAGACAGTTGCCCTTGTGAAATGAGTGCGGTGTCCCGATATAGACGCAATCTACGTCCGGATCGGAGTAGACCTCGTCATACGAAGCATAGATGGTCGGGGTTGCGTTTGGGCAATGTTTTGCGGCAAAGTCTTTGCCCTTTTGCATCGACGAGGATCCGATGCATTGGATGACGTGTCTCGCTTTGGCATCTGGTCGGTCGAGAACCAAATCTTCGACGAACCAAGAAGATATGAGGCCGGTGGCTGTGAGTCGCTGTCAGTAGAGGGTGACTACCTAGGGTATGTATGGAGCATGCAAAGTGGCGGTGACATACATACTATTCCCCACCTGCAGGTTGGCATCTCGGCAGCCATGATGGATCTGCACATATATAATGACCGGGAACGGGTCCTTGGGTCAGTGAAGATACGAAGCCACCATGATTCATTTTGGCTGCGTTGGATGGCGGGGCACTCGAGGGCGGAAGCGGTTTCCGCAGGGGGTGAATGAGCATTCGGTTTACCGTTTGGGGTATAGACAAGGCTGACGAGGCTGGCGAGGCTTCGTCTCCAGCCCTCCACATTCCCGCCAAACAACCTGGCACCCACCCTCTCATCTCCACTTGTTGCTCTTCTTCTCGCTTTTCTCGAAGAATACTGACCACCATGCACATTGCACTGTTTCTTAATCACGATACCAAGTAGAGAAGTCAAGCCGCCCATCCCCGTACACGAAATTCGCCGAGTCTTCGCTTGCCGACATCGAGATTGATCCCGACACCCGAACCCCAGTCGCCTTCATCACACTTCCTCTCAAACGGCTATCATTCGCATCTATCAGCACTCGGCCTGCCTTGTTACTGCATCTCCAACCTACAACGCCGCTCCCCTAAAACAAACGCTCGATAACCCTCCTTATCGTCCTGGTTAGTTCAATCCCACCTCCGCGGCCCTCACAGTTTCTCTCCATATCCGCAGCCATGGGCCGCTTCACGACCATGATCCTTTCCTGCCTCCACAACCTCCTCATCCAACTCCCGCAGAACGGCTACCACAACATCTCGCGCGTGGTGCAGCCCCAGATGCGAAACATATCTGAGAGTTTCACCGTCGCGAACTCTACTGCACGGCGCGGTGCTGCCGCCCGCAAGGGGAATGGAATAGAGATGCAGTCGATGGCGCCCAAGGCCTCGAGGGAGGCGCCCACGAAGCAGGGTGCGGTCGTTGAAGGTACTCAAGTCCGATAAAACATGGCAGATTCGACGAAAAGAAATACCGGGACTATGGGGAAAATCATTTACAAGAGATTGGATGTGAGGGAGATCATGAGAGTCTACGCAAGCGACGCCTACAGAGACGAACATGGCCTGCTGCTTCAACCATTGCTTCACTTAACATCATCTGTGCGGGGATCCATCTCACCCGAACGGATATCTTTGGAGACCATATCGCTGGGTATTGGGTCCTGGAAGCATTCCTCTCCAGTCAGTGGCCGTGTGCTGGTTTCCTAGCGCAATCCTGCCACCAGCAACTCCTCGGGATACTGTTCGCCTGGTCTTCCTGACCGGCCAGCGGAGGTAACACATTCCCGGACTCCTCGTTATGGAAATTCTGGTTGCGGCGGGGCTAAGGGATATCCCAAGAACCATTATCCTTTGCGACCAAGGTGACGGTCGACAAATGGACCCCTCTTGTTTCCACCAAGTGCTTGTCGCGCTTGCTCGGAGCCCCTTCCTGCCCTACTCTCTATGTCCGTTGGGCATAGCATGCGTTGAGAAGTACAGACGAATTTACCAGAGAATGCACGCTCTGCTCCTCTTTACCCTTTTCCGCCGCACCCTGCAATGGGACAGTACGACACCGAGTGGCTTGTACGACGTTGGAAGGAACGGGACTCTACAGAAGTGGAAGATGGATGTGCAAGAGGATCGTGTCCCCGCGGGGGAGAAGACGCAGCCGGACAGGCAGGAACGAACGAACGAACGAACGAAAGTAGAGCCCACGCACGTTCCCTTACCTCGTCGAGGGGGTGCCGTCTTGTGCTCTAAAACAGGACATTCTATGTCCTATTAATACCTACTCGTAAACCTAGAGAGGTATAAGAGGAAGACCACCCCAAAGGTCTTGGAATCCTTGTCATCTGGACTGAACTAGACTGAAACTAATTTGATCCGAGCGTTCGGTACTGCGGTTGCTCTATATCGCGTTGTATTTCACCATGGTGTCTTTGATGCATTCTACTGTGTTTTTTGGCGCTCGTAGTTTTCACATGGGGAGGTCCCTCAAGTCAGGCTCTCAAAACCATTCTACCTCGTAGAGAGCCAAGTTTTAGTTTCACTCCATCTGGGACTTGATTCCATTTTGACTCATCCAGTCGAGTTGACTCCTCTCGCTCTGTTCAAGCTCCGCTCCTCGACCCAGGGCAGCTTCGACATCTTGTCAATTCCTGCTATCCGAGGAACTAACTACTCAAGTTTGCGTGCTGCAAAACGTCTCTTCAGCCCTCATTGTTAATGTCATGTTGTCCATTCCCCCTTGATCTTGTCTCAGCACTCCTGACAATGTTCCCTCTCTCCGACTCAGACAAGATCATGGCCAGCCCAGCCCAGCCCTCATACATTCGCACAATCCCCATCTCCCCGTCGTCAATGGTATGGCTTGGCGCAACAAGTCACCCTCAAGCACTTGCCTTCTGACCATGAACCCAGTTGACCATCAACCCCGAATATGTCGTCTCCCCTGATGATACATCTGAGCCACCGTCTTTGGTTCCGAGTCTTCGGTGCGATACCCCGATTCGTTGCTCACCATGCTCTCCCGAAATCTCTCGCGTCTCCCTTCCCGTCCGAAATCGCTCTCATAACTATGATGTTCTGATTCGCTTGATCTTGCGCTTGCTCCTCTGAGGTCCCGGGTGCCAGGTCGAAGGTGAAGGACACGTGCCACACCTGTGTAAACTTGTTCTTCGTCATACTCGTCTTGCCGCCGCTGTCTCTCCCCGTTGTCGTTGGCTTCGAATCCCGAGTAGGACTGAAAGGAGTTGGGCTCTGGTGGACTTCTCGGCTGTCCACCACGGATGATTCGTTCAATGTCTGTTTCAATCTCGCTGTAGGGTAGTCCACTTGAGGAGTTCAATATATCCAATGCACATATGCTTCTGCGGTAAGCTTCACGATCGCTGCTGGCGACGCTGTGATCCGATTGATTTTCATCTGGGACTCGCTCCGTCTGGAGAGTACTGGCCGGAGATGAGACTTCGGTGATTTTGCTTAGCACACGCCGGGCAGCGGTTTGTCCCATGATTCCTTCCTTGAGATAATCCGACGTGATCTGGGCGGCGAGAGGGCTCTCAATGGATGGAGCAATTTCGGCAACTCGAGCCGCTGGAAGATATGGCCTCGGATGGGCTGGTGGGTAAGGAAGCGACTTGTCGCTGTCAATGGGAGATGCATTTAGAACGCCATGTCGCTGTGTTGCACCGAGTGAGTCGGAGCGCTGCCTAGTCGTTGGTGCTGTCAAGAGGGGCTCCTTCGGACGTTGAGAGCTGTCAATTGGTGTGTTCGGCGTCGTCAGTGCTCGTGGATTTGTATGCGCCTGCAGAGAAGGTCGGTGGCGAAGTGCGGTCCGGTCGACGGCGGTGGCCACCTCCTTGGACGAGAACCTCGAATCTGATGAGGGAAGTCCGATCATGCTATGGCTTGTGGGGATGCCCTTCCTGTATTTTTCTTTGTCTCTCTCCATTCCGAAGAATCTCAAAGCTTTGGAGGTGTTGCTGTTCTTAGCAGCCACTGGGATTGAGTCGGTCGACGCGTGTAGCATGGCGTGAGCTTGGGACATGACATTTTTGACGTCCTCTCGTCGCGCGAAAACCTCCTCGCGGGCACTACCCAGCTTTTGACGAAGGTTCAATATCTCGGCGTCGCGTTGATCGATTTCCAGGGTGTGGCTCGTTTGCAAGCTAATCATGGCCCCTCGCAGCTCTTCGTATCTTCGAGCCATCTTCTCCGATTCTGAACGCGCCTGTTGGTCCTCGGCCAATGCGGCTCGACATTCCTGTAGCTGTTTGCTCAGATCATTGTTTTGTTGCACAAGAAGCAATACTTCGTGATCCTTTTCCTGTATGAGTCTGATTGCTTTCCCGTACTTGTCCACGGTTGCGTCAAGGCTTTTGGTTTGATCTCTGATCATGGCTCCCTGACCATGCAATACCTTGCGATATTCTCCAATGAGGCTGCGCGCTTCGCGTAAATCTCCAACGTATTTATCCAGGGTGTCCTCAGCGACGCGAACGTAATCGACAGACCCGTGGGGCTCATTGCGTGTGTAGTCGTCTATGATTCGAAGAACTTGTACAGTCCTAGGCTCGCGGATGGTATCGACCCAACTAGGGATGTTGTTTTGGATGAACGTACCCAGAAGGCGGGTGACTTCGTGAACGGTATTTCGAAGTTCTGAGATTCGGCGGTCTTTGTCTTCAATCTTCTTGTCTTTCACCGCCATCTTCTGCAAAGCTTCTTCTACCTGTCCTTCGAGCTCATTTAGTTGTTCATGAGAGGCCTTGGTATCACGCTCAGCAAGCGACTCCGCGGACTCGACGATTTTGCGATACTCGGCAGTGATCATGCGCAGTTGATCGGAGAAGGATTTGAGTGCCTGAGCAATGTTAGTGCTAGGGGAATCTCCGAAGATCGCACCTCTCACGCTACTCAGGTTTACTTGGCTGACGCTTGACTCGAGCTTCAAGTCGCATGCCTCGTTGAGCAGACTCGTCATCTGCTGTAGATGATTGCGCATAGCGGGAAGCCAATGCTGGGATATGGTCACATGGTCGCATTCGGGCAGTTTATCCAGCAACTCCTCGATGGTCATTGCAGTGAATGGCTGCGTGATGTGTGCATCTGCAGGGACGCGGCTGCCGATGGTGTAAGAAGGCATGGTGCTATGAGCAGATCGATCGTGCTTTCTCAAAGGGGTGGTCAGATTTCGCAGAGCTTCCATTGTCCCGTCATCGTCATCGGTAGACGCGGAGGTTGAGAGTGTTGGCACAGAACTTATGATGGAATCATCAGTGGTCCTGCGAAGCAATCGCAGAGACGGCGGGGGTGATATGGGGTTTGTTTGCGGGAAACCTTGGCTTGCTAACAGCAGTGAACCGGGCAACTCTGCCGCTGTTGGTGAATACGGTGATGTCGGGCTCGCTGGCGCCTCCGGCAGGGGAACGCCCGGTGTTGTGGGTGCGGCAGGGTTGTAACGCATCGCAATCGGGGAAGAACCGCCCTTGATATCAACGCCTAGGAGTGAATGCTTACGTCGGTCAGTGGGAGTCTTTGGAGTCAAGAGGCCTCCGAAGCCCAAGCTGGACGTTGCTGAAGCCAGGCCTGGTGACAAAGTGGCAGCTTCAAAACCACCCGATATCTGAAGGGGAGGAGGTCGACGACGAAGTTTGGACCCAATCTTAGTATCCATCTTTTCCTGCATCTGATTTCCAACTGCGAGTTCAGGACATACGAGTCCTCCAAGACCTCCATTGGCAACCACTTTCGTGCCATGAGCCTGTGTCTTTGAGCCAAAAATGGATGCCATTAATGTAATTGAAGCACAGGAAGGCGGAGGAAGATCAGACTGGGAAGAAGAAAAAGCGTGTCTCTTTTGAACCTTACTATACACGTTGGTGCTTGGAGTTTTCCCACGCATGCACCAGGCAGAGGGACACCATTCTCCACGGCATACTGGGCAGGGGGTTGAAGCATAGACAGTTCCATTGAGAGAGCTTCGGTGAGCTTATCCAGAAAAACACAAGAACAAGCCAATCATGAAGTCCAGTTGATGGTTCGAAAGCCACAAGAGGGGAGATGCGATTGTACTACCAGCCCCAGAGTCACCTTGTCGGCCGCAAAGAGGCGCTTAAACCAGGCCATCACGAGGCCGGCACAGGACCCATGTCTCCATTGTCCAGCTCGACGCAGGTGTCATGGTGAGACGACCAGTGGCCGGGCCGAGGATAGAGAGTCGGTCAATGCAGAAGCATTTGAGCATCGAGAAAGAGGTGGAGGCGGTTGATGTGAGTGGCAGAAGCAGAGGAGAATCGAAGGAAATTGAACGAAACGAAGAGCAAAACTTGAAGCAAGACGCTGCTCTTCCGAAACAGGACTAGTGGCTTTGGGCGACCAAGCATCCATTTTGCCGCCTCGACGACAATCCCACAACGTTTTGCTGCTCAAGAAACTCATCAAATTCCCCCAAAAGTAGACATGGATCCTGCGGAATCATTGAGCAGATCACCCAAGAGGCTCAAAATGGATCCTGCGCAGTCACCATCAGATCCGAGGCCTCGCAAAAACAATACATCGAAAAGCAAGTATCGGGCTAATAAGGCCCAGGATTCGCGGGCTAAGTCTCGCCAGCCTGTCGCCATCAGTGCGTCTGGAATCCACAGCGACGACGTTGGGATTTTTGTCACCTGTGACAAAGGTCAGGAGAGAAAATGCTTGCAAGAGCTATCTGACTTGTTAGATGAGGTGGGTAAAGCAAAAGGTTTGACTGCCATGTATGACCAGCTAAATATGTCACCAGTTATTTGCCGCTGACTCGAGTGGTCAATTCGAGGAGCCAATCTCGGACGTCCAGCAAGACAAGGATGACGCAGAGGTCGACGTCGAGGCTGATATACTTGCCGAGTTGGACTCATTGAGATCCAAGGGCGGAGCCCAAAACGGCTCGTCACCGAAGTTCTCCCTGATAACGCTTGACATACCGTGCGTCTCCTTTGTGCGGTTCCCGAGAAACACCCCACTTGATCCCGTCGAGATAGTCCGCAAATTATGCCTTTCGGCCTCAAGCCAGGAAGCTGGACCGCGAAGTCGCTACATCAAGAGACTCACGCCAGTCACCTTGATCCGGAAGACCTTGAATGACGGCCTGCAGTCCCTTTGTGACCAGGTGCTTCCCAGACACTTTCTGATCGACGACGACGACAAGTCAAGTTCGAGGCGCGAGGACGGGCATAGGCAGCAGCCATGCAAATTCGCCATCCGCCCAACGATCCGCAACAACAACAAAATTGATCGAGACCAAGTCATTCGGGTGGTCGCTGATGAGATCGCCAACCTGGGCCGGGGAAAGCACACTGTAGACTTGAAAGGTTACGACAAGTTCGTTCTCGTCGACGTGTATCGAAATGTGATCGGCATGAGTGTTGTCGGGAGCGAATATCAGACATTCAAGAGGTTCAATTTGGCCGAAATCCATGCAAGCCACTTTGACGACGCTGTTGAGAAGAGCACGAACGACGAAAGTTGACCAAATCGCAAGATGTGTATGTCCTGAGTGCGGGTCAAATGACACTCAGAATCATTCTAATCCGAGGTCATTTCTCCTCGCTGCTGACGCTTCGTATCTTGTTTGCGACACGCTTCCAGAGGCGAAGGGACGTCTCGGCGCTTCCGTACTGCTCAGCGTCCTTCACTGTCCCCCTTGCCAGCCAATATCCGGGGCCCTGTTGCTCTATCACGTTATCGCACCCTCTCAGTGTGCCTCGAGCGAGCCAGAAGCCTTGCCAATTCCCGCGAGCTGGTCTCTTATTTGCAATCTGCACTAGTGGCGCTGGCCGGGAATACTGTTCCAACCACCATTTCCGATAGGCGTCGCTGAATCTGATCTGAGGCCCTGAGGGCGTCTGGGAGTCGGCGCTAGACGTGGACTCATAGGGTATCGCGATCAGTGGTTCAGAGGCCGAAGAGGAATGATCGGCAGCAGTGGTGCTGGTGCGACTCGACAGCGAGACTGGACTGCTGTGAGGAGGAGGCAGGGGCGCTTTCCTGGGCATCGTGTATGCGTCTGTATGTTCGAAATCGACCAAGAGGCCTTGTGCGTCATGTCGACCGTATCTTTGGGAAATTACTGGACTGGACGGCCATTCGTCCTGCGTCTCGACGTGGCGAGCGAACCCGTCTGATCTAGTGTCGGGAGATCCTGGAGATGACCTGTGGTCTTTTGGAAAGCCGCCGAGGCCGTCTGCGCTTGTGGTATGATTCATCACGGAAAACCTGGGAAAGATTTCCTGTGCTGGGAATCAGACAAGAATGAATCAACTCGAGGTCCCAGGGTCGGCGACAGGGAACTAGAGACACTTTTGTCTCTAACACGAAATTAAGACCAGAGACTGCAAGAATCAGGTTCAAAGTGACCATTCACGGCCAACCAGTCATAGAACCGTTAGCCGGGATGTGAATGTTACTCTTCCGCATTCAAGCAAACGAGTCCTTTGTGAACACATGCCGGAGGTGAATGCAGCGGAATTGGGAACATCGTCACTGTCACTCGAGGTAAAATGTTGGTAAGAAGTGGACAAGTGAAGCGCACAAGTGAAGCGCACAAGGCTGTACCTCAGCCTTGTCTCTCGAAAGGTTTCTCCTGTCGCCTGCTCGTCCAGGTCAGTACCTAGTACCTAGGTACACTTGGATGAGTCTCAAGCTTTACAGCAGACTACTACAGAACAGATGCTGATCTCTACCCCCATGTTGTCCACATTGATTCAGACAACAAGTCGAACTGAAGCTCATATTGCATTCATTGGGACGACTCTCGAGAAGTCAGTTGAGTCGAGGATGGCTTACTATCCACAACCGTTGCCCCTGCCGTCACACATCCCCCAGGATAGTGGTCACCTGCTCAATTATTGCTGATACTTGGTTCGCCGTGCTCGGGGAAAGGACCTTTCAGTGGGTGATGACTCTTTTTTATCTCCATGTGTGATGATCCAGCAACAAAGTGGGCCTATCAAACCCCGTCAGCCCTCCAGTGCTCGTCACTGATTCCATCCAAAGCAGCTTCACACAGCCTCTCCGACTCCCTCTGGCATGATTCCGTGCTTGACACCAACCACTACCAATAATAATACATGCACAGCGCCCCGATCAACTTCCCCGGCTTCGGACATGTGAGTGGCGTCTTTGGCATTTCACGATCGTGAGCATCGCACGGCACCGTGTCGATGTGTTCTGGACAACAGAACGTCCCCGCCAGACCCGCCAAGATGTGTGCCTCTTCTCCCTTGTACCCGGTCGGACAGCAGGTGGCGCCTTGAGTCGAGATCGGAGTGATGACGCTCCATTCGTAGCCCTCGTCGCAGGTGCCGTTTTCCCTGGCTTCCGGGGCGCGAGGCAGAGTGTCGGTTTGGCGTGCACTGAAGTCGGTCAAGAATCGGGCTCTTGTGGATGGGAAAATACAGAGGAGCAGGAGAAAGAAGGTGGCGATGGATAATGGGGATTTTAGGGCGTAAAGGCCTCTGAGCATCGTGTGGTTTTGCGAATCTGATTCTCGAGCTTATCTTTGTGTGAGATTTCGCGTCGCGGCAGGGGTACACTAAAGACGAGGAAGAGGAAGAGGTTGGAGAGTCAAGAAGAGGTGATCTCTGAATTTTGGCGAGATAGTGACTTGAATTTTGCCCTCGTTAAGACGCCGATTCCGTTTTGCGTGGGTGACTCTGGTTAGTAGTGAAGAGTCACACAGTGTTGTTCATTCTTGGATGATCGTCAGTGACACCCACTGGCAATATGTCGCAGACTTTCAAAGACAAAAAGCCCCCTCGAACAAAAGGGAAAGGACATGTGTTTTGTTTTTGAACCCTGTTTGCTACTGTGTAATATCAAAGAGTACTGTAGTACAGAAAATGAATTCAACATGAGATGCCCCTTGCCTGTGCCTTTCAAAGCCTTCATTTCCGACTTGCTTTTCGTCCCTGCCCTACCCAAACCCTTTCGAAGATCCCGAAACCAGAAGCTGCTTGCGCTCCCTTCAAGTTGTTCGGATGACCCAAGAATGAAAGTCTCGTCAATTTCAATTCGGCAGGCGCAGCCATGGCACCTGGTCCGGCGTGTACTTGTAAGCCCGAAAGACGGCATTTGCGGGATAATCGAAACCGATCTCGTCCAGCTCGGGCGCGTTCAGTTGCTTGTAGTCTGCGAAATGCGGGTTGATGTACTCGAAGCAGATCTCGCCTTGGGGAGTCACCTCGAACATGCGCCCAGAGACGGCCTCGGTGATCAGCGTGTTGCCGTTGCGCAGGCGCTGCGCGCCGCCCATGAACGGGCTGAAGAAGGCGCCGGGGAGGGATCGGTCGCGGTACTCCCACACGATCTTCTTGGTGGAGCGGTCGACTTGGATGACCCGCGAATAGGTGGCGCTCTGGTGGTGGCGGAAGGTGCCGTTGTCGAAGATCAGGATGCTGGAGGTCCCGTCTTCGGACAGCAGCTCGCTGGCACAGTGTTGTTGCGCTACTACGCTGCTGTCGAGATGCCATATCACCTCGCCTGTCTCGCGGGATATGATGACGACCGCAGACACGCTGCGCAGCGACGCTAGGATGTTGCCGTCTTGCAGCTGCTGCACGCTGTTGATCAAGGGCCAGTGCTCGCGCGCGAAGTGCGGGTGGAGGGGGAATTTCGCCGGGTCGAGGTGGTCGATGGCGCGCCAGTGGAAGAGCACTTTGCCGTCGTCTGTAGGATCCACGAGCTTGATGCAGTCGGCGTATACGTGTCCATCTGGTGCCTCGGACCCAGGGATGCCGCCAGGTACTGTCGCGGCTTGTTCTGCACTGAGAGCTTCCAACGTCGTGTACAGGATCTGGCCGTTGTCCAGGTGGTGCTGGTCATGGTGGGCCAGAGGATCTCGATATTCAGACACGACTTTGCCGTCGGGGTCGACTTGCATCATGACGCCGCCGCGGTACTTCTGCCACATGGGGAACAGCCTCGGTCCATCCGGGTGGACGCCGTTGTAGGCGAGATTGCCATTGGGGAGGATGCGGGCGTGACGGCCAGGACGGTAGGGCAGGTTCCAGCGGTGGACTTCCATCCCGTCATTGGCGATCAGTCGGACTGTGCCTGGGCTGGTCAGATGAGCGTACAGAAGGTAGCCTGGGGAGGCAAGGTCATGGTCGACGCCGCGAAGACCGACTCCACGGCGCACAAGGGTGTTTTGCTCCATGACTCAAGTGGGTGGTGGATGGGCTGGTTTGGGATTTGTAGATGTCGTGTCGGGAGAATGCAAATTGGGTGAACTGAAAGCCAGAACATTGTTGGACATCTTTGGGTATATATACCACATGCGGCCCGCGCGAGCAAGGTGCAGATCTTTCAGCACCACGGTGGGCTCCGCCATCCATAATGGATATACATTGACATGCTGTCTGCATCTGTTTCCGCAGGTAGATTATGTTAGGACCCATGAACCAATAGACGGCCAGATCGACCTAAGGCAATTCCGCGGGCAGATCCGATACAAGTCATATCCCTACGGCATGCCGAGGGAGATATGGTGATCGCGATATCAGGACCCGCGGCCTTGCCGGCCTTGGATAAGGACAACCTTGAGAGTGAGCACGCAATGCTCGAGGAAGATAAAGCATAAAAGAAGGCCTGATTCCACTCAAAATGTAAACAACGGATCGCAAACAAGTTAATAACATAACTACCAACCCTTTTCAGGCCAGATTCAATACCTCCAAGGCTCACCAGTATGGAGAAGTATCTTAACGATAAGCCCCCGATGACGAAGAACCAACCTCATGAGGTGGTTGAGAACTCACCCATCGAGGGAGAGGCACTGCCAATCAAGCCCCTTTCCAAGTCGTGGCTGACAGAGCTCCTTCTCACCGTCGAGACGAGTGGCATTCAGCGGGTGACGGAGGATGAACGACAGCAGAACACCAGCAAGGTGTGGAACGCGTGCACTTTCTGGTAAAGTTGAATCCCGCGAGTGCAAACAAGCAGAAGATCCAGACAGGACTCTAACTGTTTTTCCTTAGGCTGAGCGCGAACATGGCTGTGGCAACCCTTAACGTCGGATCCGTGGGCGGCAGCATGGGGTTGTCGTTCTGGGATTGTTTTGCCATCATCGTCGTGGTCAATGTCTTCAGCTGCATGATCCCGGCATGGACCGCAGGATTTGGATTGACGGGATTGCGCATGACGTCCTTCTCGTAAGAGCTCCGCCCAACCACTCTGATATTGCAAGGCAGGCTGACGGTCGCAGTCGTTATTCCTTCGGCTACTGGGGCAATCTTCTGGTGGTTGTATTCTCCATGGTCTCGACAACGGGCTGGAATGCCGTCAACTCCATCTCTGGGGCGTCCGTCTTGAATGCCCTCTCTGATGGGAAATGCCCGACGTGGCTCGGAGTTGTCATCATCTGCACCACTGTCTGGGTCATTTGTGCCCTCGGCATTCATTGGATCCATCGACTTGATGCTTTCCTCTGGATTCCTCCTTTCGTGGTTTGGTGTTTCACGGCCGGCTTCGGGGCTTCGCATTTCTCTGGAGACGCCGTCAAGTCACCGTCCGGAGCAAACGGCGCAGCGGCATCCCTTTCGTACATTGCACTCATTTTCTCCTTTGCCGTGTCTTGGATCAATTGTGCTGCCGACTATAATGTCAGGATGCCTGTCAACACGTCCAGAGCCCAGATTTTCATCGCAACCTATGTCGGAATCGCCGTTCCCACCATTTTGGTTCAGACCCTGGGTGCAGCACTGTATACCGGCACTGAGGTCAACCCAGAGTGGAAGTTGACGTTCAAGCAGAGCGGGATCGGCGGTCCCCTCAAAATGGCATTAGAACCGGCTGGAGGTTTCGGAAAATTCCTTTTGGTGCTCGCAGCATTGAGTGCCATTCCAGTAAGTCATCTTGAAGACTCTTGCTCAGGTTCATCGGGCTGACAATGGGTAGAACAACATCCCGAACAACTACTCTTTCGCCATGCATGCGCAAAACTTTGGTCCCTGGGCGGCACGGATTCCTCGAATCTTTCTGGTCACTCTTGGATTCATTGCCGCCGTCATTGTCGGTGCATGTGCTGCTGAATTCTTCAGTGATACTCTTCAGACATTCCTGAGCATCATCGGGTACTGGACAGTCATTCATCTCACTGTGGTTGCAGAGGAACATATCATTTTCCGGGCCGGTCGCTGGAGTCAATACAATTTGGATGCCTGGAACCAGCCCAGTCTTCTTCCTTTCGGCTGGGCGGCGATCGGAGCTTTTGGGTTCGGCTTCATGGGCGCAGCCCTGGGCATGAAAACAGCTTGGTATACAGCTCCCATCGCTGGCCTGATAGGAAGAAAAGGCGCTAATATTGGTCACGAGCTGACCTTTGCCTTTTCGGCAGTCACTTTCCCACTCTTCCGATATCTGGAGAGGCGGTACGGAGGCAAATAGGACTAGATTTTCTCACCTCTACCAATGATAGACAATGAGCAGCCATCAGCCAGACGCTCTCTTCATTTTAATGTTTCCCAGCCCGGTAAAAAGTCCCAGTTAGTCGTCCTCGTCGGTTCTGGCCCAAGTATATCTGGGAAGGAAGCCCAGAACGACATGTCTGCCCAGAAGTCCTGCTCCTCAGAAGTCACCGGCGACGGTCCTGCGAGAGGACGCAGCTTCTTGTGGAAAGCGGCAACAATGTCACCAAGCGTGAAGGCGGCGTGGCAGGAGAGACCGATGGACTTGAGCCAGGGTACAAGTGTCGCGACCAGCGAGTCCAGCTCCGCGATGTTGTGGGAGAGCGCCAACTGCTCTTCGTACATATGCAGTAGTCTACATAGAGTGACCGCTGCGAACGTGATCATGTGGTAAATGTGGTCACTGAGGTGCTTCGTGCGATCATCTGTTGTTTCCATAGCAAGCGTCATGATCGCAGACGAAAGACGCACCATCTCTGACAGTAGACTCTCTCGAACCCTTGCGGATCGAGTTTTCAGAGACTGATCGTAGGCAAGGAGCTGAGCAAATAGAAATCCCATTTCAAGAAACTGTGACCGAGGCTCATCTGGGTGATGGCTTGTCAGATTACACAAGAGTTGCCACTTCTCAGGGAATGTGCACCAACCTAGGACGGATTTCCAGTTCTGTCTCCACTGATGCAACGCAGATTGTGCCTTGGGGAGGTCGACTTCTGTCAGACAGCAGTGTTCGTACAGAATCCAGTACAAGGTGACTTCTGCCACCATCCGGGCTTCGAAATTTGTTGCATGTTCAGAGGACAGTATATCTCGGCACCTATCGACTTGCGTCCGACCGACCATGGATTTGCGCCTCGTCCCTACCGAATAGCTCCCAAAATTAGTCTCTCGAATTTGTGAAAGAATCAAAACCTACTGCAAGTGCACCAAACAAAGATGATTCCAGAGCCTCAATAGTCCGAAATCGCGCTTGGTGCTTGGAGTGCCATGGCTAAGCACATTTTCGAAAAGTTCACTCGAGATACAGTGCTGAATGGCGAAGCCGCTCAGCAGCCAGCTGTCGATGCTCAGGGGAACTTGGCCCACTGTGGTGGACCACATGCACAAGATGAGAGCTGCCTGAAAGAAGTCGGTACTTTGCGTGGTGGAGAGTAGTGTCGCGGAGAGAAGGGCCTTCGACTTTTCAAAAAGCTCTGGTGCTAGGCTCGAGGCAAGCTCTTCGTTGGTGTGTCGGACAGCGATAAGGCAACACGAACATAAAAGCAGTGGTGATCGTTTGACCTCATCAAGCAGTTTATCCGGAGATATCACAGTGTCGACGAATACCCAGCGACCATAGTGCAAGGTGAAGCTGTTTAGGAACATTAGCGGTTGCTTCGTAAATATTGAGGAGCGATACAAACATGCTTAGTAGACCTACAGCTTGTTGCGTTGACACAAGCCCGTCTACGATCAAGTCTGAGTCTCCAGCATCTGTTACTGTGTGGGCGCTGCGAATCGCGGATGGAGATTCTACGCCGATCTCTGTAGCAAGGTCTCGAATGACAAAGACGGGAGCCGCTGCCGTATCCTTCGCGATGCTTGGTGGTTCTGGCTGTTCATCGAGCGACGGGCGGGATGATGTGAAATCTGGCACAGTTTCGTCGTCTATATCGATCCCAAGTCGACCTAGGATAAGGTCCACGGCTTTCTCAAGGCGAGCAAGTCTTTGGAAGTCAGCCACATAACGATACGGGGACTTTCTCTTTCTTCACACAGACCTGGCGTCCTGCGTGCTGCTTGCCAAACCGTGTTGAGCTAGATCGTTTGAAGGTCTCGCACTTCGCTCAGAGGCCAATGAACAATGAGCACCCAGCTTCTCACACCTCAGACATGAGCCTCCTGCCAATCTAGACTCGTAACAGCGCGTTTTGAGTTTGCGACATCCACTACAAGCACGGGCGGCGCGTGGCTTGTTTGAGGACATGGAGCGCTGTGGTGTTTTGTAGTTCTCGGTAACCCTCCTTCAAGGACTGATAATGGGCATGATACCGATCAAAAAGCCTCTCGTCTTCAAAAAGAATTCACGACATTCGAGAAGCCATCACTCACATTGACAGGTCCAGTGGCAGAGACGAAGGGGTTGATATCAGCAGCACTCTGATTGGCCAAAGACAAAGCTCAAAAGTAGCGTCAGATTTGCCCTTTCGCACGCAAGATCCATTTCGATTGCGTGTTCAATGCTGTAATGGATCCATTTGGGCTGGAGTTGTATAGAGCATGGCCGACCTAGTGATCTGAAAGTAGCTCTAGCCATGGTCCGCGGGATTGATCCCTTTTAATACACTTTCTCCATGTCGGCCATGCTGAGGGGTGTTCCTTGACCGGGGTCAATCATCTCATGAAGCCTCAGAGCGGCATGGCTGATAGATCCCAAGTCAAGAAGGATTTTGCCGACAAGTAACCATGGAATTGATATTGGCTCATATGAAGGTGGAGCTGGCCTGAAGAACTGAGGAATAAATAGCAATTGAGTGACCTCCGTTGACATTCAACGGCCCTTCTGTCAAGCCCTGTTTAGAGCGGCATCACTTCTTTTCCAAAAGCAGGTTTCGCTGTCACGGAACATGCCCCTGCTCTCCCTGCGACTCCAAGTTATCTCTCACAGCCCCCGGTTGTCCACTTCCATATCGGTCTGATTTGTTCACTATATGCAATGACAATGGCTGCAAAGAAGACGGCACCCACAGATGATGAGCTCCTGGCACAGCTCGACGACCTGAGCACGCAGGCCTCAACGCGTGCCCCCAAGCCCTCAACGCGAACTGCCCGACAGGGACAACCAGCCCAATCGTCACAAACGGAACAAGACCTACTGGTTGAGCTGGGAAATCTAGCTCAACGACCAAGTAGTCGACCAGCCACTCCTTCTCTAAGACCGAATGTTCCTTCGGCGACGGGCAACAGAAGCCCCATGCGAACCTCAACCGCCACGCCTCCTCCAGGTCGGACAAGCGAAGAGAAGTCGAGCAGCGGTCAACGCAAGTCGGGTGATAGTACACGTTCGTTCCATCAAAGCTTCACACCAGCAACCACAACGACTGAAGAATCCGCAGAAAATGAATCGCAAACTGAGCCGGCCCCAGCACCAGCCAAAAGCGGCGGTGGATGGTGGGGTGGGCTGCTCTCGACTGCCTCTGCCGCTGTCAGCCAGGCCCAGGCGGCTGTGAAAGAGATTCAAAAGAATGAAGAAGCACAAAAATGGGCAGAGCAGCTCCGAGGCAATGTCGGCGTGCTCAAAGGGTTTGGTATGAACATCGTGTGTGAACGGGGTGTCACAGGCTAACGGCTACGACAGGCGGCGACCTCAGAAACATAGCCATGCCAACCTTTCAGAACATCCTGCAGACGATTGCTCCTCCGATCTCTTCACACGAGCGACTGCAAATCCATATTACTCATGACCTGTCAAACTATCCCACGCTTGATCCCCTTATCTACCAAGTCTTTAGTCGTGTCATGGCACAGGTCGAGGGCGGAGACTTGATGGTGGTCCAAAGAGGACATGAGGCCGGACCGAAGAGAGATTCGAGAGAAACGTCGCGACCAGTGGGCTCCTGGCATGATGGACCCTGGTGGAGGAGTGGAGAACGTCGAAGTATCAATGCAGTCAAAGGCATGGTTGAGGGCACCAAGCTCGTCAGAGCTTCTGCTGAGAGCTATGCCGAAGAATACTTTGGAAGCAAAGGAGGGGTTGAAGAGGCTGCCAAGCGAGCCACAGAAACGCTTTCCACCTCGAACCCGACCAGAGACAGCGAGATTTTCCTGGCCATCCAAGCGATCACGCAACCCGTGCCGACAGACATGTTTGCCGCAGCACCGAGTCTGGAGAAAGACGAGCAAGTGAAAGAAGCGAAGGAGGAGAACATGAGTGAAGAAGTCGTGTTCGCTGTCTATCTGCACGATCCCATTCATGGAATCGCCTTCCAAGCGGTCTCTCAAGCCATTCCGGGACAATGGATTGATTGGCTGGATGCACCCAGTGGCGGAGAAGGTACCTTGCCGGAGACTATCGAGGAGATTATTGCAAGTGGTGGTATCGATCCCAGAGAATGGGTGAGCGAGTGGGTCGAAGAAACGCTGAGTCTCGCGGTTGGCGTATTGGCTCAGAGGTATGTCGCGCGGAGGATGGGTGTTGGTGAGGGCGGACCTGCGAAAGGCAAACTGAGAGCTGATTTGGGTCAGCAAGCCATGGTCCAAAGCGGCGGCGGCGAAGCTGCTCGGGCACTGGGTGGAATGTAGACATGAGCTCTGTAAGCGTTACTTCAGTTATCGGGATCAGATACCAGGATGGGCGTTAGTGGTTTTCGAGGCTTCGAAGCCGATCTGCTGCATTGCTCAGTCGAAAACATCGACACTAGACTTGAGTGTAAGTCCCAATGTATCAGGCATAATCATCTGAATGGGACCGTCCACAGTGGACGCCGCCTTGATTGTGTCCTCTGTACCATCCAAGCATTCGCCATAGACGCAGTGGTGGCTTTTCTTTTGGACCCAGTTGTTGATCAGACACGAGCAATAATATCCTGGTACAGAATTGTACGCTCTCTTTCGCAGGCAGTCCTTGTAGGTATCGCCACCGGGAGGAGAACGGGATTGTCTTCGCCTCGACCGAAGTGGTAGAAAGAGTAGCCGGGCACATGGGCTTGCGCTCGAACAGAGCGATGATTTGATTTCGTGCTTCTTCGCACTTCCCAGTATCAAGCCTTCTTTCCGCCCCTCTTGCCCTCCTTTCCCTTGCTGTTGGCTGCACCTGCGCCGTCCTTCTTCTTCGCTTGTCCCAGCATCTCCAAATGTCCTGCACGCGCACCCAACATCGCCTCTGTCTTTGCAGTAAGCCCCGCGGTGTACTTTTTGTTCAACTTGGCTTGCTTCAACAACTTCGCCTTTTTGGGTGTGATGGTCCGCGAGCCTTTCCTGGTGATTCCTCCAGAGTTGGAGAGTTTCGTCGAGGGGGGCTTTGATGCTTTTTTGATTTGTCCTTGGGCCATTTTGCGGAGGACTGGCAGAATTGTCCTCGAGGCCGAATAACGACACGGCCGGGCGCGGGGCAAGCTCTTCTCAAGACGCTCTGACACAGACGCACAATTCGAGGATCGCAGGATATTTTTCGTTAAACGAGCAGAAGCAATTAGCGCCTTGGCAGACCGTTAAAGCCGCCGGTAAAATCGTTTGAGAGCGAAACGGCTCTATTCTGTCCGTTCGGTACCAGTATCCAGAACCTTGAAGGGTGCGGTCTGTGGCTTTTCCTGTGGCTTACAGGAAGCTTTGAGGTTTCGGCTTTGCTTCCTTTCTCGCATTTGAGTTGAGTTGACTAGTAAAAGCGACCATGGCCCACCACATATGTACCTCGTCCTTTTGACAAAGACAATTGATCAGCTCGCTGGCACTGGGTAAGCCATGAAGAGGAATCAGCCGAGAAAGGAGAACTCATGCCAATCACAAGGAAGACACGATAAGAGGCCATCTGGACCTGTGTCTGGAAGCGGGGCAAGGACTTCAATCTCCACCAAAGCGTATCTGCTGAACCGCAGACCGCTCATCACGCTCGAGCGACATGCACACCTTGATGGCTATCAAAGGGCGATCGAGAGTTCCACAGCCCGCATCTGACTGTCGACTGGGGCCGCCTCAATGCAGAGACAACTAGCAAATGCATTCGGAGGCGGGGCTCGGTGAGTGCTAGAGACGCCAGAGACAGCCAGGGAGGGCTGCTCATGCAGAGCTGATCCCTGCCACTTCTTGTCAACCCTGGTTCGCCAATTCGCCTCAATCCTCGAATGCCCTCCGACATGGCTCTTGCAGCAGCTTCCCACCTCTTGCTTGCTACGCTACTAGTTCCCAGGTCGGCAACCACCCGAACTCGCAGGAGTGGCATCCACATGTTCCTGCCAGATGCAAACCCATCTTTGTTCCTGATCAAAATCGAATCATTTTCAAGTGTACCTACCCTTTCGTCCAGTTTTACTTTTGCAGTGGCTTTCCTATCTATTCATTTGGATAGACGCACTCTTTCAAGATGACTCTAGACAAGGTGCCGGACGCGTCGCTCAGTGCTCGAGAGCTGGCTTCTTTTGATGGCGTCGAAGATGAAGGTTGCTACAACGATGTTGGTATCCTGGACAAAGGGTACACCACCAAGGATCAAAGGGATATGCAACGTTTGGGGAAGAGGCAAGAACTGATACGCAATTTTCGACCTCTTTCTGCGTTGGCATTCACTGCCCTGTTACAAGCGACATGGGAGTTCCTGTTAATGTGAGTCCTCGGCCTGCCAGTCATGATAGACCTGTCTTTTCCATCCACTTCCTGACATTCGTCTAGTGCAAACACTCAAGTTCTGGTCGATGGCGGCATTGCTGGATTTTTCTGGACCTACGTTTGGACCTTCTTTGGTTTTGGCATCGTCATGACGTCTCTGGCTGAGATGGCTTCCATGTATGCCCGACGTCTGCCAACGTGCTCAATCACTCTCTCACATGTTGTAGGGCTCCGACTAGTGGTGGTCAGTACCATTGGGTGTCTGAATTCGCTCCCCCAAAGTATCAGAAGAGTCTGAGCTATTTAACCGGTTGGATGTCGGCGTTAAGTTGGCAAGCTGGGACAGCCTCTGGCTCTTTCTTGACAGGGACAATTATCCAGGCTTTGATACAGATCAACAACGCGGACTACGACCCAACAGCATGGCAGGGGACGTTGCTGGTGTTTGCCATGGTTCTTGTGCTCTTTGTCGCCAACACCTGGGGGGCGCGAGATCTCCCTCTGATCCAAAACGTGCTCCTGATTGTGCATGTCTTTGGATTCTTAGGTAAGTTGACCTTTCCCAGGAACTCTGAGCCGGTTCAATTGCTAACGGGTAAATGCAGCGGTCATTATTGTCCTCTGGGTCATGGCGCCTCGAAACTCAGCAAAGGTCGCTTTTACTCAATTTACCAACGAAGGGGGTTGGTCTAGCATGGGCCTCGCTCTTATGATTGGGCAGATTTCGGCCATCTATGGATCACTCTGTTCTGACTGCACAGCGCACATGGCTGAGGAAGTCAAGGAAGCTGGTCGCAACGTCCCTAATGCCATGTTCTGGGCTTATGTGTTGAACGGAATCCTTGGCTTGGTGCTGATCATCACGTATAACTTTGCCTTGACCGACGTCGACGCCGCTCTGAATGACCCGACTGAATACCCTTTCATCTGGGTCTTCCGCCAGGCAGTGTCTACTGGAGGCGTCAACGCCTTGACCATTTTGATCTTGATCTTGGTCATTGCATCGAATATCTCCTTCAATGCGTCCACATCGCGACAGACTTTTGCCTTCGCCCGCGACAATGGCCTTCCGTTCTCTAAGTGGATCGGTGCTGTTCATCCAAAGCTACACATCCCGGTCAACGCCGTGACGTTGACCTGTGTCATCAGCTGTCTCCTGGCGATCATCAACATTGGCTCCTCGGCTGCCTTCAACGCCATCATCTCGGTCCAGGTGTGCGCGCTCATGTTCTCTTACATGATCTCTATTACATGCGTGCTGTACCGGCGCGTGTACCACCCTGAATTGCTGCCCAAGGCACGCTGGAGTCTCGGCAAGTGGGGTGTGCCGATCAATATCTTCAGCATCATCTACTCTCTCTTTGCGTTCTTCTGGAGCTTCTGGCCAAACAGCACACCCGTGGACGCGGAATACTTTAACTGGTCGGTCGTTTTGTTCTTCGGTACAATGATCATCTCTGGAGCGTTCTATGTGATCCAGGGTAGGAAGATCTATACCGGGCCTGTGGTGACTGTGGAGGGCAGGAACTGATTGAGTTTGTTTACACCTCGGGGTCATTGAGCTGGATGTTTCCAAACCCTTTTCACAGCTTTTTAGCCAGGAGAAGCCTTTGAGATATATACACAACAGGAACACTCCCAGCTCTATGTCTGTAAGGACATCAGAGTGTATTCCTGCTGATATTCTAAGACTACCACAGCAATGCAAATACAGACACATACTATGGTACGTACTGCTATCAGAGCTCCCAAAGAACCCAAAGAGGTTTTGGCATCTAGCGTGCGCCTCTCGGCAGGGGAAAAGGGGAAACCAAACCGATCGATGAGTGAGGACCCTCTCAGCTAGCAGCCTCATTTCTCGCGTGTTCTCTTTTCCGAGCTCGGCGGGTCACTCTGCTCCTCTTTTATTAACCTACCTAGGTAAAAGCTTGTGTACGAGTACTCGTATACCTTTGCTTTGAGTTTTCCCTTCAGCAAGCCACAGCGACCGCCTCGCATTCACATCGAAACAACCATAACGTAGGTATTCGTCCAGGAGAGAAGGAACGCGAGACATTAAAAGATGAGAGTTAAGCCATATTTCGCCAGTTAGAACGGGGAGCGTGTTTCTCATCGTCTGTCGTGATGATAGTTTGGACACGGCGGGTATTACCTTGAAGAGCTACAGTAAGCGAAAAGGTCCACCTCCTGGATGCCAAGTGCCAACGGTGCCTTGTTGTCTCAACGCGCAGAATTGATAGGGAACCAACGAGATCGAAGACTCCTTTGTTATTATTTGTCATTGTTTTGAGTAGGAATAAGGAGGGAACAGGCGAGTCTAGATCCTCGTGTTTGTTGTGGCTTGTATTTCTCTTTAGCTCAAAAGGTTAAAAACGATGAGGTACCAATCCATCTCAAACTCTTTTCTTTTGTTTCGACCCCACTTCATCAACTTGTTTCTTCTGGGGGTACCTACCTACCTAGGTACCAATGGTCCCTGCTGCTTCCATCTCGTCGATAGGCAGTAGGTACTTTACGACATGCCAACTAACGGCTAACCTCCGAGTGCGAGGTAAACTACTGCAAGTAGAGTGCCCACTTTGGCTCGAGCTCTTTGGTTGCTTGCCCGGTCGTTGCTACTACTAGTGGTGGCGCGGATGGAAGGAAGGATGCAAATGTCGCCCTATGTGGAGATACAAGGAGCCGGGGTATGTACTTACCTCTCGTAGGTTCAGATAAACTTGGTGGACATACGAGGTACCTCCCTGTTCATCCATCGGTCCTCCTGTGGAGCAACCTCTCCAAGGACCTGCTGTTCTTTACTGCTTGTGTGCAACTAGGTACGGGGGACAAGAAGCTTAGGCATAGGTATTCAATTGCCGGTGCAGTCCGCATAAGGAATCCGACAAGACGCCATCACAGGCAGGGGCAGAGAATACAATGAATTGCATCCATTGCCCACTGCCCTGCCTGCCTGGGGGAAGGCTCGGGGCCAGGGCAAATCCTGCGTCTTTCATCCAATATCAATGGGACACCCATATCAAATTGGGGGCTTGAAGAACTACCTACGCAATCACGAGTACCCACAGGCACTGCGCACAAATCGGCGACCAGAGCGAGCAGAGAGTTTCGCTTCGTATTCGACAACACCCTTCGCTGAGAAAGGATTCCCCATTTCCCCGAGACTAAGTAGGTGCTTCGACACTAGCAACATGGAAGCTTGTCAACGAATGAATGCGAAAAAGCTAGATTTACCGTGCGCAAAAGTGAGAAGAGCCCCCTGCGTGGCTTGGATGGACACAGCTGCGAACAGGGGGTCCCCTTTTTCGGCGAAATGTTGCGCGCATGGCTCGTATTCTGCGAAGGGGGAAGGACAAAGGTCGCAAGGATACATCTCGCTTGATACTGCCTTGCCTTGGCCTTTCATCCCCTTGCATGGGTTGCCCCTTCTTGCACCGTTTCAGTGTCTAAACGGGTACCTGAAGATAACGAGCTGTCTCTCCGCCGGAAGGAAAAGAAGAGCCAGAAAGCAAAGCCATCGATATCTGGGGACATCATTGAGGGTGTTCGCATACCATGGTGTTGCTTGGAGGAGTTCACATACATAGGTTCCTGTCATCGACTGTCCTGCCTGTTCAGTCTTGTGTACCTGTTGCTTGGCCGATCCATCGTGTCCGTACCATCCTATACCATACAGGCCCATTCCGTCCAGTCCGGCTGCCCAAGATCCTCGCCGTAGATATAGATACAAGTCGTGAGAATTCCAACTCTGTCGTCACAGCCCCAAAGAGATTCGTTCCATCTGTTTTGCAGAGGGCAGCGGGGGCTTTTCACCACGTCCACCAGGACGGGGCAAACGGGCGTTCTTCATCGGTCAGAGACCGATGCACGACCCTCGCTGAAGTTGCTCTTGTTGCTCTCCGCCTCTTCATACCGGATCGACCAATCCGTCTTGCGTTCAATAATCAAGCGCCGGCTGTCATGGCTATGTATGCTGTCACTCTTCTCGTGTCCGTTGCCGCTTCCTCTCTTCTCCCTCTGCGCGGCGGGGATTCGCGACGAGAACGTCGGCTGATTGGGGTCGAAGTTGATGCCATGCGAAGCCAGTCCGTTGGGGATGCCGACCTCGTCAGACCGTGACACGGGCTGCATCTTGAAGGACAGTTGTTCGCTGTTGTTGGTCGCGTAATTTTTCCCTGGATGGCTGGTGTAGTCCGAGTAGCCCATCGGCTTCTCGTACACGGCCATAAAGGGCTTGAGAACCGTTACCGACGCCGCCATCACCCCGTAGCCAAGCTGGAGCTGTGTGCAAACAATGGCCAAGGAGAGGGAGAGGTTGCGGTTATCCGGCAAGGTGGATGGATTGAGGTAGTAAAGACGTATTCCGCAGGCGGGAACGGCTCTAGCAGGAGGCAATTACACGTCAGAGAAGATACCAACAGCAGCCGCTTCATAAGGGAAGGGATCATCACTCACAGCAGCCGCAGAGCAAATGCAAAAACCACGGTGGCTTTCTGGACTTTGCTCATCCGCAAATCGCTGACCAGGTAGGCCGCAAACAGGACAAAGACCAGCTCTGTAATTGAGTCCGTGATGCCGATGGCGAGCCATCTGCCAAACTGTTCCCGAAAAAAGTCAGCTTGGAGGTACGTATAGTTTTGGTGCCTGGGTCGAAACAGTACCGGTGTAAAGAAGGCCCGCTGCCACGAGGAGCCAATGCTGATCAAAAGGATCGACAGGAGGAACCAACCACCGCAAAGCCCGATGGTGGTGTAGATCGCGATGACATGTCCCCGGTCGCGCGTCAACCGTAGGAAGAGGAAGCACACAGACAGCTTGGAGAAAAGTAGAACGATGAGGTAGAAGAAGTCGTTCGCAAAATAGTACTGGATTCCAAGTTTTAACACATCATTTGCTTCGACGCGGACCAGGCTTTCGTACCTTCTTAACCAGATCACTGTTCGGAGCATCGCCCTCGAATACTTTCCGTTGTCCCAAGCCCAGGTGAACAGCATAGAAGACGAGCGAACTCTGGACGATGGAGAAGACCCAGAGGGCCGTTAGGACCGTTTTTGTTTCCACCCTCGTGCGTATCCCTCCAAACTTACCGTGGCAGCTGTAAAAACGTGGTCATCCCACTTCCACAACCTCGCGGGAACCCGAATATAGATGCGGATCGCAAAGGAGACAAGGACGAAGGAGAGTGACAATGAGGTCAGAATGAGGATCAAGCCGGATTGATCTTCGGGAGATATAACTCCCAACGGCTTTGAGAAGATGGCCATTGGAAGCCGCCGTGTATGTTTTACGCACCAAAGGTCGCACAACCTTTTTTGTCGAGCATCCGAAATTGTCTTATTATTGTACCTGCATGACCATCTTTGATATCAATTCTGTTGAAGGGAACAGCGGTCGATGAATATGGGCTTCAGAGTATCAAACTCCGGACGCGGCACAGGTGGATCATTGAACTCTCTGGATGAAACCCCTTGTCCTCCTCACCGGGGTCAAAGATTAGAACTCTACAATATCGAGTTCCTCGGGAGTCGAGATTCACGAAGGGCGGTGCAGTCCCGAGCTGGAGCCAGACGCCACCAAAGCTATCAGCTGGTCCGAGAAGATGGCAGCATGGGTCTAAAGAAAGCTCCAGCAAAAGCAGCGAAGTGTGGGAGCGAAACTTAGGAATGGTACTGGTCCTTCCGAGCTTCCAAACCTTGTCCCAGAGCAGTTCGGTTGGTCGGCGACTAGAGGGACAGTGGCGGATGAAAGGTTTGACCGTTCAAGGGAGAAACCATCGATGCCAGTTCAGCACATCCTCTCCCAAACGGCCTTCCTCTCTGCAAGAAAACGCACAGGACCTTCCGATATTCCAAAGCCAACCGCTTGACACTTTGGTTCGCATGGCCACGGAAGTCCAAGAACAAATGGCAATAGAGTGATTGTCGTTTTGTCGAAGTTCAGAGTGCCATCGAGGGTTGCCTACCTATCGGTGCTCGAACTGACAACTGCCACGTCCTTTGGAATTTAGCTAGAACAGGTGTAGTCTCATGTACCAAGTGCTCAACATCAAGGATGACGCGCCGGTGCGCGCCATACACCCAGCGAGATGAGGTGACCGTGCTTGGATGAACCAAAGCCAATACCCCAATGATCGAGAGTATCGGGCTTTGAGGATCACCCCTGCTTGAGGTTCTGGCCAGGAGCAGGAGGGCGAGACCAAGCAGTAAAGAAGCAAAGTAGCGCTTACCCACATTTCTTTGGGTCGAGCATCCACTATGGAAGCCAGGAAAGGTCACTGGCCATATCGGATTTGTCTGGCTGCAGCAGGCATGGGATTCTTGCAAAAGCCACTCATCTTGCGATCCCTTATCCGCGTCGAATGGAGCAGCTGACAGGAGTGCGGCAAATGATTCGACAAAATGTGGAGGGGTTTTCGTGGCGTGAGGGAGGGATGTTGAGAAAAAGCAACCACTAATAACGGGTGGAGGTTGTTGGAGCTTGACGGGGAGAAGCTACACCGCCAACGGCCTAGCCAACAAATATGGGGGCATTCATTACACTTCTTTCGCAGGCTTGGAGAGGAGGACAATTTTCATCCTGAATAGGCAATAGAAGTAGATATTACTTGCCTAGCCATACCTAGGTAGCCAACGGTCCAGCGGTGTTCATCAGTGGAGAGCAGATAATCAGGGTGATGAAATCCCCAAAAATAAATATCATACGGACCAACACTGCAGCTCAAACCCATGGTTCTGCCGGCCCTTCACATATACAGTATTACAGCTTCAGTCATTTCCATGAGACGTCGAAGTCCCTCACTCTCTGGAAATAGATCACGGCATCCTGCAGCCACAGAGGCCAATCTCTCACCCGAGTCCTGCTTTCCTCCGTTCTGGGCATGAAGATCTGGCCACTCCTTCCCGCCAAAACCTGTTCCACGACCGCATCGCTGACGTTCGACGCTGGATCACATTTGATCCCGAGCTGCTCCAACTTGGCCTCGAGGGGTTTCACGATACCGGTCGCATGCCAGGACGGATGAACGCTGGTGGTCTGGATGCATTTGCCATTCTCGTAGTATCCTCGAAGCTCCGATCGCAGGCCTGTTCAACGAGTCAATTCGCTGAATGGTAGATCTTCGGGTGCACGGAGAGCTTACCTTCACTGAGAAAGAGTGCTGCAACCTTTGTACAGCAATAGTCGACGAGGCCCGGGGTTGCGTAGAAGCTGGCCATCGAAGCAATGGTCACGACGTGGCCTTTCTTCGCCCTCAGCATTCCGGGTAGGAACTCCTTGATCAGAATGAAGTGGCTGGCGATATTGACTTTGAAAATCCTGTCGGTCAACTTCGCATCACTGTTGATGACTTTGGTGCCGTTCGCTGCAAAGTTCGCTGGTCAGCTAACTCGCGCTCTGAAAGGATAGCACTTGACGGCAATTTCTCACCAATGCCAGCATTGTTAATAAGAACAGTAGGGTCTCCATGCTCTCTGCGGATAGTCTCCGCTGTCGACTCTATTGCAGAAAAGTCGGTCAAGTCGACTTGATAATAGTCAACGCCGGGAACTAAAGCATGAGAGTGAGCAGCCTATCTAGACATGGTTGTCAAAGGAGCTTTACGTTGCTTCAACTCCTCGGGAACTGGAGAGATATCGAGGATAACGACTCTCGCATGTTTCGAGAAGCCCTTTACCATCTCGTACCCAAAGCCGGAACATCCTCCGGTCACCACCACGAGCTCCGTCCTCTGGTCCCACTGGAAAGGTGCACCTGGCTTTGTGAAGACATGCCAGTTATTGAGGGCAAGTCTGGTGAGTGCCTGATTGAGCCTTCGGACGAGGCCGATGGCAAGGAGGTACTTCAATGACTTGATGAGGAGGACGATGCGCTCTGCGGACAGACCAGCGTCACCCAATAGTTTCAAGAGACGTGCTCGGTATTTAAGAGGCGCCCTGGTGAGCGCAAACAACAAAGTCCCGGTGAGCAGTGGTTCAGTCGAGGCACGGTGGATGAGACTGAAGGGCAGGGTGAGAGCACCCACAGCAACGCGGTTGGCGCGCTCGAGTGGGCCTGGTTTCGCCATTGTTCCGGAACAGCAAGCCACAGAAACTGAAGCGTGAAGATACTGATGGCAGGATAGTAATCAAGAAGATCTAGAATTTCGCAGCGATAAGTATATATATGAGCGAATGTCGAGCGGGGTTTCGTCCATGATCAAGTTGCCGTCAGTGCATAGCCGGCAGTCCAGGCAAAGCACAAGAGCACAAAACCCTGGGCCGCTGAGCATTGAAACAAGTGGTGACACCAGAACTTCAGTCACCCGCCAGTAGTACTCGGTGAAGAGGCAGAAGTTGCCTCGGCCGGTGTCGCGAAACGGGTTGGTGTGAACCCCTAACCGACCAATCATGATGGCCAGAGAAGCGGGTTCTGATTGCCCTGACGTCCAGCCCCATGTTTCCCCGCAGTTTTGGGAAATTGGCGCCTAAGCCTAAACAGGCTTATACCACGGACTATCTCTCGTCCGGGCACGCGGGGCGGATCAGGTATAGGATTCTTGGGCATAGATTGTTTATATCCTTTGTCCCCCTGGTAATGTCCTCGTTCAGGATCTTTGGGTCCCCTTCTCAGCAATCTGACACTATGAGGGCTCATGGCCGGGGACGCAGTAGGCTTAAGTGCCGTCACGTGATCGCTTAACCTTCCTTTCAAGGCCGAGGCATATCTCTCTATACTTCCCGCCGTCTGGACTTGATCAGCCTTCATCCAGGACGAGAGAGACACTGCCTGCAAAACCTGAACCACTGGATACAAGTCTCGCGCTATACAAAAGACATGGTTTGTACTTGGCAGCCAGATGATACCGAATTATCGATCATTGCGACAAACTGAAATGCTGGAAAGGCTGTAATGTTCATGAATCTAGTTCTCATTTTCCATCAACCAACCATCAGTCATATCAATCCCATGCAAGCTTCCATCTTTGAGATACTCTCATCCGACTAAAGCTTCCTGAGCGCAATGTCACGGTCTGAAGCCTGTGATGCTGGTCCGCTGCCCTGATGATGGTCTTCCCATTTCACGTTCCTCACAGAAGCTTCCTGTTGACGAAGTCGACGCTTCTGCTGGCTCCGACGCCACAGGAAAAAGAACACGCCAAGGAAAGCAGCAACTCCTACCACAGTGCCGACAACAATACCGGCAATCGCACCTCCTGACAGACCAGAAGACGATGATAATTCCGCGGCCCCCGTGGCTTCTGATGTTGCAGTGGCTCCAGATGCCGAAGCCGAAGAACTCAACCCAGGGTCAGAATCAGTAATGTTGAAGTCGTCGACAGTGGCATTGAAGCATGGCACTTGGTAGGTGAATTGGCTGGTCGGCACGTAAGTTATATCCGCGCAAGCATAATACGTCTCATTTCGGTCATCTTCAAAGTCCGAAGTATATTGAATTTGCAATGTCGCGTTTGAGAGAGCTTCGATGTCCGCCGACGGATTGGGAACTGGGTAGCACTGGTGCCCTTCATCGAGTTCTGGGATTCTCATGGCCGCTATCACGATCTCGAAATCATCGTTCGACGTCGGATCTAGCACGTTTATCAGCTACGACCTAAGATGTGTTGGCGGGTGGTCACTTCACCCACCGTTTTTATGAGAAATGGCCACTTGGATGGACCAGGACTCGTCTTGAGCGACAAGTGCGATTTGCCCGTTGACTGGTGAGAATGAGCATGCATACTTCGGACATGACACTGACTTACGCAGAGGAAATTCGGTTCTGTTCACAACCGATGCGGCCGAGCCACAGGGGGCTGTGTTATCCTGAGCAGCACCCCATTCACGATCAGGCGGCCACAGGAAGGCAACTGGGCCCATTGTCTTCTCGTATTCTTCTCCATGTTCTTGGCTAAGGGCGTATTTCGCCGCAAGAACGCAACAGCAGAACAGAACAGACGCAAGGAGGCCCATTTCGTTAATTGCAGAATGCTACAAAATGCCAATAGCTTTCAACCTGCAAGAACGGAGTTATTTGTCGATTCTGCCTTTGAGACCGAAACCAGCATCCGAGGACAGGAGCAGGGAATGAACGGCGCTTTAAACACACCATTATCGACAAGGAAGAGGGGAAATCGGCAGAAGATAAAGTGCAAATCAAATGGTTCAGGTCGCAAGGTAAACCTAAGGACGCTTGGCCAGGCGCTTTCCCGAGAACTCCAACCTACAAGGGGAGTCGGTCTGCTGAATGGAGAGACGGGGAGAGCCACATGGAGGCTCCTGCAAACATACAGTCTGCGTGCCAGACGTGGGAATCCGACAAGACGCTCGCTCAAGGACGGCCATACAGGAGCATCACTCGCGTCCAAGCGAACCTCCATCTAATCAGACAAGATAGCTGCCGATATCGGGCCCCGTCAGACTGACTATTGTCCTCCGTTTTACTTTGAAAAAAAGATGCAGTCGAATGTCAGACTCGAAACATCTCGATCAGATAAGATAAATTGCTCACACCAAGATTGCCGGTGTGCTTGGCCGGTGCTGGGCATTCGCTACTTGACCGGCTGCAGCCCTCAAGAAGCACCACCAGTGGTGCAAGCCAAGCATTGACGCAGAACCCTGTGGTCAACCATTCTCCTCAGACCATGTCATAAGCGGACCATTGTGTCTCTGAGAATACCCGCTGTGAGTTCTAAGGTTTTCCCGATTCATGCTGAGACGGGGGCTCGCTTGGAAGGGCCCGGTTTTGCCCCGAAATGAGAAGATACGACACCAAGTCGGCAATTGGTACATTTTGTTGCTGGAGCTCTACGTTTATATGGAAGATGCATGTCCCTTTCTTTGTGACGGCCTTCTCTCCCAGACTTGCGCCTTCTAGTTCCAGCTTCTGCTACCTTTGGTCTGGTCTGTCAGACATCTCTGTCAGACATCTCTGTCAGACATCTCTGTCAGACATCTCTGTCAGACATCGATCTGCACAATGCATTACACTCTCCCATCGGTAATGGCTCTGGCCGTCGCTTCCGTCTCAGCGTCTCTTCTGTATCCGATCAATTTTCCTCTTCGCCGAAGACAAGAACCAGGGACGCCCGAATACGACTGTCATGCGAACTGGTGGGTCGTCCGTTGGGTCTCCGTCTGAGCTGTATTGACTCAAATACACAGTGGGACTGTCATTGTCGATGGCAGGACGGAGGGATATTGTGACACTGCAAACTTCACCAGTGCACTCCAAGCTTGCCTCGATTGTGCTCTCGAATTCGATATCTGGCAGTACTACGGACACAGTGTCGCACAGGCCGCAACAGCGTGCGGACTCGATGCCACCCCGGTCCCTGCAAATGCCACGTCCGCAACGACCAGCAGCGCTACCACCGCATCAACTCCGCTTAGTTCACCGCAGAGCACAGAGGCAACATCTTCGGCGTCAAACACGGCTTCGTCGATCGAAACCGCCTCAGTGACGCCCGGACAGACTATGAGTGAGGTGAGTGTCGCACCCGGAAATGGGAGAGAACCTAAAACGACCAATTCAATTGACGACTTTTGTTCAAATCGGACCTCAACCGGAGCCGGCTCTGCGGTGACAGCCACCGAGACTGGGAGCTTTGCCAACAGGATCGCCCTCGGTGGTGGACACGTAGCGTTGCCTCTGGCCGCGTTACTTCCTGGCCTCCTCTAAGTCAACCTTTTAATGTGCATAGTGCTGTGGCGCTCCTGCCTATCCTGCATCTGCCTCACAAGTAGGCAGGCGAGCGCCCTGGCACCTCCGTGCCTCCAGATAGGCTAGAGCTGTTTGCTCTCATGGTAGAGAAATGCAAGCATTCCAGAGTCCTTCTTTCGTGTCTCCACAAAGCAGACTCGATAATGCACCAGGAGACTTTTGCACACCGTGACCTTGAGTTTCGTAAAGAGCGTAAGGAGCTCTCAACAAAGGACATATTCTCGCAAAGCGGCGGACTCCTTTCCCTCGACTGCCACACCATCCATGAAGCCATGCAGATAGCACTCACCGATCACGCAATGTTCCCCTCCTCCGTCTGCAGATCTCAAGACAAACGGCACGTCCGCCCCAGGCAGAACCACCACCGCGTCGCCCGGCCGGGCTTCCTCAGGGCCGAGCCCGAGGTGTCCAGTCTCGGTCACGAACAGCAGCCTGCCTATCATGAGGTTTTGGATGTATTTGTAAATGGATCTTGTGCAGACGGGGGCTTCCGGGATGCTGTGTGCTTCTATAGCTGTGGCATGATAGGCATCAAGGCTGTCCGTCCATGGAGACATGTAGGTGTGATTCAAGGGTGTGCTGTGCCACCTCCGCACAGTCCTGGGGGTGAATATGAGTTGATCTTGGTGACCGTGCTCATCTGCCACGGGCGGTATAAAGGGGACTGGGGTTGTTGTTGACGCAGGCGAAGGGGAATCGGGTGTCTTCATCACAAAGTCGGCCGATATGGTCCGAAAAAGAGCCTCGTGGTACCATTCACCCGTTAGCACATAGGGTGTCTCTGGCCTCCCGATTCCGAAACGATGGAGCACCTCATTAACGAACCCTTGGAGAGAGGCAGTAGAGGCCGCCAAGATCGCATCCTTTTCTGGCTTGTACGTTGTCCTGATCGTGTCAACTGAGACGTCCTTGACAGCCAGTATCCGTGGATCTGTCGATTGGGTTACCGTGGCTCGCATCTCTTGACTCGCTCGAAAGACGTGGTGCACTTGTTCGGCACCAAAGTACACGTCGAGCGCCATGTGAGACCACGGCCGCCTCCAGTCAGGTGTCCAGGAAGGCAAATCCGTCGTTTCCCCGGCCTTCTGGACACAGCTCAGGATATGCAATCGACGACTTCGCTGAATGACAGAGCGGCATATCCTGGTGTACACTTCTGTCACGGACTGCGTGTAGTCTGGCAGGACATCGTAGGTGTCCCTGTTTTCTCTGGAAGTCGTCAGCAGCGCAAATACTTTGTCCCTGTCGTCAGAGCATTCGAGGCCCCGAAAGCGGCACAGCAGATGGAGAAGCGTCGGGGACTCGTGCCTGAGCAGGAGCGACTGAGCACGGGTCAGGTTTCTCGACGACTGGACAGAATCCGACCAGATGAGGCCTGTTGCAGAAACCCACTTGCACACACGGGCGACCGGGTCCCAATCCACAGTCGTGTCACCCAAATAGAAGACCGCTCGACGTGCGGCCATAGTCTCCTGGACCATTCACAGCCGGGTGAAATACGCGTTTGCGACCAGATCGCGGACCCCCGTGAGGTGAATCTCGATCATTTTCAGGTCCTGTGGCGATGTGCTTCCCCCGTCCTCGTCGCCCTCGATGAAGCTATTTATGGCCTTGATATGGCGCAGAAAGTTGTCGTCAGGAGACTGCGGTTCCCCGAGCCACACAACAACGGAATTTGCCGCGCGAAAGATTTCTCTCATGGGCATGACCTGCTCGGCGCGCTCTCTGAGGTTCTGTTGGTTGATGCAAACGAAACGAATCCGATGAATGGAATGTTCAAGTCATGTTGATGGCAGATTCATTTGGGGAAATCAGCCTTAGAACCTGCACTGCTTCAGTCCTTCTTAACAGAAATTAAGAGAACCTAGTGCCATCCATGAACGAATGATTACATGCGAAACCTAGAACACTTGAGGTTCCTTTTGTCTCAAAGGGTCTTTTCACTTGGCAAAATCACTTTGATGGTCTCTCACACACATTAAAGCATATTGAAGGAGTGTCTCGTTGCATTTGTATTCTGCCTGCAGTATCCAACGTTGTATCTCACACAACAGGATCTTTTTTCGTCCACGACGTCACAAGCACGGAACTAGGTCCCAGAGGAAGGCTCATGCTCCATTTCGCTATTTCATATGGCATCCTTTCAAGCCGGTACCCCATTGGGCACGCCCACCAAATCCGATAGATCTTCTTTCTTCACTTTACTAGGATCAATCTTATCCTCTCCCATCCTAAGCCTAATCTGTTCCATGAGAATCTGCAACCTCGCCAATTGTCCAATGGGCGCCGGTACGTCTTCGTCTTTGAGTTTACTTGGCGCAGGCGTATGTATATCCTCCGTGAACTCGTACTCCCCAGGCAGAGGACCAAACGGCCAAGGAATGGTCGGACCATCTTTCGTTTGCTTTTCTTCATGTTGCGGTGTACGCTCATAGGCTTGTGCAGCAGCAGCAGCGTTTTTGTTGTACTGGCCATGTGAAGCGAGGAATTGGTACACACCGCGAACAGCAGACTCGAGGGATCCGACGACCCATGCGTGATGCGCAGATGCTGCTTCTCCAATGATGATATGATTGCTTCCACCTGATCGTGTGATCCAAGGGTAGAGCTGCTGGAATTGCGACGGACCAAAGTATGCGAACGCGCCTGCTGCATGCGGGTCTTGACTCCAGTCATATGCAAAATGTTCCTTGTAGTCACGGCTGATTCTCTCCTTGAGTTCCTTGAAATCGGCATCCGGATCCTGTCCATTCAATTTGATAGCATGAAGACGAGCGAGGTCGTGAATGATGGTCTGCTTAAGTTCTTCGCCCGCCTTTGGATCGTCATTTTTGATCAGAGACCCCATGCGGATCGCTTCTTGAGACCATGTATAGCTGACAAGTAGGACACCAGGCTTGTCCACAGGATCATCGATGTTGTACGAAGGATAGACACAGCATCGGATGGGACGATCGGTTTTCGAGACGCCTCCTTCGCAAATGTTGAGCTTCGTGTGCTCAACATCACGCCACCATTGGGTCTCAAACAGCACGCCGACCTTGCACGAAGAGCCGTAGCCGAGCGATCTGATGCCTTGTTTGACACCCCAAGACAAGTTTAGACCTTCCAGATGCATGCGCTGCATTGCTCCGAGTGGCGCCGAATTGAAGACGGCGTGATACGTGTTTGTGTTTTGGTTGGTCTCGCCACCCAGGCCTTCTGTCGTGACTTCAATTTCTCCGATATTGTCATCTTTGAACATCACTTTGCTTTTGTAATTCTTGTAACTCATCGCCGTGACTCTTTTCGTCAGGGCGATCTTGCCCTTCTGCGCTAGCTTCTCCGCCATCTTCTCAGGAATGACCCCTGCGCCTCCCAGCACACATCGCCAATGGACTGGATCTAAGAAATGTTTCGCATCGAAGTCGAGAGACTCGAGAATCATTTCACTCAGTCCTTGGTCGTACCATCGATTACCGAAATTCATGGTCTCCAGGAATTCGATGGTGTTATAGTCATAACCTTCGGCTTGCGTGAGCCATTGCCTTACCGTAAACGGATCAGCTTGTCGCTTGAGCTTCTTCCAAAACTTTTCAGGGCCTTCATGCTCGTAGTACGACGTGAAAATAGCAATCGAATCTGCCACCAGATCTCCTGGATCGGCCCCTGCGATGCTATTTCAGTCAGTAGGATTTCAAAGCAGGAAAGGTTATACAGGCATACTCCTGTGGCAAACCCGTGATGCAGAATGAATTGCCGGTCGGCTTGAAATCTTCCGGCACTTCGTACGCGTTTGGGGCGCGGACGTCGTTGTACAGGCTTGGGCAATTCTTGCCTTGAAGGTAATAAGGAATGAGATCTCCCCTCTGATTAGCGTCCTTGAGGGTGGTCTTCTTCATGTCAAGGACTCGAAAAAGCTCGAAAGTTCTGTCACAATAAGCCTTCGTCCTGAATCGCAGATTGACACATACCGTTTCATGATGGCAATGTCCGGGAATCGCATGGCGCCCACATCGTAGTACAGAGTACTGGGCCGGGCTGGGTTCGGCTTGTTGATATCTTCGAATGTGTGAGTGAATAGCCGACCACCAATTCTATCTGTATTTGAGTCTTTGGATCGTCTTTGGAGCCGCGTGTCACATACCGGTCTCTAGACTCGATGATTTCATAATCGACATCTAAATCAAATTGCTCCTTTAGATAATCGAAAATCATGGCTGTGAATAAGCCAGCGGCTCCCGCGCCGATAATGGCAACCTTGAATTTGTCAATGTTAGGCGCACTGGTAACAAACTCCGTCTCCTTGGTTGGATACAAGAAATCGACTCCGGCATCGATGCCACCAGCCTTGGTCGGAAGCACATTCTCGGGAATCTGCTTCTGAATGGTCGCCAGCTGCTCGCGAATAGCGAAAGCAGCCCATTGGGTGCGAGCATCCAGCTTGTTGGGCTTGGAATTTTCTTCGGTGGTAACCGCCATAGTGATTTGGTGTCACGATCGTTGAGTCTTGGAGAAGTCAAGAAAATCAACGGCATAGCTCGAGGATTAGGACTGCTCCTTGCTTCTTACTTATGTCCTTGGAGTTGACACTGAAGTCTGGCTGAAGATGTGTGCGGCGAGGCTGGCTGAGGACGCGTGTGTGGCTAGCTGATCGACACGTTTTCACTGGACAGCTCCCACCGCCATCGCTGATGGATTTGCCAAAAAAAAAAAGGCCTTCGACTAGACTCAACAACCATTCCTTAGACATGAGACGGCTGTAATGACTGCCAAATAAGTGTTCCAGCCCATGTTGTTTAGATCTTTTATGGCATTAAAACCATGGCATTGCAGTGATACCGTCCAACCATGACGCTCTGTGAGAATGTTTTTCTTCCTGCTTCTTTCGACCATCTTCAAGAAACAGATTGGAGCATTGTCATGTGTAGAGGTGCAGCTTGCAGATGGTAGTTTATGCTAGCTGCATGAGCTGGACCTTCCCCATGCTGTAGGCAGCTGGCCTTTTGGATCAAGATGCATTAATTATGGTGTGATGGGCAAAGGAATTTTAGGCACCAGCGTGTCTAGCCCACAGGCAGATATGGCCGACCACTGGAGGCGCTAGATTTGGCCCCAACGACTCCGAAACCGCTCACAAAGTGACAAAACGCAGGTTTAAACGTCAAGTTTAAATTAATTAGGCCGAAGCACTTGGCAACAATCGTTTCATCACGTGCAAATCCCGACAATTCGTCGCGCCACCGTCACGCGGCCGTTGGAGAGATAGTGTTCCAGGTGTAACACTGCAACACTATCTAGCTCTGGCAATTTCGACAAAAGTCAGTATGTTTGTGGAAAGGAATTAAGTTGCAACTTTTCATGTCAACCATCAGGAACGAACAAGTTGACTGCTGTCGCTACTCGTGTACTATCAATGGTTGTACACCACTCACAATCTATCTTAAACAACTCTGGGTCAAGGCACCTGGTTTGATACAATGGATGGACGATAATGATGAGTTAATTGGTCCTCGACATCACGAAGTCATCCGATTTACAACCTTTAATGTCCTCGGATTGAAGCACACATACTGCCGTTTCAACCAAGTCTATGGCTCCGATTATAGCCCGGATCATATGCTGAAGTCTTGATACGAGGAATCAGATATTGATGAAATATACGACGAACAAAGCAGTCTTATTCATAAGTTCGAACTTCTTGTGGACAACTTTTATCAGCAGTACCGCTTCCTTGGCATGTCACTATTTCAATCCTTTCGGACGTATTGGAAAACCACGATGGTGGTGGTCACAAGTCAAATGGAGACCCAAAATAAAATATACGCCCGGAATCTCAGGACCATGGGTGTTATAATAGACCCTGCGATAGAAGCTTCGAAAGGAGACGAGGTATACGATGCTGAAGAAGAAAAATATGTATACATGGACAGCAAAATTGCTTCGTGAATTAAGAGGTATCAGCCGGAAGAGGAAGAGGAAGAGGAAGAGGAAGAGGAAGAGGAAGAGAAAGAGGAAGAGGAAGAGGAAGAGGAAGAGGAAGAGAAAGAGGAAGAGGAAGGCAAAGTGAAGCTATCACAATATATGCCTTAGGTATACTCTATACTCGGCAGATGTTCATTGCCGGCGAATGCATGGCTTGTGCCTACGAGCGAGCGACCAAATACATATGGAAACACAAATATAGCACGGCAGTTGCTATTCCATGGAAAAGACTGTCGTAGAATGGTATGGAAAGCTGAGACATTCTTTAAGCAGAGACGACAGGGCACAGAGGCGAAAATGAGCCACGGTTGATCCTGGCTCACACACGTGAGAGTCCCCCTGCTCCTCAAAAGAAGCTTCGGAGAGTTCCGTCAATGGTGAACACATGCTGGGTCGATAAGACAGGCAGCACGGTCCTCTCCGGAGGTATCAATTTCATCTGTCGTTGGTATCAGCTTTGGGCAGCAGCGTTGGAGCAGAGATTCGCCAAGTTAACGGAGGCGTATCTGAAACAGACATCTGCCGAGAGGCATGTTTAACCGATCGCTTGGGGGCCAGGTTAGGTCCCCTTGTATCTCAATGTGGCGCTCAGGGTAATTAACCCCCTCGTAAAACAGAGGTGCAAACCTCAGGATTCTGAGGTGTTGCATTACCGTTCGACAGGAATATGAGCAAATTGCGTCGACCCACCAGAACTGGATGCGATCCCGCTGCTGAATGGTTCGAAGCCTTCGCAGAGCCGTGTTCAAATTGTCCGTGATGGGCAGCGCGTTTCTCTTAGAATGGAGCGGCGCCGTGGTTGCTGGATTCCCCCACCAATAGGACAACGCTGAGAAGGGTGGCGCCTCTGATATGGGGTAATTTTCAACAGAGAGGACAATCTCAGCCTTGTCCGTCACTTCAGCAGTCGAGTCCATGCTAAACAATCGTATTTCCGGGGGCTTAAGAGGTGTGTAGATTGGAGACGCGCGATTCCCAGGACGGACAAAGTCTTCTTCACCCTCAAGATCGGGCATCTCGTCATCGTCGCTATCATATTCAAGTTCGTCGTCCGAGTCGAACAGGGTTTTGCCCCAGCCGGCGGCAGCCTTATCTTGTGAGTTTCATTCATGGGAGGCAACCACTGTGGACGACGTACCTGCTGAACGTTTTCTCAGTTTACCCATCTGGAATCGACTCCAATAACATAAACACGCCCGGGTTGGAGGAAGTAAGGGTCGCGGATAATGGGAAGACGCGATAGTAATGCCATACTCGACTTCAGAGCTATCACGGCTCCTTTAGTGCCTTGGCCCTCGTATGTACATGTAGCTGAGTTGCAAATACAACGTATAAAATAGCCTTTCGACGCTCGATGGACTCATCTGATTTCAATAAAATCACCTCTGCGCACGCAATCCACAAGCCTATCGTCAATAACGCCGATATACGCACTGCCATGCGTTAGCAGCGACCACCCAGATCGACTTCATTTATGACCACCGCCCCCAATTCGACATAGTTTCCTCTCCCTAGAGACGTCGTGGCAGCATACAGACACGGTTCTTTGTCTAGGCAACGTGCAACAGGCAGCTCATTATGCTTGTCAAGGCAGCGAAAGAAAAGCATTTCTTTATCTCTGCGAGGCAGAGGCGTTTAAACATGTCGATGCCCCACTCGTTGTGACAATGAAACAAAGGATGGGCCCATTGTGTATTCGGGACTCTGTTTATATCCTTTTTCTTTCGCTTCGCCGCTCCCTTTTCCTTCAGGTCTTTCTTTCGAAGAGTCTTGTCACACGCATATTCGAAAACCTTGTTACTGCTCCTTCCCTTTTTTCCCCCTTGGATTCGACGAAGTCTTTACCACTAGGTACTATTTCTACACGTTAAGAATACTTGAGCCAAACAAACACCAAATATACTCCAGAAAGAACATCCATAACCCAGCCGGCTAAATCCAAACAAAACCATGCCTTTCAGGCGCTCAGATCTGTCTAGGAGAAGTAAGTCCGGGGCCGCCGCTGAGATCGCTGCTTCTTCTTATCCCATCCCCTCCTCCCGCTCCCGCTCTTCTTCTGTTTATTCAAGGCCCGCAACCGCTTCTGCAAGCTATGACTCCCGCCCAGATGGACCTCCGCCTCCGCCACCTCCTCTTCCTTCGATGATGATGGCGCCCTTGCCGGAGCCGGATCGAGATGCCCCGGCTACCCCAGCCAGCATCTGCTACGACAACGGCACGGGCAGGCTGCACGCCAGCTTGGTGCAGGAACGAGGGCTGCCGCCTTATGTGCAGACGACGGAGCAGCTGGCGGCGTTCATCAAGAGCCAGAGCCGGGGCCAGCAGCAGCAGCACAGGGACGACCAGCTGTCCGGATCTCCCAACGCACCACCCTCATCATTCTCGCCCGTCGGTAGGTCTGCGTCGGTGTATTCCTCGTCCGCGCGCGGGACCTTCTATCACCATTCGTCGGGTTCGTACGAGCGCCTCCTCCGCCCGGCGCCGGTGGCGGCTGTGGCAGACCCCTTCATGGTGGCGGCCATGCGGCACCGCTACGGCGCCCGACCGGCGGTCGCGCGGATCTTGCCTGGCGCGACGCGCACGCATGAGTATCAGGGCTTCTGGTTGAGACGCGGGACGACGCACAGGACCGAGTCCGACAAGAGAGGCCCCGCGCACAAGTCGTCGCTCAAGAGGTCTGAGAGGAAGGACTATCAAGTAGAATCTAGTGGCCAGCTGGTATGATGACCGAAGCGTTAGGACATCTTTTTCCATAATGCTTGGAATTCAATTGCACGTTATTGGACAACGTGAGAGACGGTAGAACACTTCAACACATACCATGTGCTGTCTTTGAGAAGATCAAAATGCTCAAAATGCTCAATTATGAAAACTTTCCTCTTGCTCCCATTTCTCCTTTTTGTAAGCAGCACAACCCAATGTGAAGATGAGTGCCAGAGTTGTCTCCGACCATCTTTCAACGCTGGGCCAGGTGATCGCCTTCACAACGACCCTTCGCCCTTACAACTAGTGCACAGGCTTACCGTCGAAGTACCTTTCGAGGAGCCACCAGATCCCCATCTACGTCTGCTGAGTCCCTTCTTTGGCTTCTGCTCCACAACGAGCCAGTCAACTTGGTGTTCCCTGCCTTGAACTGAATATCCAAATACATTGCATGACTTTTCCGATCAGAGTCCAGTTCCACAGCACTCATATCAAGTGGTAACCCTTCTGAGAGATCCTGCGCATTACCCTGCTCCACCCTCAATGTTGTTTATAATTCCTCCTGATACGCGCGGCGGGCAACAAAATAGATGCTTAGAGCATGGGTTTGATGTTATCCGCGACCTTGAAGGGAGCCTCGGTCTTAGCCTTGATCTCCTCGACGGTGACCCCGTCAGCGAGTTCAATGAGTGTCAGACCGTGGGTGAAATCCACATCGAAGACGCACTGTAGGTAAGGACCGGGTCAGCATATGGCTAGATTCGACTTCCTTTCGCTGCTTTGTTCATAAGACAGCAAGCAGAGAGCAACTCACCAGTTCCGTAATGATTCTCGAAACACACGCTCTTCCAGTGAGAGGGAACTCGCACTGCTTCAGAATCTTGGGATTTCCCTTCTTGTCCGTGTGCTCCATCAAAGCCACCACTTTGGTCTTCTCTGGATTGCTCACCAAATCCATTGCTCCACCGAAGCCTTTGACCTTCCCAGGTAACATCCAGTTTGCCAGATCACCTCTCGCAGAGACTTGCATGGCCCCCAGCATAGACATGTTGATACGTCCAGAGCGGATCATGCCAAATGACTCCTCTGATCCGAAGCACGACGCGCCTGGGAGCAAAGTGACGGTCTCCTTTCCAGCGTTGATGAGATCTGGATCTTCTTCGCCCTTAAACGGATACGGACCCAGGCCGAGAATGCCGTTCTCGGATTGTAACTGGACCTCGACAGAGGAATCCACAAAGGATGGGGCCAACATAGGCATACCAATACCCAGGTTGGCGTACATGCCGTTTTGGAATTCCTTCGCGGCCCGTTTCACAATGCGTTCGCGCTTTGACGCGGCATCACCCTTGCCGAGACTGTCTTTGACGTCGGCGCCCTCCTCTTTGCGGTTGACATATTTCTCGATCTTCTTCTCGGCGGTCGATTGTACCACTTTGCTCACGTAGATGCCCGGCAAATGTACAGCGACTGGGTCAATTTCACCGACCTCGACGATGTGTTCGGCTTCGACAATGGTGACCTTGGCATTTCGGCCCATGGCACCGTTGAAGTTGTTTGCCGCGAGGCGGAATTGGCAGTTTCCGAGCTTGTCAGCCTTGTATGCTTTCACGAAAGCGTAGTCGCCTGCAATCGCTTCTTCCATAACATAAGACTTGCCATTGAACACCTTGACGTCCCTCGGCTTTCCAAATTGTGCAATGCTGCCATCCTTGTTGTGCTTTAGTGGAATCTCACCCGTCTGCACGACCGTGCCAAATGCAGCCGGGGTGTAGAATGCAGGGATTCCTTTGCCTCCCGCCGCACAACGTTCAGCCAACGTGCCCTGGGGCGTGAGTTCCAATTCCATTTCTCCAGTCAAGTACATCTGCTCAAGCACTTTATTCTCACCCACGTAGCTTGCAATCATCTTCCTCACTTGCTTAGTCTCCAGGAGCTGACCGAGGCCAGCACCTGGGATGCCGGCATTGTTTGAGACCGCGGTAAGCCCAGTAATGGACGGTGTTTTCGCAACCTCGTTTATCAGAGTGTCAGGGACACCGCAGAGTCCAAAGCCACCACAGAGGAGGGTGGAGTCGGATTTCATGTCCTTGATCGCTTCAGCGGCCGAGGGGACGACTTTGTTGATTTCATGGCGGCGCAGGGTCGACGAGAACGAGCGAGCAAAGAGGAGGTTTTGCTATTGACAATCAAATAAGAATACTGCCAATCGGCCGCTGGGATTGGTTTTGCTTGTGTTGGTCTCACGTACCTTTCGCTGGTCGCGGGTAAAGTACCTCGCTGTTCGCCAACTTCTCGATGCTTGTGAGGGGATGCGGAGAGAGGACTCGAGGAAGGACATGATGGAAGATTCGGTTTCCTTTCACTCTCGGCGAGAGATGCAGCTAAGCATTCGCTGAAATCTTGGGGGAGGACAACGTGAAAAGATCAAACAAAAAGTGAAAGGACAACAATCACAAGCAACAGCAGCGGGTGTCGAAGCAGTAAAAGGAGTTGAGAAGCCCGGCATGGTGAGCAAGTCGGCGTGTTTAAAGCGGAGATAGCATTGACAGAGCGGGATCGGTAAAGCACCCCGGAATCATTACCGCTGGTTCCAGGCAGACCAGGGAGAGTGGTACGGATCCGATGGAGAAGGATGAGAAGAGGACAGCGACAGGGAGGCGACGGTGCCAGGGGGGTTGAAGGACTTGGTGGCTGCCCACCTGGGCATACAAGTCCCATGTACAAGCACCTACTTGTACTGGGTGGTAAGCTAGGTGGCCCTTCCGATGCCGTTAAGCAGCTCGGATCCGGGGCGTTTCCTGTTCCTTCTGGGTGGCTAAAGACATAGCCAGGAGCCACAAAGGAGGCCCTCTACTTGGGCCCTACTGCACCCTCGGTCGCCCACCAAATCGAGCCTAGTTTATAGGGTGTTTGCGCCACAAACTGGTAGCCTGACGACGGCGCCAACTAGCGCTCCTTGATACCTAGTTAGGATAAAGACCTTGACTATAAGGCCTTAAACGACCTATAAATCTCGGCCGTTTAGCCGAGTTTCTAGGTCGTTTGGCCGAGGATACAAAGGCTCGGTAGATAGCCTAAAAAGGCCTAGTTACTAAGTTACTAAGTTACTAAGTTATTGCAAGTCGAGAGATATGTATCCTATAGGTAGCCCTTTCTCTTACAGCCTATAAATAGTATAGGTAGACGAAAGCAATACCTACCTACGCTATCGGTCTCTACCCTCCTAAGCTAGACGACGAGAGACTATAGTAGACCTAGACTATAGCCTATCGCGATAAGTTTCCGATCCGCGGGTATAAAGTAAAGGAGGAGGTAGAGAGAGACGTTATAATATAGTACTATATCGAGTACGTTAGCAAGTTCTAATAGGTCACCGTAAAGTCCTAGGAAGAAGACGTCCGTCTCTTTATTAATCTCACTTATAAAAGAGATTATAAATAGGTTCGAGAATAACTTTATATCCGCGATAACTAGGTTAAATAATAGAGAGAATTTCGCGAGAACGAGACTAAGAATCCCTCCGGTTATACCCTACGCGTCGATAAGTATATCTTATTAATAGATTAGTAGTATAATATCTATAAAGAGAAGGAGGATCTTAACACTCTAGATAAAGAAAATAAATTAAAGACGAAGGCGTTAGCGAATAAGTTACGGGCTAAGATAGTCGAGAAATTCTTAAATAGGACGAAGATTTTGAAGCGCGATCGATAGGTTAATAACGACGACGACGACGACGATAAGACGGAGAAGGAGCAGGAGACTAATAAAGAGACCGTCGACGAGGACCTTAAGATAGACGATCGATCTAAATAATAAGTTAGCGATTATAATAATACCCTCTCTTAACACTTAGTATATAGTAACGCGATCTAGGACCGTAGCGGCCGCGGCCGCGGAGCGTTACGTAGTATAAGTCGATTAGCTATACCTATAAGACGTAGAAGAGATACTAAACGAACGGCTAGATTAGATAGTAAATCGCTCTCGTAATAGGTCGAGAAGATAATAGACGCACTTAGTAGTAGCCTAAGCGCGCTTACGGCGATAGTAGGGATAGGGCTAGTGAACTCTTAAGCGGCTACGCCTAAGATAGAGAGAAGGTTATACAATTTAGAATAGAGCTAGGCTAAGTTAAAGACCGAATTAGGTAGTAAGTTAGATTAATTATTAAGCGTTTTATAGCCTAAATAGTAAGGGCTATTTAAGTACTATTTTATATATATTAAGATTTCAAAACGTCTTAATACCGGCGGAATAGAATAACTATTTTACTTCGCTAATTTAATTAGTTATATCGGATTAGCGCCGGAACTAAGTCTAGCCGCGATAATTTAATTAGCTAAAATTTAATATTAATCTACTAGTCGAACTTAAGAATTTTAAAAATTACTCTATAAGCTAACTTAACTAACTTAACTAACTTAACTAACTTAACTAACTTAACTAACTTATAACTTTAATAACTCTTATAATCACTATTTATTAGTTATTAAATAGCTATCTTAGAGAGTCTCTTTTATTACTCTATTACCTCGTCTAACTATATTAACGGCGAAGCCGTTATATATTCCTTTAGCGACGGCGACGTTATCCCTATCTTCCGCGAGATCTAATTACTATCGCGAATATAGATAAGAACGTTAGTTAAGAGTACTATAGATAATACCTAGCTATTAATAGACGACGAGCTAGTTATTATTCTCTATTATAAAGTTAACTTATTCTAGAGATTCTTAAGTAGTCCAAATCCGTATTCTATCTCTATTCTCCTCTTAGATATCTCTTGATTAAATAGTCTTTACGTTTCGATTATTCGACTATAAGAAGAATTCTTAAATATACTAATATAAATAGAAGAGCTACAATAGGCGAGATCTCTATATAAATAAAGCTACTTACTTTATAGCCTTCGTAGTTAGCGCTAGATCGCGTTAATCTTTCCCTTAATTCCTAACCGTTAAAGTAACGTAAAATCGCCCTCGCTAGTAACGGTAAGCCTAAAGAACGAGACTATTATTCCGTTAAGTATTATAATATCTTAGAACTTTAGGCCGTAATACTTTTTATATCCGGTATAATAGATTTCTTAATTTATAACTAGTCTAGCTATTAATATAATCGTTCTATCTACCTAGTCCTAAACTTAATCCCCTTCTCCCTACTTATTTATAGTCTCTATAAAGGTAAGGATCTTATCGGCCGTAAAGTATCGCGTCTCCTAGAAGAGCTTATCGTAAAATATCCTCGCGAGATAGATTATAACGTCGTTAAAGATTATATACTATTATTACGTCGAATAACTAAATAAATCTATAAGATCGAGAAGGCGATTCGACTAGATAAGGCGCGCTAGGGTTATATAGAGGACCTTCATAGACGGCGATCTATATCAATATCTAAACTTAACTAGATCTAGTCGTAAGAACGGTAGGATCTCGTTAACCTCGTCACGCCTAAAGCATAACCTAGCTAGGATCGCCTTATCGCTCTAATCGTTAAGGTAAAAGATAGAGGACTTATATTAAATAGGTAGACGATTAGGCCGCGGCCGACGCGATTTCCTTCGTTTCCGTCTTCTATTGGCTATAAATAAGGTTAGAGAGTCGCTAGTTATATTAATCGCGACGCTAAATTTACTACGTTATTATCGTTCCTCTTATTTAGCCTCCTCGTTAATCGCGCCTTAAGCGACGATAATTAATATCGTGGCCGCGGCCGCGGCAGTTAACGCCGCCGCTTACGCTATTATACTCTGATCGACTGGCATTTTCACGCGTATTATTAATAATAGGTATCTATAGGCAAAATTATAGAATTTAGGTATCTAAGTGAAATAACGCGTCGAAGATTATATAAGTGGATACCCTATCGAGGCTACTCAAGGCTAAGGCGCTATCCTGAAGACCTTACGTCTTCAGGTAAGCCAACGAGATTTTTCACCGAGGGTGCAGTAGGGCACTACTCGGTACTGCTCCCACCCTTTCCCCGAGAACACCCGGACGCACCCCCATCCGATGCAGCAATAATCCATAGGCGCCCGGGCAGGAAACACCGCGCTGACTTAGCAAGAAACGGCGGGTGCCAGTGAACGGTTTCTTTGCAATATTCAATCACCATTGTTATCGAAACATCTCTCGTCAAGGGGGGTATCTTTGATATCATGCCGACCCTTTGGTCATTTACCCAAATGTCCAATACTGAAAAATACAATCAAATCATGCGTAGACCGCAGGACTTTTCAAGATAACTCAATCCACCAACGCCATGCTCGCCATGCTATGCCTTTGGCCAGAATGCCCGATTTGCAATTTCGTTACACAATTAGGTGAAGCAATTTTTCCGATTTACTCTCCCTGGTATGGAGTCTCAAACTTCATGGTCCCATGCTCATCTCGTCCGAAGAGCCGTCGTTAAGGTCGTTGGCAAAGCCAGCATCGGCGTCGTTGGAAGCGGCACTCCAGCTCGCTCCGGCAGTGGCAGCGAGGCTACCGCTCATGGTTCTGCCTAGCTCATTCGTGGCTCCAGGAAGTGGGATCCTAGCTCGTGCCGCTTCCAACACTCCTAGGGACGAACTTGCCACCGATGCATCGTCATCACCACCTTGTCGGTCATTTGAACTCGACGACCATTGCCATAGGAATCCAGCTGGCGCGGGAGAATATTCCGCCTCCGAGGACTCCTGGCTGTCCTCGTCGTCATAGTATCCTTTCCCGGCACTGGACGATGAGCTTGCTGTAAAGAAGACATAACTGGGCGGTGGCAGCCGCGAAGGTTGCAGAGTCAGCTTCCTACAATTGGCAATTTGATAGGTATATCTTGCAGGTCGCTTTTGCCGGATTGTCCGCTTACCGCCACCATCATCAAGCCTTTGCCGCTTTCTGGCGATCTGGACGTCGAGCGCAAAGTTGTCCTCCGGCCGAACGCCCCCCAGACCAGAAGCTTCAAACTCAAGCGGCATTGTCTCGTCCTCTCCTGCACACGTGATGGGTGAAAGCGGCATGTCGATTTCCGGACAGCTTTGAGGCCAGGTGCTGCGTGCTTGTGGCCAAGGAGAAAGGAAATAACAAGCCTGGGCATCCCGCAGGGTGTCGTCCACAAGTTGCCGCTTCTTCTCGACACCCAGAGTATCTCGCACCCCTTTGTACCCACTCAGCGTGGCATTTGTGGGAGATTTATCACCACTGAGATCTGTGAAGAAGAAGGGGTTACTGAAAAATGTCATGTAGCCCTCGTAACCATCTTCCTTGGGTTTCAAGCTTGATCGGCTGAAGGCGCGGACGAGGCCAGCAGAGTTGGGCGACTGATCCTCGTGCGAACTCGAAGAATCCAGGTATGAATTTTTGGCCTTCAAAAATGTCCTCTTCCCTTGAAATACGATAGGTTTGTACTCGAATGCAGAGGTCGACTTGGATTGGCTTGTGGACGGCTGTCCGATTGCGGGATTTGAAGATGCTGTCGTAGACGTCATCAGGTTAGAGGTACCGCTCATCTTTCCCCTCAGGGCTTTGTCATCAGAAAGGGAGACCGAGTTCGAGGCTTCATTAAGTGTACTAGTAGCACTTCTGCCACTTTGACGGCCCGCATCGTCGCCAGTATCGTCAGAGGTGCGCTGAAGTGCCCCCTCTGGACTTTCTTGATTGCCATATTCAACTTGCGGGGTGCGCCCAATCCATCGTATTTTGTGTCCATCTTTTGATAGCTCGAACTTAGTACTCAGCTGTTTGACAGCCTTACGAATGAAGGCAGGCGTCACATTGAGCGTGTGGAGCTGAGCCATGCTCACAAGTAAATTTAGATACAACCAGGGTTGCTCTTTGATGTCGGCATTGTCTTCGAATTGTGGCGAAGACAATCCTAGATGTCGAATATACTCGATATTATCAGCGGCGACTTGTGCACGATGGATGTCGAGATCCAATGGTCGAGTAGGCCGTTGATCCGGGGATCCAGGGGATCCCGAGCTCGGGATACCTCTCCCCTCCGCAGAAGACAGTTCGGATCCGGATTGATTTCCTGGTGGCTGACCACTGGTCTCCATGGCGTCGAAATTAATCTTGGAATCGTGAGGAAGGATATGAGCTTCGCGAGTGCCTTCCACTCTCGATGTTCGGTTCAACCTCTGATCCTCACGCCGATCAGCTTTGGCGGCGGAACGAGAAATCTTCTGTTGCTGAACGGGCAAGCTGTGCTCACCCGGCGCAGCCCTCTTTCCAGTGAAGAGCTGCTCCAGTCGCTGCACCACCAACACCATCTTAGCATTCTCACTAACAGAGACGGTTTCCCTCGGAAAAAGCGAGTCTGGAATGTCGTGCAGATAATTTTCGATGTCCGTTTCCTTTTTACTCTTTGACACAGGCTCGCGTAGTCGGAGACCACTAGATTGCGACGCTGAGTGCATTCCCGAGTTAGAGATGGAGGCGTAACCTGAATCTGTATGAGTAGGATCTTGTTGTGGAGCCTTCGGCATTGATATAGCGGCGTATCCAGCACTTGAGGCAGACTTTTCCATCGGGCCCGATGAACTTGGTTGCGACGCAGAATCTCCAGTGAGGCCAGTTGCAAACTTCTTCAATAGGTCTTCCAACTCCCTCTTCTTCTCGGCTGGAAGTCCATGCAACCGTACCTCAACCACTCTATCCGGATTGCTGCTGGTGGGACTCGACCGAGCCTGCCAGTTCCTAAGAAGATGCTTCAACTTCTTGTTCTCCACGGTGAGGTCGTCAATGACTCCCCGTAACTCATCGTTCTCAGTGTCGTCTCTGGGCCGCGGGCCGAAACTCTCTGCATTGTGCGAGCGGAGGTTCTTTGAGTGGTGAAAACTGCCCTGCTGGGCGAGGTAGAAAGGAGATTCATCTATCGCGCATTAGCAAGACGGCAGGCTACTAGGCCGATGGCGGCAGTTCATCAACCTACTCTCTGGTGATCCTCTCTTGTCTTGGGAATCGAGCACGTTCTCGTTCTTGCTCGCAAACCATCTGGCAGCGCTCTGGTCACTACTCGAGTCACGACTTTCTCCTTGCGGAAGAGTCGGATGACCCTCTTCCTGCGCCGGCGACGGCTGTGCCCCTGAAATATTAGGTCTATGATCAATCTTGACTTTCTTATTCCTCGGGAGCGACTTGGATTGAGACGGATGGCAACGGCGGGGATTGCTACTGGTTGTCGACGAGAGCGCCCTCTTAGGTGACTGTGCCGGTGACTTTTGGGAGTCGGGCATGTTGCGACATTGCTCTCGCGCCGTGGTGGGAGGGTGCGCTGTCAATCAGATAATTCAAGAGTCGTATCTCGGTATTGCTGTTGCGTGGAAGTGGTTGGGTGGGTCTATCGGGGGTCGTTTCTGCACAGGGGGGCCTTTGAAGCGCCCTCGCAAACGGGTGTATTCGTAGGATTGGCTCGGTGACGACGAGGCTTCTGTAGACGAGATCAAAATTGAAACGCGGCGAGGAGGGTTTTGGCTGGTTTACACAACGTCGATGATGATCGGAAAGAGGTGAGAAACAAGAAAACATGGCCACGCCAGGTGGAGGAATAGTGCTCGCCATTGTTTCTTCCTGCAGCGCCAGGTGGGCAGTGGTGTGTGGAAATGGTAGCAGCGCAGTATTTGTTTGGTTCGATCTCCAGAGCCTTGAGGAAAGGGTGGAAAGGGCACACAGATCGGGCGCCACCATATTGAATCGCTGAAATCGCAGTCCCAAGCTCGACACCAGTGCCAAGCGTCAGCACCTGATGTGTCCGGCGGCGGGCCGAGAGTGGTTCTAGGGGTCTGCCACTGGGTGCCACGGTCTGCCATGATCTGGCCCTTGCAATGCAATCGGTCAAAGTGCACAAGAATCTGGAACCTTCGAACCATCCAATCGTCGATTTGGTCCCTCTTTTTACCACATCGTGATCCCCCTTGCCATCAGCCCACGCCTGCTAGCTGAGACATATCCGCCGTCGCCAGACTGCGGCCAGAACGTTCGAGGTCGCGGTGATCATGTTCGATTGTCGTCGCCAAAGGGTCTGCACAGGATAACGTGCGGCTGTGATGGACACCCGAATCTGCGATGGACAGGAACGATGAAAGATGTAAGGACTTCCCAGCACAATAGTCTCGTACCTTTCAGCTGCGGCTTTGGACTCCGCCGCGGGAAACCACACCCAGGCAAGACGCCCATCGTCGATCCCGGACACGGGCTGGTGCCACGTTCCCGTGCTTGGGTGCGTTTCACCTGTCATCGTGGATCGACAGGGCATTCGCTGCAGCCGAGCTGCATACCGTACGTCAGGCCGTTAAGAGTGTAAGTGAATTCGAGAAACACCGTGGAAGAGGGCGGATGGTGAACACCCCTCAACCCAACAGACCTGTCACGTGTGATCATCACGTGCGTTATTCACGTGAGCGTACTTTCCAGGAACAACCTTTTTCCATCCCAGTTTCGGACAATCTCCCTCGGGTGACCGTAATGGCTTCCATTCGACTTTGGTGATGTCATGATTTTCCACCACCAGAATTAAGCCTTCATGGCGGCATGGACACCGAGTTCAGAGGTACCTACCCATATGTACTAAGTAGGTATGTATATCCCAGCACTATGGTAGGTACTCTACCAATGTCTTGCAATATACACTATATACAATATGCCATGTTCGGATAGTCCTCACCGCGATATCTACATATCTGACTCGAGGCTAGAGTCATCAACGTTCTTTTCTTACAAATTTCGGGAGGTCCAAACTCCCTGTCCGCTCAAGTGCCCAGCTGTATCCTGTCTTAGGGGGATCAACGGCCTGCTGCAAAATCTCGAAGCTTATCGTGCTCTCTGGAGGCCGCCAATTAGCAACGATCAAAGCTGCTTCTTGAGAGCAGCTATAACTGGGTAGCACGGGCGGTCAAGCCCACTTTCTTTGCCCACTGCTACTCTGACAATTTTTATGGCCACTAGTGACTCGATCACCATTGGACCACTCGTGTGGTCGGCCATTAAGCATTGCAGCAGCAATCAAGCATGTCGCCATGTCGCCTTGCGTTGCTTGTTTGGTGCTTTTCGTCATACCCCATCCCTGACCTTCCTATCACATCTCCGTCCTGCGGGAGATCGGAGGCGATGGCGTCTTCGCCGCTTGCCCTGTTATATAGCTAAAATTTCTCCCAAGCTTCACAGAGGCTCTGATGCAGACGTTGAAAGTTCCTTTCAGGGTGTCCCTGTCTAGTCAACATGTCTGTCGCCAATGCCGGAATCATAGCTGCGGCCACCGCACCAGAGGCAGAAGACCCCAAGAAGGATGTTGAAATCAACAGCCCAAGCGATCTCGAAGAAGATCGGCCAGTCGCCCCAGACCAGTTCGATCCGAAATATGAGACTTCGAATTGGGAGCGTTGGGCCTATTAGTGAGCTCTCTCCACGTCCGAGAGGGCGGCTTCAATTTGGGCATGAAGCTCTCGATGACAGAGTGGCTGACCGACACACGCAGTGCCTACTACATTGGAAACAATGGATTGACCCTCTTCAATTTTGCGCCAACGTCATTTCAGGACTTGCTGTACGAGGCCGCTGGTGACAGCGAGAGGCTGCAATTTTTGGGTGCCTTCCGCACCATAAACAGCATCGTCTTACTCGCAAACGGCATATCCTTCGCCATTCAAGTGGCTTTGTTCCTGTTGATTGGCAGTTTGGCAGATTACGGAAAATGGCGGCCATACGTGCTCGTCTTTTGGTCGATTGTTGCTTTTGCGTTAGGTTTTGGCTGGCTGGGAGTCCACACCCAAGACAAATGGCCAGCTGCAACGGGGCTTTACATGGTAATTTGAAGTTGGAATTGATAGCATGAACTATGATTGTGTACTAAACTTGTGATGAAATAGGTTGGTTTGATTGCATATCAGATGTGCATCACCTTCTGGACGGCCGGTAAGCAAAAGCCCCAGCTTCGATTGTTCCTCTGAACGGTCCTAACGAGATACTGTTCAGCTTTTCCCGGGCTGGCGAGGAATACGCCTGAAATGAGGGAGAAGGCGGTGCAATATGAGAACAGAGAGATCAGCAGAGACGAATACGACTTTGCCGACATGATGGAGCGCAATCGCATTTACAACGTCGCATTTATCATGCAGAGTGCTGGGGAAATCGTCATCCTTGCTGTACTTGGTGAGTGTCTGGAGTCCGCAATCTGTGAAGCTCTTTCGATCACGGGGCCTGAGATTGCAAGTCCTTACGAATCAACATTGCTGAACAACGCTAACGTGTCGTTCCTGTTAGTCGGAATACTGTTCGCCTTGAACGTCAACGCCAGCGCCGCGAACAATCTGTGGGGCCTGTCAGTGCTCATCGCATATGCAACCGGTGTTTGGATCGTGCTTGCGATTCCCTGGTTCATTCTGGAGAAGCGACGACCTGGTCAAGCACTCCCTGCCGGGACCAATATCATCAGCGTTGGCTTCTGGAATATCTGGCGTGCCTTGTGCCAGATCTGGGAGTTAAAGCAGAGCTTACTGTATCTTGTCGGTGTGTGGCCCCCTCTTGTCCTTCGACCGTGATATCCGTCGGCTAATGGTCATATTGCAGGATATTTCCTGCTGGGCGATTCTTTGAACACGACGGTCACCGTGATTGCTACTCTGCAAAACTCGGTTGTCTCCTACAACACTTTGACACTAACCTACCTGCTCATTGTGGGAATTGCGGCTCAGGGGGCCGGCATTCTCATTTACTGGCTCATTCAAAAGCGCTACGGACTTAGCACCAAAACAATGTTTGACGCCGTCATGATTGGAATCCTACTGCTTGACGGTTGGGGCATGATTGGAATATGGACGCAGGCGTTCGGTTTTCATAACGAATGGGAATTCTGGTTATACCAAGTCTTTTACGGCTTGTTTGTGTGCCAGTGGTACGCATACTCTCAGACGATGATCAGCGAGGTCACTCCCCGCGGCAAAGGTAAGACACCTAACAAGCTCTTTTTGGCAATCGATTGATGCTCATGTCATCAAACAACTGCGATTGTCACAAGACTGACTCGGATCCACAGAGTTTTTGTTCTTCAGTCTTTATTCCATCATGGGAAAGACAAGCGCATTTATCGGGCCGATTGTGAGCAGCGCCATTATCGATGCAGATCCGAAGGGGAACAACAGTCTGCCTTTTTATTTCCTGTTTGGGCTCACCGGCTTGAGTTTCCTGCTATTGTTCTTCTTCGTGGACTTGAAAAAGAGCAGGAGAGAGCAGGAGAGGTTTTTACAAAAAGAGGAGGCCGCGAAGCAACGCCGTGCAAGCATTATCAGCCAAGGACGACCGATTGAAGACGAGGTGAGCTTCGATGGGGACAGCCAAGCCCAGAAGAGCGACAAACTCAAGTCATAAACTTCAGACGCTTATGGGGACGTGATACATGATATGTGTGTGGCTGGCGATAGACCGAGCCTGGCGGATGCGGTTGGAAAGAAGACGAAGCAGATTGTTGATGGTATGCCAGTGGTCTAACCGCAGTTTCTATCGTGATGGACGCATTCTTGGGGAGCTCAAGTGAATGGCTCGCGTGGCTCCAAGTTCATCGTGCGAGTACTCGGGGTGGTCCTCGTCTTGAGTCCTGTATGCTGCCTTGTCTCGACATCCTTGATGTGCGCCCTATCGCGATCAAGTCCCTGGAACGAGGTCCCCCCACGCGAATGATACCGAGGAGCGAAAAATCATAGGGCGTCAATTTGCAAAAGGACATGCAGGGCTTTTTGGTGCATCTGGATTCCCTTTCATCTTGAAACTGACCTTGACCCTTCAGGATGAACGAAGTCACCCAATGCATCGCACACACAAGAAACCATGAGTCTAGACCTGAAAAACCAAGGTGAGAGAACACCTTTTGATAAAATTCTGCTGTAACAAGGCGCAGCCGATGCCACGCTGGGTGACGACGCCCTTGGACAGAACGACCAGCCAAAAGGGGAAAGTCCTTCCTCTAAGGGTATTGACACGTGACTTAGTCTCCCAGACAGGTATGGGGTTGAGTTGGCAGATACCAATATTAGATGGTTATGCGAGAGTAGTCAGGAGGACTACTCGGTATTCGTCAGTAGAGGATTCGTGTTCGTTCAAGCAGCAGTCCAGGCGGGATGTGTTCGTGACATCGCTTCATTGAAGCTGCAGCGTGAGGCTTGTCCCTTCCACGCAACATTCGGACAGGCATGCGCCCCAAGGGGATAACTTTCCCTTTCTGTGGCAAATCTAGTCTGCGTGCAGCGTACGAAGGAATGAAGAAACGGAATACATGGAGACTACTATTCTGATCTTCTCCCCGGGTTTGGGAGAATACAACGATATCGATTAGTTTTGTTCGACCCCTCGTGTTTCGTACTGCTTATTCGGAATCGGGGCATCTTGTACGATAGGTAAGCAAGCCAAGGCATTAATCCTGATAGTTTGGGGACGGGGCCGAGGGTGTGGTTGAGGTCCGCCACTGTTTTCGTTCCGAGCTTCAGGGAACCCGGAATGCGAAGCGGCCGACCGTAGAGCGATCCCCTCAGGGATAATCAATCCATGGGCAAGACAATTAAAGACGTGTGAAACGTGGCATGGTTCGCACAATTGTCCCGTTGCAGAAGTGACCGGTCGCAACAGCGTGGTAGTGGTGGTGCAGCGCAACAGAGCCCGAGTTCTCGCATGGACTGTTGCTCTGGCATAGAAGGCCGCGGACATAGGTATGTAGACTCGAACAGGGGGTAGAGGGCGCAGGGCGTACAGCTCGTTTTAAAGTGATGCCAGGTTGCGTATCACAGCCATCCCGTCATCAAACAGCAAAGGACGGCAATAAGCCACCATAAGGCCCCGTAAGCCCATGCCCAGAGAGGGGGCACTCAGGCGGGGTGGTTGTTAAGCCATTGCCCTTTGCGAAGTAACCCAGTCCTCGGCCGGACGAGCATGGTTGATAATAATCTCCGTGGACTCGGCCGGCCTCAAGGCCGTCGCTGGGCGTGTCTTCGTGGTCATTTCTCCATGCGGTGAAGGTCACGAAGGGAAAGTCCAAAAGCCAAAGGCCCCAGGATTGGCCCAAACGGCACTGCGCATCCGACGGGCCAATTCAAAGGCCCTTCTCGGGCATTGCGCAACAAGGCAGCAGCCAATCTTCTGCGCTGCCACTGTTGGCGTTCGCTAGGCGTGAGTCAAAAGTCATTTCTGATTTGATTGACGGATCATGGATTATTTCGTTCTCCCGCTAGTCGCTTGTCAATGGGCGCTGACGAGCCCTGCGCCCTGGGACTCGCTCGACGCTCTCTTTTCGTACGCCCGTCCGCGTATCTTCTGCGAGGTGCAGGAGGATTTGGCTCCGACTCGGCTCACGGGGTTTACTCAACGCACCTTACGAATACGCACCGCAACAGCCCGGTGGAGTAATATGGTTCCCACGGCGATAATACCATGGCGGCTGTGTGACTCAGGCATCCGTTTATTTGAAACCATAACCTGCATCAGTAAGTGATATAATAATATAGGTTGCAACCTCGTGTCAGTCTTAGTCGAAAAAACTTCTTCCCTCAGACAACAATTCAGTCAAGTTTCCAAGGGACAGAAAACAAACACTTGCAAGTCGCCGGAAACGTTTTGCCATTCGAGGATACGCCTGGTACGAACGTGCAAGATCCCCGGCCCCGTGACGACAAAAATTCATCCGAGTTTCAGCCTTCACATGTCAGAGCGAGGCTCTAGCGGCCCATTGGGATCCTTTGGATACAACAAAACCAGAACCCACCCTGAGGACCTCAACCCAATTTTTTCTTCATTCAGTATCCACCGCAAAACTTTTCCATTCACATAGGCAGACACATATACTGAGTGTCTCGCTCTCTACACTAAACCAACCAATACACAACCGCCAAAAACGGACTTTCAATACACACCAAAATGCCTCTATCAATGATGGAACCGCTCAGCAGACCGCCTTCGCGCGACCTCACACCAACCCGACGTCTGTCTCGCGAAGAAACATATCACCTGGCCGATACCGCACGGAGAAAGTCCTCGGACAAGTTTGTCCGCGAGGATCTTCGCCTGAAACTCAGCCATGACCACCTGCTAGAGTTGCTTCTCCAAGATATCGCGCGAACAGAGCGAGAACGCCAAACATCACCGACAGACGAAAAGTACTTGATGCCACAGGAGAGAAAACGGCCGGCGGCGTCGTCGTCGCCGGAAGCACAGACGGACTTGGTGGATGAGTACGGGTTTCCGCTGGATCTGGAGGATGGAGAGGAAGACCTGGGAGGATTGTCGTTGACACGGACGCCATCGCGAAGGCCCGCGAGATGAAAGGACAGGCTATTGGATGAGTTCTGCACTCTACACCTGTATTCCCCCAATCTCATGGGACCCGACACGATTTACGACCACTTGATGTTGACGACTCTTTTTTTTCTACTGGTTTCAACGATACCCCCCCAGCGCAGAAAGCGATTTACATTTTGATCACGCACACGCCAAAGCTACTACTACGGCTTTGCGAATAATGGAAGATGGATCTTTCTGAGATGTCCCCAACATTGAAAGCGGACAATTTACCCTCGAAAGACCATATGGCAGGAGATGACGGACGGACGGACGGAAGACCGGAGACCCCAGCAGCGGACTAGTTGACGAGGTATAGAAGCCAGGGCCTTTTTTTGTGCGAATGGAGAGCGATCAGTCACAAGCTATTGGATGAGTCTTTCAGCACTCTACACCTGTGTCCCGCCTCCCCTCGACACAAAAAGGACCTGCCTCTATCCCGTCTTTGGGTACTCTGGAGAAAAGATCCTCGCGGAAACGCGCACGGAGAATGATGGATGAATGGGGAAGTTTAATACAGACTGGCAGATAGTTCCTCGTCGAACTGAAGTGAAGAGGATAAAGGGAGGAACAAATGAAAACATCCTCTCAATTTCAATGAAAACAAAAAATGATTATCCTTATTCTTTGTTCCCAGCTCCGTACTCTGTCGTTTCTCCTATCAATTCATCTGTCCACTCTACCCGTATGAGCATGTCCGTGCCAACAGCTTCGGGCACCGGGCACCGGGCACAGCTGGCTGTGCGTATGTGGTTTCCTCGAACAGAATCCCTCACTGACCTCCATGCATGCATATCCAACCCACCGGCCGCTCCAACCCCTGCCTGGCCCATGATGCGAAGGAAAAATTTCCCCGAAAACCCAGCGCCTTGTACGGCGCCCGGCGGCGAGCATTCCAGAAGGGGCAATGGTCCCACTTTCGCACTTAGGGAATTACGAGTCCAAGGACAAGGGTCCCCAACGAAGCCTGAAAGTTTTGGAAACCTTCGCGTAACTATTTTTTGGCTGTAGCATCATAGTATTGTAGAAGGCCATGACTCACTCAGGAATTGGACAGGGAAAAATTGACAGAAAGGGTAAGATCATAAAGCATTCTCAGTACTCGTAGACGTGTTAGGGATAACATAGGAAGAGCAGTGACTGGTCCTCAGCTACTCGGAGTCTACTGCTCGTATGCAGCCACCCGCGGAGCCCGCAGATAAAGTTTCTTACACAAAAGGGTGGAGAACGAGAGTTAGAGAATCTTTCTTACTCGTTCAAAAGTGGCCCGTTCTTTCGGGTCTCGGCACACTGTCACCAAGAGAAAGATGCCTCGGATCACTCATTGGGACGGAAAGATGTTGAGATGTTTTGATGTCGTGATGATAATAGGGGAGATCATTCCTATCATTGTTGGGCGCCTCTGAGAATTTTTGGTGGAGCATTGGGTCGAATTGCGTGTTGAGGGATCCAATGTGACATTCGAGGGATACCTGCCTGGTAGATAACATCCCTATCAGGATCGATGATGAAAAGGGATCGGAACGCCGACTCGTGAATCCGTTCCATTCTTTGATAGGATGAACAAATTGGCGTCTACGAGAATTCCGTTGTTGTCGAAGTCGGAGCTGAGGAGACAAGCCCGATTCGATGCAGATTGACCGCTTGATCATTGATCCACATCGGGCACAGGCGAACAGAATTCCTCCATCGACTTTTGAGTATCTCAGAGTTGCTTGGCCCGGATCAAGCGGCCCACCAATATTAGGTAAGGTCGAACGAGCCGTCCTTCCGCCATCTTTGCACTCGTACGACTTCAAATCGATGGGAAAAAGAACCTCGGCTCGATCGTACGTGCACCGAGTCTTGACACAGCACTTATGCGCATTTCGAAATCCCATGGCCGGCCAGGTCGACACGGGGCACTGTGAGGCATTCCAGGATGGCCCTTCACGTGATCGGCCATAACAGCGAGCAGGAAGATCAGATCCCAAAAGGCACCCAGAAGGGTTTGTTCCGCATGTCGCTTCGCTGAGACAGAGTAAAGATCCATGGCAACAAGCGGTCACCGGTGCCAGCAAGGGGTTCTTCCCGTCCTAACACCGCCGGCGGCTTTGCTCCTGAGAGCTCGGTGACCTGAGTACGCCAGCTGCAGCAGATCGGCGCAAGCCACGACACCTGCCAATCAGACATTTCAGGCTTGGTCGAGAAGTCCAAGAATCCTTTCTGGGGTAAGACATGTTGGACATGGTTCCTTGCACAGAGCAGTCTGGGGGATCAGCGCGATAGCGAGCCTAACCAGTCTTCCACAGTGAAGCCAGACGGCCTGTGATAATGCCCTGGTCTGCGGATCGGTATTTTCTCGGGCTGCGGGTCCAGTCCTTCTGGCATTGATTGTGGTGATATTGCAGTGGTTCAGACCGCAACGACTGAGCAATAGCTTGAAACATCAATCTCCCTGCGGCGCGCGTGCTTCCCGACTACCTTTCTACCCCAGGCAAGCGGAGCCGCAGTTTGGTACTAAGAACCGCTCTTAGCTCATAGCTCAGCTCAAAGCCTAAAGGGCAGCAGGTTGACCACGTTGGAAGTGGTCAAGACACTTCAGGTTCCCCAGATAATGGCGAGGCGCAAGTGTGTTACACCGCAACTCCACTAACTTCTTTCTTGGTCTTGTGATCGAAATCAATGCCGGACCATATAAGCTTTGGAGAGACGTACGATCCCCACTTCCAGTAACTGCTGATCCTCGGACGAAGAAGGACATGTTTGTTAAAATCCGTGATGACAAAAGCATGATCTACCAAGAGGGAGAGGAGAAGGCTGCGCCTGCCACTGTTTGCTCCGCCCTAGTGTTCGGCCAACTTTCCCTCTTGACCCGGATAAACCTCGGCTCTATGTCGGAGCTTTCCAAAGTTATTCCGACAATCCGCGCCGCTGCTCTTGCTGCAACCTTGACAGCTTCAGTCCGCCGCTCAAGATGGCCGGTCCTTATGGACTGCGAGCTTAGTCTCTGTGTTTATATGGGCGCCTCGAGATGTCCTGCGCTTCTGGCACTCCTCATACTCCCTCTATAACCTGGTTTGTATTGTTGTAAGGAGCCTTGCCACTATCCACCATAATCACCCGCGCAAACGCCTACAATGGCTTTCATCCGCATGTACCAGGAGTCGGACAAGGACGCAATGATTCATATCGTTCGTCACCCGGCCCCACGAGCTCAATGACCATCTTCTAACGCGTATCTATTTTCGTGAAACTGCCGCTCCAGATCTACGCAATGCTGGCGACCCCGTCCTGCATTATGCCTCATTCCTATGGTGTCGACCCTACCTAATGCTAGAACCCGAAAGCTGCTTCGTTCTCGATGATGGTAACGGTCTTGCAGTAGGGTACCTGCTCGGCGTCCCTGACACTGCCTCATTTGTGCAAAAGTATGAGGACTCCTATATTCCGTACCTCCAATCGCAAGGGTTTGAAAAGCCAGGGCCAGACGAGCAGACTGGCTGGAAAGAAAACCTCCCAAACGCACTCAGACAAATCATGTTCGGCCCACATGCGATGCTGCATACACAACATCCTCAGCTGTTGGAGCAATGGCCAGCGCATATGCACATTGATATACTAATCCCGTATCAAAAGCAAGGCTGGGGTCGGCGATTGATCGAGCGGTTTTGTGGTGTGGCTCAAGAACAAGGCGTAAGGGGTCTTCATCTGCTCATGGCAGCATCGAACGAGGATGCCGGGAAATTCTACCCTCGTGTGGGATTTTCTCGTTTCCCCTATGTGATTGATAACGGTGTCAGTGGCGAGAAGGGCAGAGATTCAGGTACCATCTGGTTCGTGAAGTCTCTGTAAGCCATCCCGACTGACCATGCATCACATCCTCCTTCAAGCCCTAGCAATCCGGACGTATCTAATCATGTCAGCGATCACCTTATCGTATCCTTCCTGTCCACATTTTGTCGGAAAGCCACGATGTACCTCGTATTCGGTAGAAACACCTCCATTGAACGACAAAAGATTGATAGCTCGTCCTTGGATATTGACCAGATCCCAACCTCGCGATACCTCGCAATACGGTGTATTACTATTCCGCCTAGGTTGCCTCTAGCTTGGTAGGCCTGAGAGATCTGTGGTCATTTCTAGTTCACGTGAGGATCATCTCTTGACTTATCTCGCATGTTAGCATAGTCGTTGATCCGAGATAAGCACTAAACAGTGCTAGCGGAGTTGCCGGCGCTGGGACGCACTCCAGAAGTCTGGAGTATGAAGCACAAAAACACAAGTCCAGTTGTAAGCACTCGTTCTTCCGCATGAAAATAACTTCTGAAGAACCCACTCGGAGTATCACCAGCAAGGTACGTACGAGTAGGGTGCTCGTACTTGTAGGTGGATCATCAGGGTCTGAAAGCTTGCGTGAGCCGCCTTCCCAGGCGGTTAAGCGGCCGCTTTCCTACAGTATGATCTGATATCTCATCCATACAGTGATGAGACAGCCTTTTCTTGTTCAAGGACATCTCAGTCAGGCCATTGAGATTTTTCTCTAGACTAACCTGTCGCGTAAGCTTCGCGGTTCCAAAGCTTTCCAAATTGACATACTATTTATTTAGATGGCCAGAGAATCTCCAAACCCCTCGGTTCCTGCTGACTCTTGCTCCACATCCTCAGGCCCCCCAGTACACGGTAGGAACGTTACGTTCGAGAAGAGGACGGAGTCATGATAAAGGACGCTCTTTTCTCTTCCCGTTCACGTTTGAAGTCTGCCTCAGCAACATCGAGGTAGAGTTGCCCCTGGGAGTTACCTTCATTTCCAACTCTCGGCGCGCAGTGGCACATTCAACAACGTCGCTCTCAGGAGTTTTCCATCTTTGTCAATCAGTCATGGTCTTTCTGGCGTCGGGGCCGGTGCCCGAGATACCCAACAAAGACATCTGCTCCTGGATCTTCGATGAGCCGAAGTACGACGTTAACAAACCAGTGAGAATCCCCAGTGCGCCTCCAAAAACCGTTGCCATGAGAATGCCTTTTCGCTCACGCCACGGACTCTCAGATCTTCATTGATGCGACAAATACAAATCGCTCCATATCACACCTTCAAGCTCGCAAGATCATCCGTCAGTTGATACGCGGCCTTCGCAAGGCTGGCGTGAAAAGGGGTGACTGTGTCCTCATCCACTCCTTCAACGACATTTACTATCCGATAATCTTTCTCGCCATTGTCGGCGCCGGAGCCGTGTTCGCTGGGACGAATCCGGGCTACACGCCGCTGGAGCTGCGGCATCACGTTAGCATCAGCAAGGCCACTTTCCTCATCAGCGAACCGGAACTACTTGAACCTTTGATGCAAGCAGCCGGGGATACTGGAATTCCCCGATCCAATGTCCGCGTCTTCAACACACAGCCGCATCAGTCCGTGCCGGAAGGGTTCACCAGCTGGACCGACTTGATGCAGCATGGTGAAGAGGACTGGGTGCGCTTCGACGACCTCGACACGTGTGCAAACACGACGGCCGCCCGACTGACAAGCTCGGGGACAACGGGCCTGCCCAAAGCGACCATAACTTCGCACCGGAACTTCATTGCCCAACACGAGCTCTGCTACAGCCCAGTGGTGTACAACAAGCCGTACGACGTCATCAATCTGTACTCTACGCCCATGTTCCACGCCGCCGTCGCGCCCCGATGTCACACGTCGACGTTGAAGCTCGGGGAGACGTCGTACGTGATGCGGCGGTTCGAGCTGGAGCCGTTCCTGGCCAACATTGAGAAGTTCCAGGTGACGGAACTCTATGTCGTGTCGGCCATGGCCGTGGCCATGGCCATGTCCCCGCTCATCACCAAGTACTCGTTGAAGTCGATCCGGCACGGGCTGGCGGGCGCGGCGCCGCTGAGCAAGGAGACGCAGGCGGCGGTCAAGCCGTACCTGGGCCCCGAGGCGCCGTTCGCGCAGGTCTGGGGCATGACCGAGGTGACGTGTATTCTGACCATGTTTCAGTGGCCCGAGCACGACACGACGGGATCGGTCGGCCGCGTGATCCCGGGCATGGACCTGAAGCTGGTCGACGACGAGGGGCGGGACATTTCCGGCTACGACGTCGTGGGCGAGATGTGCGCGCGCGGTCCCACCGTGATCAAGGGCTACTTCAACAACCCGCAGGCCAACGCCGAGTCGTTTGACAGTGACGGCTTCTACCACACGGGCGACATGATGTACTGCGACGGCCGCACCAAGCTGTGGTACATCGTCGACCGCAAGAAGGAGCTGATCAAGGTGCGCGCCTTCCAGGTCGCCCCCCCAGAGCTCGAGGGCGTCCTACTCACCCACCCTGACATCGTCGACGCCGCCGTCATCGGCGTCCCCGCCGCTTCCGAACTCGACGGCGAGGCTCCCCGCGCTTACGTCGTGCGCAGACCCGGCGTCGACCCCAGCCAATTGACCGAGAAGGACGTCTACGACTGGGTCGCCGAGCGCCTGTCCAAGTTCAAGCGTCTCGACGGCGGCGTGCGCTTCGTCGACGTCATCCCCAAGAACGCCAGCGGCAAGATTCTCAAGCGCATCTTGAGGGACGAGGCCAAGAAGGAACTGTCCATGTCGAAACTATAGACGGGTTCTAACATGTGGTTTAATTCCCGGGGTGTTTATGTAATTTGAGCGGATCTGCCCAATGGACGGCACGAATCAATAGAGTAGCGCGGCTTGGCTGGTTGGATAGAAGGCTAATGGTTTCGCATTTGAACCGGGGGGGATGTTGGTCTTGTCAATAATATTGATTTGTCGGCTTACTTGGATGAGCCCGATCCCTGAATCAAACCAGTCTCACCCGACACTTGCTCATCCACCGGCGGGACGAGCTCAAATGACCGTGGCTGTATCGCGAGCAATGTCCATATCAACCACAATGGTCGGAATGGTCGGAAGCTTTGGGAGAACCCCAACGCGGGGAGGCTGGGGGTTGCAACCTTCATATATTGCCCACACGAGATTGGCGACGACATGTCGACGAGTCCGCTTCTGGGGAGACCAAGGGCTACATATGTATCCGGGGGTCGAACGGGGAACCGATCTGACAATAGCTTGTGATATAAGGGGCTTCTTTTGAGGCTCCTCCCAACCAATGTCGGTAAACAATAGGCAGGTATTATCGGATACCTAAGGTATCCTGAAACAAATTGGTATATATATACAGTACACAAATACAACGTCAAACAAATAGGGGTGCCTTTCCCCCCTGTGAACCAGCCAATCGCTTCAACAAAATAAAGAACAAAGAATCCCGCCATCACTCCCGTGTAGGTGGGTGGCCACCAAAGCCCATGACAACGAATCCTGGGAGCATTGAATCATCACAGCGTTAACATCTGTCGGTCTTCTTGCCGCTCGTCCTCCAGTGCCCTCAGCAGTCATATATGATTTGACCAGCCAGCCGAGATGTCGAGGTTGGTAGGCTCTCAATTGACGTCTCCTGGAAGGAAAGAGACCCCTGACGCGGACCTGGTCCCATATGAAGGAACACAGGTTGCCGGCGCTCTTGTGTTTTGATCGTGATTCCCATTGTCCGACCTCCCCCACCCAAAACCAACCATCGCGCTCGAAAATGGGATCAATGGCTCATTTACCTTCACGGGAACAAGGCTGTCGAGGCGCCCGACAGGAAGCGGCAGTCGCAGAGGCTTTGACGCAAGACCTCGTTCCTCAACGCCACCACCTCATCGTGCAGGGCCGAGACGAGCGAGGTCTGCATCTGCATCTTCTCTTCCTCCTTGCGGCACCGCTGTTGGAGGTGCTCAATGAAAGCCTTTTGTCGATTTCGGCATTTTGTCGCAGCTCGGCGGTTCAGCTCAAGCTCCCGTGCGTGCTTTTCGGAGCGAGGAGCGATGCGGCCGGTCGTGCTTTTCTTTCGACGAGCGGGCGTGTTGCGGGGTCGGTAAGAGTCGTCATTCAGCTCGAGAGACGCCAGGGACATGCGCCGGAGGAGCTGCTGGTGGTTTAGGGAAAGAGAGCTGCTAGTTGTGGTCGAGTCTATGGAATCCTTTCGTCCCAGGTTAGAAGAAGTTTGGCTTGATGGCGACGTGGACCCATCGGCATCACGAAGGTGAAGGTCATGAGGCTGGACAAACTCAGGCGTCGGTCTCTGTGGGACCAGGCTGGGCAAAGCTGTGGTTCCCGCTGGCTGTTGGAAGAAGAGATCATGGTTGCTGAAAACAGGTGATTCTTGATTGTCACCTTGATTATGGTATGGGAAATCGAGTGGTGGCACTTGCCAGGCGTTGGCAGGGTCTGCTAGGGCAGGCGAAATCGCAAATTCGGTGTTTAAAGCCATGGAAGGGAGCCTGGGTGCGTTGATATGGTCTAAACAAAACTTGATGACTGTTCAGGGAGCGTGATCACGAATGATCTCAAGGCCGTTCTTGTATCGCTTGGTGCAGCCCATATTTGTGGGGGGGCCGTTTGAAAAATAGGATATGATGTAGGAGTTCATTTAGTGACTTTCGTCACTGCTCGCGCAAAACATGCTCCAGGATCAATGATCCGGGTGTTTAGGTAGGTAGTGGTGGTGTTTTGGAGCCGGTGCTGAAGTCTTGCGTGCTCATTGCAGCGGGAAGTTTACTCCGGTCAGAAATGGGGACGGGTTTCCACAATTTTGGAAAGAACAGGAAAAGGGCGGGCGTCGGCTAAAGACATGGATAGCAGGTGTGGTGAAAATGTCCCAGGGAGGGGGAATGCCGCCAAGGGGAAGCCCCTGCCCCAACAGAACAGCCAACCTCGCAGTGAGGAAGTAGCGTTTCCGCAAAGCTAGATAGCAGGATCTGAGAAAAGTACCTCGTACCACGCCCGGCAAAAGGAGCCGGGATCGACAACACTCCTTCGGGCGACTGCTTCTCGGGGTTCCTCTTCCTGGCACCCCTTCAAGATGCTGATTTTGCCTGAACATGTGGGATTCTTGCGCGTCGTTCTCGCGTGCTTTGTACCCGGTCCGTCAATGGTGCAGAACATCCCCCAAGAGGTAATCGTTTTCCAGGCGAGGGGAAACCACCAAACCAGGGCGGCCTCGTTTATTTGCCTCGGCGGCCGGGCTTAGTAGTATGACAGGGCTAGTAAGAATTGACGACTGGAGGCTGATGACTGCATTCTCCAAGTGCGCACCCCCGAACACCATTCCCGGCTCAGTGGGCAAAGCGAGTTGTACTGTCCAGGATTGATCAGTGATTGGAATGCGATGAGAAGGAAATACCTACTCATTACTCCAAATGGGACAAGGCGGATAACCCCGCCATTGCCCCACTAAGGACACTTGCCATATCCCCGATACCTATCAGGGCTCCCATTGGTCAGTCACGAGTATCAGGTATCCACTACCCTACTAGAGGCGGAACCAGACGTGTCCAGGAGAACAACTCCAGTGTCTGCTTCAATTTTTACTGGCTACTACTAGAATGCCAGAATGCTTAGTTGAAAAAGGCAAGTGCCTGAGAGATCTGAGGGCCGCCGAGAGAGCGCCTTGTGGGTGCCTTGTACCTCGTGAAGGGCCTGATTCGGTGCCCCTCATGTCAGAGTATCTGACATTGTCCTCGAATGCGGGCCCGCGGCTATAACGGAGTGCCCTATCTCGTGTTCTTCGAACCCCCTCAATTTGTTGCCTCCAAGTCTGAACATGGTCCTTGGCTACGTCATCCCCGCCACCACCTTTCTCGGCCTGATTGGTCATGAAAGTAGGAGAAAGTTGAGTCTTACCTGTTTTTCCACGCTCGTGGCGCTTTGATCAAATCAGGACCAGGCAGCAGGTCACCCTCCCTCCCACCCCAACCAGTTTCAGAGAAATCTGGAGAGATTGCCCAATACTTTTGGTCTAACATGCCTGTAGCTTGCTAGCACGAATGCCGTTCGCGCAGTACCAACGTGCTGCACATCTCCTCGCACCATTGCCCACACTGCAAGCCGATCTCATGTCAGAGATTTTCCAAACCAGGTTCCACCGCGCCTGGCCACGCGTGGGCCGTGAATTTGGATAACAAGCACGACCCTGCGCCCACAATATTCTGACATTCTTTATTTTTGAGACTTGTTTAGTTTGCTTGCAACATCACGTGTAAACGACCATGAAGACCCTGAAACCAGCGACCAAGCCGAGTGGCAACGCAAAGACGACGTCCAAACCCAGACGGAGAACTTCTCGAGGCAGGACTTCGAGAGCGTAAGTTCTTCCTGTCTTCATCAGGAATGTTCAAGGCATGACTTCCTGATGCCTGACCTCGGAGCAAAACATACTGATTCCAGTGCCTTATGATACAGGTGTGATCGATGCAGACTCAAGAAGGCCAAGGTCAGTCCGTCAATGCTATTTCCATGGATTCTATTGATCATCTGGCTAATTCGTCAGCAGTGCGATGGAGACCAGGCATGCAAGCTCTGCCGGGCAACCGACAGCGAGTGTGTATATTCGGCCAGAAGACGAGAGGCCAGAAATTAGTAAGGGAGCATCTGGGTCGACGACTATAACTTGGGAACTGAGCTGATTGATTTCAAGTTACTATCAAATGCGAGAAGTCACCGATCTTGCTCTGCAGAAACTATATTGGGCCTGTCGACGAAGGACTGGCTTTCCAGGAGACATACCCGACGAGTCGAATGGAGAGGTCTCGACAATTGACATTTTGAAGGGACTGGGCCTATGGAGGCCAAGCCTCGATGAATCCAACTTTCCCGGCGAGGTGGAACAAGCGGCACACACCTTCCACAACAAAGGGCGTGGGCAGAGACGACTGCAGGCAATTATTGCGCGCGACGAGCTGGAAGAAGTTGAGAAGCAATCAGATGCATCGACCGGTTCGTCGCCCAGCAGCCCTCGAACGTCCAACGCTGGGGTGGCTGTAACAAGAACGAATACCACCGGCAACAGCACGAACACCAGCCTGCCATTGGAACTAGAATCCGAGGTTCCGACGCTGTGCGAGGACATGGACATGAAGAGGCAATTCGAGATTGCTTCGTCGCTGTCGCCCGCACCCAGGTCCGCGAACCATTCCAGTAAGAGGGCGTTTTCCCACGACGAACAGCCTTTCCTTCGAGAGACCCTCATGGAGCCGCAACTGGACGTTGATGCCTTTGTCGACATGAGTCTGTGCACGTCGCCGGTACCGCAGTCAAGCCCTCCATTTTACGGCCAATCGATGACCTTCAGCATGCCGGCCTTGAGCACCCTGCCTGCCATGGCGACCCTGCCTCAGTTCCCCTACGGACAGTCCCCACACCAACCTTCACGCGACGCCCTCTTCGATAGCTATTTGTCGGTGTGGCCTGGGTCTACGGTGGCCGCCCATCGAGCGGCGCCAACCGGGTGATCACGATTTGGTGCTCGACTTGTTTCTCTTTATCATATGTTTATATTGATTCGGATCAGAGCCCCAACCAATGCCGCTCCTACTGGAGGGCCAGGGGCCTATGGGGGGGACAAAGGGCTATGGGGTGGTTTGTGTCATCGATCTAAATATTATCAATTTGGGCAGGGGGTCAGGCGCCGTACGGACTATTCCATATCTCGGGTTATTTATGAGTACCCCCACCGTGGGAATTTGTATTGTTTGGTCCTCTGTGAACTCTATGCAAAGTTACCCTCGGTGTTGGCTGTGGCGAATCAAATGGGAAGAACTCAGATTGTATGTCCATCTGCCGTGCTTTCGTGATAGCTGTAAGATGTGTGTGGAATGCCCAGTCACTCCTCAAACCTCCCTCGCACACGGCAAGGCCGAAGACATCTCCACTAGACTTTGGATAAACCACAACGACCACACCGAAACTCCTTGCGGCGGCGACTTGGCCATTGCTTTCCCGCTTGCTCGCAGTTCGGCCCCAACTTGGGCAGCGGTTCGCTTGGAAGTACTGCGACGCTTTTTGCGTTTTTGCTAGCTGTAGAACAAGCTTCTGCGCCATCAGCACCAAGTTCCGCAGCTAGAATATCCGAGTCTCCATATATTGACATGTCTGACAAAGGCCCTCTCCATGATCTCCAGCGGATCAGCGACCCCGATCGTCTGCAATGTCACACAATCGTGATGATCACTTGGGAGAAGGGTTCCCATATGTCACCGGCTCCTCTTTTCGTTTCTCCATGGAGATGTAAATGCGAAGATTTGCCCCAGTGCTGGAGAAAGGGAAATACTTTTGGCGTTCGGGGAGATGGCTCGGCTGGACAGAGAAAGCACCCTCGGGGAGAGCTTAACAGGCCGGAGATGCGCTCCAGCTTGGCCCTTGTCGGGCAAGTGATCGCCGGATTGTCGCCTCCCTCGTGTTGGTAGCAATCATGCAGCCAGCTGCACGCATTCTGGAACCCTTTCGCTTATGCGGGGTAATGAGACCAACTGGAATTATCTTCCAGGCGCATCTTGTCACCAGTATTCCCAGTGAAGGGGGCTAAGCATAACTCTGAAGTCTCGTTGGCAACAACTCCGTCCAGCAGATGACATTGCTGAGCCTGTAACGGCTGAGGAGCCGCATACATATATGCACCCCAATGTAGCTGCATGTAGACATGGGTTATCCAAATCCTTCTTGCGTCCAGCAAAGTGGAGGGTTTGTGCACCTGGCTATCGTGGGCTGACGGGTCAACGAAGGAGCTGATGAGACCGGAAAAGACAACCGGGGACGCGGTTCCAGCTCTGATAATGCCAGAAAATCCTTGACCCACCAGGTATCCCTCAACATCTCAGTATATGAGGGGATCGGTATTGCTTATGTCGATGGCATTGATAAGTAGCCCACCGGGCACATCTGTCCATCCTTGCGGCTGCGTGCAGACTCCAGTCTAAAGACTTGACTGGGTGCCGGCGAGACCTGGATGCTAGTCGGATCCGCGCATTGGTGACAGAGCGGGAGAAGGCTGGCTGCCCCTGAAACCGTTCTTACGTTTTTCGTTCGCCGGCAATAATGTACCTTTCTTCCCCTGCCTATAACACAGGTGGCAACTGAAGCTTCATGCAAGCGACACCGAGGTCTCGCCATATCAGAGATTTAAATGCTCCATAATGACAAGGAGTCAATATCTATTCAGAGGACCGATCCTACTGAATATTTTCGATCGTTGGAGTGTGAACATTCCCCATCCATCTTCAGCCTTCCATACCTTCCAATTTCGTGTTTGTGCTTTTGAACCCACGCCAATATCCTAACCTTTCAGTCCTTTCGGCACTTCTGGCTTTGCCAGCTGCGAGGCGAATGGCGGTGGGGGCTCATGTCTTCAAGTGGAACATGCTCTGGATGCTGAGGCAAGCTCTTGTAGCTTCATGTAGCTTCCAAGCTTCCTAGGCAGGCAACCTAACGCGTAGTCCACAACGCAGTTCCATACGGTGTTACCACCTTTTCGGTGCCGAGAGCATTGTGCGCGAAAATGATGCACTTGCTTGTTCAAGCTTCTTCTGTCTCTCACGGGCCACTATTCCCGTGCGGTCAGTCACTGGCGTGGCGTTCGCAATTTGATCGAAGTCGTCGTAGTCGTCCTCGGCAGAGCCTGATTCTGCGTCTGAATCAACCAGCGGCGGTGGCTGTTCTTTCGAGTGAAGTAGCGTGTTGGAGTTATTCTTATCGATTTCGTTCTTGTCTGACTGCTGGATATCGTTCTTTGGTGGCTCCGCAGGGAAATTATCCGTGAATAGCTTGGAGGCGAGGATCTTGCGGCGGATCTCAGCCATCTCGGCCTCTTCGTCATCATCTTCGTCATCAGGGGGCAGTTCCAACGGTACGCCTTGCTGTAGGTTGCCGTGCCCATCATCTGCATCGGAATCCGAGCCTTCATCTTCCTCGCCATCTTCTTCATCGGACTCATAAACCTCTCTCCTATTCATATTCCCACCAGCCCAGTCATCTTCTCCGCCAGCAGCATCTTTGTTGAGTCGACTGTCTGCGTATTCTTTCTCCAGCTTGGCGAGCCATTTTTCTTCGGCTTTCTTCATCTCTTCTTCATTCTGACATGCGGCGTATCGCTTGAAGAGCTGGGAATTAATTTCGAGAAACGGCTTCCCGTAGGGAAAATGCTGTAAGATGATCTCTGCCCAGTCGTCGTGCCCACAAATGCAAAAGCAGGCGGCAAGTGCTTCGACACAGTTAAGCCTCCACGGCCTCCCATAATTGACGGGATTGGCGGCTACAAGATAAGGAAGAAGCCGTTCACATTTCCCACCTATCCTTGAAAAGGGAACTTCCTCTAACCTGACCCATGAACATTCCACCACCGCGGCGCCGTGCTGCTCAAGTAATTCTCGGTCTGCTGGTGATAGAATCTGTTTCGCGTTGGGCCTGGAGAGTCGGTCAACAGGCGAAAGAGCTTTGAAGGAAGTTTTACTCACGAGATGACTACCCCCGGAAACTTCTGACCCACGGGCAATTCTCGCATCATACCAAAGTGCATGAGTCTCTTGCCGCTGCAGCGCTTTGAGTCGCAGTGACCGAAGTCCCAGCATGCTGCTTTGAAGGGCGGACGTTCAGGAACGGCATCATCGTCGCCTCCTTCTCGAGGTTCTCGTGTTGAGCGAGGGGTATGCCGCGACCTGGTAGAATACTTTTTGGACTTGGACGACGCACCGTCTTTCTTATGTCGTACCATCGTAGCGACGAAGCAAGTATACCAGGTAGAAGTTGAGACAGTGGCACAAGAAAATGTCCTGCTTCTTTGACGTTGTTGATGACTTCAGCGGAATGTTCTTTCGGGGTGCCGATAAGACAGTGCCAAGCACTTGCTCTCATCGCCATGTGACATGCCGAAATTGTTCCGGCATCTCCAATTCTCTGCTCACTTTTGGGCTACGAGGTACATTCCCCCGATTCTTTCTTCGACGCTGTTTTGCGAAAGAACCTGCAACTATGGGCTTGGCTGTGCTGCCGCCGGACCCTGAAGAGGAGATTGTGCAAACGGATGTCTACGACGATGAGGAGGACAGCGATTTCTCAGAGCACGAAGATGGCGGTCGACCGTCAAAACGCCGCCGACTGTCCGCCTCGTCTCGACAGATAGCGCTGCCGGGCGAAGTCATTACGGATGATACGCAATGGATGAGGTGGGTGAGCAACAGACCTGGGGCAAGAATCGAGGAAGTCCCCCTCCACTGATGCAGTTAATAGAGGACATGGCACCTTCATGCCTGAGCAGTCAACCACGATGATCGCAACCCTAGCCGGCCCGCTCAAAAAGACAAACAAACTACTTTCAGTCGCCCCTCTTCGCGCGAGATATACACCCGAAATCGGAGACCTGGTCGTCGGCCGGATAGTGGAGGTGCAAAAGAACCAGTGGAAGGTGGACGTGGCCGCGCCGTTGTTGGCACAATTACCCTTGTCATCCATCAATCTCCCCGGAGGGGTCCTGAGGCGGCGCACAACTGCAGACGAACTCCAGATGCGGAATTACTTCCAAGAAGGCGATTTGCTCGTCGCAGAGGTGCAACAGCTGCGGAGTAGTGACGGGACGGCGAACCTGCACACCCGGAGTCTGAAGTACGGCAAGCTGCGAAACGGAATGTTCCTTGCCGTGACCGGGACCGGTGGCGGAGGAGGCGTCGTTCGCAGTCGGAGACAGGTCTTCACGATCAACAGCGGTGCCCAAGGTGGCGGAGACGTCAACGTCATCCTCGGGGTCAACGGCTACATCTGGCTGAGCAAGCACATGGAGCAAGCAGCCGAAGACCAAGGCAGGATGAACAGCGGCGGAGTCAGCATTTCAAACCTCGACGACGTGGTCAGCAGCGCCATCTACTCGAGCCAAAACGACGACATTTCAGAAAGCACCAGGCGGGAAATCGCGCGCATCTCAGAGTGTATCAAGATCCTGGCCGAGGACGGGGTGAGGGTCGACGAAGACAGCGTGCTCAAGGCGTACGAAGCGGCCGTCGACGCCGAGATGAACGTCATGACGGATCGAGATGCCCTCGCCACCAGTTTCAGCGACGAGGTCAGGAAGAGGATCCTCGATGCGGCTCTCCATTGAATTTTGTGCGCATGTATGCATGATAGACATGGGGTGCTGCCCCCTTACCAAGGACTGAAAGATTACAACTGCGTGCCGAGCCTGATCCTCATGCGCGAATGACAATAGAGCCCAAGCAGAGTTAATTACTCTCGTTGCTCTCATTACTCTCTCCTGTGCTGTCCCCCGTCCAGCCCTCACTCAACATGAAGCTCCTCGCCCACTCCCCACTCTCCTCCCCTTCAAGCCTTTTGAGTTATTAGCCACCCTACCTACCTGCTACGACGTCTCCCACAAGGGGCATAACGATAAGTCGCAGAAGGATGGAGAGGGGCTCGGGTACGCGGATCGAGAATAACCAGCTGATGCTCACTATTGACTAAACTCCTCCGTAGGTGCGGGAGATAAAGTGGATACAGTGTGTATTCGTCTCGACCATAATTACGACCATACGTGATGTACAGATTGGGCGGTTCATCCGTCGACTTCTATCTCGGATCTCCTAATGAGAGAAAAAGAGAGAGAGTAGACGAAATCAATCTCGTTTGATGGTGGGTTTAATAATAATCCTTTCACCTTTTACCAGCCCCGGCTAACAAACAAAGAAGAGAGAAAAGAACAATCTGCGGAAGGATCAATATCAAGGCCCCAAGGTATTGCTTTGGATCATTCGGCTTGCATTTTCTGTCATTGACCACATCATGAAGTTCAGAAGCGCCCAAACTCTAACATCCGCCGTCACGCTTCCGTCTAGAGCTCCCAGGGATTCTCCTCCACATCAGCCTCCTTCTCCAAATCCTTGCTGATCTCAGTGTGCTCTACCTTCCCAAACTCTTTGGCCGCTTCACGGTCTTCCTCGATCAACTGGATTGCGATCTCGACGTCTCCTGCCGCCGCTCCCGCATAGATGTTCAGGCGAGCCAGTTCGTTCGGATCATCTCTGCCGAAGCCCATAGCTTTCAGCGCCTTGACGCACTCGTCAACGCTGCTGCTTGAAAAAGGCGCCGGTGGAGAGATCCCCGATCGACCGCGAGGACGAGTGAATGCCGGTGGGCACGGGGACAGAATCGATGAGGAGCGAGTGATATTACGGGCAGCGGGCTCTGGTGGCAAGAGCACGGCAGCTGGAGGCGGAGCAGGTACGCTAGGAGGTAATGGTACCGATGTAGCACTGACTAGCGTTGGTCCTACCCTGATGACTTCTGGTCGAGAAGCCCGAAGGAGCTCTGGTACTGAGGGCGGAGATCCAGCTGAGGGAGAATGCTTGTTCTGGTTTGCAGTTGGCGGCGCTCGATTCAGCGGACGCTTTGGTCTCTGAGTCGAGACAGAAGGGGGTCTTGTAGCATGGGGTACTGGAAGGTTGAACGTGGCCGGATGTTGAGTTCCATGTTTTGACTCATCAAAAGACATACGGTTCCGCAGAGTATCGTAGTACGCGCCGAGGTTCGTGGTTGTGCTCCGATTGTTCTTCATGTAGTTTTCCCAGGAGCTCGACCTTGGGTTATGGTATGGAGCAGTATCACGAGGCTTGTAACGATCAGTGTGATGAAGAGTTTGACTCCGTTGCGGTAAGGAGCCAGGCAACGTTGAATTGAGTCTAGTATTCAAAAAGCCTACCTTGGGCGCCGACAGGTCTGGCTGCGATCGTTGGGGTCGCGGTTGCAAAACGGGGATGTGTGCAAGAGGATCAAATGGTCCATTCAGTCTCGCTGCAGGGTTGGTGCCACTAACTGTCTGGGACTTCTTAGGAAAGACAGATCCACGAGAGTATGTCATGCCATCGGGGCTGCCAGTCCGTTGTGAAAGACCATCAGCGAATGAGCCTCGACTGCCCCCTGCTAGCCACAGGGGGATATCTTTGTACACCTTGCTAGTGTCAGCCGGGACAGTGAAATCTTTGCTAGTCCGATCTTCACGCTTTGGCTCTGGCTGTTGCTCAGACTTTGGCTCAGGCGAGGCGCCGGGGAGCGGCCTGTGGGACCAATGGAAGACATCCTGCGTGTAAGGCGCTTTTGCTTTCGCTGCTGATTCTATTTGCGGGAAAGGGAGAGGCTCGTCTTCATCATCAACTGTGGGCTTCTTATAGACATCGGTCTTCTTTGGCACGGGCGGAACCAGTGGCCGAATCGGGCTTCCCCAACGGCTGGAACTGTGCTTCAAGTCGAGATCGACTGGAGGGTTCGCACGTGATTGCTGTTCAAATTGACCAATGCTGGGATAGCGAGACAAGGCTGACGTAGTGCTCAAGCCATGTTGATAACCACTAGATATTCTGGGTTTATTTTGCAACCCGCTGACACTGGCGGCTTTGCGAAGAGAATGCAAGGCGGGATACCGTGTCAGAACATCGGAATCAGGAGGCTGCGAGTCAATGATAGAGTTGAAAACTGATTGGGCGGGCCCGCCAGTCGTGTAACGAGCTGGCAAGGGTGGAAACAGAACTTTTGACATGAGATAGGGACTTTCTGATGGCCTTTGAGTGTCTTTGGGAGGGATGTATGGAGGCAGGCTCGGAGTCGGGCCCTCTGAAGAGGAGCCATCCCTGTTGAGGGGCTCCGACACCGCGAAGTTCAGTCTTCCAAGAGGCGGTTTTGTAGGGGTTTTCTCGACGAAGCTGACTCTCGCTTTAGCAGGCTGAACGTCCGGCTCCTCCTTGACTTCCCCTCTGGGTTCCTTGGTCGAACTGGAGGGACAAGAGTCTTGCGTTGGTTCAAAGATAGGGCAGGGTAGATTAGTTTTGTCGACTTCGTTGCTTCTGTTCTTTTCTAGTTCCTGGTCCACGATGGTTGACAAGAGGTCGAGGCCTAATTCGCCGGCTTCTTTCAGAATGTTCTTGAAGCCAGACAAGACATTCTCGACAGGAGATGTATCAGCCTCTGCCGTCTTTTCTGCAAGCTTTCGCAGTCCCTCTGCCGTGGACTCGAGAAAGTCGGCCAATGGCCCCAGGTGAGATTCAATGCGGGTGAGCGCACTCGCAGGGGTCTTTTCAGTCTGTGTCAAGGGCTCTTCTGAACTACGGGTAGCTGGCTGGGCCGCGGAGGAGTGATCAGCATTACCCTCATTGCTTGTGACAGAGTCTGAAACCTGGGCTGATTGAAGTGTTACAGTGGAACTCTCGTCCAGTGTATCCTGGCTGAACGAATGTTTGCGAGTGTCGAGAAGTAACTTGGGTTCGGAGCCAGATGAGGATGCCTTGTGTGGACTCGACACACTTGTACCAGAACGTGAGGACGACTGTTGATCTCGCAGCTTCTTCATGGTATATGCCTCATGATCTCTCCACACAGCCAGACTCCCACTAGTGTGTCGGATGTCGAAGATATGCACCAGCTTATTTTCCTTGTCCTCTCTTGCAGCTCCCATGGGGGCAACATCTAGGGGGAGGGGAAAGGGGACAGGAGAGGTCGAGGGAGGAATAGGCTCTTCCAGGCGTTGTTGCAGTTCGAAGGAACTCCCGACGGTGATGAGCTCACCGTCATCGAGGTCGATGTAGGAGAGGGCGGCATCAGGCTGACTATGGACGGTGCTGTCATACTGCGAGGGGGTAATCTGAATGAGGCCCGGGGGACACGTAGGGCCGTTCAGGTCGCGGATGCCAAAGGGCGGGAGATCGGAGAAGGCCATGGCAGAAGCGTCAAGGCTAGGTTGCGCGGCTATCTCTGAGATATTGGCAAGGACATAGGAGGGAGTGATACGTTTGTGAGAGACAGACAAAAGGGACAGAGAAAGGGAGTGTGAAGAAACAAGGCTGCTGCTTTGCTTCGAGGTCCAGGTCCAGGCAGCGACCAAACCAAGTTGCACGACAAGTCAGCCAAGGACAGATGGGCATGGATACCTAAAGCAGTACCTCGTACCCCGCACTGCGAATCTGTGATACACCGTGACCGCACGGATACACGAGAATCCACCAATGACGATTGTTCCCTTGCCCATCCGCTGTTGCTCTGATTGGCCACCGCCTCTAGGCAGCGTGCATACATATCTAGGTAGTAAGAGTTCCTTCTGGGTGCCTTCCACTCGAGAAGGTCGTCAGGTGGAAAAAGTAGCATCAAGTATCCCATGTGCGGCGCAGGCATCGATCATTGATAGACACAGCTGTATGACATTTTCTCCTCGCCACGACTGTCGTAGTTCTGGATGACCTACCCTGGAATTGTCCCTAGTACTTATATGCTCTTCAAAGCCACCGACCGAGTTCGCTTGATATGCCATAACAATATTCCGTCTTTTATCCCCATTTGGTAACACTGGCAGAGAAGCGTCTGTTGTTATATTACAGCTGTCAGCTGTCATCACGCTGCCTCTCGACTCGATATAGCAGCGATTCGTCTTTCGGCAAAGGCATTGAAAGGCCGATGCTGGTGCTTGTTGGGACGCAGAGTTGCGTGTTGGCCAGCAAAGGACAATTGATGTGTGCAGGGACTGGGTATCCAATGTCTGACAAGTCCCTGAAAGAGCTCATGCTTTCTCTCGATCCGAGGGAGCTCAACCCAACTCTCACTCAGATGTGTTGAGTCTTCAGACCGGCCCTGCCACAGTCTTATTGTTTCGGAAGAGCTTCAGTGAGAGCTTCAGTTGTGCGCTGCGCTCAAAAGTGGGAGACCATGAATATGCGCTCTCCTCCTCAAGATTATGAGTTCGAGTTCCGCCCATAGATGCTCCGAATTGACGCTGTTTCCCTTTGTTCCAAAATGCTGCTTCCCATTCTGCTCCTCATTTGTCGCAGCGTCGTGCCAAAGCCCATCACTGCTTGTGTCTCTCCGCCGCCTCTTGCACCTTAAGCCTCTCGACCAACTTCCGCCTCATAAAGTCCGTCAAGCCAAGGATCCCGTCGTTCGTGCATATACGATACGTCCCACTGGGCTGGTATCTTCCATGGCCGTCGACAAATTTTCCATGGCCGTCGACTTCCACACTGCCAAAGATATCCTCTGGCTCTGCGATGCGCCCAAAGTCTGGTATGTGTCGTTGGTCAGAGACGTGTACCCAGCCTCCCCTGCCAGCGCTGCCATGGCCGCCCTGGTCGCTGGCACCTGACGAGCCTGTCTGTTGGCGCCGGGCGGTCTGCATCAACGAGGAGCCGGATGACGATATCATTACGGCGGCTTGGGATTGGACCTCGGGATCGGAGGAGGCATTCTCGCCGATTACAGCGTGAAGGATTGGGAGAAATTTGGGGTTTTCGGTAAAGGATCGAGGCGTCGGTGGGAGTTGCGTCGTGGTGCCAACGGCTAATGAATGCGTGGGAGGGTCCGTAGAGAGGAGGGACAGGATGTGGGAGGAGGGGTTTTGAGGGTCCTTGAAGGCATACTATCCGATAACCCAGGTTAGATTCGTAGCAATCGAGCTTGACGGGAGGTGTTGAGACCTTACAATGTGAGGGTTATTGCTCAATGTCGAGACAGACCGAAGCTGAACAAGTAGTTGCGGTGCTCGCCATACCACCCGACTTCCGATCGCTATGCTCATGTTGTTTTGTAGTCACCCTATAAACAACACCAAGGCATCCGGAAGGGAGCTGGGGTTGGTCACATTTGGGAAGGGGAGATGATAAAATTATTCTGACGCGGAGTTCAGAAGCTCGCTTGAATGACGTCTTTACCTCGTACAATGAGATTCAGCCTTGTTCCAGGATGTTCTCAGCCTTGCTTCACGGGTGTCAGGGCAGTGGAGCTAGATTGATATCATTCCAGCAATCCAGCCGCGCTACCCTTGGGATTCCCTTTGCCCTGACCTCTCTTTACTTCTTGAGAGTAGGCATCCCGATCTTTGCAATTTCCTTCTCATCAACCCAGGTATCGACTTTATTTGGGTAGAAACACAACATGCCAATGATACCGGCACTCTCTTGTGTCGGATTCTTATACCACCAAGCCACATCCTTGATTTCCTTGCCATTAATCACGGCATTGTAATAGCTGGCTTCCCCTTTGTATGGGCATCCGGTATGCGTATCACTCGGTGTGAGATACTCCCATTTGATTGCCGTGCGAGGGAGATACCAGCGGGCGGGGAAATTGGTTTCCCACAGGGACATGACTCCGCCTTCGGAGCCCGTGTCGGCGAGACACACTCCGTCGACTTCAATCCGCACGTGTCGCCCCGATGGGAGGAGATCGACTCTGTGGTACGGGTCTTTGGGGTGGTAGAGAACCTGTGCCTGCTCCTCATACCAAGCGTCGAGGGCCTTGAAGTCCATTTTCACGTAGCCGACCAGCTCAGAATTGAACGAGTCGGGAACCACGAGCGAAGGGACAGATTTATCGCCGACGCTCAGTGTCGAGGTTGAAGAGTCGATGCCAGAAATCGGCTTGTCCTCTGTGAACTTGGCGGTATCGAGAAAGTCGGACTTGGGGATCCAATACGAAGGATAAAACCCATTCTCCCATACTAGCTTCGCGGCTGTGGTGTCAAAAATGTATTTGCCATTGAGCACTCCCCGGACTCGCTTCTCAGTGCCCACGATTTTCGGTCGAGATTCTGGATTGGCGCTGAAGAGTTTGGAACCAAGTGCTGCTAAACTGGGAATGTGTTAGTAATCCACATGAATGACAAGCGGGCGTGGTTCTCCTACTCCGACATTGTTCTTGCTTGACTAGTTAGTGCTTTTGGCGACAGATGGTTGCGGGCCAGTTGTATACGTGTGATGGATCGGAACGCCAGTTCTGCAGTAGCTAAGAAACCTGAGATTGAATGTGGTATAAGGTAGTGGCAGTCAGAGGGTGGTCCTAGATATATCTGTTTGCTGCACTGGACTCGTAGTTGACGTGGATGGTGGCCTGGAAAGAAACCAAGAATGACAAACCTAACTTGCTTGATGCCGTAGCTGGTCTAAAAAGGCAAGAAATTGGTGGGTTAATTATACGCGCCGGTCGACGACGTCTAGCAATTGATCACTAATGGCCCGTGTCCACAACTTGGCTAGGGACAACGTGTGGTGAGGGACACCTAGGGGATGCTTCCATTTGTGCTGACACAATGATAAATGCAATTAATCTGCGGGGCTTACGGGGGCGAACTAACCTCCGCAACACATGCTAAATGCTCGGAAATGGTCTCGAGGTTGCCGAGTATACATAACTACCCGAAGCCCGCGACTAGCGCTCCAAGTGCATGTCATCAGCCTGAATCTCAGCCTCGGATTCGTCCGAGAAAGCCTGTCCATCCGGGCTAAAGGTAGGTAGATGATGGCATCAAAGCTACATTGGTAGTCTCAAGAATTTTCCTCTTCCGGCGAATGGCATCCCTCCAGCTACGTAGGCTCGCCCCTGCTCTTTTACCTACCAGGCCGACTTCAGAAACAAATGGCGCAGTTGACACAGAGTGCTCGTTAACGACGAGGTGATTACCTGGTTAGAGATAGCTTGCGTCTAGTAGTAAGTAGAGGGACCCCGCTGTGCTCAAGAGTAGATAGAATATCCTTTTGCGCGGGAGATAACCTGATAGCTAACAGTCAATCACTTCTATTTTTGCTGCCGTTGTACCCTCTCCTTGTAAAACCTGTGCCATCTAAGTTTGAAGCTGGTTCGCTACGTCCAGGAGAGCCACTCCTTACCGCCTTCGGAAGCTCCCAATCTGCGTAGATCCTAATCAATGGACAAGGACACGAAAATCAAGCACCTCGTAGGATGGGTAGTTTTCTTTTGTCGAGGGCGGGTGCTCAACAGCCCATCCCATCCTCATCTGCTTGCCATGGCGCATCTTTCCCAGACTGCATCGACACGGATGGTGGGCAAAGAGCGACATAGGCAAACCGAGAAAGTCTTCGTACATCGGATCGATACTGGACGTTTACATGATAGCTTCGAAATACAGTATTTGTTTTCTTCACCATCTGTGGGTTTTTACTTCCCTCTCACATTCACGTACTGGCCTATGACATCTGATCTAAACAGGTACATTTCATTATAGCAGAGCAGAAAAGCAACAAGTTCTGCATGCTTTCAATACAGTCTAAAAAAGTATATGTTTCGAGGCCACGCGAAGCAACCACCAAAGAAAGCTGGGCGCCGAAAGAAGGAAACCGTTCCAGAGATCGAAGACCCCGAGCTCAACATATTTCTTCAATTGGAGAATACGGCGCGTACGGTTGGCGTCGAACTCGATCCGTGTCTGAGGCCCAGTGCGGCCTCGAGTTTGGGGAATAGAAAGCCAGAAATGAAACCGATCGACGAATCAAGCGATGCTGATTTCAACATCCTTCAAAGTCAGGATGCTGAGGCACATAAGAAGAGAAAGACGAAAGCTTTAGCATTCGCCACAGCTCAAGACGGAGAGGACGGTAAGTTCAAGACTAGGGCAAAGCTCGCTGAACTTTACAAAACCAAAGTAAAAGACCGATGGTGCGACAGTGAACCCCACTTCACAAAAGAGGGCCACATCAAAGCTCAGTGTATCCAGTATATTCCTTCGCCAAAAACAAGTATGCTAACCTCATCATTCCTGTTGGCCAACGAAAGGCGACGGCGGCGATGTTGCCGTCAACGGACAAAGCGATCCCAGTAAGCTGCAAGCCGACTTCAGAAATAAAAAGCACAGTCTGACATAACGTGCTCAATAACCACGAGGGGACCACCTAGTTAGCGACAGCTAGTATCTCGTAATAAGTATAAGGATCCCGCCATGCCTAGGAGCAGATAGGGTACCCCTTACAAGTGAAGATAACCCGATAGCTAATAGTTAATCACTTCTACTTTGCTACCGTCGTACCCTCCACTCGTAAGAGCCGTGCCACTTATTGACTGAACTCGGGTCGCTACGTCTAGGAGAGACATTCCTTTCCGCCTTGCGAAGCCTTTCAAACTGTGTCAAAAGATCCTTATCATGGACACGAAAATCACGCACCTCGTCCGGACCTGCGGGGGCTCCGAGAGCCGCCTTCAGACATCGCTATACAACTGCTGAGGATCTGTTGAGGCTCGACAGCGATTGAGGATGAAGCCAAGCCCGCCAAAGAAGAGGAGATAGAAAAGCGAGTGAAGCAGAAATTGGAATATTACTGATGTGAATAGACCGGACCGCACGAAAGCCTTGGAAAATTCACATCGCTCTGAGGATAGATCGAGGAATCTTCTCTTCTTTACCCTTGGAGGTATCTATTCCGTTACACCATCTTGAATTTGGGATCGCTGGGTGTGATTGTCGACATCGATAATATCCTCAAGCGGCGATTACTAGCCTTACTGTCAGCCCTCGCACACTCAACCTTATGAGGGACATCCAATATCTAAAATGGCGGATTTCGGATCTAATAATCGCACCCGTTGGTACCGTAACGAGTACCTCCTCGTTCGACAGGCATGGCACAAGCGCAATGACACCTGGGATCCGACAGCGCGCGAGTTTCTACTCAATCCATACCTTCCGCCATATTATCGGTCAGTCTAGGGCACCATCGTTGATTATCTATAGCTCACGATCCTTTATAAAGCCGGTCTCCTTACGGCGATTATCCACATCGACGACAATCCCGGCTTGATCCTTGACGAAGCTACGAGAATGGTGGAAGAACTCGAGGCTACGGCGATTATGGAGAACGTGGAGGACGCGCAGATCAAAGAATTGAGGAGGCTGTTGGATTTCTTGGAAGGGAACTTCTTCAGTGATGGCTGGGATGACGACGAGAGCGAAGGGGATGAGGAGGCGGAGACATAGGAGACACAGGAGACACTTGCTCAAGACCAAATAGACGAAGAGGACAAAATGGTACCAGCATCAAGTCAGACAGCTCTTGTTGAATGAGCAGACAAAACGAGAGAGCCAGCCCATGACTCGGAATGAGTAGACATAACGAGAGAACTTGTTAACTACACGGACACACGAGAGAGCCAGAAGGTTAAAGACTATGAGTCGGCTTATCGGCCAACAAACTAAATCCCATTTCTTCCAAAATCCCATTTTGCTCTTTCAATCGTTGTATTCTGCACTACCTTGAGAGTGCCTCCGACGTTCGTTTCAACAGAACAGGTGAAGAAAAATAAGTACCTTATCGACCACAATCTTTAGCTTAGTTTCTGAAAAGCCGAAGGGCAAAACAACTTTTGTAGTATTCCCGGAGGATAGAAAATAGGTGGTCTTATCGACCATATAGAGCTACTTCATAGTAATATTGAAGATCTTGATTTTGGTACTCCAAGTAGTCCTTATCGACCACAATCTTTAGCTTATTTTCTCAAAAGCCGAAGGGCAAAATAGTGTTCCGGAGGGGTGGAAAATGGGTAGTCTTATCGACCATACTCTCCAGGACTACTTCTCGGTGGTATCGAAAATCTAGATTTTTGGCATTCTCAGTAGTCCTTTATCGACCACAATCTTTACCATATTTTCTAAAAAGCCCAAGGGTAAATAAGTGTTCCGAAGGGATCGGAAATAGGTAGTCTTATCGACCATACTCTCCTGGACTACTTCTTGGTGGCATCGAGAATCTAGATTCTGGCATTCCAAGTGATCCTAAGTTATCGACCACAATCTATGGCTTATTTTCTAAAAAGCCCAAGAGTAAAATAGTATTCCCGAGGGATAGAAAATACGTAGTCTTATCGACCATACTCTACAGGGCTGCTTCTTGGTGGCATCCAAAACCTAGATTTTGGCATCAGCTTTGAGAGCTCAGCCACGCGTCGCTCTCAATTCATCCGATGATTCAGTTGCTCAATGTATTCGACATACCTTCAGTTCATCCGATAATTCAGCTGATCAATGCATTCGATACCTTCAAGCCATCGATGATTCAGCTGCTCAATGCATTCGATACCTTCAGTTCATCCGATAATTCAGCTCTTCCCACACGCTGCAACCTGTTGTGTTTGACCATGATTATGCTTGGTGGGGATTGTGTTTGGTGATGGTCAGTCGATCGTCACGGTCGGTTCGGAATCATTGACCGCCATGAACTCGGACGAAGTGGTGAATTCCTTACCAGCTGCTTTTCGCAGATGTCGCGCGTTCGAATCGTAATAAGAATGAGATTCATTCAAGTATTGTTCTGGTCTCGCACGTATTCTCTTGCGCTTTCTTCGTTCCGAACGTAGTCTTTAGACTGCTGAAGGTATTAACGACGAGAGGACCGCCTATTTAGTAATAGCTAGTATCTAGTATTAATTATAAGGATCCCGCTATACTTAAGAGTAGATAGAATACCCTTTATAAGTGAAGATAACCTAATAACTAATAGTTAATCACTTCTACTTTATCGGCGGCGTACCCTCTTTTCGTAAGTCTAGTGCCACTTATTTTTGATTCTTGAAGTCGGCTCGCGCGCTAGTCGGAAGAGTTGCCTCACTAGAATTTATGGCATTTTGATCCCGAGACGAACTGAAAACAACAAGAAAGCCTGTCAACAACACCCACAAGATGCTCGTTGACCTGCCCCGCAGAGAGAGGAGACATCCAACCTCCCTCTTAGCCTTGAGGTGAGCTCACTCTTAGCCCAGTCACTAATGATCTGGTGTGACGCGTCCAACATATCGCCAGACCACGTCGTGTCGTGTCGGCTTGCGCAGTGCAAGGCAAGTGTGACCATGAGAAGTCGTCATAACAATGGCGACACCAACTAAATCCCAGAACATTTCCACCCCCAAACCGCAGCTTTCTCCTCCAAACAAGCTCATGGCTTCACCTCGACCGGGCACTTCGGGCAACTCGAATCGGCCTCTCGCCTACAAATCTCCTGCGGTCAAGACTCCAGCCTCAGTGCACGGACATCATATCAGTGTCTCGTCGCAACCCTCTTCCACACCCCTGGCCGCAACCGCCGTTCATGATGATCTACTCGCCCTCAACTCGCCTGCCGCCGCTCTCATCAACTCCCTGGGAACCACAGGACTTACGCCTTTGGGAAGCGGTGCAGATGGCTTGGGCATCACCGCGGCTCTGCCAGGTGGGCCCGTTAGACCTGCTCCTCCCCCTGTACACCCAGAAGTCGAACGCCTCCATAGAACGGAAGCCGTTGTGGATTTGCTCAAGAGTCGGGTTGGCGGTCATGGAATCACTCGCGGAGGGGTGGAGAGAATCGCACAGTTGCAAGGTTTCACAACTCTCTGGGACGATGACAACCTGACAATTGCAGGAAATTGTGTGGATCTCGAAATCAACTTCGACGCTGGCGGCAGAGACGACGTTAGGGACGTGAGTCTCAAGCTTAATATCTCAGACAGTACATCCGAAAGCGAAGAGCCCCAATTCCAAGAACAAGGCACCCAGGTTATTAAGAGTAACCTGCAAAACCTGCGCGGTGTCAGTCAGTCTCCGCGATGGAGCTCTCTTGATGCCTTTGCAGCCAATCTACAGTACCTCAGCCAGCTCGATAGAATCGAGAGCGGAACACCCTGCTTTAACGCTGTGGGAGACCTCTACAGCGCGTTCCAAAAGATCTGGGACGCTGAGAAGGAGAGGTCCAAAGGATGGGCTTCTCGACAACACCTGAGACAGGGCGCTGTTGGTAGACCTGTGATGGATCGAAAGCCCAGATTGGGGGTGGCTTTGGACTACTGGGACTATCCGGACGAACCGGGGCAAGAGTCCGAAACCATCGTAAATGATATGAACGACGATGCCGCAAGCGTCTACACGGCCCGAATATCCTGTGAGCCAGGTTTACCTTCAACCGCCATCACAAAGCAATGGGTCTCGGATCCCGTTCTTGTCGAGGACACAGAGGCAATGCTGGATGTTGAGAGCGAGAAATGGAAGCCGGACTGGCGAGACCCTGCACAGGATTCAGCAAGCTCAGACCCATTAGCCAAGGCTGAAGCAGATGATTCGGTCGCAGATAAGCCGACGGACATGGTCGCAGGCGTGTTGGATATGCATTTCTCCTGTACCCTGGAGCCTGGAGTTTATCTCCCTCTCAATGTAGCCGCCAACTTGAACGTCGAGGTTACTATGTTGGACATAAAGCAAGAGCTGACCTCAACATATCAAGCGGCTTTACAGAAGCACTTCAACGGTGCAGGCATCGACGGCATCAGAAGCGCCTCTCAAGAGAGATGGCTTAGAGTCTTACCGGTTGCCGATGACAGAGCTTCAGACCCGTTGCGACGACATTCCTACGCCTTGCAGTCCTCCCAGCACGCTCCGCCTCTATGGTGTTACCCTGTCAAACACCTGAAATTCAACCATCCAAAACAACTTGCAGCAGTGCTGCCTGTACTGCGGCAGTACGCTGTCGTCTGGGGTATTTTGCGGAGCTTAGTTGAGTATGAGAGCACTAGACAACAGGCCAGTCCAATAAAGGCGGTTCAATTCAATGGAAGACAAAGCTCAGAAGCCACTCACCGACCGTGGAAGCGAACGAACAAGAAGTCTCCCAGCTCTGACCTCGACGATCTGGCTAAATCGAACAGTGAGCTGGATCCCGACCAGCCGTTGCCTGTCGACTTGAACATGGATATCCTCTCTGATGTTTCGAAGGCAAGGCTGGATGTGTACATCCCGTGTCGCGGGTCGCTTAGGGGAAAAAAGGTCCCGTTCATTTTCTTGTCCTTGAATATCTGTCAGGGTGGAGGAATCGAAGTTCGAGACTTGCGCGGTATCCACACAGATGGCACGGACGGTGAAAGCATTCGGTCCAAGATCGTACGGATTTTGGAGGTGACAGAAGATATTGGGTTGACGGTTGAATGGCTTCTAGAACAGGCTGCTGTGCGCAGGTGACAAGTTGCAAAGCTTGAATGGAGACTGCCGACGCTAAAGATCTGAGGGTGTTGGTATTGAGCAACAGCACAGTTAGGATTGGACAGATGCCGTAGCATCTCTCGCACGACATTTGAGTACCGAGTGCAGACAGTACCGCTCGAATGGATCAAGTCCAGCTCCAGAACACAGACTGTCTGCGATACACCGGTCAATTATTCGCTGCCTCCTGATAAGCTACGTGGGCCTCGAAGTATCAAGCTCAGCGGCTGATAATACCAGCAAGGCTGGCCGACGACCTGCATATTACATGGCATTGGGGACGGGATTTCCTGTTTTGGAAGCCCGGACCCTATGAAACCACGGCTTGATGGGTCCCTGAAACGCACAGTAAAAGTGGTTCTAGAAGGAATTCTGGGGGTCTGTCAAATGTCCCATGGGGAACGGCCACCATCGGCCAACTATACCGACCTCGTGCCCCGTCACGCGACGGATCGTCCACGGTTTGCACCCTGGTCCAGAATGCAACGCAATTGGAACCCTGTACCAAGGATTCAGGGCCATCTTGTCGTGTTCTCCTCGCCACAATCCAACACTACCTGGCACAAAGATGGGAGAAGGGCATCTCTGGCTGGCGCCGCCTTTTAAAGAGTTTCAGAGTACCCAGGAATCATATCCTCTCTTTTTCCGTCTGTGATTCTAATGCAATCAACCGATATCTCTATGCCAGAGACCAGCAGGCATTCACGGGTCAGATCCGCATATTCAGGTCGCAGAGTGTGTGACGTCCCCACATATAGAGGGCAATTCTCCTTGTAACCAATTAGCAGCTCTATGTGGATCTGCTGTTACTCAACGCCCAATCAACCCCATTACCGGGCCGCCACCGACATCATGAGGAAGGCCCTTTTTGGTAATCCGAGTGGACGGTCTATTCAATGCGGCGATCCATGATGCACCGAAATTGAGGAGCCTTCGACGAGTTTTTCTCCGCATTTACTGCGAGATGGTCTCCATCGATGCAACATTACGAGGGAGTGAACATGGAGCAGCCGCAGTAATTCTCTTTTTTTGGACCATGGCTCTGGGGGCTCACCGTCTTCTTGTCTTCCACAGTTGCGGGTTTGTTCCGATCCTAGTGCCATCCTCGAGTTTTGATACAAATATTATATAAAGCACGTTTCCACCGACGTCCTATTCTTCTATGTTTCCATCGACACAGATTCTACATCCCTGCTTGCAAAAATCATTCATCATGAAGCCCTTCGGCAAGCGCTACTTGGGCTTGCGCGGCCTCCAGCTCAACATCGCGATTGGTGTCATTGCAGGGATTGATTTCTTGTGAGCATACACAGGGCCCCGGAATTTTTCAAGCTCAACTGACAAACCTCCAAGGCTATTCGGCTATGACCAAGGTGTTATGGGAGGGCTGTTGACGCTCCCGGCCTTTACGTCTGTTTTTCCGGAGATCGATACCACCAAGCAAGGCTTGCAGGGCCTGACTCAGAGTCAAGCCAACCACAAGTCCACCATTCAAGGGATTTCCATTGCTTGCTACAATCTCGGGTGTTTTTGCGGCGCCATTGCTTGCATCTGGATCGGTGACATCCTCGGACGACGCAAAACCATCTTCCTCGGCTCCTCGATCATGGTTGTCGGTGCCACCCTACAAGCCAGTGCCTTCAGCCTGCCACATTTGATTGTTGGACGGATCATCACTGGAATGGGAAACGGTCTCAACACTTCCACAGTCCCGACTTGGCAATCTGAATGTTCAAAGTCGCATCGACGGGGACAGCTCGTCATGGTTGAAGGAGCACTCATCACAGGGGGGGTAAGCATTTTTTTGCTGTTCACGTTCTTCGGTCTATGGTGCTGACTTACTCGCAGATAATGATCTCATATTGGTTGGACCTAGGCTCCTCGTTCATTCAAAATCAGGCGTCGTGGCGCTTCCCCATCGCCTTTCAGATCGTCTTTTGCCTCATCATCCTCTGCTTCATCCTCGAGCTTCCCGAATCTCCAAGGTACCTCCCGAACCAGGCCCCATATTCATGATTCTTTGGCTAACATTCTACAGATGGCTCATCCTTAAAGGAAGAGAGGATGAGGCTCTCCAAGTGCTCGCAGCTCTATCCGACAAGCCAGCCGAGGACAGATATATCCACTCCGAATTCGCAGCAATCAAGGACACAGTGCTTGAGCAAGAGAAAGCAACGTTCCGCGATCTATTTACCATGGACGAAAACCGACATCTGCACCGCGTGGCACTCGCTTATGTCAATCAAGTGATGCAGCAAGTGAGCGGCATAAATCTTATCACGTAAGTTTTATGCCTCATGTTTCCACGCAATTTGGGAATCTATACCTGACAAAATCATTAGGTATTATGCTGCCACGATTTATCAAAACGAGATTGGGCTTTCGCCTTTCATCGCCCGCATTCTGGCGGCTTGTAACGGCACCGAGTATTTCCTGGCATCCTGGATCGCAGTCTTCATCATCGAGAAAGTCGGACGTCGGAAGCTCATGTTGTTTGGCGCCGTGGGCCAGTCAGCTTCAATGATTATCCTTGCAGTTATGACCAAGATTGGAGGCCAAGGCCCCGGTATTGTCGCCGCAATGTTTTTGTTCATCTTCAACACCTTCTTCGCTGTGAGTTCCTCCTTTCCTCTACAAACAACCCCATATGCCACCCACACGCCAGATCTCCCCTGGTCTCTTTTGCAATACATACTAACCTGCTATCTACAGGTTGGTTGGCTCGGCATGACCTGGCTGTATCCGAGTGAGATCGTGCCACTCAAAATCCGCGCACCATCTTCAGCTTTGTCTACGTCCGCCAACTGGATTTTCAACTTTATGGTAGTCATGATTACCCCTGTCAGCTTCAGCTCAGTACGTATCTCCTTTCCCCAGAAAAGCTTTGCGTCCCAGCTGCACAAGCTCATTCCAATGTCCGACAATTAAAGATTGCGCCCTGGCTGACAGATGTATTTCTTTTTTTAGATCAAATGGAAAACCTATCTGGTATTTGCCGTCATGTGAGTGCAACCGAGCTTTTCCCCCCTACTAGCTCGACTTTAAAAAACCCCACTAACATGAAAAACTCCAGCAACGCGGCTATGGTCCCCGTCGTATACTTCTTCTACCCCGAAACCGCGTACCGCTCTCTCGAGGAAATGGACACGATATTCCACAAGACAAAGAATACCTTGACGGCCGTCTGGACAGCCAAGCACGAGCCGCACCGCTATGGCAAGCGCGGGGAAGTCTTGATCGACTACGAGGAGACGGGCGAACACGAGCGGCGACGGAGCAGTGCGACGCGCCGAGGTAGCGTCGTCAGCGGTCGGGCCAAGACTGAATACGCCTCCGAGAAAGGGACTACTCACCTTGAAAATGAGTAAGAGGCGCGAAATTTTCTCGAGGTCTTCCGGGCTTGCGGTTCGGTTTGGTAGACGGGGCCATTCGCCTGGACAAGGGCAGGGGGTTACAGCCTTGCCAAGAACCCGCGGACTGGGATGTCCAAGGCGCCTTCTCGCAGTTACAATGTTGGCTCACGCGGAAAGGATGGAGACCATCCCGCTTCGTGAACTCCACTTTTGAGGATCGTTTTTTTGGTTCAAAACCCAGGAGAAGAAATGGCATCGGAGTCAGAGAGTGGAAACGTTCCTCCCATTTTCGCAATCTTCCGGAGTGAGCCAGCCCTGGACTAGCGAAAAGAAAAAGGAGATTATGATGATATATAGCTCCTGCGGAAGGAAGGATAAGTATACCTGAGAACAGCCATCTTGGCGAAGGGATGTTGGTGCCAGTAATATCATCAACATTATGAAATATATTTTCAGAAGGCAGATAGATCCCCAGTATCGTTTTCTCAACACCTGTCCTTCCAAATGCCGCTGGCGGTGGATGCTGAGTGCGGACAACGATATTCTCTTTTGCCGGGCTCGCGTTCGATATCACCTGTGACTACTTTCTAGGTAGTTCCAGAGGGGTGTTAAATATACCTTTTAGTGTATCAGATATCTGGAACGTAGGAGCCGGAGAATGACAGAGGAGAATGTCAGGGCTGCCACCATGGTCGTCCGTCGACGGTCTTCGGGAACAAGTGCTGCCGTGAGCACCTCGTCAAGAGCGTTGCCTTCTTGCCCAAGGACATCCGAGAGTCCATGCTTTGTCTCCGAGGAGCAATATCAAAGTAAGCCACTTGCTACATGCTACTCAATGGGTCCTCAATCATCATCCTCAGCAATGACGACAGCCTGTGAATCATCCGGACTGCCAACCTAGCTGCGGTAGCTGTGAAGCCCAGGAACGCGAAAGGACACGCTCAGCTTGTAAGGTCTCGGGGGTCCTAGCTACTACATATATTGTGGCAGGTAGCCCGGCAGCTGGGACGAGGGTCACCGGAACTTTTCCCACCTCACTTCGCGACCGAAAGACTGAGTAGCACTTCCCTCGCCAAAGTCCCTGACAACGGACGAGTTCCAAGTCAACTTTAACGCCTACGGACTGCTCCTAGCGGGACTACGAACGATCTTCCTACACCTCGCTTGGGCTTTAAAATGCGTCTAAATCCTGACAACCTTGAGTTTCAAGCCCGCCAGACGCGTTCGAGGGGAAAGACCCGGAAGAGGAGGAAGTAAAGCGAGAGGTATAATCTTGATTAGTTAGAACAGATGCCGGTTAGTTAGTTCTAAGAAGCCTAACCGCTTGGCAACCCTGACTGTTGATCGTTTTTGTTTTTGTTTTTGCTCTTCTCTGGCAACGACTCTTCTTCTCCTGGACGGCTCCGAGGAGGTCTATTCTGTGATGGGAAGTTTCCCCAGGAATATCGAAATGTGAAATGGTGTGGAATATGCGGTATCATATCTCTGAGTTGAGTTAAAACAAGAGTGGTGACTTGCTGTTACACCTTATCACGATTGCTATTTCGACCTTTTAGATACATCAATCCCTGATATCAATGCGAAACTCTTCCAGGCTGGATTCCCTATGCACCATTCTGGATCGGAATGCTGTCGTGCGAACCCTTGGTCGGTGCTCCGTTGGTGTCGTTCCCGAATGCCGTAGCTTTGACACCGTTGGCCTGCTTAATAGCAGGATCCGAACTCATGCCGTTGTGTTCACCATTGAACTTCATGTTCTTAATACCATCATAGCCCTTGATTCCTGTCGATTTCTCTAGTCGCTGAGCGATGTCTTCACTGACTTCACGGAAGATGGCAATCTGCCTCTTCAGAATCTCTTTGTTCGGGCAGACCTCCATCTTGCCAGTCACATTGCTGATGAATCGTTCCCGCGCAGGCTCGTCCCAAACTTTCTCCCACAAGGCGCGTGGAGCGTTGAAGTCTTCAGGTCGGATTTGAGAGAGGAAGGTGATGGCATTACCTTGGAAGTGACCATGTGTCTTGTCGTAATCAACTGATCTCTCGCGGAACTGGATAGGATCAATGGAAGAAAGATAGTTCATCCTAGCGCCCTGGTTGTAGAATGCCATGGGACCATCGCGTTGGAAGTTTCCGTATTTGTAGGCTGTGCGAGCAGCATTGATGGGGAGTTGTTGATAATTAGCACCCACACGGTGGCGGTGGGTGTCTGGGTAGGAGAAGAGACGTGATTGCAAGACTGGGTCGGCGGAGGGTTCAATGCCGGGAGGCATATGAGAAGGGCTGAATGCCGCTTGCTCGACTTCGGCAAAGTAGTTGACGCAATTCTCGTTTAATGTGAATTCTCCCACCTTGCGCAAGGGGAATTGCTTCTGAGGCCATACGTGGGTCAAGTCAAAGACGTTGATGCCTTGCTTGGCCCAGACCTCTTCAGCTTCCTTGGGGGTCATGGTTTGGATCTCCACTGACCACTTGGGGTAATCACCACGCTGGATGGCCTCGTAGAGATCCTTCTGGGAGTGGTCTGGAGATTTGGTGGCGGACTCTTCCTGAGTTAGGAACTTGGTACCTTGCTGGGATTTCATATGAATCTGGCAATAGACCCAATCGCCGTTCTTCTTGACGAGCTTCAGAGAGTGCCCGGAGTAGCCGTGCATGAAGCGGAAGCCATCAGGAATGCCCCTGTCGCCCATGAGAATCATCACCTGATGAATTGACTCAGGGTTGTTTGATAGGTAGTCCCAGAACATGGTTGAGTCGTCGGCATGGGTCAAGTGTGTCGAGGGATGTCTCTTCTGTGTGTGGATGAAATGGGGGAATTTGGCGGGGTCCCTCAAGAAGAAGACGGGAGTGTTGTTGGCGACCAGGTCCCAATTCCCTTCCTCGGTTCTGAACTTGACGGCAAAGCCGCGAGGGTCTCGGGCACAGTCGTGAGAACCAGCCTCGCCACCGACGGTAGAGAATCGAACTGTGACCGGGCATCTCTTCCCCTTGGTGCTCCAGATATCGAGGCAAGTCAGGTCATCGGCGGGGTTGGTACATTCAAAAAAGCCATGGGCACCGCTTCCCTTTGCATGGACAACGCGTTCTGGGATGCGCTCTCGGTCGAAGTGGGAAATGAGATCGATCAGGTGGAAGTCCTGGAGGAGGAGGGGCCCACTCTCGCCTGCTCGTTGAGCTTCGTAGGGATGAGCCGTAGGTACCCCATTACTATGATCAAGTCAGTCAGTTGATCAGATGGCTTTTGTGAAATCACTGACCTGGTGGCGTAGATGGTTTGCTTGGAGTCCATCTGGCGGTCCTGCTCGTACGAGTTGAATTGGTGGGCGACATGAGCCGCAAAAGAAGTATCGTTTGTTGCCATGGTGGATCTGAGGGTCTGAATAGGAGCTTGAATGATCCTCTGAACTGTTTCCATCAAGAAACTGCAGGATTAGACAGGGGGTTCTGTCTTATATATCTGGAGCGACACAGTCAGAGGGGAAATGGAAGGCGGCATGGCTACAAGTACTTCTTGTGAGGAGGCAATCGACTGATCGGCCTTGAACGGAGTACATTGGAACAGCTTTGATAGGACACAGACTCTGGGATGGTGGAGGTCGTGGACACTAAAGCGAAGCAATCGAGCGAATGAGGCAATCCAGAGGCCATCAAGGGTGCGCGTTCGTGTCTCGTTATCCATGAAACTGATGACGTCTACGAAAAGCGAAAACCCTGAGGGTCACGGTGCCTGAGGGGCAACTGCGCCGATATCATAGCATATTTCTCCTCTCAGTTTAGCTGCAGCCATCGTTGGCATTCACACGTCCCTTGTTCTTCGATGATCTGCTCAGCTCTCCCTTTCGCACGACTTCTTCTCTTCGCGTCAAGATCTGTTATCGCCACCTCAGATGGAGAATCGAGAATTCTCAGTGTCGTCGATCAATGGCGACACGGCCAGCTCCTCACCTCATCCCTGGGCTTAGCTCTCCTCGCTCTCTCCACACTGACCATGCATGCTGAACATCCCCGCAAAACAAGCAGTAGTCATCTCTCCCGTCGATATCCGACTGCCAGTCACAGTCTCACGGATTCTCGACCCCGAAAAGCCTCTTCGCCCATTGGCGGAATGACCACAGTTTCAATAGAAAGAATATGTCAATGTGAACAAATGAGGCAGCTCGCAGCGACACTTGACTTCAACAGGCTGCTACGCGCGAGCATTGCATTTCCATTTGTCTTGGATTTTGATTCTTGCTCGCGCGTTTCTGGAAGTCGAGACCTTCCCAAAATCTTGCGCTTGGTTCTGAATAATCAACCACATTCCGCCGGCTGCAGATGAAGTGTGCAATCGAGTTGTCCGGCTTGTGCTTAGATTGAGGACAACCGTACCGAGCAGAGGCTAGTGGTTGGTGGTCTCTGCTGACATGTTTGGCGACAAGCAGCCATGTACCTCGAACATGGGAGGCACCAGTCTTCACACATGATGCTGCAGTGATTCACGCCCAAAAAGGGAGGACCATGGGACTGTTAAGGACATGGTGAAAAGCAGGCTGTGATAGGGTGTATGAAGAGAAGTCGAAATCTGTGGCATACAGTTCCTCTAATTTTTATACGCTGCGAACTGGTAGGAACTGGTGACCCAAGGAAAACGGGCTGGGCCAAATACCTCGAAATGGGATTTAGATGAGACGTGCTGCAAGAGGAGAGTGAGTCGAGTCAACAGGTTCACGAATAGTAAAAGTACATAGCTATACAGTGATTGATTAGTATTACCCTGCCCAAGAAGAGCCCATCAGTCAAAGACGGAAGGTCGACTCTCCCAAATCTGGCCATCCTTTTCAAACTTGAAGCCACGACCATCCACGTGTTGCACATCAGCCTCAATTCACCAAGTCGGCATCCATCTCCTCAGTACTTTTGCCCAGTTGATTTCTCCTAGTGGTGCCTTGGGTAATATCCCAGAGCAAGCTTCCTCTGCACCACCCTGACCCGATCGTCCAATGTCCAGACCCAGCACCCGGCACGTTACCTGCGAAACCGTCTGAAAATGCTCTTCACTCGCGACAATGCCTCGAACACTCTTGTGCAGAATATTTGACAGATCCCATCATATCCACGCCGTGGAGCTTATGTCACATAGCTGTTGCAGCCTCTCGAAATTGCCGGAATCCGAAAGGTAGTGCCTTGACAAACTCACAGTGCTATTGGAAAAGCAACCGTGGACTGCTTACCATTTACTTCCTCGGGGTCAGACCATGAACTGAAAGAGGCCGAGGAGACCACGCATCCCGAGACTCATCCGCACCTCGTGTTGGCAGTACATGCAGTAAAGTACTTTGACCAACCAAAGAGCAAGGGCGTTGAGATACAAGACAGTTTTCAGCACAACCTCGCAGAACCTATCCGACACGGATTCTTCCAGACATGAGACGATCGTGCGACCTTGCGCCCTCCTGCTGATAAATCGATTCGCACGCGGCGGAAATATGTTCAAGTTCTGACCCGGACGATGTTATCAATGCTTACCTAGATACTCCTGGCAGTGGTCAGAGGACTCCTCTAGATTGCCGTATTTCACCTCCGACCACGCGACCCACGAGGCAGTGAGACGTTCATGATTGACTCTTCCGTTGCGGAAACGAAGAGGCTAAACGTCTGCTGGGACGAAGCAGATGTCGTCGTTGAAAGTCGGATGCGAGGACGAACACTTGCAGATTGTGCCTGAGAGCGGAACAAGGCTCGGATCCGAGCAGAAACCACCACGGGGGGAAGACACTGACTCCGTATAAAGAGGCCCTGCAGGGTTGGCACGGCCAAACACGGCATTCTTCCACCGGCCATCTTCCCACAATCCACCTTTGGCTCTGTCCGCCCCAAACTCCCCACCCATTCTCGACCGTTGTCGGCACTTGGACAAGGCACGGTCAACCACAGGCTCTCCGTGGGGGGATTTCCTGAGGGGGGGTCGATCGCTCCGAAAACGTGCCGACGAACCACAACTAGGACATTTGTTTGGATTGAGGGGACGACGTGCCCTTTCCAAAAAGCCGTGGGGCTCTTGATCACCGTCCATGTGGTGGTTGTGAGAAAGAAAGTTGCGCAATTGAATCTTTTCTCACTCCTTTCGGTTTTTAATTCTTCCTTGAGCTGGTTATTCTGATCTTTTCAAGACTACATACAGCAGTCTGCTCTAAAAGCTTTCTTTTTTCTGTGCTCTTCTTGGATTGGGAATATACCTTAGCATTCTACAAATCGTCCTCAAACAACAAAAGAATACTTTCAGTCTAGCAAAATGGGAAAAGCAACACACATCATCCGCTTCGTCGCGAGCGAGGACAACCGCATCCACTTGGGCCAGTTGGTCGATACCTCTCGGGACATTGGCTTGGACAGTGTCGAGGGCAAGGAGATCAAGGCCTATTTGATTAACGGCTCGATATTCGCGCCCGAGGTCACAGAGCATGTCTACACGGTCAAGCAGCTGCTGAGCCCCGTGTCGATGGAGGATTGCAACTACATTCGGTGTCTGGGGTTGAACTATATGGATCATGCGAAGGTCAGTCAACCATTTCCCTCCCTAAGCACAATATGCTTCATCCGCCTGCTCTGCTCTCCCCCATCTCTCCCTGGCCAATGAAACGCCTATATCGCCAGTCGATATTAACAAATGTGATGGGGGTATAGGAAGCAAACATGGCCCTCCCCAAGGCCCCCATCCTCTTCACCAAACCGCGCACCGCCCTGGCCGACCCCTACCCTGCTGTGATCCCAGTCCCCAAAGCCGCGCAGGACGGCACCTCGGACTACGAGGCCGAGCTGTGCGTCGTGATCGGCAAGACCGGTCGCGACATCCCCGAGGACAAGGCCCTGGATTATGTCCTGGGGTATACATGCAGCAACGACGTCTCGGCGCGGACGATGCAGATGCTGACCACGCAGTGGTCGTTCTCCAAAGGGCTTGATGGCAGCTGTCCGCTGGGTCCCGTACTGGTGACCAAGGACGCGATTGCCGATCCGCAGAACTTGAAGATCAAAGCGATATACAACGGGCAGGTCGTGCAGGATGGGAACACCAAGTATGTCTCCAAATATCCCCTCCCCACCATTCCTCCGGGATCTCCCCCTTCCCATACTTTATAGTCCCTCTTTACACACCCACCATCCCTCACACCGTTTCCCCCAGTTATCCCTAAAACACCTTGTTAATAACGTCAAAGGGACATGATCTTCCCCATCGCCAAGCAAATCAGCTACCTCTCGCAAGGCACGACGCTCGAGGCCGGCACCATCTTCCTGACCGGCACGCCCGCGGGCATCGGCTTCTTCCGCAACCCGCGCATCGTCCTGGAACACGGCGGCGACATTCGGATCGAGATCGAGAAGATCGGCACCCTGGTCAACAAGGTGCGCTACGAGGAGTGGTAGACCAACACGGAAGCTGCTGCTGGGACCCCTGGCCGTCTGTACGTGTATGCATGGATAGGGACATTTAACAGCGCAAGCAATAAGCTAGTCAGTGCGTTGCGCATATATCTATTCAGCCATGTGTGCTCTCTTGTCAGGAAGCGACTGCGCAAACGAAACGGACAGGAGACGGAGAGTGTCGCTGGACCAGACACATCCATCCACGCGGTGTACGAGTCTCCAGTCATTGTCCTTCGCCAGCCAGGAAAAATATTTATATATACACACGCACTTTCCCTTAGCCCCTTGGTTAGGGGGAGTCGAATATTTTTCAGTCTCAAGAAAGCAGCACAAACATCTCCCGCCAAATTATCAAAATTCCTTCCCGGGGGCTTTTTTTTTGTTTCGAAAAAACACATGTTCATCACCCCATGGCACATTTTGAGTGAGTGAGTGAGTGACTCGAGCTAGCGTAGCGGAGCAAAGTCCCATTTGATGGGATATGGCTTCAAGCTTCATACTTCGTTTGACATTCCATGATTGAATCCCCATCTCGGACTTTCCTCCGCCGTCCGTCTGCCAAAGCGAGGTGCAGGTGGCCGACGCTCAAGGAATTGACACCTACCTATGTACCTAGGTATGTACCCTACCTAGGTGGGTAGGTCACCTATGAAAAAAAAGGTTTCTATCTCGAGCAAGGCACGGGGATTGGTTTCAGGAGCGAGGGGGGAGAAAGGCAGAAAGGATGTTTATATCGTTGATTGTTTCACTTTGTTTCATTCGCCTTCGGCATATCGCTACCTACCTAGGTTTCATAACACAGCACAGCACAGCACAGCACAGCACAGCACAGCACAGCACAGCACAGCACAGCACAGCACAGCACAGCACAGCATCGCACAGCATCGCATCGCATCGCATCCGCGGCGTAGCTACCTAATATCACGTTTTGGCCCAAAGCCATTCCGTAGCCATTCAGTCGCACTCCATCTCCATAAGACGTACCTCCATCTCTAGCCAACGCACAACACTTCTGTCGTAAGATACTCAGGGACTTATTCCCTGGTCTTGACATAAACAAGCACGAGCCGTCGTGACACTCTTGCCCTTCCTTCCTTCATCCTGCTGTTTCGTCCCGTCCAAAAGCCATGGGTCTTCATCAGAACTGGAAATATCTCCCAGTCACCTCATATTCCCCTCCAGGGAGGCACAGTCTACTCCAAGAACGTCTGCGGCACCTCGGGACCCCAAACCGCCAGACCCTCGTGCTCTGCGGGTCCATACCCAACCGGTGTGTCCTCATTAACGAGGTCTCCATCGGCGTAATGCTCGACCATGAACCCCGACACGTCCCACCAGTAGTCAAAGATCTGTGAGCCGAGAATATGTCGCCCGACACCCCAGACGGGTTCGTACTTCTTCTCTGCGAGCCATTGGTGACCCAGGAGCTGAGTGTCAAAGTCGTGCACCTCGTACGAGGAGTGGTGCACGTGTTTGTCCTTGCCGGGGACGGTGGTGGTCATGAAGAAGGTGTGATGGTCGACGCATTTCTGGCCGCGGTCGATGGAGGCGAAGAGGCCGACTTCCTTGCGTGCCGGCTTGCCGGTGGCGGGGTCAATGGAGTCTTGGGGCACGTAGAGAATGTCGCTTGGGTAGAGGTTGAAGTGGCGTGTGTACCAGTCCATCGTCTCCGGGAAGTTGTCAACGTTGATGCCAAAATGGCCCAGCTGGTAGAAAGAAACGTCAACGCCATGCTTGGGGACTAAACGGTGCTGCTTACCTTGTGGACAGCGGCTGGTCCAGGCTCAAATCTCTGGAAAGCCTTGGCTCTGGGCTTATCCGTCTCGTCGTTCACAAGTAACTTGCCAGGCTTCTGCCTCTCCTCCTTGACCTCTGCCTGTCCATAGATGAAATTCACATTGAATCCCTCTGGATCTGCGATGGTGACGATATACCCGCCTCCAGGGGCGTCAGTCATCTCTTCGATACCGTTCGTCAGGACCGTGGCGCCGGGGAGTTTGGTCACTTTCTCGAGTTCTTCTTTGGACTCGACTTCGAAAGCACCACCCAGGAACTTCTTGGGACCCTGGCGGGCGTAGTAGACGTATTGGTCGGGGCCATAGCCACGGAACCAACGCTCATTCTCGCCTTTCTTGACCACATGCATGCCAAAGTCTGCAGCGGGGAGCGTCAGTAAACCGGTCACAACAAAAGTTTCGAGGGGAGCAGGGTGACATCTCTACTAACCTCTCAAAAACGTCGTGATCTTGTTCAGGTCGGGATGCTGATAGCGCATGTGGCTCAATTTGGTGATTCTGACCTGCTTGGAGAGGTCGATGCCGCGCTTCTTCTGCCACTCGCGCTTGCTCTCCGAGTCTGGGCCTTGGGCGTCGACATCGCGAACAGAGGCACCACGGTTGGGGCTCGGTCCGCGGGAGACGGCGCCGTTGGTAGATGTTTGCTGTAAGGGACACAAGCAGAGGTCAGAAGTTGTTAAGCGTGGGAAAAAGAAGCCACATAGGATGATGATCCGTAGTGATGCTTTCCCTTACCTTTTCACCGTTCTTCAACGCCACCTCGGTGATGTTATGCTTCAGCTCGTCGAGTTTGTTCATTGTGTCTTGCTGGGTGTCTTGAGGTGGGAACAGTTGGGGTTTGTCTTGAGCTGAACCCTTTGCTGTGGCTCGCTGCTGCTTGGTGGAGGTGATGTGATTTGTTGTCGGTCAAGTTGAAAAGGTATGTGTTTGCTCAAGTGGCTTTGCTATTTAAGTTGGCGGTCGATGTCGTCAACAGGGGGAAGGCACGAACAAGCCTGCAGTTGTCGCGCCGCCGAGTGGAGAAAGTAAAGACGCGAGAATTGGCTGGATACAAAGGCTTCAAGTTTCAATAAAGGTACTACAAGAGGCACTGGAGGGTATATATGTGCAACACAATTTCTTGTAGGACAAAAGAAGAGTTGTTTGAAAGAGCTGACGCTGAAGTCGTTATGAAGCCACTTAAAACAAGTTTGAACACGACGACACAAACAAAGCCATTTTAACAAAATTACCCCACAGCGTCCGCGAAGATAGTCCGCACGGTATGTAAGAGACGAAACCCAACCGGGGGTCCAGGCCATCCATTCGAGCCTAGAGTCCACGAGAGAAAGCTCACAAGATTCTCGGGGTCTGATGAGCCCCATCGAGGAGGGTCATCACGGAGCCCCAATCGAGTATATCCAGAGGGTCATCCCAGGAGCCCAATGGAGCATATACAGAGCGAGCCACCCCCGAGCTGCCATGGTGTGTGGCACATGTTTGTACGAAATTCACCGTCCAAGGCCGTCCCCGCAATCCGTCATCATCCAGTAGCTATATCACCGCCATCGCGTTCGTCATCGGGGGCTTTTCCCCACGGGATTTTCAGGGCTGGCCAGCTGAAGCAAAGTCGGCGGTGGCTGGTAGATCGTGAAGAATGAAGAACAATGGTATCTGTCAGCAGCTGCGGTTTTGATTCCGTTGCGTCAAAAAGATCTGGTCGACGGCGAAGATCGAGGACCAAGAACTAAGAGTGAAAAATGAGCCCCACGATCTGCCGAAATTGTAGCGACGGCATCAATGGTCAATGTGGGGTCGCTCGCTTCAAGTTCTTGGAGGGTTGGTGGGACATCACGACTGACGAGAAGTCATGGAGGGGCGGGCTGCCTCAGTCTGACAGGCATCTTGATGAGCCTATATCCTGGTGAGGCTTGTGAGGGTAGATCCTATTTTGCACTGGTCGATTGACGAATTCATGGAGGATAGCCAAGGTCGTGAGAGAATTGACTCCAACCTGATACTGCAGCCTTGCATCGCACACCAATACTTTTTCATACGAGTGTCATATATATTGCAGACATTATACATTAACCTCATGCTCCGTCTTGCCTCCACGTCCACATCCACATCAGCTCACTGCTGCCTCTCTTTCCGCTGACACGGTCAGTAGCTCGTGCTCTGCAGGGTGGTGAACGGCGAAACAGTCCCCAGGGTCGGAATGCGGCCCAGCAAGAACTCAAGCATTCTGTAAGCCGCAGACGGTGCATATTGTGGGATCATATGTCCAGAAAGTTCAACCGTGGCCAGGGTCAAGCCTCGTTCGGTATGCCACTTGCCCATGAAGCCCGAACCTGCAGTCGAGCCCAGTTCGAAGTCGTACTCGGTGTAGTATGGGACGTACATGTCACCAAAGTGTGATGGTGGAGCCGAGAACCCTTGAGCTCCGTTCCAGGTCATGTTCTGGATGGCGAGCAGAGTCCCGTTGTACAGCAGGATCATGTCGAGAATGCCGTGCCCGATGATGACCCGGTCGGCGCTTTCAATCACCCCAGGCAGGACGCTCAAAGCAGACGGTGGCGAGTTATCCGTACCGTTGACAAACACGTTCACGTCGGTGCATTCTAGCCACTCTTGCTGAGGAGCGTGGATGGCCTTCTGCACGTCACTGCGGTTGAAGTAAACCGTGGCTCCCTGAGGCACGTAGTCGAAAGAACCGGGGAAACCAAGCACGTCCCACAACAGTGGACATGTTGTCGCCACTTGGTAGATGTCGAAACACGGGTTGATGGCGGATGCAGCGAAGAAGACCGCATCGAAGGTATCGCACGAGTCATCGCTGAGATCGGCATTTGGCGGAGTCGGCAAGGGTCCCTTGGGAGGAAACACGAGATTCTCATTCATGAATGCAGTATATCCGCAAGCATCGGACATGTTATGCAGTTGCTGGACGAAACTGGCATTGAGGTCGAGGAGCGGAAGCCAGTAGTCGACAAACGAGGTCACCGGAATGTGTTCTTGCACAACATCATAGCTCAAGCTCGGGTCGTAGATCATGATCGAGCTAATGTTGTAGTACTCGGTGTCGTTCTTGCTGAACATGGCGTCGGCAATGTACGGGACGTAGTAGCCCGCGTAGGACTCGCCTGCGATGTAGACGGTGTAGCCTTGCATCGAGAACAGCTCGACAAAGTTCTTGAAGAAGCCGAGGAACTGCGCAGCCACGTCTTTCTCGGACGTTGCCGTCGGAGTGCCTTGGGTGAAGCCAGTGCCAACAGGTTCTACACCCAGAATTAGCTCGGCGCCCTAACGTCGATCGCCATTTGTGAAACTCACGTTCAACCCAAACCACGTTTGTCAGATTTGTCCACGACCATTGGTTGCGCACCGGTTTGAAGGTGCCATATTGCCAGAGGAAAGGCCCGTTCTCTACCAACACCTGTCAAAACAAGACTTGGGCCGAAATCCCAATTCCACCAACCTTGCAGGAAGCCTTCCAAAGAGCTGCACCCGGGACCTCCATTCAGCCAAATCAAGATCTCATTCGTCGCATTCGGATTCGCCGAAGGGAAGAACCAGAAGTAAAGCTCCGAAGCATTCTTTTCACTCGAGATGGGCAAAAGGCCAGCATACGATTCGCCCACGTCGAAATCCACGTCAGGAATCCCGGTGCCATTGACCGCATATTCTGTACAACGGTCAGCCACGATCCCACTCCCGCTTGAGCTGAGGAAGCGCACTTTTAGTCGCGTTATTCAAGAACTTGTGCGGTGCGGCTCGTTTCTCGAGCTCCGGCACAACAGGATTTGCGTGAGGCGCGGGGGCTCTCTTGAGCTGTGGGAGCTTCTTGCCCACATGCTGGGGGCTTCTGCGCGCGGAAGCGAGAGAAACCAGGCCCAAGGCCAAAGCAATGATGGAGAACTTCATGATTACCTGCAGGGGAACAGAGTGAATAGCGCACAGGAAGCTGCGCAAGAGCACCAGGAGGGGGCCCGACACAAATAAAGGAAAATCGCGAACGCCCTCAGAGGAGTCAGGACATTCCCCTCCATCCAAGCTGGGGAGATTCTCGCTTGACGTCGCACCATGATGAAAGCTTCACCTGGTGATCCTAGGTGTTCTGTCTCCACCCGATGGCAGCATCCATGCCATGCTAAGGTGATACAGCATGATGATTGAACGGATAACAAGATCATGCAGCTTCCCGAGTCTCCAGGCGACGGCCAAAGCCGAAGTCAGGTAGTGAGCCATTGATTGCTGGGAAGAGGCGTGCGGGAAGCGACATTGCAACGCTGATTGACAAAGCGCCTGTGCAGAAGCAGCAGTCAAGGACCCGGTCTATGACGCGTGGGGAGGCAAGGTACATGGGAGAGCGGCGAGGATGTGGGGAGTAGGAAGCGGACGGCTAGAGACGATCTCGCGGAAGGATTTGGTCTTCGCAATAGATGATTCGTCCAGAGCGTGATCGTGTGCCTGCGTAGAAGAAGATAACGGATTCCCCTGTTCCCAGCATGTAACCTACCCATCCAGTACTTCCCCACCAGAGCTTTCGAGAAAGCCTCGGTCAGCGAGCATTGTTCTATAGAGGGCAGTTGATTCGACGGCGGCCAAGATTTGGATCCATCAGACAAAAGCACTCGGACGAGTACGCAGGGGAAATCAGACGGATAACGAACGCAATTGCAATGAGATGAATCGAGTATCGAATCAATCAAAGATCACCAGAGATGAGGCAGAGGTCCAATGGGCAATTTAGCGACGAGATGCGCAATGATTTGGAAGGCGGCCAGTGAAAGTGGAGGAGGAGCAGAAGCAACGGGAGGGCGCCTCTGATAGCGGCAAACCAACGGCAGTCAGGCGACAGCAGCCAACTGCTTGGCCTGGTTAGTGGCCTGAGCGGCCCCGGTGGCCAACGCTTAGCTTGACTTAGGCGAGGCTTATGGCTACCTAGGTACCTAGGCACCCACTAGGTACCTAAGCGCCTAGGTAGTTAAAGCTCTCAGCGTTGCTTCGAGGCTTCCAGAAAAGCTTGTTCCTCCAAATGTGGCAGATCATCGCCCCCCGCCATCTCCCGTGCCACCCTCATTCCCCAGTGTCACCTTTCCAACTCCTTCTTCGAGGACAGTAACCTCATGAGGCAGGTCGAAGGTGTTCGATAGCTGCTGAGATAGCAAATCTGCCGGGACTGCCATTCAGAAACGAGTGGTTTGGTGCACTTTCCATTCACGTAAACAGCCACTTCCTCCAGCCTCTGGTAGTCTCGAGGATTTCGGAGCAGATGCTCAGGATGGTCAACAGTGTTATGCAAAGCTCGTATTCGGGAGGCCTACAAACGCCTCCCATGCGCGGTGGCGCAAGAAAGGCTCAAGCCTAACTAGCCGACTAGGTAATTCTTGTAGGCACGATCGTCCCTGATCCCCTGGCTGGCTGCTCGGTAAACCCCCAAGGCTGACCTTGTGGCTGGCTGAACAGCACACCACCAACGCAGGCACTGGGAGGTAAATAGGTCCTGAGCCGTGCTCGCACCTCTTCAATCTCATCTTCTATCCTGGCAAAGCACATCCATCACCTCTCATGTCACTTCCACCGCTGTACACCATGATGCCAGTGTCCTCGTCAACATGTCTCCGAATAATCTGTCCTCGTCCAAACCTTGCTCGGCTGAATCCCTGAAGAACCTGGACGTCGTGCCCCATCTGCTTCAACGACTTGACCACCACCTCATCGATGCCTTCTTCCACATACACAGGTCCAGCGCCGGGTTCGCCTTCCTTGGGCGTTTGCGCGCCAATGCATATTCTTGGGGCGTCCAGAGCTTGTTGCGGGTTCATACCAAAGACCTCCATGTTGAGCAGCACTTGAACGTGACCCTGCGGCTGCATGAAACCGCCCATCACTCCGTATACCGAGTGTAATTCTCGCTCTCCTTCTTCTCCGTGGGTGATCATTCCAGGGATGATGGTGTGGTAAGGTCTCTTCGCTCCCTCGTAGATGTTTGGATGGTTTGATGGTCCCAGCTCGAAGTTGGACCCTCGGTTTTGGAGGGTGAACCCGCAGCCCTGAGGGATGATGGAAGATCCAAACCCTTCGTAGTTGGAATTGATGAAGCTCATGCCGTTGCCCTCCTTGTCGGCCACGGCGAAGTATACCGTGTCGCTGTGATTCTGGGCTGGGCTGGGTCCCGGCTGTCCATTGCTGTAAACGCTTGCCTTGTCTTTGTTGAACAGCTTGGCCCGTTCCGCCAGGTATGGCCGCGAGATCATGTCTGCTGGCTTGACCGGCATGAAGTCTGGATCCGTCACCCACCAGCTCGCGTCAGCAAATGCTATCCGAAGTGCCTCGATCACGGCATGCAAGTGTGCAGCACTGTTGTGGTCCTCCTGGGCGAACGTGGGGATCTGCCTCGTCCGTTCAAGCTCTTCCAGGATGCCGAGAGCCATGAGAGCAACTATGCCCTGCCCATTGGGCGGATGCTCCCACAACTCGACAAAGTGGTCATCTGGCGATCCATTCGTCACGCGTTGAATTCCCATCTTCTTCACATTCTGAGCGTTAAATCTCAACGAGATAGGTTCCGGCTCGTCGGCACCCCGGTTCATATGGTCCTCCAGGTCCGACAGTTCCATATGCCCACCTGTCATTTTCAGGACGTCGACAATGGCTTGAGCGATCCTCCCACTGTAAAACCCTTTCTTCCCCTCCGCCGCCAATGTCCTGAACGTCTTTGCCAAGTTGGGATTCTTCATGATCTCGCCAGCCCGAGGAGCCCGAACGAAATCTTCCGAGTGTTTGTCTCTTTTGAGCATTTCGCGGTAATTGGGTGAAGCTTCCCTAAGGTCCTTTTCACCTTCGTGCCACTGCGGACGTATCAGAGCTGCCTTACACAGGACGCTGGAGTTTAGAAAGCAACTTACCCACATTGCAGAAAGCTCGCTGACGGGAAACCCGTTCTCCCCCAACTCAATTGCCGGCGTCAAGATCTGCTCCAAGCTCAATTTCCCGCTCCCAAACTTCTCAATGGTATCGACCCACCCCGCAGGTGCGCCAGGAACCGTGACTGACAGCGGACTCAGGACTGGAATCTTGCCACTCTGAGACGAAGACAGGCCCAAATCTTTTCTCACTTGTTCCAGAGTGGTGTTCTTCGGGCTGCGACCCGAGCCATTGAGAGCATGGACCTTTTTTGTCTTTGCATCGAAGAAGAGACAGAACATGTCTCCCCCAATACCGGTCGAGGTGGGCTCGGTCATGTTTAACGCAGCAGCTGGTGGGCCGTCAGAGGGGATCTGGGAAGAACAGCAGAGGTTCTCGACATACCAACTGCGACAGCAGCATCCTGAAGGTCTTGTCAGCTCTACTAACCATTGACTCTCTTTCCCTTGTGCAAGTTCACTTACAGCAGCATTCCCTCCCATCTTCAAGATCCTTTGCCCTGCCTCCGCAGCCAAAGGTTGTGTGCATGCGACCATGCCCTGCGTGCTGTGAACCACGCTCCTTCTGCTCGGGAACTTCATGAACATTGAAGTGTTGCCGGGGAAGACGGCCTCCGCCTTCATATCTTTGCCCGTTGAACCCATCGCTGTAAATCGCCCGGGGATGTAGGAGGGACAGAGACGGTGATGCGAAGGCTTTGACTGGACGAGGGAGCCGCGAGGTTGACGGCAGATGGTCCTGCAGAACTGCAATGTGAAAAGGCCAGTGTGAAATGAAAGAGCAATGGGGAAAATGTAATATACTTGACCTTCCTGGCTGGAATTAATGATTCCCAAACAACATTGGAGGGGCCTTCATTTTGCCGAACAGTAAATAAATTTACATAACCAGTGCATCATGCCGCCTACCCCTCCATGACGTGGAGAACTCGAACGACGTCTGTCCATACACGAAGGGCGAGAGACAGAAAACGAGAAAGCACTTGCCGCACACCCTTGTAGCTTGGGCTTTTTCCGGCAGGTCGTTTTGATGTTTGAGGGCCATTAGGACTTCTCCGCCGAGTTCGAAGTGCTTGAGATACGGCAAGCTGACGGAGACGCCGGCCTCTCCCCGAAACAGCGACGATGGCGGCGAAGTTGGCTGTTCGGGAATTCTGCGTCCAGTGTTCGCAGACAAGTCGCTCAGTCATGACTATCATCTCCGTACATTGGCTACTCCAAACACATTAGGCACTAGTTATACAAAGAATTGGTCGCGAGACCAATCCGCCGCCCGGAACATACGAGATCCTCCTAAAACGAGTGCTCCCGTCCCTCCATTTCCACGTGTCCCTGCATGTACTGTCGACGATGTGTATCCCGGTCTGCTCTCAGCCTTGTGCTGAAGAGCATATTTTGGACTCCATATATCAAGCACCAACCCGCTCTCCACGCCAAATCTCCCTGACAGTCGTGTGCTCCACGAGCGTATTTATTGCTTTGCCCAGGATTCCGAGCCTTGGAGCTGCTCGAAGATCGGCGTGGTACTGCGGATCCTTTCTTGAGCTTGAGTGCCTCGATGTCTTCGGCCGCTCTTCTGCAACATCGCCCTTCCCGTCTCGCTCTCGATTGGAGGCGCCTTCGCGAGACTTGTGATGTCTGTGTTCGCGATGTTCGTGTGGACGACTTCTCGTTCTCTCTCTTGATCTGTCCCTTGGAACGTCGTTGCCGTTTACCTTGATCATAAGGAGGGGTCTGGTGTCGCTCTGGCCCGTTGCCATCTTCTTCAAGATTCCAGGAATCGGAACCACCGGAGAACCACCACCGGCGTTAGTTCCTGCGCTGCTAGGCCGCCTCGTCTTGGTCCTGGGCTCACTGCTGTTTTCATTTGCAGCATCTCGAGGTGAATCTGGGGACGTCTCCTTCTCCTTGCCCTTCCTCTTCGTGGCCTGTTCCGAGACTTCACCCTCCGGTCTTCGTTTCTCTTTTCCTTCATGACGCCTACGCCTCCTTTCTTCCTTGGCATTGTCTTCCTCTGCCTGGCGGCGGCTATGGCCATCTCTTGTGATATGGGCCTCACCTTCGTGTCGGGCCTTCCTGGCTCTCCTTCTCTCTTCTCTTTCACGCTCCTTCTCTTCAGGCGATGGCTCGTGTCGGCCATGCTCTTTTTCTTTAGACTGTTTTTTGATCTGCCTCGCAAATGCGCTGTCGAATAACCCTGCTTCGCCCCTGTTCCTCTCGAGTTTCCCTCTGTGCCCATGCAGCTGGTCTTTCGAGCTGCTTCCGCGTCTCTCATGGTACTTCCTCCGTTTTTCCTTTACACCCTTGGAAGCCTCCGAAGCCACCAGCCCACCGGCTACGCCGACGACTGCGCCAATGGCGGCCGCTTCGAGCGGGGCCGCCGGTTCCTCGGACACTGGTGCTTCTTTCTCTTCAGAAGCTGGCTCAGCTTCTGCGTGTTCAACCTCCTCCGCTGCAGGCGTCTCCTCCGTTGATTTGGTTGGTTCATCGGCAGGTGGAGGCTCTTCAGTTGGCGCTTCATCGTCGGCTGGCGTAGCATCGTGAGCTGCTCCTTCTGCTGTCTCAATTATTGCTTTGGGCTCCTCGGACGCTTCTTCAGTGGCTAGTTCCTCAGCAGCTACTTCGACAGGCGGTTCTACGGGAGCTTCTTCTGCGGCTGGCTCTTCTGCGGCTGGCTCTTCTGCGGCTGGCTCTTCTGCGGCTGGCTCTTCTGCGGCTGGCTCTTCTGCGGCTGGCTCTTCTGCGGCTGGCTCTTTGGCAGCTTCCTCGGTAGCTTCTTCCGCTACTGCTTCTTCGGGTGGCTCGTCAGGAATCTCTCCTGCAGGTTCTTCTGCATTCTCTTTGGCTGCCTCTTCGGGGGCGTCTTCGGGAGCCTCTTCTACTGGGTCGTCTGCTGGATTATCGGCGGCTTCTTCTGCTGGTTCCTCCGCTGGTTTGTCGGCGACTTCTTCTGTTACTTCGTCCACAGCTTCTTCAGAATCTGGTTGTGTAGCAGGATCTTCAGCGGGCTCTTCAGTAGGTTCCTCGGTAGGTTCCTCGGCAGGTTCCTCAGTAGATTCATCAGCAGGTCCATCAGCAGGTTCCTCAGCAGGGTCTGCTACAGGTTCTTCGGCCGGGGGCTCCTGGGTCGGTCCTGATTCTTCAGCGTTGGCTTCTGCTGGCTCGACTTCCTCAGCGGCCTGCTCTTCTGATGCTGGTTCTTCCGCAGATACCTCCTCTGCAGCTTCCCCTGTTGGTGAATCGCCAGCCTCGTCAGTAGCCGCGTCTTCAGGAGTTTCTGCTTCTGCCGTTTGTCCAGCCGCGTCGTCTTCAGCGGCAGCCTCCTCCGCTTCAGCCTCAGCCTCCACTGCCGGACCATCCTCTGCTGGGGCCTCTTCCGCTGCTTCCCCTTCTGCAGGTGGCCCTTCTGCTGGAGGTTCTTCCGTTGGTGTGTCTTTGGGAGGGTCTTCTAGAACAGGCGTCTCTTCAGCAGCACCTTCTCCATTTTGGCTGCAGTCGTCTCCAGCCGCTGGTGCCTCGGCGCCGTCTTCTGGTGATGCCTCCTCGACTGCATTGTTCTCCACCTCCTCTTCAGGAGCGGGGTCATCGGAGGCAGTATTTTCCTCTTCATCTTTGCTTCCCCCGTTCCCATCGGCCTCTCCACTCTCGGACGCTGGGTTCTCGTCCGGTTCGCCCTCTTTTTCTTCCGCAGCCGGTGAGTCGGGCTGCGCATCATCTGCTGCATCCGCTACATCTGTGGCGGGAGCGCCAGCTTCGTTGCTGTCTGGCACCCCTTCCGCCACAGCCTCGTTGGCGGCCGATTCTCCGTTTCCCTCAACGATCTCTTCCTGCTTGTCTGCGTTCTCTGCATCTGTCGACGCGTCCTTGTTAGCCTCGCCCTGGTCGTTGGCTGGCGGTGCTTCTGAAGCACTGGCTGGGCTATCCTCCGTCGGATTGCCCTCCTCGGACGCAGGGTCTGCAGCGGAGGCAGACGCGTCTTCTCTCTCATCTCCTGCGGGTGTTTCTGCGCTTTCTTCGCTCTCGCCCGGTGGTCGGTCAGTATCGGCCGCTGACTCCGGAGAAGCAGGACTAGCTCCGACGTCAGACATGGCCTTCTCCAAGACCTCAGTGATCTGTTCAGGAGGAGCATCAGCTTCCTGCATCTTCTCTACCACTTCAACCACTGTTTCTGGCTCGGAAGACTTTTCGCCGTCGCTCGAGTCGACGGCGGTAGTTTCCGATGAGTCTGCGGGATCCTTGTCTTCGCCCGGATCCTTTGATTCGTCCTCGGCGGGTTGTTCAACATTTTCGTCCTTTGGGTCCTCTTGCTCGGGTTCTCGGATAGGATCCGATGCATCTGGATCGCCCTCGCCAGCATTCTCAGAGGGAGCATCATCATCTTTCGGCCCTACCTCGTCGGAAGAGGGTTCAGGATCAGGCCCTCCTGCTAGAATGGCTTCGTCAGAGCGATTCAATTCAGGAATTCTTTTGTCGAGAATACCTGCATCTCCCTCTATCACGACGACTTCGTCAGCGCCAGTGTCCTCTTGCGCTGCTACGTCGTCCATGACTATAATATCTAGGTAAGAGTGAGAGGAGGAACCAGATATTTCTTCAAGGTGCAATTTACCTTCTATTTCTTTGGGATTGTCTTCTGAAGGCGGGGGAGGAGGCTCTGCAACGTCGTCAGGTGTGGTGGCGGCCTCTTCATTCTTCAACTGGTCGTCAGTATCAGGGTTGCTGGGATCAATTTCGTCGGGTGCAATGATAGGGTGAAGGGAGTATGTGACGGCATTTGCATCAAACGTTTGCCATTGATAAGCAGGAAGTTTGGCGTACTGGAACTGGGACGCCATCGCCGATGTGTTTGGGTTCATCAGACCAGGGGTCAACGAAAGTCTTCTTATTCTTTCTCTTTTTAGGCTTTCCCATGGCCATGTGCCTGGGGTTGTAGGGGCGCTCTGCTGTCAGGCCAAATTCTGGGAGGTACCAATCCCTCCCCTTTGCGCAAGGATCACGAAGGGTGCGGAGGGGTCGGAAAGCACAATGACGCTATCTAGCCGACTCAACACTGGAGGGCAAAAATCTCATGAACCTCGTAAAGTGACGAAAATGTGTATAGACGGGGGAAGGAGTGGCTGAAGGACGCATCATGGTGGTGTGAAATCTGGTTGAACGGAAGGGTGACCTGCAAAAGCCCAAGCATGAATCATCCCACCTAACAGCATGGCGGCTTTCAGCCAAACGATGAACAAGGGACAGTGACATCCCGTTTTGGGAACAGCAGGGCCCGGCAATTGGACCACGTCAACGAGAAAAAAGCTGGTTTGGCGCATGGTTTGGAGGGCGACTTCTGCAGAGACCATGCGGCCATATGCGGGTGGGAAATGATACAAAGCAGCATAGTTCTGACTCCCAGGTCAGACAACTGCAAGAATGAGTGGAATAATCCAGCCCAAATGTCCGCAATTGGACGAAATGTGCATAACGAGGGGCGACGATTGGGTCGCGTAGAGGCCGGAAGTTGTACCTAGATTGGTGCCCAACAAACACGACTGGTCAGTCAGCCACAAGGTGGGAAAATTTCTGCGGCCAGAAGGAAGCAGCTCTATCTTGGGGTTACTTCTTTTCCTTGTGGTGAGTTGCCATGTGTTTCGATTTGTTAGAGGGCTATGCAATGTGTTGGATCCCTTGACGCCAGTTCGTCCAAAGACGTGGAGGAGTTCATTGACGAGACACGGGACGCTGGCTGGATCCTTGCTCTGGCACGGGACGAGCACAGGAAGAAAAGAAAGGAAAGGAGATTTTAGTGTCTCTGTTGGCGCATCTGTTGGCGTGGGCAGCGCTGATGAGGGATTGCTGCCATTGGCAGTTCGACGGGGAGGCGATGATCGTGAGCTTCTAACAGCTTCAAGTGGTCGGTCGGATATCCATGGTAAAGTGTTGAAGGATGAAGAGGGGATAGAGAAGCATGAGAAGATTTTTGCTCCCGAGGGACCTTTGGCACGGCTCGACCCGATGGACAAAACGGGCCGCAGGCTTGAAGCGCCGCTGATCAGTGTCGATGGTGTCGAGGGTTTCGCCGTCTTCCTCAATGTCTCGCCTCTTGAGTAGTCGAGTCGCTGCCTCACTTCCAACCTCTGCATTTTATTTGATGTTTTGGGGGCGCAGGGGATGAGAGGGGGAAGACATGTGACCGTGTGTCACGAGGCGAGGAGGGTCATAGGAGTCACGTGTCAGCGTGGACAAGTTCTTTGGAGGTCTTTTGGTCTATTCTCTTGCTTTGCTCGCGTGTTATTTATTTTTATCCTAGCTGTCGATCCATCTTTTCTCGCCAGTTCTCGCCATATCGTTTCATGGCCCAAATGACCAAGGCGCTGCAGAGTGCCCAAAGCCCCAGAATGGTAAATAGCCAACCATTCCCAATCGCTGCAATGAGGGGAGCCCCTACGATAGCGCCAACACATGATAGAATGTTCCGGCACAAGTTGTTCAGAGCAACACCGGAGGAGGAGCGACGTGGCATGAACTCAGTCAGCATCGTGGTTGACATGGCGAAAATGATCATGGACCCCAGGCCGTAAAAGAAGTTCGCAAGTATCTGTACCACACGTTGTCAGCTTTGGTACCTTGCATACGGCAAATTTCACCATGTGTTTCTGTTTCTATTTCAGATTGACTTACTGGTACAAACCAAAAGACGCCATTCTCAACCGTCCACCCGTACCATATCAAGGCAACAGGATAGACTAATGCACCCAGCCACGCGTTTTCGCGCATCCGGTCTTCTGGTCGAAAGATTAATTTTCCATTTTGATCCACTCGGTTTGCCTTGATCGCCTCGCGCCTCATGATATAATCCATCCAGCGACCGCCAAGTACGCTGGCAATAATATACCCGAGGGAATTGGGCAGATAGAGCAACCCGATGACGATGGTTGAAAAGTCATAGGGTTTCCTTTCAAAAGTATACTGGATACTGATGTTGAGGACGTACAGGGAGCCGAAGGTAACCGCCGAGTAATACACCGTCAGCAAGACAGGCATGAACCGGAGGTACAGGATGACGCTCAGTGGGTCCAACAACAACATCCGTGCAACCTTTAGGTACTTCTTCGACTTATGCTGTATCACCTCTCGGGTCGAGGTTCGACTCAGTGGAGGTCGATGGCTGCTGTTGTTGATCGACGATGCCGTCTCCCCCATGGCTTCTTCGGCCACGTCCTTTCGTGTCTTGAGGGTTTCAGGCAGACCGAAGAAGATCAACACCCATGTCAAAACTGATATTTGCATCAGAACCCATTCTTGCAGCGACGAATCAACTGGCTTAGCATCAGAGATGTTGTGGGCTTACCTCCGTATATGGCGAGAGCCCATTGAGTCGCCCTCCAGTCCCAAACTTGGCCGAGAATGCCCCCAACGATGGGTGCCAGTAACGGGCCGCAAAGAGGCCCCAGGTAGAAGAGACCCATCGCTCTGCCCCTCTCCCGAGATTCCCAGATGTCGGCGATCGTTCCCGCACCGACGGCTTGCACGGACGCCGAAGCTCCTCCCGACAACAGTCGCATTACTATAAGCATGGATATCGAATGAGAGACGGCGCTCAAGACAGAGAACAAGATGAACAAGGCAAATGAGGTGATGTAAACGGTGCGGCGCCCAGCGGTTTCTGAAAAGGCCGACCACCAGAGCGGGAAAATGGCCATGCTCAACATGTACAGCGCAACTGATAGGTTGGTAGTGGTCGCATCCGAGTGAAGGGATTTAGCCACTTCATCCAGGGTCGCTTAATATATTCATTTGAGTCAGTATATAGACCAACCTCGACAAATGCATCGACAACGCAACGTACGCAATATGATGGCACTGCCCACGGGGGCGGCGGCAGCAGCAATGGCGACGATGGCGGTGATACACCACTTTACGCTATTCTTATAGTCCGTGGGTTCTGTGACTTCGGCCATGACACAGAAACGAGCAAACAGACCACGTCGCTCCGACCGCGGCACCTTGACAATGGGTCGTTTCGGGGTTATGGTCCTTGCCAATGCAGCTCGGCCAACTTCGACATCCTGCTGGTCGATGACGGTCGAATGGTCCGAGTGATCAGAACGTATGGACCCGCTGTCGAGTATGTCACCGTGCTCTTTCTCTTTTGTCAGTCTTTCTTCCGAGGCTGGGCCGCACACGGTATCTGGTGAGGGGGGAAATTTCTCAAGGCCATCGTGAGCCATGTGCGCAGTCCGATGAAAGGCCGGTATAGGTTAGAATTGGACGAGAAAGAGATCGACTATCTGCTGTCGAGGTCATCACTCAGGTCAATTATACCCCAAGAACGAAACCAAAGAAAGAATCTAAGAAGTGAAGACCGAGAAGGGGATGCTGGAGATGAGCACATTCAAGATGCGGTCAGCTGCGTGCCAGCCAGGTCGCAGATCCTGGGAGACATGTCTCTATCGGCTATAAGGCAAAAGGGCGTGTTAGCAGCGAGCGGCAGGTAGAAAGGACGTCCACAGCGGCAAATGGCATGCATGGGTTGCAAGGCCTGCTCGAGGGTATTTGCAGTTTACCGGTGGCCCAACATCAAAGGACGGAATCACCGCGGTGGACAGAACCAATGACGACAAGAGAATGGTGGGGTCAAGCATTGTTAGCTGGGGGGCAGCGAGGGTGAATTCTGCTGTAGATAGTCCCAAATCGATGGAGAGATCGAGGGAGAATGATGGTGGTTGTGCCGTTATTGCCGGGAAGCCAGAGGGAGCAGAGCACACTTCGCGTGCAAGATTGACTTTTTCTGGCGACCCCTGGCACAACATTCTGACCACCATAGTCGGCCATTGCCGTAGATATTGCATGCCTGGATAAAGGACCAGAAGATGGCCATGTCGTGCCAGTCAATTGCTCAATTGAGGACAAGGTGAATGATTTTTCTCGGGCACGGTGTGAGATGCCTTGCTGCCGGTCCTCCGTGCCCACCTGTCGAAAGCATCTCCCAAGTCAGTCCAGGTACCGATCACGCCCTTGTGGCCCCATATTCCTTACCTAGGTAGGTGCTTAGGTACCTACCTGGCGAGCTGGGTATGTTGTACGATGTCCGACTCAGCTGCCCACACAACCGAGGCACTCACAGGTGGCACTTCTTTTGTACCCACCTCAGTAGTACCTCGTAGATGCCCGTACCTCTAGGTACTCTGGAGTCATTATTACCAAGTACCTCGTCGTCCTCGTACAGCCGAGTCCATCGTCCATCGCACCTCTGGGAATGAGAGAATTGTGCCCCAGGATATCCAGCCTTGTCTCGTCATATCAGCACACGTTGATTGCCCTGGCGACATTATTGGAGTCAAGGTGGATTCGAGGTTCCCATACGTGTAGACACAGAACTTTGATGTACACTTCCGACGTGTCGCTGCGGTCATCCCCACGACTGCAACCAATGGTGATCGGAGCAACCTTGTCAACCTTGTTAGTGATCAAACCACCATCTGGAGAAGAGTCTGGGCACTTCCGATGTTCTCCCATCTGACTCCGCACAACTCGTACGTTCGAGACATTGTATCGCTGGCTGATAATGCAGTAAGCAACAAAAGCAGAACATCTCCAAGTTTGATCTCGGGGCTGTGCATCTTGAAAGACACTTGGACAAAGGCAGCCATCCGCCTTCACCCTCCTGGCCATCAGAGTCGATCCTTCCACCAAAACCACCACTCAACCACTTTATTCCGCTTCAGGCAAATTCGACGACACGTCCTCGTCACCCACTGTTCATCTCCCATCCACCACCGACCTTCCACTCCGCTATTTGCCGTTTATCCATCCAAGGCGCACCCCAGGCCATTGAGCTCGGCCGCTTTACCCGTCCTGGTCGAACCAACCGAAATCATGTCCTCGACGGCTGAAAACCGTGAAAGGCTCAAGGGCCACATGGCTCAGTACCAAGGAGGCGCCTACACTCAAGGCTGGAACGAGCTGTGGAACAAGGGAGACTTCTTACCTTGGGACCGTGGGTCTCCATCCCCAGCCCTCGCCGACACCCTGATCAACCACGCCGATGTCATTGGCAATGCCCTTCTGGCCCCGTCTGCAGATGGCCAGAAGCAACGGAAACGCGCGTTAGTCCCCGGCTGTGGCCGTGGTGTGGATGTTCTATTACTCGCAAGTTTTGGATATGATGTGGTCGGATTGGAGTATGCTGAAAAGGCACTGGAAGCCTGTGAGAAGTATGTGGCCGAGAATGCCGATAAATATCCCGTGTACGATCAGAGCATTGGCAAGGGGAAAATGGTGTTTCTTCAAGGAGACTTCTACAAGGATGAGTGGTTGGAAAAGGTGAGGACGGAGCTGGCTGCCGGTAGTGAGTGGGACGGCAAGTTCGATTTGATTTATGACTATACTGTGAGTACCTTTCCTGACTTCTGTTCTCTTGCCACCATCCCCATCAGATGACAATCTCGTCCTCTCGCTTGTTGACTTTTGCGTTGCGGCACATGATGGTTGATGTAAGGTATCACTCACACGTGCCTTTCCAGTTCTTCTGCGCAATGCACCCAGGCATGCGTCCTGCCTGGGCCAAACGCATGACCGAGCTCCTCCGCCATTCCCCTCAAGCAAATCTTGTCTGTCTTGAATTCCCAGTTACCAAGCCTGTCAAATCCGGTGGTCCCCCTTACGGTGTTGCTCCGAAGACATACCTCGAACATCTGAGCCACCCAGGAGAAGAAGTTCCCTACGATGACGAAGGGAATGTCAAAATGAACCCGCTTGCTCCGTCCAGCCCAGGTGCATTGGAGAGAGTGGGGCATTGGCATCCTGCCGACACGCACAATGTGGGCAAGAAGGACGGTAACGTCGAGGACTATATCTCGGTTTGGCGTCATCGTTGAGATCTTGGCCTTTTTTGGGTTGTCTGGGTGATCTCGGGTGGAAGAGCTTCCTGGGCTTCAACAGCCCCTCCAAAACTCGTGTTTGTGTAATCGAGTCATGATATGACACGGAAAAGGAGGCAGTTGCTCAACTTTTGTCCACTTTCTTCAATGCATTGTAATGCTCACCGAGCCCGAAGCTGTGTCGATAATATGCCAACCAGATGGCGTCGTTGTTCGAGCCGTCCTGGGAGGAGATTCTTTCCACCCGCCCACTCGCTTGGAGCACGTTGATCTCAACATTGTACGATCGCGCAATGGCCTGCAGTTCCAACTCGCCGCCCCATTCTGCTGTATCCCTGATCTTGCCCACATAAGCATTCAACGGCTCCTCCATAAACGCCTCGAAGTCTTCGGGGTGTCGAGCCATGAATTCCGCTGCTGCGTATCTAACCTTTTCATACGGCTCCTTTTTGTTCCCGTCGGACGTTGCAGCAAGAAGGTCGGGAGGCATGCTGTGTGCGCAGGCGGAGAAGAGACAGTGGCCGTCAGGCCGGATGAGCGTTTCTGCCAAGCCTAGTTTGCCCATCTGTTCCTTCATGCCGGCGAGTTCTTGCTCACGGAGATCGGGAAGGTTCTCTGCCTCAAGGGCCGCGGCCGCTGCCTGTGCCTCTTGTTCGGCCGCTCGACGTGCCAGTCTTGCTTTTTGCCGGTTTGGCTTTCGCTGTCGCGACTGGTCCGCCGGCGTTGGTTCTTCAGTGTCGACTTGTGGAAGCGGTTCTTCCGGTTCATGTTCTGGCTCGCCGTTGATTTCTTTCCCTGGCTGATCACCGAGATCGAGATTCTCCAGCGCCTCCTGTGGTACATTGGGATCTTTGGGTTCCAACTCCTGGATCTCGGCCTGCTGCCTCTCAGCCAGTTCGCGCTCGAGTCTTTCACATTCGTCATTCACTCCCTTTCTGGTCTTCTTGGTCGCGTTCTTCTTTTTCTGCGTGATCCTTGCTTGGAGGTCTCGCTTCTCCTTGCGGTGTTTGGCAAGTAATTCTTCCATGGCGACCAGCTGATGTTTTGGAAACTCGCTTCACCTAATTTTTTCGCATCACGGCGAATTATTCTCCACGGCCGGGGTACGTCTTCGGAGGTTTAAGATGCACCTCTCCTGTGACAGCTGACAGCGATGCGCGCAATCGGCCAGGACTAGTAGATGTCGACGCCGGTTGGGTCAGTGACCTGGTGCCTTTGCAAGGGGAATATCGTCATGCGACTCAAACTACTCGGTACAGATGAACCATCACTTTGTGAATGGGGAGTCCAAGCCACACTTTTTCTCCAAGAGGCGAGTGGCCCCGGTAAGGCTTCAAGTCCCTGTTCTGACACGTGCTCGATATAGTGGCGTGCTTGGCGCTCTTACGCAAGCTGCCAAGTTGTGTTTTGTTACCTTTTGGTTAGGTACCTGGGTATATTACGGGCGGGCTGGTGTGCTTCGTTGGCATGGTTGGGCAGGCAGGTAGGGCGGGCTCCGGGGCAGCACCTCAGCCCACTGCCCACGGCACCACGAGTTCATTTAGGCTTCAGGGCTGGTGGCTGCCCCTCCACCTCGCCAGTCGCTTCCCCATCTGCCCTCCCGCCTTGTCACTTGAAACCACAGCGCGCGGCTGCTTCAAACGACAATCCAAAGCAACTTTCATCACAAACAGCAGTGCCAATCCACCTCAGCGGCTATCTGCTGCAGGTCTGAATACCCAATTTTATTCAAATCTCTCACCTAGATTTCGTCCTGCTATCCAACTCCCTTTACTGGCTAGGTCTTACACAAATATCCTTGCCATCCTTGCGCTACACCTGAAGAGGCCCCCACCTTTGACTCCGACTGGACACACTCGCCGCAATTCGACTTCGCAGTTGCACCCAGCGTGTCAGCACTGCTCAACTCTATCATTCAGCCGCACAAGCACCCCAGACCAAAAGTCTGCCTTGCCTCCTCGATTCCCTTGGCCGGTTCTCCTTTATAACGCCTGGGCTGCCGTTCCGACCTTCCTCGTCACCATCAACCCGCTGTCCGATCCTGCTTGTCCCTGACCAAAGCTGCTAATCGGTAATCGTGAGAGCAACGGCAACATGGGGGATCTCGCCGGGCGCAAAGTGTTCAAGGTCTTCAACCAAGACTTCATTGTCGATGAGAGGTACACCGTGACAAAAGAGTTGGGCCAGGGTGCATATGGTATTGTCTGGTACGAGTACCTCCGCCGCGGGTGGAAGCCTTGCTGACCTGGCCGAAAGTGCTGCCACCAACTCGCAAACGGGAGAAGGTGTGGCCATCAAGAAAGTCACCAATGTCTTCAGCAAGAAGATCCTCGCGAAGCGAGCATTGCGCGAAATTAAGCTTCTGCAGCACTTCCGTGGCCATCGAAATGTCCGTCGTTGCGATCAATCAATCGTGGAAAGATCTCCGGGCTGACCAGGCACAGATCACCTGTCTCTACGACATGGATATTCCCCGGCCAGACAACTTCAACGAGACATATCTCTATGAAGGTAAGTTGGACCTGTTAAGCGAGGAGACAATCGTTAACGCGCGCCAGAATTGATGGAGTGCGATCTTGCGGCAATCATTAGATCAGGCCAACCACTTACCGATGCTCACTTTCAATCCTTCATCTACCAAATTCTGTGCGGTCTCAAGTACATCCACTCGGCGAATGTTTTGCACAGAGATCTGAAGCCCGGTAATCTTCTCGTCAATGCTGATTGCGAGCTCAAGATTTGCGACTTCGGTCTGGCCAGAGGTTTCTCTCAGGATCCCGAGGAGAATGCGGGATATATGACCGAATACGTCGCAACCCGGTGGTATCGTGCCCCGGAGATTATGCTGAGCTTCCAGAGCTACACCAAAGCTAGTACGTTGACATTCGATGGGTACTGTATTCTCTGCTAACATGCGTGATAGTCGATGTGTGGTCGGTTGGATGTATTTTGGCAGAATTGCTTGGAGGAAGACCCTTCTTCAAAGGCCGGGACTACGTCGATCAGCTGAACCAGATTTTGCACTACCTGGGTACCCCTAACGAGGAGACCCTGTCGAGAATCGGATCACCCCGTGCTCAGGAGTATGTCCGAAACCTGCCATACATGCCCAAGATCCCATTCCAGAGACTGTTCCCACAGGCAAATCCCGACGCCCTCGATCTGCTGGACCGAATGCTGGCATTTGATCCATCGTCTCGTATCTCGGTGGAGGAAGCACTGGAGCACAGATACCTTCACATTTGGCACGACGCCAGTGACGAGCCTGCTTGCCCCAAGACCTTCGACTTTGCGTTTGAGGTTGTCGAGGATGTGCAGGAGATGCGAAAAATGATCCTGGACGAAGTCATGAGATTCCGTCACCACGTTCGCCACCAGCCATCTCAGACCCCAACTGCCAACATGAATGTGCCAATTCCTGAGAACCCGAGTCAATGGAGCAGCCACGAGGATCCCAAGCCGCAGGAGGCAGGTGCCTTTGCGAGCAATGATCTCGAGCAGGAGCTACAATTTGGAGCAGACATGAGACGATAGACGTTTCTGACATTTCGGACATTTAACGTTTTGTTCAGCCTGGAGATGTCATTAACGGAGTATCGATGCACGAAAACATGACAATATACTTGAATACCTGCCCTTCGCAAACCTTTTGTGCCATTCAATCTGCCGATTTGGGTATGGAAAGGGGAAATACATGTTCCAGGCCGGATCGTAGGTAGACAATTGTCCATGACATGGTCAGTTTCCTTGTTCTCTCACCGGTCCAAATTTCACGCTCGTTCGCAGTGAATGCCTCGCCACTGGGACTTCACTTATCGCTTCAATGCTCCTTCCTGTCATCTCAATCGCGGTCATCATCAGGACGGTTGTTACTTCCATTGCAACTCTGCCGGAGTATGACAGATATATCTTGACTGCCTACTGGCAGGCTGATGTGGACGCAAGCTCCGCGGCTCTCAAATTCCAATGTCCTTACTTACGTCGATGCTAACAAACAGTTCGTCACGCTTTCTGAGTCCTAAGCTCAGGTCCATTACTGTCGCCATTATCAGTACTATGATTGCCTTCATACTGACCCTGATCCTCTGTGCTTGGGCCGTCTCCAGTACCGCTCTACCCGATGGTTCAACTACCGTCTTGGGAATGCTACCTGGCGTTCCAGAAGGATGGACTCAGGTACGCTGACTCAAGCTGGGAACGTGTCATTTACTCACGCAAGAAAGGGCAAAAAACCAAGTCCAAAGGGTATCATCAAACTGCGTCTCGCTATGGATCAACCTGCAATGAGTGACATCCATCAGCACCTGCTCGACATCTCCACACCTGATCATCCACTCTACGGCCGGCACCTGGAGAAGCATGAACTCGACTATCTGCTGCGACCAGCTGGCGACGTGACTGCTGCAATCGTCGACTGGCTCGAGGGTGAAGGTATTCTGGCAGGAAACATCACCTATCAAGGATCCTGGTTCACTTTCGACGCCTCCATCTCTCAAGCCGAAAGCCTTCTCAGCACAGAGTTCCATGAGTATCACAATGGAGACACCACTTTGATTCGTACCCTGCAGTACTCGGTCCCGACAAGGCTGAGGTCATTGATCACTACAATTCAGCCTACCACTCGATTTGGTCAACCAAGAGCACAGGCCAGGCTCATGCTAGAGAGCAGAGATAGTCCCGATCCTGGACTAATTTCGCCAATTGATGGCAATCCTCAACTTTTGACCACCTACAATGCCACCTTCTGCAATAGCACCATTACCCCGGAATGCATTCGAGGCATCTACGGAATGTCCAATTTCCAGGCCAATCCCAAAGGAAAGACGAAACTTGGTGTCTCTGGCTTCATCGAGGAAGGGGTGTATTTTGACGATCTCGCAGACTTTCTCAAGCTTACCGGTGCCGGTAATCAGGCTGATGACTTCTCCATTGTCCCAATCAACGGGGGAGTCAGTGACCAGCAAGGGGTGAACAAAACTGCAGAGGGAAATCTTGACGTAGGTCTTCTATCCGCTCAAAAGCTTCAACCTTCATTGCCTAACTGATTCCAGGTTCAATATGCTGTAGCCCTGGCCCGAGGGACACCCGTAGTTTACTACTCAACCGCTGGACGAGCTCCAATGCTGGCAGATCTTGACCAGCCGACGCCTTCCCAGAACGGCAGCAACGAGCCGTACCTTGATCAACTCCATTACCTATTGAGTCTCAACAACTCAGATCTTCCCGACGTTCTCACCACCTCATACGCTGAGGACGAGCAGACCGTACCCTTCGACTGGGCGACAGAAGTGTGCCTGGCATTCTCCTTTCTCGGTCTCCGTGGAGTATCTGTGATCTTTGCGTCGGGTGACACTGGCGTCGGTAGTGCGTGTCAATCCAACGACGGACAGAAAATAACACGCTTTACGCCGAATTTTCCAGCGACGTGCCCCTACGTGACCGCCGTGGGAGGCACTTACGCCTTGAATCCCGAAATTGCAGCTGCTTTCTCGTCAGGAGGGTTTTCCAACTACTTTGCGGCACCCTCTTACCAAGTCAACACCACGGAGGCCTACCTTGGTAGGTTGGGTGACAAGAACAAAGGGTATTACAATGCCTCTGGTCGGGGCTACCCGGATGTCGCAGCCCAATCCGTGCGCTACCTCATAGAGAACCAAGATCATCCAGAGTTTGTGTATGGGACGTCTTGCGCAGCGCCGACTTTTGCGGCCATTATATCAAATTTGAACAACCAACGCCTGGCGCAGGGGAAGTCCACGCTCGGCTTCCTGAACCCTTGGTTGTACTCGCAGGGCTACCAGGCATTCAACGACATCACCCTGGGACATTCTCGCGGATGTTCAGGCCAGGACATTTACACGGGGCAACCTACGCCTAAGATAGTGAATGCTAGTTGCGATGCGGCTCCAGGGTGGGATCCCGTAACAGGCTGGGGGACGCCGGACTTTCAGAAGCTTTCGAGCGTGGTGGCTTCGTGAGGACATATTCAAACATGGACTAAGGGAGAGCAACGTGCTTAAGAAAGGAGAGCTTCAGAGAGCTGGAAACTCACTGGTTAGGCAAACAGATCAAGAGCTATTTTAGAGGATCAATGGTCTACAAGGCTTTTGTGCCAGCTTAGCTCACACAAGTCACGTACGTGTCCAACTCCAGTAGCTTTCGAACTCCTTGATGAGAGCACACGGAGGTACTCATTTCGCTCCAGACAACCGACAGTTGATGACACGTAGAAAGAAACTTCTACCTCCTCTTAAACCCATTTTTCTGAAACCTGTTTCCTCCCTGCCTCGGCTGGCTCCCGTAATTCCTCCTCGCCGGGTTCTGGCGTTTGTCCCCGCGCATGCTCGCGCCCAGCTGAATGTCCACCCTCGGCGGGGTCGGGAACCCAAAGCTCTTTGCGACCTTGACCAGGTCGAGTTTGTTGACGTCGAAGACGGAGCGGAGGCTGTGGGAGGCGTAGGCTTGCAGGTACGAGCGGTAGCCGTCTTTGGCGGACTGTTTCCCAGACATATATGGTCAGTTTTTTGGATGGCTTATTAACAGATAGGGGGTTTTGTATGGGTGGGAAAAAAAGGAAAGAGAATGTCTCGGTTGGGCATTTTTGGATATTTTTATTTTTTTTTGGAAAGGAGGGGTAATAAGGGGAACAGAAGAAGAAGTTACACACCTTGTTCAGGTAATAGTTCTGGCCGATCAACTTCTCCAGCTGGCTCTGGATATTGACCATCTTCTTGGCCGGGAAGTCAAACTCGACCACGGGCACGCGGGCCTCTTTGAGATGACTCAGAAACCCGACCTCGCTGGGCTGCAGGAACATCAGACTCCTTCCCTTGCCGTTGGCGCCGCGCGCCGTTCTCCCGACCCGGTGGATGTAGTCTCTCGGGTCATCCGGGGGGTCGAACTGGACGATCCAGTCGACGGCGGGGATGTCGAGACCCCTGGCGGCGACGTCGGTACAAATCAGAGTGCCGGCGGTGGCGTTGCAGAATTCAAAAAAGGTGTTTGTGCGTTTTTGTTGTTTGAGGTTGCCGTGCAACTCCAGCACGGGCAGGTCGATGTAGGTGAGCAGCTCGGCGTGGTATTTGACGCAGTTGCAGCTGCTCATGAAGACGATGATCTTCTTGTCCTTCTTCTTCATCAGCCGCTTCAGGAAGCTGAAGAGGAGCAGGAACCGTTTGTCCGAGTCGCAGATCACGTAGCCCTGTTCGAGCCCTGCGACTGTGCTGTGCTCGGTTTTATGGTCCACGTTGATGTAAAGAGGGCCCGGCCGGAGGGAGATACGGGCCAAGTCCTCGACTTTGGTGGTTTGGGTCGCGCTGAAGAGCATCGTCTGTCGGTGCTCGCGGTCCGGCAGGATCTTGACGATCTGCCGCATCTCGTCTTCGAACCCGACTTCCAGGATGCGGTCGGCTTCGTCGATCACAAGGGCTTTGACGTTCTTGTACACGAACCCCTTGGTGTTTTGGAGGTGGTCGAGCAACCGGCCCGGGGTGGCGATCAACAGGTTGACGCCCTTGCTGAGCTTTTCGGCTTCGGCGCTGCGGTTCGCGCCTCCGATGACGATCCCAAAGGTCTGGCTGTGGAATTGCATGAGGTCGCGGGCCACGCCGAAGATTTGCAGCGCCAGTTCTCGCGTGGGCGAGACCACGATGACGCCCGTGCCGTTGCGCGGTTTGAATCGGAGAGCGTGCAGCATTTCCACCGCAGGAATCAGAAAAGCGAGTGTCTTCCCCGATCCGGTTTTGGCGGCGCCCAGAACGTCACGGCCCGCCATCAGCGGAGGGATGCCCCGTCTTTGGATCTCGGTCATGGCCGTGAAGCCCATTTCTTTGATGGCTTTCATCGTCTTTTCCGACAGACTGAGTTCAGAGAAGGCTTGAGGAGTGGTTTCAGTGCCGGGAAGCGAAGGCACGGCGTCTGTAGGCAGGTCTACGGAGGCGGAAGTAGGAGCAGAAGTGATTTCTGTGCTCATGGTTGTGGTGTTGACCGTCTCTTCCAGTTCAGAGCCTGCTTCGTCTTTGTTGTCGACTTCGTCGTCCGCCTCCTCGTTATCCGAAGACTCTCCTCTTGTTTCTTCCGCAGCATCTTTCGTAGGCTTGTCTTCATCTTCATCTTCGCTCGAATGAGACGTCTTCCGTCTCTTCTTGCTCTTTTCTGAGCGTTCTTCTGCGGGCGCAGGAACTCGGTCGCTTGGGGCAGGCGCTGCGGCTTGGGTTTGAGGTTTTGCCTCCATGGGCTTCGTCCGCTTTCTTTTGCGCTTCTTTGACTCGCCCAATTGGGGATCCATTGAGCTGGACATGCTGCTGGCACTCGTAATGTTCGTGCGGCGGTGAGACTGGATGCCAAAAATGTCACACTTTAAAACGGAAAAAAGCTGCGGAGGCTGGCAACGATTTTTCTGGTTATCGATAACGATATACGCTAGCTGTATGTGGATTAATGGTATCCGTCTAGTATGTCATTGTCAATAATGGAAGGTCAACCGAGCATTCCAACAACCTTTTTGGGCTCATCGCCCTTCCTTCGATAATGCCAATCCACACTACCATCTCCGCTTGTTTGCAATGTTATCAGATCCTGGAACGAGGCTTTCCGCCAGGCGGACTCGGGTCCAAGCAGTTGGGAAAGCGGCGGTGTTCGGTTCTATGGCGGAGTGTGAAGGTTGATTGGCTAGGATGGATGATGCAGTCATGATGCTCCCAGATGCGATCCGTACCTAGGTACTGGACAAGCAGACCACACTGCCTCTACATAAGCAGATATATAGTCTTAATCGGTCAAATTCAAAACGCAACAGAAGCTTCACAGGATCTGACGAGAGTATTTGAAACTTTTTATCGTATGACCGGAGTCATAGTCTCCTTTTGCCCAGACAAAAGGCCGAGCGAGGCTGAACGCCTTATCAAGCGCTGCGGTCCGCGCACTCGTCTTTCCACAAAACCCATCAGCTTTGATACGAATCTCTTCTTGTGCAGGTCGGCCTGCGTCATCTTAGCAGACCCTCATCCAGTTTGAAGTCTGGGAGCCAAAGATATATACTATATTCTCTCTCAAATCCTCCTCTTCCCCGAGCTCTAGGTAGCGGGATAAACAGACAATCATGGCAGAACCGATCGCTGCCGCCGAAGAGCAAGTCTCTCTCCCAACTGCCGAACTGGTCAGAGTCTCCGATCACATCTCATTGTTGCCGCCGCTGTCCCGAAAGGGCCGTGGGCCAGGACTGATCATCGTGTTGCCGGCGAATGCGCCGCGCTACGCAGCTGGCGGCGTTGTTTGCGAGGACGGCATCCCGCCTCCGCTGCTCAAGTGGGCGGAAGAAGGATTTGCGGTGGCGGAGATCCGAGGAGAAGAATTCTCCCAGGGCACAACCTTGGAGACGGCGCTGATTCTCGGAGACGCTCTCTCTGCGCTGGAACGGTGTGAGAAGTGCGATTACAACGATGGCGTTGGCATGGTTGGTGAGTCTTCTCTATTTTTCTCTCCGAGACCCTCCCCCACCCTCCAGACTAAACAGATGGCCCTTTTCAAGTCTACGACACTGCCCTCTGGAATGAATTTGCCCGCAGTGCAGCCATTGACCGTGACATCGCGGCGGCTGTGATCTATGGCACGGCGGGGGACTTGGTTACTCCAGTCGCGATCCCTAGGCTTTGTCATTTCGTAGGACACGAAACGGCAGACTCGCACCCCGATGCCAAAATATACACCTACCCTTCGGTCACTTCTTCGAAGTTCGTGATACCGGGCCAGCCCGAGTTCGATAGCACCAACGAAGCCGTGTCGCATACGCGAAACCTCACCTTTCTGAAGAAGTATATCCGTGGCTTGGATTTCGACCTGGAAGCCATCTGGGAAGAGCATACGTACTTTGAATTTGCAGAGCGCTCGGTGCCCAAAACCATGGCAACCATGGTGCAAGAGCCCTACGTCAATCACATTACCACGGTACGGATATGTCCCTTTTTAAAATGTGTTCCGCCCCTGCATCCAGATACTGACTGTTCTGGGGGGCGCGTACAGATGACGGGCGGCGTCGGTAGAACGAGCTTGACGAACTTTTACCGCAACAATTTTATCCCTAAAAACCCAAAAGATATGGAGCTCCAGCTTGTGAGTCGAACGATTGGAATTGATCGCGTTTGCGATGAGTTTGTTGCCAAGTTCACGCACGATATGGAAATCGACTGGCTGTAAGAACCCGCGCTTCGTGTCAAACTGGATTTTAAAGAGACTCACTTTGTTGTCTGCAGGGCTCCCGGTATTCCTCCAACGGGACGGCAAGTTGAGCTTCCGTGCACGTCTGTTGTCTGCGTGCGCGGCGACCGCCTGTATCATGAACACATCGCCTGGGACCAGGCTTCACTCCTGATCCAATTGGGCCTCATGCCAGAATACCTCACGTATCCCTATGCGCTCCCGGACGGTTCGAAACCGGCGCCAGGCAAGAGGTTCGAGTACCGGGTTCCCGCCGCCGGGGTTGAAACTTCCATGAAAATGCTCGACAAGAACAGAATACCGTCAAATGGAATGTTTGAATACAAGATTCGAGAGGTGGATGCTTGAACGTGGTCTCCCCCAACCCGCATTTCAGGCGATGCATTTTTCGATTACCTCACAATGCATGAAGAATATGTATAATGCAACAGCGCCAGACTTATGATGTTGTCATGAAAAGCTGAAATATCGCACGTTCTGCTCACAAAGCACGCGGGTCATTGAACGTCAGACCGGCAAGCAACGTCTCCACGAGTAGCAGCCGGTCTTCAACGTCCCTGCTCTCTCGCCTCCAGAATCTCAACATCTCGATTACCTTTTCCACCGCCTCTCGCCAGCGATCCGGCATTAGTAGTGTTAGTTTCTCAAGTCTAGCTGCTCCAAGGAGCACAAATGCACTCCTCGTGCAAGAGCGCAGCATCAGCCAGGTCCCGTGATGGCGATAGAAGAAGCCCTGTTCATTCTTTTCGATCCGCTCCACGCAAACGACCAGCGCTTTGTGCACAAACGAGTCCATCGACTCGGTCGAGATCGTCGGAGTCCTCTCGGGAGTATCATAGTTTACCGCCGCGACAATAAAGGGCCAATACATCATTTCGTAGCAGTCGAGCAGGTGGCCTTTCAGTATAAATTTTAGCGAGTGATGCAAGTCGCTCTCCTCGCCCACGGACGGTGAATCGAGGTCGAGTGCTTGCGGCAGCGATCGAATCCAATCTGCCGCTTGCTGTTCAAATCCAATGGTAGACTCGGATGCGTTTGCAAGGGAGCTCGTGGCCTTGCTATCGTAGATGAAGTTGAGGATCCTGTTTCCCAGCCGTCGAAGGGCGATCTCTGCAAGGTAAAAATACCACACTATTTCTCTTTGAGATCGGAGACCCTCGGGAGGAGAAGGAAAGAAGGCTGGGTAGGTGAGGTCCCAAATCGACGTCTCGGAAACATTCAGTTCGAGGCGGAGTTCACTGGCTGAGATTCAGCATCGTATTCCAAGTACTGTGCCCCGTGTATGAACGGTCCACTTACAGTTCTGATTTGAAGCAAGTCCAGTAGATGCTTTCCCGCAACCGCTGTTCTCCTTCCCTGTCGGCTTCAGGTGATTCTTTTTCCGTATAGAACGCTTGGCAGCAGGCCAGAGCCTGGACAAACATCTTCCACGCCTCCATTGGACGTAATGTTGCCATCAAATATACTCCTGCCAGAAAGAAACATTGGGCTTCCAACACGCCTGTTCGGCAGAGAAGGTGGCCCATCCTTTTCTGGGCGGCCGAGAAGTATGATTCAGATTGTTTGAACTGAGGAGATGACCGAAAGGACGACGCATCTTGTTGTTGTCCACCGTCAAACGGCCCAACAATCGAGCCGTGAGCATATATCAAGAGCTAGAGGGAACAGCCACAGTCAGCGAAAAGGACGAGGATTTGGTGCCAGAAGCCATCTCACCAGCAGACACGACTGTGCGTCCCAGCCGATGCCGTTGAAGCGGGCATCACGCATATATCGATGAATCTTGGCTTCCTCCAAGACCGGATTGTAAATGAAGACATTGTTCATGAACCTTGCCACCAGCTCCTCTTCGGCGACATGCTCGTCGAATTCCGACACGATGGATAAGGTTTGTGAGGCGCCATGACTGGAGTTGAGAAGTCCTTTGAGGTCCAGGTTGGGACTAAGATCATCGAACACAGACCACGACAAGACGCCTTCAATGTTCATGTGACAGGGGGTGGCATCCTTAGCTCTTTCGAGGCTCGGTGAATTCAGCGACTTTAGCCGGGACAAGACTCCACGACTGGGGCTGTCAGCTGCATTGCTGGGCGCCGCTGGGACGACCTGGGTCCGGGCATTGGGCGACCTCAAGAGCTCCTCGATGGTGTTCAGCTTGTCCAAAATTGCCAGACTCGCGGAATCAAAGCTGCCACGGTCAGAAGAGGGTCGTTATCACGTAGCACGTCCGAAGATGTGCCGCCGAACAGACATACGTAGAATGATCTCCCTCGCTATATGTGCACTCGGCACCAATCGACAAGCAGGAAGAACAAGTCGGACGAGCGTTATTGCATTTTGTTCGGCGGACTCTGCACTTCTGGCAGGCTTGGATCGCCCTCTTTCGCGGATAGGACGACTTTATCCGCGTGGCAGGACGCTTCCGAGAGTCATTCAAGACATTTTCAGCCTCCATTGTGCCGATAAAAGAGCCATTTTGCTGGACGGTTGCCGGCAAATGGCCAGTCTGGAGAGACGAGGAATCATAAGCAGGCTCGTTGGAATGGAGAATGTTGCGGAGCGAGCTCTCCATTTGCATTGCCGATAACAGGCAGTGAGCCTTTTCTCCACCGGGACAACTGGGGTTTGAAGATCTGGGGAAGTGATACTGGACTCTGGAGAGGAGGATGGGAAGTTGGATGAGCGGAATGCCGGGGGAGTGATAAAGGCCGTCAGCGGAGTGCTGGAGAAGAGCAGAAGACTCGGAAGACACGTTTTTGTTGCGGGGGGGGAAGGAGGGGAGGGACCAGTAAAGTAACTAAGTGCCCAGACACCCATTAGAGGCACCCAAGGCGAGCGATGGGGGGCAGATGGGGGGCAGATGGGCACCACCAGTCCGGGGCTAGGAGGCCTTGATAGGCCAACTTGGCCAACCCGCTAATCAGCACCTAGCGAGCCTCGGAAAGGGCCTCGTTCGTAACTGCGCCCAGCCCTTCTAGAAGCACTTGGCTGCACTCTGGCTGCGCTTGGGCATCCCAAGAAACCTTACCTCACCGCATGGGAAGATATTAACACGATCTATGATTCAATTCAAGTGAAGGGCGCAATCAATAAGCAGTCTACCAACCGCTACGCCGGACCCTGGTGTATGTGATTGCAACACCATCTAGCCGCTTTACCGCTCCAAGCCAACATTTAACCCCAAAAACGACTGGTCAAGTCATGCCACCAGGATCATACCAGGTACGAAGGTAGCAAGTAACCATCCCTCGGCGGGGTAGAGCCGTCACCCACCCATGCAAATGTCCGTCGCCTCCTTCCATGTCTCCCAATGCTACCCAAACTCTGTGCCAGCCTCTCCCCCTCCGCAGGCAAAACTCCCCCATGAGAAAGTCTGCGGAATCCCGGAATGCACGAAATCGACATGTATGGAGTACGGAGTTCTCGAGAAAGGATCTGGGGTTGGATGGGACTTCCAGAACATGCATCGTGATTCATACCTGCCTCACACGAAGAATGCGAAATCATTAATACATAAAGCCCGCCTCCCCCTCTGCGGTTGAAGTTTGATTTTCTGTGATAAGGTGGCAACCTCTCTCGACTCTTCCAACACCATCCTCCCTGGAACAGGGCGAACACTCCAGTCCACAAACATGGAGAAAGTCACTCTCGACGAGCATCACGAGGCCAAAGCTGCCGACTCGATCATTGAGCATGTGGCCCCAAAGGTCGAACAGGCGCGAGCAGCCGCCGAGGAAGAACACAGTCTCTCAGTCTGGGAGGCCCTTTCCAAGAACAAGACCGTCGTCTTTTGGTGTGTGTTCTTTGCCTTCAGCTGCATTGGTTGGTAAGTGTCAATCGACACCTCAAATAACTACCCGCTCGAGTGACCACCTGGCGACTGACCGACTTTTTGCCAGGGGCTTTGACGCACAGGTCAACGGCGCCATGATCTCAGTGCCACAGTTCCGCTACACATTCGGGTAAGTCCCACGGCCCTTTCGTTCTTGTAGCCCAGCGCAGAGGCTAATGTTGGGGACAGCTACATCTACCAAGGGCAACCTGTGATCCCTGCGAGCTGGCAGAGCGGGTTTAACAGCATCTCCAGCGTTGGCCAATTTTTTGGTGGCTTCATGTGCTCATGGATCTCCGACCGCATCGGGCGTCGGCACTCTCTCCTCATAGGGCTGGCCTTTGTCACTGGGGGTATTTTCGGCGAAGTCTTCTCGACCAGCAGACCGGCATTCCTCATCGGCAAGTTGATTCTCGGGATCGGCCTTGGCTTCTACTTGACCATCGGCCCTCTCTACTGCTCCGAGGTCGCACCAGTTGTTCTTCGTGGTATGATAACGGGCGGTATCAACTTTGCCATTGTCATTGGACAGCTCTTGTCAAATGCTGTTATCAAAGGATTCGGAGACAGGACTGATCGCTGGGCTTTTCGAGGGCCGTTTGCCATTCAATGGCTGTTTGTTGGTAAGAACATTCACGCCCATGCGTTTCCAGGGTTGCCCTCGTCTAACAAGTCTAACTAGCCATTCTTCTCGTCGGCATCCCTTTTGCACCCGAGTCGCCATGGCACTATGTCCGTCGCGGCCGCATGGAGGATGCTCGGCGATCTCTGGAGCGTCTGCACGGCAAGGATGTTGATGTATCACCAAAGCTGGCCATCATCATCAGGACGGTCGAGGAGGACGCCGAATTGACCAAGTCTGCAAGATGGGCCCAGTGCTTCCGTGGCACCAACCTCGTGCGGACCACCATTTCGGTCGGTGCATTTGCTTGTCAGCATCTCTCGGGTATTGTCTTCGTCTTGGGTTTCTCGACCTACTTCTTCGAGCTTGCCGGTATCCAGACCAAGGACGCTTTCGACCTCGGCGTCGGAGTCACAGCCTGCGGTGTGGTTGGCGTCATGATCTCTTGGGCCGCCATCAACACACTGGGTCGGAGAAAGTTGTTCGTTTCGGGCATGATCGGCATGACCATCGTCCTCTTCTTGATGGGGATTCTCGACGTCGTCCACACCTCGGCTGCCCGCTGGGTTCAAGCCTCTTGCACGGTCGTCTACGCACTCATCTACCAAATCACAATTGGGTGCATTGCATTCGCTTTGCTCGGTGAAGTCTCGACTCCCTCACTTCGAGCCAAGACGGTTGGTCTGGCCACTGCATGCCAAGCTGTGTTTGGCACGGTGATGAACATTGTGGTTCCTTACATGGTCAACCCGGACAAGGCCAATTTGAAGGGTAAAGTGGGCTTTGTGTTCGGTGGAGCCTGTCTTTTGGGCACCGTCTGGAGCTACTTCTACATACCAGAGCTGAAAGGGCGCACATTCCAGGAGATTGACTATTTGTTCCAGCACCGAGTGCCACCGAGGAAGATGGGCAAGTACAACCTTGAGGATGTCAATGATGTTATATGAGCCTCCGCGTGCAGGAATGAGGACGTTAACATGGCAGTGAGGCATGAGAGATGAGATAGAGACAGTAATGAAGTACACATGTTGGCACCGAGAATTCAAAAGACTACCTAGGTGACATCTGGACCTAAAGAGAGTGAAGGAAGTAAGGCAGAAATCTGCACACGACAAGAAAACAGCGACTGAGAAGCTGCAAGGCTGTGTACGACAAGCAGGAGAGGGAATAAGGACGTATTCCAACTATAAGCGTCTAGGCATCAGCAAACTCAGCCAACATCCATCTCTGAAGATCGTCCTCAGTTTTTACCTGCTGATAGTTGCGGCGGATGTCCTGTTACTCGCTCATTCCTTCACGGCCGCGCAAGTGCATTCAATACCGAAGAAGAGCAGCATCTACGAAGACAAGATTGGCCCGTGCATAAGCAGCAAGGCATTGAACTAAGATATATAAGCCCATCATTCGGCTCTTTCAAAGCCACTGGTGAAGCTTTTCAATCCTACTGCCAAGCCAACTCTAAATTCACCGCTTCACCAAAATCTTCGAGTTGCTATCCATTTACACCAATCCAAGCTTGTCAGGTCGTGTGATTGTCAGAGCCGCAGTCAGAGAAAAGAAAAAATCCCAAGGGAATGCATCAGACGGGAAGACGAGTAATCACAGACCGCACCACCGAAACCAAAGACTAATTTTACAGGCGAACCATACCGACATAGAATCCACCGGCATAACTCACCGCCATAAAGAGGATCGAAATAGATCAGTCGTACTTGGATTCACACTGTATAGTCGTGAGAGCACGAAGCCGCGATGTATCAGGCAGTATGATGGGGTCAAGCACCGGCCCCAACAACCCAAGCAATGGCTCCTGAGCGGTCGTCCGCCGGCTTACATTTGCTCGACCGACCTCTCAGTCTCACGCAGACAGCAGCAGATACCCGTTCCATTGGCTGGCTTGGACCAAATATATCTGGTTACATATTACTGGGGCCAATGCTCAGATCCTCCTTTTGTTCTATTACTTCTCTGAAGCCCCAGCCGAGCAACTATTTTCTGATGGGTGCCAGGAACGGATAAAGCTTGATATACTTAAAATGAAAGGTAGGCTCCATGAAATTCCCATCCATGGGAGAAACGGCGTTGACAAAAAGAATACTCGGTTCTACTGAATTTCCCACACGCAAATTGTTCGCTCGGACGTATCATGTCTGCTGACACTAGCTATGACTCCTACGCCTATGACGACGGCACCTATGATGACGGCACCAATGACGACGGAACAAATTATGGCACTGCGAATGACGACTCTACTAATTGGGACGCTACCAATGGTGACGCTGACAATCTAGGCGCTGCCAATGACGAGGACGCGAACTACGGCTATACCAATGACGAGGACGCCAACTACGGCTATACCAATGACGACGCCAACTATGGCGCTGCCGATGACGAGAATGCGAACTACGGCTATACCTACAACGAGGACGCCAACTACGGCGATACCAATGACGACGCCAACTACGGCGCTGCCAATGATGAGGATGCGAATTACGGCTATACCAATGATGAGGACGCCAACTACGATGACGATGATGCAAATTATGGCGCTGCTATCGGCGGAGATACTAACTACAGCAATACCAATGACGATGATGCCAATTACGGCACGGCCAATGACGACGATGCCAATTACGGCGCTACCAATGACGACACTGCCGTTGGCGACGCTGCTCATATATCTAGCGACGGTAACAGCACGTCTGGCAATGGCCCTGCCCCGGCTGGCAATAACCCTCCCCCAGCTGGCAACAACCCTCCCTCAGCTGGCAACAACCCTCCCTCAGCTGGCAATAACCCTCCCCCAGCTGGTAACGGCCCTCCTCCAGCTAACAGCAGCCCACCCCCAGCCAGCAACAGCACGGCGACATCTAGTGCCAGTGCCATCACTGCTAGCAAAAGCCTTGCGACATCCAGCAACAGTACTACGGCCTCTAGTAACAGCACTGCGACGTCCAGCAACGGCACTACCCCGGCTGGTAACAGCACTACAGTGGATCCCAAATACTACGTGACAAGCGGGCCCGCCTCGGCCTTCGCAGCTCAATTCGATCACCGCATCTGTTCTTACGAGGTTCTGTTGAAAGCATTCCAGCCAGTTATAACGACGGCCAATGGCGGACATGACTACTCCTCCCTGGTGAATACAAATCCCCGTCCCCAACCGGATCGCATCCTACGAGCAAAAAACCGCTCAGAAGATTGCGCCGCCCGGACATTATGTGTTTCGCGAGCAAGCTATTGACACATTGTTTTTTTTTTCCAGATTGATCAGGCAATTCAGGCCGTCAACAAGACGACCAACGTCGCAACATACATCCTGCTGTGCATCATTATGCAAGAAAGTACAGGAAATCTGTTCGCACAGGCAAGTTCTACCCCACCCCGCATTGGCCCAATAAGCGATTGCGCAACCATCTTCTTTGGCTCTATTTGAGGAGTTTCACACTGACAACAGCCCTGCTGGGCCATAGACCACATACGACCAGAACGGCCAGCCGACGGGTGGTCTCATGCAATGTTCAGGCAGCAAGGGTCTCACACAGTCGGTAAGTCTCTGGTCCTTTGGTTCCAAATCTGCTGCATGGGCTGCGAAGGGGGGCCGCCGGGCCCAGCATTCACGGCGCATGTACCACCATCGACATTGAACACACCTGTGCTAACAAGAGGGGCCGCCCGCATGGCCGTTTTCACCCGCTTTTAGAGCACTCCACCTCAACTATCCGACGTCGTCTCCATGCTTCAAACCGGCGCCACCCATTTCGCACAGTGTTTGACACAGCAGAAAGGGAACGTCTACGAGGCGCTGCGCGTCTACAATTCCGGCAGCATCGCCCCGAGCGGCGATCTCAGCGATCCCAAGAGCGTGGGCACGCCGTCCTACGTCTGTGACGTCGCGAATCGCATGCGTAAGTTTTTCTTCTTCTTCTTCTTCTTCTCTCTCCTCTTGTGACTACTGGAAAACATGCGTCGCTCCTTTTCATTTTTGGAACACCCCCACTCTGGTCGCGTCCGGCGTTTACTGACTTTGCGGGTTTTATCCCTCCGCAGATGGCTGGACGAGCGGGAATGGAAAACCGTCCTAGAGAGGAGTGTGTTATCGATCAGAAAATTCCCCGTTCTGCATGAGTGTCAGATCACATTGTCCTTTTTGGCGAAGGAGTTGGGGGGAGCAGTCCGGGTATATAATCTCGCCGAGTACATGAATCATGAGTTTTGGTTAATTTTTCAAATTGTCATCTTTACTATTATACAGTGCTTCTTTTGCTTGGCTAGAGAGTTTAGTTTCGTGTTATCCTCGCCAAAGGTCTGTCTCTCTGTCTGTCTGTATGTGTATAACGTAGACTGCAGAGGAGTGGAAGATGAACAGAGTAACAATCGAGAAAACGAGGTAGGATGGACATGATATAACATTGGCCAGGATTAGATATATGCATACTTCTGCATGAGAACCCATCTGTACCTGGATCTTGTCCTGGACATGTTTCCATAGACATATCTTTATATATATTACGGCATTGTATATTCCGCACATATATATCTTCGCGTTTTGAACTTGCCTTTTTTACTTTCGATTTCCCGGCGGTCAATCTCCAGATCTATCCACCCCTTGCAAGCTCAGCATATAGACTTTCCCAAAAGGGGGGGCCTGCGTATTGATATCGAAAGACACACCCCAGTCTTGCCTTGAAGTGCATTGCTCTCGTCTTCTCTGGCTCGGCTGGGCTCATGGCCTTATCCCACCCCTGGATTCGACACGCGTTCAAACGTCCTCTTTCTCCTCGAGCTGGATGATGTGCTCTTTCCCCTGCACCGTCTCGGCGTGGTGGTCGTGGATCATGCGCGCCGCGAGCGCCGAGTCGCGGATCTCGGGCTTTGCGAAGATCAAGTCGATCTCTTCGAGGGTTTTGCCCGTGGTCTGTACGGTGGCCCATTTAGAATAGATTTCTCCAGAGGTGGTGTTTCATCGTGTGGGATGGATCAGGGAAAAGTGTGAAGAACAAGAGACATGGGAGGGAGATAAATGAGTTTCTAGGGCCAGGGTCTGTCTTTGTGGATGGGGGAAAAGGGGGTCTTGGGGGACTTTCGGTGGTGAAGGGGGACGTACCTCGGGACACATGAAATATACAAACGGCACGGCTATCGCGCAGGACAGGAGCATCCAGATCCAGATCTTCCATCCGACGTTCTGCAGCGCGATGCCTCCGGCGAAGACGGTGATGAAGCTGAACAGCCACTCGCCAAAGGCACCGGCCGCGCCGCCGAGGTGACGGAGTTTGAGCGGTGCGATCTGTTACAAGATCCTCCAGGTCAGCCAAAACTCAGACTTTGACTTTGTTCATCTAGAAGCCCGAGAAAAGGGCGACAGCTTCAAGCGCTTCATACGGCATCCGAGAACTCACCTCAGGCCCGTACAACCATGGGACGCCAATCCAGCCATAGCCAAACACAAAGTTATAGATGATCACAAACGCCACGGCCGTCCATTGCGTCGACAGTGTAGGGTTCGGCAGGCCAATCATGATGACAAACACGAGCATACATATTGTCAATACGACCGCCGACCATATCAGAACGGCCCGGCGGCCGAATCGTTCGATCGTCCACGGCAGAGGGAATGTTCCCAGGGCGAAACCGGTGTTCATCACCGCCGCAAGCAGTTGAGAGAGAAACGGTGACAGGCCGACCTGTGAAAAGATGACTGTGGAGTAATAAACCGACAGGTTGATGCCTATTACATGTGCTGGTTAGCAATCTAGTTAATCCGCGCAGACCGGCAGGAGACACCGACCCATCATCTGCTGAATTGAAAGAATCAAGAAGGATATTCTGATACGGCGACCGGCTCTAAGGTCACTTCGGTCCCAGAAAAGATCCAGAGGGTTGAATCTATGTTCGTCCTCATCTTCAAGTTTGATCGAGGCCAAGATCTCGTCTCGCATGGCCTGGACGGCAGGGTGCTCGAGCGGGCGATCGTGGAGACGCATAAGGGTGCTGTCGCCTTCAGCGGCACGGCCTTTGGCGTAGTACCATCTAGGCGTGTCGGGCAGGAAGAACATGCCAATAATGGACACGGTGGCGAAGGATGCTTGAAAGGCGATGGGGAACCGCCACGAGACTTGGTTTGTCATTCTTGTGAAAGCAAACGTGATCCAATATGCGAGTGAAACCCCAGATATCAACCAGACGCATTGGATGGCGACCTCAGGTCCTCGTTCTTTCGATGTGATGCTCATCTCGGCCATGTAGGTGGGGACGCTGCAGGAGATGAAGCCGATACCAAAGCCGCAAAGGACACGACCGACGATGATCTGGGCGACCGACCAGGAAGAGGCTTGGATGCTGGCTCCCACAATGACGAGGGCATCGCCCATCAGGATACAGCCTCGCCGCCCCAGAGGCATACCGAGGACGGTGACTGCCAACGAGCAGACCGCGGCCGCCAGTGTGTATGAGGATGCAATCATGGGAATGACATATGTGCCCGTTGGATGGCCCATGGCGTCAAGGAAAGGTTTTGTGGTTTGCACTCCTCCGAGGACGCCGGCGTCGTAGCCGTACATGCAGAAGGACTGGTTGATGTGAGCAGGAGGTGCTTCGGGTCGGACGTGGCATACTTACCAGCGAGCAACAAATGCTCATGATCCGGTAGAGGGTCCGACCTTTGACAGACTTGAGGAACTGCATGGTGGGCAATTTGGTGAGGGGAGATTGATGGACAATGCTGAAGCGATATCGTTGAACGGTCGGCCCTCAATATGTATGTCGAGATACGAGTTGGCCCTCCACATCATTGGTGCCGAGCCCAGGCCCCGCACTAACAGCAACGCACTATGTGATTGGTCCAATCGAGGGAATAGAAGCCCACCCCCGCAACTCTTGCGGGAAACGAAACCCGGGGAACTCGATTCTTCCATGGGAAATAGGAGCAAAAGTTAGTGGTAGTCCAGGAAGACCGTAATCCTCGTGAACTAAATCGGCGTGACTAAGACCAGGCCTTTCAGGTAAGTCCGAGCCCTGCAGCGAAATATTTCCCTCCAAGCCAAACCTTTGGCCGAGTAAAATACCACATCTTCGCGTCTTGCCCGAGTCGAAAGTTCGTTCCCGTAAGAGCACAGGATCAGAGTGGGCAGCAGCGGAAATGCGCCTCGGACAGCAGTGCATCAGAACTCGTGCTCTGCGTGGACTCCGATCGGCGGCCCAGCCCAGCCTTGTGAGGTCGAAACCCTTCATAAAGCTGTCCCTATCTGCCATTCAACCAGATGCCGCTTACCAAACTCGAGCAATGTCGACAGAGAACAAAGCCCCCGCAACGAAGCTTGGAGCTTCAAGCGAAGATGCTTACCGAACGAGGTCGATACAAGATCTGATGTCTCTGAAAGGCAGGGTCACTGTCGTCACCGGTGGGTAAGTGGTCGAACCAGACTGCGTTCTGACGCTGAACAATCCTAGGCGGAGCACGGGGCATCGGTTTGGCACTGGCCAGGGGCGCTGCAGAGCTGGGAAGCAATGTCGCCGTCCTCGATATCCTCGAAAAGCCATCTGATGCTTTCTTCGATTTCGAAAAGGAACTACAGGTCACAGCCAAATACTATCGGTGGGTTTGCCTGCGCCTGCGGGGACGGTGTGGAATTTGCTGACTGTGGTATTGGTAGAACAAGCGTCACAGATCCAGATAGCCTGACTCGAAGCTTCGAAGCTGTGGCGAAGGATTTCGGTCGCATAGATAACTGGTTGGTACATTCCCATGGCGGCTGGAAGTGCTAACCGCGCTGGTAGCGTCACCGCAGCCGGCATTGTGCACGATAAACCGTTCCTTGAGACGACTTGGGACGAGGGCGCCAGGATCCTACAAGTCAATGTGCGTTTGGGACAAGTCCATCGTCGAGCAGACCGTTGACCGTGGTTCAGGTAATGGGTACAATGCTAAGCGCGCAACTGGCTGCCAAACAAATGCGAGCCCAAAACACTGGAGGGAGTATCGTGATGATAGCATCGGTGTCAGCTCAATCTGCCCTACCAACTCAGAGACTGAACATATACGCCGCCTCCAAAGGCGCTGTCAAGTCCCTCTGCGTGCAGCTGGCGGTAGAGCTTGCCCCGCTGGGAATTCGCGTGAATACTGTATCCCCTGGTTTCATCGCCACGGAGATGACCAAAGGGTTGGCCATCACGAGACCTGAATTGCTGACAGTGTTCAAGTCTGCACCACCGATGGGAAGGATAGGAGACCGCGCTGATCTCAAGGGCGTCGTCGGATACCTTCTGAGCGATGCCGCAGCATATACGACCGGGGCTGATGTCCTTGTTACTGGCGGCGTGCACGCTGGACAATTGTAGCATGGAAGGTACGAAAGTCTGTTTGTGAAAGGAGCACATCATTTGGTCCCAGCTTTACGAGATAAGGTAGTTCGACGATTAGGGTAGCATCATCCCAGTCGAGTCTGGCAGACCTCATGGTTCTTGAGGCGGCAAGTGAGGCAGTTCGAGATTGGTGTAACCACCCCAAAACAGAGTTTCGAGGGAAAAGTCGTCGTACGACGTGTCGAAAAAGTTGAATGCAGGATCAGCCTCGTTCAAGTTGAGGCCAAAATCGGAGCTGCCCTGGCTTTGAGGAGATTGATGTGTCTGCAACATGTCGCTTTCGGCATTTGTAGGTCGCCGCTTCTTGGCGGGAACTGGTCCTGGTTCCTGAGTATCAGTCCATGGATTTTGTCGCTTGATGTTTGATTTCGATCTCCGGAGGAGATCACTTTTGATGCCCATGATCACCTCGAGTGCTCTTGAAGCACTTTTGAAGGCAAGTCCCAATTCACTCAATGCTTGACAACAGATCTCCAGATTCTTCCACGCGCTGTTGCTCCGAACTGGATCCGTTGCCGCACATGCGGTGAAAACATGAATCAGCGTGGCAGTGAAGACGAGGTGGACAGCCTGAACATTGATTCTTCTGAGGGTATATTGGCGACGGTAGGTCTGGATTAGCTTCGCCACGAAATTGGCTGAGGCGGTGCAATGGTTGCGGCCAGTCGCAATCTCAGCGGTGGTAAGGCCTGGCAGAGTTTTGACGGAGGCGAAGAACGGGCGGAACGTGATGATCATAATGCTATGGTATTGCATACTAAAACGAATCAGCTGTTGGGAACGAGATAAACGAGCGTATCCACCCACTGGAGTTGAAGGACGTGCGGAAGGTATAAAGCTCGTTTGTCCAGGTCGTTGACAGCCAAGCTGGGCGGGAGACTTCTCTGCCAGCCCAGTAACTTGTCGCGCATTTGGTTGGCAAACTGATACAGCTGCCTAGCGTTGCTTGGGCCAGTCATCGCGTCAGGGTACCTGATTGGCGTCAGGGATGCTTCTTTGTGGGCAACGGAGCGACTTACAATGTCTCCCTGATTGCAGTCATGTGTGCGCATAATTTCACGTTCCAGACACCCAGCTCGTCAATGGAGTCCACCATGCGTGGCCAGTCTACTGCCTCGCTGTCATCGTAAGGGGACCAGTACTTTTGGACCGGACCTGCGTTGGCCTCTTCCGCTGAGAACTGAACCGTTATATGTTTGTCGTCCAGTGCGACAGGTCTGCCAACATATAGACTCCACATCCTGGTATACGGTCAAACAAGTCACACCTTCTGGGAGAGGGGAGATAAATACCTATCGTGTACGTAGACTCCACTCCATATCACCTTACGAACCATCCCTTCTTGACACGTGATCAGGCCGGCTTGAACGTACGGTTCGGGATCAAGATGGAGGCCTAGATCAACAGCAAGTCTGACAGCCATTCCTATGGGACCAGATTAGCTTCGACCAACTTGATGTCGCCGAGTGGTCTCATACCACTATCAAGCCAGCCACGGGCATCCCTCGTCAGAAGGGCCTCGACGGCACTAAGAATGACCAGAGATTGAACGGTAGATAGAGTTGGAGCATCCATTTCGAGTTCCAAAAGCAATTTGGATCTGGTCGCAAAGAAGTCCGGCAGAGGATCAGGCAAGTGAGGGTAAGTCTTGGTCGTGAGGGTAGCTCCAACAGAACACCTAAAAAGGATAGTCAGACAACAAGCAGCTGATATTATGCAGGGCGGTATAGGCGAGGCAGTATCACTCACATTGCATTGGTCAACACCTCCGAGTACAAGGTACTGACTTGACCTGCGCCTTTGCAAATCATTCGCTCGCGCCAGAACAAGGACTCATCGACCACGTGAATCGAAGGCTCCTCCCAGGTGAAGTACAGCCGCAAGAGGTGGTCTTCGAGGCTTTCGTCGACAAAATGACCGACGCCTGCTCCGTTAAGCAATTGGGCTCCCTGTTCAGAGGGGGAGCGGAACTTTGATCTTGACAAGGAAAGGGGCCCATTATGGAGGATGTGCAGATTGGACGTAGCCCCATAAAACCGTAGCTGTCCATCCTCGGCAATCTGCAACGAGCCCATTCTTCCGGACAATTGATCCAGCAAAATGTCTTCGCTGTGGATGGGAACTGTCGCTTTGATGTCGGCAGTCGAATGATCGATCTGAGGCACATCCGGAGAAGACTCAGAATACAGGTAACCATCCTCGAGAGGCCTTCGCGTCATGGCCGAGGTGTTTTGAACGCCTAGCCCATCTTCTCCTGTATCTATCTTAGCACGTCACTTTATATTTCACGCACCGGAAGGTCTCACCAGGCCATTCTGAGATAGCGAAATCGGGCTGGCCGATGCTCGGTGGAAAATCCTGGGGCGGAGAAGCCTCGACCAGCCAGGATGGAGCCGCCTTACTGTTCGCTGAGACGCTCTGAACATGGAGCGGTGGTGGAGGCGGCACATCTATGCCATTGGCAATGAGTAGAGACTCGAGTTGCTGGCAATAGCTCGTCAGGGCTTGCAATCTCTCCTTCGGGGCAATCTTCCGCTTGTCTACGCCGTGCTGGAAGACGCACTCCTGGCCGTACAGGACACAGTTGGAGCACCGTGGACTAATACCGTCGCACTTGATTTTGCGTTTGCGACAGCCAAGACAAGCGGTGGTGACATGCTTCCCCTGGCGCTTTGGTTGTGGATCAGAAGAGCTGGTTTGGAACGACATCAGGCTCCTCTCTCATGCGATGTCTGTGGGATGCGGATGGAGGGCATTGATTTGATCAGCAATGCGTGCTCCTGTCTCGCGCGGATTCGCGCTCCATAGACGGGTAGGTTGTCCGTTCTTTTGATTTTGGGGAGCCGCGATGTTGATTTGGATACGGGTCCAAGAAATGAGGTCTTGGTGATGAGACTCGGCGTAGGAGATACTTTGTAGACAGAAAAGGTTTTGGAGGCTGAAGGCGAAGATGCCGCCTGGATCGTTGGTCAAATGCGGGCGGACGCATGGGCACCTTTTGCGGGGAAGCCACGCCATTGTCATCCTGTTCACCCACTGGTGAGGCAGAGCAAGGATTACAAACAACAGCTAGGCTCCTAAGGCCCTTTAACTAGGCTTGACGGAGGAATAGCCAACACACTTTCTCAATGAGCGGGTGGCTCTGAATATTACTATGCACAAAACACTCCAGAAATGACGAGAAACATTGAACGCCGGGGTATATTGCCCATACAAATACAAGTCGCTGTTGGCTGTCCTTTGACATGTCCATAGGAAAGACTCCATCCGTTGTTCTGTTACCGGCGCAGCGCTTTGTCTCCCTGCAATGCTCTCTCCGCCCTCAGATATAGATCCACACATAAATTCTGAATCGCAACCAGTCCGTCATCTTTGCTGATATTGCTCAAGCGATGCAGGATTTGTAGCATATGTCTCGACACACCAAAATCTGATACCGAGCTTTCGTCGAGCGGGTTGAATATGATGTGGGCAAGGATGACAACTAGGGCCGAGACAATGGTTTCCAGCGATAACCTGCAGGGCACGTCGTTAGTCCATATTTGGGTCGCAACTGTATGGCGACTTACCAATTGCTTGCAATGTCGTCGCCCGGAATCAACCTCAGAAGGTCGATGAATCTCCGGGCGTCCTTGTGCAAAATTTGCGCTTTTTGTTTCGACATCCCCTCGATCAGTCCTTGGGCTGAGAATGCATTGTGGCTTGTGCGTGGCGCTGGCAGAATATCGGCCCAAAAGGCGTACACAGTGGAAAAATACGTCGACTCGAGCACGACAACATGAACCAGATCCGAGCGATGCAGAGACGCGCGCAGATGTTCGGCGTCAAGCTCGAAGATCCAATTGCGCCGCCACTCCTCCAGCCGTGAGTTGATTGCACGCAACTCGACGTTGCCTGCACCATCCGACTTTTGAGCTGGACGTGGAAGCGAAAGTTGCTCCCCAAATTCGGCCTGGAGCAAAGCAAGCTCCACATGAAGTCGGAAGATATTGACCTTAAATTCTCCACCAGCGGCAGTGATTTCCCCTACACCGTCTGGCTCACCATCTCTCGGCAATTCGACATTGATCAGTCTTGGTGGTAAATGGGGTAGTCTGCCGGCCCTCAGGCTCATGTCTACTTCCATAAAGTAAGCCAGCCAGAAAACGCGTTGTTGCTGGACTCGCTCCGCGGGGTTAATTGGTTCAACTCTTTCGGGATCATTGACCCGGAGATCCTGGACGACACGCAGGGCCAGGGAGACAAACATCTGGGCCGGATACGGTCGTGAGGAGGTGGAGATCACCACAGCCAAGCCGACAAAACATTGGGCCAGAAGCAAAGAGGGTCGCAGCACCAGCAGTTCAGGGACCGTGTCGAGGGATTCTTGCAGATAGATTTCTGCATTCTCGGTGTCTTGCGGGACCCCTAACGGACTCATAGCACGCAAGCGGTGTGCAATCCCTAGCACCACCTTGAGTGCGACCCACTCGATTGGTTTGCCGTTGGCTCTTCCGTTATAACAGTCCTGAAACAGGGATGTGATAACGGCAGGGTCGAAGAGTGGAAGGGCCGCATTGAAATCCACCAAGAATTCCTGCAACAGGAAGAGGCCGCCTTGGACTGGCGGTAGGGAGCACTTCTTCGACCCGTTATAACGGACCTGAGGACGAAGCTCCTCATCGGTCGTGGCGAGAGCCGGAGCGGGCATGGCGAATGGTGAGTCTGAGCTCGGGCTCCATCCCTGAGTCACGTCGGTCTCCAGCTGGCTGACTTCTCTATTTAGCGATTGTGGGAAGTCAGTCGTGGTTCCTCGCAGTTGGTGGGAGCCGAGCGCTTGCAGAAGAGTCTGGCCTGGCGACGGTTGGATAGTATTATCTGCGAGTTCTGCCAGAAGTGTGTCTGACACGTATGAACTCTGTTCCGCCGGGGAGGTGGTCGATGGTAGCGATGATGGAGTCAGAACGTCCACCCGTTCTTGGGGGCCGCTCTCTGACATCTTTGCCGCGACCGACATTTTGATCAGTTCCTCAAGGCTCTTGAGGCGCTCCTCCAGGTTCTCCATCTGTTTCCTACTCCTTGTTAGACCAAGCACTCCAATCACGGAGGGTGGAAACAACTTTTTCCGCTTCTCCCGCGGCTTCGTGACATGTGTCATCTGGCACACGGATTTGGACTTCTCGCATGCCGAACATGTACCGCCTACTGTTTTCAAATCACATTTTCTTTTCTTCGAACGACAAAGATCACAGGCCTGGATGGTCCAGGATTAGGACCGTCTCGCCCAAATGGTCTGAAGCTCTGGAGAGGCCTACCTGAGCCATGTTGCCCGTTTTGGGAGCTTGCGTGATCGTTTGGGACATTGTGCCAACACCCCCAGTAGGTGGATGCGGGCCCGGCTGGTCCGGCTAGAATGCCTCCAGGTATATAGCGTCCCAAGCACGACACGAGAGAAAGCGCTTTGAACCAGATGCGGAGATGCAGATCCGGCGTGCTTAGCTGGCGAAGAGAAATTAGACTATCGGAGGGTGATGAAGTCTGGATTCGGGGACGAGCATTTGAAATGTTCGAGGGAAGCCCATGACGTTGGGGCGTAATTGGAAGAGGCCTCCTAATGATTGTGCGATTCTGAGTAATCCGATCCAGGGTTGGAATCTCTAGTCAAAACTTCAGCAATTGCCCCGACGGTATTATGGCGCTCAGATGCAAGCTCCAATCGTCAGCACAAAGGCCCTGCTGACAAAACACCAACACGTCCGGCACCGCGGAGACTCGTTTGCTCCGTAAGGCCGAAGTCGCCGGACCAACTCGCTCGGAGTGACTCGGGAGCGGGCCGTGTGACTTGTACGATAGCCTAGGTATTTGGGGATGGCGAATGGCCTCAGCCTTGCGGATCAGCATGTCCAGTCGCGAGCTATTCTTCAGCCTCATCGCTCGTTGCCGAGGCTTACTGTACTCAAAGTTTGGACAACAGCAGCGATTGTAGCGGACTACAGAAACCGGAAAATACTGCAGAGGGTACCAATATCCTGGTCCTTGGGTCAGGGTCGCCTCGGAATGGCATCGGACATGAAATTTCCTATCGTGGATGTGTGGGCAAATCCCTTCGCCCTTGTACGTGTTGGGCCCTTGGTTTCGTAGAGGGCATCCAGTCCCTAGGCATCGCTTGTTGAACCTCCATTGCTTGCTTGTGTCGTTCACGGCTCCTGCTAACGGTTATAGGACGGTGTGCCAGAAGCCCAGCGGCTCTTTCAACAGAGTCATGCCGATCCCGACTTTCTGGCTCGTCGACCGACGCCCCAGGAATTGGTGGCCTTGATGGACTCAGCCGGGATGTCGCAGATCTGTCTGGCATCGTGGCGTCGGCCTGGCAAAGTGGTCTTCTCCAATGACCAAGTCGCCCAGTTCACCAGGGCCTATCCTGATCGCATCTTCGGTCTTGCGTCTGTGGACTTGCTGGACCCGGTGAACGCCGTCAAAGAACTCGAGCATTACGTGGTGAACGAGGGCTTCAAGGGCTTGCGTGTCGTGCCGTGGTTATGGGGTCTGCCACCCACTGATGCTCATTACTGGCCGTTGTACGTCAAGTGCATCGAGCTCGACATCCCGTTCTGTACCCAGGTTGGCCACACAGGCCCTCTGTGTCCGAGCGAAACGGGACGCCCGATACCTTATATCGACACCATTGCACTCAAATTCCCCCAACTAAAAATCATATGCGGCCACATAGGATATCCTTGGACGGCCGAAATGGTAGCCGTCGCCTGGAAGCATGAGAACGTCTATATCGATACCAGCGCATATCTTCCAAAATATTATCCCACAGAACTGATCACCTTTGCAAACACAGTTGGGCGCAAAAAGGTCATGTTTGGGACGAACTTTCCCCAGCTCACTTGGAACGCTTGTGTAGATAGCGTCAAGAAACACCTATTGGGAGAAGAAGGCTTGCGGCGCGAAGTGGTTGCAGCGTTCATGGGCGGCAATGCGAGGCGGGTGTTGAAGCTAGATGCTCCCTCTCCGCAGAAAGTAAGGGCCTCGCTTTGACACTCTTACCAAGGAGCTGTGCTGAGGTGAATGGATTTGGTTTGTAATCTGTCCAAGCAGCAACACCAGGGCCGGCGGAAGAAACTAGGCGTTGTCCTCGACTGGCATCGACATGGCGCCCATGCATCAAAACTCCATACCGTCCGCCCCAGTGACTCCGTCTTCGTCTCGTTCTCTTTTAACTCGGACCATTTCGCTCTTGAGCAATGATTTGACAAACCCATCGAACAATTCGACGTAGGGTTTGAGGCTGGTCTTTTCCCAATCACTCAGCTTCCTCATTGTGACGCCGTCCTCGACGTATCCATTTGTTTGTGGGTCAGCTGCTTCGTTGTTACCGAATTCGTCGACTTCATTGAGCAGTTCGGTGACTTTAGGCACGGAGAGCGGATCAAAGGCATCGGCGCGATCCATATCACCACCGGTTGTGATGGGTACGCACACTCGCCCCGTGCCAGGGTGCACGACAAAGGGGCTTTTCAGCAAGTGAATCCTCTTCTTGCCGACCTCCACGTCCAATCTCGGATAGGTGTACTCTAGAAGGATGTCCTGCTTGGCTTCGACCAACGCCTTGGTGTCCAACGTCTTGCTGACACCAGTCTTGGCTAGAGAGTCGATATCTTCCCACTTTCTGATGCTTGGTCGGTCTGGGCTGCTTGACCACTTTTTGACCAGGGCCTCGTTCAACGCCTTGTCTGGAAGCAATTGGAGGAGACGGTCCTGACCTTTTTGAGAGAGGAAAGGCTCCTGCTCGATCAATACCTGTTGAAAGTATGGTTTCAAGATCTCAAGGCTTCGGGCAATATGGGGATGGAGAGGCCGCTTCTGATTCACTCTCTTGCCACCTTGTACGCCTCCCTTCAGCACTTCAAAGTACCCGGTGATGGCTTTGCGTTTGTCGTCGTCCAGCTCTCTGGCTTCTTTGTCACTGATCCACGCGTGAACGCCTCGACGTCCGGAATAGATCCAGATGATGTGTTCGAATCCAAAGTCTTCTCTCAGGGCAACATCGACGACTTTGATCGCCATCGTGGCGAAGGACCAACATTTCGCACAAATATTCGCCTTCTCACAGCATGTACGGATGTCGTCGTAGTCCGTCAAATCAATATCGAAAACGATCTCTTTGCTCAACGGTCTGAACAAGGAGCTTTTCTTCAACGTTTTCCGCTCACTTGGGTTGGTGGTGTAGACTGGACCAATCTCGAATCGCGAGGGGATGTGTCGTAAGATGTCCTTGCGCAGCAAGTCTGCAGTAGGATATGACTGATAGCGAAGGTACGCATCGTTCGAAAGGGTCAATGCGAATTCTCGGTTCGTGAAATCGGGTCCAGGTTTGGGGGAGTGGTTGAGCCATTGGAAAAGGGATCGAAAGGGGAAAAGCCGAGCGTAGAACTGTTTCATTATGGTGGGATCTGAGTACGACTCTTGCTGTGTCGCCGCGGTGGCGCCGACTGAGGAGCCCGGTGCTGATTGCAGTGGTGGTGAGGAGGGTATGTTGGCTGCGCTGGAAGGATGTAAGGCGCTCTCGAGATCGTCGTCATCGTCATCGTCGTCAAACAAATCTTCCAATGCCACGGGGGCCTGGTCGACAGGCTTTGCTGTGGAATCATCTTCAATTCCATCCTGCTCGACGCCAGCCGGGAATGGAGCGTCAGGTAGGTTAATGTCCCCATCCTGCGAAGGGGAGGACTGCCGTGGTGAAGAGTCGCCTGCCATCTTGATACCCATGTTGGCCACTTGTCACAGGACAGCAAGTTCGCACAAGATAGTGATGTTTACCTCGAACTCTGGCTACAGGTAATGTGAGTCGGATTGACGCGTGTGAATGAGCGCGGCGAGGGCGCGTCTGCATGACCGTGTCACAGAAAGTCATTTGAATCACGTGAAGTCGCGTCAACACGCATGATGGATGGCTCGGGAGAACACGGGAAAGCTTTCGTGCCGGGCCATGATACATTGGCTAGGCCGATACCCAGGTCGACAACAGCACATTTTTATACAAGGGCGAGGTTGAGGAAATTGCGGAAAAGAGTATGTCTTCATCGCGATGGTAGGGCAGTATAATTTCTCCAGTGAGACTCGATCTCTAGATCATCCTAATCTAACCATCCAAAGTATCGTCAAGAGCCTCGTGGCACATGCCGGCGTTCCAAATTGCCGGATATGAAAGAAAAAAGGAAAAAGTTATTGTACATCAAGGTAAATTCTCCTTCACTTCATTGGCATCCGAAAACGGTCCGGAGTCATGCTTGACCAGCTCTGGCCGCAGGGTCGGACTGCTCACGTTCATGTGTTCGGGATTCCGCGCACGGTTGATAGCGTCCTCTATCACGGCACTCAACGTGGCGCTGCCAGTGTGCCGGTGTGTGGGCCCACTCGAGGTGCCTTCTTTAGGCCCTTCCATGGAAAGAATGGCGCTCACCGATGACGACCTTGCTGAGTGATTGCCCGCAAACGGCTGCTTAGGAATCACCAGAGGCGAGATCGGGGACTCGTCTAGGGCGGTCATTGGGGTGGTAGTCGCGGACGAAGCCACCACTTCCTTTTCGTCGACAAAGAATGGGATGCTCTCCTTGGAGCTCGCAGCAGTGCTGCTCTTCCGAGCGGCTTCTTTGGCCAAATTAGCCAGCGTAGGAACTCTGGTCCCTGAATTGACTTTCTTGACCTCGATAGGCCGAGCAGTGACGTTTCTCGCCACAATAGAGCTGTTGCTGCTTCCCAATTTAGGGATTTGTGGGACTTGCGGAATCTGTGGTGTTCTTGCGCTCGGTGTCGAGGAGGATCCTGGAGTGTTCGAGCCGGACTTCACACTGACAACGTTGGCCTGCGCTCGGAAGGCCTGCTGAGCTGGTATGGGCGGGACAATAGCATCACTACGGTAGATCGTTGTTGCCACGCTTTCGCGAGCCAAGCTCGGTGCAAGACTGATTCGGGGGTCGAGAGAAGAAGCGTCCGACCAGGTTGAATCTCTCAAATCCTTCGGCATGAAGAAGTGCTGCTCAAGCTGGGGAGACCCGGTCGCAGAGTTTGAAGCAATACCTCCAGGAAGTGAAGGGACCGGTGGAACCATCAATCCCGGTGAGTCTGGTGGTGATCGGACGGTAACCCCTGGAATGTAGGCTATTTGGATGACATTTGAAGCTCGCGTGAGGACCGTGGAGGCTATCGAGTGAGCAGACCTGGTGGATTGACGGTCACCGCGGTGGAGGGTGGATTGGTCTCTCTTTTCCGGAGGATCCCAAGCCGGGGCGCGTCGTTTCTTGCGAATTCGAAACCGATATACCAAATAAAGGATGGCAGCCAGAAGGACGATACCTCCAACGACCCCCCCAACGATAGGGCCGACCGGTGTGGACTTTTTCGGCGCTGATTGACCGGGCAGAGACCCAATTTTGACGCAGGTTGTGGACGCGCAGGAATCGCATGACTGAGCGGTCAGAGAGCAAGTCTCATCCGCGCCGCATGCCGGGCAGCTGGGAGGGTCTGGGGGACACTGGACGCAGCGACGAAATAGTTGATGTGCAGAGGACTCGAAAACTTCATTCCATATTAGCCTGATCCAAGGACCTCGGATGGGAGTGCATACGCCCGTTCGAGGCCATTTTGGTACTGATCTCTGCGAGGTTCTCAATGTTTATTCCTCAATAGAGTCCCAGGGTCAATTGCATCTAGCGAATTCAGACGTTTTGATCCCGCCAAAATTCCTCCTTGTGTTTGGTGCACGATCCACGGTCGTGGTTCTTTGACTTTGACAGATTCACGCTGATGGAGAGTCGGAGGATCCGATACTGAAAGAATTATGACATGAGTAAAGTGCCGAATGACTGTGGATCAACCACGAGCTCTTGTTGTGACGAAGAGGGAGGATTGCGTCGTCGAAATGAAGCGACCGGACCGTGAAGGGAGCCGTGGCCGAAAACAGACCAAAGAATGTGGGACGAGACAACGGTCTCGACAGAAACACAAAATGCAACGTGGAAAAGACTGAATTGAAGTAGGTATGTACGCAGCAGCTGTGAAAGATTGAAGGGCGCTCAGTGCGAAGGACGAAGAGGAGACGAAGAACAATAATCGCAAGTGACTTTGGACCAGCAGATCTCTGGTTCTCGACTCTCCAGCCAGCACAGAGGTGGTGGAGAGAATGGGGACAGCCAAAAGCAACGAGCGAAAAGGCGCGAGCAAATGGGCATTGATGGCCGCAGGGGAGCTGAAGGCTGAGGAGCGAGTGCGAGATGAAGGGGCATTGTACACGCAGCCTCCGGCGGTGGGACCCGAATGCGGTTGGTCCACAGGCCTCAACAGGCCTCGCTGAAAGAAAGCTTGGTGCGCCTACGGGGTGCCTCCTGGGTGCCTACTGCCTGCAAGGGGAAAAGCGCCGCCCGCAAATTCTCTCCTTCAAACACGCTGCCGCAAGGGTCTTCAATCTGAAGAGAGTTGGAAAATCTCCTGGCCTGACATGGTGCTTCTTCCAATCAGAACCTTGGAAGTCATTAAGGCTCACGAAGAGGCATCACCTCAACAACAAGGAGAATTGCGTCCCAACCCGGTAGCTGATTCGACGACGATGGATTTTGGAGGTGTCGAGGCAGAGTGACAAGCGAGAAGATTGTTGTGTGAGTAGCAAAATGAGTTTGCTCGCCAAGTGGTACATCATCTAGGGCAGTGCAAAGACGCATTATTGGACCCGTTGTGGAAACTGATCAGCTACCGAAAGTTGCAACAGAGCCAAGTAACCACGTAATACATCTGTGGTTTCATCGATAGCTTCATGCTGTGGTCGTCCAGGCCCAGAAGAACTCGAAAGACAGTTCTTTGCTTTCTTCCTGTCTTCAGTTGACGGCATGACACGAAGTTTCGTTGTCGTACGAAGAAGAACAGAAGAGCACTCGTCTTTGGTTCAGTCTTCTGGATGCTGACAATCCGCTCAGGAATAGGGGCAGGGACGAATTGCGGGCAGCTCCCTACTATACAGCACATTCATGACAGCAATTTAGCACCAGCATACGGAGAATCATCGTGTTCGCTGTGAGATGCATTCTGTCTCAGCGGAACACAATCACGCATCTCCTGTACACGGTAGTCTGATGATACCTAGGGACCTAGGTATGTATCCCATGTGCGTGATGGTCGCCACCTGTGGCGCAGGGCCTTACTAACAAGTTCTAAATATGGACACCTACGGTTTGAGCCAAGGTCTTACACTGTGGCGCCCCAGTGCAAGTCCCACGCGAGCAATGTCAGAGTCAGTTGGACGACTTGAGAATCGGCTGAACACAGCATGCAGCGGATCTAGTCGCGTTCTAGTAAGTCGGCTGGAATAGCAATTCACAGTCGTTGATCTGTCACGAATGCCACGCATGGGCGTATTGTTGTCCTGTCCTATAGCCGGGCGACCTGCGAAGCCATTATTATTATTATTTCGACAGAAACTGCGGGGGAGTGGAATTTGGCCAAAGCCATAAAGGACGCCACCATCGTATGGGCGGGCGAGCCTCAAAGGCCAAACACACTGGCGAGCAGGATCCACTCGCTCGTTGCCGCTGTTTCATAGTTGAGATCCAGAGATGCGATCTGCGCTGGGGACGGAGTATGGAGGTGGGCAGTTCGTGAAGGGGGTACATCTGTCCCAATTGCTTCCGCTGTTTGCTGTAATAATCGTATAATACCTGGATAATTGCATTCCAGAGGGCCTGGCTTCAGCCTTCTGTCGAGGCACATACCTACTTAGGTCCCTACCTACCTAGGTAGGTAGTAATAAGCAGGCAGGACACAGGTTCGTGGTGCGGCTGAAAGTCCTCAAAGTCCTCGTTCCCGGGCCCCGAGTCGGGGATTCGCCAGCCCATAAAGCGCACCAGTTACGCGAGCGCCCAACTGCCCGAGACTGGTCTAGGTGACTGGTCTAGGTGGCTTCGTGGCCACCCGCCAGCAGTAGTGCCATGCCTGTCGTCAGCGCTTTGTTCCCATTTCCCTGCACATGTGGGTGCATGCAGCCCGATTCGCTTCTCTCACCTCAGGGGACTTTGTGAACCCTGCAAAAAAGGGCTGAGCTGCTTTTCAGCAGGCTGTGCGAGGTGTGTGCACTGTGCAGTGTGCAACTGACTAGAAAACCCAAGAGAACTGAAACAACATCTCTCATCCCTCATCTTGCTGGTCATTTCTCAATCCTGATCTTGTAAAAGTCCTAATTCGATCACAATCGACCTTTCTTGGTCCTGGTTCTTTGTTCTCTCCTTTGACATCGCCAAACCTTACATTCCTTTCCCTCTTCTTTCTCCGCATCCAGGTCCTGCATATCACCTAAAGACTAATTCACCACCCCGTCCTCCCTCTGACAGCCCGCATCAGCCATCCAGTGGTCAACCCATCAGCAGTGACTCTTGCCCTCTGACCGGCCCTGGCGGCTGTCAGTCGTACAATCTCACACCGGCTCACTTAACCAGGGACTTGTCCTTCATACCACACACTACCCGCAGGGTAACCAAAAGATTTACGTTGGTGTCGAGTCCCAGCACTCGCACCGCTCGCTCCAGCACAACACCACCCTATCCATCCACACACCTCTCAGCGCCATGGCAAGCCAATATCCGGGTGGTTATGACAATGGCCACCAACTTAATGACATGCCGCATGGCAACGTACGTGGATCGAGGCCCCCTGCGTTGTGAGGCAAGCTGGACTGACCCCTCGTGTAGACATACCGACCAGCTGAAGCACATTCAGACGACGAAGCAGAGCATTCATTGCTGCACCAGAACGCCGCATATCAGTCGCAGTACGATGACCCGCATTCCCGCCCATTAACGCCAGGACAAGAGTCGATCTACACCCTGAATGAGACGTACGTAGGGGGAGACAAGTCACAGGTCCCGACCACCGGCTACAACCCTCAACACACTCAGGCATATGGCCGTGAGGGAGGCTACGGTTTGAGCAATACGCAGGCTGGATTCCCGACCCCCGGGTACCCTGATCCGACCGAGCGCAGCGCTTCTACCGAAGCGTGGCAGCAACGACAGGCTCCTGGTTTCGGCTCGGTCAAACGCTACGCCACCAGAAAAGTCAAGGTAGTCAACAGCGTGCTGAGTATCGATTACCCGGTGCCCAGCGCCATCCAAAACGCAATCCAGTCCAAATACCGAACCGACCTCGAGGGTGGCAGCGAGGAGTTTACCCACATGCGCTACACAGCCGCGACCTGTGACCCGGATGATTTCACCTTGAAGAATGGATACAATCTGCGTCCCGCCATGTACAACCGGCACACTGAGCTCCTCATCGCAATCACGGCTTACAACGAGGACAAGGTCTTGACCGCTCGCACCCTGCACGGCGTGATGCAGAACATCCGTGACATTGTCAACCTGAAGAAATCCGAGTTCTGGAACAAGGGTGGACCGGCCTGGCAAAAGATTGTTGTATGCCTTGTTTTCGACGGAATCGATCCCTGCGACAAGAATACTCTGGACGTTCTGGCAACCGTCGGCGTGTACCAAGACGGGGTCATGAAGAAAGACGTCGATGGCAAGGAGACCGTGGTCCATCTCTTCGAATACACGACTCAACTCTCCGTGACCGCAAATCAACAGCTCATTCGACCAAGCGACAACGACCCGACATCGCTGCCCCCAGTGCAGATGATGTTCTGTCTGAAGCAGAAGAACAGCAAGAAGATCAACTCGCACCGATGGCTGTTTAACGCATTTGGCCGCATTTTGAACCCGGAGATCTGCATTCTTCTCGACGCCGGTACCAAGCCCGGTTCAAAGGCATTGATGTCGTTGTGGGAAGCGTTCTACAACGACAAGGATCTCGGAGGCGCTTGCGGTGAGATTCATGCCATGTTGGGTCGTGGAGGAGTTTTCGGACGAAAGCTCTTGAACCCTCTGGTCGCCGCCCAAAACTTCGAGTACAAGATCAGTAACATCTTGGACAAGCCTTTGGAGAGCTCTTTCGGCTACGTCAGTGTGTTGCCCGGTGCCTTCTCGGCGTACCGTTTCCGCGCAATCATGGGCCGTCCTCTGGAGCAGTATTTCCACGGTGATCACACTCTGTCGAAGCGGCTGGGCAAGAAGGGTATCGAGGGAATGAACATCTTCAAGAAGAACATGTTTTTGGCCGAGGATCGTATCCTGTGTTTCGAATTGGTGGCCAAGGCAGGTTCGAAATGGCATCTGACCTACGTCAAGGCCTCGAAGGCTGAAACCGATGTACCTGAAGGTGCCGCAGAGTTTATCGGTCAACGTCGACGGTGGCTCAATGGGTCCTTTGCCGCCTCCATCTACTCCCTCATGCACTTCTCCCGCATGTACAAATCCGGCCACAACATCATCCGAATGATCTTCTTCCACATCCAAATGCTCTACAACATCGTGTCGGTCGTGCTTTCCTGGTTTTCACTCGCGGCATTCTGGCTTACCACCAAAATCATCATGGATCTGGTCGGTCAGCCCAGCACCAACAACAAAGACCACGCTTTCCCGTTCGGCAACAGTGCGACACCGATCATCAACACCGTCCTACAGTACACTTACCTGGCTTTCCTTCTTCTGCAGTTCATCCTGGCCTTGGGTAATCGTCCCAAGGGTTCCAAGGTCGCGTACATCATCTCGTTCTGCGTCTTCGCCGTCATTCAACTCTACGTGATCGTCTTGTCCATGTATTTGGTGGTCCGTGCATTCACCTCAAAAGACGGCACCGACATCGTCACCAATGAGGGAGCCAACGAATTCATCAAGTCCTTCTTCGCCTCGACCGGACCGGGTATCGTCATCATCGCGTTGGCGGCCACCTTCGGACTGTACTTTGTCGCCTCGTTCTTGTACTTGGATCCCTGGCACATGTTCACCTCCTTCTTCCAATACCTGCTCCTCATGCCATCGTTCATCAACATCCTCATGATCTACGCTTTTAGCAATTGGCACGACGTTTCATGGGGAACCAAAGGCGCTGACAAGGCAGATGTGTTACCTTCGGCTCAAACCAAAAAGGATGAAAAGGGCAAGGCGACTGTGGTGGAAGAAGTGGACAGACCCCAAGCCGACATCGACTCTGAGTTTGAGGCCACAGTCCGGCGTGCTTTGGCACCGTTCGTGCCACCTGTGGAGAAGGAAGACAAGACCTTGGAAGACTCGTACAAGAACTTCCGAACTCGACTGGTGGCGACTTGGATCTTTTCGAACGCCCTGCTCTCGGTTATCATTACTAGTGACAGCGTCGACAACTTTGGGTTTACTGTAAGTATCATTACCCCTTTCCACACTGGGCCCAGCTAACTGTTGAAAAGTCTAGAGCAACCAGTCGAAGCAGTCACTTTTTCCAAGCGCTCTTGTGGACAACTGCAGCTCTTTCCGTCGTTCGCTTTACCGGATGCTGTTGGTTCCTCGGCAGGACCGGTCTGCTCTGCTGTTTCAATAGGAGATAATTGTCCTACCCAAGGGTGTCGGACGGTAACGGTTGGATCACGGTCAGCATCGCAGGGAGTCCTAAGTGTGTTGCAGGGAGATCGTCACGGGTCGAGAATACTTTTTTTTATTCCGAAGTCGGCGAAACCCCCATTTGTGTCAGATTTAGCAATGAAGCCGCCATAAAATGGCTTCGAAGTTGGCGTTAAATACATGTAGTCGGTAAAAGTTTTGCGTTGTCTGTGTTCGGCTGTCCTCCGATAATGAGCCAGATAAGAGGCCAGGCCCCGGATGCCGCCTCGTCACGTCATGTGAGGCGGGCAGATCCATCGAGGCCATGTTTTGACGAGCAAGTACCATGGAGACACACATCTTCTTTCACTTCCTGCAAATCTTACAGTAACTACTATCTATTATATTATCTGCATTGCTTGTGGACTCTTTGTGGGTCGTTTTCACTGTTGGCGCTCGTTTTATTCGCTGCCTTCGAGTCCATTTACCGTGACAGACTTGAGAACATCCCGTTGCCCCGCCGAGTGTCAGGCTGCGCCCTGCCCTCATTGCCTGTCATCTCGCCTCTACAACTGATCTATCTGACGCGCCTGCCTCTGTCGACCAGTTTGTCCTTTGCGGTCTCCAACAAATCCCCGAAGTTTCTCTAAGAGCAGATTTTGATCGAGTTGTTCTGTCGCCCCGTGGTGACGACCCGCCGGCAAGATGATGAAAATATGGTCGATGGTACGAGTGGTTCCAGGCGCCTGTGGCTAGTCACTGATGGACAATTTGCAGAAGCAACAGCAACAGAAGGATGAACAAGCACAAGGGGTGACACAAAAGAAGAAGAAGGTCACAGCCGCCCAACTTCGCGTGCAAAAAGGTGAAATAAAGATCGGCCTTGTCCGCCTTGTCCGCCTGGAGGAAGTGTCTAATGCGGTTTCTCTCAGATCTCAGTGAACTGTCGCTCGGATCGACTATGAAGACGACGTTCCCTAACCCCGATGATATCCTAAACTTTACCCTCACGATCGAACCAGATGAAGGAATGTACAAAGGTGGGAGCTTTGTGTTCAACTTCTCCATCAACCAGAACTTTCCGCACGATCCACCCAAGGTCAAATGCACACAGAAGATCTACCATCCGAACATCGACCTGGATGGAAATGTCTGCTTGAACATTCTGAGGGAGGATTGGAAACCTGTGTTGAATCTGAACGCGGTTATTGTGGGCATGCAGGTACCACTGCCCTTCCAAGATTGGGTATCGTTGATCGAATGTGAATAGTTGACTTGATGGGCAGTTTCTCTTTCTGGAGCCGAATGCTTCTGATCCGCTCAACAAGGAGGCTGCTGAAGACCTCAGAAACAACCGAGAAGGATTCCGGCGTAATGCTCGAACGGCAATGGGGGGCGGGGCCGTCAAAGGACAGACCTACGATCGAGTATTGCGGTAATATCAGTGGGATATATGGGGTCGGCATGATGACTGAAATGATTCAATGACGGGTCGGAGACCGGGAATTTACATTGCGAGCTTGATTCGAGGGTTGCGGTCGACGCCCTGGTAAGGCTAGAGGCGTTATTCGCGGCGAGAGGGCTGACCACCCGCGCACAGAGCACTTCTCATGAAGCCAGAGTTGATTTCGACCCTGGAAAGCGCCAGACAAGATTTGTCTCGAGATATCTCTCTACGAGCAAAGACCACGCAAGGCTCCCGGTAATTAGGTAAATTATCTACGAGTTTGCCCTGCACCCTCGCGCTCGAAAATGGTCGTCTGCATCTTCCTTTTGCACTGTTGACTCGCACGAGACTCGCCCATCTCGGTACTATGACCGGTTCCGTGTCACTCTCCTGTTTTTCTGACCCAATATAGCATATCCGCTCAATCGCCGCTAACCAACCACTTTTGCCTTGATATTCACTCTCCAACTTGCTGCATCTGTGCTCTTATTGAAGCTGTGACTTCGGGAAACTCTGCCTCTGTGTTCGGTCTTGATTCCTGCTCCATTGTCTGAAAATCCGAGGTGGCTCACGCCGTTCAGCTCGTGGGAATCACAGGTTTCGCGGATAAAACACCTCATAGGGACGCTACAGTACAGATCTTCCGTCTTTTCGAAATTTTGATCACTCCCTATAGGCCGTAAAGGTATCTCCGGCTGATAAAGTTATTCTCATAACGACCTACTAGACAATTAATAGTACTAACTAAGACTATTCTAACCCTTAGTTAAAGCGACAACTTTATATATTACGACGCGGAATATAGATTCCTTATAGTCGATATAAGTTTAATATCTCTAATTCTCCTATTATATTATTTACTATTCTCTATACTATAATAATAAACCTAGTCGATTATATAGTAGTCTATATTACTAATCTAATCCGTAATCTAGATTTACTTAAACTAAAATCTAGAGATATCGATTCTATCTATTAAATATATTTATCTCGAATACTATCGAATTAAGCTTCTTGTTACGAACAGGCCAAAAGGACGGCCACAGCACAAGAACAAGGGAGAAGGTTTGCCGAAAGGAGTGACGACACAAGCCAGGGCACGTGATGTGCTCTATTATACTCCCAAGGCTGAGCAGAGCTATATAGAGCGGTATACTCTATTATACTCCTAAGGCTAAGTAGAGCCACATAGATCTATACGAATCTCCTTTATCTATATAGTCTTAATATAAGTCTATAACTTTCCCCATAGTTAACCTCAATTATAGAGAATCGAGTTGTTCTTAGTTTAATCGCTTTACGTATAGCTATATACTATACACTTAGTTTCCGTCTCCGCTATATTAAGCCCCACTACTATATTACTAAGTAAACTACCTCGGGTTTACTCATTAATACCTCACGTATTGTAAGGCGACTCGTAATATTTTAACTATTATCTTAGATAGTAAGTAGAATTAACGGCTATATCTAGTAGCTCTAACCCTAAATTACCCGAGCCTAGACTTACCTAATAACCTAATGTATCTTTAATAAGTATTAATATACTAACCGTTAATAATATAGACGTCGGGAAAATAAAAGACGACCTTAAGGTTAAATACTTCTATAGGGATAGAAGTAAGCTTAGTATATATCTTATATAGTTAAAGGCTATATTTACCTTATAATATACTAAGTACTCTACCCACGCGGAGCGAGTCTTATTCGTAGGACTCTAACTTCGCGGATCTACGTTTAAATAGTTTGAACCTATTATAGAAGATTATCTTAGATCTACCGTCGGATAACGAGACGAGGAGACTAACTTGATCTTCGGTAACTTTAGTATATATAAAGAACGTATTAAATAGATCTTTAGGATACTAGAGGAGGAATAAGTAGTCTTATAAAGGATCCACTAACTTAAGTAGACTAGATCTACGGCTCGCTATTACGCTATATTCTAACGCCTAGCGTCAAAGCTTAACTAGGAAGATAAAGCTTTCGCCTTAGTCTATTACTAAGGCCTAAAGGATTCGGTTAAAGATAGGATAGGAACGGATCGTCTTAACGAGTATAAGCTACTCGTTAAACGTTCTATCGAGATCGATAACTAGTTATATAAACGATAGTTAGAAAGAAAGGGATCGTATTTTAGGGGAACGACTTATAAGAATAAACAATATTACGGCGACCTAATAGACTTAGACGTCCTCCGCGTAGGGCTAGACCGCTAGTAGGTACGCGTTCGCGCGGCCCCGGAGGATTATCGTAAGAAGAAATAGCTAGGGCGTCAAATATTAAAGTCGGAGCGAGAGAAACGTAAGAAGGAAAATCTATACTATATATACGGAAAATCCGGGCACCGTGCGAAGGAGTGTAAAACGGTCCGTACGCTATATATAATAGACGACGGTATAGCCGGTTATGAAGAAATAAAGGCCGATACTTTATAGGAAATCTAGATAATAATCGATAGTTAGGGTACGACAGTATAGACGGGCCACCTAGGTATAGAGTCTTAACAATAGATAGGTAGACCCCACTACGAAAAAACAATTCCTAAGAAAGAAGTCGCCTTAGAAGAATAGGAACTTAAGGAACGATATAAGATCTTATCCTAGACGATATATTACGTAGATAACTATCTTATTTACTACTCCGAGAAGGTAGAGAATGGATAGTTTCTAAAGTAACTAAGGAAAGTTAGGAAGGCTAGAGTAATACTAAAGCGCTAGGAAGTATTTAAGGTTATAAATAAGAAGATCGAAGATATATAAGATATCTAGATAATACGTATACTAGAACTAAACGAACCTACTATATTTATCGTGATTAAATATAACGATAGGGAACTAGTACTTATTATCCTATACTAGAAAGATATATAATATTAGTATAACGATAATTATAGGAAGATAGAGGAATATATATATCCTATTATTAACTTAAGTTAACTTATAACTAAACTTACTATAATATATCTACTAATATATAAGAACGTAAAATATACTATTCTAGGGGAATATTCGCACGTAGGAAAGGGGGAAGACGTAATTACGGTACCGATAGTACTACTATAAAGCCTTAATATAATAACGAGATCCGAATTATATAACGTAGTACGCTATATTAACCGTAATTATACGTATTCGAGATACTAGGAATGTAACGTAGCCGCGTATATACTAGAGACGTAGACTAATATTGGAAATATAGATAACGATAACGACGATTTAACGATAGGATATACTAAAGACTACGTACTATACGAAAGTTACCGAGATAGTAAAATAATTATCGACGAAGAAGATAAGAACCTAATAATATACGATAATATTGTTTCACGATAATACGTTATTCTCGACATAGACGGTAAAGAAGTTGAAATCGTAACTAATTATTAGGATATAAAACTATACGAAGAAGACTATATATACGATAAGAGATATCGATATATTATATTTATATTATATAGACTTCTAAGAACGACGATACGTAAGGTTATTTTATAGTGATATTAGGATAGAGACTATAAAGAAAAAGAAAACGCCTATATATACTAATTAGCTAAACCTAATACCGTTAAAATTAATATACTCGAGAGTATAATAAAAAGAGTCGTTAGACGAAGAACTTAATAGGAATAGGTCTAGAGAGACCTAGAGATTATAGAAGAGCTAATCCCGTCCCGGACCGGACTATTAAAAAAGTAGAAGATAATCGACGACCGCGAAAACTTAGATTATTATTATAGGAGACTAGAGTATAATAAGATACTCTATAGCGAGAGAGAAGAATACTTATATTACTATAATATCGACCCGAAATACCCGGAATTTCCAATTCCTAAGGGAGTATATAGTAGTCTACTAGCCGCCGGCGCTATATACGAAGAATAAGAGTACCCTTAGAGGAAAGAGTTATATATATATTACTAAAATAGTAACTTAAATATAATATTCGTTAATAGCGTAGAAGGTAATAGGAGTCCTAATTAGCTATACGTTCTAGACGAGCTAGTCGACGATAGAGTCGACGGAAGTTTTATCGTAGGAGACTTTCTATACCTCGATAAAGGAAAATATCTTATACGAATCGTATATAAATATATTTATAACGTAGACTCGACGTTACTATATATACTAATATACCCGGACGGGGTATTTAGAGAACTAGAAGAATATTAAAACGAAAAGTACGAATAGAGAGACGAACTATACGTATATTAGCTAAAAAACTTATAAGTGACGACCTAAAGAGACGAGGAAGTTATAATAATAATCTAAGGATTAGAAAGCTTTAGGAGTTGAGGGAGATAACTACGGATAGTCGCTACGTAGTCCTTACGGTAGAACTAGCGGACTTCTAAGTATCGGTTATAATCGACTCGAGAGCTAATCGAAGCTATATTAGCACTAGTATAGCTAAATAGTTATATAAGTATAAAGTAAGGAAATAGTTTCCGTATCCGCTCGCGATAGTAGATAGACGACTATTAAAGTAGATTACTTACGAATTAAAAGAAGTTCCGTTAACGATTTTAGGATATAAGAAGAAAGCGACCTTAGATATTACGATAATACTATAATTCGATATAATATTAAGGATAAACTAGCTTTAAGAATATAACCTAATAATCGACTAGAAAACGAAGACTTTAATATTTACGGTACGTAGTATCGAGAAAACGGAAGTCCGATTAACTTTAAAGGTTCTAATAAGAATAGTATTAGTACGACCGATAGAAAGAATACTAGCTAGCTCTAGTATAGAAGAACTATTACCGGAATATAAAGATTTCGAAAGTCTTACGTAGAAACGATAAAACGAAGTAGCCTTATCCGAATATAAACTATAGGACTATAAAATCCCGTTCGAAGATAGAAAAGAACTAATATATTATAGAGGACTAATACTAATATCTAAGAAAGAAGAAGACTTTCTTAAAGACTATATCGAGAAATACTTAGTAAAAAGGTTTATTAGACCTTCGAAATCTAAAATCTTATATAGAGTTATCTTCGTAAATAAGAAGGACGGAGAATTAAGACCTTATATCGATTATAGAAAACTTAACGCTATTATAAAAAAGAACTATTATTTATTATCGAGAATCGACGAGCTATAAGATAGATTATTAAGGATAAAATAGTTTACGATAATTAATATTAGAGATATCTACTATCGAGTAAGGATAAAAGAAGAAGAGGAGTAGAAAACGGCGTTTAGAACTAGATAGGGATTATTTAAGTACTAAGTAATACCCTTTAGACTAATTAACGCCTCCGCTATTTTTTAGGCACTTATAAACGATACGTTAAGAGAATACTTAGACGAATTTATTATTATATATTTAGACGATATCCTTATATTCTCTAAGACTTACGAAGAATATATTCGGTATATTCGACTAGTTTTATAAGCGCTTAAAGAAAGGGATTTACTAATTAAACTAAGTAAATACGAATTTTATAAATATATAATAGTATTCCTAGACTATATCGTATCGTCATAAGAACTTACGCTAAACCCTAATAAAGTATAAGTAATTGACGATTAGCTAATACTAAAGAACGTTAAGGAAGTATAATAGTTCCTAGAGCTTATTAACTATTATAAAAGGTTTATCTAAGGATTTTCAAAAATCGCGGTACCCTTTATAAACTTAATAAGAAAAGAATAGAGCTTCGACTAGAACGAAGAGTGCGAGAAAGCCTTTAATAAGCTATAGCGATAGATAACCTCTATACCGGTCCTTATACTATTCGATCCGGAGAAGAAAGCTATACTCGAGACGGATATATTAGATAAAGTAATAGAAATCTATCTTTTATAGAAGGACGAAAACGGTCGGTTACGACCTATCGCTTACTACTTAAGACGAATAACTTAACTAGAGTTAAATTACGATATCTATAATAAAGAACTACTAGTAATTATAGAAGCGTTAAGATAGTGGAGAGTATATCTAGAAGAGACGAAGTTCTCGATATAGATTTATACGGACTATAAAAATCTTATATATTAGATAATAACGAAGGAGCTAAATCGACGATAGGTTAGATAGGTAGAAATATTAGTAAGATATAACTTCAGAATCTACTATATTAAAGGAACGGAAAATGATCGAGTAGACGCTTTAAGTAGAAGACTAGACTATATAGGAACTACTTAGCCAAACTCGGACTCGCTACTTAGAGATAACGGAAAAACGTTATAATATAGAGAGTATAATTATATACTAGTAGTTATAGATATTAATCTTATAGAAGAACAAAAGAAAGAGATACTATAATAAAGATACGATAGTTAACTTACGGAATATCCTAGAATCGTAAAAATAATCGAACTTATTACGAGAGACTTTATTTAGAAAGGTATACGACGAGACGTAGAAGAGTATATCGGGAAGTACGATATCTATAAGAAAACAAAAAAGGAAAGATATAGGCCTTATAGACTCCTAATAGTACTATAAATACCGAGTAAACTATAGAGCTCTATCGCGATCGATTTTATTACGAAGCTACCGAAATCTAAAGAGTCTCTTACGGGTAAGGAATACGATAGTATTATAGTAGTTATAGAAAGATTAACGAAGTACGTCTATATACTATCGTTTATAGAAAAAGCTATAGTAAAAGATCTCGTATATCTCTTTATAAGGATAATAATCGTACAATACGGAATACTAGATAAAATCATATCGGATAGAGATAAGTTATTTACGTTATAGTTCTAGCAATCCCTTACGGACCTACTAGGGACGGAATATAAGTTATTAATAGTATACTATCTATAGACGGATAGATAAACGGAAAGAATAAATCAAACGCTAGAATAATATTTACGATATTACGTTAATTATAAGTAAAATAATTAGGTATAGCTACTGCCTACGGTATAAATAGTATTTAATAATAATATAGTCGTTATAGGAATATCGCCGTTCTTCGCGAACTATAGGAAATACCTAAAGACGTTTACGGAACTAAAATTTAGGAAATTAATATTAGAGAAAGTAAAAATATAAATCGAAAATATTAAGAAACTATATAAAATAATGTAAAAAGAACTATAAAAAATAGTAAAAAGGATAATAATAAGAGAAAATAAGAAAAGATCTAAGAGACTAGACCTTAAAGAGAGGGAGATAGTCTATATACGACGAAAAAATATCAAAATAAAACGACTAAGCGATAAACTAGATTATATAAAAATCGGATCTTATCGTATTAAGAGAAAGTTAGGACTAGTTACGTTCGAAGTTAAACTACCGGTAAACTTAAAAATATATCCTATGTTTTATAAAGATAGACTCGAGTTATATAAGAACCCGGACGCGACACTAGGACCTATAAAGATAGACCCGGAGACTTAAGAACTAAGGTACGAAGTCGAGAGGATCGAGAAATATAAAGTATAAGACGAGGTACTATATTACTTAATTAAGTAGAAGGGATATCTAAAGGAAGAAAATACGTAGGAATCACTCGATAATATAGATAGATAAGATATACGAAAGTATCACCGGAAGTACGGATTACTAGTTAATAGAAATAACTTCTTTATTAATAAAATTATCAAATACTAACCCGAAATCAAAGAGCTTAAACTAGTCTACCTAGTAAGATAGTTAGGATACGACTCGGAAGATAATACGTAGGAAGTCGTAGAAAACCTACTACCTAAAGAAGTCTAATAATATCTCTAAAGTAAAAACCTTATGGAGATATACGTAGAATATAGAACTCCGGAAAAGTTAATCGCTAGTATAGGGTACCTATTACTAATAAAGTACTTAGCACGATAGTTAGCTTAGGAAGTGCAAACCTAGAAAAAGAAGGAAGACTTACCGAAGCTACTTATTATCGAATACTACTAATATCTTATCCGAATAGCGCGGATATATAGAAATAAAGAGATAAAAAGACGAAACTAGTAGATTATAGATTCGCTAAAGTAGAAAGAACGGATTATTTAGTATTATTAAGGATAGAGAAGAGACCCTCGAACTCGGCTATTTATTAAACCGACGGTTCTAAAGTAGGGTCTAACGCAAAGGCAAAACGCGATAAGTCGTCTAAGGCCGACGCCGTATCGATAGCGTCTAGGGCCTCTAACTCTCGTGATAATATTCTTTTTTATTCGCTAAGGAGGCGTTATATCTATTATTATAACTAGTCTTTCTTACGTTAGATTAATATTAGGGAAGTAATTAACTCCTCTATCCGCCTATCTTTCTCCTCCACTTTACGCTGTATTCGCTCGCGTTAATCCTAGAGACTATCGAAATCGGAGACCGAAAAACACCTATTATATTCGCTAATTTTCTTATTTTTATCACGATATATACTATATATCGACTACCCTTCTATTATCTAATAAGGAGAGTTCGAGGCGATATAGTTCGAATACCGGCTTATTTTAAAGAATTAGCGACCGAGAGATTAAATTCGTTCGGTAGCGGTTTTACGACGTTAGGTAGAGGAGATACGAGGAGTAGGTTTAGAAATACGGTTAGACTAAAGACGTATAGTTAGCTATATAAAAGGAAAATCGTATAAAGGAAGGAGGGTCGGGGAGCGGCCTACCTTAAGTATATCGAGGACGATAAAGAGGCTAGAGAGGGGGAAGTGTTACGAATAGGTTAAAAGGACGGCTATAGTATAAGAATAAGGGAGAAGGTTTACCGAAAGGAGTGACGATATAAGCTAGAGTACGTAATATACTCTATTGTGCTCCTAAGGCTAAGTAGAGCTATATAGAGCGGTATACTCTATTGTGCTCCTAAGGCTAAGTAGAGCTATATAGATCTATACGAATCTCCTTTATCTATATAGTCTCAGTATAAGTCCATAGCTTTCCTCATAGTTAACCTTAGTTATAGAGAATCGAGTTATTCTTGGTTCAATCGCTTTGCGTATAGCTGTATACTGTACACTTGGTTTCCGTCTCCGCTATATTGAGCCCCACTGCTATATCACTAAGTAAACCACCTCGGGTTTGCTCGTTGACACCTCACGTGTTGTAAGGCGACTCGTAACAATTTTCTAGTATAAGAAAATTAAAGATATATATCGTCGAAGCTCTTTCTCTTATTTACTATCTTTAAATCTATTATCTATCTACTCTAGTTAACTATAATAATTTTATCTCTCTTCTTTAACGTCTATTAATAAAAATAGAGCGTTACTAAACGCGGTTTACTAGATATCGCCGACGCTAATCTATATATGTTCGAGGCTATTGTGCTTCGTCCCGGCGGCGTCGTGCCTGACGAGAGCGTCCTGCTCGGCAAAATCGCTTCGTTGGTGACACCGGTTGTGCCCGTCACGCTGCTGGCGAAGGCGTTGGTTAGGTCGTGTATCGACCCGCCGCCAGAGAAGGTGGTTGAGAATCGGGAAATTCTCCAGCTTGGTCCTCCTTGATGCCTAACAAGATTCGTCGCAAGGACACAAAACAGGGTTCCCAGAAAAAATCATACTGGGGGCATTTAGGGATTTTGGGGATCCTGCGCCCGAGAATGATCCCAAACATAAGTTTTGCTACGAAATGTTATGTAATGAGGCCCCTTTCCTGGCAGTCAACTGCCTCCACACTCTCCCTCAAATGTTGCAACAAATCCCAGGTAAAGGTGCGCTGCTCACGAATAAAGCGGTCCCAGTCGGGGTGCTGCAGAAGCACCGGGATGACGCAGGCGGCAAATTGCGTCAGTAACAACCTGAGGTCGTCGCCTTCTCTGGTGTTTTCGTAGACGTACTGAACGAGTCCGAAAACTTCTGGAACCCGCTCGAAAAACAGTTTGAGCGAGGCCAAGGTGCGGCGCATCTTGTACAAGACCAGCGCCTTCAGGGATTCAACGACGTACCGGTCGGCGAAGACGTACAGTCTTGCCTGGGACAGGAGGGTCTCCGTCAGACTTTCCGAGGGGGGGCAATTCCTGTATGGGTGGAAGATTGGGCCTTTCCAGTCTGAGGCGACGCTGCAGAACCTGGCCCAGTCCATGGCCAGCTTTGAGCCTGGCTCTGGGATATTGGAGGTGACGGGAATATTGATCTGGGGGTCTGTCGCATGGAGTCCAGAATCACGATGCACTCTAGCCCCTCTCAGCCACGAAACGGGTCGATAAATCCGTTGCTTCCACGCTGGTTTGCAGTGGTTATGGTGGACCGGTGGCCGAAGGTCTTTCGCCAGCGTTATTAGCCCTTCGTCTCCTTCGCCGCTGCCGTCCTCTTTTCCGACTTGTGCACCAGTAGAGAGGTGTTCCTGATGGTCTGGAGTGAACTTGTCGTTGATCGTCTCCAATGGCATTGACGACGAGAGCTTCTGTCGGACCACAGTCGTAGGGGGAGGGACCGAGAAATCCCCTTTGTAGGCATACTCGCAAAAGCGCAAAAAGGTCTCTTGGTCGATATCATCCAGCACGGCCCGTCGTTCGATACTCTCGACCATTTTCCCGTTGATCAGGGCGGCAAAGACGGGGGAGAGTTGGACAACCAGCATTGAATGGACATTGAATGCCTTCCGCTCCGAACCCACGAGGAACTGAAATGTTGTTGAGTTCAGTGCTCTGCAGAGCCGTTAGCATTAAAACCGTAATACCGAGGCCTCCAACGTCATACTTACTCGCTGAGTGAGGTGGAACATTGCATGATCTGTCAATATGATGTGAAGCATGTAAACATAGTCGGGGGCGGTGACACTGGGACCATGTCGAGGGCATTTTATTGTTTCTATTCCCAAAGACAGCTAAAGCAATTCGTGCTCGTACTAGAGAGGACTTTCCATTTCCAAACAGCTAAAATAGCTGGATCTCCTGATCATTCTGTCGAGGATGCCCACCTGGTCCAATATGGCTACGAGGCTTTGTCTTTGGGAACATTGGCAATAGGGAACTTTCCTCTATCGACGGGTTAATGTAGTTATGAAGAGCCGGATGCACGTTACGCCGTAGTGATTCCGGCTACCGAGGCATTGTTCATAAAATTAGGCAAAATGGGGACACCTAAATTGTGCAATGCTTGATAGTAAGGCTGGTCCAATTAAGGGGTGTAGAAGGAGGGGATGGACCAGGAGACCCAAAGGCGCAACTGAGTCAGGCTGCGGAGCCTCAACGAATAATTTCACTCGCGTCTGACTCGCGTCAAACTCTAATTTCTCCGAAGTTCAACTGATGTCCACCTTTCACGAGCTATTCTCTCCCCAGTACCATTGCCACGAGCAAACACCAACATGGCCGCGTCCCTGAAATTGCCAATCGCTACTTGTGCACCTGGTGACTCCGTACCCGGTGCACATCTCAAGCTTCTTCCGAATGCTCAGCGGGCTGCGTACGACTAGCATCACTCTCCTGACTCCAGTACGCACAAATGCTCCGCCCTGATCCACCAACAGGTGCGAGCAGCTCAGATGGAGGGCTTATCGATGTCCCCATCAAGGCTGTGTATTGGAAGCCCGACACTCAAGGTATGGCTCAAATTATTGATATAAGGTTGCGTTCACTTGTAGATACAGGCCCTCTAACACCGCGCTCCTCAACTGTTGCTATCACTCTTTGGTTCTCTTTTGTTCCCCCCTTTCCCAGTCTAATTCATAGACCGCTCCACGGAGCCTGCGATACAGTCGCCTTTTCTGAACAGTCGTCCACGTGTTCACCTTTGCATTGCCGTCTTGAAAATACATCCCCCTATAATCCCCTTCAGAGCAACGTTAGCCCAAATTCCAACCACACCCTGGCTTGCTCCTCATCGAAACAAGAATATCAACATGTCTTTAGTGGGAAACTTCGTCTCCAACTACGACAACAGTGCCGGAAAGCAGGGGCCTGGGCTTCCCGGACATATGCGGCGAGAATCGCAGGTTGACCAGCCCGACGTTCCTCCAGGGACGAGGTCTCAAGGTCCCCATCATTCCGCAGTTATCGAAGATATATCAAACACACGTGACGGCACCGGTCTGGAACGTCGCTCGAGCTTCATGAAAGATGACGAGAAAATGTCGGGTGATCGATCGAGAAGTCCAGAGAGCGACGAGGATGACATCCGTGTCAGATACCTGGCTCGACAGTTCTCGCGGACGTCCACCAGGACCGAGGACGCCAATCCCTTCGTCGCAGCGCCGGGCTCTTCCTTGGACCCCAGCTCCGACAATTTCCAGACCCGGGACTGGATCAAGGCTCTGTTCAATTTACAGTCCAAGGACGACCGCTTTCTGGCTAGGACTGCCGGGGTTGCATTCCGCAACCTGAGCGCCCACGGGTTCGGGTCTGCCACCGACTACCAAAAGACCGTCGGCAATGCGCCTTTTCAAGTCGTTGGTCTGGTACGCCGGCTGATGGGTGTGGGACAGCAACGCAGGATCGACATACTCCGCGACTTTGACGGACTCGTGAACCATGGAGAAATGTTGGTCGTTCTGGGCCCACCGGGCTCCGGCTGCTCGACTTTTCTCAAGACACTGGCCGGTGAGACGCACGGTTTCAACGTCGACAAGGATTCGTACATCAATTACCAAGGGATCGCCTTTGACCAGATGCACAAGCACTTCCGCGGCGAGGCCATCTACACCGCGGAACAGGACATCCACTTCCCTCAACTCTCGGTCGCAGACACGCTCTACTTTGCCGCTCGTGCGAGAGCACCGCGGTATCGGCCGGGAAACATCTCCGCACACGACTACGCCTGCCACATGCGAGATGTCATCATGGCGACCTTTGGCATCCGACATACATTCAACACCCGAGTTGGTAACGATTTTATTCGAGGGGTGAGTGGAGGAGAAAGAAAGCGCGTCAGTATCGCCGAAGCGACCCTCAACATGTCGCCCTTGCAATGCTGGGACAATAGTACCCGTGGCCTAGACAGCGCCAACGCCATCGAATTCTGCAAAACGCTACGTCTGTCAACCGAGATCCTCAACGCCACAGCCGCGGTGGCCATCTACCAGGCACCCCAGGCGGCATACGACATCTTCGACAAGGTCACTGTCCTTTACGAGGGGCGGCAGATCTATTTCGGAAGGACCGAGGACGCTAAGGACTACTTTGTCCGTCTGGGCTTCCACTGTCCCGACCGTCAAACAACTGCCGACTTCCTCACGTCCATGACCAGCTCTGATGAGCGTATCATCCGCGAAGGTTTTGAGGATAGGGCACCACGCACTCCCGATGAATTTGCCACGGCCTGGAGGAATAGTCCCGAGCGTGCCCAACTCCTTCGAGACATCGAGGACTTCGACACAAGACATCCTCTCGGCGGCGAGGATCTGGATCGGTTCAAGGAATCGAGAAGACTGCAGCAAGCCAAGCGGCAACGTGTGGTGTCACCTTACACTCTCTCGTACGGCCAACAGGTCCGGCTCTGTCTCTGGCGCGGGTTTCGCAGGTTGCTCGCCGACCCGAGTCTGACGCTGACGTCCATCATCGGCAACAACATCTTTGCCCTAATCATCGGGTCCATCTTTTACAACCTCGACGGTACCACCAATTCCTTCTACTCGCGGGGTGCCTTGCTCTTCTTCGCCATTCTGCTGAACGCGTTCAGTTCCGCCTTGGAAATCCTCACCTTATATGCGCAACGCCCCATCGTCGAGAAACACCAACGCTACGCGCTGTACCACCCTTCGAGCGAGGCGTTTGCCTCCATGTTGACGGATATGCCGTATAAGATCACCAACGCCATTATCTTCAACGTCACACTGTATTTCTTGACCAATTTGCGCAGAGAACCGGGGCCGTTCTTCTTCTTTCTCCTCATTTCCTTTACCTTGACACTGGTGATGAGTATGCTCTTTCGAACCATCGCCTCTGTCTCGCGAACGCTAAGTCAGGCTTTGGCTCCTGCAGCTATTCTCATCCTGGCCATCGTCATCTACACTGGTTTCGCCATTCCGGTCAACTACATGCTCGGCTGGGCTCGGTGGATCAACTACCTTGACCCTGTAGCTTATGGATTCGAGGCCCTCATGATCAACGAGTTCTCCGGCCGAGATTTCGACTGCGCCGTCTACGTGCCGTCCGGTCCGGGGTACGGCGGCGGTTCGAACCGAGTCTGCTCCACGGTGGGGTCTCGCCCCGGTCGAACGTTTGTCAACGGGGATGACTTTATCAACAGCAGTTACAAGTACTACGCCTCTCACAAATGGAGGAATTTTGGCATCCTGATCGCATTTATGATCGGTCTCTTCGTCACCTACCTGGTGTCGGCGGAATTCGTCCAGGCTAAGAAATCAAAGGGCGAGGTTCTGGTATTCCGTCGCGGCCAGACACCAGCTCCACTAAAGATGAAGCCGCCTCAAGACATAGAGACCGGCGACGTCACGTCAACTAGTGCCGTCGCGGCAGCCAAGACCCAACATCCCGAGGACGTGTCGACCGTCATTCAGAGACAAACCGCCATCTTCCAATGGCGCGACGTTTGCTACGACATTCAGGTGAAGGGTGAAGGAAGGCGGCTCTTGGACCACGTCGACGGGTGGGTCAAGCCGGGCACCATGACTGCCTTGATGGGCGTGTCCGGGGCTGGGAAGACGACGCTCCTGGATGTCCTGGCCACCCGAGTGACCATGGGGGTCATCTCCGGCGAGATGTTGGTCGACGGTCGACAACGAGACGAGTCATTCCAGCGCAAGACCGGCTACGTCCAACAACAAGATCTTCATCTGGAGACGTCGACGGTCCGAGAAGCCCTGAGCTTTAGCGCCCTCCTCCGTCAGCCCGCACACATCCCGCGACGCGAGAAACTAGCCTACGTTGACGAGGTGATCAAGCTGCTCGAGATGTCCGAGTACGCCGACGCCGTCGTCGGGGTGCCCGGCGAAGGCCTCAACGTGGAACAACGCAAACGCCTGACCATCGGCGTCGAATTGGCAGCCAAACCGGAGCTGCTACTTTTCCTCGACGAACCCACCTCGGGCCTCGACTCGCAGACGTCTTGGTCCATCCTGGACCTCCTAGAGAAGCTGAAGCAGAACGGGCAGGCCATTCTCTGCACCATCCACCAGCCGTCAGCGATGCTCTTTCAACGTTTCGATCGCCTCCTCTTCCTAGCCAAGGGCGGACGTACCGTCTACTTCGGCCCCGTGGGCCAGTCTTCGAGAACTCTAATCGATTACTTTGAGCGTAACGGCGCCCATCACTGCGCCGCCGATGCGAATCCCGCCGAGTGGATGCTCGAGGTCATCGGAGCCGCGCCAGGCTCGCACACCGAGATCGATTGGGTCGACACGTGGCGCCTGTCGCCGGAATACAGGGCAGTGCATGCCGAGCTTTCTCAGATGAAGGCGGAGCGCTGTCAACTCGCCCGGGCGACCTCAAACAGAGCCGACCGTGCCAGCTATCGAGAATTCGCGGCGCCCTTCTACCAGCAGCTGTATGAGGTTTTGAAGCGTGTCTTTGAGCAATATTGGCGCACCCCTTCGTACATCTACAGCAAGCTGTCTCTCTGTATCGCGTCTGTAAGAAATGGCTCCTTCTTCTTCCCCCCTGACCGTCGACGCTTACCGAGTACTTCATTAGGGTCTTTTTATTGGCTTCTCCTTCTTCAATGCCAAAATCACGCAGCAGGGTCTTCAGAACCAGATGTTCGGCATCTTCATGCTGACGACGATCTTTGGCCAGCTCGTCCAGCAGATCATGCCCTTGTTCGTGACTCAACGCTCACTCTACGAGGTCCGCGAACGACCGAGCAAGACATATTCATGGCAAGCATTCATGATGAGCAATATCATCGTCGAGCTGCCTTGGTCGACACTTTGCGCCATACTCATCTTCTTCACCTGGTACTATCCCATCGGCCTGTATAGGAACGCGGAACCGACGGATGCGGTGCATGAGCGCGGGGCGTTGATGTTCCTCCTGATCTTGACCTTCTTATTGTTCACGTCCACGTTTGCGCACATGGTCATTGCGGCCATCGCGACGGCCGAGACCGGTGGCAACATTGCAAACCTGTGCTTCTCGCTCACCTTGGTGTTTTGCGGCGTCCTCGTTGGGCCCAAGGCGCTGCCCGGGTTCTGGATTTTCATGTACCGCCTCTCGCCCTTCACCTACTTGATCGACGGCATGCTCAGCACGGCTGTCGCACATGCCAGTGTCACATGCGCCACCAACGAGTATCTCCATTTCACGGCACCGTCGGGCCAGACGTGCGCAGAGTACATGCAATCTTATATCAACTCAGTCGGCGGATATCTCCAGGACCCTTCGGCCACGGGCAATTGCAGTTACTGCCAGATATCGACCACGGACGCATTCTTGGCTAGCGTGTCGTCGCATCCGCAGTACATGTGGCGCAACTTCGGGCTGATGTGGCCATATATTGCCTTCAACGTCGTCGGCGCCGTTTTCTTGTACTGGCTCGCGCGCGTACCGAAGCGCATGTCCAAGGGGAAGAGAGAACTAGCCAGCCCAAAGGAGAGCAAAGAGGGTAGTGTGCTCGATGGACCCGTCGAAACTACCAGTGGAGAGAAGAGAGAAGACGATGGGGCGGAGAAGAGCACAGATGCAAGTCTTACTCCAATGATGACCTAAATCCAGGCCGTTGAATAGCGGACATGAACCCAGTGGCAAATATCAACCACCAGGAGCAGGAGAGTTTAACGTTATAAGAATCGGAAGATGTGGCTTCAGTCCCAACAGCTGTTCTGGACAGGGTGGATTTGTTAACGCGTCTGCTTTGGGGGAGGTGTTCTGAAGGAACAAACCTTTGAGCCAGTGAGATCTGTACCTGGTGAAGGGAGTCTGTCGTTTGGTATTAGATGCATAGCGCAGGCAAAATTGACATGTCAGCGACACGTGCTTTGAGTACACGCCTTGGGAAAATCAGGCCTCGCTGGATACGGGACTTGTGTAATATACCTAGGTAGGTAATATAGATCGGAACTGAAAGGGTAGATTCAAGTATCATGAAGCCGAAGAAACCCATGGCTCTGGACCACCAGCACCCAACCAGTGACTAGGAAAATTTTCCAGGCTGTGGTTAATAGAAATTGCATGCCGAAGGTCTTTCCTGGGAGTCGACTTGAAAGTTGGCCACCGTGATCAGCGCCTGACAGTCACCACATCAGCCCATGCTCTTCTAAGACAGATGTATCCTTTGGGTTGGCCTCCACACGAGGCGTACGGGTGGAGAATCGCAGGGAGATGGAGGATTTCCCAAGGTTGGAAACGGAGTGACCTTTTCGGAAGGTTGATATATACAGACTGATACAGCAGCACCGGATGCCCTTTGCGACTATTTGGCCCCGACACCGGATCTGGTGGCTTTTGGCCATGTCAGACCGCCTCGAAAGTGGAGACGCATCGACGAGGAGATGGATATGCATCGAGTCCCCCATGTTCAGGAGCGAAGGAAGAAGTGTGTGGAGGCAAATGCAGGTGGTTTGAATGTGCAGATTGCGGGGCGGGGAGACTAGAGTCTCTCCGTCACGTGTCGTGGTGCTTCTGCCAGCCTCGCCGCAGTCGGAGCCAAGCCAAAAATCCAAAGTTCGCGGAAGGAGAAGCTCAGCAGCTGTTGGTGGCTCGGTGCTCAATATTGTGAGTAAGAGCCGCCGAGAGAAAAAAATTCCTCCTCAGGTACCTAGTTACTACTTATTGCAAAGCCCAGTGCCCCCTTTCAATTCCTCTCAATTTCTCACCACCCATACTTTGAAACAGATCACAATGGCCTCCAAGACCTTCGCTCGCACCCTGCGCACTGCCTCCAAGCAGAAAATCAGCTCGCCCGCCGTGCAGAAACGCTCCATTGCGACTGCTCTTGCGACCCGACCTCTCGTTGCTGCCACGCAGCGCCCTTCATTTGCCGCTCCCGCTCAGCAGCAGAAGCGAGGTATCAAGACAATTGACTTTGCTGGCACAAAAGAAACTGTCTATGGTGCGCAGAACACCTTCTTTCCTCACCACCCATTGATGTTTAGCTGACAACTCGGCACAGAACGGGAAGACTGGCCGCGCGAGAAACTTCTTGTATGCTGACTCCCCCACTCTGAAGAGAAAAATCTCGTCTCGGCTGACCACATCCCCAGGACTACTTCAAGAACGACACTCTTGCCTTGATCGGCTATGGCTCGCAGGGTCACGGTCAAGGTCTCAACCTCCGAGACAATGGCCTGAATGTCATCATTGGCGTGCGCAAGAACGGCGCGTCGTGGAAAGAGGCAGAACAAGATGGCTGGATCCCGGGCAAGAACTTGTTCGACGTGGACGAGGCTATCGATCGGGGCACCATCATCATGAACCTGCTCAGTGATGCTGCGCAGAGTGAGACCTGGCCAGCCATCAAGCCCAAATTGACAAAGGGCAAGGTAAGATAAGCGTCAAGTGTGTTTGGGAGCAGAGCTGACATTGCGAACCAGACACTGTATTTCTCCCACGGCTTCTCCCCGGTCTTCAAGGACCTCACGAAAGTGGACGTTCCCAAGGACATCGACGTGATCCTCGTTGCTCCCAAGGGCTCCGGCCGCACGGTGCGAAGCTTGTTCCGTGAGGGACGAGGCATCAACTCCTCCATTGCCGTCTTCCAGGACGTGACCGGCAAAGCTGAAGAGAAGGCCATCGCCCTTGGTGTCGCTGTAGGAAGTGGATACCTGTACAAGACCACCTTCGAGAAGGAAGTCTACTCCGATCTCTATGGCGAACGAGGGTGCCTGATGGGTGGCATCCACGGCATGTTCTTGGCCCAGTACGAGGTTCTTCGCGAACGCGGCCATTCGCCATCCGAGGCGTTCAATGAGACTGTCGAGGAAGCCACGCAATCCCTGTACCCCCTCATCGGCGCTAACGGCATGGACTGGATGTACGCCGCGTGTTCGACCACCGCCCGTCGCGGTGCGATCGACTGGTCGAGCAAGTTCAAGGACACCCTCAAGCCTCTGTTCAACCAGCTCTATGACAGCGTGAAGGACGGCAGTGAGACCAAGCGCAGCCTGGAATTCAACAGCGCACCTGACTACAGAGAGAAGTACGAGAAGGAGATGCAAGATATCCGGGATTTGGAGATCTGGCGTGCCGGCAAGGCCGTTCGGTATGTGAACTTGCCTGCCTTTTCATGGGATTAGAACCTTCTGCTAACAATGACGGCAGCGCCCTTCGCCCTGAAAACCAATAGTCGATCTCGGTGCACCCTTGTTTGTTCCCTTGTATGTGGCGTTTTCGAATCAAAAGTTGAGCATATACCAAATGGTGAGGGCTTCGGATGGTGAACTTGAATCTTTGCAGCAGCGATGCGGCCGCTTCGAGCGCATGCAAGTGTCTAGATGGGCCAATTACTTGCTGAGCTGCAAGAGTCCGATCTCGGCAGAGCTTCGGACATCTGCACGATTACCAATTTCACGCCTTTGGATCGTGGACTTAATCAACTTTTTGCGACGTCAGTTCTTTTCTGTGGACTTTTTTACCATTTTTCCAATTGTTTGATGTCGTTCCCCATCCTGCTTGAATTGTTCCCATCAGTCTTCGCAGGCACTCGCTTTCCGCATCTGCGACCTCGACTGAAGTTACTCGAGGGCAAGAGAGAGCCCCAACAGCACGCGACATAGAAGCCAGGAACATTTAACCCGTCGAAGCAAATGCTAAAGATATAAAGAGGGCCAAGTGACGTGGAAAGGCATGGCAGATCCATCCACCTGTCCTCCCCTGTCCCCTTCGTCCGTCTCCACAGCCTATGGAAAGATCAAACCCTATATCCATAGAACGCCATTGATAACAAGTCGATCGCTGAATGCCATTGCCTCGTCCAGCGACCCGTCGGTTTTTCTGTCAGACAACCCACCAGCTTTTGACTCTGCCGAGTCCAACGTCAACGACAATGACGCTCTGCCCAGGTTCCGACTGTTTTTCAAATGCGAGAATTTTCAGAAGATCGGGGCTTTCAAGGCCAGAGGCGCCTTCCATGCCGTGCTCAGGTTGTTTGACGAGATGGGGATCGAGGAGGTGAGGAGGAGAGGCGTTGTGACGCACAGTAGTGGTGAGTCTCTACCTAGGTACCTTTTTTGTTATTGCTTGGGTGTAACCACCTCCCCGATTTCAAATGTTGTGTGTGGCCGCGCACAACGAGCCGAGATGCACATATTGTCTCAACACCCGTGCAGTACCTCGTCGGAGCCCTGCTCACCTGGCCAAAGGGAACCATGCTCAAGCTCTCGCGCTTGCAGCCTCGACATTCTCCATTCCCGCCTACATCGTCATGCCCTCGATATCCACCACGTCCAAGATCGCCGGCACCCGTCTGTACACGTCGAACGTGATCTTCAGCGGCTCCACCTCGGAAGAGCGGGAAGCCGTCGTTGCAAAAGTCATCAAGGAAAAAGGTGCCATCTTGGTGCCGCCGTACGACCATCCCGATATCATCCTGGGCCAGGGCACGGTCGGGTTGGAGATGGAGCAGCAGTTGATTGAATTGAACGGCGCTCAAGGGGAGAGGAGTGGCAGCAACAGCTTCGACGCGGTCATCACGCCCATCGGTGGCGGGGGCCTGTTGGGCGGCGTCTCCACCCACTTCTCCTCACGACGCGACACATTGGTGTTTGGGGCCGAACCCTCCTTCCAAGGCGCCGACGACGCCCGGCGCGGTCTGCTGCAGAACCAAAGAATCGAGCACGTCAAGTCTCTAACCATCGCCGATGGCCTCCGCACCCCCGTCGGCGTGACCAACTGGACCATCGTCTCGGACAAGCAGAAAGTCGAGGGGATCTACGCGGTGAGCGAGAGCCAGATCAAGATGGCCATGAGGTTGGTCTTTGAGCGCCTCAAGCTGGTCGTCGAGCCCAGTGGCTGCGTGCCTTTGGCGGTTGTGCTGTTCAATCGCGAGTTCCGGGACATGGTCGCCGAGCAGCAGAGAAGCCCAGAAGGGAAGGGCACCTGGGATGTCGGCGTCGTGTTCAGTGGTGGGAACACGACTATGAAGGCCATTGCGACGCTGTTTGGCGAACAAGGTGGAAAGGGGGAGGGGGAGAGGGAGGCGGGAAAGGTCGGTGTTGATGGGAAGAAGAAGGTCGAGGATGTGGCCGGGTGATTGATAAGACACGTTGAAAAGATGCTTGCTCGATCTCTATCAGGTGGCCTCTACATTCTTCTGTTGTTCTAAAGCACAACCCTTCCCACGGCGCCAGTTTCATTTCATTGGAGCCGCCTCATAGTTACCTAGGTACCTCGCACAGCTCCCATATCGAGTTTCCGGGCTTGGCAGAAGAAGATGAAGTAAAATTGCAGGACACCCTCGCTACATGGAAACGGCGGCCATTACGGATAACAGCTCTCTTGGAATACTCGGTACCTAGGACAGGGTCATACATAGTACTGTGTCTCCTGCAGAGGCGAGCTGATGCCGACCTCGGGACACTGCCCAATTGAGCCGAGCAGCCGGGGGCGGGGTTTTTTGGGGATGTTGGGGTCCACATTTCATGAATACTGTAGATATTACCTGGTATCTAGGGATCGAGAGACAAAGATCATTAATGTGTGGTTGACACGCGACGGCTATATCGCTCTCCAGTTGGCAGTGGATGACCGCCTTGGTGGGTTGGACCTCCAGGATGTCTCCCTCTCAGCCCATCAAGATCCTCATAGCCAATCGATCCGAGATAGCATGCCGCCTCATCAGGACGTACTCGCTCTACCCCAACATCCACACCGTAGCTCTGTTCACTCCCTCTGAGAAGGATGCCACACACGCGCGTCTTGCGACCGCATCAGTGGCGCTCCCGGGAGAAGGCCCACGCGCGTATCTGGACGCGGCGAACATCGTCGACATTGCGAAGAAGGAAGGATGCTGGGGGATCGCGCCGGGCTATGGTTTCTTGTCCGAAGACGCTGGGTTCGTGAGACTCTGCGAGGATGCAGGTGTCGTGTTCATCGGACCGTCGAGCGAGCAGTTGGCACGGCTTGGAGACAAGATCAGCGCGAGGTCACTGGCGGCAGATGCAGGTGTGCCGGTTCTGGATGGCACCAAGACCGTCGGTCCCGCGGGTTCGTCCATCACTGATGTCCTGGCGTTTGGACGGGGCCTGGGACCAGGCAGGAAAATCATCCTGAAGGCCGCGGCTGGCGGTGGAGGGCGCGGCATCCGCATCGTCGACGACAATACAGACGAGCAAGCCATCCGCACGGCTTACGAGGCTTGTCAGCGAGAGGCACAGGCATCCTTTGGCAATGGGAGCTTGTTCGCGGAGCGGTATCTCTACGGTGCTAAACATATCGAAGTCCAGCTTCTCGGGGATGGCACTGGACAAGTCTGCCATTTCTGGGAAAGAGAATGCTCGCTACAGCGCAGGAACCAGAAAGTCGTCGAGATTGCACCTTCGCATTCCATCACGCCACGGCTCAGGCGAGCCATCATCGAATCTGCGATGAAACTGGGGAAGGCAGTGAAGCTGCGGAGTCTCGCCACAATCGAGTTCCTGGTCGATGCGGCGACCGAAGACTATTATTTCATGGAGGCGAATCCCAGGATCCAAGTTGAGCACACCATCACCGAACAGATCAATGGCATTGACTTGGTGGATTTGCAGCTTCAGGTGGCCTTGGGACGAACGCTGGCAGACCTTTCCATAACGCAGGAACCCGCACCACCTCGACTGACATCCATCCAGCTACGCATCAACGCCGAAAGCTTCAGGCAAGATGGCACCGCGCAACCTGAAGCGGGCACTATTCGACAAGGACATTTTCCCACTGGAGCAGGCGTACGAGTTGACACAGCTCTCGAAGGAGGCCGGCCGTATGCTGTGAGCCCTTTGTTCGACAGCCTCTTGGCGAAACTCATCGTCACCTCATCTTCGTATAGGTCCGCACTGCGGCTAGCTCGTCGGGCTATCGATGAGACAAGGATCGTGGGGTGCAGGACGAATCAGGCGTTCCTGATGGCTTTGCTGGATCTCCGAACCGTGCAAGAGGGCAGGAGCAACATTTTGACCATCCAGGAGAACTTCGCTGCGCTGTACAACGCCACGCAGCAGTTCGAAGACGCGTTGCGAGCTAAAGGTGACGACCGCACCTCTGAAGAAGCTACCTCGCTAAAGGAGAATGCGGCCAAAGTTGAGCGACCTGCAGGCACTGAAGAGCTGCTCGCGCTTGTCACGGGGGTTGTCCTTTCCATGAAAGTGAGCGAAGGCGACAAGGTCACGGCTGGCCAAGAACTGGTCGTTCTTGAGGCCATGAAGATGGAACATTCCGTCCGAAGCTCCTACAATGGTGTTGTGGCGAAAGTGGCCGTCACCCAAGGACAACAAGTAACTGCCGGCGAACCTCTTCTCTTCATCAGCTCGGATGGCGACAATTCATCTACCAATACACGCGACCTGGCCGAGACTGAGGACCCAGAAGAGCTGCGGCCTGAGCTGACGGAGCTGAACGAACGCAAGGCCGTTCTACGGTACGCGGCTCGCGAAGAGGACGTGGCCAAGCGCCATGCAAACGGATATCTCACGGGCCGGGAAAATCTCGACTTACTCGTCGACAAGGACTCCTTCATTGAATATGGAGACCTGGTGGTCGCGGCACAGAGGAAAAGGTACCCCCTGTCCCACCTCATCGCTCGAACAAGCGGGGATGGTATCATCGTCGGCTGGGCCAAGATGGACTCTCATCCGGTCGCGATGGTCATTGGCGACTACCTCGTCCTTGCCGGCACGCAGGGACACTTCCATCATCAGAAGTTGGACCGCATCTTCCAATCAATCATCGACCATCCTGCGCCAGTGGTGTTTTACGCCGAAGGAGGCGGTGGAAGACCCGGTGACACGGACCACTTGGGCATGGCGGGCCTGAAGACGCCATCATTCGCTTTGATGGGCCAGGTCAAGGCGAGAGGGATCCCTTCTGTTGCCGTCGTGAATGGGTACTGCTTTGCGGGCAACGCGGCATTCTTGGGAACATGCGACATTATCGTAGCTACGAGAGGCGGTGCAAAGGATGCGCCGTCGAGGAAGTCCACCACGATCGGCATGGGCGGCCAAGCAATGATCGAGGGCGGCGGCCTGGGCAGATTCGAGCACGAACATATCGGTCCCGTCGACGTCCATATGCGCTCAGGCGGCATTGATGTACTGGTGGACACCGAGGTCGAAGCCGCGCCGCTTGTCCGCAAGATCGTTGCTCTCTTCACACAGCCGCGACTGCCACCAACGGAGAGTCCCTACACATCGGATCCTCTGCGCTTACGAACCGCCGTGCCGCCACTGTCATCTCGACGCCGGGCCTACGATGTCCGTCGTGTGATCAACCTCCTTCTGGACGACGACAGCTTCATCGAGTTCTGCCCCGAGTGGGGTCTCTCCGTGCTTACGGGCTTTGGCCGCGTCAACGGGCACGCCGTCGCCATCATAGCCTCCAACTCGTCCTCCCCACTCGGCGGCGCCATCGACGTCGCCTCCGGCGCAAAAGTCAACCGCCTCCTCCGCCTCCTCATCCGCACCGGCGGCATGCACCTCCTCAGCCTCTGCGACACCCCCGGATTCATGGTCGGCCCGGACTTTGAGCGCTGCACCGAAGCTCAGGGCGCCGGCAGCACGTACCGCTGCTTTGGCGACTGGTTCGGCAACGCCGCAGAATTTGCCCTCTCGGGCGGTCGCGTGTTAGGGGTCGTCCTGCGCAACGGGTTCGGCCTGGGCGCACAGGCGATGCTCGGCGGCGGGAGTTTGAACAACAGCATGTGCGTGGCGTGGCCGAGTGGCGTCTTTGGAGGCATGGGCATCGAGGGAGCCGTCAGGCTCGCATACCGCAAGGAGTTGGAAGCCATCGACGATCTGGAAAAGAGGAAGAAGACAGAGCAGGAGATGATCGATGTCATGTACAGCGAGGGCAAGGCCCTCAATATGGCCATGGCCGCGGAGATTGACAGCGTGATTGATCCCGCCACGACGAGGAAGTGGCTGGAGCAGATGATTGCCGTGTTGCCGGAGAGGGTGCCCAGGTATGCCAAGGCAAGGAGACGTGCGAAGATGTGAGAAAGAAAGAAAACCACCCAAAGGGGTTCTCAGCGAAGTTGGAAGAATTGGTGGGTGATGGATATAGATGTGGAGCCCGTTCCAGTAAATTTGGTACCGTACGGTAGTAGATCTACACTAGAGATTCTAGACAAAGGGCGGAAGACGAGCTTGCTTTGTTTGGTAGGCACCCTATCCAGGTCAGATAATGGCAAGTTTTGCCCGCACGGAGCACTTCCCATATCCAGCTGATCTCAGCTTCATAATTTCTTGAGAGCTCGAAGGGTAGTTTTTGTACATACCTAGGTATATATATACTGCTCGAACAATCGTCCGCCGTCGTGCTCATTTGGCCAACTAATCCCCCGCCGCTTTGCTCTCCTCTGCTCCCTTCCTCTTAAACTGCCTGTAGCCAATGTCAATCTGGTCCCTGTGGTCATTGACGCGGTCAAATACCCAGAGAACGCGCTGCAATGGGCCATGGGGACCGATTAGGCCGAGTTGAGGCGCTGAACCTCACAACTTGAAAGAGAGCCCGTCACTCGCGCTCACCTCGGCGCCGCCGCCCGTCTTCATCAATTTCATAAATGTGCTTTGGGAGGGCCAGTCTGCTCGGCCGTGGCCACAGTGATGATCGGTATCCTCAATTCCAGATTCGTCTTCTGCGGGACGTGTTGATTGAACACACCGCCGTGCGGGTGGTGGGATTTTGCCAATCGTCCCGTCGCTGCAGCCTTGCCCGCTCGCCAGCCATGCACAAACCCGCCGCCCAGATGCGTGCCACCCATCTCGGCCGTGGGCGTGAACCCACCGGCGACATCTCCCACGGCGAAAAGCCCCGGGATGGGCTCGCCAAAGACGTCCACAACCTGCATGGACGTGGTGGTTCGGAAGCCTCCGCAGGTCAAGCTGATGCCGACGATCATCCTCGAGGCGTAAAAGGGGGCCTCTACGATGCGATGAGCGGTGAAGTCGACGCGCTTCGTCAAGGGTTCGACCTTGTCGCCCGAGGCAATGAACTCGTTCCATTGCTTGACCGTCTTTACTAGTTCCTCGGCGGGGACTTTGATCAGGCCAGCCAGCTCTTCCAGAGTGTCGGCCTTGACAAGGTTTGTGAGCTGGTCTGTGTAATGCTTTTGTCGGGTTGCCGTGCCGCTGTCGAAGATGTAATGCCCCAGCTGGCCGGGTTGCTGTTTGAGCGCTTCGACCCGGTCTTGGTACGGCCCGGCTTCGTCGTGGAATCGATGTCCCTTGTTGTTCACGGCAATCGCCTCGTCGGTCAGGGCCGAAGCGATGGCCACGATCCCAGGGATCATCGTCATGTTATAGAGTTCGCCGCCGACTGCTTGGCCCATGACATGGCCATCTCCCCGACAAGTCGGCAGTCCGGGATACCATGCGTCGTCGTGGGCGGGCGCATATCGCCGGCGAAGTGCTGCGTTGGCCTGATAGCCACCTGAGGTGAGGATGACGCCCTTTCTGGCGAACACGTTGAACGCCGGTTTGGAGTCGTCGTTGGGCTGCACACGAACCCCCTTGACCCCCCGTCCCCCTTGGGTGATGAGTCTGACTGCCGTGCTATTCACATACGTGCGCACGTTCGGTCCAGCAAAATCCGGTTCGAAGGCCCGCGCAAATTGCTGCGTTGACTCCACCGCTGCAAGTCGGGGCACGCTGGTCTGCAAAGGTCGCTTGATCAGGCGAGGAAACTTGACGCCCTTCTTGGTAAGAATGTCGTAGAGCTGGGGCCTCTCCTCTGCGTACTGCCGTGCCAGAACTGGATCCCATTCCAATCCAAAGTGCTTGCTTGACTGTTCGATGAGTTTCTCGCAGTCTTGCATGAACAGGTCTACCGAGTCACGGATTCCTTGTTGCCGCTGGAGAGCGCTGTCGACAAAGGCAACCCAACCTGTAGACCATGTTCCATTGCCGCCGATGTCTTTGTACGCCTCGATGGCCACCACGTCGGCGCCGGATTCCACGGCCGATGCCACTGATGCAAGACCGCCGGGACCAGTGCCGATGACTACCACGTCCGTGGTCTGATCTTGACCGTTCGATTGAAGATACATGCTTTCTGACCGTACTCTCTTGGTGAATTCTTTTTCAATTTTGTTCCCCAGAGAGCATGAAGAAGTTGGATGAGCTTCTCGAGCACACCCGGTGAGATGAAGCTCTTAAAACCACGATATTGCCAAACGGGTAATCGGCTTGCTACAATCTCTGAAGTGGTTCTAGCGGTTGTCCTTGCCCACCAAGTAAAAAACCCCCAGGAGCCGAGCGGGGGGTCTGGGGGCTCCGTTGAGCAAATCCTGGAGGATTAAGATTTCTGTATAAACCATTCGACGGACTCAGTGCACAAAAGCAGGGGGGCGGAAGAAGCACAAGACCCTCCCGCGCTCAGCAAAGATGCCGAGACTAGTATGAGAGGCTTTCTGCCTCGCAAGTCGGGCTGCCAGTTCCAGAGTCACAAAGGTCCACTAAGATGGTCATGACCCAACAAGAGCAGCAGAAAAGACCCTAAGACCCAGACAGGAGAAAGTACCGAAAACACACTTCTCACCCATTGGGCAGAACTACCGGAGCAAGGCTCCAAAGCCAACCTTGTGTTCGCTCTTCTCTCGTTTCCCCGAAGGCGCGCGCGAAGCGATAGCTGCTGCTGAAAACCCCAAGCAAAGCCTCATATCATACTACCAGGCTCACAATCTTCACCCCAAGTTACGCCCACGTCTTGGACCACGTGCAGTTTAGATGTTGTGGTCTACCGTTCCCCACAAGACAAACGATTTGTTCAACTCTCTTTTAGTCGGAAAAACGCGAGGCTCCCTATTCCCGGGCCCCGTGGCAAACGTTCTCGTTCAGGCAGGGGTAAGGGCACCTAGAAATATTGACATTCTGCTCTCATCAGACGGCTCCAGTATCAGGTCTTTCCGCAAGGCCCAGTTCGTCTTGATTGCGCATTTGAGGAATTCTGAATGGTAAAACTTGGACAATGTCGCTTGACGCTTTTGTGGTTGGAAATGGAGCGAGAATCTGCCAGTCGGTAACTCAGATGGTTGCATACGCAACTCAAAGAGGTGCTATATGTACAACACGGGCTACAACTGAAATCTGCATACAAAGCCGTAGAATCTCCCCAACCGAGCCTCAACCCACATGGGACCAGCTCAGGACCCCCCGAAAGAAGGCATGGAAGAAATGGTCACAAGGTATACCTGAAGCCTTCTCTGCCCTCGATGACAATCTCCCCACGATCAGCCTTGCGATTCGCCCGCGTGAAAATAAAGAAGTTCTTGCAGACAATCACCACGGTCAACGCCTGCACGGCGATGACAGTATCGAGACCAGGTCGATATCCCGGGGCGTCTTTCTGCTGGAAGGCATTACTGGCAATGATGCCGCCGACGCCGGCGCCTGCAATCATCACAGCCGCACCGATGGCGCGTTTAGCCTGGCCGATGATGTTGTTGTGCTGATAGCTGAAGATGCAGGGGATGCTGGCGTTGTACGGTGCCAGGCCTAGGAACACGCCGACGTAGCGAACGGCGCTGGTTTTGGCATAACCCATCCTAGCGAATGGTATTAGTGACGCTTGATAAGCTCATAGGGGACATCAACCTACATGACAACCCCAATGATGGTCAATAGGGCATTTCCGACAATGATTGGACCACGAATCATGAAGCGGTCGCCAATGTACGCCGTGGTAAACATCCACTATCGAAGGATCAGCACAATGATACCCGAAATTTAACAGGAAGAAGGAACACTAACAATAGCGGCAAGAACGTATGGCGGGAATATGAGGACATAAGTCTTGTAGATCGAGAACCCCATTTCACCGTGAAGAATGAGAGGGAGGAAGTATGCGAAAGAGTACGCCACAGTGTTCTGAAATGGAATGTGTTAGCCAGGGTTCCTGATGTGTTCGCAGCAGGGAAAAAAAAATTCTCACATTGCAGAGAAGAAGGAGACAACAATCCCAGATTTTCCAGTCTTTCAAATGTCCCAGAACGGATTTGACGGTGAACTTCTCAGGAGTGGCATCTCCTCGGTCGACCTCAATTCGGTCGAGGATGACGGTGACCTCTGATGGAGTGAGGAAAGACATGAAACCCAGCTTCCTCGGGCGCGCCGCTTGGTCCGGGAAATCCAAGAGGAAGATCAGTACAACCGCAGCGACTACGCACGTAGCAATTCCCTCTGTGAGAGAAAAAAAAGGTCAGCAGGTTGCGGTGGCATGTGCGAGGAACAAGAAAGTCTAGGAACAAACCAAAGATGAAAATCCAAGACCATCCCTCAAGGCCGCCGAGTCCGTCCGCCTTGGACAAGCCATAGGCGATGAGATTTGACAATCCCGATATCAGCATGCCAAACCCGTAGAAGCTGCTGAATCGCACCTGGACCTCGTGGCGGATGTACCAGCAACTCAACAGGTAAATGATGCCGGGGAAAAGACCACCCTCGAGGGCCCCAAAGATGATGCGGCAGAGCAAAAGCTCTCCCCAGGTTTTGCAAAAGCCCATAGCAATGGTGAGGATGCCCCAGAAGAACCCGATCGTGCCGAGAAACGTGGCGGCGCCGGTTCTCCTCATGACAAAGTTGGCGGGGAAGTCAAAGAGGATGTAGCCGATGAAGAAGACCATGGTGATGATGGAGTAGCGGTTGCCGATCGAGATGCCCAGGGCTTCGTCCATGCCGGCAAGTCGAGCATTGGGGAGGTTGAGGCGGTCGATGAGAGAGACGGCGTAGAGGGCGCCGCACACAGGTAGAAGTCGGCGGTCGACTTTGCGTCGGATCCTCTTCTCCTCATGAAGAGGGTTTCCGACGCCGGCATTTTCGAGCTCGATTGCCCTGCCTTGTTTGCCGGCGTCCACGCTGGCGACAGAGTTTGCCAGGTCTACCTGCTCGGAGGACATGGTCTTTTCATGGGCAGCAGTAGTTGTAGTCATTGTGCAAGGTCCAGGAAGGTTTGGTAAAGGAAGTGACGTTCGAAATACGAAGCTCTCTCTCTCTCTCTCCAAAGAAACCAGACGAGCTCACAGGACAGAATGCCGTCGCTTGTGTGAAGACTTGAGCAGATATATCACTCTCATGACCCGCAAGTTGCTTTCCACACAAGACGGCGCCACGCAATTACCCCATGGGACAATCTAACCCAATCCAACCCACTTTCGAAGCATGAACAGTTCTAGACCCAGCTGCGGGATGGTGTCTTTCAAAGAGAAGATGTCGAACTTGTCATTGGAACTGGATTGCTTCATGAACTGGAAGGAAAATGGGTAGAGCGGGTGTACTGGCCAGTCTTGCCTCCCATCAGACGCAGTGACTTTCGAGCACGCTATACCCAAGGAAGTGATTTCTCCTCGGTACTTACTCCCCTTGGTAAGAACGCCCTCAGTAGCGCACGTATGATAAACCTTGAAAGCTACTCAGATCCCCACATGGCCATCCCCAGACAACATCCCTGGAAACATGGCATTGTGGAGAGAAGCTCGCTCTCTGGTGTCTCTGCCTTCTCGACAGTCGCTGTGACTTTCTGTCGAACGGTTGCTCTTCGTTTTGCCCAATCCCGCACCGACTCCCGACGGGCCACCCGCAAGCCCATCATACAGCTTTGAACTTGTTACTTCTCCCAAAAACCGAACAAACAGGTCTTTCTTTTTGAGATTGCTCCCTAGACCTTTACGGAAAGATTAAAAATCATATTCGTCATGACTCTGAACACACAAGCAACCAACGACACACAACGTCCCCTAAACGGCGAGACCGTATCAAAGCCTTCGTGCGACGACAAAATGCCTCTCATCAACGGCCAGGCCAAAATATCCTCATACGTACGCCCCGTGGAACAAGTAGGCTACCATGAAGCATTCCGCTTTGGCGGCGACCACCTCAAGAACAACGTCGCTCGGGTGGTCGAACAGAACCCGGGCCTCGGACGGACCATACTCGACGGATTCGGCACGAACCTGGGCAACACGGTTGTCAGCTACCGCGAATGGGCGTTGCTGTCTATTGCGACGCTGACAGCGATGGGCGACACGAGCGATCAGTTGAACGTGTATGTCGAGGGAGCCTTTCGCCACGGGGCGACGCGCGAGGAGGTGCTGGACGTGTTCAAACACGCCAACGCATTCGTGGGTGCTCCTCGCTCCGTCAACGCCGTCCGAAGCACTTGGGATCTTTTATCTACCTTGTGGCCCGAAACCGCGCAAGACGGGTACAAAGAGCACATAATCCGCATGGGAGACCACGACACGCTCGTCCGCGACAGCCACGGCGCCGGCGTGCCCATGGTGCTGATCCACGCTCTCAGCATGGACAGCCGGATGTGGCGAGACGTGTTTTCCCCGATTGCAGCCACGGGAGTCCGCGTCATTGCGTACGATCTCCGCGGCCACGGCTATGCTCGCGGCGCTCCTCTAACACGCGATCTGGAACACCTGTGCTCGGACCTCGAACTCCTCCTCGACACATTGGGAATCGACAGGGCTGACATCTGCGGCGCCTCATACGGAGGAGCCGTGGCGCAGCATTTCGCGCTCGACTACCCTCACCGAACCCGCTCTCTCAGCGTGCTAGCAACGGCCGGCAAGGCGCCACCTGTCCTGGCCACCCGAGCGGATCGAGCAGAGCAAGACGGCATGGACTCTCTGGTGGCAGAGTCCATCATCCGATGGTTCTTGCCCGAAACCATCGCCGAAGACACGTGGTGTGTGCGCTACGCGCGGGGATGCGTCCGACGCGCCCGAGTCGAGGACTGGGCCGCGGCGTGGAGAGCCATGGCCCGACTCGACTGCCTGGAGAGGCTAGGGGACCTGAAAGGCCCCGTCCTCGTGCTTTCGGGCAGGCAAGATGCGTCTTGCACGACGCCTATGATGAAGGCCATCGCTGACGCTTGCACGAGCACGGACGCGCAGTTTGAGGAGGTCGATCCGGGGACACATATGATGGTCATGGAGATGCCGCAGCCCGTGGCCGAGAAGCTCATAGCTTTCCGTGACAAGGTTGGTGGAACCGCCAATGTATTGAAAATGTAGGTTTTACATAGGTAGTTATGCCGCCACAGACCCCGTCGTTTTTCCACGCCTTGTTCCATTTTGTGATATTCTACTGTCCCCACGACCAGCCTGCCATTCAGACCCCTCACTCATTCCCCCCGCTGAAAATGGCTGTCAAAGTATTAAAATCTTCCTGACCGCCCTGCAAACTCGTGATAATCACCCGTTCATGCACTCCAGCTAATCGAAAACATACGTGCCCTTGTAAAAACCTCCACCGGGCTCACAGCTCCGTACAAAGTGGGACCCCGTGAGCGATGCTCATTCCCTTGCTATTTCACCCCCACGCGAGCCATACGCGCTCCTTCTGAAAGAAAGAGGCAGGCCGGATCTGGTGGCAAGTGGCAAGTGGCAACACTGGCCGGCACTTTTTCTACATTGGGTGAACTTCCTCGGTATAATATTGTTTTCCGGCCCATATCCCCAAATCATGATCGAATGTTGTTGAGTCCCTTTATTCCTTCAGGGCCCAGGACGATGGAATGAGCCGTGGCAACCCTAGTGCGCGTTTACTCCATGCTAAGCCCACACTCGCGCCCCTCGGGGTGGAGGTGCAACGAAAAGTCTCTCGGTTTTTCGTGGAAGAGGCTCGGTGAGTCGAGCGCGTCACGGAGCGCGGATTGTCACTTACCTGGCACAGTTCGTACAGGCAGACGATGTGGTGTGTTGTGGTGCGGTGTGATGATAGAGATTCCACCACAGAACATGAAGTAGCTATGTAGATAGCATGCCTATATCTTTGACAATATAATACGCAGACCTTCGTTCAAGCCAGACGCTCTTCGTCCAGTTGTGCTTTTTCCCAAGCTTGATTCTGAGTGTCTGCGAAGGCATTTCGTTCCTCGTTACAAAGGCTCAGTCCTGGCATTATATGAATAAAAAAAATGACAATCTCACAAGCCGAGCCGGTCCTCGTCACCGCGCCTCCTGCCCTCTCGTTGAAGCCTCAGATGCTCAATGGGGTGTCCGCTGACAATCACGAGAACGAGTGGTATCGGACCGAATTCTCGTCCAACGGATATCAGATCCAGGAGCAGCCGCTCAACACGCAGCGGCCGATGCACGTCTTGATCATCGGAGCTGGAGCTGCGGGCCTGCAGATTGCCTACAAGGCCCTTCGACAGCTCAAAAACGTGCGATTTACCATCTATGAGAAAAATGCCGACGTTGGGGGCACGTGGCTTGAGAACCGCTACCCTGGCTGCACTTGCGACATTCCAAGTCACTCGTACCAGTTCAGTTTCTGGCGGAAGCCCGATTGGAAGAGCTACTACTCTGGGGCTGAAGAGATCCGGCAATATCTCAAGGACTTTGCCGTCAAGAACGATCTGGAGAAGTTCGTCCGGTTTCGTCACAAGGTCCAAGAAGCGCGTTGGGACCAGGAGAGGGGGGTCTGGCAATTGAAAGGCCAGCAGGCAGATGGGTCTGACTTTACAGACGAAGGAGAGATCCTCGCGTCTTGCCACGGCGTCCTCAAGTATGAAACGAGATTTTTGTTTTTCTCTCCCGTCAAGTTTCTTTTCGAGTACTGATTCCCGGCGCGTAGTTCATGGAAATACCCAAACATTCCCGGCATCGAGAGTTTCAAGGGCAAGATTCTCCATAGTGCTGCGTGGGATGACAATGTCGTGTTAGAGGGTAAGAGGGTCGCTGTCGTTGGTGGAGGCTCATCGGCAGTGCAAATCATCCCCTCCATTCAGCCCCAGGTCGAGAAGCTTTACGCATATCTGAGATCACCGGTTTGGATCACTGCAGGCTTTGGAGCCAAGCACGCCGCACCCGGAGGCGTCAATTTCGACTGTAGGTTCCTGTGTCCTGGGTTTGCGTCTGGCTGATTACTGGGGTGTACTGCTGATAAAGTCTCCTAGATACCGAGGAGCAGAAGGCTCAGTTTGCCCGGGATCCGTCCGTGCTTGACACTTATTGTCGCGACGTAGAGGGAGAACTGAACAAGCGATTCACACTGGTGAGCTCAAGTTTTCCCCGGCTTTGCCACTTATTTCACAGGGAAATCCCCAGGGCTAAATTCGCCGACAGATGCACCTTGACAGCGTTGACCAAAAGTCCTCGAGAGATTTTGTGGCCGAAAGCATGTTCCAGAAGCTTGGGGGTGATGAGCGCTTATCAGAGCACCTGATTCCAAAATATGCGCTGGGCTGTCGCCGAATGACTCCAGGATCCAACTACCTGCAATCACTCCTCTCACCCAACGTGCAAGTCGTACCACAGTCCGCTGTCGAAGTGACTCCAACAGGCTTGATCGACTCTACCGGCAACCACACGGAAGTTGATGTCATAATCTTTGCAACTGGCTTCGACACCAGCTTCAGCCCGGCATACAAGGTTGTGGGTCAAAACGGTCGGACGCTGCGCGAGGAATGGAAGGACTTTCCAAAGGCGTACTTGAGTCTCATGGCCAGGGGTTTCCCCAATATGTTTCGTATGTCTCAACAGAAACCAAGGCTTTCCGACCGGCTTGGTCTAAGGTCACCTGCCCCTGCTCGAACTGACTTTGATCGTGCCTAGATTTCCCCGGTCCCAACGGTCCTGCATCTCACGGATCGGTGCTTCCGATCCTGGAATGGCATACTCGTTATTTATTCAAAGTGATTTCTCACATGCAACGGACCTTCATCAAATCACTGGAGCCGTCTGCTGAAGTGGTTGCAGACTTATATATCCATACGCACGAATTGCTCAAGCGTACTGCATGGTCCTCGTAAGTCGCAAGCATCGGAAGTGCTCTTGGGAAGATGTTGACCATAATGCAGAGCTTGTCGTTCTTGGTTCAAGAATGGAAAGATCCATGGACCAGTCACAGCCATTTGGCCTGGGAGTCGTCTGCATTATTTCGAGGTGCTAAAAGAACCGCGTTATGAGGATTTTGATATCCAGTACATGGGAGATGGAAATAGGTTTGCATTCCTCGGAAACGGCTATACCGAAACGGAACTCGACGAGCACGGAAACCCGGTCTGGTATTTCGATGTCTTGGGGGAAGAGCTTGCATTAGGGACGGAAGCATTTGCAATAACAAAGTCCTGAAATCGCAGGAGCTTGATGAATCATCATGGATCCAGAGGTCGGAAAGGTCAGTTGGTATCTGAACCATCCAATGCGAAGGGTATGCCGAACATATTCTGAAATTCATCCAGGCTCCAAGGAGTAACTAAAGCAGGATCCGCGCTCTCGTTGTTACTATTATCAGGGTTAGTCCAGGAGATCCAAGATGATTTGGCAGCAAATACTCACGGCGGCTCATTGTATGTTTGATCGAAAAATAAATTAGACCAGTCCATATGATTAAATGCGTCGAGGTTCAGCTGGCCCTGGCCTGTGTCAGAGCCTTCTCCGGAATTGCTCTGTGCTCCTGCATGTACATTCTGTCCTCCAACGGTCCTGTCGCCTGTAGTCGGATCTTCTGCATTCTTCAGAATATTTTGTGCAGTCTCAAAGAGCTTGAAGGTAAAATCTGCTCCCCAGTAGGTGTTACGCAATTCTGATACAATCATCATACATTCGCCTAGCTTCGATCTGGCGAAATTTCGGGCGAGTGGCCGACTTGATCTGCAATCGAGTAAGTGTATCTGCATAGCTGGAACCAAGGCCGTCAAACTGGCAAGTCAGTAACAGGAAAGCTCGTTCCAGATGTGCCTGGCTAGTATCTTACTTCATTGGTCGCAAGTAATGTACCATGTCTGAGTTGATCAGCTTTCCGACCAGGTGGTTGGTCCTGGCAGCGGCGGCGCGTGCTTTCTCGAGTGCCTCAACCTCCCCTGGATCCTTTGAAACTCCAGGGGGATTCTGAAAGTTGATCGCAGGTCGATAGAGGACAACGGTTACGGCCCTGTAAGGTTTGTATCAGTACAATCCAGACATACTTGGAGAGGTTTGTTGCGACGAACTCTAAAAGCATGTCAAATTGAAGCCTGTTCAAGGTGAGAGAGTCAGAGTTGGGGACGGGCAGCCAATCTCGCGGTAGTCGACAATCTTCCAGTTCAGCTTCAAGAGCCTGAAGATGATCACTTCCCGCATCGGAGCACGAGAGTCCGTAGTCGACCCGTATAATTCTGCCCAGGATGTGGCTCAATTTGATAAGCTTGACCCAGATGATTGCATGTTCGTCCATGGAACCGGGTAGGTATCTGTTGGCGACTTCAATTGCGAGCTGTCCAAGCTCTGCTGTTAGATCCTCCGCTTCAGGCATCTGAACATCACAGTCATCGAGGTTGATTCGCATGGGGCGCCCCAGACCCACGGACAACCAGCGATCTCTCAGAAAGCAAGACCACCAAATTCTCCGAAACAATCGTTGTCGAAGCTCTGTGGCCGGACCTGCCAATGTGAACGGTGGTTGCCGATGGAGACCCATGACTTGACACAATCCAATGGCAATCCCTAGCCAGTGCCAGGGGCCGTTCCTGTCCTCAGCGTCGGAATACCAAAACCCCAAGAGCGTCACAGCCTGGACAACGCAGACTTTGTCATCCTCGTAATCACTGTCATACAAAGCCTATATAGGCCGTAGTGAGCATGATTCGAATATTTTCGACTTTTGGGACGCACCTTGACCCTGGTATACATGGCACGCTTCAGTGCTTTCCGCGAGGGATAGCCGGCTGTTAGTAGAGTCTCAGGAGAGGCAAACTGGTCAAATTGTCAAATGTCGTCGAGCGGATAGAAGTACTCGGATCAGGGAACTTTACATTTGCAGCGGCAAGGAAGACACTCCATAACAAGAGCAAATTCATGCTCGAAGCGCCTTTCAAAGTGTATTGCGACAGGAAGTGCGATGCATCTATGATAGGTAGAAGTGGGTGGACGTGCTCAAAGTAAGCACGAATAAGGGAATCGCAGACATCGATGCTGGGCAGGTCGAATGCCCCTTTGCTCTGAAGATAGACCCAGTCGTGTGTTTCCCACACTTTCTCAGACTCGGGGGCGCGTATCTGGAACCACAAGCCGCTGCTCATATTGGACCGTTTGCCAGAGCAGATCTCCATCACAGAGTGCACGAGACCCTGCCGGTCGCCTGGGACTTTCAGCAGGTAGTTCCACAGCCACAAAATTAACAAGACACACCTGAGTGGAAGGGCCGTTTGGTATTGAAGGGGCTATTCGCCTGTACCGCCTCGGCAAAGGCAGAGGGGTTCTTCCCTTCGTCGAGTGTGTTCTCACTCTCATTGCTTTGCTGAAGATCAAGATTGTCTAGGTTTTGCAAATTGTCAGGCACAGGATCAGAGACCCAGTCATTGTGTGCATGTTCCCGAGGCTGTGTCTGTGTCGGCGCGTTGGTAGGTATCATGATCATGTCATCAGTCTCTTGTTGGTTTCTGGTGGCTGATGCCAGCCCCCGTCGTGTTTCTCGTGTGACCTGATGCCTAGATTGCTGGCTTTTAGCGAAGATCCGAGATTCTGGACGGGTGGAGAGGGCGCACGAATACCTCTTTCGTGGAAATACTTCGCATTGTGTTCCATCGAGACGACAATTCACGCAGGGATGGCCGGTTGTGGTCACACTGCAGCGTACTTTTCTCGTCTGGCATCTTTGACATGCAACAGCAGACCGTCGTTTGCCTCCTCCCTGGACGAATAACAGCTTGCCATCATCTGTCATAGTCGCAGGGGTGGTTTTGGTAAGTTACAAAGGCAGATGAAAACTGGAGTGCGAGGTTGAATGAAGGATGGTTCAGGCGGCAAGCGCCTACGAAAAGGTTTCTAGGCTTTTAGCTACTTGATTGATTGATTGATGATGATGATAATGAATTCACTTTAGGCGATCAAGCCGCTTAATTTTAACTACCTAGGTACTTGGGAACCTGGTTATACATGTTTCAAGCCCCCGCTTTTGCCGGGCCATCTTTAATTAAGACGCCCCGCGACGAGCGAGGTGCGGGCACCCGCTGCTCGGCCAGGCGTCCTCGATGCTCCTTCACGTGGCCGCTTAAAGCAGCCTCGCCTCCCTTTCCTGAACGAAAAGAGCAAGGGACAAAATTTGGGGATGATATAAAATATACATATATATCATATATATACCCTCAACTGTGCGCTATCCCTTACCATTTTCGTTCAGGAAAGGGAGGCGAGAGGTTTGTCCCGTCATCAGGACTGCTGCCCAAGTAGATATGATTGCTGGGAAAGCTGGAGCTGAGGGTTCACGCTGGTGGAAGAAGCGTTTCAATGACTTCCATAACGGCCTCGTCTCGGATACTCCGCTACGGGGGATACCGTCGTCTGCAGCGGAGATTGAGTCCGAACGCCAACTGTATCTACCTCTGTTGGATGACCGAAAAGTTGCCATTGCTGCGGCCAGGTTGCTCTCATTCCGATCGACTCGGGTGTCTGCCGTCTGGCATTATCATCCTCTGCCAGAATCGCTGACTCTGGGCAGTCCGGTTGCCGGTTGCCTTTCCGGGGTGCTGTTAGAGGTGCGCTGCTCTCGACAGACAGATCGTCCGCTCCCCCGGCCAAAAAGAAATCGATATGATGAGAATGAGAGGTGTGGGGTTCGAACCCACGCTTCCTTTCGGAAAGTAGAGGATTTCAAGTCTTATAAGGAAAATAACTTAAATCTACCGCCTTGAACCACTCGGCCAACCTCTCTTTGAAATTAATTTCCATTGCTTTGCTTTTGGAGCATAATTTTAACATAATTTTGGGAACCATAATATATATCATTTTATATTGAAGTGGGGTGAGTGGGGTAGACTGGCGGTACCCAGAGTGGGCCTATGGAGAGGAATAGGCCAATCAATCATATGGGAGTCGCCTATCAAGGACTCAAGGAGGCCATACTGGGTGGGAATCTACATTTTCGAATGGTCTAACTACTCAGTCTCGTGCACGACGCATCATTTTACCACAGTAGTAGCATGGGATTAGGAAAATAATACCATGCCCGTTGGTGCCACGTCTCCTCCCGTAAAGCGAGGCGACCTGCCGAGCAAGAAATTCATACACCACCACACTTCTCTGTGAGTATTCGCGTCCAGTATATATCCACTTAGTTTGAGATCCAGGACCATGTATAGACCCTACTTCAACCCCAAAACATCCTTAAGGACCGCCAACGCCCCAAATAACTGACTATCATGGTACTTCCTCGCAACAACCTGCAAATTAATCGGCGCACCCACAAAATCCCCTTCCTCCCACAACTGCTTGACATGCGCACACGCATCGCTCAGGGGCTTGTAATCCTCGGCATACCTCTCGCCACCCTCCGCCTTGATGGGCGTCGGAATCACAACACCTGGGTAATCCACAAAGTTATAGAGAGACGTGTACGTCCAGTAAAACGCCGTGTCGTGCATCGAGGCCGGACCCACGAAGCAGGGGCCAATAACCACATCGACGTCCTGTGTGTTCCAGTGCTGGGCAAAGGCGATCCGAAAAGTGTCGCGCTCCCAACGCATACTGCTCACGTCCACGCCACTCTGCATGCCCAGGGGTTCGGCGTCTTTCCAGATCCACGATGAGAGAGGGTGGATCGGTTCGCCGGTTTCGGTGATGTGTTCGGCTAAGCCCTTCCCGCCATCTGGCCAGTACATACGGCGGATCTTGGACCACGCACCGGGGGCGTCGTAGGGTGTAAAGTCCTTGACTTCGATGATGTCGGCGTATTTTGGGTCGGAGAGGAGTTTCTTCGCCCAAGAGACGGCTCGCTTTACGGGCGGTTGAGGGTCGATGAAGCCGTCGTTGGTGATCACGCCCACCTTCAATTTCCCCTGAATGGGCGTCTTGAGACCCGTCCAGGGCAGCGGCACGATCCTGGGATCTTCGAGATGTGGTTTCGCGGCGATGACGTTGCTGGTGAAAAGTTCCATATCCCTCAGACTGCGACACATGGGCCCGATCGAGCACAAGACATTCAGCTCCGCGGGGAACGGCGCCGCGATCATGTCCTTCATAGGTAGAGTGTACGACGTTGGTTTGAAGCCGTAGATCCCGCAGAACGCCGAAGGGCCGCGGATGCTGCCGCCAATGTCGGTGCCAACACCCAGGATCGAGCCTTTCATGGCGATCAAGGCCGCTTCGCCGCCCGTCGAGCCACCCGCCGAGAGATGGATGTTGTAAGGGTTCAGCACGCGGCCCCAATGCGAGTCACTCTCCAAATGCATGAGGGTTTGGGGTTGGTTGGTCTTGCAGTAGAAGACGGCTCCCAACTTCCGCAAAATCGCGACCAGCTGGCTGTCCTGGTCGTTTTTCACAATACTGCCGAAGTAGCCAGTCGACGAATACGTGCCCGCGATGGGCATGTGATCCTTGATGCTGACGGGCACGCCGTGCAGTGGACCCACGGTCTTGCCGTTCTTCTCCAAATACTCGTCGAGCGCTTTAGCTTGCTCGAGCGCCTCGTCCATGAACCACTGCGTCAAGCAGCAGGTCAGCTGATGGGCGACGATGGCCCGCTTGCAAAAGGCCCTGGCCACCGCGACGGCCGTGTACTTGCGATCCGCAATGGCCTCGGCCAGGGTCGTGGCATCGACGGTCTCGGTGATCTCGACTTCCTCCGGGGTCAAGATGCCAAACGTGGTCGCGAGCCCCGAAACATCCTGCGGCGGGCTGTTGACAACCTCCTGGGGGATGTAGTACTCCTGAGGAATCTTCTCGTGGAAGGCACGAAGCAACGCCGCCCGCTTGGACTCGTACTCGGGCGTGCCCTCAGGGACGGCCTTGGGCTGAATGACGTTGAACGGCCTAACCACCATTTTGCTGTTTACTTACACCTTGGAGATAGAATAGATTGACTGATATGACCTGAAAGCCGATGATGATGATAAGGACACGAGACCGTCGAGAAACTTTGAGGGGGCGGTACTCTTTCCGGCTGATGGTCTCGTGGCGTTTGAAGATCTTTGTACGGAGTCAATTTGTCTCCTTTGGCGAAAAGATCCTTTCCAGCCGATGGTCGTCGAGGGTTTCAAGTTGATTCATTCAAATCCCTATCCCATAGCAACGACTAGCGGGCGTTGGAGTTGGCGTTGATCGTGCATCTCCGCTTTTGCGCAAACGCTTCTCGCTGGCCACAGATATCCATACCCCCTCGCGTGGCTTGGATCCTGTTCGCTGCACCTGCTTCGGGTCAAGCGTTGCGCATCCCAAGGGCAAAGCTGCAAAGCTCACCTACGAGTCTGAACCGGTACAGACCTCCCCGCAAGGTTCAAGGATGATATGATTTGTTCCCATTCCCACATTCCCTTGGGATGGGGCGGAACTTTGTGTGGCAAAACTCCGCCAAAGACAAACACAGACCAGCCAATCCCCTCGATTTGCGCAATTTTGATCTGGGCTTTACGTGTCGAGATAGGTCAAGATAGGGCTTTGTTCGGATTGTCCAGCCAGATTTGCCATCATCACTCGTTTTCAGTGCTGGTCGTCTCAAGAGTGTGAGGTGAATTCGTAACGCACAAGATCCCGAAGGGCACGACAAAACAGCTTCGTGGATGGGTCTTTTGTTCAGAGACGAATCGAATCGGAGATTGTCCGTATCTCTGTCCCTTCGCGAGGGTGTGTCTGTGGGGACTTGCTGGCCGGGCCTCGCCTCTATCAGACGCTTATTCTTCCCTCGATCTGCAAATAATAATCCAAGAAAGGGTTTCCAGGTACCGGGGGTGGTTCTAGTATCGAAACGTCGCTCGCTCATGGGTATTGTCCCAACCACAACAATTCCGTCCTTGGTTCCCAATGTAACGCCATGGATCGTGGCCCATCTCTGATCATATCTCTAGCTGGGCCGAGGGCGGCGTTCGCTAACTGCTCCTCGTCCTGACTGGGTTTGGGGACTGCAACTACCGCCACTCGACGGCGAATGAGTGGAAGGAACCCCGGTCTATCTCGACCACACCACGCCATGGAGATGTCCACCGCCGACCGGACCCCAGAATTGTCGCCGTCGAGTCCAGGGCCGGAGCCTTATGCGCCTTATGCAGCTTGCTGGACGGAAAGAGGCTAAAGATATATAAACGGGATGGGCAAGGCACGACGAGGGGACCTGCATGGGAAGGGACTTGGGAGTCTTATGTGCAGTACGGACTAGGCGAGAAACAAAACAAGAAATAATAAGTACCTTTGGTTTTCCCTTTCCTTTCGCCATCGCTCTCTCTTTTCCGGTCCTCCCTTTCGATCACTATTCGAAAGAACCTCGGATTCTGCCCATCCTAGTCTCCCACAGCTCGAGCAGCGTCGACAACCACCATGACTATCCTCGCCGAGACCACGCCGGAATCGATCCCCGGCACGGTCCACCTCGTCGACCTGGACCATACCATGCACACGCGCCATGCCGACGCGGGCGCCGGTGACATTGTGCTGGTACCGACCCCGTCCAACGACCCCAACGACCCGCTCAACTGGTCACCGCGAAGGAAGATCCTTTCGACCATCTGCACGAATCTGTGAGTTTCTTCCTGCCCAGCCTGAGTATATATGACCTCGAAGAGATGAAAACTGACTAGATTGGTGACGAAAAGATACACTTGGTTCACGGGCATGTCAGTTTCAACGGTTTATTCGGTCCTCGTGCCTCTCTCCGCGGCGTCAGGCGTGTCCGTGTCGACCCTCAACCAGGGTACCGGCTACATGTTTCTGTTTCTCGGCTGGAGCTTGCTCTTCTGGCAGCCTTTCTCGCTGAGGTACGGCAAGCGCATGACCTACCTGATCTCAATCCTCGGATCGCTGGTGAGTTTGGGACCCTTGACACGTTGTGTGCGTTGTTACTGACCTTTGCTTTCCAGGGCACCAGCATATGGAGGTAAAAAGGGCAATCCATTTGACCAATCGCTCGCAATACTGACCTTAGCAGCGCCTACGTGACGAGCAATGGCGAATGGATCGCTAAGTGCATCATTCAGGGCTTCTTCAACGCGCCCATCGAGGCTCTGCCCGAGATCTCCGTCACTGATGTGGTATGTGTCGACTGTCTGACAATCAACAGACATAGCTGATGGAGTGGCCACAGTACTTCACCCACCAGCGAGGCACATACATGGGCATTTACGCCTTCACCCTGGCCGGCAGCAACTACTTCACTCCCGTCCTCTGCGGCTTCATCGCCGACGGCCAGGGCTGGAGATGGGTCTTCTACTGGCCGGCCATATTCCTCGCCGCGGTTTTCATCTTCCTGTTCTTCTTCATGGAGGAGACCAACTACACTCGCAAGACCGCCGGGCTCATTGTGGAGGTCGACACCCCGCCGCCAGAGCCCTCGGCCGCGATGGACGCAACAGACAAGGAGAAGCTTCCCACGACCGTGCTCTCGACCGCCCCGTCGCCCGCCCAGTACGGCTCGCCGAAGACGTTCGCGCAGAAACTGTCGCTCTGGAGCCCGCAGCCGGGCCAACCCATGTTCCAGCGAGCGTGGCGCAGCCTGACGTACCTGACCTGGCCGGTTATCTTCTATGCGGGCTTCTCGTACGGCTCGTACCTGATCTGGTTCAACGTGCTAAATGCGACGGCCTCGATCATCCTGGGCGGGCCGCCCTACAACTTCAAGCCCTCCATGGTCGGCCTGTCGTATCTGTCGTGCACCATCGGCGTCATCATAGGCTGTCTTGTCTCCGGCAGACTCAGTGACTGGCTCACCATCAAGCTCGCCCGTCGGAACAATGGCATCATGGAGGCCGAGCAGCGCCTCTGGCCCTTCATGCTCTGTGTTCTGGTCGTACCCGCCTCCTTGATCTTGTGGGGAGTTGGCGCCGCGCACGGGGTCCACTGGTTCGGCCTGATCTTCGCCATGGGTTCGTTGGCGTTGGCCACCACGTTTGGAGTCACCCTCAGTGTCAACGTAAGTAATACTTCCCCCTTCTGCTCATTCCGTGGGGAGCATCCACATTGTCAAGGGAGGGCTAACGCGCGTGTTGCAGTACATGATCGACAGCTATCACGGAATCAGCGGCGACGCCATCGTGACGGTGATCCTGGTGCGGAACACCATGTCCTTTGCCATCAGCTACGGGTAAGCTTGCTTCCTCCCTTTCGCAACGAGCGCACATAACTGATCGCCTGGCAGCATCACGCCCTGGTTGACCAACTTGGGCTATCAGAACTGCTTCATCTCCGCCGCCTTTATCGGCATGGCGGCCTCGTCCGTTTTCTTCGTCATGATCCTTTATGGCAAAAAGTTCCGTGTCTCCAGCGCCGCGAAATACTGGAAGCTTGTGGGTGCCGACAGGGAGAAGTCGCAGGCACTTTGAGGGTACCAAGTTGGCTGGCCATTCATGTTCGGGAAGCTTGATAGTTACAATCAATACGTGGACTAATGGTTGCTTGCCTGCTTAGTCGGACAACTTTTCCAGATTAACCAAAGTCTCCTTGTGATATGGTGAATTCTGTGTAAGCCGGCGCCTTCGAATTTTGTGCAGCTTAACTCGGGAACAAGAGGAGTCAAGCCAAAATGTAATCACATAAAAGACGAAGGTCTGGTGTGGCTGGGAATGGGGCCCAACTGGGAATGAGCCTTCCGGACCGCGCCTCTTCTCCACCAGAATCCTTGCTAAATTCTGCCTCCCCATGTCCTCCTTATGGGTCGAGTTGCTAGCCATTTGCCGGGTGTTACTGATGGACCTTGTAAGCGCTATTGGGTTGGTGGAAGCAGAATCAGCCAACATCCAAATTTGAGGCATGTCGATCACAGGATCAGTGGGACTTCTGATGGGAATTTGCCAGTGCATTATCCTTCGGCATAGCTGGTGATCGTTTCGTCCATAAAATGCTTGTTCCGGGCGAAGTTTGAGAAGGAGCTACTGAGGCTCCTCATGAAGACCGGTCTGAGGACAATTCAAAGAGCGCTCGTACTCCGGAGCAGTCTGAAGGTCATGCCGATAAGCAATGCTGGAAGAATAATCGTGACCAAAGGCCAAAGTCATCCCCCAAGATGCCAGCTGAAGTAATGATTTCTTTCGTCCCTTGTGGACACCACTGGTTCGACAACAGAAGAGAGGGCATCTAGTACGAATGCCAGAGACCTTCACTTGCAGATAATGGTGACCTCACCCATTTCGCGACTCTTCAACCTCTCCGTGAGGTCTTTCTCGCTGATCCCCAGCTCCGTACAGATCTCATCGAAACAGTGGGTACCGTCGAGAAATTCCACTATGCGGGCATTCAGGGTCTGAATCTCGGCGTGCGTTTTCCCAACACTCCTAGAATGCTTGTGCTGTCTGTGTCTGGCTCGCGGCGAAGGTTCTTCGGCGAGATGTCGTTCGCTGGACATGCTCCGCGTCAGATCGGGATATTGGGCCGTTTCTCCGTCAGAGGGTCCATAGGAAAACGTTCCTTTCTGAGTGCGAATGGCGTATCGGTGCACCCGATAGAGGAAGCCCTTGATGACCCCGAACGTGACGAACCGCCGCATGTCAATGTTCGCGAGCATGTTTGCGTTCCGGGCGTACCATTCCCGCACGGTGAGACCCTGTCGCAGATTGGCGAATAGCTGGACAATCCCCACGCCGTCGACGGGGTCACCTTTGCCCGTCAAGGGCCATATCTCTTCATCTTGGTTGGTCGCATTGGTCAGGCCGCTCGTTCGTCGCTCGGTGGCGCCGTCGATGATGGCTTCTTCTTGGGCGCCCAGTGCGAACGCCGTGTTGACGTACCTGGCGCATTCCTTTTGCATTTCGGTATCCTTGGCGATCATGTTGGCAAATTCGGCGGTCGGGGCGTAGATGGCGTTGAAGCTGAAGATGTCGAGTAGCAAGATACAGCCGTAGTAGAGCAAGTGTTTGACGCACTTCTTGGTGAGCTTGAGGTCGGCGTCCGCCAGAACCGCGATCCGTTTCACGCTATTCACGCCGTTTATAAAGGGGATGATTCGCAGCATGGTCAGGTCCCAGTTCTCGTCCACCATGGTCTCGATTCTAACGGTAAACAGGGGAACATGCCAGGGCTTGACGCTGGCGGGATTTGGCAGCGTGGGAAACAACTTGATGTTCAACGTGTTCAACTCGTCAATAGGGATCATACATTCGCAGTAATTGTTCAGATCCTCCATCAGCATCTCGCACAGGCTGTATATCCTACCCGAGTTTGAGGGTGCGGTGTCGTCACTTAAAAAGTGCGATTGTTCCTCCAGGCTGCGCATCAAGTGTGCCAGTTTCTTGACCACGGATTTGTACGAGGGCACGTCAATGGTGGCGGGGTCACCGAGGACCAGGGCGAAATTGAAGATGAACTCATTGCGCGGGTAGTGGGAGGAAGTCAGGCAGATGGGATAGGACAGGACGAGCGTGGGAGGCGTGCTCGTCGTGAGCGGCGGAGGTGACAGGGAGATCAGGTTCCCACAGAGCGACTGGCGAGGGATCACGAAGCGCGAGATTGTGGAAAAGGACAGCAGCGGTGCGTTGGAAGACGAGGTGGTGGGCGGGCCATTGGACGAGGCAGAGGGATCGCTGGTGGTCCAGATGGTATCTTCAGGCACTTGATGCACGATTTTGGGACCTGCACGCGTGTCAAGAGTTAGGATTGCGGGTGATCAAAGGAGAAGCGGGACGGGCGTGCCTTCGTGAGGATCGAATTTGCTGTAGAAGATGGCCTTGATGGACATGTCGTGGTTGATTCGATGGTGCTCGCACCGTGTTCGGTAAGTGCGTAGGTACGAGGCACTCGGTACTTAGGGATGGCACACCCAGATGGTGCTACCAAAGAGGGCCGGCTGTCGTGAAGCCCGAGATCCTTGACATTGCTCGAATCACAGTGTCTCGTAGAAGACAGGAAGAAGAGAGATGGAGAGTGTCGTGACCCACTTCCCCGATATCGTCAATGCCTTCAATGCCTTGAGATCTCAATGAGGTTTCAGGTCTCGCAGCTTTGGATGACAACTGGATGACTACGCGCCTAGATACCTGGGGACCAATGACTCGACAACATGGCATTTCCAACAACGCTCTAGCTGATATTGTTATTAGATATATAACAGGCCGGTCTGTTGCCGCATCTCACTGCAGCCCGAATCCCACAGCCGATTCCGCATTCCGTGCTGGATGACGTTGTTTCAAGCCTGAAGGATCAAGAAGCCGCTGGGAACTTGGCTGGTTGCGGCAAAGTGCAATGGTGACAATGCAGCTCGCGTTCGGCCCCTCAACCACCCCTGAGCGCGATCTTTTATTCCGCCTTTGACTGGGTTCTATATTGACCTGTTCGGCTCACGGGCTGTTGGCGCGCCTTCGACGACGCCCATTCGCTCTCCAACTAATGTCCCTGGAACAGATTCCTTCCTTACTCATCCAGACCCGACACCATGATAGGTGCATCTCGAGCGGATCTGGCTCAAAAGGCCGCAGTGACGAAGCCAATATCTGGAATATCTGGCCGAGCATCCGGAATGGCTGGACATGTGTCTCGAGGTGCTAAGTATATCAAGGAAGTGGGAGAAGGCTCAAGTCCGCCTCGAAGACCAGCACAACCACAAGACTTGACACGACGGGCCATAACAGAGTTTACACCATGGATCCCTTAAGCAGAGACATCATCCGCGCAGAGGTCGACGCCAATGACGATCGACCCGATACCTTGTCGTACATCGCCACTCACGGACCAGATATCGAGAGAGACTGGTCGAGATCAGACGTTACTTCTCCTATTTCCCGCGATGTCACTCACACTTACACGGTATGTCTGCCCAAAAAGTTGCCTACAAGGACGTTCAAGAGGCTGACAAGACGAGCAGAATGCCACCCAACGCACACTCCATCCCGTGGAACTCGACCGAATAGCTAGATCGCGGACGCAGCATCAACTCACTGTGGGCAGCCGGCCGTCAACCGCTGCAAGGCGGCGGTCGACGGCCACGGTGCGGACCCTAGGGGCTGGCAAGCCTCTCCCGCCCAAAGATGAAACGGAAGGGTACATTGTTGAATTCGATGGCGTCGACGACCCCGAACATCCCCAGAACTGGCCTTTCTGGTACAAGGTCAGAGTGTCCATCATCTTGTCCTTCATCACCTTCGTGGCATCCTTCTCCAGCGCCATCTTCTCCTCCGCCATCACCCAAGTATCCCACGAGTTCCACGTCTCGACCGAGGTCGGCGTGCTGGGTATCACGCTTTATGTGCTGGGCTTTGCTTTCGGCCCCATCCTCTGGGGTCCCGGTTCGGAGCTGCTCGGCCGCAAAAAGCCCCTTGTGGTGTCGATGTTCGGCTTTGCCGTCTTCGCGGTCGCAGCAGCCGTCGCCAAAGACTACCAGACACTGATGCTCGCACGCTTCTTCAGTGGCTTCTTCGCCGCGTGTCCGCTGGCCATTGTCCCCGCCTGCTTCGCCGACATGTACGACGACAGCCAGCGCGGCATAGCCATCACTGCCTTCGCCATGGCCGTCTTCTGTGGCCCCTTCTCCTCGCCCATGGTCGGCGGTTTCATCGCAGACAGCCATCTGCGCTGGCGCTGGACCATGTACATCGCCTCCATCATGGGCTTCCTGTCCACCTTTCTCACCCTGTTCACCAAGGAGACTTACGCACCGGCGGTCCTCGTCGCGAAAGCGGGCCGGATTCGACGCGAGACAAAGAACTTCGCCATCCACGCCAAGCAAGAGGAGGTCGAGGTCGACTTTCTGGAGCTCGTCGACGAGAACTTCATGCGACCCATCCGGATGCTGTTCACCGAACCCATCATCTTCCTGATCACTCTGTACATGTCCTTCATCTACGGCCTCATTTACCTGTTCTTGGGCGCCTACCCGATCATCTTCCAGCAAGTGCACGGCATGAACGAAGGCGTGGGCGGCCTGCCCTTCATCGGTCTGATCATCGGCCAGTTCTGCGGCGGCATCTACATCATGATCGACCAGACCGCGTACAAGAAGAAGCTCGCGCGCAACCACGGCGTGCAGATTCCAGAATGGCGACTCCCACCCGTCATCATCGGCGCCGTCGCCTTCTCCATCGGCTTATTCTGGCTCGGCTGGACGGGCTGGAACAAATCCATCCACTGGCTCGCGCCCACTGCCTCAGGCGTGGTGACCGGTTTTGGCATTCTCTGCATCTTCTTGCAGTGCTTCAACTACATCATCGACACGTATTTGATGTTCGCCGCCTCGGCCATCGCCGCCAACTCGTTGCTGAGGTCGTGCTTCGGTGCGGGCTTCCCCTTGTTCGGCGACCAGATGTTTCACAATTTGGGCATCCAATGGGCCGGCACCTTACTCGGCTGTCTCGCCGCCGTGATGATCCCCATTCCTGTTATTTTCTACATCTGGGGCCACAAGATCCGGGGGTGGAGCAAGACGTCGAAGCCGACAAACGAGGGATTTGGGAGCGAGGAGGAGGACATGACACCTGAGAAGGGTGACATGGAGGTCTGATTTTCTGACCTCTGAGCTGGGTGCGGAAATCGTGCGGTTTATGCAAAATGTTTGATGTGAGCGATTCAGGCTTCTTTTTCTGCAACGAAGCGATGTGAAAAATGGTTTGCCGGGAAAAAAAAGGGCGGGATCATCTTTTAGGTATTTTTTGCTAGAGCGACATCCGGGCATGTCTGGCGCATCACGGTCATGGTTCTTGGGGGATTCCAGGTGGTTACCTACCTAGGTATGATTCGGAGCCATGCGATTGAAAGGAAAATTTACTCTAATGTTCTTATATTCATTTTATCCATGATACACACTACATACGGCACAGGTATACCTAGATGCTAATGGCAGATCCATGGTGTTCGGATTCGAATTCGAATACCTCTTGTGATTCCGTCCTCTGTACAAGAAAGATATCGATGTCCTCCTCCCAAAGGGACGCCTGCGCTGGGCAGGGGAAGAAGGATTCAAAGACAGGGACAGGGCAGGAGAATCAAAGAAATGCCTTTTCATGATTTCGATTGTTTTCAGGGGCGGGGGACACCCTAACTCGTATGTCCTCGTAGTCCCCGCTCATATTCCTAGTCCTGGTCTTAGCTGCACTTCGTTGCTTGCCTTGCTCTCCGCGCGCTGCCGGTACCCAAAGAGGAAAACGTCAACATGTTCTGTGCCAGCGCCAGCCCTTGAGCTCGCCTTGTCCTCGCCGGGTATCATATGCAAAACAAAAAAACGTAATACACAAAATCAACCCAAGTAATGCAATGCTGTCCGTTTCGAGAAAAAGGCTCATTTCCCAATCCAATCCCATTGAAATGCCGATATCCAATCCAAACCGCGCTGATGCATTGATCCAAATCCCGAGCAACGCCATGCTGACTGAAGCAGTGAGTCACTTGGCCATGCAGCGTGCAACCAAATCATTTTCCAATGCGATACTCTGTCCCGTATTGATCTAATGAAAGTCAAATGTTCGATGCCGTTGTGTCATGTCGTATCGTGTCGTGCTGGATACTGTGATTCCTGTTGGCACTGGTGATCGTCGCTCCAGCTCCGCGTTGAACCGGATTCCTCATTCCATCCACTGTGAATTATATGCCTCTCCAGACAGTTCATCAGTCCACGAAGCCATCAGATTCGTGCATGATGTCTCCAAATGTCTTGTACTTCACTTCCTCATCTCACGTTCGCTTCAGCCTGCTGCAGTAGTTCCAGCGTCAAAGCTTGCGTTGACGGGCCGAGGTCAATGAAATCATCCCTTGGAAGATCCCATGGAAGTCTTCTCTTCCCCTTCAGCTTCCGCGGTGGCATCTCTATCTTTTGTATCTTGTTCTCTACGCCCAGTGCCGGTGGCTTGCGCGTCTTCTCTAAGGCCCTGGACGGTAGGACTGGAGGAGGAGCCATTGGAGCTGTCTTCTTTGCTACCGACGGCATTGTTGGTGTTTGTTTCGGCGTCGCTATTTCTGCCTCCACTTCCTCGGCAAGGGCGATGAAATCTTCGTCTTCAATTTCGTTGAACACTGAGTTGAAGCTTTCTGAGAGTTTCTTCGACGCTGGCGCCGTGAACTCTGAGAGCGGATTTGTTCTCGGCGCGACAGGGCTTGCTTTGGTTCTGGGGGAATCACACGCCGGAGTACCGCCGCCTGAAGCCGAGGTTGGCGAATTCTCTCGTGTTGACAGATCGTCTGGAAGGGACTTTTGTGTGGCGCATAGCATGAGAAAAGTCTCATCGTCTATACCATCAGTGAAATCTTCATCCAGACATATGCTTGACGTGCAAAGACGGCGTTGGTCTGAATCGGCTCCCTGCTTCCTGTTGCTGCCTCCGCGGCTCGCGCTACCAAATTCATTCTTTGGAAGCACTGTCGCTGCTGGACGGCCGGGAGAGATCTCATTTCGAGTGGGGGCTGTGGGTGGACTTTCGGAGTGCCATTGGACGTCGCTTGCAGTTGCCTCCTCCCCTGAAGATTTTGAATTTGGCCATAGTCTCCCTACAGACCTCTGTGGTGATCCAATCTTGTCTTCATTCAGAGTCTGGCGCGCTCCTAGCTGTCGAGAATTGATCTGCGAAGGTCTAAGCTCTCTGAGAGCTGGTGATGGCGCCGGATCAAACGGTGTCCGTCTCGATGAAACGGAGACTCTTGAGTCATTGTTTCGTCCTTGTTGACAAAGACTCAGGTTTGGAGACAGGACAGGAGAAGAGCTCATCGGCTGTAAAGGGCCTTGGCCAGCTGCGACATCTGTGAGTCCTTTCTGTGAGCGGCCGTGGAGCTCATTGACACAAGTTTTCGCTTGTTGACTCTCGGCGGTGGGCCCTGCTTCCTCCGCGTCTCCTTCTTCCACAATCGACTGAAGTCCTGTCGCCCTCTTCGATGGCAAAAGTGCAGGCCTCTGTCCAAAGAACTTGTTCAATCGGGGTTGACTCGCGGTCACCTTCCCCCAGGTATCCTCGACACTGATTCGGCCTTCATCCAACATCTTCTGTCTGACGGCTCGCTCCCTCTCCAACTTGTCTTCCCGTTTGCGCTTGTTCTCCACACGCTGCCTCTCTTTCTCTAACTCTTTCTTTCGTTTCTCTTCTCGCGCGTCCAACCTGTCTGCGCGTGCCATTTGCGACGCAGTGTATCGGAAGCCTCCCGGTCCCTCTTTCTTGTAAGCCCGCTTGGCCTCCTTCAAGGTCATCGGAGGCTTCGCGGGCGGCGGCATCTTGGACGAGGGAAAAGGTAGATGCGAGGGACAGCTGTTGCACAGAAAACACAGCTCGCACGAAAAACAACCCTGGTGCGTTGACGCGATGGCTTGGGCTAAACAAATAGACGAGATGCACGTCACTTTAGGGCATGTCGGTCATGGCGGAAGCATTTCCGCCTGCGGTCGGTAGACCTTCCTCGTCTTTTGATGAAGTCACTCGCTGTTTGCTCGTCTGCTCAGCGGAACAAAGATCAACGACGCAGTCCAAACCCCACAAACTCGACCGTTTCATGGACAAACGTTCACACCAGCCGCCATTGCCTACCACTTTGAGATTGCCATCGCTAATGCTACTGGCAGCTCAATCAGATCGAGCATTCAGGCATCTTCACAATGCGCCTGGTCAAGCGAAATATCAACGATGACGGGAGTGGGAGTGTCACGTTATGCCCCGAAGAACCTGAAGACATGGTACTTCTTCCACCACCTCTCCGCTCCCCGTCGCGCTCATTCTGAAATATCCATTAGTGGCATGCTTATAACCTCATTCGACCCACAGACCTCCTCACTGCCTCTGCCATACGACGAGTAACCACAGAATCCTCGTCAACGGGCTCTACAGCATCTCAACGAGTCCACACGAACCTCACGATACGAGTCAAGTCCTTGGATTTCGACCCCCAGGCCGGACAACTCCACGTGTCTGGCCAGATTGCCAGGGAAAACAGGTACACCAAGATTGGGCAATTTCACACCCTCGATCTCGAGCTGCAACGCAACTTCACCCTCGAAAAAGAAGTCGAAGGCAGTGATGGCTCAGAGGGTTGGGACAGTGTGGCCCGTGCGCAGCTGGAAGAGGCTATAGACCCTACGAGGGGCACTGAAGCGGTTGCGGTCGTCATGCAGGAAGGCTTGGCCAACATTTGCTTCATCACACAATTCCAGACTGTCTTGAGGCAGCGAGTCGAGGTCTCTGTCCCACGGAAGCGGACAGGCGCAGGGAGGTCGGCCGACCATGACAAAGGCTTGACCAAATTCTTCAGCACCGTGCTGGACACGCTGCTGAGACAGCTTCAGGGCCTGATGGAGCACAAAGACAGCAGCATGAGTTTCCCGATCTTGCTGGCGAGTCCCGGGTTCACAGCCGCCGGCTTCCTGAAACACATCAACGAGACCGCCGCTGCGAAAGGGGATAAAATGATGCAAGACTTGTTGAGGCGGAACGCTTTTATTGTGATCCACAGCAGCTCCGGCCACCTCCACAGTCTCAACGAGGTTCTCAAAAGCCCGGAGGTGCTGGTGAGGCTGAAGGACACGAAGTATGCTCGGGAAACCGCATTGATGGATGATTTCTATGCTCTCCTACGCAAAGACGACGGGCGGGCATGGTATGGCCCCAGAGAGGTCGAGGCATGCGTGGAGAAGGGGGCCGTTGGTCGCGGGGGAGGAGTGCTTTTTATCAGCAACGCCTTGTTTCGGAGCCAGGACGTGGCCACACGACGAAGATGGGTCAGACTTGTGGATCGGGTGAGAGACGTCGAGGGCGGGGAAGTCAGAGTGCTCAGCAGTGACCACGAGAGCGGGAGACGGCTGGAGGGCCTGGGAGGCATTGCCGCCATCCTGACATTTCCCATCGAAGACATAGAGTCGGAGGACGAGGACGAGGACTCTGAGCAGCCCGAGCATGGCAGTGAATAACCATAGATTGTCACGACTACGCAATGGGTTGAGCAGGCACTGCCGGGGATCCTGTAGCCTCATCAAAAAGCGAGGAAGATCTCCATCTTGGCGCCTCGCACAGCCTTCGATCTGCTCCCCTGAATAGTAAACCGTGACGTGCGAACATTAATCCTCGTCGATACGTCGCTCGAGCCTCACTTCAGATAGACTGCCACGTCCACATATTCAACCCCATCTTACTCCCCGAAGTCACCGGCATCCCCGCATGCAAGGTCTTTGGATTCCCCCTGCCGTCGGCTTGGAGATTATTCCAATACACGGCGTTTCCCTGGATGGGCTTGAAGGTGACGCCGTCATCCAGGGGCCGGTCACAATCGATGAACTGGCACCACCACTCCTCTGCCTCCGGCGGCGGCGTCAGTCGAGGGAAGTTTGTACCCCCGCCCGTACAGTTGGCGTGGATGTACACGAAAAATGTCGAGGCGACGTTGCCGCCGACCGCGCTGGCGTCGCCGTACCAGTCGTAGTGGTCGCGATATTGCCCCGCGATGCCGTAGTTCTGCACGACCAAGGGTTGGAAGTCGCCGACGGCCTTGTGGAAAGGGAACGAACGCGCGCGGTCCTCGATCTGTTGGATGATGTTGTCCTGTGTGGGCAGCTTGGCCGTCATGGACGATCGGTAGGCCGCGTCGCGATGGACTTTGCCCTCGTCGGTCCAGAGAACGGACGGCTTGAAGCGCGGCTCACTATACACGCAGCAAAAATTTCTCAGAGGTCCTGGCACATCACATGGGGATCGCAATTGTGGGGGGAGGGGTTTGGAGGGTTCTTTTGCAGACTCACGCGAGCTGGACTAGATGAGACGCCTCTTGGGGAGTGATGAAGTCTTGGATGTACACCACCAAGGGATCTTCTGACAACAGGTACGTCTTTGGTCCCTTGCCATGGGTTCTGTGGCTGCTTTGCCCGGGGGACAGGAAGTTCCAGCCAAAATACAGGTCGCCGACGCCGAGGATGACTGCGAGGACAGCAGGTACCAGTACAAGGGACAGGTTCCCAGCTGGTGTCATATTCGCATCAGATATGCGTGTCCAAGAGACTAGCTCGGACGGCGGAAATGTCCAAGCACCATTGTGATAGAGGTGAAAGAAAAGGCCGGTTTCAATTTTGGCATGTTTGGTGCAAGTCGATCCTGTTACATGCAGCATATCACCGTGCTCTCGGTAAACGCGCCGACTGGCTGCTCTTGTACCTGCTTGTTTCCATCCTATGAAGATACCTATTACGTTAAGTAATCTCCCTAGTATTGACTTCTAGAGAAGAGAGAATATCACGAAACAAAGCCCATGCTGCCTCAAATTCAACACCTACACTCGACATGGACATCCAGATACTCTTGCAAATCTGGGTCGCAATCTTCTGCTTCGGTCAAATCTGCAAGGCTGAGCTTAAGTACAGCGAACCCCAAACGCTAAAAGCCCTCGTGTCAGCGTCGTCGAGCAAAGACAACCTCATCATTGCTGTCTGTGAGTTAGAAGCCACTCTGAATAATGTATCGACTCTCTCGTAATTAACAATGCTTTTGGAATCCCAGTTTGCTTGGTGCGTTGCCTCTCCTTCCTATCCCAGCTCTGATCCAACTTGACTCACACCTGCGTCAACGCAGCCTTGGTAGTACGTTTGAACGAGACAAAAGACCAGCTGATCCGTTGAATTGATCCCTTTCCTCAGTGACCAATGCCAGACTCTGCTTCCTGAACTGGAAAGAGCCCATGAGGCACTACAACCATGGCCGTCGGCTCAATTGCTGCTTATCAACTGCGAAGGGGAGTCGGATGTTTGTCCTTCTTATGGGATAACTTCCTTCCCGACCATTCGCCTGTTTCATGGGCCAGAGCAGATTCGATATCGAGGGAAATTCCAGGCTTCCTCGTGAGTAGTCACTTTGGCTGTGACCTGGACTTTACACCAGTTGACCGGTCTAGCATTGTTACCAAAGTGCTCAGCACTGTCGTGCCGTTATTTTCTCAGCCTGATAGACCTACCCTAGACACATTGAAGTCGTTGGACATCCCGGTGTTTCTGTTTACAGAATTGGAAGGCGAGACTTCTCAGTCGTCGGCCGTGGTAACTCAGGTGGCCGAAAAACTGCACGGCAAGTTTTTCGTGGCCACCACGACCGACCCAACCTTGGCCGAAGAAGGGGGTGCACAACCACCCTTTGTGGTTGTCTGGAACTCCCATGATGAAGTAAAGCCGGTATATCACGACAAGCTTGAACTGGGGCGTCTTCTCAAGTTCGCGGAAAAGGCCTCGACGCCGGTAATCGGCAGGTTAGACCTGAAGTCGTATATTGACCATACTCAGGTTCCAGACACCCGTTCAGTTCATCTCATGTGTTTCCCTGCTGACTGAAACTCCAGTCTACATTGCCCCTCGCTTTTATCCTTGCTGAGACCGACAAGGAGAGGAAGGCTATCGCCGAATCACTGAAATATGTTGCCCTCAAGCACAAACTCAAGGTCAATTTTGTGACTCTCGACACCACAAAGTTACCGTTTCTACTCGAGCCGCTGGGTGTGGACTCGACACGCCTCCCTGCGTTCGCAATTCACCGTGGCGATAACGAGGAGGTGTCGGTGTACGACCAGAACCGCCAAATCAACGCAAAAGATGTCGAGATCTTCCTCCACAGGACACTAAATTGGCCGCTTAAGGAACTATAGTCAGATTGTTTATCCTAGCCCGAATTCGAAATCAAAGCTCACTCTGGTCGGTCAGCTGAGAACAACGTATCTGCTTCCCAATCTGCGCCATTCCGCCCAAACAGTTTCTTCTCTGATCAGACAAATTCCTTATTCCGACGGTTATGCCGAAAGCGACGCCATGCTCGGGAAGAAACTTACCTGCGATATGCCCCGATCCATGAAGATGTTTATTTCTCAGGAATGATCTCCTTCTGATCAACGGCACTTGCACCTTGCAATAGGCTAGCATTTCGGCTGAAGACTACAAAAGTGGCTGACTCTTTTTTGGTTCCCGTGGCCAGGCTCAGTCTGGGGTCCTCGAGAAGATCGGACAAGAGAAGATATTGGCGAAAGTCCTCCCGTACCAGGACGCTGTTTTCCTGGTGGCAACCCTGGAACCAGGTCTGGGTTGACAACTTCAGACGCAACGCTTTGCGGCGTGTTGCATACCATTCTTCACCGAACAAACCTTAAGCATCGATCGGCACTTCCTCCCGGCGGGCGAAACGTTTGTCACTCTGGCATGTCTTTTGATACCGATATTTCTCGTGAGGCGTACTGGTAGCAACAGTGGTACAACGCTGGCAGCTAGGGTTGTTAGAATGACAACCGAATATACGCGACCAATATATTCTCGGGGCGCTTCTCAGAATTTTGAGCATTTGAAGTTGTGCAGGTCAGGCAAAGTCCAGTTGGAGGTGTGGAACCACCTCGCCATAGATTCTGATCGGATCTGCGACGCTAGGACGATGTTAAAGCACCACCGTTATCTGTTCCTCCTGCACTCGGTGCAGCGGCCACTGTAGCATGCATAGTTAGGTAAGTATTAACGACACGGGCGAGGAGTTGTCTTTGAGTGTCAGCTAGTCTGCGAAACAGTTTGCAAACTGTCCACTTAGCGCCGCCTTAGGTGGTACGGCGGGCTGCGAGGAACACGAGGTTCGTTTTCATGGGACCGCGCGCGGCTGGCAAGAGATGCTGGAGCCGTGCGTGTGCCTGTAGCCCAGGATGCAAGAGCGACTTGAGGGAAAGGCTGAGGACAAACTCTTTGTTCCTGAGAAAGTGAGTGCTTGGACGTGTGAGGTGTGAGGTGTGAGGTGTCCAGTGAGAGAGAGGCAATGCAGCCTGCCTCGGTGGTGCGAACGTGACCAACCACCCTTTGAAGCAAAGATGAGGAGCCCTCAATCAAATTAGATCCCCCACTGAGGGCTTGTAGGCGTCCAAGCTAAGGGCTGCTGAAGCTAGTGGGTTGCCCCCAGCCTCCCAGGCTTACCACCCAAGACAGGCACCTAGGGCTTCCGGGGCGCTGTGGTGGCACGGGCTTGCAGACGGGCTCCACCGACTGCATCATATTATGTTATAGCTGCCGCTCAACGACTTTCGCCTCCGTCCTCCGTGCCTGGGAACCAATATCAACCGTTCGTGTTTCGCAATCCCCGCCGCCTACTTTTCGCATCACCAGATTGTTCACATCTTGCATTTCTGCGTCGTGCTCTTGTTTTGGCCCAAGGTTCGCATTGATCCTCTCGGATATCTCTCACCAGCTCCTTCTGACAGCTGTCTTATTGCACCGCCTGCGCCTCACTCAATCAGAGTCTGCACGCCTTCAAGCTTTTTCTCCGAAAGCTGTCTGCCGTCTGCCTATTACGCCATTGAGTCAATTTCACCACTTACCGATTCTCTCCAGTCTTCTCAGTACCGTTGCTTGGATCGCCTGCCATGGGAAGCTTCATTTTCAAATGGTGAGTCAAGGCGCATCGCTACATGCTATTCTGTATCCGCCTCTGTCATCCCCTGAGCATGGCGCCAAGTTCCCACCAACCCGCTGACACCGTTTTATAGGCCACATCCCGAGGCCAACGATGTCCACGTTACGGGCACCTTCGATGACTGGGGAAAGAGTGTCAAGTTAGACAAGGTCGGCGACATCTGGGAGAAAGAAGTGGATCTGCCCACGGACAAGAAAATCTACTACAAGTTCGTTGTCAACGATCAGTGGATCATCGATCCTGAGGCCCCTCAAGAGGACGACGGCCGTGGGAACGTCAACAACGTGCTCCTCCCCGAAAATATCAAGCCCAAGGCGTCCATGGTGCCCGAAGCTGTGACCACGTCCAGCGCAGCCCCCGAGAGCACCACCGCAGGCTTGGCTGGCCAGGTGCCTTTGGAGCCTAAGAGAGAGGCCACCGAAGGTGAGTGCGACGCCAATTTGTTTCCATTGCAATCCTGACATTATCGGTCTGTTTAGTCACCCCTGCATCTGATTCCCACCTCAACAAAGAGACCACAGGGAGCAGTGTCCCAGGCACGTTCCCAGAGACTCCAGGCAAAGAACCAGACTCTTTCGGCGTCAATCCCTTGCCGCCCACCAGTGGCGCAGGCAATCCCGTTGACCTTCCTGCGGGTGAAAAAGTCCCCCCTTCCAGCGAAGTCACGACAAATACTACCCACTCCGCCGTGACCACGTCGAAAGAGGGCTACGAAAATGCGGGCTCGGGCATTCCAATCATTGGAGGAGCGCTTGCCGCGCTGGGCTTTGGGGCCACCGCCGCCAAAAAGGAGAATTTGATTCCAGAGTCTTCTCTGCCCATGGGCGAGGGCGCCGGGAAATCACTAGACGCGGGTCCCTTCATCAGTTCAGCAGGAGCATCTTCGACCACAGCTGAATTGGCTGGGAAAGTGCCTTTGGAAGAAAGCAAGCCGGCGACCGAGGTCGATCATGCGCAAACGATCACTTCTACCGTACCCGAGGTGGTCAAGGAATCAATCGCAGAGGCACATACTGATCCCGAGGCCACCGCATCTGCCGAAGCTGTCAAAGAAAAGGCGGCGGTGGAAGAGGAGCTGGTGAAGAAAGTGCCAGAGGCCGAGGAAGCTGGAGAGCCCGCTCCGACGATCGCAGCTGCCACGACTGAGACCGCGCCGTCAGCCACTCCAGCTCCATCCGGTGGTCCGGTGCCTGGGACATCCTCTACGGCCGCGGCCGCCGTGGCTGATGGTGCCGACGGGACGGTCGAGCCTACAGAAGCTCCAACACACAAGGTGGAGGTAGAGAAGACGGAGGGGGACACCACTGAATATGCACCACCCCATGCAGCAGGCGCAGCTCCTGGAGTCTCAGAGTCTGCAGCGGCAGCGATCTCTGACGGTGCGGAAGATCCCACTCTTGCTGATGAGCCTGCGGTACAAATGATGAACAAGAATGATGCTGAAGCGGCCGGAGGACCAACGGCGGCAGCCACCGCCGCCACCGAAACCCCCAAGGCTACTGCGCCTACGACGGCGGCCCCAGAATCCAAGAAGGAAACCAAAGCTGCAGCACCCACGAGCGCGACTTCTACGCCGACCAAGAAACCAGAAACGACGCCAACCAGCACACCTTCGTCCTCGGCGACCAAAGACAAGAAGAAGAAACACCGAGTTAGCTCATTCTTCAAGAAGATCTTTGACTAGATGCCAAAGAGAGTAGTGGGATGTCGTGCAGACCAGGAAAAGGTTGAGGAGTGATACAACAAGCAAACGTGCACAGCAGACGCGGAGGAAGGGAGTGGGTGTGGGATCTGTGGGGGAGCAATTGGAATGCATTGCGAACGGGTCGGCGCACCCGCTGGGGTTTGGACAGCGGATTCGTGTTGATTTGGGACTTGTTTGTCTTGTAGATATCCCCTTCCGTTGTGTTTGTATTAGGAGAGAGAACGGACCGTTTTGTGTTCCATAATGGCTAATCCAAATGTGCTGATGTGGCTGTGGCCGGTTGCTCATTAATTACTGGCTGAGATCATGGAGGGGGAACATGTTCTCGATGTTCTCGTCGTGTTCTAGAAGCAAGCGGAGGAAGCACAGAAGGATTCTCGAAGCCGTGGAAGCTGAGGGAGCGCCCTTCAGTGCAGCCGGGAATATGCAGCCCGGTGAACGATCTTTTCTTGCCAGACGCACATGGTACCAGCTTCTGCTTCTCCTACTCTTCCTTCCCCGCCACCTGCTGTAGAACTCGCGCCGTGTGCTTACTTGGACCCTGAGTACTCCAATTGTTCAGAGCAGCAAGCAGTCTCCCAGCAAGCTCCCAGGTCATCCGGTGGCGGCACGATCATGCTTTTCGGGGGCCAATCAGTGCGGGTTCGGGTCGCCGTTGACCGCCTAGTTGGATGCAACAGCTGCCACCAGCTGTAGCTATGACATCGCCTACCGAGCTCCTGGGTTGTTACTGGTTGGAGGCGGCAGCTGCTAGAGCTTGAATGCCATTGAGGAGAGGGGTTTTGCAACCAGAAATCCTGCAGACGGGTGAGAAAGAGGAGTAAGGAAGAGCTGCCCCTTGCTTGCTGGTTGCTGGTTGCTGGTTGCTGGTTGCTGGTTGCTGGTTGCTGGCTCTATCTACTCAGGTGCTGTGCTACGAGATCTTGTGGTTGGGTTATTCTTGCTCCGTTTTCTTCTTTCATCCATTGAGCTATTGAGCTATTGAGCTACATGACAAACCTGCTCGAGTAGCTGAAGCAGCTGTCGTTTGAACGAGCATACCGTTTCAGAAGCCACTGGCGAGCTGCCTTCCTTGTACACTGTGCAGCTCGTAAAATAGACTTCAGCAGCCCATATCATCTTCCCTCTTGTCTATCCTCCCGCTGGCCTTCTTTCCTCCTTTTATATCCAATCCCCCCGGCTTTCTTCCTTCTCGCCAGCCCGCTTGATCGTGTGCTATCCAATCTCTGGTTCTTCGAACCCCAAGTGGTCCTCGGCTACCCCTCCACTGCGTCATCTGCTACTCAGAGTTGTTCGTTGCCCCACTTGCTCTCATTTCCTCACAACCTGGAACCTCGAACGAGCCTACCGCTCCCTCTCGTGGTCTGGCTCGCTCCACTGCCGCAGAATCCAGCGCAACTCAACGTTGCCAGTGGACAGCACTTGAACCTGCCGTGGACATTGCACGGCCGCTTCGTTGCCTGAGATAGGCATCACGCCCTTGTCCTGTCTGGGGCCCCCTGTTTCTCACGGCTTGTCGCAAACCAAACAGTCCTTGCAATCCGTCAGGTCTGCGACCCACGGTTTCACGGACCAAGTCGGTGACAGGCCACCCTACCTTCCCAAAGGAGGGTCCTTCCGTATCCTTCTAAGCACCAAACGAGCTCCAGTTGAGTCAGTCCGCAGGGAAAGCATCCTAACCCGCTTAAGCCAACGACGAGTAGCAGGCGGTCCCTGGGTTCTCAATACCCGCACCCAAACAACGTCCTCCCCCACATCCTCAGACCTCGCCGCAGACATCCATGTCTCTTCCTGCTCCTCACCAAGAAATTGTTGACGCTCTGATCAAGGACTTGACACAAGCCAAACCCGACGACCCTCTCCAGTACTGTGCCAACTACTTCAGTCGCAAGCTCGAACTCGAGCGGTCCCTTAACCGAGCAGGCAAGCCCACCTCGACCGCCAACGGTAAGATGGCAGACACTGCTGGCCCTTTCGACAACCGCAGCCCCTTCGCAGCCAAGAACAGCATACAAGAGGAGGATGAAGAACGTGACACCTTCGGCTCTCCCACTGATGCCACCTTCAAAAATCGTGATTCTGGTCGGTCCCCTTTTGGCGGCTCTGGCTTTGGTGCCGCAGCTGGGGGCGCAGCCGGCGGCGGCTTGTTTGGCAACTGGCTAGGCAATCAAGCGTCAGAAGAAACAGAACCACAAGCTCAGTCATTGCCAAACAACTATGCTGCAGGACGCCGAACTTCAGTCTCTGCCGAATCCATGCAACCGGACTCGGACTCTGGCAGCTGGAAGCCACCTAAACACTCCAAGACGCCCGAGCAGTATGAGAGACTCCGACACGCGGTGGCTGGCAACTTTTTGTTCTCCAGCCTTGACGAAGAATCCTTCAATTTGGTGCTGGACGCGTTGATGGAGAAGACCATTCCCGCCCCCAACATCAAAGTCATTACCCAAGGGGACGAGGGTGACTACTTCTACGTCATTGAATCTGGAGACTTTGACATCTACATCAACCCCAGCGGAGCTGTCGAAGCAGGGCCAGAGGGCATGGGCAACAAGGTCGCGACAATCGGACCTGGTGGCAGCTTTGGTGAACTGGCATTGATGTACAACGCTCCTCGCGCTGCGACCGTGGTGAGCTCCTCCAAAGGAGGCCTACTCTGGGCGTTGGATCGTATCACGTTCCGACGAATCCTCATGAACAATGCCTTCCAGAAGCGAGAAATGTACGAAGGATTCCTGGGCGAGGTGCCTTTGCTCTCATCTCTCAAACCCTATGAGAGAGCCAAAATCGCCGACGCTTTGGAGACGGTCAAATATGAGCCAGGACAGAATATCATCACCGAGGGAGAGCCGGGTGACGCCTTTTATCTTCTGGAGTCCGGACATGCAGCTGCTTACAGGCACGGAGTGGACCATCCGGTCAGAGAGTACGGTCGTGGTGATTTCTTTGGTGAGCTGGCCTTGTTGGACGACAAGCCTCGTGCTGCGAGCGTTGTGGCAAAGGACAACGTCACGGTGGCCAAACTTGGAAGAGACGGATTCAAACGACTTCTCGGACCTGTGGAGAGCATCATGAGACGTGAAGAGTATGAAAACACCGAGGAGATGGACCCTCTGACCCAACAGAAGACGGTGACATAGGTGGGGATGTTGGCATAGGCCAGAGATTCGGTGAAGAGGACCAAGTGGTCTTTGCGCGATTGAATGATGGAACCGAGTGATTGGGCCGCGTCCACATCTACATATCGGCTACTTTTAGCGAACGACGCGGCGAGAAATTTGCAGACAAGGTTGGGTTCAAACAGACGAGGCGGGCATCAAGAACGAGCTCTGATGGTCGTGGTCAGTTGACGAGTGAGGCTGAAGTGGAAACTCGAAGGCAGGCGGAAGTTCACATGGAACGATTGAAATACCAAGGGCGGCCACTAGCTAATGAAAATGAATTCCATTCGCATTATGTACCTACCTGTTCTCTGCTCTGTCCTTGCTGGTGGACTCATCCACATCCAGGGTCGAGAAGAGCTCCCCTGCCAGCCCGCACAAGCAGCAGGTGGTCAGGGAAGAGTGGGAGGAGTGGGAGCACATGGGAGCACGTGAGAGGGGACAAGACAGTTACATCAGCAGTCAGCCTCTCGGAGAAGTTTCCCTCGGTTAACCTGCCCCCGACAGCCTCGTGCCCGACGAACTCCATACCCTTCAAGTAAGATGGTGATGTGGAATCAGGCTGACATCTCCTGGCACCACTGCGATCCTTTAAAGGCGCCGTCAAGTCCTCGTCTCACCACTCTTTTCTTCTTCTCCTTTACTTCAACTATCTCAACATGACTGCACTGAAAACGTTCTACAGCCATGCATGGGCTTCGTCGGCATCGTATCCGACCCTGGATGCGCGCCAGCCCCCCTGAAATTCCATGCAATGCGTCGATTACTGATCGCATTTCATGGTGTTTGATTGGCTTCGACAGGCCGTCGTGCAGAGCAGCGACTTTGGTTTCCCCAATGACTGGAGCAGGTGAGAGGTTTGGTGACGTCCGTTGACGCCTCCCTTGCTGTTTTGTCTTCACTTTATTCAGCTCTGGTGGGTGACTGGCGCGCCCTTGCCTGTCTCTGGCTGGAATCTCCGTCATTGTCTCCAGCAGCCTCTCCCTTTTGGCCGAGGTATCCCCTTGCCCAGGTAGCCGATGTTCACTAACCAGATAATTCTGCCCGCTCTGAAATGAGGGCTGCGGATTTTGCCCTTTGTTTGACTTGGTCAACCTGATAATGTCTGAGAAAAGGATTTCGCCCTTCACAAATCCTCCTGCTGTGGCCCCTTTGAAAAACGTCGTCCAGCAAGTTCCCAAGTGACGGTGTGACATCGAGGCGGAATCTTCCAACAAACCATTTGAAATCCAGCGTCGGCTTGCTTTGACCGCGAGTTGCCTTGCTCCTTCCAGCGCCTGCGGTCAGCGGACCTCGAAGCACTCTGAACACCGTTGGGCCACATTGAGGTCTGAAACGCTACCCTCGTACTCTGCTGTGCTCGACATTCAGGTGTTGCTCTATGTCAGGCGAAGCCAAGGACGACCACACCAATGACACGGAGAAGATGGGGGAATCTGACTCGGACAGCTCCTCCATGCACTCTCTCCCCGTTCCTATTGTGACGCCTCAGCCGGATCTCGAGAAGACGACGACCAAAACTTCGCACCGAACCTCGAGAAGTGGCCGCTCCAACCATGTCCCTACAACAGCGCAGGACTGGGATGGCGAAGACGACCCAGACAATCCAATAAATTGGCCCCTATCCGTCAAAATTTACCACACTGTGGTCCCTGCATTGCAGTGCTTCACCATGTATGCGGAATGATGGCACTGATCCCCTCTGACGGAAGCTAACGTGGCGCAGTACTTTTGGCTCTTCGGTGTACACTCCCAGTGAGCATGAACCAGCCGCGGACCGCTATAACTTTTCTGATTATTGTTTGCATAGGCGTTCCAGAGGTTGCTCGCCACTTTGGCGTTAGCACTACCGCTGCATTAGTCCCTCTGACTGTCTACGTGATGGGTCTAGGATTCGGCCCAGTCCTCAGTGCTCCCCTCTCGGAAACCTACGGACGGCGCGCAGTGTACCTGACTTTCTTCCCGCCGTCTCTCCTCTTGTCCCTGGGCGCCGGGCTCTCGAAATCATTCGCATCCCTCGTCATCTGTCGCCTTTTCGCAGGTATTCTGGGCTCGGGCTGTCTGGCCGTCGGAGCCGGCACCAATTCCGACCTGTGGTCCCATCTTCACCGAGCTGCTGCCAGTGCAGTGTTTCTGATGGCGCCGTTCTTGGGCCCTGCTTTGGGTGCGTGGCCCCGGGAAACGTCCCTATCCATGTCAAAGGGCTGGTTGGCTAACATTAGGGGCGCGCGTAGGACCTGCGTTGGGTGGGTACGTCAGTATGAAGAGAGATTGGCGTTGGACACAATGGCTCATCCTTTTCTGCGGTGTAATCGCCTACGCCATCTCACTTCCTGAGAGAGAAACATACAAGAAAATCATCCTGAAGAAGCGAGCGCAGAAGCTTGGTCTCACGCCTCCGCCGAACCCGTTGCCCCCGGGCATGTCGAAACTTCGATTTATTGTGGTCGTCACTGTTCTGAGGCCGCTGAGGATGTTGTTCACCGAATCCATCGTCGCGTTCTTCAGCGCCTACACTGCCTTCAACTTCAGCGTCCTGTTTGGATTCTTTGCTGCCTTCCCCCTCGTGTTCGAGTCACCGTACCCTGAAATTCAGATCTACCACTTCAACACAGGTGAATCGGGCCTGGTCTTCTTGGGGATTGGGCTGGGTGTCGTATTGGCGACCTTCATTTTCATTTATATTGACCGCCTCATATACCGGAAGAAAACGCTTAAGAGAAGATCACAGGGAGACTTCACACCTTTGGCCCCGGAGGAGAGACTTTGGGCTGCAATGCTCGGCTCCTTTCTCTTGCCGCTCGGCCTCTTCTGGTTTGCATGGACCGCCAAGAAGGAAATACATTGGATCTCGCCAATTATTGCAACTGTTCCCTTTGGTATTGGCAACCTGCTGGTGTTCTGCTCTTGCGTCCTGTATCTTATCGACACATACGGCCCGTTGGCGGGTGCTAGTGCCGCGGCTGCAAATGGATTTCTGAGATATGTGATTGGCGCGGTGTTCCCGCTATTCACGGTTCAGATGTGAGTTGAGAGACCTCTCTACGGGTTCTCTCCTGCTTGGTTCGGCTTTTACTGACAGGAGTAGGTATCGCGGCATGGGCGTCGCTTGGGCAACAAGCCTATTCGGCTTCATCACCATCGCTTTGCTGCCTATCCCTTGGATCCTGTACAGATATGGTGCAAGGATCCGACAACGCAGCGCGTACACGTTGGCGTCGTGAAGCTGACTTTCCAATTCGTCCAGTTTGTGGACGAACCCATATCTTGTGGACTTTTCTTTCACATGGACTTGCCTTCACTTTTTTGTAGAGGTTCCCACCTTGACGCGCACAGTCACCAGCAAAGAGTGACAAGGAGCATGGCCTTACAGGTATAGAACAGCTACTCACGTTGACGGGGGGCTTTTAGAGCATTGTCAAGGAGACCGCATTGGCGCTGATGCACGCTGGAACAAGGTTTGGTTTCAATTGAGATGCATGTACACTCGAACATATTATGGATCGGGGTAGACGTATAAGGTAGCTCAATAATAACGACCAATGGGACTGTGATCTATCATCTGGCGAAGCTTCTGTAGCCTCGGACCACAATACGAATACGAGGTACTCTCTTCGTGATTTAGGAGTTAGGATTCCTCGACACCCTCGGGGAGGAATCCAAGATCCGGTGTTTTTTGGCCTATTGGACGGCATAGCCGAAGAAAAGATATGCTGGGGTCGAAGCCCTCAAAGAACACTTTCTCGTCGTGTCTCTAGTCACCGCAATGTTTCGTTGTCTTTTCCCTTGGCCCATCCGACTGCATGAAACAACGCGTGTGTGTCATGAATTGGAGACCATTATGAGCCTGGCCAGAGACGGTGGCATTTGACTGCAATTGCGTTCCAAGCCTGAGTATAAATACAAATGATAGGTACCCCCGCTTTTGACCAGCGCAGTTAGTGGGTAGAGTAGTCCAGACATCTAGGAAAACGAATGTGCTAAGAATATGGCAAGTGGTCTCGAGTAGAGCGGGAGAGGTGAGTGTACAAGGTGAAGATGGGAACGGCAACTGTACTGAAGCCTATTATCTCCTGTCGCAACAGGCTACGATCGGGACCCTTATTTGGGTGTTGTGTTTTGTTCTTTCACCTTTTCAACTGTGGGAGAGCGCCACTTTGCGCCAAGACTGGGATTCGCACGATCTATTTTTGCCCACGGCAAAGACGGAGCAAAAAAACCAAAAAAAAAAAAAAAAGAGCTCGCGACACCTGCAGGATTCTCGATGGATGTTAATTATATGTTATCTACCTGATGAATAGATGTTGCATACCGAACCTGCGCCTCCGGAGAGACTGCCTGGACCGCTTATACCAAGAGCATGATATATAGCAGGGCAGCGCCTTAACCACTCGGCCAAAGTGTCAATCCAATCTGGACTGATTGTTAATAAAATTTGGGGTAATCATTTATATGACCTTGAACTTTTGGCCCGAAGTTTTGGCACCCCACCTCGTTCTCTCCAACGAGGCTTGTTTGGGCTTCTCGGAGCTAGTTCGGGACCCCTTAACAATAAGAGCCTTTTTTGTAGGACTCAACACAGTCTTTTTACATGGAGCGCAGTTTGAACAATGCAATACCGCAGGAGTTGCGCAAAGACGGATTGGCTTGATGGTCGGGGAGCTTCCAAAGGATTCTTGGTCTAATCGACCCGGCCTGTGGGGAGCGTTCAGCTCTTTGCTTGTCCTCTCATTCATTTTGCGGTCTATGAGAATTCATCACTCTAAATAAGACTGGATCATGACTGCAGCGCTACATTCCGTAGTTAGACCGCAGGAGAAGATGGACAACAAGCCACGCTTTTTTCCCCGGACCTGAAACTTTTCCTTTTCTATAGTACACAAGGGCATAGAGACATGGATAGGTAGGCAAAAGCCTTGACTCTCTCTGGCCGTGCTTTTTCTAATTTAGAGCCAGCCCTTTGGCCCGGCCCAGGTACCCTTGACCATGGACTGATAGTAAACCCAGGGGAAGAAGTCCTTTTTGAGGTGATAAAATGCGCGTCGGGGCGTGCCCTGGTCCAGACCCAGCAGGCGGCCAAATGTCTCGTGCGGCTCGCCGCCGTACTTGAACTCGGCCAGCATGACCTTGCCGTATTCGGTCGTCAGCGGGCAGGACGTGTAGCCGTTGTATTTCGCGGTGGGCCCCTGAGAGCCCTCGAGAGATTGTATGAGGTTGTGGATGAGTATGGGTGCCTGTGCTGTGATGGCCGCGGCCGTTTTGGAGGTGGGGAGGCTCGACGCGTCGCCTGCGGACCAGACGTTGGCGAACCGCGTGTGTTGGAGCGTGGCGTCGTCGACGTCGACGAAGCCCGCGGCGTTGGCTAGCGGGCTTTTTTGTATGAATGAGTGCGGTCCCATCTTGGGCACCACGTGCAGCAGGTCAAAGTGCCGCGTTACGACTTGGTCCTTCTGGTCCAGACGTGCAAACGTCGCCGTGTTGCCTTCCACCGCGACCAGGTCGTGTTGGAAGAGCCCCTCCACGCCCCGCTCCAGTCGCAGCTCGTTGAGCCGCGCGCTGTACTTAGGCACACCGAACATTCCCGGCAGGGCGGTGGCGAAACTGATCTGGATGGGCGATTTGGCGCCTTTGCTGGCGTCGTATAACCCCGCCCGCTTCCAAAAGTCCAGTGCCAGCCACATGATCTTCTGCGGCGCACCCGCGCATTTGACCGTGCCGGCGGGTTGGGTGAAAATCGCGTTGCCCTCACGAAGTCCTGAAATGGTGCCGAACACCTTGTTGCATGTGTCGTAGCCGTAGATGGAAGAGACCCGCGAATCGGGGTCTGCTAGAGCCTCGGGCAGGCCCTTGATCGAGTCGAAGTTGACGGTGATGCCCGGAACCACGACAAGTTGATCGTAGCCGAGCCTGTCGCCGTTGCTGAGTGTGATCTGGTTCTCCTCGGGCGAGAAGGTACTGACTCCTTCGTTGTAGAACTGTAGTTTGGGATCCAGCAACGTGTCCAGTGGCTTGCGCAGTTCCTCCTTGGTCTTGAGCCCGCCGCCCACCAGCGTCCACCCGGGCTGGTAGTGGTGCCACTTGGCCGGGTCGACGACGGCGATGTCCTTCGTGGCAAACTTGCCCGTCCGGAGGAGCTGGTGGCTGATGGCGAGGCCGGCGCTCCCACCGCCGACTACCACGACCTTGTGACTTCGAGAAGCTGGACTCACGGGTGACACTGTGGCGAAATTTCGGCTTGTAGTCGCAACGCCCTGCGCTGTGATGAGAATCGAACGGCCATTGCTACAAGCCTTGGACGTCAAGGCGGTGCGAAACATGGCGGGAAGCGAAGCTGGATTGTTGAGGGGGCTGTGGTGAGAAGAGAGCAAAAACCAAAACCCACGAGGCGAAAAGATGCAGAGAGGAGTTTTGCAAAGAAATGGCAATCATGTGACGGGATTTTCAAGGTCAGCGTCAGGTATTACAGTAATCATACTTTATATTTTCCAGCGAGAGGAACGGCTCCTGACGGCCGGAAGGGTCGCTTTAGCTAATCGCCGATGACTGAACCTGATCATGATCTGGTCACCGAGTGGTTTGACGACTTTGTTTGCCACGAAGACGCCCTGGGAACGGATGTGCGAGGCTCCAGGCCTTTCAGGGGAGAGGAACCAATTACGTGGTATTGATTAATACGTGAGAGAGCGCTGTCAGCATTGAGCAAGATTGTGGTCGCCGTGTAAAAATGAAATGACGAGCGATGGCAAGGGTGTGAAGTGTTAGTGTCCATTACTCGACGCTAACAGTGCCTAGCATCGGGGTGTGGGTTTCTCGCCATCTTCTTCCTATTTGGGGGGTACCTGGGCGACTACCTGGGCGACTACCTTGGGGACTACCTTGCTCGTCTGAGCCCGGGTTCAAATACATACTAAGACGTCTTCGCAGTGTCTTTCCAGTGCCGCCAAATCCACAACAATCTCAAACATCCTAACTATGATGCAGACTATCCGCCCTCACGCCGCCAGAGGCACTCAGACGACGGCGAGGTCGCTGTTGACATCCACCACCCCGAGCCCTGCTTCTAGCATTGTCAACTCTAGCAGGCAACTTCAGCTTTCTCCGCATCGGGCTCAGCAGACAGCTGCATACACAACCAAGGCCTCCGTTAACAACAGCTCTTTGATCACCACTACGCCCCGCGACGCCCTCTCGAGGAGAGCGCCAGTCGGCGGACAGTACAGCCCTCGAACTGCCAGACCAACTTCGTGGGCACCCAAAGGTCGATCTTCCTACAGCACCGGAGCCGTTGAAGTCCAGCAACCTATCGTTCACGATGTATTTGAGACCAAGACAGGCACATGGCAGTACGTGGTTGCAGATCCAGCCACGATGACGGCCGCCATTATTGACCCGGTCCTGGATTACGACCCAGCTACCCAGGCTGTCACTACCCAGAGTGCCGATGCTCTGCTTGCGTTGGTCAAGGATAAGGGCTACACCATCGACATGATTCTCGAAACACACGCACATGCCGACCATCTGACCGCATCGTCGTATCTCCAGAAGCGCCTAGCCCAGGAGCAAGATCGGGCTCCCATCATCGGCATTGGGAAGCGCATCGGTCGTGTGCAGAAACTATTTGGGAACAGATACGGAGTCGCCCCTGATGAATACGAGGGCGTCTTCGACAAGTTATTTGAGGATGACGAGAAATTCAACATTGGGGAGCTGGAAGCTACGGCCCTGCATCTTCCTGGTCATACTCCGGACCACCTTGGCTACAAGATCGGAGGTGAGTCTCTAGCATCAACTACTTTCCTCGCAAATTTTACTAATATAGCTGTCCTAGACAACGTATTCTGCGGCGACTCCATTTTCCACGCCGATATCGGCACTGCACGCTGCGACTTTCCCGGCGGCAGCGCCAGCGACCTTTTCAAGTCCGGACGGAGGCTGCTTTCTTTGCCGGACCACGTCAAGATCTGGACGGGCCATGACTATCCCCCAGCGGGGCGCGACGCTCCCGTGCCCTGGATGACCGTCGAGCAGCACCGGCAACGCAACAAGCACTTGAAGGACGGCACCACCGAGGAGGACTTTGTGGCCATGCGCAACCAACGGGACGCTGGGCTCGCAGCACCCAGGCTGATACACCAGTCCTTGCAGGTGAATATCCGGGCTGGCAGGCTTCCCAAGGCGACGGATGCAGGGTTGCGATTGCTTCATCTTCCGCTGAAACCGAAGCCTTTGGAGTGGTGATTTACATGGCTGGATGAACATAGAAATCTTTATTTTACATGTACACTTGATTTGTTATGTTGTGGGGGAGTTTTATATGTCCCTTTTCTAGTCATTCGAGGAACTAGGTCTTCTTCCCTCCCCTCAACGGAAGGGAAAGAGTCAAAACTCTGGTTGAGAAGCGTGCAAGTTTGCAGGTTCCAGGAGTGCGACTATCACGTGTGAAATATCCACGAAGAGCATTTCTCTTCTATGTGTCTTTCAGTCCTGTCCTGCTTCCAAAAGGCAGTCCTCATCATGGGAAAGAGGAGGTGCGAATGCCGCTGGCAGAGGGAGCCAACCTCGGGCCCAGCAAATGCGGGCGGGTCCCGGTCGGCATCATAGCAGGATCATCTTTACAGCTACGAACAACACCAGAAAGACTATGTGACATTACCGAGCACTTTTGCAGGCAGCTAATATTCAAGGAGTGGATAGGTTCCCGTGCACATGTCATGACCCTTTCTGTGAGAACCACCGTCTCTGATATCATATCCCCTGTTCTGTGTCAGTCAGGCCCTGTTTCGTCAAGCAAGCGCATGTCATGGTGGATATCGCCCCTTCTCCCCAAGCAGCAGGAGTAACGCCCATCGTGAGCATGGACGGGTCGCAGCACTGATATCCCTAGACCCTTCGCGCTTTAGACCCCGAACATGCCGTGACGAGCCACTTTACAGTATCTTTCCTGCGGGTGTATGATAATGACCCAGCCAGCCAGCCAGCCAGCAAACACTCGGGGAGAATAACCCCTCTAGGCCATGTGGGTGGAGACCCTCTCGACTAAGCAGCTCCCTCGCGCCACTTTCGTCCGCATCGCCTCGATCAGTCCGTGGCAAATCCGCGCAGCGTGTCTCGGGACAACAAGGTTACAAACCTGTGTGCTGAGGGTAGTCTGCTCGACTACTTTCTTCTTCTCTGCCGCTGTTCTGACAGTGATGCGATTTCGTACTCGACACCACCAGCTCAGTTCCTGAACCCGAGGCTCAAAAAGACAAAAGCAGGAAATCGAGAATTGAAAGAGAGATCATCGAATGCGTGAGAAAATCCTCGTCGTTTGAGGACAGCGATGAATCGAATCCCCGAAAAGCTCCACAGGAAATCATGGCTCGCAATGGTCCCCGAAACGAAACATCAGTCGCACTGCAAGGGCGTATGTGTGTCATTCGATCTTACTGTACTTTTACCCGACGAGAAAAGGGTGGTTTCTGGGTTCTGGGGCAAGTCCCCGAGCCCGGAGCCGCGGACCTAATCTCCGTGAGTTGAGTGTCCTGGTGGGCTTTCTCAGTTGGCGGAAATACTTCCGTTCTGTGTCTGCCTCTTGAGAAACCCATCACAGATGCGAACTTGAGTCTTTCGCGGGTGGAAAAGAAACGACAAAAGTCCAGCACAACGATCCAGATATCAAAAGGACGTCTATACAAGCAACTAGCTATAAGCAACTCCGGAGACTCCATTCTGCATTGAATACCCCAGACTTTTTGCAAAATTTCCAAAAGCTGCGAATCTGGTTGGCCAGGTCGCTGTCGTTAGAGCAGCTAGTGCTCGTTAGCGCGGATCACGCCATACCTCGAGGTGCCATAGGTAGCCAACCTCCTTTCGGCGTGGAGCCTTGTCGATAAATGGCGGTAGAAGAAAGTCTCGGGGACGGCTACAGCAACCCTCTCCCAAAGGGCATTGTAATGGGCAGACTAAATGAGTGCAGAAGCTGATATCTAGCGAAAGAGAGATCCACGTGACATCCACAACCCTGTCCTGTCTATGCTCCCTCTACCTCCCTCCTTGTTCCCGTCGCATAAAGTGCCTCGTTGGAAGACCTGCACGTTCCTCCTTCCTACATCCCGGCCCAGTCGTGACCAATCAGCCGATTCGCCACATCCCTAACATAATTGGCCGTCGCTCCCATCCCATCGTCGAGGTTATTGACATCCACGCTTCCCGAGTTATACTGCCTCAACGCCGCGTACCAGTTTTTCTGACGCTGGAAACACTGCTTCAGTCCATCTCCGGACTTGGTCCCCTCGACCCCATCCCTGACCATCTGCAAGATACTCTGGCCAGCACGTTGTGGATCGAATTCCGAGCCATTGTGAGATTGCATGATCCCCGGATTGCGGACAGTGCCGTCCGGCGAAACGGTGGTGTGGACTCGGACGTTGCCACCGGATTCTTGCATGATGGTGCAGAGGATGACGCGCACGTCGACCTGGGATTCGCGAGCGACCGTTTCGATGGCGGTTTTGATGTCGGCAATCTCGGCGTCAGAGTCATTGAATTTCATCAACCTGGAGTTACTGTTCCAGAGAGCCGAGTACGACGCCCACTGCGAAGTTGGCGGGAAATTCGTGGCAGGTCCGCTGTAGTTGACGTAGCCACCACCTCCCTGCCCACCACTGCTGCCTCCTGGAATTTCTGCGGAGGAGTGCTGAACCATGATTTTATCGCTCAATGGTACTTGGGAGGCCATGTTGTTGTTGTCGAGAGGGAATTCCGATGTGAATGATGAAGATATGCTTTGAAGAGGATTCTGGTGGACGAGAGATTGGGGAATGGGGAAGAGCAACGGCTATATATAAGCCAGGAGTGCTGAAGATCAGTCCGGCCATCTCTCATCTTTGGATGCCTGTTGTCCTCAATCAGCCGCACACGGGATCGACCAACAACGTCTGATGACCAGATGTTTCGGCAACCTGAAATATTCGCTTCACCGGTCATTGGGATTGGCCCCTGGTTCTGTCTGATGAAGGAAGAACTCGGCGCCCGCCTGAAGCAGGCTTTGGCCCTTGAAATGCAGGTCCATTACGCTCTGCATGACCACCTTTCTGCTATTCAAACCGAGTTGATGTCAGTAGATGAAGTGCCAGGCAGCTCTCGGGGAGGAAAGGCAGAATTTTGGACCTTCCAGCGCTTCAATGTAGACTTCCAAGTGCGAAGTGTGGCATTCGCCATTGCATGGGTCCTTAGCCCCGAATTCAATTGCGCGCAAACCGGTCTGGAATCAGCGAAAGGAGATAGTCCACTGTTCATTTGACAATCTGATTTCGAAGCCGTCGATGCAGGCATCGGTTTCCAAAGAAACATGAGCCACGGGGAAGATGTCGTAAATTTGGCACGAAGCAGGTTTCAACCAAATCTTCTCGCCTATAACGAAGAACAGACACCTGCATCAGGAACAAGAGAGAGGGCAATAGTTCGAGGTCACTAGACCTGTTAGTTTTCCTGTTATTGAGACCACAAGCTTGCAAGCAATCGCTTTAGCATTGTCGTAGAAAGTGTTGGTCTGAGAGCAACGAGGCCAAAGTCGGCGAGGCTTGATCTCGCCCTTGAAGCTAAACTTGTTCCGGCAAGCCTCGCCAAGCGATTTCTGTCCAATCAGACCCGCCTTCGATATTCGTGATACGCAGAGCAGCGAAATGATCACAGTTTCTTTCCTCCTTTCCTCGTCAATACCTCCCACAAGATTCGCGAAGTCCGGTCGGCTGCCTTGTTGTTATCCTCCCAGTGCTTAGTCCTCGTACAACAATCCCAGCTTGGGCTTATGCGCACACCAGTGGAGCTTCGCTCACGGAGAAATTGCCGTGCCACGAGATCTTGATCGATGTTCGACAGGCCTCGATGACCTTTTGCTCGCCTGTAATGCCCCTTCCTGGCCCAATTTGCACCCATTGCGGCACCTGACTTGATAAAATGCATTCAAAAGCCGAGAAGTGATGAGCAGCAAGCGGAATGATTGCGGTGAAAGACCTTGCTCTTCCGTTGCACGACCCGGCACTCAGAGCGTCTCACCGACATGCAAGGGTACAGCAAGTGCTGTAAACACTCGCTAGCATACCTTCCAGCCGTTGCCCCTCCTTCTGTGAGAGCTAATTCCACCGGTTAGCACAGCATAAGGCTTTGAGGCCTGCCAAAGGCAAATTTTTCGGTGCACAGATTGCACTTGGTTCATGCCAACTTCTTGTGCGCCACGCCAATGGACGACGACATTGACCATGGCGACGCTGGCCTGATTGATACTTCGAGACACCCGCGCTACAGCCGGCGAGTTTTGAACCAGGAAAGGATAGCACATACAAGTCCGGTTCGATGATGGCAATGCTTCAGCTGGTCAGCACTTGCATCTCAGCTGTGAATCCTGTTTTGGCAGTTGGGTATTCCACAGGACACTGACGGCGAAACTTGAAATTCCCAGTGCTTGTAGGAAACAACTGAGTGTCCCACCCTCGCCTCAGGCACAAAAGAGCAAAGATATGCTAGAACGGAAGAATAGACCTTCAGTTAACCACAATCTTCATTGCTATGCACCATGAGATCATTAAGCGTCTCGGTCACGATTTCCTTTTCCCGCCTGTTCTTCCCTTGAAACTTCCCTCAAAACCTGGCCTCTTGACTTTTCCTTTCTTCGAGCCCTTCTCCTCCTTCCTCTTGGCCAAGTTCTCGACTCTTTTCTTCTGCTTCGCGTCTTGAGCCTTCTTCACCCCCTCTAGCCTCTCATTCCACTCTCTCTCACTCTTCTTTTTCTGGCCCTGTTGCCTCTTGAGTGCTTTCTTGAGCAGGGAAGTATTGTCCCGGACGTGTTCGCCATGTGCGCGCCGTTTGGCGTTCAACCACATGTCTTTTTGCTCAATGTCAAGGCGTTTCTCCTCGTCCAGACCAGCCATGCGAGCCTTTTTGGCTTCTGCGAGTTTGAGTTCCGTGGCGGTGTCACGGACGCCTTTCTTTTTGTGTTCCTCCACGGCAGAAGTTGACGAGGGGTCGAACTGTGTGCCGTCTCCGAACGCAATGCGGCCAAACGTGAAGTTGTTGGCGGAATTTGAATTTGGAGAGGAGCCACTGTTGTCGCCGAGCATTGGAGACCGAGGTGACGCCAACAGGGAGCCGGAACCACCTGGCGAGAAGTGCCTTGCGATCTCCTCATCTTGTCGACGAGCCTCTTCTTCTTTCTCTCGACGTTTTTGTTCCTTCTTAGCCGCCTTCTTCGCCTCCTCCTTCCGACGTCGCTGCTCCAACAGCTCTTGTCGGTTCTTTGGTGGACGACCGTCGCCGCCGTCGGCCTTGCGTTCTGCGCGGAATTGGGAAATTGCTTCTTGTAACCGTTCCCGGGGAGTTTTGTCCATGGTGTCGTTGTGGTCGTTGCTCGACGGCACAGTCGTTGGTGGGAGCGAATCCGAATTTGAAGGTTTGACGATTTCGTCAATTGATGTAGGCTGAATAGACGAAGTTGAAGATGTGCCGGACTCGTGTTGCGGGGAGAAAACCTCTTCTGGTTCGTCTTCGGAAGAAGCTGTGGATGGCGATGCTGCATGGGGAGAGCTAGCGCGCTGGGTGGCCTCAAGATCAACCGGAATTTTAAGACTCAGTTCTTTCTTTACTTCTTTCTTCAAGGCTTCCTTCTGAGGGCCAGGGAGTTGTTCCGCTTCCTTCCTCTTGGCTTTTTGTCGTTCCAGCTTCTGCTTGGCCTTGTCCTTTCTTTCCCTTTTCCGTTGTCTTTTCGCAGCCCTTTCCTCTGCCTTCCGGCGTCGTTTGTCTTCTTGTGGGTCTTGAATATCCTGAGGATCAGTTGTTTGATCTGCATCTTTTCTCTCGGTCTTTTGTCTTTTTGGTTTTGGCGCTTGTGCGTCTTGGACAGCCTTCGGCTGTTCCATCTCGCTACCTTCAGGCAGGGCAGGGCTTCCATCAGACTCCTCTTCTTCAGTGTCTCGTTTGCGCTTCAGAACTGCGGCTGCTTCTCTCTCGTCCATGATGTCCTTTGCACTTTTCCAATTGTCGGGGTCTAATTTGGCCATTTTTGCCGCCCGCTTCTGCTCCGGAGTCTGCTTTTTCCTCTTCCATTGATCCTGGATGGAGAATGAGCGCGGGTTTTTTGAGATATGACATTCTTCGCAGTACGTACGCTAACATCTTCTCCGTAGTAGAGCTTTGCTGGAATAAGGGACAGTAAACTGTCAAAAGACCGGGCATGGCATTTGAGCCGCTCCTGCAACGAGATCAGTCAAATTTCCATCGGTGGCAGAGGGCGGTGAAGCATACCGTCAACTCGTCGGCCATGATAATTGGCAAATCGCAATTCAATCCAAACCCCTTCACAGCCTCCTCGCGACACTTTTCTGCGTCGAGGGTTGTATGTCTGTGCTGTCAGAGGGTCAAAGACTTTGCGAGATCTCTAAGATCTAACGACTCGACAGGCGGGTGGCAGTGGAGAAACAACGAACCGCAGGCAAGGTGAAATCTTGGCATGCATTTTTGTGCCAAGCTCACTGCGGGCCACTAAGAGATGGTGGGGAGGCTTGGGAGGCGAGGAGGGTACCCTCGTACTTGGTAATTAGGTGCAGCTCGTTCAAGCCTGCTGTCTCTTGCGCAATCTCTCAGTGTCATATCCAGCCATGACCAGATCACATTCACATTGACACTCTTGCGTCAAAGGCTACATCATGGGTGACCCTCATAAGGGCTACGGGCAGCGTGACTTGGCTGATAGCCGTTGGTGGTCGCCTCTTCCCAAACGATCAGGGACCAGCCTCTTGCAGCTGCACCGAACTCTTTGCTAAATGGATCGCAACGTCCACCTTTTTCGTTCTTCGCACAGCACCTCCTTGCATTTTCCTACTTCTTCTACCATTCGCCAGAATGATTTTCACCACTCCGTAACCTTCTGACTGATACCTAAAGACAGGCGAGGAGGACGCCGGGCAAGAGAGGGAAATGTTTGAAAACATCATACCTGGTGACCGTGATACGCAGGAGATACGATACCTGATGGGCCTCAAGAGACCTACCTAGGTACCTGGTAAGGGACATAAAACTCAAGGATCGCTTACGCGCGTTATCACGGGAACACGCGACCCTTTCAAATTCCCTTCAGAATACACGTTGTCAAAATGGCGGCGAAGGTGAGGACGAGGACTATATGAATCAGATGGCGGGCAACAGAGCTATAAGACTCCTATCTACACCCGAGACAACTTTCTGGAAAGGACCAGCTACCATGGCAAGAAGCTCCAAAGACGTATAGAGGTAAGGGCAGGTTCCCGGCAAACTGCAGTTGAGCTTGGCGCGGTAGAAGGGATGATCCACCGAGCATTGCAAGCATTCGAAGAAGCAGTGAGAGCTAAAGATACAAGAAGACTGTGCGCAGGCAACAGCCTTAGTGACATTCTCGTCAGTGAAAGGAAGTTGCACACCGCACAAACCCTACCCTGTGGAAGCGAGCTCCTCCAGGTTTGGAGACAGCAACGAAGCGGAGAACAGGACGGATATCAACACGGCCAGCGAAGTAAGTCCCCTGTGTATCTGGCAGAGAAATAGAGTAGGCGGAGGAGACGTGTCAGCGGAGTTTGCAAGGAGGGTGTCGAGTATTTTCGCAAACCCAGCCGGATCCGAAACCGCTGCTGTTGCTTCGAAGGTTTGTGGAAACATTGCCAGGTTCACATATTTTTGCGCAGGTAAGAAGATACAAAGGGGAAAGTCTGACGAGTAAAGTCCTCTTGGAAGCTCCCACAATCTCTGTGAGATCCTTGTAAGAGCGCTGAAATCGATCGAAGCAACCCAGGTTACAAGCAACACACCTCGGTTGTTGATCGACATCTGATAGCGAGACTTTGGGCTAAGACCAACATACCTATGAAGAGAAGCTTGTTTCGAGAATCTGCAGGATGCTTCGACTTTTTCCATGGTCCGAAGCTGGAATTTTTTGGTTCCGCTGGTGGTCGAACTCTGATATTTGTTGCCGTACGTTATAGGCAAAGGCAGAGTTTGGATGAGCCCCAAGGAAATTCTGCGCCACACATGAGAAAAGCTCGTTTCCAACAATATTAATCTCTCGCAAGCCAGCTGATGTTCTTCATTTCTTCCCAGACCACTTTCTCTCTAGTGCCCTGAGCGCTGTTTCTTCGTTGCACACATTACCACGCCTTTGGCCTTGGATCCAAGGAAGACGCCATCGCAATGGCTTTCTATGGCTTGGACAAACAAGCCGCACGTCCCCCCGAGCCACATCTCACCCTCGAGATCGTGGCTGCACACGAGATCACCGAGGACATGATCAAAGAAGCGGCCGCGTTGTTCTCGTCTTCATACGGCATTTGGGGCCCGCACGCAGAAGAAAAGATGGGACCGTTTGCGAAGCATGGTATCTGGGCATTGTCTTCGTGGGTAGTCAGAATGCTAATCGTCGCAACAGGCCGCCGTGTTCGTATGAGCGTCGACCGCCTGCGGCAACAGTGCTTGCCCGATGGTGCAGAGAACTTCTTCGTTAGAGCAATGGCCGGCAGCAGTCTGGTCGGCCATGTTTTTGCCACATTCTGGAACTTCGAGGACCGTCAAGTCTGTTGGGTCACTCAGTTGTGCGTGGACCAGCAACACAGGCGTCGCCGGCTGGCTACAAGGGTAAGGAGTCTCTCCAAACTATGTTATGACAACCCCAATCTGAGACCGCCTAGCTTCTGCTCAAGCTTCGAGAAGATAGACCGAACTGTACTTTCGGTATTCTGAGTTCACATCCTGCCGCAATCCTTGCGGCGTTGAGAAGTTTCGGACGCGGGCTCGAACGGGCCAATCTGGATTGCGCGAGAGAGCATGCGAGAGATGTTATGAAGTCTAGTCCGGTCAGATATGTCAGGTCGGCTATTTTGAGAGGCAGCCTTTTCGAGGGGCACTGGACGCAGGGGGTCGTCTGCTGTGCCGACACGAGTTTCTGGGTTGACCATGAGGAACCGGCAGAAGCTTTGCATGTAGTGAAAGCGAGGGGACTCGTCTGGCCTTTTGGCGACCTGCCCGACGGTCATGAATACCTCTTCTTGGTCGAGGCAGCATAGGTATACTTGGAGCAGAATTTTGAGAGCCGTGAGCGCCTTGTGTAAGAGTCAACAAAAGTAGATGTGCTGGAGAGGAACGCCGAGTGCATCATATTCATTGCCGCTTTTGGCGCTGCTTTCCTCTTCACCGCCAACTGCCATCTCGTGTTTTCCTGATCCACGAATCAATCCATCATCTCAAACGGTAATATCACATCGAGTGGATAGCAGTTGCAATTAATCAACTTCCCCCGTATGATGTTTCCAAACAGCCAGACACGGCGTTGAACGACGCCTGCAGATGGACACATCGGCTGAACATACAGAACTGCCCTAACCATGTCGGCGGTCATCACCAAAATTCTGACTACACTGCTCTGGCTCATTGTGATCTCAGTCGTCACCAATATTGTCAAGCAGCTGTTGTTCCGAGATCCTCACAGACCGCCAGTGGTATGGCATTGGTTTCCCCTGATTGGCAGCACCGTCGACTATGGACAAGACCCATACGAGTTCTTCTTCAAATGCCGAGAAAAGGTGCGTTACACTTGACCCCGTATGGGCAGTCTTGTTCTTACAGAAGCTGGTTGAGATGGATCCCGTTCATGGCTCACTCTCGCTGATCGGCGTGCCAGTACGGTGACTTCTTCACATTTGGGCTGCTCGGGATGAAAGTCACGGTATACCTGGGGGCAAAGGGCAACAACTTCATCTTGAATGGGAAGCTGAAGGATCTTAACGCCGAAGTAAGCGGTGCACCGCTCTCCATAATCATGATCTCGCTACTCACCGCGTCTGCAGGAAGTATATGGTCCATTAACAGTCCCGGTCTTCGGTCGCGGCGTGGTGTACGACGTGGACAATGCAAGGTTCATGGACCAGAAGAGGGTACGGCCAATTGTCGCTTTGCAGCTCTTACAAGAATTCCAACTCCCCACGTCTCTGTTGCTGATATGTTTCATGCTGCAGCTGCTGAAGGAAGGTTTCACAAGTACGAACCTACGCGCATACGTCCCCCAATTCATCAAAGAAACCGAGCAGTACATCAATACCAACGCGATCTTCCAGGGTGAGGGCGGAGTATGCGATATATCTACCGTGCTCTCCGAGATTTCCTTGTATAGCGCAGCAGGCTCACTCCAGGGGAAGGAGGTCAGAGATTCTTTCGACTCCTCATTCGCCACTTACTACCGTCATCTCGACGACGGCTTTGCTCCAATCAACTTCATGTTTCCATGGCTGCCCATACCTGTCAACCGGAGACGAGATCGTGCTCAAAAGATGATGGCCAATCTGTATATGGACATTATCAAGAAACGACGGTCGACTGGGAACGAAGATGGCAGCCACGATATGCTCTGGGCCCTCATGGACGGCCGGTATAAAGAGGGCACGCCCCTAGCAGACGAGGAGATAGCCAATCTCATGATAGCTCTGCTCATGGGCGGGCAACACAACTCCGCAGCCTCTGGGACCTGGATCATGCTTCATCTCGCCCACCGTCCACATCTCATTGAAGAGTTGTACCAAGAGCAGCTCAGTGTCCTGGGTGGTCAGGCCCCGACCTATGACACGTTGCAGGAACTTACCCTGCATAACAATGTCATCAAGGAAACGCTGCGTCTCCATAGCCCTATCCATTCGATCATGCGCAAAGTCAAGCAGCCGATGCAGATTCCTGAGACAGACGTCGTCGTTCCTGCAGGCCACATCTTACTGGCGGCTCCCGGGGTTCCTTCTCGATGCGAGGAATTCTTTCCCGATCCGATGGCGTGGAACCCGCATCGATGGGACAAGCCAGATGAGGCGGGGCAGCAACAACAATTGAATGAGAAAGGCGAGGATAATGACACGATAGATTACGGATATGGAGCTGTCTTGTCGAAGGCGGTCAACAGCCCTTATCTGCCCTTTGGGGCCGGTCGACATCGGTGCGTCGGAGAAACTTTTGCCTACGCACAGCTGGGAGCCATACTTGCGACGTTCGTGAGACTTTTGCAGTGGGAGCAAGTCGATCCCATGGCACCGGTGCCTGCCACGGACTATTCGGTAAGTACGATGCCTGTGAATGAGTCTCCGAAGCACCCCTTGGTCAATCTCCTCTAGGAGCTTCAAACCTCCGAGATTATGGAAGTACTAACGGATTTCGCTTCGACAGTCGATGTTCTCGCGACCAATGCATCCAGCTACAGTTAAGTGGCAGCGCCGACATTGACGCGTTACTGCCCACGAATAGGGACCCCTTCAAGCGCGCAAGGCTGTCCTATAACGAAACTGGTTGTGGCATATCCGGCGTCGCCTCGTAACTGATCCTCCCTGCCGGCAAAAAGAATAACGCCACCAATGCACCGCCTCTTACTTCGGGATAATGGTGCGTGCCAGGCCCAGGACTGGTCCAACCAGCCCCCTGCCACCCTTGCATGCCTCGCAACTCGGCCGTCTCATCCACCAAGATGACACAGTTGATTTCCCCGTACGGATGTTGATGGTATTGGCCCCGATACACCTCCTTCGAGTCCATGTACACCGTGGTGATGGAGATGAAGTTGCTCTCCGGCGTGGGCGGGGCGATGCGGCCGCGACGGTACTTGGGCCCGTCGAGTTCGTCGCGCGCCACCCAGCCTTCCTTGAGGCCCAGACGCATATAGTGCGCAAAGGCCTCGTAGAAGGGTGTTCCTGGGCCGTAGTCGCGGTTTAGTCGGGCCTCGAGGTCTTTGCCTGGGGTTCTGGTATGGCCAGGCGGAGCTGATGTTAGTGGTGATGACGATTGACAGGGGAGAAAAGCATCAGACACGTGGCCCTCAAAAGACAAGCGCACGATGAAAGGCGAGGAAGGGGACTTTGCGTACATGTTCTTAACCTCGCGGAAGAAGTCGTGGCATTTTGACACGAATTCCTTCGCAGTGGGATACGCCTCGAGATCGAGGAGGGGAGCGTCCGCCATCTTGTCGAGATGCGAAAGACGATAATTGTGTTCCTGCGCGGAAACGAGCAAACTAACTATTTCCCTCTATTCCTCTTTTTCCTCTCCTCTGGTCGTCCGTCCGTGTGGCTGTCTGTCTGTCTCATTCGCCGCTTTTAGAGCGAATCTCTCGTAAAGTACTCTCGATGCCCGGTCGAGTCCCTCGAATAGTTCAAGTTCAAGTTCAATTAGATCAACCTTCCAAATCCCCTTTTGTCACACCATCAACCCCTGTGTGTTCTTCGCGGCCCTGTCTTTCACCAGAGAAACTGGTACTCGTATAACCGATGAAAGGCAGCCGGGGGGGCGCCTTGATCCTAAGCTCACATTCACGGTGGATATGTATCGGTCGGTGAAAGACGTTTGATAATCTGTTACTCGTAGTCAGATGAGTCAAGTGGTGTGTGTGTGTGTGTGTGACTTGTTACAATTTGTGAGGCCACCAATGATACGCCGTACGAGCAGGACATTTCCGTTCCCCCTCCTCCCGCGGCCGCATGGTGCGAGATAAGCCGAGTTGAGTGCCGGTTTACCATACTTTGGGTGTGTCTGTGCGACGTGCAACACGACTATCCGTCGAAGACTCTCTTGTCCCTCTATCTATGAATTTACTGATAAACGGTCAATGACCCTAGTTCTTACATATATGCTATGTACGTACGTTCTGCATTGAACAAGATACATACCAGGTTTCTCGTCGGGGTGACATACCTACAGACGCTGACGGCACCACCACCAGCGGTGCGCCATGTGAACGGCGCGTCGACAGATCCCATCCTACCCTAGGGCAGCATTTGTCACCTCGAACCTTGACTTACAATATGCGATGAGATATGTTCCTGTGAGAACGTGGTTGAGGATTGGGCTTGAATTACCAGCACCGAGACAACCCACTCATTGATCAGGGAGGGACTATTGGGGGTGGACCGATATCCGGTCGTCATGGAGAACTTCGATCTAGTCATCGTCGGTGCAGGTGAGCTGACTTACGCCATTAAAGGCCCTGCAAAGGCCTGCATACTCATTCATAGATGATCGCAGGATGGCACGGACTCGCCATGGCCAAGACATACTCCGAGGTCTGTCCAGACGCCAGTCTGCTCATCATAGACTCTGCCACGTCCATCGGCGGCACGTGGGCCAAAGAGCGCCTGTACCCTGGCCTCAAGACCAACAACATCGTCGGCTCGTACGAGTTTGGCGATTTCCCCATGACACCTGAGAGATTCGGTGTCAAGCCAGGACAGCATATTCCCGGCACAGTGGTGCATGAGTATCTGCGTCAATTTGCGGAGCAGTTCGGTCTGGTGTCGCGGTTGAGGCTGCAGACCAAGGTTGAATCCGCAGAACTGCACGAGACCGGTGAGTGGCTGCTTCGAGTGCGTAGACAGGCTGAGAACGGTGGAGCGTCATGTCTGAAGGCTAGGCGGCTTGTTGTGGCTACGGGGTTGACCTCTGAGCCGTACGTGCCCAACTATGCTGGAAGGGAAAGTTTCACGGGGAACTTCTTTCATTCACGCCAGCTAAGAGATCGTGCAAAGGATATACAGGCGTCGAAGGAGGTCGTGGTAGTTGGGGCCAACAAGTCGGCATGGGATGTCTGCTATTCTGCTGCGATCTCGGGAGCCCACGTGAATATGGTCATCAGACCAGAGGGCGGCGGCCCCAGTTGGGTATGGCCTGTCATGTTTTCTCCGTTCAAGCTGTCGATTCAAAGAATGGCGACTACAAGGCTTTTCACCCTGTTTGAACCCTGCATCTGGGCTGGGGGCAGCGGGTTCAACCTGGTCCGGAGGCTCCTGCACCAGACCTGGCTGGGTCGGCAGTTGGTGAAGCTGTTCTGGAAGATACTTGCAAATCCCGTGCTCTCAGCAAACGCATACCACAAGCATCCGGAGCTGAGAAAATTAAAGCCCTGGGCGTCAATGTTCTGGATGGGCAATTCCCTGGGTGTTCACAATTATGAAACCAACTGGTTCGAATTGGTGGAGCAGGGAAGGATAACTGTCCATATCGCTGACGTCTCATCTCTGGCGGATAATGAGGTCCATCTTTCAAATGGTGAAGTGCTTCATGCTGACACTTTTGTCTGTTGCACCGGCTGGAGGGTGGCTCCGCCCATCAAGTTCATGCCACCAAGTGTGGCACCGCAACTGGGACTCCCAGGATCAGAAAAGGCTGAGACTAAGTATCTCGTCAAGCATGCGGATGAGGAGATTTTCAAAGCTGTGCCAGGTCTTCGCGCAGGGCCTATAAAAGTTCTGCCAGATGGACTAGGACCGATCCATGTCTCGGGAGATACCCTGGCGCACGCACCGTATCGGTTGTATCGTTTCATGGTGCCGCCGGCAAAGATTTTTCTGGACCACCGTAATATAGCTTTCATCGGGGCTCACCTTGCTCTCAACGCCATCACGGTCGCACAAGCTCAGGCGTTGTGGATAACGGCCTTCTTCCAGCATAAGATCCCGAAGTTGAACTCTTCCACAACCACTCACCAGGATATTGAATATCAAACGATCCTCCAAAGTGAGTACTGCCGGTGGAGACACCCACCTACTGGCGGAGGTGCAGGCGGGAGATGTCCCGATCTCGTCTTCGATGGGCTGCTGTACACCGACTTGCTCCTCCAAGATGTTGGCATAAACAACTTCAGGAAGCGTAATGTCTGGGAGGAATTGTTTGATCGGTACTTGCCCAAAGACTATGCTGGAATGACAGGGGAATTGAGAAATCGAATGAGGTCCGGCCATAGTTAAGCCTGCTCAGAAGGACCATCAATGAAGGCCTGAGAAATGAGGTATCTTCGACTCTTTTACAAAACTGCTCGTCCATTCGCACTTCGATGCACGAAATGGTAGCCCTTAGGTCCTATCTCCTGGACCTATGTGGGAATCCTATTATCATGACATGATCAACTGCATGAGCCTCGGCGCGCGTCCGCACCATCTCTAAACCTCCAAGCTGTGGTTGAACGACGGTAGAATAATTTCCCTTCTTGTGATTCCCAGGGAGGATGGGGAAGATTGTCGAAGAGCATGATCCACGAAGACGCGGAATGAAGTCGCAGTCATCTGGGTCATTCCGAAGCCAATAGCCTCGGAGCCGCCTGACCATACTGTGTAGAGGCAGGGGTAAAGATCCGTCCAGTAATACTAGACGGCACCACCAAGACGGGATTTCGGCTGCAGCGAATGCTCAAGGACAACCTTATTTCTTTCTCCTCTTGGATACTTGGTGCATTTCTCTAGTCAGACAGTCGGGGTCTGCAGACGTCAGCCTGAAGCCCGATACTTGGTGCAGAGTCGGATTTAGGAGATACAAGAAACACTTGGTGTATGACTGTTACCAGCTGTCGGCAGCGAAGACACCAGCATGGAAATAAGATTCAAGTCTCATAGAAGCAAGATATAGAGTCGTATATAAAGTCGCCTGTTCACCGTCACAAGACGGACACTTGGACAAGGAACCACTGCAAAGTAACAGAAAGAGAAAACGGCAATGTTCGAATCCAGCTGCCTGTGTGGCGCAAATCGACTGAGTTGGGAAGCCGAGCCCTTCTTGAGGGTATGTCTGCCATACTCTTCCGATGAATTCTAGGTCTGACACTGCTTCCAGATGCGCTGTTGGTGTGTTGACTGCAAGAAGTTTTCAGGGTCAACGAATACAAACAATATCCTGGTACCCTTCAAGGGGATGAAGGTGGTGAAGGGCAACCTCAAGACGTTCACATTGGACGTCGATTCTGGAAACCAGATGACCAGCTTCTTCTGCGACCATTGCGGGTCGACCTTGTACCGTAGGAGCAGCGGAATCAGTGGTGGCGTCGCCGTGATGATTGGTGGTGTTGATGGGGATGAGATGCTACACGCCAGCAAGCCCCAGGTGGAGATTTATACAGATCATCGTCCGGAATGGGTCGCTGCCATCCAAGGGGCCGAGCAAGTGAAGGGCGTGTGGCATCCAAGCCCTGACCAATTGCCCAAACACGCTTGAAGTGGTGGATGGAACACATTGGATGCAGCAAGCAAGACGGGTGACTTCTTATGTCAATCCAAACGAAAAAGGAGCCCGACCTAGTTTTGTTATAAGGAAGAAGCAAGTTGAAGAGGGAACAGGAGTTGAGGGAGACAGCCTCTTGACATGGTGCCTGTCACGTGACCACGGTGCTTTTTCGCTCTGATCCTGTGACCACGAAATCCAAAGAAACAACTTCTTCATCCTTCTTTTCATATCATCGAAGTCTTTCCTCGGCGATTCAAAATTGTTTTTTTATCCATGTTCCCTACTGTCCTCTGCCCGGACGTGAAGGGACGCCGTTGCATGTCGAGGCAGACCGGACCCAGGCTTGTCGTTGCTCCGATGGAGCTTTCAATTAGTGACGCCAGCTGCGTGATTCCAACTCTCGACTCGAGGTCAAGATCATTCGATTCCCGTCGCCTCTACTTGCCGGCTGTACCTCCGATGAGCCCTTCAAGCCTCCGAACTCCTCCCAACTCTTCATTGGTGACTACATGCGCCGGAATTCGCCTTCTGCAATGATCTTGTCGCTGCCGACTCCTTGCCTGCGCAGGCCGCGGGAACTCCTATGCGGATTACCTCAAAGTTTTCATCGGAGCAGAGCGAATGTATTACGTCGGTTTTACGCTATGTGAGCGAAAAAAGAGCAAGATGAGAGACATACACACAGCAAGTACCAGTCAGGAGTTTTGATCGAGTAAAAATGGCCTTACTATCGAGTAATGGACATACACTTTCAGAGGTTGCCGAGGCCGAATCAGGCTTAGAACACGCCCGAGGACCCTTATCACAAGCCTTCCGACTCCCGAATTCCGGCCAGCTGCATGAGGGAAAGCGTCCCTGCCCAGAGGCTCCTGGTCCAGGCACATGTCCCCAATTCCCAACGATAACAGGCGTACGTCAGCGCCATTGATGCCCACCATCCCACCAAAATTCAAACTTCAGCTTCCGGCGAGATGTCTCCTCTTATCTCTACTCGATATGATCGAGTAACAGATACCGCCCACGCGCTCAGCGTCGGCGCGCATGTCTATTCTCACCAATAGCAACTCTCAGAGCGTCCCGACATTCCAGAAGTCGATCGGACTCCTCCGCGTGGAGGGCTTCTGACCTTCCCTCCTGCGATATGTCTGAGGATATCCAGCAGGTCCTGTCTCCCGACGGTGGCTGTGAGACACCCGGGCTGATTGCGATGGATGTTCGCGAGTGGCCATTGAAAGGTGGTATGTCTCTCTTTTGTTCTCGTCCTTTGTTCTATCCGCTTGAATTCTCGCCCCAATTCCGTTCTCAAAAAAGGTGCTGAGACGACGATTGACTTGCGCGGTGCTTATCAACTCGGTGTGATAAGGACTGTATTCCCCGGTTCACATGCTCAGCGTCTCCAGTCCACCCGTTGTGTGCTCTCAAACCCTGTGCTGTTCATATCCATCCTTTGCAAGCGGCTTGTGCTCTACGGCCTACCTTAACAATGACTAGCTGGACCAGAGCCTTCCACCCTTATCCGACGCCTCCACGGTCTCCCCCGAATGGCTTGTTAGAGGCAGCAGGCGAGTCTCCGATAACTGTGATCGCTTCGTCTCGAGTCATCCTGTCTGGACGACTTTCCCCGGCTACCATTGTCATATCCAATGCCACAGGCAAAATCACCGCGACCTTTGATTCGATCGTTCCTGCGTCCGATTTCCCTCCCGATACACCATACACTGACTACTCGCCCTATATACTTCTGCCGGGCTTAGTGGATGCCCATGTCCACCTCAACGAACCCGGCCGAACAGAATGGGAGGGCTTCTACACGGGGACGCAAGCCGCCGCCTTTGGTGGAGTGACGACTGTGGTGGACATGCCATTGAACGCTGTACCGCCTACAACCACAGTGGCGGGGCTGCAAGAGAAGATCAAAGCAGCACAAGGCCAATGCTGGGTTGACGTTGGCTTCTACGGGGGCATCATCCCTGGCAACGAGGGCGAACTCAGGGCCCTAGTCAGAGAGGGAGTGAGGGGATTTAAAGGGTTCCTCATTGACAGCGGCGTCGAAGAGTTTCCTGCGGTCTCATCCACCGACATTGCAAAGGTGTTCGCTGAGTTAGCAGATGAGCCTACGACTGTCATGTTCCATGCAGAGATGATACCGCCCATTGCAGACTCGGTCGGAGACGATGTCCAGATATCGTTACCTCCCTTGCAGCCACACGGGCCTCTCAATGCGTACAGCACTTTCCTCGAGTCGAGGCCGCCCTCCTTTGAGACCTATGCCATTGAGGAAATTCTCTCCTTGGCTCACCTCGCGCCAAACTTACCATTGCATATCGTCCACTTGTCAGCCATGGAAGCTATTCCTCTGTTGAGGAAAGCACGCGCGCAAGGGATTAACATCACGGCCGAAACCTGCCCGCACTATTTGTCCCTGGCTGCAGAACAGGTTGCTTTGGGTGACACGAGACACAAATGCTGCCCACCCATTCGAACCCAGTCGAACCAAGATAGTCTCTGGGAGGAATTGAGACAGCATGCCGTGGAAGGCGTGATCAAGACGGTGGTATCGGATCATTCGCCCTGTACACCTGATCTTAAGATTCTTCCTTCACACATACCTGGACATATCTGTCAACCAAAGGACAACGTCAAATCCTTACAATTAGAGACAGACCGAGGCGACTTCTTCTCCGCATGGGGAGGCATCTCATCTGTGGGGCTGGGGCTCCCCATCCTGTGGACGGAAATGACTCGCCGGGGTTTGACTGGTACAGACTCAGCCATCACCGACGTAGTGACATGGTGCTGCACCAATACTGCCTCACAGGTAGGGTTGGAAAAGCAGAAAGGGGACCTTGCCGTCGGGTTTGACGCCGATATCTGTATCTTTGACGATACGAAGGAGTGGATTGTAGAGCCCAGCACGATGCTGTTCCGGAACAAATGCTCACCGTATCAAGGAAAGACCATGATCGGACAGGTCAAAGAGACGTGGTTAAGAGGGAAACAGGTGTTTGTGAGGGACGGACTCAACAACGGGTTTGTCGGGAAGGAATGCGAGGGGCAGTTGCTGCTAGAGCCAAGGATCAAGGAGTTGAAGAAGGTGAAGAGTTGGTTCAGGAGGTGGATTTATGATTTTGATGGTTGATCTTCCAAGGTCTTTTTTGATGAGATTCAGACATGATGACAGTAGACATTCTTCGAACAAATACCATTTCATGTTTTAGCCTTCTCTTGATCCCTCTGCCATTTCTCCCTTACACGCCTCCTCATCCCGCCATTGATTCCCTTGCCCCATATCTCTTCTTTCTCCATAATCGCATTCACGTCGACTGACACGGGTGTGCCCTTAGCATCCAGGGCTATTCCTCCTGTTTCTGTACCAGTATACTCTCCGAGGACAACCTTCCGCTCTTTCTTCTTTCTCTCCTTGTCCCTGCTCATCTTGACTTTCCTCAAATACGCAGCATATACGCCGACTTCAGCAACTCCCACTACTATCCCTGTAGCTAGGGACAGGAGTACCCGTATCCCGTCGTTAGCCCACCACCGCGTCAAGTAGAATATTGCGGCTGCGCAGAGGACTATGCTGAGAAAGATGTTGAGCACGAGCGAAGGGGAGATGTCGTCGTCGTTTTCATCTTCTCGTCCTGTATTGAGAGAACTTGAGAGGGAGCTGGAAACGAGAGAGGCGTATTCACGCTGTTCTTGTTCTCTGCGTAACCTTTCCATAAGAGCGACGTACTCCGGTGATGGCTGGGGTTTCGGCGGTGGTGGGGGGACATAGATGTGAGTGCCGCGAAGGAGGTTGTTGAGTGTGATTGTCTTATTGAGGCGAGACATGGCGATGAGCGTGGTGTGCTCGATTGCTTGGCCGCATGTTGTGGGCAAGTCTGCGGTGGCCAGGGATGAGCGATCGTTGGGTGAGAGCGAGGAAATGGTAGAGAGGATGCGAGGTGTGGTCGTAAGGAGGACCATCTTGTCCTTTCGTCCGGATGTGCAAGTGAACGAAATCGAAGGTCAGTCTTCCATTTGAGTTGATGGTTGGTGCCGAGATGATTGAAAGCAGCCTTGTAGCGCGAGATGATGGAGGTGCTAACGAGGCTGCAACAATGGGTCTCTTTGAAGCTCACCAGCCCTGAAGCGAGCTCCCCCGCTTCTCGCATGCGCGCCAAACGCTGTAGATCCTTTACTATAGTTACTATAGCATGTGTGGATCTCTCACTCGAGATTCACCTTCTTTCCAAACCTCAACTCCACACGCGGTTTGCGATCCGATGCGGCACCTCGTCATGTACAATTTCTCACTCAACGCTTCTCACAATCCTTTCCCTCATCGCATGTGGCCTCTGACGGCCATGTGTATGCGCGTAATATGAAGCAGTCCTTCACATTGCGCGATTATTATGGGACAAACTCAAAGTCAAGAGTCCGAGTCTACCTCGCTTCCAAAGTCTGAGCACGAGGAGCGTAAGTGAAATCTATTGAGTCGAGTTATTGGCGCTTTTGTGATTGATTGCGCGTTCAGAAGAATTCGACTTTTCTCAAATCCCCGACGACCGTGTCCAAGCTTTGGGCCCCAACTCCGATGCGGAACCTGATCTCAATCCGGCACCTGCTCCTGATGAGTCCACAGGCATGGCAAGACGCTTCAATCGCAAACACAGAACGCAGGCGCTGGCGGTGAGAGACGCCACGACCAAGCCGCGTAGCGAATCCAAGAAGCGCAGTCGCAGACGCCGGCTGTCAGTAAACAGCTCCAGCGACGACTGGGCGAATGAAGCAACAAAACGAAAGTCCCCCTCTCTCCGACACCCGACCGACACAAGTCCTCACAAACCCTTGAAAGAGACGGAGCCAGAAACCTATCACATATATGCGACGTCGGATACCAGCGACGGAGACAACGCCAAAAGCCCTCGGCGGCAGAGCGGGAACACTACATTCACCGCAGTCAATGGAGCGAGTCAGCGAGGTACCGCTGCAGCGTCTCACACGCGCTTCCACAGCTCGGAAGATGACGATCCAATTATCAAGCAAGCTGAGACTATCCACGCAAAACCTACGCCTGAGGTTGCCGTTGCATCAGGGACCAATGCGACAAATGGAGAGACTTCTGGCGTGCCCGCTGCGGAGATGCCACAGCTCAAGTCGAACGATAAAGGCCGGTTTCTATGCCCTTGGGCGGACGTCCACAACTGCAAATTGACCTTCGGCTCGGGAAAGGCAGCGAGAAGACACGCGAACGTACACACGATGAGCTTCCGTTGTGTTGTTTGTGGAAAACAGATGAGCCGAAAAGATACGCTGGCGAATCATATGAAGCTACACAGTGCATTGCAGATTGCTTCTGCTGAAGCCTCCTCAAAGCTCAATGAAGATCCAGAGGTCGAGATGCCTGAGCAACCACAGTCTACGCAGCCGAATGTGTCAAATGACGCACAAACCCAGGTCGAGGACGGGGAGCCACCAGAAGAGGATTCCATGGAGTTTACCACTCCTCAAGAGAAACCGGAGTCTAAGGATCATGGTCACAGCCTCGACGTGGAACCTCGGTCAGATGGACTGGAAGGACCGGAGATCGAGATGCATGAGGCTACGCGTGATGCCGACGTCGCCGAAGATCTTTCCGACCCTAAGTCAACCTCCCCCTCTAGCGTCTTCGATGAAACAGAAAATATAATCGTGAAAGAGACTCCGATGCCGAGAGCAAACCTCAAACGTAAACGGGACGCCGGAGACGGTCCCCAACCCCAACGAAGCAGCCCTGAGAGAACCCGCAAACGCAGGAAGGGGTCGCCTAACTCCCCGCCTACTTCCGTCCCACCTAACGAAACAAGCAAGCCAGATTCACTAAAGAAACCAGGGGTTACAGATGTCCTTCAAAGTCGGCAGATCACGGACAAGATTGTACCACGACTACAGAAAAGACAGGGGAGCATGGATGGCTGGGCCCAAAAATATACGCCAGGTTCAGGCCTCAGACATCCAACCCTCAATCCGAAGTCACCGCCATCTAGCTCCGTCAAACAGCGGCCTGAGGTGGTCGTTCCAGGAACAAGCCAAGCTGGCCCTTCTAGCATGAAGTCCAAGAAAAAGGACCTCGCCCCGACGGACGGCGCAACGGGTGCCGACCAGGAGCGTTCTGACGCCGACGCCTTGGAAGGACTCGGTCGGAAGAAACTAAGAAAAGCTACTTATGCGACACCAAAGGGCAAAAAGCGAGCAGAGCCTGATGTGGATTATTCGACTCCGATGAAGGATTCTGTTCATGTTGAGGTTGATGCTTCTCACAGCGAGGACGACAGTGAACCTGTTGACATTGCAACGTCTGTTGCCAAAAGGACGTTTCAGGAACGAGATGAGGATGAGGATCATGATCCAGACCTTGATGGAGATCAAACTACCAGTTCCGAAAATGATGTGAGCGAAGTAGAGTCAGCCAGGAAAGCCAATAGAGTCAGCAAAGCTCCAAAATCCAAGCAATCCGGCAATGCAGACTCGCTCGAGTGCGCCAGGTGTCATCGGAGATTTGCAAATCGCAATCTGCTCAACAATCACTTGAAGAAGCCTCGTGCGCATGTGGGTCTGTTTAAGTGCCAGGAATGTTCAGAGGAGTTTTGGGCGAGTACTGCTCTCGCCGAACACGAGAAGGACATGGGCCACGGCAAGGGTAACGGTCTACAAGGACGCACTGGCGCCTTCAGTCAAGTCGAGCTCAACAAATTAAACAGGTGGAGAGATAGGTTTTGCGAGTACCACAACATCAGCCGAATTCAGTTCAACGACATGATGACGGATACCATGACACGGGACAAAAGAAGCAGTTGGAACTGGCCGTTCATCAAGCGAGCAGAGTTTCTAAAAGAGTATCTTGGTGTTCTCCCGAATCGGAATAGACGATCAATGCTGCGTTATCGTGAACGAAACTTTCAGAACGTGGAGGGGTCGAGGAATTGGACGGCCGAAGATGACAACGACCTGATTCGATTGCACAAAGAACTCGGGCCAAAGTGGGCTGAGATCGCAAAAAGGCTGACGAGGACAGTCGATGCAGTCAGTCAACGATGGCACCATAAATTACGCTACGGCGAAGTAGACACTGGTGAATGGTCCAAAGCAGAGGATGCCAAGTTCCGCAAGATTTTGGACGAGTTACGGCGCGACTCGGACGGGAATGAGTTGCAGGATTACCGCATCCCGTGGAACAAGGTCAGTGAGAGAATGGGCACACGGTCCGCGCAGCAGTGCTCGAACCATTATCGCGCTCGGCATTCGAAAAAGGAGCGAGGGAAGTGGCTTAAGATTGGCGCCTTGGAGAAGAGCCCGAGGTCAACTCGGATTCTGACACCGTCAAAGATGGAGCTGAGGCTAAGTGGGAATACGAAAAAAACAAGGACTTCGAGGAAAGGCCTCTCGGAAGAGTATGTTGTCGATGACGAGGAAGAGGGTAGTGAAGGTCCGGAAGAAGACCAACGAGATGGCGAAGCCTCCGAGAACGACAAGGCGGCAGAGGATGCTCCGAACGAGGATACTAGCAGTGATTCTGGATCTGAATCAGAAGCGGATGTCGAGGTTGAGGATCAATCGCGCTCGTCGGCCAAAGATGGAGATCCGACTGATGAGATTTCTCGCACACGGATTCCGCTAATCACAAAGACGCCTGGTAAAACTCTTGGGTCAAGCCAGTTGTTCGAGCAGACCCAGGCCAACACTTCAGCACTGAAACCTTCACAAACGAGCAGCAAAAAGGCAAGACTGCAGGAAAGCCAGGAACGACCGTCGCCGAATATTCCCATCCAGCGACGGCGACTGGAATCGAGATCTCCTTTGGAGGAGATTCCTGTGCTGGAAAATGGTGACTTGGCTTCTGAGGAGGAGGAGGACGAGGAGGAGGAGGACGAGGAGGAGGAGGACGAGGACGAGAACGAGGACAAGAGCGAAATGAGTGGGGGAGATGATGACCTGGGCGCGGCTCAGCAGACTGACGAGGAACGTGACACTACCTCTGAGGGCTCTGCGGATGAAGACGAAGACGAGGACGGATCCGCAGAGCAGGCTGTCGACGCTGAAGCGGTAGAGACCGACGATGACGACGATGACGACGACAACAATGATGACGATGATGATACTGCAAGTACGGACGAGAACACGGATGGGGATGATGGTGATGACGTTGATGAGGACTCGTCCCTTGAGGGTGGGGATGAAGATTTGGGAGAATCCGTTGAACATGAACACGGGTCAAGTTTCATGGACAGTATCAACGAGTCTGCGAAACGGTCGAGGATTCGGAGTAGTCAGTCAGTCAGACATTAATGGGCGGTCTAGGTACCATTACCGGTACCAGTACCAGTCCTACCCAGGTAGGCTTTGGCCGTCGTGACTCGTGATGGGACGAGAATTACAAATGCACAAGTTACATCAGGAACAGGACCAGGACCACCTACAAGAGGTACCTACCTAGGTAGTGATGAGGAACAAGAACCTCGAATGAGGAAACGGGGATGGAAAAGGAGCTGAATACCAGGTAGTCAGACTCTTCCTCATCCACCTGTAAATCCTGGAGTACCTACCTAGGTAATCAATGAGACCTCGGGGGGTGGTAGGCCTACTTCTCCATTGTCAAACTTACAGTGTCCTTCCTGTATTAGCCCAGAACATCGATCGTAGAGAGAGAGAGAGAGAGAGAGAGAGAGAGAGAGAGAGAGAGAGAGAGAGAGAGAGAGAACGAGAAAAGAGAGCGACGAATTGCAGCACATTTCAGTGTCCCGACATAAAGGGTCTCGTCTCATCTGTTAAAAGTGATTCCCATAAAACCATATCTTTTTTCTGGCCCTTTAAAGTACCTAGGTACTCGGTACTATGTAGTGTACAGCTCTATAAGTCTATCCACAACCTTTTCCCTCTCTTTCCCCCATTGCAAGCAAAGAAAGATAAGACAAAACATCATCATAACTCATCTCTAATCCTCTCGTCACTTACAAGCTTCTTCTGCTGGCTGTCGCCTCCACCACCACCAGCCTCGGCCTCGTCCAGATCCTCGTTGTCCATGATGGCCGGGGTGGATTCCTCCTTCTCCTTCTGCTTTGCCGCCCGGATGACTCCAGCAATCTCCTCGTCGTAAAGTGTCCATTCAGGAACCTGCCTCCTCGCCCTGTCCAACTTGGGCTCCTTGGTGAGGGGGTTATTACACAAATCAATGGTCTTGGCCTTGGCCAGACTTGCATCGTCGCACCATGTCTCACACCACAGCCATTCCTGAGATAGACTGTGGATGGGCAGGTTGTGTTGCATGTGATTCGGGAGATCCTGGTCCAGGTTTGAGAGGCTGGCGGGGTCGGCGGAGAGCGCTTGGTACTGTTGTCTGAGACGATCACCGGCGGCGAGTTGACGGAATCTCTTGAGGTCGACCACATAGAGAGCGGATATGTGGTAAGGTTTGCCCCTGAGATATGTCTCCCAGTAGCCTTGTTTCCAAAACCGGAAGCCCTCCATTTCTGTGCGAGAGTCGCACATTGGGGTGAAGCCGTAGGGAGCTCCCTTTAGGTCCACCTTGTTTAGTTCCATCATGTCGGTGCGCACAATTTGGTCGGCATCCACGAAGATGACTTTGTCCAAATCCAGAGGAAAGAGCACGTCCAAGAACAAGATCTTGTACCCCCAGATTTCCCGCTGCTTCTCCTTTTGACCGCGGAGCCAGTGAGGCCATTTGTAGGTGACCATCTCGTAAGCGAAGCCGTAGTGTTTCGCAAGGACAGGCAGAGTGCTCTTGAATGATGGTGATAGGAATTGTTCGATGAACCAGAACTTGACACTGTGCTTGGTGTGCTTCATGACCGACAACATCATGATATTCAGCATCCTTTCATAAAGGTGACCCGAAGCCACCGAGAAGATGTTGATGTCTGCGTTTGTCGAGGCTTTCTTGAAGCCCAATGACGACAGCGCCGAAGATGCGAAAGACGCCCCCATGCTAAGGTAGTCCATAGCTCCCCCAAAGGCAGAGGACTCTAGCACATCTTCCTCTTCCATGCCGGGTTTTCGGGAAAGCCGAGGGAACAGAGTCAGCCCTTGGAACGAAAGCAAAGCGACTGATGTGGTCTCATCGCCCGGCTGAGCCGAGTAACCATGGGGGCCAACGCTGTCAATGTTGAAGATCTTGGAAGACCTTCCTGGCTTTAATGATATTTGCCAGAACCCCGGGTTGGCTTTGAATTGGAAGTAACCCAAATTAGCCATAACGATGGTGTCCGTAAAGTGCGGCTCATCCTCAGTCCCCAGCAACAGTTGTACGCCACGAGGGGGTGGACCATTAGTCACGTCTCTTGCATGGCCTTCAATGAGAATGTGCTCAAGCTCATAGATAGCGTCAATGTTCTCCCCTTCGGCTAGGTTGCTAAGCCTGATGTTGTCTAAATCATGGATAGATTGTTTGGGTGCGACCAACCATGACGGAGGGACAATCATTCCGAGGTTGAAGAGTGTATCCTTGGGGATGCCGCTGAATGATGCGTTGGGAACCAATAGAGAACCATGGGCGTCGAAACTGGGCTCGGCGCTGATGACTTGGCGGAAGAATCGTTTGACTGGTAGCTCGGTCAATCTGTCTTTCGGATTCAAGAAGATCTGCACGCTCACTCCACTGAGCTGCGACAAGCTCTTCAGAATCGGAACCCATTGCTGGACAAGCTCAGAGGCCGGGTCGATTACGGCCACGATCTGAACATTGACATCGGCCGAGTTCGATATGTTGATGGACGTATGAGTGCCGTTCCAGATTTTGAACCGCTCCAGTCTGATCAAGGGTGCCGATTCCCTCAAACCCTCCGGCAGGTCAGACTTCAGAGATCGAGCAACAAGCGAGGTGATCTTTGCAAGCTCGAGAGCCCCCGCGAATCGGTCCTCCAGCGCAAGTCCAGTGATGGCAGTTGTAACTGGTGCTATCCTTTCCCTCCGTTCGAATTCGAGCAGCGACTCGAAGTCGACAGAGGTGAAGCTCTCTGTGAGCGGTCCTAGGAGACGACCATTCAGCCACAAGCCATTTTGACCTTCTGAGAACGATAGCCTGCGGATTAAGTCTGTCTGAGAACGCCAAAATTCAGCTGATGCATCTGTCATATCATCGGCAGAAGGATTTAGATCGCCCTTGATCAACTGCTCAAGCCGTTCGACGGCCAAATCCCGCCCGTCCCCTTGCAAAAGCGCATATAGAGCGTGGGCAAAGGTCGAGGCCTGCGATCCAGGACTAGGATTGTGAATGATCAAAAGCTCCATTTCAGGATTCCGCTGGTGAAATAGTAGCGCTTCCAGAACCAAGGCCCGACCAGCTTCGGATTCAAGATCAACGACGATAAGTAGATGAGCGCGGTCGCTCAACAAGGTCGCCTCTGTCCCGGCCAGCCGAGGTAGGCGAGCAAAGCTATCAGCAAACTCGGTGGCTATTTGGCCAACGTCGACAATTTCGATGTCTTTGGGGTCATCAGGGAAGACTATCTCATTGCGCCGCTTGACAGCCTGGAAGAGGAAGAACTCGGGAATCCAGGAATCTTCCGCAATTGCTTCTTGATACACTGCTTGCTGTACCAGCTGGAGATCTGCATACAGTCGCGCACTCAAGAGCTCGAACCAGTTCTCCGTCCTCGGTAAGACCACGCCGTTGACGAGGAAAGGAGGATTGGGCCCTGTCAGTGCTAAGCGGGCCAGATATTGATCTCGTGCTAGCAGTCGTAGATCCAGGCTTTCGTCTGTCAGAACATCTTGAAACGATAATGGCTCCTTTCCCTGTCTGAGAGCCCGACCCTTGATGGCGGTATTGAAACTTTTCTCTGGGCTCGTATCCAATCTCTTAGATGCTACAACATCGGAAAAGAAGCTCATCAGAGCAGTTAGACCGTAGGTATCTGAAATATGATATGCCACTTTTGAATGAATGTTCGCCGTCTGCCCTTCCCCTGTGGGAATCAGAGCAATTCTGATGGGGACTTGTCGCCTAACCAGACTCTGTAGTGAGGTGGCAGCCAGTTCAATATCCTTGATGTTGCCCATATCAATCGGCACGAGGAGGTTATGTATATCACGGGATACCTGGGGGAGCTGCCCGGGATAGGTCCTCTGGAACAAAGACCGCAGTGACGATGACCATCCAGCATAACGTTTATCTTGCTCCAGATCATTCAGCCACATCAGGACCCCACCAGCTTCGGAATCGTCGCGCCAGTCAAACCGCTGAGGCGTTTCATTGGCTTGTGCTTCAGCGATTATCTCACTGGAGAGCAGGCTAATAGCTTCGGACGGTGTCAGCCCCAGGTTCTTGAGCTGGGTAATAATGCGCCTTTCTCTTCGCAAATGGTCGAGGAGCGAGTAGGCATTGATCTGGCGGGGCTCGATCTGCACACCGTTGATCCACAAGACATTGTATCCTGAGGGTAGAAATTTCTCTCGATTTGCCCTGTGTTCTAGAATGAACTCTCTGCTAGCATTTGCCGCTGCGAGAAGGGACGAGTACCTAGGAAAATCGGATGTGACCTGCAACAGAGTATCCAGAGGACTCGAGCTTGAGACGATGAAGCTGGCAGCATTGACGCCCAGGTTGGCAACTTCTGAAGTGGTCAGGGGCTTCAGATCTTTGAGCTCATCATCCTGGACGGTCTCTAACGAGAGCTGGTCCGGTGTCGTATCTCCCGACTTTTGGGCATCACGGTCGTCAATAACGATGTAGTCTGTGCGCTTTAAAACGAGCTCCACACCATAACCTGAAACGGGGATGGGTCCGCGAGAGACCGATGCCGAAGGTCTGTAACGCACCCTGTATGTCGATTTCCCTTCACGAGCGGTTTGGCTGACGACACTGTGAAATTGGCCGAACAAAGGATGCGTGATGTCTGCATAGAGGATAGATGTCGGTCCGTCAGACGAGGCACCAAGGACTCGATCGAATGGGAGATCGTTCGCAGCATCGGGAATGGAGACGGTCTGCTGAGCACGGTCCAAAGCAGGAGAGCAAAATTGGTGGTCATCCAAATAAACCCAGACAGGGCAGGCGGCATCCTGGGCAGCCATCAGATGAGGTTGAACAGAAGTCGTGTAGTACTGGAAATGAGCTTCAACCCTTGGAGCCGCAGCATGAAGGGCGAGAGCGAATTTGAAGGAAGAAAGAGACTCGGAGGTGGAAAGATGGCCATCGTTCTGCAGGATCTCGAGGAATCTAGTATACAGCTCTTGTTCTGTTTGCAAATCTGCAAAAACACCATCGGCGATACGGTCGAGAAGAGGAAAGTAGGAGGAGGAGTTTTCAAGCGCAGCCGTTTCTAGTAATTCGACCAGGTAAGGACCGGCGGAGAAGGAGGTCTGTAAGGCGACATTAACGGAAGGAGAAGCCCGTGTAGGAACAACGAAGGAGTCCCAAAACAAAAGAGGGACGAGGAACCATGTCCAGGGTATATTCGAGGTCCGCATCCTGACGAGGCTTCAGGGAATCAATCCCCTTGGTAAGGTTTTGTTCAATGGTGCATCTCGAATGACATAGGGAAGCTCATGCCGACGCAACTGAAATGGAGCCGATGAAATACAACGTGCAGGAAGCGAGTGGTCAATCAGCAGGGGGGAGATGGTGGTGGTAGAGGCACAGAGGCCAGATTGTATGTATGGGAAAGGCGGCGGAAATAATTCTCTGGGGAAGCTGCGCAACTGCGCGTGTCTCGTGTTTCGCGTCTCCACCTCCAACGCCCGCAGTTTTGAAAAATGTACAAACTCCATTGACCGAGACTCTATTACATCTACACCTCTAGCCCATCACAGCGTGCATTTCATGTCAATGAGCCTCGTGCATTGCCTTAGCGATAGTGTAAGCAGCTCTGGCTCTTTCAGCAGAACCTTCTCCCGTCCCTTCTCTATCTCTACCTCCAACTTCTCCGCCTCCATCACCTCTACGAAGCGACCGCAGCGTCGTTCGACGTCCAAATCCTGGCTCGAAGACCTCTCTCCTCGATTCTTCACGGACACCCCTATCTATCCCGACGTCCTTCGGATCAAACCACTTACTTCCAATGGCGCCCCTCCTCAAGACCTCTCGTCCCTTCGCCCGCCTCCCTTACCGTTCATCCCCCCGCCTCAATCAAACAGGAACGGCCGCATCACTCTGCTTCAGCGGCTTAGGTACTGGTGGCGGAGAGCCGCCGTCATGAGAAAATTCTACAAGCAGCGCATAGCCCAGACCAGGCAAAATCGGAAGGAATGCGCTCTCCTCTCCAAACGTCTCCCTCGCATGTTTGTCGAGCATCCAGACCGGGCTGCCATTTACGGCGGTTCCACCTTCACAGTTAATGACAAGTCCTTCCCGATTCCCCGAATCTCCCGCCGTGAGTTCCAGCTCCTGGTCCAATATGGGTATGATAACTGGGGCTTTGCATTGGCCGTACGAGCTCTTCCAACTTCCGAGAAACCTGAGGAGGACCGAAACAGACAACTCAAGGCATTGTGCAATCGCTATGACTGGTTTGCCCGCAATCGAAACGATAAATTGGACAATGTGACCGACAACTCCAACTTGAGCCATACTGCGCAGGCTGAGGAGGTCTTCACACTTTTGCAAAGGCGGCTCTTGAGATGGCACTATGTTGTCGTCGATGACGCTTTATGCAAGCTCATCCCATGGGTCCCCTTCGCTTGGACGGTATATGCAGCTCGCTTCTTTGACCGTTGGTGCGCCGATTACTATCGCATAATCACCGCCGACACGGTGCTTATCATGCGTCAAGGCGGATTCAATACACTCTCCGCCGACGACATCTACGACTATTGTGTGAAATGCGCTTCTCCGACTTTCATCAGCTACGCGAAACAAGCTTTACAGGACGGTGTCAATCCTGCCAACGAGGCCATGAGAAAAGCTATGATACCCGTTCTCGACGCCCGCGCAAAAAGAATGTTGTCCATTGACTGGACTAGACTAAAGCCACACGCGCTCGGTCGGATTGAGCCATTCAGTCGAGTGAAAGACCTTAAGCAGCCTGACTCGGTGTGGGGAAGGAAATGACAGGCGCCGTGGAGGAAAAACCGTAAGAAAGCTACGACTTCCCTCCCCCTTGGTTCCGCGAAACAACGACTGCGCCTGTTCCTCGTTCAAATTACCAATTCACCTGTACACATGAAACCTCAACTTTGGGCAAGGAGATCCCTTGGTACGGTGGCTTACTGTCCCGTTGCCAACAATCACAAACCAAAAGGATAAGTTTCCGCCTCGAGCAGTGACGTATGGGGCTGTGTGTTTTCCAGCGCTCCAACCGCCTGCGTCCTGTCAAAAAACACATACGCATCGAACTGCTTGGACAACCTGGAACCGCTGTAATGACTCCACAGCTCAGTCTTTGGACGGTAGATCACACCGATGAATCGTTCAAGCCGACTAGCAGAAAGTGCTCTGCGCGTATCTTCGTCGCAATGCTTCTTGCGCATATCAAGCAGAAATCTCGGAATGCCGGTGCTGTGGGCCACGTACTCCCAGCTGTCCTCTTGCGACGGATTGACCTTCATGATTTGCATATCACCACCCCACTCGTGCGCGGCAGCTACTGTACCGTCGTGTGTGCCGCAGCCTACAAGGACCACATCGGAGAGATGCTCGCGGCAGAGTTGACCGAGATTGAGTTCTTCCCGCTGCGTGCCCATGTCGGTGAACCGCGCGTCTCCAAGGTGGCTATTGTGAGCCCATACCACGGCCTTGGATTTCCGGAAGTCGAGTAAGCGCTTCAATGTTCCGAACATGTGCAGATCCCTCAGATTCCAGCTGACCACATCACTGTAGTACATCTTGCGATAGTACTCCTCTGCGTCCACCACCAGCGCGGCATTCTGCTCAGCGCTGTGGAATCTTTCACCGTCGTTGATTTTGGCCGAGTACTCTAATCTTTTCCGCAGCAAATCTAGAAGCATTTTGATGACGTCTTCCTCACAGGACTTCAGATGCTCCATGTATTTGGTCTGGAGCATCTTGCGTCCGTATTGGTGTTCCCTATTGACCCAGCGCTGCAGTCCAGCATATCGCTCTCTGGCCGCCTTGGCCATTTCCGGGTCGATATTCTGTAGATATCCAATCACCGAACTCATACTCGACCCCATTGAGTATAGATCCAATCCATACACACCGGCCTTCTCCTCTGGGGGTAAACCTTCGTTATAGTCCCTCATCCAATGGATCAAGTCCTGCATTTCACGATTTCTCCACATCCACGTTGGAAACCGTTGAAAAGGGCTTTCCTTATCCCTGGCCGCCTTCACCGGATCAGGATGTTGGCCTGGCCACCGTCGCACATAGTGATCAATCGCCTCGGCGTCGGGCCAATCCGCCTCCAGCGCTACTAACTTGAATCCATGTTCCTTGATGAGCCGCTTGGTGATTTCTGCGCGAGCGGCATAGAACTCGGATGTGCCGTGGCTGGCGTCGCCCAGCAGAACCACCTTATATTGGCCCAACCAGTCGAAAGATTCGCCGAAACTGGCCGAATTGATGGGCGGCAGCGCCTTTGCGGCACGCCGCATGACTTGGGCCAGTGCGGATACAGATGCGCTGGACATACTGAGATGGTGATTGAAACGCGTGAGAGGAAGGCACCTGCAGTGGAGGAGGCGAGTCAGGGGGGAGTAGTCGTCTCTTTGACGAGCCAGATTAGTTGAGGAAATAGAGTCGCAGTTGAGACGTCGAGGGGAAGATTTGGCCGGGATCAGTTCCTATACTGAAATCCTTGGGCTTCAATAGGCTTTTTACTCTCGAACTCACTGGCGACTTCTGCTCAGGTGATTGTCGATATATATATATCTACTCGCCATGTTGAAAAAATTCTGGGATCCGCCTCAAAGGTGTGACGTAGTGGTGTGATTTCATATATCAGAAAGTCGGCGGATTCTACCTCCTTCTTTCCCGCCCCCCCACAAAAGACATTGAGAAATCAAGCTGGTTCGAGGCCCCATACCGTCACCGCCCTGTATAGGCATGTGGATTCATACGGGACGGGCCATACTAGACCAGCGAAATATCACAACTTTTTTTATCACCCGTAAGGCTGAGGCTACCTAACTTCGAAAGCCCCTTAGGAGCCCCTCCTCTTTCTTTTTTCTGGGGTTCTTCTTACTCAGCGAGGCTGTCTCGTAGGTACCTAGGTAATTATCGCCGGCTTGCAACCCCCGTTGGGAGTTTTACACGTTCTAATTATCCCGCATTCAGTCTTGAGATGAGTTTGTCTGCTCATCATCGAACATTGTTCTCTGTTCGGAGTAAAGCAAGGCGCTCAAGCGTGCGTGTGTGGAGAGAGAGGTATAGCGACCTGGCCCGGTACGGTGTTGTGGTGGGTTCGTCACCCGGTCGAACAATCCAGCATATTTGTATCCCTGCAAGGACCACTTGCAGAGCAACCTGTGACCTAGTCGGCACCAGCAGAAGGCACGGTATTGGCCATTGGTATGCAACTTGGGGAGTCTGAATAAGAATATCATCTACCACCTGCAGGGTGTTGTTGGGGTTATCGCCGCGTGATCAATGTCTGCTTCGATGGTACTAGGTGCCTCTCTACTTCGAAGAGGACATTACCTTAGGTCAGGTAGCCATGTATAGGTAAGGTGTGTTTTCGAGAAACAGAGACAGTGAAGGAGATACTATGAGTCTCCTTCGTTGGAGAGATTCAACTAAATGATGACTCGCTTCGTGTGTCTTTGGCCTCCGACCATAAATAATACTGTATCCTCTTCCAGGTTGCTGGACAAATATTCAAGCATGTATATTCTCATATCATCTCATCTCATACTACATCATGTCATATTCTCTGGGGCTTATATAATATTCAGTAATATACCAGCTCCTGCTTCCTTCTCTCGTTCCCGTCCACTCTCCTCTTTTGGTATGTTTTTCGCCTGGGAGCTTTTCCTCCCCTCCTCTTCTGACCTATATCAAGGATAAAGTCTAGTTGGAGACCGAGACTCATCTTGTTACCATCACCGACAGGGCTCCACGGTCTCAAATGAAAGCGAAGCTGAGAACGTATGTGCAGATAAGTTGACGGATCGAACGACTATTCCACTCGTCCACCAGAAACATCCATCCTCGTTCGGATCCATCGAGACGATGGGTGAAGATATTTATTCCCTGATCCTCGCGGCGACTCGGTTGGTCATATACTTTGTAATATTGCCGATGAACAGGCACGCGATTATGGCGCACCCACCGAAAGAGATGCTGGTCAGCCACACGTACTTCAGCGACTCGGCATACGCCCAGCGGGACCCAACGGCTCCGGCGTGGATGATTTGCGCGTTCACACCAGGGACGCTCGTGATATTGGCGGGCGCGGTCAGGAGTGTCTCGACAAATTCAGTGGCCGAGGTGAGCGGGAGGCCCGCCTTGATGGCGTACTCCGCGATATACTTGGGGAGTTTAGGCGTGAGCTTGTTGATGAAGACGTTATAGTAGATGGCATAGCCGATACTGCCGCCCACGGCACGGATCGTAAGCGAGAGCGCGACACAGGTGGCGATCGTTGTGTCTGGGGTCACTGTGATGGCAACGGTGGCAGCCGGGACAAGGACAGAGCCGACCCCGAAGCCGCAGATTGTTCCTAGACCGATTGCGAGACCCTGGCGGTCCGGAGTGATGGCCGCGAGAGAGCCGCCAAACGCCGCTAGAAAGCCAAGGGTTAGTCTTCTAGACTACGACGTAGGGACAGCTGAATAAGGAGGGCCGGGGAGACGTACTCATGATAATGCAGCCAGCTAATAGGATTTCTCGGTTATGTCCCTTGAACCACGACAACGCGGCATTTGCAACCACCGCACCGAAGGTGGTGGACAACCCGGGAGCGATGCCTCGAAGACCGACGTGCACCGGGTTGGGGTCAAAGACCGTGCTGTACACCAGAGGGAAGAAATTAAGCATGGCGTAGAAATTCATGCCTGTTGTAGAAACCGATATGTCAGCGAACCGTATTCCTCACGCTTATGGGAAAATTGACCCGGACGAAGAGAATCTTTTCCTCTTTGGCTGCGATAATTGGCGGTGCAGCCGTGCTTTCGTACCTGCAATGAAGGCGATTCCATACGCCATAGCAACAATTCTCTGTCCCGAAAACATCTCATGAGGCACCATGGGGTCTTTGCAGATCTTCCATTCCCAAATGACGAAGGCGGCGATCAGGAAAACGCCAATGATCAGCTGCGCAATGACAAAGGCGCTTTTCCAAGGATGAGAGTAGCCTCCGGCTTGGAGAGCGACCAGGCTATGCCTTTCGGTTAGATATATAAAGATAGGAAAGCAGCTAAAAGGGTAACTTACATAAGAGTCAAACCCATAATAGACAGTACTCCGCCAACGTAGTCGATTTTCTTCAGAATAGCTTTGGCTGCCATTCCCTTTGCTCGGGTCTGGGACTCTGGGAAGTACACCACGAATAAGACAATCCACCAGATACCGTTCCACATCCTTTGTGACTGTCAGCACAGCCTGACTCGGGCGTTACAAACCGCAGGAGGCGGACTCACAAGCAAATCCACATGCCCCATCTCCAAGTGTGGTACGTTGACAGGAGCTGGGCGTACAGCAGATATGGGGTGAATGGGAGTATACAGGCTGTAACAAGCGCAAGGTAAATCCCTCGTTTGTTGACAGGTACTAGCTCAGAAGTCCTTCGAACGCCATTTGTCAGTCATCTGGCCCGATTGACGGTCAACGTGTCTATCCTTACCCAGCAAGAGCAGTCAATTCACCAATTGCGGCGCCAGCGCCAGAAAATGCCATGCCGACAACCCCTTGTCCAAACTTATGAGCAGTGCCGAGGATGACACAACCCATCATCAGCGAGACACCGCCAGCCAAGCTGATGATGCGGCGGCCTAGGAGATCTTGCAGATAGCCGCAGAAAGGAGCAACCGCAGAGAGGGCAAGTGCATAGGACACTGATAACCAGGCGGATGCCTCGGCACCACCAATGTCCGCTGCGATGAACGAAAGGGAGCCGCCGACGAAGTAAAGGGGAATCTGGGAGCCGACGTAGAGCCCACTTAGAGCAAGTGTGGCGACGAATGTCCTCAGTGTCCACACGGTCTTGGTTTGATACTCTGGTGTTGTTTCGCTGCTGGGCTCAGAGGAAGAAGGACTGGCAGCGGTCAACTCCTCTTTGGTCTGTTTCTTCTCATCTCCCGTATGAGCATGCTCTCGATGCTCCAGCATCTCCTTGTCATGGCGGAGCTCAGCATCGTGCTGCCTCTCGTGCTCGAGTTTGTCGGTATTCTCTGGTGGTACGACGCTCATGATGGCTTTCTTAATGAAAGTTCGACGACTCCAGGGGTTGAACGCTCAGAGGGAGAGAAGCGGAAAGTGCTGTGAAGAGGACAGGTGACGGTGCCAGAACCATCAGAATCAAATACCCTGCTATTGTGATACCACGGCTCCCCGCTTCTTGGGTCGAGGCTTTTCATTCAACCCTATTGTGGGTACCGGATACCTCGGTCACGCTGTGGGTCAACACAGCCTGGAATCTGGGGTTGGAGCGGAGGGGAAACAGTAAATCACAGTGCTGGAGGAGGCGGTATTGATCTGTAGGGACACCGATTATGTGAGTTGTGCTAAACACCAGCTTTCCATTGTAATTGGTAGGCTGGTCCTGCTCGTCGCCATCATTGGGACAGCGAGTCAGCGATCCTGAGTAATACCTGCGAATCGATCGTGTGAATTCTGCAGGTGGCTGAATAGTGTCTCGAGTTAGGCCACACTAATCCTCATAGAGATGATAGTCGCTGGCCGACGTCCGCAGCCAACAAGCGCCCCCATGCCGAGGCCGCGAAAGACCTACCTAGGATGCACATTGCAAGTGTCACTTACGAAAAAGAGACCTGCGAGCAAGGCGGGTGGCGGTTTGGATACCCCAACCTGGGGTTCCTATTCGCCCCGCATCTCATGCAAAACTGGGACCCCAGTTGATTTCCCCCGCAAATTCTCACCTTCTTGCTCCCCAGGAGCCACAGGGGTGCGGTAGATGGAGGGCGTGGAACGCTAGGTAGTGCCTGTTGATCATGCCACATTGAGCATGGAGCTCGTACCCAAGGCGCGTTTATATCGGGTTGCCAGGGATAGGTCGCCCATTCCTCGGTTAACCCTCTTGGATTTGGGCCGCCTCGAGTGATGAAGCGAGGCCTCAGACGCAACAATGCTGTCTCTGCCCGTCAACATCCGGTTTGTAAGTTGACCAGGAGAATGAATTTGACTGTAGGGAACGGTAAAGTTGTTGGCCAGCAATTTGTAGCAGATCCCGATTTTCATAACCAACGTCGTGCGGAAGTAAGTACCTTTGTAGCCTCGACATCCATGCTGAGTGGGCTCGGGAATGGCGCCCAGCAGAGAACGTATTGCCGAGGTCTGTAATCAATGCTGGGAACGACAGAAAAGTTTTTAAGGGCTCTCAGGTGTAACTGTGCAGGGGACTGCAGTAATTGACAGAGGGATGTACAGCAATATCGGCGCGTCAGTCAAAAGTGACTTTCACGAGAGAGAAGCTGGCTTCTTGAAAGGACGGAATTCCGCGGAGCACAAGCCTCCGTTAAGCCTCGGTTGGGCCGAGGAACAGCTTTTGGTGGAGATCAGGGCCCAAGTCTGCTCTCTGCCCATGCTACAGACAGGTCCTGCCTCACTCTGTTATAAATGTAAAGTATTTTCGTGCGAGGAATGATGGAAGGGGCCTTGACTGCTTTTGAGCACGCCTCTCGATCGCGGCGGACAGGAAATGTTATGGAGAATGGACCGTTATTCATCCGACGCCATGCCATTTTGGCCTTGACTGCTCTTTAGCACCCCTTTCAATCGGCGGGCAAGGAGGGTCATGGAAAATGGATTGTTGTTCATCCGAGGCCAAGCCACTTTGGTCGTGCTTTCCCGATTTGGAATCTTATGAGGCTCCACAGATGTAGCGCCCGGCGGTGTGGTACCTTGTACAACACCGTCAACAAGGCTCGGTGAGTTGGAAGGGTCTTTGAATGAAGGCAGAATCATTCTTGATCTTGTAAATGGTCACCGGTGAATCCTTCCAACACCCGAAGAGGAGATTGGCTTGGAAAAACGTGCTCATCCCAAAGGTGAATGCTCCGATGACCGTCTGGAAGAGTGCCCCGTTCACAACAACGTTGCGCAAGGCCACAACCGCCGTCAAGCTTGGACGCAGGATTCTTCGCCCGAATCTCATTATAAAATGAGGACGCCCAGCGGCATATTGGTTGGTCTTGCAGGAAAACAACAATCTTCATTCGCATTGTTCCCGAGACGGCGAAATGGCGGCACCATTTGATCTGTCCAAGCCCAACCGTACCATCCACGCCGGAGTGGTTCTCATGAACTCGTATGTAACATGCGTCCAGAGCTTTGCGAGTGAAACTGATTCCAGGCAACAGAGAGACGGAGATTCTTGATGTAGCTCCCATTGACCTGTTGAATGCAGTGTCAAAGAACTTCGTTCAGACTGTGGAGCAGTTTGGCCCAGACGGCATTGCAGCGCAAGCCCTCGACATTGAAATTCATTGGGTCAATGAGACAGGGAAGACTGCCAAATTGACAGGCGGCCTCTCGCTCCAACCCACCGTGAGTCTCACCTCGTTCGCCCTCTAGATCAGCCCCACTCATCTTTGGTGCAGGACAACTTCTCGACGTGTCCGCCCCTCGACATAGTACTTATGGGAGCCCACCTGGGTGGCTATACTCCCAATGAGGCGGAGCTCGATTTCGTGCGCAAGAGCTACGAGAACTGCTCGGCGTTCATCACCATCTGCGCAGGATTACAAGCGGCGTTCGAGGCCGGCTTGTTCAAAAACAAAACCGTGGCGGCTCCTCGATTCGTATTGCAGCAGCTCCGGGCTGCCGCTCCCGAAACGAATTGGGTCGAAAAGCGTTGGCACAGAGACGGCAAGCTATGGACGAGCGGCGCTTTGCTTAACGGACTGGAAGTCATGCGTGCATTCGGTACAGAATATTGGGGCGGTGAGGGCACGTTGGTGCAGTATGCTCTCGATAGCGGACATTGGCCGCACAGAGATGTCGACTATAGCGATGCTCCAACGAAGCTTTGAGCGTGGGTGGCTGGTGCCTTTACCATTTGGCAAGTGAGAAGGGCGACGAGGGAAATGCGTCGAGGGCGTCTATTGTGGCTTTAGGGGGTGCAGTCTCAATAATCCTCCGTAGTTGTTGCTACGGCGAGGCTTTAAGTCCTTAGCCGCAGGTGGACATACAATGTGATACTGCAACGAAGAACTCCGTCTGATCCGATAACCAGATCTTCTCCACAGAAGACATTAGCCTCTGCCGCTTACGCAGTGGCATGTTGTCCTTGAAAGCTCTGCCTCTGCTGAAGGTCCACATTCGGATCCGTATCCACTGCTATCTGATCTACCTTTAGAGCGCCCGCGGACGGAAGTATGTCTGAAGATCTAAGCTGAGCAAATAGCGTTTCTCGGTGTACCCAGATCCACTGAAGGCATTGTCGGTCATGGAAGACCATCAAAGCGAGGAAGATGTCTCGGAACATCTCCTCAGCCAGCACAAAGAGGCGGTGTCGCTCGTATCCCAACGAATTGCCAGCTTCCATGCCCGCCAAATCGCCTTTCGCATCTTCCATGGCAACACCAACTCGACTCGCCTTAGCGACCGCACACGGGACGCTACAGTCGACATCTCGACACTTGACAATGTCATCTCCATCTCGCCAGCGAAACGCACATGTCTACTTGAGCCTAACGTCCCCATGGATCGGCTTGTCACCGCCACTCTGCAGCACGGCTTGGTACCTCCCGTTGTCCCAGAGTTCCCGGGCATCACAGTCGGAGGTGGCTTCGCTGGCACGGCAGGCGAGAGTAGCAGTTTCAAGTATGGTTTCTTTGACAAGAGCGTGACCTGGTTCGAGGTGGTCCTTGCGGACGGAGAAGTCGTGACGGCCTCAGAGACTGAGAGGACAGACTTGTTTCACGGAATGGCCGGAACATTCGGCTCATTGGGGGTCATTACTCTGTTCGAGATACGTTTGATTCCGGCAAAGGAGTTTGTCGAACTGTCATATATTCGCGTTGGAGGCATCGAACAGGCGCAAGAAGTGATCAGGCAGGTCACAAAGCAGGCAGATGTGGATTTCGTGGACGGGATCATGTTCGCTCCTGAAAAGGGCGTTATGCTACTAGGCCGACTCACTGAACGAGACGAGAAGAACAAGGACCTACCGCTCGCGACATTCACCAAGCCTTGGGATCAGTGGTTCTATCTCCACGCCGAAGAAAGAATGAACACTACCGAAGCCACGACCCATATAACGGACGCTTCCCCGTCCTCACCATTCGCTCCACGCGACCTAATCCCATTGAAGGACTACCTCTTCCGGTACGACCGTGGTGCATTTTGGACCGGCCGGTTTGCATACAGGTACTTCTGCGTCCCCTTCACGCGCTCGTTTCGCTGGCTGGCAGACTACTTCATGCACACGCGCGTAATGTACCACGCTTTACACCGTTCCGGTCTATATCAGCGCTTCATCATCCAAGACATGGCCCTCCCGAACAAAAACATTCCCGAATTTTCTCGGTGGTTGGACCAGGAATTGCCGCATATCTACCCGCGCTGGCTGTGTCCCTTGAGGCATGGTGAAAGCGTGAGCATGAATCCCCATCTTCGTAACCTGACTTCACCAGCCGTGGAATCCCCTCCAACCCCGACCTCGAGAATGGCATCGGACCCCAAATTAAAGAGCAATGAGGACGATGATTTCGCCAACGCGCTCCTGAACATCGGCGTCTGGGGCGAAACACCCGCTCATACCCTCCACGTCACCATCAACCGCCTCATCGAGAGCAAACTGAAATCCCTGGGCGGCATGAAGTGGCTGTACGCCCAGACATTCTACACCGAAGCCGAATTCTGGTCCATCTACGATAAGAAGTGGTACGACGACTTGAGAAAGAAGTACCAGGCCGACGGACACATCCCGAGCGTGTACGACAAGGTCAGGACAAAGGACATCTTCGAGGTCGACGCTGAGGGGAAGGTGTTGGGCGACGCCCGCATGCCTGTTGAAAAAGGTTTTTGGAGCGTCTGGCCCATTGCGGGAGTTTACGGGGTTCTGAGCGCGTTGAAGGGCGGCGATTATTTGCGGAAGCGATGAGAAAAGCGAATATAGAAGGACGAAAATGTATAGAATGCCGGATTCCAAAGCTTAGATAGGGGTACATTCATAGTTAAAGACATAGAGTGATGGGTTAGTGCTCCTTAGGGTAGGGAGACCCAAAATCATATTCATTACGATTCATCCTGCATCTGATTCCATTCATCAGGCACTGGACCTCTGACGAGGAAGGAAAGGGGGAAATAATATAATCTGCCATCACTTTTTTCCTTTTTCCTTTTTCTACTCTCCACCCAAAGAAACCACTGGTAGAGTCATCTTAGGAGGCCGTGGGGCTAGGGATGAGCGACAGGTGCTGACTGATTGGCTAATTGGCTGAACCAGGCAGCTGGCTGGGTGGTTGGGGCGGATGAATCACGGGCGTGATTTCGGTACTTCTTACTTCAGCGCAGTGGCACAATCATGAGAATCTATGCATAGTCCCCGTGGCGGACATTTCGTATGGACCGTGGGACGTCAGCATCAGAGGCTGCTGCTCCTGCTGCTGCTGCTGGGCTGGCACTTCGGTCTCTGGTGGGGGACTCATGCGCGACTGGCGCTGCAGGAACGCTTCAATGCCTCCTCCGGCCGCGGGGGTCGACGGCGGGGCCGTGGGTCGTCCTGGTCCGGCCATGGAGTTCGGGCTGCTTGCGCGCATTGAGGCGTCCTCTGTGCCAACGCCGCTTCCTGGCGCCGCTCCTGGTGGTGGTGGTTCAGCTGCTGCTTGGGCGTCGTGGGATTGGTACAAGCCCGGAGCAGGAGGGGCCCCAGCACCGCCGAAGATGTCGTTGGACGGGGACGGTGGCCATTGCGGTGGCGGCATCTGCTGGTGCTGGTGCGCGGGATAGCCTTGCGGGAAGGCCTGTGGGTGTGCATGAGGATGAGGGAACATGCCGCCGCCGCCGTTCGGGATCGGGATAGCGTTGCCGAAGGCGTCGGTCGACGGCATCGTGGTCACAGACATGTGCTTTTGTGTGGGCGATGTGTAGCCGTAGTTCGTGGTTGGAATGTACGCCGGCGGCTGACTGGTCAGGGGTCCCACCATCGCTGCTGGGGTCGACGGTGTCGGTGGGTTACCGCCATCTTTGTGTCTGGACCCACGTCCACAGAAGAAGAGCAAGACGGCGGCGGCGATGACGACGGCGGCTCCTCCTAGATTGATATCAGCTTTGGCTCTAGTGGTTTTGTAGGGGTGGTGAGGGGTCGAGGGGGATACTTACCGATTGCGATTCCTGCAATAGCCCCTGACGACAGCGTCGAGTGGCCCGATCCGCTCGCCACGGCGGTCGGAGTGGCTGATGTCGTCGGCGTCGGCGTCGGAGACAAAGTCGAAGTCGTGAACGTTGTGGTGTACGTCGCAGTGGCCGTGGACGTGGATGTAGAAGTAGTCGCGAATGGATCTTCCTCGGCGGGCCAGCTCTGCCCGGGCTCCAACATAAACGACGAATTCGCGGCATATTGTTTCTGGACCTGGATGGATTGGGTGGCGTTGGGGTTGATGACTCCCACCATCTGATAATTAATGCACGAGCCCGGGGCACCGCAGTAGTAGAAGACCGGTTGGGTGTCGTTGATCAGAAGCGTCCACTTGGGCGGGTCGCTGAGGATGGCGTCGACGGGGTAAAATCCAGAGAAGAATCCGATTCTATCGGGACCTTTTTGTGATTGTGTCGTTAGTTGGCTCATGAAGGCACAAGAGCATTAAGAGCAAAGAGCCAAAAGCATCAGCTCGATGGCGATGGCATGTCCCTTACCAGTCAACTCATAAGGTACGCACGCGTACCCGTATGCTGCCCGGATGACCGAGTGATTCAAGGGATAAAAGTCGAATTCTTGACAACAGCGTTAGCGACAGCACACACAAACGGTGGACTCGGCTTGCTCGAGGACACCGGACATGGGGACATACCAACATAGTTTCCAGGCGAAAGCTGCACCACATCTGGGACGAACGTATTGCCCCCATCCCCGACAGCCACCGTTACCGTGATGGGTTGCGAACTTGTGCTGGTGGGAGTGGTGCTTTCAGCACTGGTAAAATCTGTCACAGTGGTAGTAGTGTCCTGGGCCACTATCGCAGATAGCAGCGCTGCAAAGGCGAGGAATGAAAAGCCCATGCTTGTTGAACGGGGTTGTAAGGAGTGAAAAATTGAGCGGAGGCTGTGGGAGGGAGGTGAGGAGCACAAACCGTGGCACAAAAGGTCGACAGCAAGCAAATAAAATCTCTCGACACCTACTGGCAACACCACGGACCATGGATGCCTTCTAGGTCAAGATAGTGAGAGCTGTCCTCGTATTGATGACAGCAGTGCGCGTGTTAGGTCATTGCCAATGAGGCTGTAACCAAAACCTCAAGTCTTTCATTTCGACTTTCCGAGTTCTCTCGAGGCGATGGCCCAGGGCTGCTCTCGTATTGTCGTTCCAGCTCTCACCGGTTGGCGGGAGCGTGGTGCGAGGGGGAGGCTCGAGAGTCGAGAGCCGGAGCAGCCTGGAACTGCATGGCGCTCAGCAACCCGTGACTAACCTTCGTGAGGCTGTTGGCTAGTACTAGTCACTGACATGGATTTGTCGCTGGGACTCTGGGACTGGTAGGGCTGTAACAAACACGAAGACTTGCCCGGGAAAAAGAAGACAATGCCATGCAGCGGCCAGCATGTGTGTCCAATCATCTGGAGAGGAAATGGGGCTAGACAAGAAACCTGGCTAACCGAGCACAAGCCAGCATGGCCGTGCAGGTGTCTCAGCCCCCAGACCTCGTGTCCGTTATGTGTAGGTAGCGCGATGGTCGCACAGCCGAGGACCAACTTGATCATGTATGGGTGGGCTGTGAACATCGCGTACCATGACCTCTGCAGAGCTGTGGCTAAAGATCCGTGGGAAGCATTTCTGGCACGCTAAACTATTGGGATAAGATTTTGCCGATGCCCTTCGTCCGCCGCTCTGGTCGAAACACCCAAGCACTGGGCTAGACCACAGAATGATAACCACCATGGGTTAGATCCTAACTTGGCACGAGGCGGAACAACAATTGGCGGATATGATGGTGGAAGACTAGATTGCAAACACCAACCTTAATGCGGTGAAACCAAGGGCGAAGACTACATGGGTGAATCGATTCTCCTCTCTGGAAGCGGATAGCCTCCTTCAGCGAACAGTTTACCGGCAGATTGAAGAATCTCGGCCATGTCTTCACCGAGCCATGCGGACATCAGCCCGGTCCTGGTTGCTTCCATCTCTCGCATTAGCCCTCCGGCGACCTGCCATACATTAACACCGCGTCTGCAACAAAGAGAGATTCGGCCTTACAAGAACACATCTCCCGCTAACAGAAGCGAGGCATGTCTGCACGATTGCGTTCGCGACCTCCTCCACGCTATTTGCCTTCAGTTCTGAAGTTCCATATTTCTCTGAAAGGTTCGAGAACGTCCGAGTTGGCGTGTAGAACGGGGCAACAGCATTCACTTTCACACTGATGGCCTGGGCGGTCATCTGACATGATCGAAGAAGACCAACTACACCGTGTTTGGAGGCAACGTATGCCCCCACGCCGCTGCTGCCAAAATATCCCGAGGTCGAAGTGATGAGAACGATGGATCCTCGAGAGGAAATCGGGAAACACGGCTTGTTTCCTTGCATATGAAATAACGCCAACCTTAATGCTGTGACGAGATCAGCTGGTCAGTCTCGTTCGCCAAGTATTTTCTGGAGAGTGATGGCGTTGAAGGAAGATGTAACTTACTGTTGAATGTACCTTTGAGGTTGACGTCCAAGACCCTGAACCCTTCGACTGATTCCTGCAGCTCCCCTTGGCTGTCGAGCGCTGCCAGGTCAAACACGCTTTTGCTCTCCATTATTCCTGCATTGGCGATGACAATATCTACACGCCCGAGGCGCTCGATCGTGTGCCGGAACAGGAGCTTCATCTCTTCCCAGATGAGAATGTTCGTTGGAAAGAACATGGCATTTTGCGGGTGCGACAGTGACGCAATGAGCGCTTCGGCGTCGCCCGCTGTAGATTCCAGGTCTGCTATGACCACATTTGATCCATGAGAAGAGAGGAGTTTGACGGTCTGCGCTCCGATGCCGTTGGAGCCTCCCGTCACAATTGCGACAGTGCCGGCAAGATGCTGTACGCTGTGAGATACACCGGCTGATGACTCCATTGGCGCCTCATCGTCCACGGATCGTACTAAGACTCGACGGTTGAAGTGATATTACCAGAACACTTCCCAGAGTACAATAGGGGCACGGGTGAGGGTGATTCATACTTAACCAGGTCAGTCGCAGCCTACAATTTCTCTCGATTTGAAGCTAAGAGATGTCCGAACCAATTGTCCGAGGGAGAAAGAGTTGGCAGCATCCTGCGGCGAACGTTATGGCAAGTATACTGAACTCGGCAAATGGCAAAGTCTCTAGGGGAACGAAGAATTCTCCTGCTTCTTCGGACTCGACAAGTTCGAAGTCGCGTGCATCACGTGCGAAAATGGGGTCACGTGATGAAGAAAATACTCTATATCAGATCTGGACTAGTTCAGCCTTGCTAGCGTCTTTTCTCATCTTCCCTGAAACCATCGTGGACGTCAGATATCTAGCTCGCTAGGTATCTCGAGGGAGGCTCAGAATCTATCTGTCGCCATGTGCTCGCTCGAGACTGGGCTTACGGTCATCATAGGCTCATACTTCCACTTCTTCCAGCAACCGTCCATCAGCAAACCAGACATCCATCGCCTTGGCCATAGATTCAACATACGCGCGAGGTGAGTCGTCCGCCATGGCTTCCTCCAAAAGATCTTGAGACATTTTGTTGGTACTATCCGCACGCCCCATGACTCGCTCTTCATATCTGCGCACCGCGGTCTTCAAGTCCGTCGGATCTGCTTGGATACAGAGAAATAGATCCAAGGCATCTAGCATCGCCAGATTTGCTCCTTCACCGGCAAACCACGACATGACGTGCATCGAGTCTCCAACCAGCGTTAACCCTGGTCGAGTGTCATAGCGCATACCCAGAGGCATCCTATACTGAGCCCGTGGTGTCCATCTGGGGTCCAAACGGCGGATCACTTCTTTCAGACGATCGTCCCAGTCGCTGTAGACGTCCTCCAAGAGCATCGCCGTGGCCCTCTTCTGGTCTGTCCAGTCGATACCACTTTCGACGGCCCACTTCTCCGGCACCTTCAAACAAGGATAGACGCGAAGGCTCTCATCTCCATTTCGTTGCATGAAGATGCCGCTGCCGTCGCTGAGGGCAAAGACCGTCCCTCTCCCAATGAATTTCCCAAGCTCGGGGAATTTCTGGTCCAGATTTGAGATGCGACAATCAATCACCGTCAGGCCTGTATACACTGGTTGCGTGCTCGTCAATAATGGGCGCACCTTCGACCATGTCCCGTCGGCACCAACGATCAGATCGCCAACCGTGGAGGCACCATGATTCATGAAAGAGACCTCATATTTCCCGTCGGCCCTTGGGCTGATTTTGGAAACATGGTGGTCCCACTTGAGATTCTGAGGGTCGATGGCATCAATCAGAATTTTTCTCAACTCCGAACGGTCGATTTCAGGGCGACCCTCTGCATCAGGGGGTGCCTGGTGGAAGAGCCAGTTCTTGGCATGTTTGTCCATGAAACGGTAGTCCTGGTCATGGTATCTGGCGTATTTCTTGAAGGAAGCTTCCAGTCCGGCGACCTTGAGAGCACGTTGACCAGAGTCAGGATGCAGGTCGAGTGATCCACCCTGGAAGCGAGAGCTTATGTTTGGTTCGCGCTCGTAGAGAGTGAAGGAAATGGAGTGGTGTTGGAGGAGTGCAGCAAGAGTGAGGCCAGAGGGGCCCGCTCCAATGATGATGATATGCTTCCCGGACATGTTGGCAGTGACTTGACTCCTCTGCGACTGCTCTTACTTCTCTCAAGCCTCGGGCTTCATGTCAGAAGTACTGCCACTTTATATGGGCCTAATTCTTACCTTTTCATCGACATCCGAGAGGATCGGAAGCTGCACCTTTGCACCTTCCCCTGAACTCCTGTTGTCGAATGGACCCCAGTCTCAAACAAGCCGTTCCCCGGGTTTCTGACTCGGCAAACCCCAAACAAAATGAAGCCCGTGGGGCCAGGTCGACTAGAACGGCTCGGACATTTCTCAGCCGACATGGAAATCCCGAACGACGCCTTCTCACATCAGTATGTGTCTCGAAATACAACCATGTCACAATATGACATGCTACAGAGTTCTGTTTGCTTCCACGAAACTTCATGCAGCCGATCCCACGCTGACGACGCATTGGGTCAATGTCTAGAGAATCATTGACGAGCTCGGGAACTCGGGATTATAGCACGCGCTTAGCCTGTATCCAGAATATTATGGCGAAGACGATGTATCCGAGGGAAGACTATTTCCTTCTGGCTACACACAAAGAGGGTTCTACAACAGCGTCTCCCCTGTTGCCCGCCTGATAGACCCAGTCACCTCATCGACACTGCTGATGGTGGGAAAATGACCTGATTGACAAGTGTACACATCGACCTTACGACCGCTCTCCTCCTCGATCCGGCTAATGATAGACTCTTGAACTTGCAGTGGCACTGCCAGGTCGTCCTTGCAAACCAGGTATGACACCGGAATGCTGTGATAACCCGGGTGAGTGAGAATGCCCGTGAAGCTGACTGTCGAATGTGGGAGCATGTTTCTCGCCAGTTCGACTCCCCTTGCCAGGGGAAGATCCGAGAAATTCGTTCGAGCACAACCCTCTGGGTTGGTAAACATATAATCACCCTTACATACCACAACCGAAGTCAGTAAGGGACGCCCTTTGCTATCCAAATGCGGTGAGAGAAATACTCACGTCAATCGTGATGAATTCCGGCATTTTGTCACCCATTTGCGTCGTGATCGAGCCTCCCAAGCTTGGAACAGGGGAGCTGATATAGAAGAGACGAACAATTCCGCCTTTCAACTGAGATTGCGCGCGTTCCGCCATCGTCACTCCCTTCGTACTCTCCGTGCCACAGATGCCTCCATATGAATGCATAACCAGGATGATTTCCTTGCCCTCGTCGGCCAATTTGGTGGTGAGTGACTTGATGTACGCTGCATCATCAGCCATGGTCGAAGCAGGAAGCGGACTGCGATTGCCAACCGAAGGAAGATGGATCACAACGGTCTCATAGCCATAACTACCCAAAGCCACGACCACCTCGCTGTAGAGACTTGGTGGAGAGAATGATGCGGGAACAATGACTATGACTGGTTTGTTCGTTTCTGGTTTGTTGGTTCCGGGCATGTTTGATCTTGGTCGATGCAGCTGTAGTATTTCCGACGTGCTTCCAAACGTACCTGGGAGACTAAACTGCAGACTTTCCGTGACCAACGGGGTCCTTGGGTTGGGATAAAGTGATGGACAGTCTGTATTGATGACAAGACTTGAAAGAACAACTCCTACACCTCGGACTTTTCGACCATTTCAACCCGAGACGAAGACAACAACGATCGGATTGACCGCCTTACAAATTGATCTCGGTCTTTTGCTCCTCCACAGAATCAATGCAATCTTGCATCTCCCCATGGAGATGAGGTCGGAAAATTACGAACCTGTCGTGATCGCCGAGCTGAAGATGGACCTTCAGGCGCGAGAAAAACTTCGTGAGGCAGTGCCGACCATACGGATATGGTACAATTCCTTTTACAAAGCCGAAGGGGAACTTGAATTATTTATAAAGAAGGCTACAGGTCAACTTGGGTGAAATTTTCCACACAGGTTACTCAAGGAGCTCTCACAACTTTTGGACGGCCCTCCTTGGCCCCTAGCTCGTTGCCTTCGGATCTTTGTTTCCTGTTCCCAGCATGGCAGCATCTCAAGATGAGCCATTTACAGCGTCTGTCCTTGCTTCTTTTGGTCCCACTGCTCCGTCACGAGCGAAGGAGATCTTGACCTCGTTGATCCGTCATCTCCATGCAGTTTGTCGGGAAGTCAACCTTACAACCGAAGAGCTTTATATCGGATTGGACGCTCTCAGTCGTGCAGGACGCATGAGTGATGCGAAACGAAACGAGACTTTGCTGGTGTCTGATTGTCTTGGGGTCGAAGCGTAAGTATGGTAGGAGGTATCCTGTTCAGCAACTAGATTTCTGACTCATCTATAAGACTGGTGGACGACATCACCCATAAGATCCTAGCAGAGAATGAGTCCACCAGTTCCTGCATATTGGGGCCTTTCTATCGAGCAGATGCGCCCATCTACGATAATGGCGACAGTATCATCCAGAAATACCTTGGTGGCGAAGTGACTTGGTGTCACGGCCTTGTTCTCGACGCTGACAGCGGAAAGCCCATTGTCGGTAAGACATCAAGCCACTTATTCTCGTCCCTTGCTTCCTTAGACCCAGGATTGATATTTCCACAGGCGCGAAATTGAACGTATGGGAATGCGCGGCCAATGGGCTCTACGACCAGCAGGATCCGAACCAACCTGACGGAAACATGCGTGGCATTTTCACATCCGACAATCAAGGTCGATACGATTTTTACTGCATCAAACCAGTCCCTTACCCGGTTCCGTACGACGGGCCAGCAGGAGATATCTTGAAACTCATGGATCGCTCTCCGTTCCGGGCAGCACACATACATTTCATGGTGGAGAGCGAGACCCATCGACGGCTCGTGACACAGGTGTTTCCCAGCGACGATGCATACCTCGATCGTGATTCTGTATACGCTGTCAAGGATGATTTGATCATTCGTTTTGAGCCCGCGAGCTCAGAAGCGCGAAATGGACGAGCCGTGTGCGGTCTCGAATCGGGCGTCAAATGGGAGGTGAAGTACGACTTCCGGATCAAGAGACGACAGGGTTGAGGCAGTCGGCCTAGCAAAATACATACTTGGCGGCCTGTAAATTCGGTAGACGAAATTCCCTTTGGGCAAAATTCCAAGTTGAGCCCGTTGTCAGCGGCACAATGAAGGCATTGCTAGTGGCAGTCGCAGCCTTGCTCCGAGTCTCGATCGCAACTACATGCATAGTGGCAGCATGGGACGACTTCCTTATTGCTGGATACGTCGGCAATTTCGGACAATTATCTGAAAGATTGAAATGTCCGAGCAGTCCGTTCCCTTTGTCTTGTCCACATTGCTTAGCGAAGCCGAATAAGCCGACAAGGTCTGTTGCTCCACCAGTTTTTTTGGGGGTGGTTTTCCCTTTTCATGTCCCCTGTTGAGAGAAACGAGGCAATTTCCCCGTTTTCTGAGACCTGCTCAACCGCAGCAGAAGAGACTATGGGCAACGTGAGCGGTTTAGTCGCTTCGAGTTGAAGCGGAGCTTGTGGAGATCATGGAGAGCGGGGTGCATATCCTTGTTCATTGAGTTCTTGGACGAAATCGAACCCGTGTACCTTTCCCGACGCTTCAAATATTGCTTCCTTTTAAGGCTTGTGACCTTGCAAGAGTTTGCAATACCTCCACCAGTGCTCTGCAGCCTCTCTGCCAAAAGGATACTTCCCTGGGCGCCCTCGATCTTCGATTTAGGCACACCGTCGTGGTGATGCATCTTGCCACCTGCCTCAGAGAACATGCAACACCAAGAAGGTGAAGTACAGAGCCCAGCACCTGCAGTAAAAGTCAAGAAGCGACGGCGCCCAGCTCTTTCCTGTCTACCGTGTCATCGCAGGAAGTTAAAATGTGGTCGTGAATTTCCCGCTTGTGAGCGATGCAGAAAGAGTGGCCGCCCCGAGGACTGCGTTTATCCTGAGCACACGGTTCAAACGCGCGTGGCGGTTAGAAAGCCTCCAGGACCGGCCAGCTCTGTCGGCAACTTGACAGATACAGCCACCGACGACGGTCTGTCTACTCGGTGTCAAACCACGGGAACGAAGACAGCCCAGCCACTACTTGAGCAATCGTGTCATAGACGGGTGCGAGAAGAAGCAGATCAGACGGAGAGTCAAGAGATGATCATCTACAAAGGCGAGGGTCTTCTCACCAGGTTCTATGGGCACACTTACCACCGTAATTTGTATCAGCAGGTATCTCTATCTATCTCGCCAGACTCCCGCTGGTCAAGGCCCCATGCTAAGCTGCGTCATATACAATTCTAGTTTGATCAGCTTCGTCCCTACATACAGCGCCTAAAAGCACAGTGCCCAAGCATCAACAGGCTCCGAGACGAGATCCAAGTCTTAAAGATCAATGCGCATAACTCGAAAAGTCAATTCGGTGGCGGTATGAACGTGGTATGCGACTCTGATCTAAAGAGTCTCATCCCCAGTCGGGAAGTGGCAGATGAGTTGATCAACGTGTACGTGACTCGCTTTGAAGCCACCCATCGCATTTTCCACATTCCAACTTTCCTCGACGAGTACAAAAAGTACTGGACCAGCCCAGAAACAACACGGGCGGCCTCAGTCATTCACTTCCTACTCGCAATGGCCACGGCGCTGAGTTGCCGCGAGATCCTGAGCTGCGATCCCAAAGTCGGGGACAAAATTGTCATCACGCGCGAGACCGCCACAACGTGGATCCAGGGGTGCGAATCGTGGATCTCGATCAACACTGTGAGACCGCCATATCGCCATCTGACCATGCTAGCAACCAATTGTCTGCTGGTCATCGCCAAGCGCGCAAACCACATCCAAGCAAATGAAACCTGGATCACGACGGGGGCGCTGGTGAGATCGGCCATGGCGGCAGGATACCACAGAGAGGCGGACAGTCGCGCCCACATGTCTGTTTTCCATCGAGAAATGCGCCGTCGACTGTGGGCGACCGTGGTCGAACTGGATCTCCAAGCGGCCATGGAACGGGGAATGCCGCCCAGCCTGCGAGAGGAAGATTTCAACTCACGCCCACCGTTGAACATCACTGACGATGCCATTGACGAGTCGTCAGGGGAGACTCCAGCGACAGCTCCCCTTGAGACTCTCACAGACACTTCTTTCCAAGCCATTGCTTATCGCTCTTTAGGCCTGCGACTGCGGATATGCGCTCTGATTAACAACAGCCATGTGCAGACGGAGGAATCCCTGTTCGACGAGGCACTATTGATGGATGAGGAGATTATGAAAGCACTGATGGCAGTTCCAGCAACCTGGGGGGCTGGTGCAGCGGCCACCGCCACGGACAAATGGCCAGCTCAGAAACCTCTTTTCATTAGGACCATGTTGGACATGTTACTTCGACAGCAGGTGATCTTGCTTCATATGCCCTTTGCTAACCGAAGCGAACCGGTCCCCAAATTTGGCCACTCACGACGAGCGAGGCTGGAGGCAGCGACACACGTCCTCGGTCAATTTCGAATGCTCGTGGACCACGGCATGCTCCCGCGATCAGGCTGTGACAATTGCCAGTTCCAGGCTGCCATGGCCATCTGCCATGAGTTGTACCTGAGGAGTGGGGTTTTTGGTGAGCCAAGCCCGTCTTCACCCTTTGTAGATCTTGTTGTTGGCATTGAGTCCGTCTCAAGAACAATACTCATCAGGTTCGTGTTCGTTCAAGGGTCTGTCGCAACATTCCACGCCGGCTCTGGCCTTGCCGAGTGCTACATTTCCATGGCCGAAGGTGTCCTGTCCATGATGGAGAGCCGCATCACCATTCTGGCAAAGGGGCTCAACGAGTACTATCTCCTCACCATGGTTCTTGGCCTGGTCAAGTCTCGATTGTGGACGGAACGCGCCTCGTCTTTCGGCGCAGAGGCAGTCGAAAGGATCACAAGGATCATGATAATCCTTGGGTCAATACGCAAATCGATCTGGAGCGACGCTCCTCCACACGGTGCCGGAGGTGACGGCCTCCATTCCGAGTAGGTTTTCCATGGCCCATTAGGGGAGGGACAAGAAAAGATGTTCAGATTGTCACAGCTGACCAGGACATCAGCGCAATTCCCGGAGAAGACGTAGGAGATATTACCATCACAAGCTTCCCAGAAGTATCTGCCGGTGGAGAGATGATGGGAACATTGGGTTCGATCGTAAGGAGTCATGCACATGCACGCATAACACATTCTGAAACTGGTCGTTGAATGGCATATTTTGCTGACGCAAATTTCCCAAAACACAGATTTCCCACAACTTTGACCTCTTCCAGGACGATGTCGATCTTGAGACATTTGATCTGTGGTGGCCCACCGAAGACAATTTCTTGATGAATGGCGGCAACGACTTTGAGTATGCCACCACGGCTATATAATATAAAATAGGGCCTGGATGAGAAAAGCAGACGTTGGACTACTATTTCTTTTCTTTCTGATCCCTGCTGTCTTGGACCTTTCCGGGCACTCTTAGTACCGACGACCATAGACATCTTTGTCGGCTTATTATCCCTTTCTCAACCGGACTTTTTGACCAGATGCAGAGTTTGGTCCCTCCAATTGGTTGCAACTTGCTCGCAATGTATTATCTACAAGTCTGGGTCGATGGGCGGATAGCTACAAGCCTTTCCTCGGTCGAGCCCGCTTCTGATATCGGATCCAAATATCAAATTCCACGAGATCATTGAAGTCGTCAGTGGATTTCTCCAAGATCACCCTTGAGCCTATGGGTGGAACATCCAAGTCCGATTCTAGGTCCCAAAAGACCGAAGGATCAACTATACGATTTGAGACCATATTTCTCAGGCCGAAATTGCCGAGATGCATTGCACAAGCACTACGGGCCTCCTGAGTAACTTTGCCTAGCCCCTACGGTATTCCTCACCATACTATACTAAGGGGAGCAATTCACCGTCTCAATAGGGAAGGGGCATTCTTTAGCTGCAGAGAAAAACACACTGGCCCGTGCTCTCGTCGAGGGTCAAGATTGGGTCCTCCAAGACGGTGGTTGGTCACAAATGACAGAGACAAGGCTGAAGTGGAGTCCCAAACGGACACGGGATGGGATATTGTCATATCCACCTGGGTGTGGAAATCGATTGATACGTCCCATCGACCCGCCTGGTAAACATTCACATTTCGACACGCCGAGATGTGGATTGGGAGAGACAGTCGCCACTGCTACAGCCCGAAAATCGGGCTCTTGGGCTTCGATGTGCAAGCCTGCAAGGCTTTGAGTAAATTACGCGTGGCTCGCTCAGAGGAATGGATGAAAGTTATGTATATGGATGTATATAAAGCCCCGAAGGAAAGGGAGGAGAGTTCGTCACACATCTGGGGACTGCACTACACTGCACTGCACTATTGTTCACAAGGGGTCGGATCCATTGATACATTGGGGAAAATTCAACAATGGCCAAGGGAGAAGCGGATCAGAAACCCAAGGGCGAGCGCGAGCGCGAGGGCGAGGGTGAGTGTAAGACTGAAGCTGAAGCTGTGAGGTACCGATACCCCGAGGGAGGAGCTCGAGCGTGGCTCGTTGTCATGGGCTGCTTCTGCGTCATGTTCTACACGTTCGGCTACCTCAATGCTTTCGGGTGAGTTTTGTTGTCCCTTTTTGCTTCTTCCTCGCCCCCGGCAAAGATAAAAGGGCAAAAAACGGGGGCTGACATGGAGGGTGGGATCCAATCTAGTGTCTACGAGACATACTACCAACGGGACCTCCTAAAGGAATACACTCCGTCAACCATCGCGTGGATAGGATCGCTGCAGGTATTTTTCCAGTTCGCGGCTGGCATCATTGCTGGGCCGGTGACGGATATTTGGGGGCCCAGGGTAAGTTCCTCGAAACCCGCCATTATTATAACGAGCGCACGACTTTTTTTGCAGATTGATATAGAATGTTGCTGACACAAGCACCACAAATGTAGGTCATTATCTGGCCCTTCTCCATCATCTACGTCTCGGCCGTTATGCTCACCAGCATCTGCACCAAATACTGGCACTTCATCCTGGCCCAGGGCGTCCTCGGCGGTCTCGCCAACGGCCTGGCCTACGCGCCCGCCATCGCCGTCATCGGACAATACTTCCATCAACGGCGGCCCTTGGCCATGGGCATCGCCTCGGCGGGCTCCTCGTTGGGCGGCGTCATCTTTCCCCTAATGCTCGACCGGCTCATCTACCACACGCACCTGGGTTTCGGCTGGGCCGTCCGCGTCGTGGGGTTTCTAGTGCTCGGTCTGTGTTTGACGGCGTGCGCCACCGTCGTGCCCCGCGTGCCGCCTCGAAAGGGCAGATACTTCCTCCTGCACGCGTTCAAGGAGCCGGTCTATTCAATCCAAGTGCTGGGCATGTTCTTCGCCTGGTGGGGCATCTTTACGCCCTTTTTCTTCTTGCCGTCATACGCCGAAGCACAGGGTTTGAGTCTGGACATGTCGATTTATACACTCGCGATTCTCAACTCGGGCTCCCTCGTCGGCCGTCTCTTGTCCGGCTTCGCCGCCGCTCACCTCGGCCGCTTCAACCTTGTGGTCATGGGAAACTGCGTTTGTGGGATCCTCGTCTTCTGCTGGCTCCGGGTGGTCTCCACGGCCGCAATCTGTGTCTTTGCAGTCCTTTATGGAATCTTCTCGGGCTTTGTCGTTGCACTGTTTCCAACCACCATCGCCGAAGTCTGCGCCCACCCGACAGAGATCGGGAGCTACGTCGGCATGGCACTCGGGCTGTATGGCATTGCAGGTCTGACCGGCACGCCCATCACTGGCGCCATGATTGCACGGTACAAGGGGTATGATGAGGCTACCATTTTCAGTGGCAGTGTGCTGATAGCGGGAGCGTCATTGATTTTCGTCGCAAGGTGTCTTTTTGCAAGGAGACATGGATGGCGTGTGTAAGGAGGGATAGGCTCGGCGGGCATTGACTGGCTTGAGTTTGGAGTGGGAGGTTCTGTCTGTGGTTGTTCGGAAAGAGGCGTAAGAACTTCCCAATGGGAGATTGTGTTAGGTGTTATGGTTCCAGAAGCGAAATCCCAACTCTCTGTGTAGACTACGGGCAGTGTTTCGAATCATCCAAAGCCAGATATTCCGAGCGAACCCGCGTATTCGAAGCAGGATGGCGCACCGTACCGACAAGGCCTTTGCTTCTCGTGGGCAACTCCCTTCGTCCTTCGTCATTGGCCGTTTACGGATCTTTACTGGAACGGCCACCCTCCAATGGTGATTCTGAACAGCGTCGGATCCGCCTCAATCTCTGCCTTGCGGGCAACCAACTCCTCGACATCCCAATTCGCCCACAAAAATCTCCCGGACTTGAGAAAGTCGGCCTCGGGACTCGCGAGCCAGATCATGAAATTCGCGGGCAGTTCTGGTTCGTCCAAGAAGTCGCCTGCTGGAAGCTTATCGAAATTGCCCATGACTTTCTCGGTCATCCTGGTGGCGACGACACCCGGGTGGACCGTGAATACTCGGAGGTGTGGATTCTCCTCCGCGAGATACTCGTCGAGCTTGGTCATGGCCAACTTGGAGGCCAAGTAGGCCGAGCTTTTGGGGAAATGGGAGGCTCGCAGGTGACAGGCCGCAGCGTTGGTGCCGATGTACGTCGCATTCGGACGGCATTTTGGTAAGAAGTGCTTTGCAAAGTGGGCCGAGAACTTGACGTGGATCTCGAATGCTTTCCACCAGTCGTCCTCGTCTGCTCCCGCGAGCGTGGTCAAGTCTGGTAAGTACCTTAAAACAGACACACAATGTCAGCTGAATAGTGTCCCATTGCTCAAAGCGATCAATGAGCCATGCGATTAAAACTATACCCTGCACAATTCGCAAAGACGTCCCAGGCCCCCAGCTCTGTTCGGATGTGATGTGCAGCCATGCCAACGCTCTCCGTCCTCGAGATATCTGCGACGGATACCAGAACCGTGGCATCGGGATATGACTGGTCAATTGCTGTCTTTGTCCTTTGGAGAGTCTCCTCCGTTCTGCCCACCAGGGCGATTTTCCGGGCGCCGGCTTTTGCAAATGCTAAAGCGACGGCAGCGCCGATGCTTCCTTGGCCTGCGCCCGTCACGACCACGGTCTTGTCCTTTGCTGACAGCCCGGGCCGCGAGGGATCAATTGCTGGATACGTGGTCTTGCGGTATACCTTGGTGAAGCAGGGATATGCCATGGCTTGAAGGTGATTGATGCGTTCGAAGGCTACCAATGAGCAAGCCCAGACCGGGGAGATAATTCTCTTGTGTAGATCTTATGAAGCCGGAGAAGGGAAAGGAAAAGTCTGTCAGCGAGGCCTCTTCATATACCAGGCCGCAGAACACTCAGGTTAGGCCACCTGTCTGAGCAAGGCGCACGGTCGAAGCTCAATGGGCAGCTCAATGTCTCCAAGATCCGCCAGCTTGAAAACAGTCCCTTGTGGCTTCGACCGGGTGTATGAGGCGAAAGTTGCTGATACTGACTTCTCAATGTCACAACTTGATGTGGATAATGGGGGACTTTTCCGGCGCTATAGAACACGCACTAGTTAGTGAGCTGCTATTGAAGATGATGTACTCGGGACATATAGTATGTGTGTGTGTTTTACATGGTGAATACTCTGTGGAATCACCCCGCAGCGGTTACCATCGGCTATTGGCCATCCCTAGGCATTCAAAACATCACCTCATTTCTATGAAAAGTTCACCACCCCTTCTATGCATATTTCCTGCTTCGAACAGCGAGATTCCTGCTAAACTTCAGCCATCTCACCTCATAAGTCATGGCCTCAGTAAAGGGCACCCGGCTCCACGCCCAAGGCACGCACCAGTCCTCGCTCGAACTCATCGGACAGACACCCCTCGTGCGTCTGAACAAGATCCCGCAGTCCCTCGGCATCGAAGCCACCGTGTATGCCAAATGCGAATTTTTCAATGCGGGCGGAAGTGTCAAAGACAGGATAGCCCTGCGTATGATTGAAGAGGCGGAGAAGTCGGGACGAATAAAACCGGGTGACACGCTGATCGAGCCTACCAGCGGCAACACGTAAGAAAAACATGGCAATACACCTGGAGAATGGTATTTGGCTGATATACAGTAGTGGCATCGGATTAGCCCTCGTGGCCGCCCTCAAGGGCTACAAGACCATCATCACCCTCCCCGAAAAGATGTCTGCGGAGAAAGTCGCAGTGCTCAAAGCCCTTAACGCAACCATCATCCGCACACCCACACAAGCCGCCTTCGACAGCCCCGAATCACACATTGGAGTCGCCAAACGCTTGGAGAAGGAGATACCAAATGCCCATATATTGGACCAGTATGGGAACCCGGACAACCCGCTCGCGCATGAACTGGGGACTGCGGAGGAGATATGGGAGCAAACAAAGGGCAGGGTGACTTGTGTTGTTGCCGGCGCTGGCACAGGTGGCACGATCACAGGGCTCGCTCGCGGCATGCACAAACACAATAAAACAATCAAGATCATCGCCGCAGACCCTCAGGGATCGATCCTCGCTCTGCCCTCGGCCCTCAACGAGGAATTCGCAAATCAACCCTACAAAGTCGAGGGGATAGGCTATGACTTCATCCCAGACGTCCTTGACCAGAGTGTGGTGGACAAATGGTACAAGACGGACGACAGGGACTCGTTCCACCACGCCCGCCGCCTCATCTCTGAAGAAGGGCTGCTGGTCGGGGGCAGTTCCGGGTCCGCCATCGCCGCGACGGTCAAGGCCGCAAGAGACCTGAATCTGGGGAAAGACGACGTGATCGTGACAATCTTGCCCGACAGCATCCGCTCGTACCTGAGCAAATTCGTCGACGACGACTGGCTCGCCGCCAACAACCTTCTCCCGCCCACACCTCCGCCTGAACCCTCCTCGCCGCAACTCTCGAGAACCCAGAGCGTCAAGGATGACACATTCCACGGTGCTCGCGTCCGCCATCTGCGCCTCAAACCCGTCCAGACAGTCACATCGGACAGCCCCTGCTCTGCCGCCATCGAAGTTATGCGCGAAAAGGGCTTCGACCAACTCCCCGTCCTGGCCCCAACGCCCTCCAGGAGATTAGTCGGTCTCGTCACCCTGGGTAACCTGCTGTCACGCATAAGCCACGGGCGGGCCACAGGTCAATCCCCCGTCAGCGACGTCATGTTCGACTTCTCCAAGATCAGCGAAGTCACCGTCGACCACACGGATTTCTCCGAGTTGATGACCACGTCCGCCGACGCTGACTCGGAGCCGCAGAAACCCTCGAGCGACACGAGCGAGAAGACCAAGAGCAAGAGCAAGGGCAAGAAGAAAAGGCACCAATTTGTCGAGATAACCATGGACACCCCTCTTGCCGCATTGAACAAGTTCTTCGAGTGGCAGAGTGCGGCTATCGTAACGGAGCGCGAACCACCTGCAGGTGACAAGGGAGCCGGCGCTCTCAAGCCCGTAGCAGTGGTTACCAAAGTCGATCTGCTTACTTGGATGTTGAGCGAGCATAAGCCGTAGTCCTTGAGGGTAACAGGGGGACCTTTTCTTTTTTTTTACAAGGGGTTATGTAGATCAGATTCAACAGCGTCATTGGGCTAGAACACCGGGGATTGATTGTATCACAAGTGTGCAATGTTGGGAGTATTCAACACAAGAAACCCATCTGCGGTGGCGATGCATTTGCAGGGATGGGAACGGAAGTAATATAGCAAAACCCATGAGAGTTCGGGACAGATTGGGAGGTTATGTATTCAAAGGATATATCTGCCTCCGCAAGGACAAGTTACCCACGTCAGTATTACAAGACTTACCTCCCTGGCTGGATTGCAGTGCCTGCTACGTTGATCAAGGCCAAGATCATCATTAGGACGGGGACGAGCCCACCGTCGGCAGGAAACAATACAAGAAAAATGGTAGGGTATGAGGGCAGGAGACGGAAGGGAGCCACGACATCGTAACTCAGGAAAGTCAGAGACATCGCGGGGAGGAAATACACGCGTCTTGTGCCGATGATGTTGTGGTGCTGAACGCGGAATAACGAGCTCGTAGGACATGGATCGTGTGTTGGACGCGGAAGGATAGGACGCGGAACTTGTGGTGGGAATAAGAGGTGGTAGGACTGCGGGAAGGGGAGTTACGACGGCGGCGGCGGGGACGAGGAAACGCGAGACCGAGGACGCGGCGCATCGTGGCGGACGAAAGGGAACGAGGCTGATACTAGAGCTGCTGGAACGTCTCGCATAGGAATAGGAAAAGTGAGGCGGCACATGCTGTCAAGATAGGTATCGTCCGATTGTCCGTATCGACGCTCCGATCGAATACTTCGTACGCTACCGAAGATAAACGGTTGACGACCGATGAACCGGCTGCTGTACAGGATTGAACCTGCAACGTTCGCTCGAAGTCGATCTAATCCCATGTCAAGTCAATTTTACCACCGCTCACTGCTATGCCTGAGACTTTCAGGTCATGCAAGCTCTGCAATTGTTTCATCATAACAACAATGTCAAGGACGAAAAATTCAAGAAACCTAGCACGTTCTTGCGCTTTGCAAATACAGCAATTTGTGGTCTTGCACAGTCACAAGAGGCCTGTTTGCTTGTTCGTTCGCAGTAACAGCACGCTGGGGTCTGGCATCTGGTCGGTGCTGGCGGATCATGCTGCCTTTTCATTCCGCAGTATCGAGCTCATCGTGAGCAGGGGGAGGTGAGTCCAGGGCTGATTCGGGTGTCAGCATTCAATCCCAGGCGGCATCGGTATCAATTTCCATCGTCGTACCTTTCCGGTCATCACCATTGGCAGCGCCATCGCGGTCATCGTCACGGCGGTCTCGATCGTCCTTCATTTCTCGGTCTCGGTCTCGGTCACGTTCGCGGTCTGCCGGGCTGCGCGAGCGTCGTCGGTCATCGTAATCTCGGTCCCGGTCTCTTTCCCGATCTCGGTCACGGTCGCGGCGATCGTCCTTTCGGGGAGAATAATCGCGGCGTCGAGGAGAGGGAGAACGGGCTGATCGGCGAGGCGGGGTTCTATCACGACGGCCACGACCAGCTTCGTATCGCCATGTCGCAGAAGGGGGAGTACGAGCCCACTATAAGTTAGGCAGTCAGACAAAATGTTTGGCAAGGTGTTGAGCTTCGATGGGGGTGTTCCTTCCGTACCTCAATCTTCAAGACATCATCACGACCGATCCGCTTGTTATGCATCTCGTGGTAGGCATCGTCAGCATCGCGACGGCTCTCGTATTCGACGAAAGCGAAGCTGTTACGACCATCAGTATGGGTGTGTTGTAGGAGACACTCTTCGTGACTTACAGACGGCTTGAGGCAGTCCTGGGTGCAGGAATGTCGCATCTGACCAGACGACCATAGTGCTCAAATTCATAGGCAAGGTCACGGGCACGGGTGCCATGACCAAAGCCCGTGACATAAAGGGTGGTACCAGATCGAGACATGATCAAAAACGGAATGGAAAGGTCAAAGGGGCCAGGTGGCAAGCTGATATATCGTGGTCGATGTTGTTTCGCGCCTGTCACCAAGCGAGTGACCTCTAGCTGCGAAGATCTGATAATACAATCTCTGGTTGGTAGAGTGAATGCAACAGATGATGGACAAGGCACAGAGAGGATTGAATGGATGGAAACTGGAGGAATGAAGGCAGAAGATGTTTGACAAACGCAGCGCTTTGCCTCATTTTTAGATGGAAACGGGGCTAAACCAGAAATAGAAAACAGGGCTTGGCACGTGCGCAGTCACTGCCAGCCAGTCACTGCCACGGAAAAGTCATCGGAACTGCGCCCACTGAGCCGGCACTTTGGAAAGGACACCAAGCATCCACCAAGGGTCACCAAGGTCACGCTTGCCCGTTCGCCTGCGACCTGTTACAGGGTGACAGGGGAAAAGAGACTCTATCACTCTCGGGTGACTCTACCAACTGGCACATGCCTTATAACCACACGCTTCTTGCTTCTATACCTTCATTTCACCACTTGACATTCTTGAATCCACCTGGTCGACAAAGTCCTTCCCACCTTGACACCTCCACTCGATCAATTTCCCTTTTCAAGCCTGCGATCCTCTTGCCCGATTTGTCCCGTCTCCGTCCTCCGCATATCGCTCTTCTTTGACCCTGCCCTATCAGCCCAGGTGGATGATACAACGGGCCTGCTTCGTGCTGAAGCACCGTCCTTGAACGCTATACAAGATACCTGTGTGAATTTCGGTGGGAAAAGACGCTTCGCAGACACATGATGTTCTCGTACACACATCGAAAACCGTGAAGAATTTTCCATGGACGCCACAGCCGCCTTCGACACTAGAATTCTACTTGCTGTGACGCCTGCACATCTGCAACCGTCTTTGCCGACACTTTTTTTCTCGTTACCTTTGCAAAACTCGCGTCAGAGTCATGCGTCTCGGAGAGAAGGACCCTGTTACTGTCAACGGTAGCATCGGCCAGAGCTCGACCTCCCTACGAGACTTACCAAGTATACCGCAGGTCAGTGACATCGAACCGTTGAATCGACTGGCCCCACGTCCTAACCCGTATAGAACCCGACCAACATGACAACATCCGACTTCCTCCTCCCCCTACGAGAGTTTCTCTCAACGCCCTTTACAGCCGCTTTCTGCGCCGGTGGTGTGGCGGGCGCTGTCTCTCGCACTGTCGTCTCCCCTTTAGAACGCTTGAAGATTCTGTACCAGATACAAAGCGCCGGTCGCAACGAATACAAGATGTCCATTGTCAAGGCTCTCAAGAAGATGTATGCCGACGAGGGCTGGAGGGGCTTCATGAGAGGAAACGGCACGAATTGCATACGCATCATACCCTACTCGGCCGTACAGTTCGGGAGCTACAACATCTACAAGCGCTTCGCTGAACCTTCACCTGGCGCTGATCTCGACCCTATTCGCCGACTGATCTGTGGTGGTCTCGCCGGTATCACCTCTGTCACATTTACCTACCCTTTGGATATTGTTCGTACGCGCTTGTCCATCCAGTCAGCTTCGTTTGCCGCGCTTGGAAAGCACGAAGGTAAGTTGCCAGGGATGTGGCAGGTCACGGTCATGATGTACAAAAACGAGGGTGGTGTGCTGGGTCTTTACAGGGGCATCATCCCTACAGTTGCCGGCGTTGCCCCCTATGTCGGCCTCAACTTCATGGTCTATGAATCAGTCAGGAAATACTTTACCGAACCGGGCGAGAAGAACCCTGTCTGGTATCGAAAACTTGCTGCAGGCGCCATTTCGGGAGCCGTCGCGCAGACCTGCACATATCCATTTGATGTCCTCCGGCGGCGGTTCCAAATCAACTCCATGAACGGAATGGGATACCAATACAAATCGATATGGGATGCCATCAGAACTATTGTTACACAAGAGGGTGTCCTTGGACTTTACAAAGGGATCATACCAAACTTGCTCAAGGTCGCCCCGAGCATGGCTAGCAGCTGGCTCAGCTTTGAAGTCACAAGGGATTTCTTGGTTAGTCTAGCTCCAGAAAAGGAGAACGGAGACCCTATCTGAGACCGGCAAAGGTAGCCTGAGATTTATGGCTCTTTCAGATACCACGATTCACCAAGAGACCGCCGAACATCGTCAACCTCACAGATGGACGGACTCGGAGCTAGTTGGAGGCCGGGACAAGGCATCGCCTGCGCAGAGGGAAGGAGTGTGGACTATGATCAAGTATTTCTACCCTTTACAGAAGAGCTGCGCCGCTTTTGCAAGGGTTACTGTATATTCCCCATAAATGGAGGCATGGCGAAATTTCACGGAGTCAAAAGGTCGAAGGAAAAATGGATTAGAGAGACCCGGAGCGAGGCATTTTCTGGAGTATCAAGACAAGTCTAACGCAGAAGCTGTTGACTTGAAGTTTGAGCATTTATTTTCCAGAGTAGATCAAATTGAATATCGAATTGGTCACCATCTTGCTGGTAGTTTTGGGAACCCGTTCGCCTGAGTCTCTTGCTTTTGAAGTTTGATGGATCGGCACTTACTTGTGGCTGCAGCACGTGACTCCGAGGTTTTGAATCCACAAACAGCTTAGCTTCCAGAAATCTTGGCACGCCGCACAGCGTTCGCACCCGCTAGTTTCTCACGTCGACCAAATTTCAGATTGACCCTTCTGAGGACGTCGCCGACCCTTTGTCAATCAGCAACATCCACCACAGCCAGCGATCATGGGTACGTGGAATATCGAAACTCTTCTCTCTGCGATGTTGTCTAATTGACGTCTGTTTCCAGGTATCGACCTCGATCGCCATCACGTCAAGGCGAGCCACCGAAAGGCGCCCAAGAGTGACAATGTCTACCTCAAGCTCTTGGTGAAGCTGTACCGCTTCCTTGCCCGTACGTTCAAGTGACGAAGGAGAGAGAGAACCAGAAAAAAAGTATTGACAATCAAATCTCGCAGGCCGAACCGATTCCAACTTCAACAAGGTCGTGCTCAAGCGCCTGTTCATGTCCCGCATCAACCGCCCTCCCATGTCCATCTCGCGCATCGCCAGCAAAGTCTCGACCGAGACGGCGCAAAAGGCCTACAAGGACAAGACCATCGCCGTGATTGGCACTGTCACGGACGACAACCGCATGCTCACCGTCCCCGAACTCCACATCGCCGCCCTGCGGTTCACCGCCACTGCCCGCGCCAGGATCGAGAAGGCCGGCGGCGAGTGCCTGACCCTCGACCAGCTCGCCATGAGACACCCCACGGGCAGCAACGTGGTGCTCCTGCGGGGTCCCAAGAACGCCCGTGAGGCCGTCAAGCACTTCGGCTTTGGGCCGCACAAGCACAAGAAGCCGTACGTTGAGAGCAAGGGCAGGAAGTTCGAGAAGGCCAGAGGTAGGAGACGGTCCAAGGGTTTCAAGGTGTAGGTTAAACGTGGCCTACGCGTTGGTATTCTGCTGGTCGTGGTGGTGGTGGTGGCGGTTCATTGAGTGGGATTCTGGGTGTCTCGCTATGGGGGGAAGACGGAATGTCACCACATTTTGAGCGTGTCAGATGGGTGTCAATGAGGACGGGTCTCACTCTACGGAACTGGAGCCTAGAAACGCAATTCGAACAAGCGAAGCTCACTTGATCGTCAAGGCATCCTCTCGAAGCAGAAGACAGAAACGGTCCATGCGTGGCGCCTCGGGCTTTGAGACGGAGAAACAGAAATGCTCCCGCGTGCGTGGTCGGTGTCGATTTTCCAGAGTAAAGGGACGCGAGACGGAAAATTTCCAATGCATTGATTCAAACGAAAAAGAAAAATCTTCGATTCGATCCTCTTGTTTTTTTTTTCTTTGGTCTTGGTTTTTCAACCCAGCTTTTGAGTTTGTGTAAAGACGCCAGCGATGCAATACGGGGTTATCAGTCAAACACTGACAACAGCTGGGATCCTGAGCCCCTTCACCTAAGTAGGTATCCATCCATCCATCCTCAAACACCTCTACCCCATCCGTGCAACAGTGCCGTTCATCATATCTCGATCCTCTCATGCAAAAACCTCCTCTGCCCTTCCCCCTCCCCATACTCCCCAGCCCCCTGACCCTTCCCCCTGATCTTGTACTTGTAGATGGTCAAACCCTCTAGTCCGACCGGACCTCTCGAGTGGATCTTGTTTGTGGAAATCCCGACCTCGGTGCCAAAGCCGTACCTCATGCCGTCGGCGAACCGGGTCGAGGCGTTCCAGTACACCCCCGCCGAGTCGACGGCGGACATGAACTTCTCGGCCACGGCCGGAGAGGAAGTGATGATGGCGTCGGTGTGGTGCGACGAATGGGTGTTGATGTGCGCGATGGCCCGGAGGAGGGATGGGTCGTTTGCTTCGTCTTGAGCATCGTCGCCGGTTGAGGATGAGTGTTGTCCGTTGGGTAATAATGTGTCGCTGCTGGTGCGACCGTTTGAAGACGGAGTCCCTGCTGGGACCGTCTTGACGGCCATGATCAGGTCGAGAAACTCGGTTGAGAAATCCGTCTCGGTTGCGTCTTGCAGCAAGGCCGCGTTGGCGGGACTCAGCACCTCTGTTAGAACTTTCTTACTCTGTTCGTCACACCGTAGCCTCACGCCCTTTCTCAGAAGCTCTTCCGCTACATGGGGCAGCACCGTCTTCAACACGGCCTCGTGCACGAGAAGCGTCTCTGCCGAATTGCACGCCGCCGGGTAATCGCATTTGGCGTCCACCACGACCTTGACGGCCACGTCCTGATCTGCGTCCTTGTGCAGGTACACGGAACACAGGCCGTCGGCATGGCCCAGGACGGGGATCTTTGTGTGATCCTTCACATACCTGACCAGATCATTGCCGCCCCGGGGGATGACGAGGTCAATGTATCGATCCAGCGCCAGTAACTCGTCAATGACATCTCTGGTCTTGACCAACTGGATCGCCGCCACAGGGACCTGAGTATTTGCTAGCGCCTCGCCGATAACGGTGGCAATAGCCTCGAAACTCGCGCTGCTCTCCTTGCCGCCTTTGAGGATGGCCGCATTTCCCGATTTGATGGCGAGTGCAGAAATATTGGCAATGACCTCCGGTCTAGCCTCGAAGATGATGAGCAGCACGCCTATCGGACACGACACCCTCTCCAGCTCTAGACCTTGGTCGAGTTTCGTGCGCAAATCCACCACGCCGATCGGGTCGGGAAGGTCCCGCACGTCCAGGATCCCCTTCAGCATGTCGTCGTACTTGCCCTTCCTCCCCAAATCGAGTCGTTTTAGCACTGACTGGCTCAATTCCCCTTGTGAGGATGCCTGTTGCGCGGCCGCCATGTCGCGGGCGTTGGCCTCGAGGATTTTGGATTTGTGCTGCACCAAGGCCCCGTGGATGGCTGTTAGGGCGTCGTTGCGTGCCGACAAGGGTAGGATTGACAGAGTGTGTGAGGCCAGCGAGGCGGATTGCGCACAGGTCACGGGGCTGGAGCTTGTGAGCGACATGGTTGACTTTGTTGTCGAGTCGGTTTTTCAACGACGAGGACTTTCTCTTCCTGCTTCTTCCCCGTCTTGTAGAACCCAGTCGCCCTGAGCAAATATCTTAGTTTGAGCTTGTGAGAGCAACTCGAATATGTCGTGGGCGAAACTCAGCAATACCCCCTCTCTCGTCTTCAAGTTTGGTTTGTGTTAGCTTAAGGTCGAGTGATGAAGTACCAAGTAGGTAGGAGTCATGGAACTAGAACAAGAAGGCTAGGTAGTGTGTGGCTACGAAAGTGGCGCCGTCGCTGCGTTGATTGGTGCGCCCTTTTCAAGATCATTCGAGACTCATCCGGTCTGGATTCCGCATACATACCTAGCACCCACCTGGTATGTAACGAAGTGAAAGTGGATGTCAATCCAATCCATTCCTTTTTTGACACTTACATCTTGAAGGTCATATATAGTTATCATTGGGTACTGCCACATGTGTCTCCGAGATATACTGGGTAGGTATGTTGTCAGTGGAACCACGATGCAGCCGTAACACACTTGCTAAGGCATGCCGAGTATATATAGCCTAGAGCGCCTGGGTATCTAGGTAGGTAGGTACTCATCGCACTGTGTACGGGACTTTGGCTGTAGATATGCTGCTGCCTACATGTGATTTCTATATACATTTTTTACGCCATATTTACCGTCGAATAACGGCAGAGCTCTTTTTGTTCCTGGCGCCTTTTGGTAGGTATGTACTTCTACGCCCTACAACGGGTTCGTCACCAACTTCGGAGAGAGGCACCACGTCACCCGCTGACCGGTAGATAGAGATATAGGGTCGCTTGGAGGGTGTTGCTCCAGGAGTCCCCTAAGACCCGGCTCGAAGATGCCACTTCCACACCACTGTACTCAAAGAACTTGATGTCCCTTGCACTCTCAGAAATGGAGGATCCTATTCTCCTGATTCTGGCTTTTCTGTGTCTGCCTTTCGTCTATTGGAATTTTCATGTCTCATCAGCTCATCATGCCTTCTAGTGCTACAATGCTCGCAACAACAACAACGATGGACGACGGTAACAATAACAGCAACGATCGTCGACTGCAAGGTCGGTCCTCCTGCGTCGCGATAACGATATTGTCCAGGATAATCTTTCGTCTCCATGCATAGGTCCACTTACTTCTTGACCAACAAACTTGTCCCGCCCATTTCTTCAGGCTGGTCGATTCCCATCGCTGCAAGAACTGTGGGTGCGACATCTCCAAGAACGCCGTCCTGCTTCTTCAAGCTCCATCCCTCAGGCGCATTGGCCATGACAAAAGGAACCTTGTTGGTAGTGTGCGACGTCTTGGGCTTGCCTTCTTCGTTCAGCATTTCTTCGGCATTGCCGTGATCAGCTGTCACAAAGAGGATGTAGCCTTCCTTCTTGCACGTCTCATACACCGTGCCGATGGCGGCATCTGTGGCGGCCACTCCCTTGATCGCCGCTTCGTAGACACCCGTGTGGCCGACCATGTCGGGGGGTGCAAAGTTGTTCATCAGGAAATCGTACTTTTGATCCGCTATTCTTTCACTGAGCTTGTCTGCCACCTTTTGAGCACTCATCGGAGGGTCGAGATCGTAGGTGGCGACCTTGGGACTGGGGATCAATTCTCGCTCTTCGCCCTCGAATTGTTTCTCCACTCCTCCATTGAAGAAAAATGTCACATGGGCATACTTCTCTGTCTCGGCGACGTGACATTGTTTCAAGCCTTTCTTCCCCAGCCACTCGGCAAGAACATTGCCCATATGCTGGGGAGGGAAAGCGACTGGAAAGGTATAGTCGGTCTTGTACTGCGTCATGGTGGTGATTTCAATGCCCTTGGGATAGGGGAAGTCCGGTTTGGGAGATCGATCGAAATCACCCAACAGTTGAGTCACTTCTCGGACGCGGTCGGATCGATAGTTAAAGAAGAAGAGGGTGTCGTTGTCTTTGATCCTCCTCTCGTCTCCACCGACAATGATGGGCTTGAGGAACTCATCGTTCTCTCCTTTCTCGTATCGTGACTTGATCGTGGCAACAGGATCGGATGATTCTTCTCCTTCGCCGAGCACAATACCCTTCATGCCGATCTCCACACGATCCCACCTCTTGTCTCGATCCATGATGTAGTAACGGCCGACCACCGTAGCCAGCTCGCCGATGCCCAGCTCTTTCAGCTTGTCCAGCAATTCTTGCATGTATCCCGCAGCACTCTTGGGGTCCGTGTCGCGGCCGTCTCCGAAAAAGTGAATGAACACTTTCGGGACCTTCATCTCCTTGGCGACTTGCAGCAGGGCGAACAAGTGCTTGATGTGGCTGTGGACGCCTCCATCACTGACAAGGCCTAAGAGATGGAGTCTACCATTGCCGTCGACAGCCCGCTGGAAGCATTTTGTGATATTGGCAACTTTGTTCATCTCGCCCTTTTTAATGGTCTGATCAATCCTTACAACATCCTGCCAGACAACTCTGCCTGCGCCGATGTTGAGATGGCCAACTTCAGAGTTTCCCATCAAGCCTTCCGGGAGACCCACGGCGAGGGAGGAGGCCTCGAGTTCGGTGTAGCCTTGAGCGGTTTTGGAACCCTCTTTGGCAAACTCGTCCATGACTGGGGTCTCGGCGGCGGCAATGGCATCGCCTTCCGGAGGAGAGCTCTCGGACGGGATGCCCCATCCATCGATGACAACTGGCGACGACGTTAGCGGATTTCATTCCCAGAATCAGGCGCTTCCATGTCCTACTTAGAACAACCTTGTGCTCGACCTTGGTCATGGTGAAGGAAGTTCGAGAAGGTCGTCAATCGGACTTGTGGAGGGTAGAGGCTGCAGAGTCGGTCGGAAGGAAAAGTGTGAACAGTGATCAACTGTGGTTCAAGGCGTGCTAGCTGCTTTTGACACGTTTGATACCAACACTTGAGGGTAGAAAGAGGTATCGGTGGTATGAGGATAAATTTTGTTGACCGAGACCTGAATGAATTGGAGGGGCTGATTGGACGATGACGGCACTCCTTCTCAGCCAAAGTACCTGGCAGTCGACTGGCGGGGCAGCAGACGAAGCTGGGCAAAGGGAAAGGGGGTCTGGCAGGGGAGGGGCTCCCAACGGTGGCGATTTGGCGTCGTTGGCGGGTCCTCCAGGCACTGGGGGATGGAGGTACTTCCCACGCACCTGAGAGTTGTGTCCCCGGTATGCCTAGCACTGACTCGGGGGAGCCCAGCAGCGCCTATTGTCCATAGCTAGGTACCTAGGTACCTAGGTATCTAGGTAGGTAGGTACACCCATAGGCCATAAGCAACTCCAATAACGCCCAGCCATTTCTCCCTTTACGTCACTTCCTCTTGCCTGCCACCACTGGTGGTTTGGAGCTGGACACAGGTTTTTTCGCCTGCTCTCACCAAAGTCTCCATCCAGTTTCTTTCACTTCTCATAGGCTCATCGGCGATTGAGGGCTTCTTCCCATCCATTGATCTATTGATCTTGTTTTGCGGTATCTCTTGTCATGAATCTCTGTCTCGGCAGGCGGCTTACCTCTTTCTACAGCTCAGCAGAGATATCGCAATACAAGACTGCTGGCTGGACCTTTGCATCTGGTCCCAAATGCTGTCAAGTCATGACGGCGATGACCAGGACGACTACCGACCAACGGCTCCCAATCAAGGACATTCGCCACATTCTCATGAAGCAAGAACGTGTCTAGATCTGTTGCGACAGGTAAGGAATCTGGGGGGCTCCAGAGCTCCAAAGAAGCACCAGAAGCGCCAGAAATGATGCGCTTATCAGGTCTTTCGCATTGACTTTGGCCTCCTCCCCTCCTGGGGTTTTTGAAGGAACAACCAGGACAGTAGGGATCGGCTCAGTGAGGGCAGGATGGGCCCACCAAACACTTCGGCTGGTTCGCCATTCGCCCACATGGCACGGAATTTTTTTGCGAGAGACCTGCAATTGGCTTTATTTCTGTCGTGCCATCCCATGTCCAGACCAAGGTGGATTCAATTGCTCCAGTCGCCGTCATCCTAGGGGCTGATGTACACATCAGAATTGCCATCGCCGGAAACCTTTCCCGCTCAGCGGGATAGGCCGTGGCCCATGGGCAGATGGTGGTTGCGCGCCTCTGCAACAAAGCGGACAGCAGCCCTGTCCGCCTGAGGCACCGCTTTGATCTTTCTGTCTCGATGACGCTAAAAATTGACCCATTTTGAAAGCCCACACATCTCGAAACCCCAAGTTTCACGACTTGACTTGCATCGAATGATTTACATCGAACAAGAGTGTTCCCTTACTGTCGACCCAGCGAGCTTTCCCTGTCGGAAAACTCACATGAGCGCTCTCGGCATAGCATGATAAGGTGATCTACCATTAAAAATTTACTTCCTTCGTTTTCGTCTCCTCCTATGTCGATACCTCACCGAGTTCACCTGGCGCAGGCTCGTGTGGGCCTGTAGATTTTGGCTTGGCACTATTTATGCTGTTCGGAGCACGACGAAGGGGTGCACCATGTCCGAATCCATGGACGGTCCCGCCGGTTCGTCGCATGGTCAGCGTCGGCTGGGAGGCTCTCCCCCCAAGCAACGCTCGTCGAGGAAGAGCACCGTCTCTAAAGTGCGCACTTCGCATGCTTGCGATCGCTGTCGCTTGATGCGTACAAAGTGTTCTGGAGGTGAGCGATGTGCCAAATGTGTCAAAGATGGCGCGGCCTGCGTCTATGGTGATCGCAAACGCGAGCGCAACAAAAAGTATGACTCGTATAACTATATTTCTCCAGTACATGTCGCTGACTATGAGTAGGGATCTGGCCGAAAGTCTCGATCGCATCAGCTTGCTGGAAGAAGAGAATGCTCAGTTGGTCGGTGCGCTTCGCTCAGTGACTGAACGGCCAGGTTTCCTCCCAGAGGAGAATCCCCATATCTTTCAACTCCTGAACAAGGTAACGATTTGTCTACCACAAACTCTCCAATCCCCCTTGACGTCTAACAAAGTCGACAGTACTCTGAACAAGAGGACGAAGAAGACGAGCCTGGGGGCCCGCCAAGCAGCCAGACACAGAGCCGAACCGCGCCCTCTGTCTCCCAACTTCCATCGTCCACGTCGAGCCAAGGTCGGCCGCGGCTGGGCGACGTCTACGGCGAGAGTAAGGCCAAATCGAGCGTGGGGTCTCCTGCAAGACAGGGGGAGCTGAGCCATGTCGTGACTCTGGATCTGGGAGGGGGCGCCTCCGGCTTCGTTGGGAAGATGTCAGAGATCTCTTGGATTCAGCGTGGATTCGAGACCGTCCGGGGACACACTCCCGTTCACCCCGGTCCGCTGCATGCGGCAGAAATGGACGAATATCTCGCAACAACGACAGACTTCATCTATTACATGGACGACATCAATGTTTTGTCTGTGGACGAGGATTACGTGGATCAGTATCACTGGCCGGCCGATGAATCTCTGGTTATTCTGTCGGAAGCCTTCTTTCACTCCATGCAGGGCGCATTTCATTTTGTCCTCCGTGAGGAATTCCTCCAACAGGCGTATTCTTTTTCGGACAAGGGGGCTGCTCCGTCGTGGGGAAAGCGTCGATGGTTGGCGCTGGCAAATCTCGTGTGGGCTATAGGGGGGAAATGGCTGCAGATTACCCAGCTGGCCGAAGGCGATGCTAACGGAGATCATCTCATCTACTACGCCAGGGCACGGGCGCTGGGCCTTGACCACAGAGTGATGTTCGATCATCCCGATATAGAACGTGTCCAAGGCATTGGCCTTTTGGCTTTCTACCTTCTGGTCAATGGATCTATTACTCGGTACGTTGTTGTCGTCCCGGTGGTCTCCTGTTTTTTTCTAATTATTTAACAGAGCCTGGAATACGCTGGGTCATGCTACCCGCCACGCCACGGCCCTGGGCCTGCACTTGAACATAACGGATCCCGCCGTGAGCGAACTGGATAAGGTACGGCGAGCCCGGACGTGGTATTCACTCTACAGCCTGGAGATCTTGATTGCCGAGATCACGGGGCGGCCGAAATCCATATCCTTGTTGGATGTGACTATACCGATCGATCTTTTCTATTCAGTTCCGCAAGAGACGGAGCAATTCTCTGGCCAAATCGACAATTTTCGCTCACCTTCTGCTTCGAGAAAGATGTGGCTCGACTACTTGAACAATGGCCGCAATGTATCCCAGATGACGGGTGGGATGGTTCCCTGGAAGAGCTTTGCCTCGCTAGGACGTGGCGTCCCCACTTCATACTTGCCTCAACGACTATACCTCTGCCGGCTCAGTGACAGGGTTGCTTCGCAGATGTATAGCGGAACATCTGAAGATTCGTGGTCCCAAACCCAACGCAAAATTGGTGACCTGCAGTCGGAGTTGAGGGCGTGGGCCGAAAACCTGCCGCAAGAGTTGGCTCTTCAGGGTCAGGATTCGGGGGACTCAGATCCGCGAGCCAAGATCGAATTGGGGTTGTATTACCACAGCGTGGAGATGATCCTCCACCGTCCCTGCCTATGCGAGATTATTATCGAGGAGGAATCGACCCAGTCGAAAGAATTCAACCGCAGCTCGGCACGAGCCTGCGTCCATGCCGCCATGTCCATATTGTCACTGATGCCCGACTATCCCACCGCTCATGAAGCGTACCAGCTACTTCCGTGGTGGGCCCTCCTCCATTTTGTGGCACAAGCAGCGGCTGTGCTGCTGTTGGAGCTCGCCCTCGACGCGCAACACTTCAAGGACGAGGTACCACAGGTGGTGACGTACCTGCGCAAGGCCATGGCGTACCTCTGGTGCATGAGTGGAGGCTCGCTGTCCTGTTACCGCGCATGGAGGATATTCAGGCAGCTGTTGACCGAAATCATCGAGCGGCACGAGGAACTGGATTTGGCGGACGTCCCTGAGGAAGCGGCGCCTCCCCCTGGGTGGAACGACGAGCTGGAAGAGTTGACGGTCAAGGCTTTTACCTCACAAAGGTATGGGTTTTCTTCCTATTTACGGCACTAGGGGGAAAGGGGCAGGGGCAACAGAGGCACTGATCCTCCACGACCGTGTTCGAAAATTCGTACGACGATGAGAAAAAAGCCTATTCGTTACACACATGAGAGACTCCAGCTCTCTTACATGGGAACAGCTACATGTATACGAGAATTTGAAGCCGTCATGAAAACGCACAAGAACGACATGGCAATTACCACAGGAAACCTAGGTATATACGCTACAGTTTCTATGACGGCTAGCACTCGTATTGCTGGCTCCCGCCCTTTCCTTACATGTATACCTAGGTAGGTACTCACCAGCAGCTTCACAGGTCATGATACTTTTCGTCCTTGACAAGCAAGTATCCTTTCCGGATCCAGTCGTAAGAGAGGTAGAGCTTGTCGACGCATCACTGTGAATTCGACTGCTCTCATGTCCGTGGCGGTTGAGGGCTCAGCCTCTTTCTCGAGCGCGAAGCGGTGAAAACTCAAATATTAAGTACGTTGCCGGTAGTCCACGACCCGTTTGTTTCAAGTGCAGTCATCGAGTGATTGAACAGGCTGCTACCTGGACACGGTGCGCCATGTTGTATCTCTCGAGAGACTAGCAGAAGAGCCTGATGCTGAAGATCCTGCCCATCACCATTTAGCATTCAAGACAGGCCTCGCAGGTAGGGTTGCTACCAGTGCTGTTCTCTGCTTGATGTCGAGTTTGTCTGTCAGACTGAGGTCTACCTCGTACTATTTCCTTATTAGTTATCGAGACTGGTAGCGGACGGAGGAAATCGCCCGCCGTCCCACTCAACGGAGGCGTAGGAGATTACCGGCTCCACCTACTAAGTCTTTGCCGAGCTCTTTCCCGGGGACATTTCGTACTTCCTATCCAATTTGAACGGACATCATCAGGATTCTTGAGCTCGAGGTCTGCCCGCTGCCTTGAGATGGTTGATTGCGTCCCTCCAGCAAGTCAATGGACCCTGCTATGGGGTGAAGGGGCTGTTGTCTTCTTCAAGGTGTCTGGACTTGCGTACAAAAAGGTCATGAGCCTGTGTCACAAGACTGGGGCGTGGAATACGCAATGTGAATTCAAGTGAAGAGTTCCCTAGCATGCACGGCATGGAGCTGAGGTTTGAACTGCCTGACTGTCTCACCACGTGGTTCCTTGGCACCAGGTGCAGGCTGCGAGGCTCGCAGTCGCAGGGCAACATGACCACATGCGACGCTTGACCTCAACCTCAAATTACTACCACAGCCCTGGATCATCTGCAGGCGTTTTGATGCCCTGTCTACAAGTCATATGAGTGGTTGCCCCCTCCTTGATGCCGCGGTCTCTGTGGAGTCGTATCAGGCAGAAGCTCGATACCCTGTCCGTTGCGAACATCCTACCTCAACACCGCTCAGCAGAGGGACCGTATGAACTTCTCCCAGCTTCGACATCACCAGATCCACGAGTCAATATGATAAGTAAAGGATTTTGTCCATGCATGGTCTCCCTCTCTTTTCCCTCATGTTTTTGCTGCTATTCGGAGTTGTTAGTGCTGGGGTATTCCGTCAAAGTCCAGAGCCTTCTGGTAGGCACCTATCTCGTCCTCGTGACTTGTTGTTTAATCTGAACAGGATACCCGTCGCTACTGGAAACTACCATCGAGGAGCTGCAAGCAGGCCTTACCAGCAAGAGGTTCACGAGCACTGATCTGGTCAAGGTACGTACGAGGACTGCGCCACATCAGAGCGGTGCCATGTCAAACTTGACCTGCTGACCCATGTTTAGGCTTATATTGCGAGAATACATGAAGTCAATAACGCGCTGCATGCTGTAACGGAAATCAATCCAGATGCCCTGGCTATCGCTCGCCGACTGGACAATGAGCGTTTGGGAGGTTCGACTCGTGGGTTAGCTACTCTTCCACCCTGAAATCCCCTGATTTGGTTCACTAACTGTTGTAGGCCACTCCATGGACTTCCCATCTTGATCAAGAACAATGTCGGTACCCAATTTCGGGAAGGAGAACAAGACGTATCCATCCCGCCTCATTTGAGGCCTCCTGAAAACTCTGCTGACCCCTCGTCGGAATCAGATTGCTACGAATGACAGCATGGATACCACAGGTAGAAAAATTGATATTGTTGAACAACAGGGCCAAGCTGATGCTGACCTTATTCACCAGCTGGTTCTTGGGGCTCTTGTGGGAGCCAAAGTCCCAAGAGATGCTACGGTTGCACAAAAGCTTCGCGCTGCGGGGGCTATTCTGCTGGGAAAGACAAATCTTAGCCAGTGGGCACACTTCAGATCTGTCAATACCAGCAATGGCTGGTCAGCACACGGAGGGCAGTCATACGGGCCCTACTTTCCAAAAGAAGATCCGTGGGGTAGTTCGAGCGGTAGTGGCATATCATCCGCGTGAGTATACCAAATGGAATCTGCTACTTTGGCTGAATGGCGAGCAGACTCGGTTTAGCTCTTGGCTGCTTGGGCACCGAAACTGATGGCAGCATTGTGGATCCTGCTGATTTCAATAACATCGTGGGAATCAAACCAAGCACGTATGCCTTTACAACGAATGTGAGACCAAACTAACAGTTGAAGGTGTCGGGCTCACTTCGCGGCACCTGGTCATCCCGGTCAGCGAGCATCAGGACACTGTTGGGCCTTTGACTAGAACAGTTAAAGATGGTGCTCACATTCTGCAAGTAATCGCAGGGATAGACCCGCTGGACAACTATACCTCATCCATCCCAGATGGCAAAGTTCCGGACTTTGTTGCAGCTTGTCAATTGTCTGCATTGTCGGGCGTCCGGCTTGGTGTTCCGAGCAACGTCTTATCGATTCTTTCGGACAACACAACAGAGCCAATACTCGACTCATTCTATGGAACGTTAGACATTTTGCAAGAAGCAGGTGCCACGGTTGTTGAAGGTACCAACTTTACCTCGGCTGCAGAATTTGAAAGTTCGCAGCTACCGACAACTATTCTTGAAGCAGACTTCGTCGTCAACTTGCGGGAGTATCTAAGCTCTCTAATATACAACCCAAACAACATCACGACGCTCGCCGACTTGCGCACTTTCACCCAGACTTCTCCACTAGAAGATTATCCGGATAGAGATGCTGGCTTATGGGACGCCGCGCTCCGAAACTGGAACAACACCTCTCCTCAGTTCTGGCCCGCTTATCAGCAGAACTTGTTTTACGGCGACGAGGGTGGTCTGCTCGGTGCACTTGAGCGCCATGACCTCGACGCCGTTATTCTTCCTACGCATTTCTCTTCTAGCTTCGCTGCTACTGTTGGCGCCCCGATAGTGAGTGTCCCCATGGGTTTCTATCCAAATGACTTTCCGGTCTCGAAGAATTCGTGGGGCTTGGTCGAAGCTGCTCCAAACATTCCGTAAGTTCCGTCAGTTCTACAGATAAAGTGGCGACCAACAGATGCAGGTTTGGACTGAGTTTTCTCGGGGCGAGATTCGATGATGCAAAACTGATTGGCATGGCTTACGCCTAGGAGCAAAGAACTAAAGTCAGGGGCAAGATATCACCGTATATTGTACCCAAGACAGAGATCCGGGATGTTCTAGGTACCTGATTGGCTCAGAAGACGAACATGCAAGCGTGATGCCTTGAACTCAAATATGGAATTTGATGCATTGATCAGCCCACCGACAACAGGCCGACCGCCCGAAGGAGCTTCAACGGTCCGGGGCGGGCGTCACCAGACAACGGCCTAGTCCAAGGCCGGGTGCTTTGGCACTCACCAGAGCCCTGTTGATGCGGCTGAGGCGATGGAAACTGGGCGAGGAGGTAGAAGACGACACTCCAACGGCTTGATGTCGGTATCTCAGAGTCGGCTGGGAACTTTATTCCGATTTTGTCTGGCTGTCACGAAGCCAGACCCCACATGGAATGAACTTTGCCTCCCATGTGATATGCTGGAACGGGAAAGTAGACACTGAACATGCTGCCCAATGGCCAAAACACGACTCTAGTCTTCTTTCATGAACAAGGCGAATTGCAAAAGCGGTGTGACCGGTCCCACACGAGACGAGACATGAGGCATCCAAATATCGTTCGTCTACTCGCGTTTCACAAGGTAAAGACTTTTCATGGAACTTCCAGTTTCAAGGCCTAATGGCGACGCGAGAAGGAAGAGGGGAGGTAACACTGCACGGATCACGAGGAGAAGGCGCAGCCAACCGTGCCCCAATGCTCGGGTGGTTGCTGCAACTGCGGCTGGAGGCCCTCCGTCCAAGAGCACGGACGGCAGTGCTCGATCTGATCAGCTGGAAAGTGCGAGGGCATTGTGTTGCGACGAAGTCTCTCTTTGGTGCCCACCGAGAACACTCTCAGCCTGAACCCGTCTACCGCTTGCCTCTGGAGGTTCACCACAACTGGCGAGTGGGCGCCATGAAGATTTCACCTAGACTGGAGATCACCCCTTCTATAGCAAGGGGTGACCAAGGTCAACCAGGGTCGGAAGATGATACTGTTCCGGAGGATGCAGTGTGGAGCGAGATCGAATACCTTACCGTCGATCCCAAACATCAGTACGAAAAACCTTACGAACTGAGGTTCCAGGTGGGTGGTGCGATTCCAGAAACAAACATGGTGGACGAGTCCAGAAAAGTATCGATTCGCAACTTTCGGCCGCTCGAGAATGCTCAAAACTTCGAAGAATACGGCTTTTCGGCTTCGAGAATCGATTGCAGCTTGCCGTCAGCTGAATTCGACGACAAGGAAAAGGTGGGCAAGATCTACTACCCTGCCGTCAAACGAATGCTGTGGCATAAGTTTCCCGACGCGGGGCAGATCCGAATCTTGGAACACGGTGTCAGTACACAATGTGGATCTCTACGTTGGGATCCTGCTATTGACTTTGATAGCTCCGCAAAAGAGACCCAGAATTCCCTGCCACCCACAAACCGTTCTTCAAACACGTTCAGCCTTCCACCATTGCGCATATCGGTCAGCATCTCGAGGCACTTTTGTGGTAGTGCGGTACTCACAAAGTGCCAGACTATTCGATATACTCAGCTGCGCGGACAGCACAGGGGGCGTTCAAGATGGCCCCAAGTCAGTATCAGCGTCTGATTACCGTCAAGTAAGTAGATCGCAACAGATCTTGGTCTGGGCAACCCTGAAGTTCAAATCGCAGCGTTTGGAAATCACTTCAAGGACCGGGAAACGACTGGCCACTAGCCCTTTGCGACTGGCGTACCTTGGACCGACCGTCGGAAAGCGTGGTTGTCGATGTCGTTTACAGTAAGGATTTCACCGAGAATGAAAGCGTCTATTACAGTCCGAAACACAAGTGGTATTATTTTAAAGATTTGGGAGATGACGAGGTCATTGTATTTCAACAAACGGACTCTGCTTTGCCGACTGGCGGAGGTGAGTATGCGTGATTTCATCACACTTCGAAAGGGCCTGTAAGATTCAATTGACTCACTCATGTGCGACAGGTGCGGCCCATGCAAGCTTTCACAATCCGGACGCCGACGAATACGCAGCACCAAGAGCCAGTATCGAGCTAAGGGCCTTTATATTCTACCTGTGATCTCTCTGAGACAACGAAGGTAACTTGATTCGACATTGGATGTTGGAATCTCCGATCAAAGAGTGTAATATCGGAGCCAATCTGTGCTTCGACCACGAATACTCTGACGCCGTGAGCTCCTCCCAGCATCATCGCCAGGGCGGCGACAGATTATTTCTTCTCGGGCTTCGGCTCGTCAACCTTGACTTCCTCCTCGTATCCAAATTCGGCGCTTCTGCCCCCCGAAAGCTTGAAGTGAGGGATTTGCTCTTTCTCGCCCTGTAGCACATCCTCTTTGTCGGCAGTGGTGTTGGGCGCGGGCCAAACTGACTTCCATGGCTGGGCCTTGGTGGCCTCTGGCATGGTGGGACTGAAGCTTCTTCTGTGCTTCGATAGTCTCTTTTCCGATGCGTGGTTTGATTTTGGGATCTGTCATGTCATATCAGCAACCACGGGATAGCTACAATTTGAAGCATCACAAACCGAATATCAAACGACGGAAATCTCAGTCTCGAAGTATTTGGAAGTCAAGGCAGACATGGACAATATTGTGATGGGGATGCTGCCTTATAGGTATAAGTCAGATCCCCCTGCCATGTGGGACAGACCTTACTGTTGTAGGTATCACATGGTGTGATTCCCTGCATACAATGCGTACCACTAACATCCGTAGCAAAGTCGTCGCAGAGGAGGCGGCTGGATTTCTGTCTGTTCACACCCATCACCATACGTGTGCTCCGTTGATAGGTCATACAATCTCCCTACACACGAGAGACTCGTTCAGTCACGGAAGCCAGCAGATTTACTGCAGCTCTGGTTGGTGCTCCACCTTTGCCAGCCTCAGCGTTGCTGTGCACAGAGTACGGACTGATCCAAGACGGCTCGAGGCGAGGCGACCCTACCCTGCGCAAGATCAAGGGGTCAAGCTTTCAATTTAACGGCGCCAAGTGAGAATTGGGGTAGGAACTATGCGAACAATTAAGGAGAGCGAACGGCTTGCTGCTGCTCCCTTGATCAAATCATTCCCAGCCACGCCGGGTAACGCCTATCGCTCAGATCCTGTACGATACCAACCTTTTGCCATGAGGCGCATTCAGGTGTTAAGGACGACCCGACCATGGTGTGGAATGGTGATGCCGGTTGTGCTGTTGCCCGAAAGTCTGCCCAAGCTTGTGATTCGTGTCGATTTCGGGAGAGATGCTGCTGATGAGGTCCCTCGAGGATGCGAACTCGACACAGCCTTCGAAGGACGCATGCTGGAAAACAATGTCTAGGGTTAGCATTGTAGAGCCGCCATCCGCACAGCCTGGGGAGACCTTCCGGACCACGTTTTCAATGTGTACTTATCCTATTCACACAGACACCGAGAGCATAATATGGCAGCCTTCCGAGTTGTTGGCACTATTCTGTCGGCTTCAACCCCAATTTCTTTCAAAGCCAAAAATTAAAGGCGCTATAAATGATTCCAGCGTGGATCAACCTGTCGACGCGGTGGAGTCTGACCAGTGTGCAAGCGGCGCTCAACACGATTATTTCTGTTCTGGGGACGGTGGGGGTGTGGGCGTTCTCGAAGTATTGGTGGCAGCGAGGAAGTGCCAGCATCCTTCGACACAACTCTGAGGTGCCGTTGACTAAGTTTATCATTCTGTCTAGCCCTGGTGATGGATGGAATACCCTCAGGGTACTTCGATGACGGGTCTTTTCAAAGGAACACTGGCATCTCCTCGGCCAATTGATCGGAGTTCTGGCGGTCACCCTTGGCTGTATGTTTGCTGGCCCCATCGCCAAAGGGTCGCTCAAGGTCACCCGTACAGTCCAACGAACTCGTCTCGAGGTCCTTCCGACGGTCAAGGGCGACGGTTACGAAGCGAATCTTCTCGAGATGAACGTGTTGTGGAACAACACGATCCGAAGCTTGGACCAAGCCAACTTCTCGCGCAACCACATGCTCGAATACCTGCCCCCTTACAGTTCATCATGGATCTACGAACCTAGTCAATGGGATCCGACGTGGACTTTGGCATGCAACTCCACTGAAGAGACGCTACTCCACAATATCAGCGCCGTCGGCAACTATACCTTCCTCTCTCCCATTGAAGCGTTTCCGGGCTATCGCAGGACCTATGACCCCACCTGGTTGAATGCATCCAAGTATCGTACACAGGTCGACTTTGCCTCGTGGTCCACGACTGAGCCAGCCTTCATCTTTGAGGAGGCGCTGTTCTTCATCCTGATACAATCCGACCCAGTGGCTGACGATCGCATGTACACCAACAACGCCACGATGGACATTTGCTTCTCCGTGCTTCACCTTTCACACTTCAATGCAACCAGCGTGGCGGATCCCACGTTGGATGCTGAAGATACGTGGCTGTTCGTCGGGCCGGTCCACAACGCCAGCTATACCCGAATCGAGTGTACCATCACCCGCAAGCCCGTGGTTCCTGATGAAGAGAAAATTCCGTGGATCTGGACAAACGACACGTTTTCCATAACCAATGGATACCGGACGTACTTTGCCAACATACTGGAATCGGCCGCGAGCCAGAAGCTTCCAGTGCTGACCCCGACGCCCTTGGACATCTTGAGAATGTGGCAGACATACTTTGTCACCGTCAACACCATCTACGCTTCCCCCGTCCCGCGACTTGTCAGCATTTCGATAGACACGGTCCAGCTGTTCACGGGATTGCTCTTGCCGCTGGTCATTCTCACAGCGCTGACCATCTGGACATCCGGACGCTACTGGATCTTCATGTTGCGCAACAAGGCAAAGCTGGACAAGCTGGGCATTCCGGACAGCAAGTTCGAGTGGATCATCCAGGGAGCCAAAGTCCTTTGGACGAGTCAAGAGGAGGTCGAGGAAGAGCATACCGAGAAAGACGAGGTTGCACTTCCTTCCCCATGTTCGGTGACACAGGGAGACAGGGACTACCTCCACTCGGCAACCTTTGGCTATCGGTGCTCTAAGGTCCCCAAGCCTACAGCCGATCCGCCGTTGTTACTGATCCCGGAACCAAGTCTTGCGCGCATCCATGTCCCTAGATCGTCGCGCTCGACGACGCCCGCGGCGAGTGTTTCGAGGGCGATATCGAGGGATTCTGCGCGCTTGGGGGAGAGGGCGCGCACACAATCACCGTAACTGACGATCAGGAAGGGAAAGGAAAGAAAGTGAAGAATCAAGAAACCCTGCATTAGATCTCCCTGAGAGAAGGGGCGTACGGTAGCTTTTCATGCCCATTGATGCTATGTCCGCTGTGGATATGATCGTCGAGCTTAATATGTGGATAATTGATCCCCATGAGGATCTAGACATGTGGGGTTTCGATCAAGGTAAACTGGACATATTCCTGTGTGTGGAGAGGAGAGAACCCAGTCTGCCTTGAAGGAAGCCATCTATCTATCTCCCTACGGAACGAAAGGCTAAAATTGTAGTTTGAATGATCGGGCGTGGGGGCGAGGTACTTGTAAGAGAGACGACAGCCGTGTGAGGAAAATTGTCAAAGTCACTTGGATTCAGCTTGTGTTCCGCGTGTGGAATGTCGGTGACACACCGTGATACCTACCTTGCTCAATAGGTACTATCTGAAGTTGCCACGGGTACCTACCTACCGTAGGTATGTAAAGATGGCCACAGTGGTTAATACTGACTACTGAGTACCTGTATTTGGACCTGAACTGAAAACGTGAAGTTGAAAGCTTCTTATTCTACTGACTAACTTATGCTCTTGAGTTATACTCTTCAGAGTGTACCGGAGAAAAGAGGTGAATTGAGCACACATATACAACAACATGGAAGCTATTTAGCAAATATCTTACCCCTGCCAGTGGGAAAACTTTTCCTACGAATGCTCTGCTGATCGAGCGCTTTCATCTGCAAGGATCCCGCGATCCAACTCGTCAGGGTTGCCGGGCTCCGGCAGTTCCGGGGCCAGCGGGATCGACGGCGCACTCGTCTTCAGCGTCTCGGCCGTGCCGCGCCGTAATTTAGGGTGCCACTTGTCCAGCTTGCCTCGCCGCGCCGGTATCCGCTGGTACGGCTCGCTGTCGCTGTCGCCGTCGCCGTCCACGTGGTCTCCCTCTTCCTCGTCACTCTGCCAGCCGACCTCTGCACGCTTGGTTAGAACGGCCACCAAGTCCCGCGCAACGAGCTGCTCCAGTGTCGACGATCGCCCACCCCGGCCGCCACTGGCGCCTATCTGTAGCCCGTTCCTGAGCGCCTCCCGGTACAGGCGCCGCTCGCGGTCGGCGAAGTCCAAGGCATAACGCTCACGCTCCTCAAACAGACGCAAGGCCTTGACGTACATCAACTCCTGCCGATCCGCCACCACGGCCGCTTCGGCCGCGGCCGCCAGCTTGGCATCGGCGCGCGCCTGTTCCGCCACGCGCTGCTCCCTCTTCGCCTGGGCAGCCTCTGCCTCCGCAGCCACCGTGGCGGCCCGGTGGCCCTCTTCTCGAGCGCGGGTCGTCTCCTCGGCGCGTGCCGCAGCGGCCATTGCCGCTTCCATTGCGCGTTCTCTTTTCATTTCCTGCTCCTCTCGCTCGCGTTTCAATGCCTCTTCTTCGGATAATGTCTCTTTTACTGGTGGCTCAGCTGTAGGGGGCTTGTCAGCAGTGTGGTGGAGTGGTGAGGCTTGTGGCCATGGGGCATATGGAGGTCGTACGAATGGCGGTGTTGGGTAGGGGTATCCGGACCATGGCTGCTGAGGAGGATACTGTGGACGGTACTGTGGAGGGTACTGTGGAGGGTATTGTAGAGGGTATTGTGGAGGGTACAGAGGAGGGTACTGAGGATAGATGTAGCCTGGAACTGGTGAGGGAGCAGTGGGATCAGATGTCGGTGGATGCATAGGAGGATATGGGTAAGCAGGGCCAGGTACCGTGGTAGCGTCGTTGGAATCTTTCGGTCCCTGGTTGCCCACCTGTGGCTGGGCCGCTGCATGTGTGTTTGCAGTCTCAACCGGGGGGACTTGAGTCGGTTGCTGCTTCCGGTCCGCAGCATCTGCTTGAAGCAGCTTGGCCTTCTTTGCCTCCTTGATCCTGTGAGCCTCTAGAATCTTCCGGAACAGCTCCCTTGGTTGCCCTTCCGCCCGAAACGTCTGCCGTAGCTCATTCTCAAACTTGAGGTTGGCCTCGGAGGTGAAGTTCTCTAATAATGTGTCCCGTGTTGAACCGCGATTTGGCGTCTCCTTGGCTGTAGGATCCGGTTCATCCTGGGAGGGACCCACAACATGGCCTGGGGCAGAAGATGGAGCTGCTGCGGCTGGGTAGAGTATCGACTTTGGCGGAGTATGGTTTACAATTGCTGGCCCATACGGGTTCCCATATCCCGGAGGCACTGTCGAATAAGGCGGCATGTAAGGGGGGTACGGATAGGGTGATGCCCTTGAATAGACTGGAGGCACGGGTCGATAAGGGTAACTGGAAGGTGCTGCGCTATCCGCCACGGTCCAGGCGTACCCAGGCTGGGCATGCGGTCGACGGGACTGATCAGTATCGGTATTTCCGGTGGAATATGCAGATTTATCTCCCTCGTGTTTGGTAGGGAACTCGTCGACTGATCCTCCTGATTCCGTCACACTTCTCTCTGGGTCTTCAAAAACGGGTTCAAGTACAGAATACTGTGGGGATACGCCGCCACTGACTTGAACCCCATTTTCATGGAGGTCGGCGACGCTTGAAGAAACACTGGGAGATCTTGAGATATGGGTGATCTCGACACGTGTGTGAGATCGTCTATTTGAAGTAGGGTCTTGTTCCTGAGATTCAGACATGGAGTCGAAATCGAGTGCCCGACCTTGTGGTGTGTGAAAAGATGATCTGAGGATTATAACTTCAAGTTATAAGGCTTGATTGATTGAGTTCCTCGGCGCTCCGTACACCAAAAAGAAGCCAAGCCTATATGGATCACACCTAGCGAGCCAGGTCGTGGCACTCGTCCATCTCGCCGTGTCCATTCCAGCGTAGCAAGTACGGAGCTACTTGTCAAAGCCACCCTTGTCGCAGCAGCCATGGCGCCGGGGATGCGGTCCATCACGCTCACAGGCCCTGGAGTTCCCTCAATTCCCTCTCTTGCGGGAGGAACATAAGGCGCCAATGCCCATTCAATCCTTCTACCGAGTACTCCGTAATGGTTCTCACAATCGAGGGGTACTAGTATGGCGGGGAGGGGGGCTGTGCAAGCCTATCAAATGCGGCTTCGTCAACACGGACATCCATCTATCAAAATATACAAAATGATCACTAGCCAGGTATCCAGTGAAGCCTCCTGCTTCAGACGCTTGCCATTGCCATGCCTTCTCGTTCTCTGCTAACGAACCTTGTCTGTTCACGCTGCTTCTCAGGGGCGTCGGGACTGGGTTCCAGCGGGACCGGAACCACATCTGGCTCCTCTCTCCCCACTCGTGGGCTATTTGATGTGCCCTGCGATATTGGACGCTCGGCAAATTCAAGAATACTACGCTCTTTCGATATGTGCGCGGCCAGCACCCTTTGACCGAACTCGGTCGAGCAGTCAGCATCCCAGACCAAATCCTGCACCAGACCTTCAAATTCCAGATCCAGTTGGCGGCAGGCTGAAGCAATCTCGGGGGCGATTCTGGGCTGTCGCGAGTTATCGCCTTGCGTCAGTTGAGACGGGTTCGTGGTTCTGTCCACTCTTCTCGGGGGAGCTCCTCTGACGACCATTTGGTTGGTTCTTTGGTGGCTCTCCGGGGCCCATTGTACATAGCTCGGGGTGTGGTTGATAGATTGTGTGCTGTTGGCTTTGAGACTCGATTTTTGTTTTTGTTTTTGTTTTTCAAGCCGTTGCTCAAAAATCTTCGCGGTATGCTGTCGAAGCTCATGCCACCTGCCTTTCGTGAGATACTCCTTGACAAAGACGTAGTAGTCGTCCTCAGGATCCCATTCCCACGGGATGTTATAGTGGTCAAGTGAGTCCGTAAGAATGTCCTTTCTGCTGACGCGTTTGTGCGCGCTGCTGTGGCGAGTATGTCTGTAGGAGGATTTCACATCGCGTTCGCCGTCGTCGTCTTCCTCCACGAGCTCGTCAGGATATTTGAAAGGGACGAACTCTCCAGGTTCGGTTTTCTCCGCTTCTAAATTCTCCACTGCATTGACCTCGGAGCCGGAGACCAGCCCTGGACGGTCCGGGGCACCTCGCCGAAAGTCGACATGTACATCCCCAATCTCAACGGCTGAACGCTCAGGGTCTGCCAGAGTTTGAGTCTCTGGCTTCGGCTTTGTTGTGGATTGCTCCAAGTGTGCCTCAGGTACGGATCCGGCAACAGCTGGCTTGGTGATAACTTCTCTCTCTTGTCCCGCAGGGGTTTGGGCCGGTGCCAATGCCCCTTCCTCCTCTCGATCCTCTTCTGCCAAGACTGACTCGGGCGACAACGACGCGGACACTGATGTCGTCCTGGGTTCGTCGGCTGTAGGTTTGCTGGTGGTACGGGTGGGCTCGAAAAGTTCAGTCATTAACTCGTCATCACCGACATGGGCATGCATGGACCGGTCTTCTGTTCGGTCAACATCGTCGGACCCGTTCGCCTCAACATCCCCTTGCTGTTTTCTCTCGCCACTAGCCTGGACGTTAATTTGGAGCCCCTCAGAAATGGACGGCATCTCCGAGACACCAAGATGACTCTGGATATCGGTGAATATCGATTTCAGCGGCAAGCAGTAACTTTCAGCATGCTCGTCGGAGCCAGCCACAATCATACCGAAAGCTCTTCCAGCCCTGTCGATCACCCATGATCCAGAATCGCCGTGGCCTGTGAGGATGAACGTCAATAAGTGCATACCAAGCTCTGGACAGGCTACCTACTGGTCTGTTGAGAGACTCGCCATGCTATGTGCACAGACGGGGAGTCAGGGAGAGCAACTACAGACGCGATCTCGGGAAAGTCGGCCCACACCCTTTGCGCCACGCTGCTTGCTACCATTACTTGGCCAGACGGAATATCGTCCGCGAGCAAATTGATTTGAATCTCTTCGCCAGATCCGACACTGAGGCTGTTCGTAGTTGTGAATTGAGAGTTCTGCACGGGGACTAGGGCCCAGTCACAGCTCCTGCTGAGCAGGACTTCTGGATTCAATATACCGTTTGTCAGCTCGTTAGCGTCCGTAGTATTGATTAGGTTTGCCGAGTCCACGGGCTGGGCCGAGATGCAATTCGTATCGTCGGCGGTGGTCGAGTCATGGGCACAATTCTGTGCGTACACTTTCCAGGTCGGCTTCCGGATGAGTGGCGATGGAGAGCCATCATGTCTGTTTTGCTCCGTCAAGTCCTCTTCGTCCTCCAAAAAAGAATGAGCCGTCGTGAGTCCAAAATAAGTCCCGTTCACGCGAAGCACACCCCCGATGGTAGACCGAGTCCATGCCTGTGCGGCTGGTTCCCCAGTTTGTCTGGATATAACCACGTGGGTCCCACACAAATTTCGCAGTTGTTTAGTGCTGGGCGTCGATGATCCCTCCGCATCTGCGCGCAGATTAAGAGGATACTCAGCGTACGCAATATCAAAGTCTTGCAGCAGGGCTTTGAGTGAGGTTTGCTTCAGATCCTGGATCAGCCTATAAGCCCTTTTCGCCACGCTGATATCTCTGTGTAAGGCAAAGATTGTCGGCTGTGCGCTTTCTCGGCGGCCTTTCTTCAACACCACATAAATTTCCCATATGGGAAGCCCCGTCGACCTCCGCTTGTGACCCTTGGTGAAGAACTCATTGCTGATATACTTCTCACTGAGAACCTGAGCAATTGTGGCGGAGAGTTTGGTGTTCCACTCCTGTTTCAATAGCCCAGAGACTTCCCAGACTTCGATCTTTCTTGCCAATTTCGCCTTAAGCACCTTATCAGGCTGAGGGTTTTTGCTGAAACACTGTTGACGTTCGTGTACAGACAGAGTAGCCCAGAAGGACATGATTGATCGGCTTGAACTCCCAGTCCCACGTACACATACGGAAGAGCCCACGAGATACCTTGTGCTGGTAGACTAGAAACAGAAATTTGTCTGAAGGCGGTCGGAGGCAGGAGAGGGGAATGAAAAAGGTGGGGTTTGAGGCTGAGGAGGCTATGCAGCTAAGCCTGCAGGCAGACTCGATCGTTGCTCCTGCTAGCAGCGACGTCCAGTTACAATCCTCGTTGCGGAGAGGGATTTTGGCAGCTACACGCCTCGGATGCCCGTCTTCCTCTCCAACTTCGATAACATGGAACCTTTCACTATCTCACAGTAGTTCCAGCAGTATGCAAATACTCTAGGGACGTTTCTCATTATTGCAGCTCCATACTAGAGCCGCCGTCGTTATCAGCTGCGGGCAGGTTATACCGAGTCTCCTGGGTGCTAGGAACATTGCCATGCCGCGCTTCATGATGTTTAAAGCGAGGAAGCCCCGGCGATACAAGTGTCCACGGTCGGTTGACAAACAGGCTTGCCAAGATGTCCTTCGAGATGTCTGGGATCTCAAATGGGCCCCAACAGAGGGATTCCAGGAAGTACCACCGAGCCCTTACATCGATTTCTGGGGAGACTGCGTACAACAAACCCACGACCCAAATTTGAAGTTGGATCAACGCAAAGTAATCGTGGAATTAGTCCGGATCCTCAAGTCCGGCTTGGGAGAAACTCCACGGCAACTCTGCAGAGAAATTCAGAGTCACTACCGGTCTGATCCTGGTCTCATGACAGCATTGACTGATGATGAGGCTTGGAGAGCGTTCGCTTTCGCTGCTCGGCTCTGGATCCATGTATCTGCGCCCGATGACTGGAGGCACTCTGATCTTACTTTACAAGATCTCATCAACAAACTGATACCGAAACCTCCGAGTTCAAACACCGATGGCCGCCTTGAACCAGGCTTTTGTGCCGAGCATTTAACAAAAGTAGAAGGCTTTCACGTTCACTGGACCGATGACATATGCCAACACTTGGAGCTACGCGGCCGCTCACTGTTCGTCTTCCGACACTCGACCTGGCTCGCCACCTTGGAGAGATGTCCTGCTTCGTAAGTTGATCGGATGGGAGAGTAGAAGTCAATGCTGACGACCGTTAGTGACCCCTTCCCCAAAGGCTTCACGAAGGACACATTACGAACGCTATATCTTCTATACCGACCTCTAGAATCCAAACACGCACGCAGGAACACACGTCAAATGGAGAGACACCGATACGTTGACCTAGAATTGGCCATGGCAGACCATGCCTCGGTCGACCTACAATCGTATCCCTACTGGCATGAGCGACTTCGAAAGATCCATGAAGCCTACACCCGGAACAGTCACAACTCCTTGTCCCGGTACTGGTACGACAGAAGGGATGAGGTCCAGTGGGCCACCTTCTGGATGGGCCTTCTTGTTGTGGTTTTGACGGTAGTGACTGTTGTTTTTGGTATCATTCAATGTGTAACGGCGGTCGTTCAGGTGTACGCGATTTATCATCCGCCAGGAGGTCCGTAGACGAGCTCTGTTGCTGAGACTATGGGTGCGCGATTGGACCGGCCGCGAAGCTGAGGCGTAGGCCGTCGCGAGAGCCGCGGCGTTAACGTCCAGGTGGCTATTCATCGAACAATGTAGTCAGAAATTACGAGTGACCAGGGAAATGGAAGTGTGAACGAGTGAAGAAGGTGAGGGCGAAGAAGGCGAGGGCGAAGAAGGCGAGGCGATAATGGAGAGAATTGAGACAGCGGAATCGTTAATGGCGACTAAAGTGCGAAAGGGGGGTGAGGCTTATTATTAGGGATGGACTTTCGAACACGGGTGCAGGAGAGTGGTTTCGACGTTAGAGTCAGTATCGGAGTAGAAGTACGAAGGTGACAAACGGAACAAGTAAACGTATGGCTTAGGGTCCAGGGATGTATATAGCCATAGCTCAGAGCGGCTTAGTTACGTTCCAGGTCAAATGTAGGATACTCAAGGTCTAGAAACAAGGAAATGGATTTTGGAGACGCTAAGATTCGCGGCTGAGTACTCGTACCTCGTAGTATATTGATATTCCTTCTCGGCGGTGGCTGATCGGTTCCCCGCATTATTGTCTTTTCGCCTCGGTTCCCCGGACGTCCGAGGACATGATATATAAAGGTAAAGCCGACGGACCACCTTATATCAACCTCCATCTAGGTGACATCTGTTGTTTATCTCAGTGTAAGAAAAGGCGAGAGTCCTTCCCCGGCTGTAATTGATTGTTTCCAGCCAAGACCAAAAGTTCAAACAACAAAGGCGAAAGAAAACCAAAAAAGACTAGGAAGGAGAAGAGGTAAAAAAGACCCACAAGAAGACAACAAAAACAGGAAGAAAAGACAAACAACGCAAGAAGGAAAAGAAACAGGATATTTTACAGTCTTCCACTCCGCTTAAGAGGAAACCAAAAAAAGGATGCCACATCTCACCCGTGACGACGGTGTCCGGCTCTACTACGAGGTGCACGGAAATGGCGGCGGTGGGATCCCGTTATTGCTGACGCACGGCTACTCGTCCACGTCGGCCATGTGGGCGGCGCAAATCGCGGCGCTGTCAAAGGACTTCCAGTTGATTCTGTGGGACATGCGCGGGCACGGCGCGTCGGATTATCCGAGTGAACAGAACGCGTACAGTGAGGCGAAGACGGTGGGGGATATGGCTGCGATTCTTGATCAAGTGTGTGGGAGTGGGAGTAAAGCGATAGTGGGCGGCCTCTCGCTGGGCGGATACATGTCGCTGGCCTTTTACCGCGTATACCCCGAGAGAGTGCGTGCACTGCTTATTATTGATACGGGACCGGGGTTCAAGAAGGACAAGGCAAGGGATGAGTGGAATCGTACCGCCCACAACACGGGGAAGAGTTTTGAGAAACAGGGTCTTGCGGTCCTGGCAGGGCTCAGCGCCGAACGCGCCACTGTGACGCATCGTGACGCCAAAGGTCTTGCCCTCGCTGCCCGCGGCATGTTGGCGCAGCGCGATTCCAAGGTCATTGACTCGTTACCTGCCGTCAAGGTGCCCAGTTTGGTGGTGGTCGGCGCGGACGATACGCCCTTTTTGGCTGCGAGCGAGTATATGGCCAAGAAGATCCCGGGGGCGAGGAAGGTTGTTGTTCCAAATGCGGGTCATGCTGTTAATATCGACCAGCCAGAGAAGTTCCTCGAGGCGGTCATGCCTTTCTTGGACGAGGTCAGGAAAAGTGCGAATGCAAAACCAAGGGCGTTGCTGTGAGGAGAGAAGAAATTCTGAGGGAGCAAGAGACAACTCTTAAAAGCACGATGCGCTTTGAGAGACCAGACGCAATCCTCAAAAGCATGATAGTGGAGGTTTTTTTCTCTCTGTGGACTTGGCTGAGAAGAGGGCGCGTGTTTGATTGAACCCTTGACAGTACAATCCACAACAGGGGCCCTGAACCATATCAATCCTGCCGCCTTCTGTACCGTGTTGTTTTGGTTCGCTTTTTTGCCACCCAGTCTGCCGTACCTCTAACTTTTTCGTCTGCCCACGGCACACACACAGTCAAGTGCAATTCAGTGTCGCCCAAAAAAGGTGCAAAAAAAAGGGCTTACCTTTGAAGTACTTACCGTTCGAACTTGTTACTTACCTGTTTATGCATTGTCCTATCTCGCCATTGCTCCTGGGCCCAGGAGCAATGGAATATCGGGTGGATGGTCCCCCTAGGCAGTGTGCCCGAGCGGAGATAGGCGATTGAACAACCCTACGTTACGGGAGGACCTGTTTTAAACACTGCTCGACGGCCTCCGATCAGGTTGTCAATCTTGAAAGCATTTCAGACTCAATAAAATATATCCCCCAAAAAGGTTTTCACCTGGTGCACCCGGGACGGTGGGACGCCCCCCAGAACCCAGGGCTTGCTGCTTGGCGGCGAGGTGATGGAAAGGGCGTCCGCTGCTGGCGCATCGTGCACAACGCCATTCAAAGTTTTCTCGTTCTCGTCAAAACTTCTTCTGCTGGCATTCTTCCTCGTTCATTGTGTAATTTCTCGGCCATGATGGGCATTTTGTCGCGCCGATACGAAACCAACGTCTCGTCCATGTAAGGAAACCCTCCAGCGATATGGTGCTCGCTCGAACTCATAGCACACCCCGGATCGCGCGTGTCTATGGTGGCAAGATGGGCTCCTCAAAAAGGGGCGTGTCGAATCCGTCCAACCTGGCAGGTGTATTGCATATATGGGCGATAAGGAGCTTCTAAGTGGCAAATTTCCCAGCACGGAGGCATAGTATTCAGGTGGCATATGGCATCTTTGGGGGGCTTCTCTAGACGGCGGATCGTCTATGAGATGGCGACTAACAACGTGGGAGGGATGCAGTCTTGTGTTGATCTCGTTGTTTATTTACTGCTGGACTGAATTGTGTTTCGATCATAGATGGCCACATGCTGGCAATATTACGCGTCAGCTCCAAAACATCCTACCTGAAGTTGCACTCTGGGCCCCAGGGAACCAACAACCGGCAATGGTATTCACGTCGCACATAGATCTGTCTTGATTGATCAGACAAACAAAAAACCGATTGCGGGCTTGTCAGGCTTGAGATCCATTGTTGCCGCTATGCATAAATATTGTGAGGTAGATTGCTGTCGTGGCTCGCGGAGCAATTTGCAGAGCTTTCTGATACAATGAGTCGCAGTCTGGGGATGAAAGGATATTTTTCGTAGCGGACAATACGTGTGCACCATGAACTCGGCGGTGCAAGTTTTTCCTCTTCCATCCCCCATGTGTGATGATGACTTCAAAGGCAGGTTTGCCGACCCCGGATGAGCCTCTTCACGTTGTCGCCTTGCAACCGACAACTTCAACTTGAACCACCGACTTGCCGCCTTGTCTCGTACATTGTACGACCCCTGTCCTCTTCCAGGCGTCTGTCTCTTGTTTTCGCATGTTTCCAGCGAATCAACCTGTCAAGACTCTCTCGTCTCTGACGCAACTCTCACCACCTCAGATGCGTCTACCAGCACGCCGATTCCTCTGCCTCATCCTCCGGTCTCAATGACAGCGATTGCCTCTAGCCCCGCGCACCTTTCGATACTGGCAACCTAGCTTGCCCATACGGGCACTCTCCAGCCTCACCATGAAGACCACCTATTCGCTGGTCGGCCTCAGACGTTGGTCATGTAAGAGCAAGGAATTACCTCTTGTCCCCACAATCAAAGCTATCCATGTTTACGATTTCGACAACACTCTCTTCAACAGTCCCTTGCCAAACCCCCAAATATGGGCACAACCCACGGTGGGCCTGCTTCAAACATACGACACTCTCGCATACGGAGGGTGGTGGCATGACAACAGCATCCTGGCAGCCACGGGAGACGGCCTTGAGGCCGAAGAACCCCGCGCATGGGAAGGTCACTGGAATGAGACTGTGGTCCAGCTCGTCGAGCTGAGCAGTCAAACCAAGGATGTCCTCACTGTCTTGCTCACCGGGAGGGGAGAGACCTATTTCGCGGATCTGGTCAACAGAATTCTTAACTCGCGGAAACTCGACTTTGACATGGTCGTCCTTAAGCCGGAGGTGGGTCCATCGAGCCAGCAATTCGAGAGTACCATGGCGTTCAAACAGGAGTTCCTCAAAGAACTGGTCTTCAGCTATAAGAATGCGGATGAAATCAGGATTTATGAGGATCGTCCCAAGCACGTCAAAGGCTTCAGGGACTATTTTGAGCGTCTGAACAAATCATTTCTGTCACATCCAGTCGACCAACCGCCTCCGCCTAGGAAGCCCATCACGGCGGAAGTGATCCACGTCTGTGACCTGAAGACGACTCTGAATCCAGAGACCGAAGTCGAGGTCGTCCAGCGAGCCGTCACTCGCCACAACGACGCAATCTCCAACGGGGTTCCGACTCTGACCAAGACTGTTCGCAAGCACCTGAAGATCGATCAGCAGTTTTGCTACTTTGGCTACATGATCAACCAAACTGATTCTGCCCGCCTCCTGACACTGTTCAATATCAACGCTGGTATGATTGACTCCGGTGAAGTCCGTCTCTTTGCGTCGAGCATCCTCATAACGCCCTACTATCCTCGGAACGATGTTCTCAGGAAGGTTGGCGGGCGCGGGAAGAAGGTCACTTGGCAGGTTACTGGCATCGCCAAATATGAAGAGCGTATCTGGGCTGCCCGTGTCGCGCCAGTATCTGAAACACAGATATATACGCAAGATCCCACACCTCTTGTTGTGCTAGCCGTCCGAAAGGGGTCCAGGCAGATCGACGCAGCGAGAATACAGTCTTGGCAATCTGTTCCTCCGGACAAAGCCTTCATGTTCGAGACCACAGTCGCCGACAAGGTCATGCTGAAGATCGAAGACGACCACTCCCGTGGACAACGTTGGCCAGGAGGCAACCGGCGGGGACATTTTGCCAATGATGCCGATACGGGACACAAGCGGAAATATGCTCCTGATGAATCCATCTTGCGGAATAGAGATTCCTATGCACGGGTTGCCGCTGGAAGCGACAGAGACGATGGCAGTTATGTTCCCAGAGGAGGGCGGTTTGCGCAACGCAACCAGCAAAGCAAAGCCCACTTCAATAACCGCAACAACCCAAACTTGTCTGGGAACAGGGGAAGTAATCAAGGCGCAAACACCAACTCGAAACCACGCGGTGGTGGCCAAGGGGGAGGTTCAAACAGAGGCAGGAACAGCGGTCCTGCTGGTGGAGGTGGCGGCCGAGGAGCTCCAGCGTACAGAAGTCTCGACGACTATCCACCAGGAAACTTTGATGGAGCCAATGATCCGAAGACCGGGTCAGGCGAGATGGTTATGAATTATTAGGTCGGCCTCTTTAGACAAGCTATGATCTGTTGCAGGATGTAAAAACCAAGACTTTTGTCCGGCTTTATGATACGGACGAGCGGATTTCATCAGTCAGGGTCTTTGACGAACAGCTAGGCGTTGGACTGGGATGGGTATTTCGTGTATTGATACCCGAGGGGAAGCAGTTTGTGTCGAGATTACACAGCTGTCTTGCTCAAACACAGCCCGTTGTTAGGAGAGCCTTGCCGCTTCCAGTTATGCAATGAGGCATTGTTGGCACAGCACTGGGCAAGTCAGGGCTGCCTTTCCAAATGTATCACATCATGATAGGAAAGCAGAGAAATTTTGTATGATTATAGGTAGACTCGTCATGAAGGGAAGACGAATCATCCAATCTGTCTCCAGGTACAGCTGTTTGCAACCCCCATCATGTTGGACTCTGTTATGCTGTGATATGTCTACTACTCACTGTAGCTGATCATTCGTTTCCACGACTCGAGCATCGGGCGAGGGAGTCACATGAGGACGCACATGGAGGAAATTTTTCCCCAGGGAGCGATGACAGATTTGTACACGTGTTGTGTCTGTGTGTATATTTCCGTGCTCGTGAGTCGTATGGGCGCCGGCTGGTGTGACCAGTGGATATCATGCCTGGCGTGCGAGGGAAGCGATCGAGCAAAGGGAGCATATTGCTCTTGAGAGGTTTTGTTGTGTACTTTGTACTGCCATTCCTTTGTCAATGACTTTTATCAAAAGCCATCACCCTCGCGCCACACCCTCCCACACTCCCTCGCCCTGGTGCGCGGATCGAACCCCCTCCTGAGCGCCCGCTCCCTGTCCCGGTCCAAGTCCCTGCCCAGCCTGCCGCTGCGGTTTTTGAGATTCCTAAACTTCTCGCTGCCGCCCTTATCCCCCGCGGACCACAGCGCGAGCAGGTCCTCGTCCAGGCGCTCTTTCTCGCTGAATGCGTCTAGCCACTTTTGCAGACCCTGCTCGCCGCCTTCGAAGCAGACTCCGTACCCGTCGCAGTAGCATCTGTGCTGGGACGGGCAGAATTCGAATAACCCCGTGAATATGTATTGCCAGGAGTACTCTAGGATGCGGCCTGAGATGGTGGAATTGGTGGTGGTGGTGGTGGTGGTGGTGGTGGTCCTGAGGAGCCAGTTGCGGTAGTGCTCGTACTCGTGCAGTGGGCGTTGGCGGATGCGCTGCGCCGAGACGGCGAATTGGGCGCAGCACGGCTGGGAGAGGGCGCGCGGGATGGGCACGTCGCTCCCAAACAGGTCGTGGAATAGAGCAGAAGTCAGGGACGGTTCTTCGGGCTTGCGGACCAGATCGTACCGCCGTCTAGGTTGGTCGACGTGCAGCCAGTCCGGACAGCCTGGGTCCCATTCGCAGCGCGTGTTGAAGTAGCCCTGGCGCATGACGTGCGCGTCCGAGAGGAGTTTGATCGTGATGGCAGCGTCGGTGTCCAACACGATGTTGTTGTGCCAGCTTTTCTTGGACGGGTGGAAAAACAACACGATGTCCGGCAGGGAGTCGTAGTGGTCGATGATGTAGGTCAGGTAGGCCATGGCCTCGTTGCCTGTGTTGGCTGGCAGACCAGAATCCGCCGCGTCGACCGTGTATATCTTCTTGGGCAGCTCGGGAAGGTCCCTGTCAAGCCAGGACGTGTCTTCGGTCGAGAGACGTGCCATGACCAAGACCCGAGTGTAGTTCTCTCCGGCTGGTTTGGGAGTGCCGGGGGAAAAGAGAGACGGGTTGTACAATGGTCCATCTTGGCCATGGAGATGTGACTGCTGCAAGGACAAGTCGTTGCGGATCCTGTTGAGGAGCAATGTCAAGGTAAATGCTCCGAGGACCAGGACCACCACGTACGAGCGGCGGACGAAGCGCATGGTAGTGAAAAGATCACCGCTTTCTTTTGCTCTTCATGTTGCTCCCTGCAAGCAACAAGTCCGCAGGGCTGGACGAGTACTTTGGAATTTCTTTCTCGCGTGGCCAGAAATTCCCAAATCAACAAACGAAACGGTACAAGATTTACAGAACCCAATCAAGGCATAGCTAAGGTCTTTAGATCCCTGCCGAGCGCGGCTTAACTCTTGTGACATAGAAAGGGTGACAGGGGCAGGGGAAGAAGGACGACCAACGAAAGATAAGATATCAAAAGACGAATAGGAGGATTGGCGTGACATTCTCGACATAGCGATTAGCAAGGAATGATGTTAGTGAAGGATGCAAGCATTCCAGTCATGTTTGTTTGTGCTCAGCTGCCAACATGACAAAGACAGGGAATGCTTTGGGATCTTGTCGAGAAGTAGATTCGTAATCTTTGTTTGCTTCTGGCAACTTGTTGGAAGAGAAAAGGACGGCATAGAATGCAATTTTCTCCTTGTGGAGATGTTCAGGCCTTGGGAAGGGTGAGAATGTGCCTGCTGAGCGTAAGACTCCACCAAAATCAGTGGGAAAGGAACAATTGATATGCCTCCCAATCGACATATAGCCTTCCCCTTTTTGCTCTATCGTTTGTATGTATATGTATCTGCTGGCCATCTCACTTGTGGCGTGGTTGTACATGGTCGTCCCTCGAGTATAATATATATAACAAAAATGGTGAGAGGAGTTACGCCGCCGCTGATGCCCTATGTCCAAGATCTATTCTCCGCCATGGTTCGTCGTCCTCGGTAGTGCATTTTATGGTTTTACAGTCCAGTATGTTCCTGTCATTCTTTCCCTTGTCGAGTAGTTCCATACCGTCATCAGTCACAGCGTCCATCCTTCCATCCGTCTTTCCATCTCTGTTTCCAGAGACTGCAATCGAACTCCGGCTTTCCTAGCTTCACATTCACCGCATTATGAGCTTGACACATCCACATGCCCAGGTCATCTTGTCCTTTGACCTTGGGCTCGTTCCCGGGCTTTTTCATCCAATCTCGAAAGTCGTCCGCGCAGACCCAGCAGGGGTAGAGCATTGAGAAGGTCGAAATGAACTGCTTCATGACTGATTGAGTTTCGGGAGGGGCAGCTTCGGGATATGTTGCCGCAATGCTATGTAGCAGCGTCCACGTAGCGCGACCAAGTTCTTCGACGTCGGGGGGGCATTCGGTTCGTGGAGGAGGGACTGGGGCGACAGTTTTTGTCTTTTTGCCGCCCTGCTTCATCATGGCCATCCATGCGGCCGAGGAAGTACAGGTTCGACATCTATCCCGCAGTCAGTAATAGAGCTAGGCCTTCGACCAGAAAATCAACCCACGGTTTCCCATCCTTGTCCAGGACAACTCCCGGCGCAACTTGCTGTGGCTTGTCTTCGTGCTCTGCATCCCTGGAGCCGGTCGTCTTACCACCTGGAAATGGGAAAGACATCGGTTCGCTGATCCCGGTACACCGCACGCCTTCCTTCGGTCACCGCAATCGTCCCTCACACGCCCTTACAAGCATCAGACAGAAGTTGGAACATGATTGCAAATCAGGATGGGAGCCTCGACTGGCGCTGCAAAGACCGATATGTCCGATGCGGGCTCGCTTAACCTTCCGATGAAATCTTTGCCCAGTTCGGCCTAGCTCTGCACCATCACGTGCTGGTCTTGTTTATATTGCGGGGGAGCCTCGAGTCACTAGCCCATCACAAATGCAAACCCAATGGTCGATTGGCCCTATGCGATCAGCGCGTTTTTCATTGATCGAGCCGAACCCTGCGCGCAATTGACCAATCTTTCTGTCCCAGCTCTTCCTTTTCCTGTTAATTCCCCCCATCCTCTTCACTGCTCAGAGCAATATGTCTGTTTCCGATTCTGACCTTTCCGAGGCCTCTACGACACCCGCGCCGCCCGACCACGAACTCGAGAAAAGCCTGCGACGCGAGGTGGTCAAGGCGCAGAGGGATGGAATAGAATTCTCAAACAACTACATTCGCGGAGCTTCCGAGGCAAAACTGGGATTGACAAAAGGCTTCTACAAGAATCACAAAGAGTGGGCACAACGAAGTAGAGATATCATAGCCGACCAGCTGGTATACTCGGACATCTCAAGTACCGTGTCGCAACTAATAGCTAACACTGCGGCTAGACAATCCCGTCAGAAACACATAGCTCTCCTGCCAAACCAAAAGAGCCGAAGAAGGCCATCGCGAAGCGCAAGTCCTCGCAGAAAGAGTCCGCTCCACACAAGAGACAAAAGGCTGCTGCCAAAAGTGACGACGATGCTTCTGATGACCTGTCTTCGCCTCTGAGCGACCTAGACTCGGAAGCAGGGCAAGAGAAGCAGAAGACGAAACAACGCAAGGCCACTCAGAAACCACGCCCAACCAAGTCAAAATCCTCCAAAAGCAACGGACGAAAGGTTGCAGACTCTGACGAAGACGAGCAGGCGGAGCAGGCAAACGGCACTCCAGCAGAAGAGTCCTCGAACGAAGGAGAAACCACAGTTGCCAACGCTGAAGACGGCTCGGATAGCGAGATGTCAGTCCTCTTGGATGAAGTACCTCCGCAAAAGAAGAGCAGGAAGCGCAAGGACTCCGCGCGCCAAAAGTCCAAGAAGCCTGCCAGCAAATCTGCCACGAAACCCAAAGCTGACGCCGATACCGATCCAGAGTTGGCCGAGATCAAGCGTCTCCAAGGCTGGCTAGTAAAATGTGGCATCCGCAAGCTGTGGGGTAAAGAGTTGAAACCCTACGAAACCTCCAAAGCCAAAATCAAGCACTTGAAAGAGATGCTCGCCGATGTCGGTATGACTGGCCGGTACTCGCTGGAAAAGGCGAATCAGATCAAAGAGGCCAGAGAATTGGCTGCCGACATCGAGGCTGTCCAAGAAGGAGCAGAACGCTGGGGTGCTGCCCAAGATGAGGATGGTGCGCGAGTTGAGAAAGGGACAGATAGCTCGCGGCCAGCAAGGAGGTTGGTGCGAGGAGCGAGAAATTATGACTTTTTGAGCAGCGATGGTGAGGAGACCGATTGAGAAGGTGTCTTCAGCAGCAGCTCCGTGCACGCTGAACCCTTGGTTTTTGGGTACTGAGACATACGGCTTTTGCTTTTATTTGATGGCTTTATTACCGCTCATACGCTGTGCAATGAGACTGAAGACGGCCACGGACGAAATGAACAGGACCAGGTTGTAAAACTAAATCAGGACGATTAGGACTAATGCTCAAAAATGGCTTCGGAGATGTTTGGATGTCGAGAAAGCTTACCGCATTGCGTGAGTACTCATTCTCTTCTGCCTCGGTGCGCGCCTCGACAAAGAGGCGACGGAGATTGGGGAGAGCCATGCTGACAACCGGGATTTGGAGTTCTCTTGTTGACACGACTCCGCTGGCTGTATTGGGTCAATCTCAACGAGAATGTAATGTAATAGACGAAGAAGAAGATGTGAAGGGACAACCAGTCGGTCTTTGCAAAGGCCGGGATTCCTTGGCGAGGATCCGCCGGAGCCTTGCATTAGCCTCGTCGTAGCCTCGTCGTAGCCTCGCCCGGGCCTCGCCACAGGCTCGCAGCACAGCGTATTCATCAGCCATTGACAACAGACCATCACAATCACTGCTTCACCATCCAATCTAGCTCACAGATCAAGATCGGTCAACACTAAGCGAGGACGCATTCCAGATACAAATTGTGCTCGCTCATCCGCCGTTACAGAGATGAGCCTGGCAGAGCCACTCGAGGAAACGACCCTCCCAAGCCAGAGACGCACCCACACGCTGGCGTCATAAAATCACTATCGAACGACAATCGATTGAGGTACCATCATCTTTAGGCGTCCCGTTGCAACATCATACGGCCACTGAAGGTTTATTAAGATCCCCATTTTTGTTGTAAGGTCAGCAGCAACCCCTTACCCATTTCGACGGCATTAGTGTAATCACAGCACCGGTAATAGACACTGGCTCGGCCTGCTATTGATCAGCACAGCGGCCTTTCAATCCAATACTTAAACCACCAAAGTCTGAGTTTTCTCCCCCGGAGGAAGTTGCAGCCACAACGTCATTCGATGATCTACACTTTCAGCATTACTATCCGGCCCTGGGTGGGCCTGACTGGGGCAATTCCCTTTCCCGGTGATCTTACACGCCAAGGTAAGACAACGCGAATACGCCGCTTCTCAGCTTTGGTGTCGGCGGCCTCAATGCTTCTCGTACACCATATTCGTATAACATGCCGACTGCGGCTGGTTGCCCATTGTTGTCTGCCTGCTGCCTTATAACCCTTCTGGCTAGCCAAGATGGAACGCCCCGTCTATGCTCACTATATAAGTCACTGGAGCTTTCGTCACGACCTATTTCACTGAGGGAGTGACATCGCTCAGTCTGATCAAGCTTCTGTGATCATGGACGGCCATCCACTTGCTTCCATACCACCCCTTAAGCTGCACGACGGCGTCAATCGCGATGAGATCAACGCCAGTGACATTGTCGCCGATTGGCTCGCTGCTCTAGAGAAGCGGCCTAAGAACGGTCTATCTACTGACCTCTCAGACCTCTTCATTGATGACTGCTGGTGGCGGGATTTTACAGCACTTTCATGGGATATAGTAGCAAAGCACGGTCTGGAAGACGTTGCAGAGTACCTCACCAGCTCGACCACTGGATTTGGGCAGTTGACTGCCATCAAAACCGGTGGTCTACAGGCGAGCTTGGTCGACATGCACGGGGCCATCTGGATCCAGGGCGGCTTTACTTTCCAGACAAGCGACGGCTCGGGCACCGGTCTTGTTCGGTTGATTAACGTGGACAAGTCTCACTGGAAAGCGTGGACAGTTTTCACTCAGCTGGAGAGACTCCATAGCCAAGATGAGCTCGACAAGCAGAGAATGCGACAATCCTACACCCAGACGAGAATCGCCAATGGTGTCAATGGGGAAAAGGAGGGCGACCTCCAGGTCTTGATCATCGGTGCCGGTATGTGATTACAACCCTCTGAGCAGTCACCAGCTGATGCATTTTTAGGACAATCGGGCCTCATGCTCGCCGCACAGCTGAAGAACATGGGGATCAAGGCATTGCTTGTTGACAAGCTCCCCCGACTGGGTGACATGTGGCGCTCCAGATACGAAACAATCAGGACGCATACACCAATCTATCTCGACCACTATCCCTTCCTCAGATTCCCTACCAACTGGCCGCGATGGAGGGAGCAGGACAAGATTGCCAGCTGGATGGAACATTATGGACAAGTCATGGGACTTGACTATATGCTCAGCACGACCGTGAACAAGATTGACTACGACGAGCAGGCGCGTCGATATACCGTGGAGGTGGAAAATGAAGATGGCAAGCACGTCTTCCAGCCTAGGCACCTTGTGTTGGCGACCGGCGTGTTCAGCCATCATCCCATCGAACCCGAAATTCCAGGCAGAGGTTCGTTCAAGGGCGAGATATACCACTCGATGCACCACAAAGCCGCACGACTAATCCCCGACCTGGCCAACAAGCACGTCGCCATCATCGGCTCTGGCACCAGCGCCCACGACATCGCTCAGGACTTTGTCAACTCAGGCGCGAAAGACGTATCGATCGTACAACGCAATGCAATCTTCTCCGTCTCGGCCACAGCGCTTGAAGACTCCTACTTGTCCATGTGGAACACCCCTGGCATCTCCACCGAGGAGGCAGACATCATTGGCAACTCTTTCCCCACCGCGGTGGCTCGCACACTCAACATCGGGCAAACGCAGATGATGGAGGAGCACGACCAGGAGTTACTCGCGGGCTTGGAGAAGGCCGGTCTGAAGCTGAAACGCGCAAAGACTGCCGGCTATGGCTTTATTGACCACCTCTTGGTCAAGGCCGGTCATTTTTACATCGAGCAGGGGGCCAGTCAGATGATTGTGGATGGGCGAATCAAGGTCCATCAGTGCGACGACGGCGTCAAGGAATTTGTGTCTGACGGCTTCATTCTGGCTGATGGGAAGAAGGTGCAGGCCGACCTGGTCGTTTTGGCAACCGGGTACCAGAGAAACATCCTGACCGTCGAGGAGCTCATGGGGAAGAAAGTCGCCGAGAAGGTCGGCGATCTGGGCTATCTCGACAACGGGCAGGAGCGGATCGGGGTGAGTTACTGCTGCTTTCGGAGACTTCCTCCCTTATTTGTGCGACAGTTACTGACCATCATTGTCGCAGTGGTGGAGACCAACGGGCTTCCCGGGCTTCTGGTACATGACGGGCAGCTTCGTCTGGGGCCGCCAGTTCTCGCCCGTCCTGGCGCTGCAGATCACCGCCATCGAACAGGGTCTGAACCCGGGCTATTGGGAGCAGACGGACCGGGACAACAAGGGGATAGGCACGGTAGTGCACAGAGTATAGAGCCAGAATTGGCAGATACTCGCGGTAAGTTTCCTCACGGCGACGCCATTGTCGATGTCGAGATGTTGGACAGGTTGACCACTCTCTACCACTCTACCAACTAATCAGGCGGTTTAACAGTACCCATGGTCACCGAATTCCCTTCGTTGGCAATACAATATCACGCTCCTATCTCGCTCCAATTTCCAGGTCCAAACGGTGACATGTCGTTGACGGGAGGGTTTGTTTGGTTTCCTCGCCTCCTTTCTTCAGCAAGTCTTGTCGGTTATAACTTTTTGTGCCTTTGTACCTTTGTGCCTTTGTACCTTTGTGCCTTTGTACCTTTGTGCCTTTGTGCCCTTGTCGAACCTCGGATTCGTTTTGTTCAGTGACCACGTTTGTATGTCATGCCTGTCACTCCATTGTTCCGATTGTTGGGCTTATCACTCGTTGTTTGAACAAATCATCGTTTGTCTGTTCTGGCGGCCATTATAGATTTGCTATCCCAGTGTGCTTTGCTCAGCCTCCATATCTCATGAACCATCATTTCCATCCATACCGGAGAACCATCCCGTTTTCAAGATAAATACATACGTACATACACAACATACGGTGCATACCTACACGAAACACACCGAAACAAAATCATATCACTTAACCCGAGCAGATTCAGACCATGAAATTCCTCACAACCACCCTCACCGCCTTGACCCTCTCCCTCTCCCTTGCCTCCGCCTCGTTCATCGGCGACCTGAACGCCCGCGGCCTCGAGAAAATGGACGGCAAATGCACCTCCAAGGGCGGGTGCAAGGTTCCTGGCGGCCTGCACTCGGCGTACAGTTGCTGGAACTCGAAATGCAACGTCACGACCTCTGCCACAAAGGGCGATGAGGGGAAGAATTGTACGATCGCGCCGGGCATGGATGGCGAGTGGGTCGCCAAATGTCCGACGAATTTGTTGCCGTATGAATGGGAGTGGCCGTGGGTGCCGCCTAAGAAGGACAATTAAACGGGGGAGGGAGAGGAATAGGTGTGAAATATATAGGTCGAGGCGGCTAGATTCCTGGGGGCAGGGTTGGAGGAGAATAGGGGTGATGAATCACATTGAAGCAATGCCTGACAAGTGGCCTTTCAATTGGATCTTAAGGTCTAATCTGTTAGATTAGTATTTTTACTGCACACCTCGAAGACAGGAGACATGCGAAAAGGACCGGGCTTCTTGCACAGATATTGTAGATACATACAAAGATATTCACCGCTGAAACAGCGCGAGACCCTCGACCTTGTCCTGGTCCACATTCCCAATAGTGCCCGTGAACCCATTCTCCTTGACGGCGGCAGACAGATCATCCTGGGTCCTGCCACCACTGGCAGAGTGACCGCCAGCCGACTCCTTGCCGACCGCAACGGCCAGGACGCGTGCAGGGTCAATTTTGTTCTCGACGCCATCCGCACTCCGCGGGCAGCGCCACGCGACGTGGTCGTCCGGCCTGATCAGGACGGCGTCGCGCTCCCAGACCTGTCTCACGTGCGGCTCGTCAGGCAGATGGATGGCCTTGAGCGGGATCTGCAGTTTTTGAGCCGCGGGCGCGAAGGCGCGGATGTAGCGGCCCTCGGGCGTGAAGTCGACCAGCGAGAACTCCCGGCCGCGCCCGAATAGGTCGAACACGCTCGTCTCCCCGTCCTTGAGGAAGACGTGCGGTGCCCGCGCCCCGGGCCACGTCGACGGGATGTAGTGCTCCGGGTTCCAGGGCGGCTCAGCGGTTGTCGTGCCCTCACTGTCCTCGTCCAAGCTAATGACTGGGGACCCGTTATATCGGTATCCCAGCTCGATGCCGTGGTCCTTGTTCTCCCCGTCGTGCGCGAGCATGTACTCGGCGATCTGCCGCCGCATGTCCTCGCCCTCGGCCGTCCTCGAGGTCACCGTGTCGCCTGTCTTGGCCACCATGTCCTTGTAGAACGAGTGCTGTTGCCAGTGCACGCCCGACCGCTCAATAACCCTGGCCGCCACGGGCCGTCGCTCGTCTTCGTACGACTGTAGCAGTGTAGCTCCCCCATAGCCCGACAAGACGGCCGCGAGCTTCCAGCCAATGTCAAAGCTGTCCCCGATGGCTGTGTTCATTCCGTAGCCGCCGGTCGGGATGTTCTGGTGCGCCGCATCACCGGAAAGGAAGACGCGGCCCTTTGGAGAGATGTATTTCTCGGCAATGTAGATGTTGGGTCTCCATGTGCTCATGACGAGCACCTCGTCAATCGTGATGGGCCAGGGTTCCCTCGAGCCGCCTAGAGCCTTGTAGACGGTTTCCTTCGGATCGAGCGTCGATACGTCAAAGTCCAGCGGTAAAGGCGTGTGGCACGTCCACGTGTCAACCTCGTCCTGCGAGATGAGGACCTGTCCGCTGGTGAAGTAGATGTGCCAGAACTGGCCTTGCCGCTGGATGCGGCTCAGGTCGCGCGACTTGAAGTGGACGAGGTAGAGTTTGGCAGGTCTATTTTGCGGTGTGAGCTCCAAGCAATAGTGATAAAAAAAGATTGCTTGAGGGTAATAACAGAAACTCACACTGGCCCTCCTATCAGGTCGACCCCAATCGCTTTCCGCACCCGGCTCCCTGCGCCGTCGCAACCGATGACATACTGGGCCCTGACTCTGTGCGTTTCTCCCGCCGTGGTGTCAGTCAATTCGCACTCGACTCCGTCCTCGGATTCGGACAGTCTCTCGAACTTCCAGCCAAAGTGGGATTCGATCAGGGGTTGTGCTTGAATGCGCGGCTTCAGCCAGGCCTCGAAGATGGCCTGCGAACACCGCTGGTATGGTTCTCGGGGCATGGAGCCGTCATTGTGCGCTTTGATGTGGTGCCTCCACCAGTCTGGCGAGGGAAGATCCTGGTTCCAGAGAAGTCAGTCGCTTGCGGGCTACCACGGGAAGAACGACATGATGATGATAATGATGATGAGTAGTCAGGCAGGACAGTGAGAGCCAATTACCCATTTCGTAATAAGTTCGCCTCCATCGGATAAACCAGAACTGAAATGGACGTCGAACGAGTACTTCTGCGGCACACCTGAATGGCACCCACCGCTCGTCAGCCAGTCCATTCATCACCACCAACCCTCCACCATTCGTCGAAAAAAGAGCCCAATGAAAAGGCTTAAGCGAACGAACCAACTTCGCGCAGCCCCCTGTCGATCTTGAGCCGCCTGAACAGCTCCATGCTGCGGCAATTCGTGATGTCCATCTTGGGCCACTTGGTCGTGTCGAGATTGCGCTCCACAAGCATGCACGGAACGCCATTCTCGGCCAGCTGCAGCGCCGCGATCAGGCCGGCAGGTCCAGCGCCCACGACGAGCACGGCCGTTTCGTGCTGCACAACCTAAAACAGACCTGTCAGGGACGGTGCCTATCCTCCTCTGGAACATGACGCACCATATCTTGTGAAACGAACAATCAATCCTTGCTTTCCCGGGTACTCGTTGGATGATGATTCGAATATGTAAGCGGAAGGTGCCCGAAGTGTGTTTGTAGACCGTTATATCGTGTAGCCTCCGCCAAAGATCGTATTCTGGGCCAGGGCATGACTATCTTCCCAGCACCAATATCTTACTTTCTTTTATATGTATTCTAGGAAATGTGATTCGGCGATACTCCGCATGTTCGACTCGCCATTGTTTCTGGGGAAAGAAAAGCGTGTGGTCCAGTTGGCATTGAACTGTGGATCGCCAGGTGACGAAGTACCGAAATCACGCCCATTAATATCCGGACGTTATTGGCCCACAAAAGCGTCAGACTGTGCGAGTCAAGTCGAATACGCTCGGTTAACTCGTACATTGGGATGACCCCGGACATCCCCTTCTGTTGGAAGGAGTGGTTTGATTTGACGATGATGACCAAGAAATAACGAGGTACATTCTTACACTTACGGGGTGGTGATGGAATCACCAGAAGGAATCATTAATCTGCACCCCCACAAACCGGGGACGGTCTTGAGGATTGCACCGTCCATGGCCGGTGTGGGCAAGTAGAATCTGCGGGAGAACGTTTTGGGGCTGGTGGCTGGGGGTGGGAATCTGACATATCCAACTAGGACGCGAGGGAGAGGGAGGGTGTCTCAATGACCAAGTTGGTGGCAAAGCCGTTTCATGAATCTGTCTATCTTAGTGTTAAGCAGGAGGGAGTCTGTGACTCGACTATCTGGAAGTTCAAGGGCTACTCTAGGTGTGTCCCAAAGTAAGCCCAGTGTCTTCGGTGCTGCCACCTTCACGCGACAGAAGTGGACGGCTTCGGTCTATTTTGGTCATACAGTCAAGTATTACCTTCTACCTATCTGGAATGCGAGACACGCATGCGCAGATCGGATAGAAGATGGTCATATCTGCCCCGACGTTGATGGAGGAAAACGACTCTTCATTAGGTCGACGGAGGTGGCATCTATACGCCAATGCGGGGTTGCACCGGACAGAGGCAGAGAGCGTTGTTCCCAGGCGAATCCGTTTCATGCGAGACGATATGACTGCTATACATACACTCGCATACTCATATCCAGCCTGTCACAGCTTTGGAAATTGAACTGCTCACTTAGTTCTTCGCATCAAGCCGCCACCAGAGGGACGTTATACTGCGCTGGCTTCGCCTCTAGCGCATCCGGGGGCACAGGCATCTCCTTGCCAATGTCTTCGATTTTGCCCGACAGGAACGCCAGAGGGATATTGGGACCCCAGATGTGTAGTGTGTCTGGCGCAGCGGCCTCCCTCCCGAAGGGCGTGTCTTCATTCACCAGATCTCCGTCCGAATAGTGTTCCACGATGTTTCCAGAGCCGTCGAACCTAATTGAGCAAAGACAGTTCAGTCACAGGCTTGGGGTCTGCCAGAACTAACAGGGGCTTCCCTACCAGTAGTCGAAGATCTGACTCCCAAGAACATGCCGGCCGATGCCCCAGCAATTCGTCCAGCCCTTGGATCGGAGCCAATCGTGGCCAAGGGTCTGTGTGTCGAAATCATTGACTTCAAAACTCGAATGATGGACGAACGCAGGGCGGCCCTCCTCACCAGCCGCAACGAAGAAACTCTGCGTCACCATGTTAAAGTCTATCTAGGTATAATGGCACACGACTGGCCCGCATTGAGACTCACATGGTGATCTGTATATTCCGGTCCCAGGTCTATGTGGCAAAAGCACGACTGATCTTTGCCCGTCACTGGATCGAAGACGGCGTCGCTCGGCTTCAGGTTAATCAGGTCCGTGTAAAATGAGAGCGTGCTCTCGAATTTGCTCCCGGGCACAATGAACCCATAGTGCCCCAGCTTGTGCACTGGGGACGCACCCGGCTTGAATCGTCGAAATGTACCCTTTCTGGGTTTCTGGAGGGCTGTGTTTGGGATTGGTGCGGTGTTCTCCAGAGGAGGTGCAGGGCCTTCGCTGCTCTCTCTCAATTTCTGTCCGTAGAAAAAGCCGACCTTGAAGCCATTGGGATCCTCGACCGTGACTACCTTTCCACCTCCGGGCGCATCACTGTCCTGGATAGGAGAGGCGCCAGGACGGGCAGCGGCTGCGTCCAGATCCTGCAAGCTGTCAACCACCCAGTAGGCCCCGAGGAAATGTCTCTTATTGTCTGGTGATATTTCGGCGACATAGACGAATGGCTGCGTCCCATATCCGCGAAGGTACACACGGTCGGCCGTTCGGTGCTCCTCCACAAAACCAAAGTCGAAGAGGAACGAGAGTGCTCTTTCCAGATCTGGATGCTGGTATACGACGTGTGCCAGTCGGACAACACGAACTCGCTTCACTGCCATCCCGACTTGGTTGAAATAGACAACTGGGCCGATGCGTGGTGTCCTGCGATGGGAATCAAGATGTCCTGCACCAGGTACAACTTGCACCATCCAGAGAGCTCCCCACGGATGCAATATATCACCACGCCCCAGACCAGGCCTCCCCAGACACCCCGTGCAGCACGTAGTACGGTTGTAACGGAATAGATCCGCCCGTGGGCTCTGCCTCCGGCCTTCACAGATCCCACTGTGGGTCAACAACGGACACGGTCATGGACGGCCTCAGCAATGCACCGATCACCGTCCACGTGACACTGTGTTCGATGGAGTCACGGTCGGTGCGGCGCGGCTCCCGGTTAATGAGGATATAAAGTGCCATAATTCGAGGCATTAGCACGCAGACAGCCTTGCCTTCCCAATGGAGGAGGTGATCTGCCAGAGAGCTCGGCCGCACCATCATTGTTTAGGGTTGCTCAGCGAGGCATGAAATCCAAGTCTTGGTAGCCACCAAAGAAGTCCGAGAATCCATACTCAATGTCAGTGCTTCCGTCATAAAATGAAGGCTGAAGCGGCGGGAAGTTCTGGGGATCAAACATCGGAGCTTGGTAGCTTGCTATATTGGCTTGATCAGACATGTCTAGCGACACAGGATAATCTGTTTTCGGGGGTGGCTGCGGTTGCTGCACCTCCGCGGGACCTAGATATGAAACTTTATCGCTGGCGATCGAGTTGTTTCTTTCTCGCCGGCTGGAATCAGAAGGGGTGTTGCCGCTGAGACGCGGCATTCGGAAAAATACTGCATATCTTTTGGCTAGCTGTCTTTCCTGAGTGTTGAGCGTGCCTCCTCTTTCAAGGATCTTTGCCAGCTCTGTGAAAATGGTCAGGTGTGAAAGGGTTCACGAAAATGCACAGTGCTTACCTGCTACAACGGAACCCAACTTCCATCTCTCGCTGAAATGTGCCAGGACCAGCTTCCCCAGGTCGTGACTAGAAGCGATTAGAGGCTGGGTTCTTAAGATATCGCCATCCACGTAGTAAGGCGGGAGCATCATGCATGTGAAAAACGGGTGGGCAACTGCAATGTATCTGGAGTCCCAGAGACTGATAATCCGTGACAAGTCGATGGCGCGCTGCCGGAGCGGTGATGAGCCGCTAGCACCCACGCTAGACACACTGCGGTCGTCGTTTTCGGCAGCGGTGATTCCAGAAACCATGAAGGACGCCGCCATCAACATGAGATGAGTCCCAATGACCCAGTTGCATCGAGCAAAGGTGTTTGGAGTGAATGTCAAAGTCTCGGCGTCCAGTCGCAGCGATGCAGGAAGTGCGAGTTTAAAACAGCATATCTCGTTCTCCAGCGTCAATTTCTCATCCGAAGACACATCTTGCCTCTGTTGCAGCCGGTCATGGACCGTGGCCATGAAATGATTGGCGACCAGAAACCACGCCCTCTCGTCTTGGTTGCTGCAGCCCTGCAACGATCTCCAGGATTGACCGGGTAGCATGTTAAGCTGTGCAGATGGCACCTCTATTTCGGCAAACCAAGCTTCGTCCGAGACTGGTAGAGCAACAGCCATCCTTTTGCGATCAATCGAATACGGGTGCCGGGAGACTGTGGATGCAAATGTATCGAGTTCCCACACAGCCCACCAGGCTCGCCTGCATTCTTCCCTTTCCACCCAGCTCATGGGCGTGAGAGGGTTAGGATCGTCGTCGTCAATTTCGGAGAGCCCCAAATCGTATGCTAATCTGACGCAGACACCGATGAGGATCCAGCCTTGGTGCGTTGGGCCGGACGTGTAAAAGTAGTAGGCAAGAAGGATACAGCCTTGTATGTAAGTCAACGTTGGGGTCCGTATCAAACGCGCTTGGGCATAGCAATCTCGGGCACGCAGGGCGAACTCGTGTCCTCGCTTGTTTGGCGGAGTGCCAGCAAAGGTGGGATGGTTGGAAAATCTCGCGCACATGGCAAATATGCTGTAGAACAAGAGCGACTCGTCGACAGAGAATCCTTTCATGACATCGCCATCGGCCAAGAGGGCCTTTTCGAAGCGGGCTAAAAACCGCGGTCGATGGAGGATGGGGACCCATGCCTGGACTTTGTCAAAGAAGATGGAGATGAGATCGATGGCAAGCGAGCAAGGGATATCCGGCGAAGTCAGTGGTGGGGTCGAGAGCAGTCTCGGGGTCGAAAGTTTGGTGGTGGGTTCCGTTGAATTTTGGGGTGGCGATTGCGCCAAATCTTGCCCGTTGGTTTCTGGGCCTTCTTCCTCGACCTCCTCTCCGTCAGATACAGAGCCGTTTTGGTTGTTTCGTTCGGCCGGTTGATCCTGGCTTTCAGCAGTGCGATTTTCGGTCTCGGCGATCTCAGCCAGGAGGCCTTTTAATGAATCTCGAAGCACTGTCTGAGGGATCCCGCGTCGGCCGTCCTGTTCCGCAGAGCTTTCTCCAGCTCGCGAAGCCGCTTCAAGCACCTGGACCAGCTTCGACAGGCTGTCACTGATCTTTCGCGATTGAGTTTTGAGCTGGGGTTTGCGGATGGGCTTCTTCCTTTTCGACGGGAAGGTGCAAGAATTACCCGTACGCAAGCAAAGCCCACATACAGGACGACGCATATCACATTTTGTCTTTTTGCGGTTGCACTCTTGGCATGCCCGGCGCGGTTCAAGCTGCGGTACAGAGGCTTCGGTCTCAGCCATGGCGACGCCCGGAGGAGCTACGTAGCTCGACTACTGAGATGCACATTCGTCGAAGTCGATGCCCGGCGACCAGGGATGTCACTGTCATGAGGTTGGAGTTGGGAGAAATAAAATGTTTCGCTAGCCCTCGAATCTTACTTGGGCTCTGCGGTTGAGTCTCCGGCGCTAGACCAGAAATGGCTATCGTAAGGCGGAACGGCGAGCAGGCGTCAAACTGGGCAAGAAAGTGGGGGTTGAAGGTGGGGCAGAGACGCGGGGAAAGCTTGGCATGACCACGCTGACTAATGGTAAGACCAAAGCCAAATCCAGCCGGACCTATGACATCCCTTGATCACCTCTGCCATGCGAACCACCCAGCACAAATTCCGCCTACTACCCATGTTCCCAGCAAAGACATCGGGATTGACGGTCTCACGTACCAACCCAAAGCGTTCGCTGTGCTCTAGCAAATCCCTCCGGTTGATGTAAAGCTTCATTGCCTGCCTTGAACACCCTGCGCAAATAGTTGGTTTTACGCACGGGTAAGGTATTCATGGGCTGTTCAAGGTGTTGGCCTTCCGAAAATATTGCAGAACGTAGGGTAGACTCTCTTTTGTAACCTGGCCGATGCTGATGGCTTTTATATTATAGTGAACTTTGAGTGGTTGTGAATAGCAAAGACGGCTATACGGGCTGAGTTGTTCCTGAGGGCCTGCTGTCTCCACGGCTATCGGCATTTTGGTCGACCTGGGCTCGTCAGGTAGCCAACAAGGCTCTGTATCGTCCATGTAAATATTCGAATGAGCATCGACGTCTTCCAAAGAATGCTCGAACTTGCTCAATCCTTGTCCGTCGTACGTGTTGACGGGTATACACACACAATAGTCCAGGACGGGTTTCACGACAACCAGCCTGCGAACAGAAGCGTAGATACGTTCCCAATTTTGCCCGAAGGACACATTTCCCTCCAAATACATGTGACGCGGGGACGTCATATCGTTCCTCTGGGACTCATCAGCGGGTGTATGCCAGATAATGGCAAACACGCGACCCGGCTGGTAAAATGCCGGTGGTCTGGCCGAAAAGCGGTTGTTGAAGTCGGAGATTTCTTGGTCTGGTGTCGGATCGATGGATGCAGAGTATGGTTGTGGTTCTCCAGAAGCTGGTTCGGCCGCATTTGGATCTGTGTCCCTCAACTGGTGGGAATCAGCCACTGAGAGAGACGCTGGGTTGGAAAAATTGCTTTCGAGATTGTCCACATGTTCCAAGTCGCCTTCTGGAAACTCCAATAGACTTGTACTGTCCAAGGCTTTCAGATCTCGGTCTGTGTCAGTCGAACCAGTGCATGAAGTCGTACGAATGTCCCTGTTCTCGGCGAAATATTGCTCCCGTGTGAAATAAAGACTTGCTTCATCTATAGTGCTATTATGATCAAGAGGTGTTGTGCCAAAGCGAAACATCGAATTCTCATGCAAACCCAGCCAAGAAGCTACTTTTTTGCGCGCTTTGCTCATTGCATCAGGATCTCCAGCAGGAGCATCAGGGGCCCATGGAAGGGATAGTAGGGCAAAATCATGTATATGCTCAGCAATGTGTTTCAAGTTTGAACGAGGTGTTTTTGTGCCGGCCCCGTGGATCGGTCTGCACAATGGGCACGACAGAGGGGCGGTGGCTGGTAGTATCTGCGTGGACGCTTCGAGGACCATGGGTATCTGATTGATTGCGATGGAATCAGAATGGCTTTGCTGGATATGCTCGGAAAGATGCGAGCTATCCCCATATCTCACACCGTCGGTGCATATCAAGCACCTCCAACACCTGTTATCCAGATGTTCAGCCCCGGTCAAATGATCCATCCAAGCTTGACGGGTGGCAAAAGTTGCTTCTGGCATGGGGCACTCGTCGTAAATGCACGTATAGGGACATATGTCCTCGGCCAGATGCATTCTGTGATATGATCAGTGAGCGGCGTCGACATAGGAAGCCATTATTCTCTACCTCCAACGGTTACCGGTTGAAAACACACGGTCCAAAGTCTGGCAACAGCAAGGACATTTGAAAAATTTGACGTCTGATGATATGTTTGGTGGGTGAGGGTATCGAATTCGCGAGGTAGTTGACGAGATCTGAGAGAATTGTCCTAGGTGGTTTGCATTGAGTGCCTCTGTTGCGGCTTCTAGCTTTGTGGCGGCTGAATCGTCGGCCGGCGGCTTTTGTGCTGTAGTGACTGAAAGATCTTTCCGGGCTGGAGGGAAAGAATTTGGGGTTTGTTCAACCCGATAGGGTTCGGCCAGCTTTCGAGAATGCCTCTGTGCGTAAAGAAAGCGGTTTCGCCTCTTGAGGTTGGCGTTGATCAGGCGTAATTGCACAGAAGTTAACTGGTCTCGATCGTCGAATGCCTTGAGGGTATCGGAGGGATTCATGCTTGGTTGAGCCAAGACCCGGAATGTAAGGAAATTTTCGAGGGCTGAGTGTTCTGATGCATCGAAACGCGAGTCCGCTTTCTGGAGGCGGAGCTGATGTCCTGTCCGGCGCACGGCGAATCCGAGATTGTTCAATTGGTCAAGGATCGACTCAACGCTCCCCATCGCTTGAGCAAGGCGCCCGTTACCAGAATGATCTAACCCAGCTGGATCGGAATCTAGGCTGGACTGATCAGACCAGGGAGATATTGACCTCGAGGCTGCGCGACCTGGGACAAGATGCTTCCTCGATGGTCTGCCCCTTTGCACGCGATTCGACCCGCGATGGTGGAATTCGCGCACCGTCCAACGGAGGTGTTGCCCCAGCTCGTCTCCATCGAGAGTTAAACTTAATATTTGACACTCTTCAATAAAATGTTGCAACATTCGCAAAAGGCCGGCGAAGATATTGAGAAGGTTGGGCTTCTGGCTAAGCCTGGCTCCCAGGGACATTTTGCCTGTGTCCGCTGTGCCGGCACCAATTCCTGAGGCCCAAAGCCTAAAGTCCGCGAGCTTGTTCTCGGCCCACTCGCGCGCCATGAGCAGGGAAATATCGAGGCACTTTTCTAGCAATCGTTCACATCTCTGCGTTAGGATAGAGATGTTGGGAGCAACGGCGGTGCTCTCAGGCTCCGTATCGGTCATTTGATGGTGTGTCGACTGTTATAGTCCTTTGCAACTGTGAAAGTCACAATATTCCTGAGATTAGACAGATGTCTTGGTGACGAGGGAGGTTGAAAGCCTTTTCAGCCAAAGTAAGGCTGAGAGCGCAGTTTGACTATTTAGGTTAGTGCGGGGTTGCTTGGAGGGAATGAAAATCAGGCTGAGGAATAACCTCTGTCGTTCTTTCTCTTTTTCTCATAGCCATCCTTATCTCTTCTGCGGAAAGGCTCTTACCATGGCCGGCGAAGAGATCGATGATCTCGATCTCCTCGAGTCTGCCCCAGACACGTTGCTCACCATAGCGCGTGTTTCCACCACCTTAGGCATCGAGAGAAAGCACCTGGGCTTTGGTAATCTGGGTGGGGAGCTGGCCACGCTCTCTGAGATTCTCCAAGGATTTGACAGCTCGCTACAACAGGAGAAGTTCAAGAGAAGAATCAGGAAGCTTCTCAAGGAGCTTGCGCGAGCCTGCACTGTCCGTGACCCCTCTGCTCAGTGAGATTAAGAGATGCTTACCAACATCGGCAGTGGCATCGTGAAGAGCCCAGTGAAGATTTCACCTTCTTGCTGCATCTCGTAGAGCTACCACAATCGCTCAGCGAAGGTGATGATGAAATGAAAGCAGGGTTGCTGGCCTACGCTTCTGCGGAAAAATTGCCAAAGCTCGTTGCGCTTGTGAGGAATTTCGCTGGTAAAGGCTTCCAATCGGAAACAGCACAATACTCTACCCAATCCTTCACCCGTCATCGTTCGGAACTAGCCACTTCTCAGAGTGTATACCCCAAGCACGTCAGTCAGCAACTTTATCAAACGCTTCGAAAATATTCGGCATGCCAGTGTGTCAGCGAAACCAACAACAATGCAGGGCCCGTCTTGGAGAAGACGCATTTGTCTAGGTTGCGTCTGAGGCCTTCCCGCGACGTCAAGGAGACCTTCGTCTGTTTCGACATGGTGTTTTCCTCTCTCCCACCGTCTTCCTTGGCTCTCAAGCGGGTAGAATGGCAACATCTGCAATTCCAAGTCTGTAGGTGAGCAGATTTATTCAACGGACAGGAATGCATCAGCCTCTAACCTCATAGTAGTGAAAGACCAGGGAAGAAGCGTGCCCGTTTCTCCGATCAAGAAACATCTGTGGATCACCCTGGCCGCCCACCCACGTCCGCCACAGGAGTGCAGCTGTGCAATCAGTTGATCTCACCTTCTGGTTCTCAGATATGTCTACACGTGGACAAGGACCAACTATGGTTGCTTGAGGACTGTCTGCCGCTGGAAGTACATGTCCTCGCTTTCCCATCACTGTCACTCTCAGATGCACTGCGAATCGGACGTCTATCCCACGAAATGAAGGTCATTCTTGCTTACATCATTGCAAAATCTGTCTGGGAGTTCTACGATTCTGACTGGATGTCCAGACCATGGAGTGCTGAAGACATACATTTTATGCAAGAGAAGCCAGGAAATAAGCGTGGAGAGCCCTTGATTTCCATTAACAGACCTTATTTAGCAGTGCGGTGGGGAGAAGGCGACGACCGTGAAAGCGAGTCCAGCAACATTGTTGGTCAAATTCACCGGTATCCCAAGATTTTGTCTCTAGGGTGGATACTTATCGAGATAGCCACCGGCAAACGAGCCAGGGATCTCTCACAAAACGATCAGGTAAACGTGAACTCGGATTGGCTATCTGCACGAGAGTTCTTGTCCCGGACGTCGCCATGGGATGAATTTGACTACAAAAACTACTGGGACGCGGCGCGGAACTGTTTCAATAATCAATTCTTTCTCAAAGGTGCGATGTCGAGCATTGGCAAGGAGACATTTGTTGATATTGAGAGTAGGCGTCGGATGATCATGGAAGAGGTCGTTACACCTTTGGAAGCCCTTCTCACAGGAACTGGCTGGATACACGATATCTGGACGGTCGGGCCACTGAAGCCGTCAACGGCTAGGTCAACCCCAGCTGCTGGTGAATTGCTAGTGGAGGGACCTGACAGACCCAGGCACTATTTGATTCAACCACGTTCAAACGCAACCGGCGCGTCTCAGTCGGATGTCGTACTCGACACTATATCTCAAACCGTTGCCAGCAACAGACCGACGACTCATCTCCGTCCGCGCACCCGTCGGGACTTCGAGATTGGAATTATCTGCGCTCTTCCTAGTGAAGTAGATGCCGTCTTCTTGTTGTTCGACGAGTACTGGGACGACGAAAATCACAGATACGGCAAGGCTGCAAAAGACCCCAATGCCTACACCACAGGTCGTATAGGTCATCACAATGTGGTCGTCGCTCATATGCCGTCACTGGGAAAAGTCAGTGCTGCCAGTGTTGCACAGGGCTTACAATCGAGCTTTCAAAACATTCAGCTTGTATTAGTCGTGGGCATTTGTGGAGGAGTGCCGTACAACCATCGGAGCAAGCGAGAAGTCTTCTTGGGAGACGTTATTATCAGTCGGTCACTCGTTCAGTACGATTATGGGAGGCAGTACCCCATAGACTTCGAGCGAAAAGACTGTCTAGAAGGGGAATCAGGAAAATCTTCTCATGAAGTTCGATCGCTTCTCGCAAAATTGGAGACAGCGCACCATCGGCGGCACTTGGAATACAACACGAATCGATTTTTGAGAGTGGTCCAGGGTACAGACAAAAAGACAGCCTATCCTGGAGCTGAGACAGACAAACTGTTCGAGTGCTCTTCACTGCATCAACATTATGTGGCTGGAAGCTGTCAGACATGCCGATGGGAAAGTGACGTTCGTATTTGCCAGAAGGCTATCGACAGCAGCTGCGAAGAGTTAGGTTACGAAACAAATGGGCTTGTTCATCGCATACGGCTTCCAAATAAAGCTCCACCTGCAGATCCGGTGGGAGAACAAGGCTTATACCGGCCGTCGATCCACATTGGTAACATGGGATCAGGGGACACGGTTATGAAATCCGGCACCCACAGAGACAAGATTGCGCAGAAGTACGACATTCTTGGGTTCGAGATGGAAGGCGCGGGGATCTGGGACTTCTTTCCTAGCCTCGTCATCAAGGCCGTGAGTGACTACTCGGACAGCCACAAAAACAAGAAGTGGCAAGTTTATGCCGCAGCCGCTGCCGCCGCAGCCACGAAAGCATTCCTCGAGGAATGGAGGCCACGAAGTGATTCATATGTGGATCAACTCGTAGATCCGCGACCCTTAATGTGAAAAGACGTCCTATCAAAAGGCAAGTGGAAAAGAATCAGGTTCGGACAGTGCGATTGTTCATTTAGGCCTGAAAGGCGTCCAACCACTACTCAACCCTTCATCGGCAGCCTTGCAGACATCTACAGCGCATCAGGCCTCAATTTGTTGAAAATGGCCTGCCTGTGTCGAGATGGTGGGGGCCAAAAAAAGAACCTATTGGGGGCTCACAAAGTGGACTTTTTTCCACTCAAAATTCATCGACAGAGGGGAGCGACCCACATCTCAAGACCGTGGCCCTTGTCCATCTCTGCTTGTGCCTTTCTACGAGTGGGGAAATTATCGTTACAAACTAAGTTGACCCAAGATACGCGGTCCGAGGTTGTACAAGTACTGACCTCGGGACAGGGTCTCTCAGGAGTGGCATTCCAGGCGAGACTCGTTCGATACGACAACATAATAGGTAGTCAACGCAAGTTTCCGACCTGGTCAGCGCGCTAGGGAATTTCAAAAGGAAGAAGACGACGGCGGCTGTCTTGGGCTCCTGACCGCGAGTCCAAAGTATATCTTGGATACCTAGTTACTGTGCGATTTCGGAGGCCTAAACCGCATCGAGCTGCTGTCGCGGGATTTGTTTTGCTAACCACGAGTAGCCACCGAATCCACGCGAAGGGCGGCGTCTAGGCCTACTCGTAGGTACCAACCCACCGCTTACCGACTTGGAGTCGTAGCAGCAACACATGGCCCTCCCCCGGGTTTTTGAGCGAGCTGCGAACTTGTCGCGAACGCACAAATCCTCCCTGGCCACTTCAGCCGAATGAAGCCTCGCCTAAGTAATAGTCAAAGCAGGGGAGTCTGAACACCTGCCCCAGGAAGGTTTATCTTCCCCCACCCAGCCGCCAAAGCCACCTCCCAGAAGAAAACCCCCACTAGCTAGGTCCTCTGGCGGCCTTTCTCTGTTCTTTTCCTGTGTCGCTCACAGCCGCGAGCCATGGAAAATTGCCCAAAACCTGGTGGTTCTCGACCTGGCGGGACTAACAGATTAGCCTCCTGGCGTTATGCTCTCCTTCGTAGCCCAGGCCCGACCAGCTGCGTTCCTTCTCGATACCTCCCAGTTATCACGAAACCACCAATCGTTGTGCAAGTGCGCCGTCCGGCTGACTTAGTCTTCCCAGGGCGAGAACAAACCGCGTAGCAACCGCGCTGTTTCTTGGAGGCCAAGAGAAACTCGAGGCGCACCATCGGGAGCTTAGATTTCTGAACAACCGGCTTGGGTGTTCGGCCTCTCCAAAGCCCGGGAAATGATCGCCTACAGCCGGACAACTTACATACGGACGGGGTACGGAAAATGGCTACCGCTACACGAGGACGAGGACTTTATTTCATTTTCTCCCTGCGGCTGAACGAAAGGTTGGTGTCATTCTATACGTACAGCCCTTCGTAAAGACGTCTTGAGTTTCATCGGCGCAAAAGAAGCAAGGGATAAAAGGCTGAGGGCTGAAAAGCATTTACGAGTAATCCGAGGTCAGCCACCACCGTCTTCTTCCACAACGAGCCAGGGTGACTCAGGCCCTCGGCCCTCGCGTAACCTAGACCAGGGCCCTTAGGAGAAGTGTCAAGTTTTTTTTTTGTTCTCGCCAAACTCTTGGGCCGCTCAACTAACTAGACCCTGCTATGGTGATCCCAGCTACATGGCACCTGGCGTTTCGGGATTCGGTTCAGCTCTCCGAATAGCTCTGTGATAAGCACGGCCAGCACAACCCCTACTGGTCTGGATGCTGATTAGCCCGACGTTCCCAGAAAGATGGAAGTCAAAAAGATATGGCGCAGCTGACCCACCCAACCATGATGCTCGTGGGGTCGCCCTCCCGCTTCAGGTCAATAGAGGGAAGGGAAGGTCATATATTCCCGGCAGGTTTTCATTCTCGGTTCTCTAGTCTCAAGACTCTGTCTCGTTCAGAAGGGCGTCCACAACGACCTGACGAGAAAACCATGATCTACGCTCGTTTACTGGTCGGGAAGCCTACACCAGGCAAGGCTGTGTCTCCTTTACCCGACAACGTCGACGGTGTCGCATGCAACAGAGGACCGTCCCGAATCAATGGCAGACTCAGTGTCCTCGAGGATTGCATAAGACGCCACGCATTTGACACGGTGCAACTATGTCTGAGAGGTAACGTCGAGATGACATGGACTTGTTGAGCGGGACAATGCTTACACAATACCAGGTGTTATTACATCCTCCGTGGGCTACAAGCACGCCATCGAGGACATAATCACCCTGACCGACGTCAAGGCCATGTCAGACTTCAGACATTCCACATGTATCAGCGAGACCGATACGCGCAAAGTTCGCCATCTGGACTTTTACTTCGAGTTGCCGACTACGATTGCTGGCCAGGATGGAGTTTTCCGTCCTCTACCCTTGACTGGCGTATTCACGGGTACCACCACTATTACCCAAAACACGGCGCTGAACGATCACCGGGTCGAGCGTGGGGACTGCGAGGTGTCTTACTGGGTTGAGGTCAACTTTCGCCTCTCCGGGACCCAGGTCGGTTTCTTGAATCAGCATATTCAAATCTCGTCTCTTTACCCTTGTCTACGGGCGTCGCCAGCACGGGGAAACCCTCTGACGATCCGTGCCAAACCCGACATTCTTTCGCGATGTCGGTTTCAGAAACCCCCGGATCTATCGCTCACTTTGTCGGAAGCCGACATGACCATAAAACGGGACGCGCAGACTGGAAAGCGACACATTAGCGTGCCGCTCACCGTGGCCATGGACGCCTCTGAGGCTTTGTCCATGGATTCACGTCAATCGCTGAAATGCTCCGTCGAAGCCAAGTGGGAGGTCAACACGCGCTTCTCAACCACCCCGGGCCGCCCGTCGGCCGCGAAGGTGAGAGCGGGGGAAGTCATCTACAAAAAGACCACGGCATCCACGCACAAGTCGACCATCTTATTTCGCCCGCTCCCGCAGTACGACGACTACCGGCGCGCGCAGAAGGGGAAAAAGAACCCCGCTGAGCCCTACGTTGCGACATCTCAACTCGACTTGGCCGTGCCCGATGCCGTCTCTCAGCCCTCTCTAGAATGGAAACATCTGTCGAGGACCTACACGCTGGACCTCAGTATGACGTTCCACGGCGGTCAAGGAGCGCCCAAGTACTCTCTGCACAATGGCATTTCGCTCTTGGTCAAGGCTGACGCGTCGAAAGCCGACGATGCTGCGAAGAGCCAAATCGTTGTGGACGTCTCGGAGGTTGCTTCGGGATTGGACTCTGATGAAGAAGATGCCAGCCTAAGTGAGCTGCTCGTCCCGCTAGGTATAAGTGCGGTGCAGCGGCAGCAAGGCCAACGCACTGCGACAAGGACGCCGCCTCCAGCCTACTTTGGATGAATGGACAAAATATCAAAGTAGGCAGCGTCGTCGCCCCGGATAATGTCTTCCAGCAGATCCGACACTTCAACACTCTCGCATCGTCTCCAGAGATTATGGCTAGAAGCCATGCCCTCCATCTCCATGTGGAGAGTCCGTCGTCACTTGTTACAGCCGGTCGACTTAGCCCGGCGATATTCTCGGTGCGTCTTCGGCATAACTTGCACCTGCACCTCGCCACGCTGGGGATCCCAGCATCTCAGCAGTTCCTCCACAGCGGTGCCTTATCCTCAGTTCAACGGAAACAGATGATCCATCGATCGTGATGTTGGGCCTCGTTTGTCGCAGGGCTGCATTTCAGCCTTCATTGCAGTCGACGGACCACCAAAACATCAGGCAAAACATTTTAGCCAGCTTGAGAGATCCCAGCTTTCGTGCTTGACGGGCCAGTGATGGCAGACTCGACTGCTCGCCCAGCGAACAATGAAAGACAACACCCGGGAAGGCTGGTCTGGCCAGAAGGTTGCCCGCGAAGCAAAGGGGTGGTAAGCTAATGATTATCTGGACGATCGCGCAAGTCCTGGCACTAGGACATGGCCGCCAACCACGATACGAGCAAATGCTTATCATGCTGAGGAATCGACCCTGTTCCAGCCGCTAACACTACAGTCTTACTGGCCAGAAGATCCAACATATCGGGGAGGGAAGGGAAGCTCCGGGCAGACCAGACCATGCTATCATTATTCGGAAATGCTGACCGAAGACCCCCACGACTGGCGCGACCTTCCCTTCCCGTCCCTTCCTTGTGAGGTTGGATCGGAAGAGCGAGGCTGTGGCAGGCCGTGGGGTTGGACAGCCAGTGCTATCAGTGTCCCCCCACACAACTCTTCACACCGGCCGGACATCAAGTGGCAAAGGCAGCCTTCCGAAACACACCCGCGCGAGTTGACGGGAGGAAGAGAACAGGGACAGCTGGATGGATCAATGCCTGGGTGACTGGTCGAGTGGACGGTGCCTAAAGGGAGCGAGAGTGATGAAGAGGATGGAAACAAATAGTATGAACACCGCGATACCTACCTACCTGCGCGTCGATGTGATAGGAACCCCCTTTCCGACAACTGAAGGAGCCTCAAGGACGAGAGGCGCGTGTCGAGTCTGCATCTCACACCACGGTGCTCTGATGCACGGGAGATGGAAATACCCCTGAGGGCCGCCACAACTGGCACGGCTAATACGTTCTTTGAATGAAAAAGGAGGCAGTAAGCGGTAGAGTGCAGAATGGGTAGAACATTCTCAGCGCCTGTGAAAATCGTATAGAGCAGCCATGGTACCTAAGTTAATTCAGTGTTCGCACCAGCCAAGCTGGCGGTAATAAAGAGGAGATGCCAATTTTCGTTTTCTCTTCTGCGCCCTTCTTGAGACACATTTCCCCTCTTATGTCTCTTTTCTCTCTTTGCCCCAGCTAGCTACCTTACATTTCCGAGTACCTGCAGGTGGTCTTGGACTCGGTTTCATCCCATCCCATCTCATTGTATATTGTATGTCGTGTCGTGTGGTGTTATACATAGCGCGCTCATCTTCGTTTGTCCGAAAATTATTATGTCCAGGTTCCCTCCTGTATACATCTCTTTCTGCGGCACCTGCTCGAAACTGTCCTTTTTTCCCCAACTCTCATTTCCCTTCTCTCCTAATTTTTTCTCCTTCCTAGAACTGTCTTCTTCTTTTTCCTCTGCCTCTCTCTCCAGCATCTCCTGGCTTCTCTCCTCAGAGATGACTGACCAACCAACAAGAAGTGGTTCTGGCCGGGGCGTCGGCGGCGGCTGCGGCAAAGAGGCACCTCCGCGCCTCCAACGCCACCTCCACCTCCACATTCTGTTTTCTGCCCCGCAAAAGGTAAACGGTTCGTGTATCGATGCATGCATGCATGCACGAACGCACGCATTTGGAATGAGCAGAGAAATAACTCGGTACTGGATGGAGTGGAACACCCACTACCGATTTCGGCATCCCCGTGGGGACACGTAATAGCCATGGGTACGGGTCCATTTGTTTTAGTCAAGGTGGTCGACACTGGTGATAGTTGTGATGAGAGAGAGGAGGAGCCAACAAAAATCCCCACCGCTTCCGGCGCCGGCGAAACACGCTATATTTTTTGAGGGGTGCTTGCAGCTCGATCGCATCCGTGGTCAAGAACTTGTCAAGTGGTGGCAAGGGCGGCCACGCAAACATGGAAAACCCCCGCATTCTGTACAACATCCCAGGCTAACCCCGGATTATCGATCGAGGGCTTGTTCTTCGCACTAGATGGCTCGTCGTTAGTATGACGACAAACGCTATAAGTGGTATTACGAGGTACATAGGTGATATACAGGTGCGGAGGGAGAAAAAAAGAGGAGGCTGGGGACGAAAAAGAGGAGGAGGACAGGGGTAAAACAGGGATATGGGAACAAAAGGGGGAAGGAGGACAGAAGTAAAAAAACAAATCAGGACTCACCATCTGCCAATACGCGCCGCGCCGGCTCAACAGCTCCTTGTGCGTGCCGCGCTCCAAGATCCTCGAGCCCCTGCCGGCCTCGCTCTCGCCAAACACGAAGATGACATCTGCCTTTTGAATCGTCGCCAGCCGGTGCGCCACCGCGACGACTGTCATGCTCCGCTGCACCACCAGGCGCTCGATGGCGCCCTGCACGAGCTTCTCCGACTGCGAATCCAGGCTGGACGTGGCTTCGTCGAGAAGCAGCAGGGACGGGTTGCGTAGCAGCGCCCGCGCCAGACACAGGCGCTGCTTCTGGCCGCCGCTGAGCGACGTCTGCGTGTTGATGCCCAGCGGGGTGTCGAAGCCGTCGGGGAGGGAGAGGATGAAGTCGTGGATCTCGGCGTCTTTGCAGGCGCGGACGATGTCTTCTTCCGTGACACCTTTTCCGTCCTCATTATCATCTTCGTCATCGTCCAGGCCGAGGACCAAGTTCTCGCGGATCGTGCCGTCAAAGAGCTTCGGTTCCTGCGCGACGAGCGACAGCGCGCGCCGGTACGAGGGCATTTCAATGTCCTTCAGGTTCCGGTCGTTGAAGGTGATTGTCCCCGATACGGGGTTGTAGAACCGCTCCAGCAGCGAGATCACCGTGGTCTTGCCGCATCCCGAAGGACCGACAAAGGCCACGAACTGACCGCTCTCGATCGACAGGTTGAGGTTGCGGTAGATGGGGCTATCTCGGGTGGGATACTTGAAGACGACGTCCTTGAACTCGACTTTGGCGCCCGTCCGCTTTTCACTTGGCGGAAGCGGCGTGCCCACGCCGTTCAAATTCGCATCTTCGTCGCCGACGATACATCGCGACCCCAGAATGCGGTTGGCTGCCGCGGTGGCCCGAGCAATATTTGGGGAGAGACTCAGGAATTGGCCGGCCCCTTGTGCACCTTGCACGATCGCCGAGTAGATGAGGAAGAACTGAATGATGTTGTACTCGTGGCGGGCCAGAAGCTGTCCTCCGTACCTGGAAAAATCATTGTGTCAGTTAACAGTCCCTTCTTCCAGGCAAAATTGGAGCCTACCAGAAAGTCAGGGCCATGGCGCAGAGTTCGACGCTGTCCGAGAGGGCAAAGATCAGACAGCCATGTGTCGCTCGTCGCGTCGCGTCCCGAATCTGCTCCTGCAGGAGATCCGAGTATTTCTGGATGATCGAGTCCTCCATGGTCAACGACGTGACGGTCCGGAAGGCGCCGACCGCTTCCGTCGCAAATTGCGAGCTGTGGGCAAAGACCTTTGCGTTCCACTCCTCGAATTGAATCTCGTACTTGACGCGGATAAATGCGGCGAAGATGACGACGGGCATGGCCGAGAAAAAGGTCACCAGGGTCAACTTCCACCCAAAGTAGAAGGAGATGATGATGCATCCGGTCATGTTGAACAAGGAGATCAGCGGGAACGCGCCGTTCAGGCCGAGCAATTCGCTGAGCAGTTTGAAGTCTGTGGCCAAACGGGCCATCAGCGAGCCTGAAGAGTTGCCTTCGGTGTCGTAATAGGAGATGGGGTTACGAAGGAGATTCGAAAAGTGTTCGCGCCGATAGACGGACGATACAAGCTGTGTTGTGTCGTTAGAACCAGGTCGATCTTGCTCTCTTTTGCTCGAAATTTCGCCCCTTTGACTTACCACGGAGATATGGTTCGAGAGGAACCCAAGGATGAAATACGCCGCCGCCATCCCCAGAGCGAGGACGAAGAACATCAGGGACCAAAAGTCGCCTCGTTCCTTCAGCCTTTGACCCGTGAAGGTAAAGACTTCCATTAGCTGAGCAAAGATCCAGCTTTGCAGCGAGAAGGCCGCTGGATTATCCAATATTTGTTAGCCTGTCTGTCTGTCTGTCATCCGTAGTGGGGGACTGAATGTTGGGGAACTTACAGCCCGCAGCCATTGCTGCCAGCACAATCAAAACATAGAACATCGAGTACTGTTGCTGTTCGTACAAGATCCGGCCGACGGACATGATGAAGCCCCGGTCCTTGTACTTGGTCGCAGTCTCTTCGTGTTGCTTGGCCGAGACGCCGGTGTCTCGTCTCTCCAGTTGTTCCAGCTCAGATGCCTCGATGCTCTCATTCGTTTGGGGGGCTGTCTCGGCCTCGAGCTGCTGCGCGTGCACGAGGCCGGCGTAGACGCCATCAGCGATGGCGAGGAGGCTGGCGTGGGTGCCCTCCTCCATCTTCCGTCCGTCGCGCATGACGATGATGTTGTCGGCCTTGCGGATGGTGGAGAGGCGGTGGGCGATAACGATGGTTGTCCGGTTGCGGGATACCTGGTCCAGGGCCTTCTGGACGATGCGCTCTCCGCGAACGTCAATCGAACTCGTGGCCTCGTCCAGGATCAAGATGGAGGGTTCGCGGATGATGCTGCGAGCGATGGCCAGACGCTGCCGTTGCCCGCCGCTCAGTTTGATGCCACTCTCGCCGACTCGCGTTTGATAGCCCTAAACACCCCCTTTGCGTCAGTCATGTGTCCACAAAAACAAAATTAGCCAGCGGGTCAAAAGCATTTGCTCACGTCGGGGAGTTGGCGGATGAATTCGTCCGCAAAGGCTTCCTGACAGGCCTTCTCGACCCGTTTCTGCTTCGCGGCGTCGGCATCCTTTTCCCACGGCGTCCCATTTAGGCCGCATGCGACGTTCCTGAAGATGGTGTCGTTGAACAAGAATGGTTCTTGCTGCACCAGGCCGATTTGTGACCGCCACCACTTCAGTTTGGTGTCCCTGATATCGCGGCCGCCAATCGAGACCAAACCTTGATTTTCGGGCGGTCGCTCCTGCTCATTGTCGGGTTTCTCTGTGGTTGATGTGGCCTCGTCCTTGTCAGGATCATTCCCGTCCAGCTCGTACCAGCGCTCCAGCAACGCCACAATAGTACTCTTTCCCGATCCTGAAGGGCCTACCAGCGCTGTGGTCTTGCCTTTCCTGAACCGCGCATTGAATCCTTTCAGGACCTGGACCTTGGGACGACTGGGATAGGCAAAGTTGACGTTGTTGAACTCGATGTCATCATGTGACGACACGTCAGGGTCAGTAACGCCCTCATACGAGACCTTTGGGGCATCGATCATTGAAAAGAACTCGGTCGAGGCGCCGATAGCTTTCGTGATGGCAATGATTGGGGTTGCTAGGACGCCCAAGAGAGCCATAACAATCAGAACCGAGAAGAATACCCTGTGGGATAGGTTTAGCAGCCATGGATAAGGAGACCGGGAGACTTACGTGACGACTGTGCCGATGTTGGCAATATGCCCGTCCCGATACTGCTTGAGGCCGAACCAGAAGGACAGCGCAAACGTCGAGTACATGGCGAAAAAGCCTGGCGCCACCTGGGTGCCATACAGCGGAGACATGGCCAGTCCATATCTTTGTGACTCTTGAACGGCGGCGTCGTACTTCTTGGTCAGGCTCTTCTCTGCACCCAGGGCGAAGACGGCACGGATTGAACTAAAGACTTCGCCGGCGATCGAAGCAGCCTTTGCATTGGCCTTCTCGACCTGGGCCATTCTCTTGAGCAAGAACGGGGTGGTTATGCTGTACACGATGACGATAAAAAGCATCGAGGAACTCGCAACAAGAGTGAGAAGAGGCGAGTACCGAAAGGCGATGACGTAGGCGGTGATGATCAAAGCCACAGCCATGAACAGCGAATGGAGCTTGTCCGAGATACTTATTTGGATGATGTTGGACGAAGCCGTGATGGTGTTGGCGACCGTGCCGGAGGATACTTCGTCGAGCTTCTTGATGGGCTGGGCGAAGAGCGACTGAAGGTAGAAAAGGCGCAACCTGGCAGAAATCCGTAGTCCAGTGATCCGAAAACAGAACTGCCATAGTCAGTAACGGGTGCCCAACGTCAGAATACAGAAGCGGTCTTCTCGGAGAGCTCACCGTCGAGATATATGTCAGCACAAACTTGCCGAGGAATAGATAGACAAGATATAGCCTGTTCTGGTCAGCATGTTCTTTGCTGGATGCGACCAACCCTCAGGACGTACGAGTTCTGGTTGACGGTTGATTTGAATCTGCTTTCGGTCACGGTGGAACCTGGTAAGAAATAGCCACTGAAATCCTTGACAAGGTCCCCAAAGACGATGTTCATAAGTGGAAGGGCCTGGAAGGATGTCAGAACCGTCACGAGAACCTGCTCGGGGACACTTACCGTGCCAGCTCCAATAGCACACAGGCAGCTGAGGCAAAGGGCAAATCCATCTCTTTTCGAACGGAAAGACAGTATTCGCTGTGCAGTGTCAGCAGAGAACAGGAAGCCAGACGGTCAAGCCAGAGAACGCACCCAGTAGTTTGAGATAGGAGGCCGGACTGTCTTCTCGGGCTTCTCTTCTTCCTTGATGGTGACGGCCGTTTCTTCAACCACTTGCGCACTGGCCACTTTCCCATCGGCGACAAGCGCCGGGTGCTCGACGGTGCTCATTGTGAATATCTGAATATCACGGTATTGAAACAAGTCGTCGTCGTCGTTCCCCTCTTACTCCAGCAGCTCGGGCATTTGGCACTTCTTCAACAGTGGCAGTTCGACATATTACAATGCAGAAGAAAAGAATAGAGGCTAGAAGTCCTCATGGCGGCCCCACAATCAAGACTGATACAGGCGCCACGGAAATTTAATAGTAGTTTGAGTTGGCTCAACCAACGGGACGACGGGTGCTACGACGGCGATCCATAGGTTGCGGTAACGAAGTGAGCGGGTTAATCCAGTGGCCCAGTCGATGGAGTCTTTGGATTCGCGGCTGCCTAGAAAAGAAAACACAGCTACCTCATCGAGGTATCCACCTGTGGGCCTGTAAACGATGGTCGCAGGTCCTCGAGACTCGCACGAGCATTCATGGCGGCATGAAGAAGGAAGAGACGGCAAGAAGTTGTGGAAAAGGCGAGGTTCCCTGCTGCCTAGAAGGGTGGAATGAATGAGCATGGATGATGGACGATGGATCATAGCCAAAGATTGGTCTAGCCATGGTGCCAACATGAATACGATCACGAATACGATCAACTCACTCACTAAGGGACTTGCCAAGGGCGGAGTTCATCTCGGTTAAACGCCCGACCACAAGGGTTGGGGACCACGCCTGTGGCTATGTCGTCGGAAGCCCTGGTCGTTGGGACAATACTCGCATCTCTCTTCAAGGGAAAAATACTCGATGCCTGCAGTCAAATCAGAAGATATATTAGAACGAGAATGCCCTATCAAGCTCTAACGAATGCATTACATTCAGCCCAAACCTTTTAGAGAAAACCCTCACATCCAGAACGAAAAGTAGTTCGATTCCTAACAAGAATGCCCCAAACGAAAGCCATCACAGACCATGTCTTCTCCCAAATGTCATGTTTGCTCATCACTAGGTGCGTTCAAACCTCCATCACATCACTTCTGCCCAGCTGCCAGTCCCCTTGTCGTACTTAATGATAACATCCGGGATACTTCCGTCGTCGATGAGAGAATCCCTTGGATGGCGTCGGTGATAGTCCATGGCCGCCGGTAGAGATCGCTTCTTATAGTGTGCCTGGTTCGAGAATTCGATGCCGGAATTACCCCGGAGGATGGCGGCGGCGGTAATGGGGAGACCATTCGCATCCGTCGTGGTCCCCGGAACTTGGTTATTGGCGATGCCGTAAAGATAAGGAAATAGCTGACATTTGTTACTTGCCACAGCCGAAGGCACAAACTGCCAGAGGTTGCAGTCGGGGGCGCTCGAATTCACAAGGTGGACAGTGTGGTACGCTTGACAGACTCGCGCACAGTCATCCGCCGTCGCTGGGGGTGAAGTGAAGCCGAACACGGGGGTTGATACGGAATAGGTTGGGACAAGTTGGGTCCCTGACTGCGAGTTGTAGAATGAGGCACCGCAAGACACGTACCAGACATTGTCGCGACCCGTGTTGATCGTGGGAGGACCCTGACCAGAAGAGCCGTTGTAGTACACGCCGATGAAGGCCAATTGGTAATTGTTGTTGTTGCAAAGCCCCAGATCGTAGCCGGGAGCAAGAAGATAGGTTGCGTCCACCACATTCGGCTGTGGTTGGCCTGTAAGGAGTCTTGCGGTGCGAACGCCTTGGCCGATCAGCTTGGCCGGGGACTGCCCGCCAGCCACAGAAGGCTGGCCACCGGTATTGACCACGTTATAAAGCTGGCAGAGGTTAGGGCTGGCCCAGTATGCAACAAGACAGGCGCTCGTTCCGTATGAAGTACAAAGGTCCATACAGCTTTCGAGAGAATAAACATTCTGAATGCTAGTGACGCTACTACTGGTGCTTCCGGAATTCATCCAGCATTCGACCTCATACACAACATTTGGGTTGTCGGCCAGAGCCACCTTTTGATAGTTGTAAGCGCCTGTAGCCAGTGGCAGTGGCTGGCTTGTTGACCCTGGAAGGATATTGACTCCGGCGCATAGAGTCCCCGTGGCCCCAGCGGTGACCGTACTCACAGTTACTGGTATGGCCAGAGCCGCGTAGTTCGGAGCTGCCGGGTACGAGGGTGTGGACGATACACTGCCTGAACTGCTGGAGCTGCTGGAGCTGCTTGAACTGCTGATAGTCATGACAGTGGACGCTGCGGTAGTGGATGTAAAAGGCGCAGTCGAAGTAGTGATTGTAGATGTTGCCAATACCGTAGTAGTCGTCGAAACCGTCGTGGCTTGCGTAGTGGAGCTTGTTAATGCCGAAGAAGTTGTAGAGGCCGCGGTTGATGTCGCCGACGAGGATACTAGAGAAAGTAAAGTCAGTAAATGTGAGCTACTTGCGGAAATCGACGATACAATGGAGGCATTTGTGACAAGGGCAGTTGTAAAAGAAGGAGTAGTAGTACTAGATTGTCCCGTCGAGCTCGTCATAGAGGTGCTTGACACCGTTGAACTGCTGGTGGTAGAGCCGGCCACACTACTAGGTGTTGAAATAGTCGAGCTAGTCGCGGTCGACATAGTAACGCTGGTAACGGTTGATAGCGTTGAGCCCACCATTGTCGATGTAGTAGCGCTCGTAGCGCCTGATACTGTCGGGCTCGTACTAGTAGAGCTCGAGACAGTGCTAGCAGAGCTCGAGACAGTAGTGGTAGAGCTCGAGATAGTGCTGGCAGAGCTCGAGATAGTACTGGCAGAGCTCGAGA